GTGAATCGTTCGAGAGACGACCAAACCTATCCTCGAGCTCTGGATGCAAGTCAGAATTCCAGTCAAAGTCGTCATATGCTTGGTAGTCATGGATATCGGTCTTCAAACAACGAAACTCTCTCTCATTAACTGCGGTGACCTCCCTTTTCTTAGGAAAGAGCTTTGTAGCATTTGTGGTCTCGGATTCATGATCGAGCAGCAAACTCTTCTGAGCAGTGCTCAATGGGATACCAAGACGATAATTTTCCAGGATATCAACCAAGGTGCTGTCGCTCTGCCTATGGATCGTATTTAACCTAACGTGTTTGAACGCACATTTATCCCATGCCGTGCTGCAAAATGCCCACTTGTCCCCAGCAGCAAATACCTGACCGCATTCGCATACATATTCTTCCTGGCCGAGATTGCTGTTGTGTTTCGCGAGTGACTTTCCGCACTGGATGCAGGTAGAGAATGGCCGAACAGGAGGCAGCTGACAGAAGTCGCCCGTGACAATGAGCTGCACTCCACCAAACGGAGCCATGTTATTACGTGCGGATTGCATCACGTTGTTGAGTCTTTCGAAAACCAAATTCTCAACCATGGAAATCTCGTCAATGACAAGTATTTGTGTGGTTGTCAATCTCCTGTAGATGAGTTCTCCATGTGCGCGCCTTCCAAGCTCGTCCATCGACATCTTCATAGTATTAGGAGTCCATCCTGCATAGCGGAAAATTGTCATTCCATTGACAGCCAACGCTGCTCGCCCAGTGGGTGCGACGATGTCCACATGAATCCCTGCTTCCCTCTTTTGACGGATGAAATGCTGCAATGTTGTGCTCTTGCCTGTCCCAGCCGAGCCGGTAAAAAAAACGTTCTTTCCTTCCATCATCACGTCGACGAGTCTTTGTTGCTCTTCGGAAAGCGGAGGCTCTGCACTAGGCGCTATGTCTGTCGTATCCTCCTTATTAGGCGGTGCTGAGTCTTCGTCACTATCTTCAAGAGCGATGTAGCTTGGCGCGGGTGACTGTTGTTGGTAGTGGATCGAGCTTTGGATCGGAGGCCACGTGCATAGGGCAGTGATCAACCGTTGAGGTGCTTCTAACCCATTGTCAATGTAGTGGTCGAGAGCATCCAACAAGGCGTTACGTCTTTGATTTTCAATAATCAGTGCAGGAAGGTTCAGAGCATCAATTTCTTTCACAGTCAGCCCTTCCTGGAAAGGAGGGTCTGGATCAGAGTCGCTGTTTTGGAAGCTTGTAATGTCTGTGTCTGAAGGACTGGTAATGGATTGGTCTAATTCTAAAGGACGGCTGCATCTCGCGCCTACAAGTTCAGCAGCAGAAATCAATCTGCCTGCAGTGTAAACAACACAAGGTTTTGCTTCGCTCTGCGTTGCGCTCTGTACCACTGGCGTCGATATTGCTCCACGAACATCATCGCAGCCGTGTGTGTGGGGGACTTCGGTGGTGGTCGTATCAGATGAGTCCCATGAGACTGGCCTCTTTCGCTTCTTGGTGTACTGATCCCCGACATGAGTCCGTGAGTCTCGTACAGGGAACTCGCTCAAAACTCTCGAACCTGATGAGTTCTGACCTTGGGCAGATTTGTATCTCAAGGGGTCATGGGGTATTTGTTGGCCCCGGGCGGCCGCTCCTCGTTCTGCCTCTTTCTGCACCTTGTCCGCGTTCTGTGCATTCCAATCGCGTCTTGCTGCCGAAATACCACCTTGCGCAATGGTGTAGCCTTGATACTTAGCCTTACTGAAGCCGTTGACCTGCGCTTGCGCGTCGTCCCTAAAGGTTGTTAGCAAAGGGGACGAGGGATGTAGACTGTAGTATAACCCTACCATGTCATGTAAATACCAGGAAGTCTGCCATTGAAGACAGCATAGGCGACTTTTTTGCCCATTCACGGTAGGGCGCCACTGAACCGTGCGGCATGTGGTGTGGTACACAAATAGCAGCAGGTGCAAGAAGAATCGTGACTGATCGAAAACTTCCGTGGGAGGCGGAAACAACATGCCAAGACTTCGCGCCGGCCCACTTTCACAGAAGTCTTCTTAGTGCCCCTGGCAGCGTGACTGCAATCCAATCTCAGCGTTCGTAGAGCTAATGCTACTCTTTCGCCTCTCATGATCGTTTCTTGTAAGAAGGAATAGCCCGATGGTTGCTCGCATGCTTCCGCTTGGACGGTTAGGATCATGTCGCATGGCGCAGACCGGTCAGGCACGAATTGAGAGCGACGGGAGATTTGGGATTGACTGAAAGGGTTCATATCCTGTCAAGGTTGAATCTAATTCTTCAACTTCTCTGTGGATCAGTGTCACTCTTCGTGGCTATTGTAATCAATTTCTGGAGCATTTGAATCAACTCCGAAGCCTGGGCGACAAAATATTTGTAGGTGATAATTTTGAGATTCTTCAGCTTCATCATGGTCGTTGCGTCAAATGACAGCACCGTGTCAGGTGCTTTGCCCGGGATCATAAATCGTACGCAGATCACGGAAAGTGTGAATACTTGTTTCCCTACGCTCGTGACCACTTTAGCACCTTCCTGAGCTCACACGACAAACATCGTCCGTGGGTCTCTTAACGGTAGCAGATTCGACTGCTTGCCTTCTGGTCACGAAAGCTGGCCGCTAAATGTCGGTTTCTTTTAACAAGATGACTACAGCCTTGAGCTACGCGAAAAAAAGGCTTGTAAAGGCATGGACTCGATTGCCTGAACTTTTTGACGAATAAGAGTTAAGCGTTGGTGTGGAAATTAAAATGCTACTTGTATAGCGCTTCATGGATCGAGCCAGCGGGGTGACCTGGCTCGTTCGTCAATAAAGATGAAGAGGATAAAAGCCTACACGGGAGGATGAAAGTTATACAGAGATCGCCCGGATCACAATCAAGCCGGACGGATCTGATCTCGTATTCAATATAGTATCATCTTTGCATCCATCATGACTTTGGAAGCAATTTCGTTCCCACGATGCTCAGCGACGCATGACGGCATAAGTCAACTTATGATGCAGGATCGACAAGGGTCTAATGCCTGCTGACTTAGTGAAATTCCTCAAATTTCCAAATCAATGGCTCCTCAATCAAATGACCAAATTCAGGCCTGCTCAAAATCTCACCAGTGCCTTCCCCTGTTGCATTGCAGCTGCAAACCTTGCTTCCAATATCATAAGCGGGAACTTTATGGTTTAGAAAGGTCCGCACCGATCCTACACATGTCGTAAAACCCATGTGTTTAGTCATGATAAATTCCGAGTACTAGGCTCATTGGCTTTGGCTTGCGACATAAGTATTCACTATCGTCCCATGGGTCCTCTGAATACAACCGAGACGAAGACGCTGACGGTCGTACGCTTGATTGTAGCCAAACTGGAAATGCAGATATGGGTCCTCGGAAGTCTACGTTAGTAGAGGAAGAATGAAACCATCGGCAGACTGTCTAATCTGACCATGTAGGCACGATCAGCCTCCCATTTTGAGTACCCAAATCAAGGACGAGCTTGCAACAGGCTGAAATCAGGACAAATCCTGAGCAGTCCACACAAATCAGAATAGACCTCCGGATTATGCCATTAATTGCTACATGAAGTAGGCGTGTCGCACCTCTATTAATATCAGGAGAAATCTCGTCGACTTACTTCAGATCATCTTGGAAGACATAGTGTCAGGACAAACGGCCATTGACCGCTAGGTCGAAATTGCGAGATAGACGTACATCATTTAGAAGTCATTAGAAAGGGAAGATGGATGGGTAAATGTATGTCTTGTCTGGAAGGGAAAACCCAAAGAGATAAGACTTGAAAAGATTGTACAGATCAATAACATGTACTGACTTCAGCCGAGTACTCGCTTTAGCTCGTCCCATTATCGTTCCACACACGTCCATGCGTTAGATCCCCATTTACCCTGCCCATCCCGTCCCGTCAATGTTTCCAAGCACGTCGTGCCAAATCAACGACCTTATCCCTTACTCTACTTCCTTTTGTGTGCTTATGCTTCGCATGTGCTTCCATCTCACGGGCAGACTCGAAAACTTGCTGGCATCCGCGCGGACAATAATGAAAGTCGGGTCGGAACAGTGTGCGTATGCCGTGCTCGAGCTCGCGATGACGCCCGAGTAGATCCAAGTTATGGAAGGTTTGCTGGCATTGCTGGATATTGCATTGGTGAGATGCCGCTGTGGGAGGAAGCAGTGACAAGTTTGGCTGGTTGGTGCTGGATGCAGAACGTGCTTGCGTTGCGTGTCTGCATTGATAGCACTTGTGGTGAAAGACATATTCGCGAGCGAAACCGTATGGACAGAATTTCCGAGTCTGGTCGTAAGAAGCGCAGGGCTCTGGCTGAAGTTCATTGTGGAGCCGATTGCCGCAAGAGCAGAGGAAGAGTTTGCACATAGTCCCAAGTCAGCGATATCAGGCTCCTCGAATGGCTGGATAGAGTGAAGTCAGTCTGCGGATTTTGCCCTCTCACTACGTCTTGGGCGGCTCGAGGAGATGGACTAATGAATGGTGAAGGTGAAGAGCCCCTTGGATTAATCCAGGCCATTGTTCCAAGCCGCATGGTTTGTATACAGCCAGGTGTCGCAGTACAACAAAGGCGTGTGACTGAAAAGTGCTGTACAACAAGGGCATATGAAATGTCAACACAGAACAATGATCCCAATCAGTTTGCGCACCCCGGAGATAATAGTCTTTTTAACAAAACATTGAAGTCTGTAATGTGCTTGAAGACCTGCATTGCGTACCATCCGTGAACAATATCAATCTTTTTGGCGCGTGAAACTCAAGAATGACCCATCTGGGACGGGCATCGCTTTCGTCAAGGCCAGGAGCCTCGAGGAGGATAGGGATGTAGCACAAAGACAATGGCAGGCTCAGCAAGAAGCAATATGCGAGTGGACAACGCAACTGTGAAAATCAAGCTGGCTCTGCTATTGTATCCTTAAAGGTTAGTGTGATCTGAACGCCTCATGTAGTTCCTTCTCATCAATATCACCAAACTGGTCTTGCTATTATTGTGCTTTGTTCTTTTGGGCTGCAGGTCCGGTCTCTCTATCAAAAGCTGCATATGTGACCTGAAGGTTCGAGATGCCCGAAAGTGCAATGTACAGGATTGATAGCAAGATTATGCCAGCTAGGATTCCCATGAAGAGACCTGAAGTTGTCAGTGGCTGCAGAGCACAGGAATTATGTAGAGCTCACCCGGGGTGAGGAATTGGTACCGCTCAAATAGTGGGCCCTCGGGCAGTGACACATTCGCGTCTCGTTTCTGATTCCGAAGATCCCGTTTCAAGTCGACGTGTGCTGTCGACTGAAAAAGCGAGTCCATCTCGTAAAGCTGCGAATCGCCGTGGGTGTGTTTTACAACCCCTGTGTTTGGAGTCGTTGTGTAGATGACTGTATATTTTGGAGATGGCATGAAGCTCAGGATGGAGGCAAGATAGGCATCTTTCTCGATATTAGCTCCTTCTTGGGCTACAGGCTCTTGGGGCATACCATGCTCGGCGAGCTTCTCTAAACGGTCATGACCAAAGGGCAAGTAGGGGAACGCGACGTTGATCACTCTTGGTTTGTTGTTTCCTTGAATCGAGAAAGCACCGGCTGCAAGTGCATGTGAGCCAGCCTCTTGCGTAGATGCTACATATAGGAGGGCCGCTGCTCACTTGAAGCATCGATTCTCACATTCTCCGCGTCACATTTGCTCTGCAAAAGAGCACTGAGATCGTCCGTATTTATAGTCCCTCTGACGTCAGAGATGGCAAGGCTGGAACGAACGGCTTTATCGCTGCCTGATACCAACTGGCTTAATCGTGGCGTGACCAGCTTGTCCTTGTATTCGGCGGCAGTGACACCTGGCTGCAAAACTATGATATAAGTCTCCGATGGACATCTTTCTAGTTGCCTTGCAATCTCGACATGGAGGGTGGAGCCGGAGACGAGGTTTGAGGATGGTGTAAGGAGTCTGGAGACGGATTAGATTGGGTCAGCGGTATGAGATAGGGCTCACTCTGAGGTGGAGCTGAAGAAGAATGGTGAGGTGTCTTTGAAGGCATTGGACAGACCCCAGCCAAGAGTAAGCGTCCAAAGCGATTGTAATCTCATGTTGATGGACGGCAGTGAGATTCAAGTCGATGTCAAAGTGAGTTGCATGTGGAGCGACGGGAAGGAGAAGCTGCGGCTGCCAAGGTGCGGAATTATTCCGTTATAGAATCTGGTGTGCGACTCTTGCTCCGACTCTTCAGTGCATTACGCAGTATTGATACAAGGTCGCAGCGTCTGCACCTGTCCCGTTTCCCGAGTGCGTGTTCTCCGCTCCGATTATTCTCCGAGTGAGTGTCTGAAGAGTCGCGATGGCGCAGAAATACGCCGGCCAGGCGTTGCGAAGGATGTTGAAAAGCTTGGTTACGGCTTTTGTGGCAGATGTTCATCAGTATAATAAGAAATCTGGCAGAAGAAGTCCGTACATATTGCACTTTATCCCATTTCTACATATTACTTGAAAATAAGATGGGCAAAGCGCGGTTCACAGGACGCTCCTGCAGTTGCATGGCCATCCCCGTGTCGTGACGGTGACACTTTTCTTTTCCCGTACCTACTACTTTGGCCAACGAACTTCCTCTTAACCTGTAAACATACCCTCTCCATCAATTAGTCACCACCAGCATCGTCAAAATCATGGCTTCGGCGAAGTCCACCTGGCACGCGACCCTTGAGGAACCTTTTGTTCATCCAGACCGCGTGGCGCAACTGCAACAACCCGGCCAAAGTGAGGGTACGGCGACAAATATCAACCTTAGTTCTAGCGTGCCAGCAAATCCAGAAGCCATTGCAACCAGTAGCAACACCAACGGTCGACGACGCGATGGCAATGCTCACATTAATGACGTCTCTACAATTGCAACTTCTACACACGCCCATTTCTTCGATTTGAATGATCACGCCATTTCCGGGCATCTAGCAGGAATGCGTCTATGGGAGGTCAACCTCCTCCTAAACAAAGCAATCAGTATGGCCAGAAATCTCCCGAGAGGAGGCATTCAGAGCTGGGTATGCGCTGTCGGCCACGTGACAACCGGCGGTGTCAGAATTCACGCTGGCACTGGTCCGGACTTAGCTCTGTTCAGAGATAGTACGACTTTGCAACGAGAAATCAAGGGTCTCTGTGACGAAATACAGAGAGATTACATAGTCGAGATGGACATGGTACCTATCACTGGCATGGGAGCGCTCAATGACTCTGTGATCAAACGAGAGGTCATCATTCGTCTCTATCAACTCAATGCCAACAGATTGGAAACGTTCAATGCCTCAAGCGAGCTCCGAAATGTGGACCGGATTGGCATGACGGAAGCACAGTACTCGCGAATTGCGCTGAATTTCAAGTACAAAGATCTGGCTCGCGAGGCTGTTGACAAAGGCATATTTTGGGACGGCGTAGTCCGTACCTGTACTTTTTCTAACGCACCTAAGCCAATTACAGGACCGACATCACAAGCCATGACACAAGCTGAGACTCGCACTGCTCAGGCGCAAGGGCTACTGACCACTCGAAGACAGCCTTCCACGCCTGTTACAGTCAGACCGTGCGATCGATGCCAGCAAATTGGTCATAACAACGGCAGCGGTTGCACAAATCCATGGTGTTGTTCCCGATGTCGAGGTGCGCACCGGACTAGAGACTGCCAGGTGCGTCTCTTCTGTCAGCACTGCGGCGAGACTCACAGACTGGGAAAGGGATCATGTCCGATTCCGTCCTTACTTTCGGTCCAAAACCAGCTGATGCTGAACACGACGGGCACGGAAAACAATGATGTTACTGGCAAAGAGGGTGCTAAAGTCAATTCGCAAGCCGGAGGAACCACTATTCCCGCTCTTAAGACACAAGGACCCCCTTTGCAGCTTATTACTCCAGTCAGTGGGGCTGATATTATGTCCGAAACAGATTCAGTGGGTCAATATATCTTAAAGCTACCCGTGGAGAAACCGCAGCTTAGCCCGCTTCAAATAAATACAGGCATGCAATCCGACGCACCGCCTTTATTCGGCCGACCGTCAACGGTTATAGTTCCTATATTTGGCCAGCCTACTTCTTCAATGCCACTTAATGTGCCGGTCGCGCCTACGCTGATGGGTGCTTCCGCCAATGGAGAGCTTAGGGCCACTGGCAACCAAGCATCCACCAACGAACATGACTACGCACTTCTGGTGAAAGACCTCGAGGCTTTGAAGCAGAAAGTCCTCTCCGGGCGACATCAATCCAACGCCTCCCAGTCGGCATTCTTCAGCAACAACAACACGTCAAACTTCGCCGTCGAAAGCCTGAGATCGACCCTCGAAGCTCCTCTGAAGGAGCGACAAGTCCTCAAAACCACAGCCACGTCAACTGGAGAAGGCGTATTTAAGAAGCCGCTCGTCCCTGCATCGGCTCGCCTCGAGCGACAGAACTCCAGTCTGAAGCGCAAGGCTTCTGGAACCGCAAGTGGAGATGACGTGGCGAGATACATTCCTCCTCATAAACGGGCACGCACCGAGGAGCCTGGCGATGGCGGAGGTAGGGCGGGGTGGAATCGGTGAAGGAAATAGGCTTTAGTCATAGAAGTATATCTTGAAAAAGGCTTAGACTAGAAGTTCATGAACAATCAGCAATGGATAGCTGCACTAATACAATCGCCAGCGAACTCCCTTTCTTTCACTCTTAACTGCTGGTAATGCAATAGGAGAATACTAGACCGGGCAGTAGGCTCTGCATCGCTAAGGCAGGCAATCGGCTTCATTAACGCAATCTTTAAAATAGAGGTTGTTTCAACTAGTCCACACTCACCAGCTGCTACGGATCTACTAAGTTAAAGTCTTAATTGCCTTCTTTGGTATGATACACTACTTGAAAATGCCAGCTAACATACTCCTAGCCACCTGTGAACAGCTCACCACCTGCTTTGACCCCCATACAGAGACATTCTAGCATACATTGTCATCACCTACCTCGCCTCCAGCCCGCCTTAGCAATGTCCAGGACCGTCATGTCTCTGTCCATACCGAAGCCAACGATCGTCACGGGCCTCCGCCAGCCAACTACCCTGACACCACTTTTCTCGCATCCAAGACTTCGAAATCCTTCGCACAACCCTCTTGGAAAGCAGCCGTCCGATTCAGCTTCACCATAACCCACATCCCGTCTTTCCTCGCCTTCCCCTTCTCCTCCTCTCCTTTCTCCCCTCCCTCCTTCCCTCCTCCATCAGCACCCTCTTCCTCTGCTTCCTTGCGTTCATCTTCCTTCAGAGGCTCACCAGGCGCCCACATAGTATCCCACTGAGACTTCCAGTCATCCCTACCCTTCCCATCTCTCATGATTCTTTCCGCGTTCTTCCTCGCGCTGAATTGCAGGGCAGGCCCAGCTTTGACATCGCTGGGCCCATCACCATCGTCAGGTGTGTTCACGATATCCCCCGCCCCGGAATGGGCGATGTTGCTATCCGACTGGCACGCTGTGATGACCTGCGGCCAGACAGCCAAACATACCATATCTGCGTGTCTGGCGCAGACTCCACTGAGCTCCAGATCGAGGTTATTGTCTGCTTCTTTGAAATACTTCGCCAGCTTTTTGGCGCCAGGGAGCGTGATAGCGTAAGCTGTCGAGCAAGTCGTTCGCTGAAATTGGTACAGCGCCCTCGTTCCGGGAATATGCTGGTCTGCGTTCAACCCATTGTCGAAGACGAACTCTTTGTTCTCTGGCGGTACAGAGCTGTCATTCCAGCTGTAGATACGCGAGGTACCTTCATTGTTGGAGCCGCAGTGACCGAGCCAAAGGATATCCCAATTTAGGCCGTAAGGATGGTTAGGGCTCGGTGAAGGCGGCACATCAGGCGCATCGTTGGGGTTGTTGGTGGGGAGGCGAGGCCAGGATGCGAAGTCCACCATTCTGCTGATTGCGCGAGGAAGTGGCTGGAGAATGGATGCGATGCGGAGATCCCAGTCAGCGTCGGACTCCATGATGAGAGCGGAGGAGATGTTGTTGGCTACCATCCTGCGGACCATGTCAGACGCTGCGCCGACCGGGATGGACAAGTGCCATACTTGTTCCACGTTCTAACGTGGGACACAAGACAGCCGAGCTCGCCAGCGCGATGTCTTTCGCCCGGCCAATTCTTCGGCTTGCCCGTTTCTGAGATCTCGGAGTCGCGCACAGCATTGAGGACGGTGATGGTGATGTTGGTTGCATTTGCGGCATCAAGGAGTGGGCGGACTCGGTCTTTACGATCAGGGAGCGCAAGTGCAAAGATTTTTTCGAACTGATGAACCTGTCAGTGGACTCGACTCATCTGAAGAGCGATGTTGGGATGCGGATACATACGCCTAGAGTAGCGTTGCGGATGGGGGTTTCTTCGACTGCTTCAAGCTCGGATAGGGGAGGCCCATGGATCACGCCTGGGAGATATATTGACCATGAGAAGACGAAAAAGAAGATGAGTGTAAAGAGAACGAAGCAAGCCTGGCAACCTTTAGGATCCCATGCCACAGAGTAGCGGGCAGGCCGCTGCTTTTGCATCAGAGCAATCATGCTGGCAACGAAGAACGCATGGAGGAGACTTGGCAGACGCAGAACATCGTGAGCACAGGAAATGAAGCATAGCGAGCTGCCAGGGTCTCGGGTGTCGCTTTCCCTCCTTGCTCTAGTGGGTGTTCACTGGAATGCAGTTGAGGGAAGGCGCAGGAAACGGAAGGAATGCAGCATCTGCTTGAGCACTGATAAGACATCTGAATGCAGTAATCGCTCTGTCTTCAAAGAAGTACCGATACGTCTCTCATCGCATACAGAGGAAGTGACTGAAGAGGTGGTGACAGGGGCCGGGGGGACAAGGAGCCTTGCGCAAAATGCTCAACTGGGGTCTTCACGCACACTCATATGAAGACATCGAATTGTAGCGATGTATTGTAGTTGATCTCAAATGTTCATAATTGCATCGAACATTTTCCCTCTCGAGCCTTGCCAAGATCTCATTTGACTGCGAGCCACGCCTGTTCGGGCCTAGCTTGCCCCTGAGATAAACAAGCATTCTGAGGGAGGCGTAAGGTAGGTGACCGATGGATTGCTGGAGTAGTCAGTGGCTAACAGAAGACCGCTTGCTTATCCCAATCACACAGGCGAGAGACTGGAGAGCAGCAAAGAATCAAGGGCGCACCAGGGTAATCGTATTGGTATTAAATGGGAAATATAAGTGGCAACACTCATCGGCTGCCTGGATCTTTCGATGTTGCACCCCTCAACAGCAACCGATGATGGTGCGGAAGCACGATAGTACTAACACAAGCAGTCTTCGAGTCCCAAAGAAGTGCAGCTCACCAAACATTCCCGCTGCATCCGCCTACAAACACCAGCCAGCAGTCGCCCGCCACTCAGATCAGAGCATTACGCTTCTGAACAGATGCCGAGCTTGTGGAGGTTGGCACGCTTGTAGTAGCAGTCGTTGCTTGCTCCCCTGTCATGTCAGTTGTGTCGGTTGTGTCGGTTGTGTCGGTTGTCTTGGTCTTGCCCTGCATGTGTGAACAGATCATCGCGAGCATGTCCGGGTTGTTCATCAGCCAACTGTTATGCGTAAGTAATGACTATTCGGTGACACGGCTTTAGACAGCTGGACGTACTTCATGTGACGGGGTTGGAGGTCTCTATTTCTCAAAATCTCATTGGCCTGGGCCCGATCTGCACGATTTTGCAGAGACCTAGCTTCTAACAAATGAGCATCTGAAACCGAGCGACGTCGTTGCGCGAGCGTCTCGTCAGTAGAAGTTGCCGTGGCCGCAGTAGTACTGGACGTGGCAGTCGATGAGGTCCCGAGCTCTTGGGTGTCGTCATTATTGGTAGTATCATCGCCCGTGGTCGTTGAATCGGTCTTTAACTTCTTACTCCCAAGGAGCGTGTTGTCAACCGAAGCGGAACTGGTTTTACACAAGGATGCGAGGTCAAAATTCTTTCCCTGCCAAGGGTTGCCGCTGTAAGTCTTGCCAGAGGTTTTCTTGTAACTGGAGACGCCACCTGCGCTACTGCCACTTGTTGCGGTCGCTGTAGAAGCGAGATCAGTGGCTGAGCTTTCAGTATCATCCTGGCGATGAATTATGCGTGTCCTGTATACTGTGAGTACAGTGCAATACTCGTATAGGATTGCCGCGACTTACGGAGGCTCGGCTCTGGGGGCAGCAAGCACGCCATTGAGACATATGGTTGCGATGACGGCAATGCAGGTGAGATATGATGAATACATTCTTGATGTATGTAGAAGAGAAAAGCAACCGGTGCTTGTATCTGAACAATCCAGCAGATGCAGAGAGAAAGTACCGCGCGACGTATGAACACTTTATTTGATGCAGACAAAGAGAAGCAACGGAAGAATCAGAGCAAGCAAAGTTAAGTACAATGTGGTCGGCCTAGGATGTCACTTTGGGATGACGAAGGACACCAGCGCCGTAGAGCTGCGACACGCCTTCCAAGATTAAAATGTCTTGGTGAAACGAGTGTAGCTATAGCTTTCCGGCATCATCGGCAGCGATCGGACAGTGACCCTTGTAGTCGCAAGAACTCTATCATAACGAGGTCGGGCGTCCGGCTGCAATATCAGCCCCGGCCTGCGAAGGGCCATGCTAGCAGGTGGGGAAATCGGGCATGATTGTGTGCTGCTATTGCTGCATAAGCTAGAGGCGGCAACGCGTTTCGAAGGCTGCCTAGCATGATCTGGATCATATCATGTCTCAAGTGGTCAAAGCTTGCGAAAGCACTGATTATGGGCAGCCGAGAGAGTAGTTGATGGAGTTAGTTGGTCGTAGGGCGCCAGATGACCAGCTCGTTATCTCATCAAGCACCTTGTTACTGTGATTCGGGTTATGCCTCGTTCAATAGTCACCGGGCAGCCTGTAGTGATGAAGGTGTTGGGAGGTGAAGAGGCGTGAGGCGTGAAGAAGAAGATGACGAAGGAGATTTGGCCCGGTCACGGAAGCCAACTTAGCCGCCGGAGAAGCCGCCAATGAATGTCAACGACGACTTTGCGCTTTACTCGAGTGAGTTAGATCGGATGGACATATTGCAGAGCCTCTAGAGTACTGCGCCGTTGTTGTGCCACAACACCAGGACCACTTCAGGCCCAGATTGCGAACTAGCCTGTATCAGATGCTGTCTCAGTAGCACTGGCGTCGTAGTATCATCCCATCATCGCATCTTCTCCGATCAACTCCTTCCCCACTGACAAAATGCTTTGGGTAATTCTCGGGCCTTGGATGGCCGCCACGTCTACCTTCTCTTTCACTTGCTTCCAAGACAATCACTTTGTTGGTGACGTTGCGGCTCCACCTTGTCACGATCCGATCTCCGTGTATGTGACGTTACTCGGGTTTCCGGGCTCGAATACTATCGGATGCAACAATAATGGCTTTGCTATCAGTCTGGCCCATGGCAACTTGTTTCTGTGTGCATCTTTCAATTAAGGATTGTACTGATTCGTCGCCGTCGAGCTCGAAAGGTTCTGTGAAGATCAGTTGACAATACAGAAGAGAACGGGGATCGGAAATTTGCAAGGTAACCAATCACAGCCAGGGCCTTCGGAAACGTACTCTCCTTGAGCTTGTCGAGCGGTAGCAGTCGGTGATCAACATCCATGGAATTTGTTTGTCCAGCGGATGTGAGAGCGTGACCTAGGCCAACTATCCTCCACGTTACCCTTCAGGATAAGGAAGCTTACGACGCAAGTCATGCACGTGGTTAGACAGCCTCCGCCTTTGGATTGGTCGCTAAAATCAACTTGAATCGCCGTGATCAAATGCATGAATCGATTTCGTCTCCTCTTTCGATATCAAGACGGCTGTTTCAGGACCTTGAACGTCATGGATTGCTATCTGATACATCAAATGCGGCACGACAAAGATGGTTCGATTGCTTGAGTTCGCCGCGCGTGGCCTTCGAAACTCTTAATTCGCGGAGATATTGGAGAAGCAACCTGGGTGAAAGTGGGCTGCAAAGGATTTGTCGTGACAATGGATCTTCTCAGATAGACATGGAATGATGGCAGCAAGTAACGGAGCTTTAGAGGTCTCCATCAAGACATGGACATAGAAACAATGATGGATCAAAGCTCATTGAGCTAGACTTTTACTGTACGTAGACTTTGCCAGAATTTTGTGTGCTATTATCGCTTCTACCTGCAATTGCTGTTGTATTTTCCCAACCTGACCAAATGCAGGACGTATTTCCATATTGACGTAAGCTATCTAGCCACTCTAAAGCGCTCTTGCTTCTAGCATAACATCCCTGGGCCAGCACAGCACACGGATAATACAGCTCATTCTCTCCTTCTTCATCGCCCTCCTTCTCACATAAAGGTCTCTGACTGAATCAATGTGTCATTCGTAACTTTTTCGCTCTTTGGCCGAGGCTCTGAGAGCTCCTGACATCGTGTAATCGTCGTAGCACCGTTTCCTGGACGCGTGGGCGGGATTCGAGATAGATCCGATATGTGTTAGAACAGGCAGTCTCACAGCGTCAATCTCTCTCAGCATCTCATCTGGGTCGTATTCATTTGCGCTATCTTCCTTGTCTCGAACCAATGCATCAAGTGCTTCTTCATTGACTGATCCCAACATTTCATCTGAGAATTCTCGACGTGCTAGGGGGTAAGCGTTGCTTCTTTTGAAAGCGACACGAGAGGAACTTTGAGCCGTCATTGTATTGGATGGTTGAGGAGCTGGCATAGAGGAAGCTACAGACGCTGGAGCCCCGTTAATCGCACTCATCACCTCACCGTGCGAGATGTATTTGTCGGGGGTAGGGAATCGGACTCCTGCTTCTCTCATCCACTCCTGGCGCACTTGACACTCCTTACTTTTTGTTAAATGATTTCCGTTACAATTGGCGCATCTGATAATAGCATTCTCGCATTCCTTGGTAGAGTGCTGTCCAGCGCAGCTGCCACATATTGGAGTTGCATCGCAAGTCTGGTGACCAAGTCCTTGACATTGCCCACACTTAAGATCAGGTTTAGGCTTCACGATTTCACACTTGTAGGTCTTGCGTTTCAATGTGATACCGTGCTCGAGACAATGGTTCGCATGATTTCTGTCCTTGAATTTTAAATTAAGCCTGCGATTTTTATTGTCGTCGTCGTTCGATGATTGCCCCCTTTTCTTCTTTCCGCTAAAATGCAGCATGTGGACATTTTCCAATGCAGGATTTCCCTTTCCGAGAGATCGAATGTATTGTTTTTCAGTGATCTTGTTATTTAGCGAGATTCCGATGACTGCTATCTTGAAAGAATGCGACGTGATATTGCCTTTACGTTGGAGATTACGTCTGTCACTTATTAGCCAAGCCTGTTCTGTCTCTTGGAAGTTGCTCCCATGCTTTGAAATATTGTGACTTTGGCCTACCGCCTGGCAATGGGAGTCGGAACCCGTCTCTGTCGCAACGTTGCCAAACCTGATCGCCTGCTGATTCGATGCATGCAAATTACCGTCTACTTCTCCAATGGGACTATCAGCGCCATCCTCCATACGTTCCCTTCCAGTCTGCTCCGCCATCCCAGTATTTAGATGTGTCCGTTCGAGGCCATGTTCATCGGGTTGAAAGACACGTAGCAAGCTGTGGTGTAACCATTTCACAAAATCATGAGTGTCTTGGACAATGATGGGCATCCTGGCTTGTATTTGTGCTGTAGCTTGCGACCCTTGACACGAGTCCATCAATTCAACAAGCCTGTGTTGCTCTTCCGCCGAAACGGTGTAAGATGCAATGGCCCTTTCAAGGGCAAATCTGCAGTCTTTCTCGTGATCACCGCTAGAGTGACCAGTCGGACCCCCCAAAAGGGTCCCGAGAGTCAGGAAAGGCACGCGTTCTGAGTTCATTGCGACTCTCGTTTCAAGGGATTGATATCGTCGGAAAGGAGATCATCATTTTTGTCAGTATGCGTGAGCAGTAGTGATGAAAGAAGGCAAGCAAGTCGACGGAAAATGTTTTTTGGTTGACACTTCAAATTAGCAAAAATTTGCCATCACCGCTACTTGATGCCAGAACTTCGATGACATCAGTCCACAGATGAAAAAACGAATCGGCCAGTCTCAATGAAGTTTGATGGTCGGTGCAAACTGTGGGAGAGGCAATCGAGAAAACTGTGTTCTATGTTTGCTATGGAAGTATTCTTCGCATATTGGTGCAGGGTCTATCCTACCCCTACGAAAACAACGACACCCCTTCATCTTGCGTATGAGGCCTGTAGTCCACTTGGTTGGTTTTTCACGTTCATCAAACAGCTCATCAGCATACCGTCCTGGGGCTGCCTCGGTCAAGTTTTCAATGGGCAGACCAGAACATGATTTCTAGCGAGCCGAGAGCTATCAGGACGACTGTGCCTTGCTGTCTCCAATTTGCGGCTCGACAAACGGCTCAAGTTTTTTCAGATTAGACTGTATGCTGTCGAAAGGGTTCGGAAAATGGTGCATATTCGTCCAGGACTTCTTTGCAGGGCAAAAATGGAACCTTGACTGATGGTGCCCTCCACAGTTGACGCACTTTAATTTCTTTGTGCTGCAACCCTTTCCTCCGTGCTCTCTCCACATTTTCCACACGCCCATACTGCTTCACATAAGTCTCGCGAATATCCGATTCGTTTGCATCGTTGGCATGCTGTAAAAAGGATTGCCTTCGGCCCTCTGAAAAGTCGACAATCGTAGTGTTTGCTTTCGACAATCACTCCTTCAACGATCGCTTGGTTTGCCTCTGCCCGATCTTCACACAGAAGAACCATTTCAAATCCAAACGGGATCGACCTGGTCCATCGTATTGTCTACCAGCAAACTACCAAAAGAGACTCGAGGTAAGCATTCGATTTCTGGATTTCATCCAAAGCTGCCTTAACATTCCTGTTGTCTCTTGTCATCACGTTCTCTTGATTGTCCAGGGCTGCAACCTGATAGCTGCCTTTCAAATTCATCTCTGCACCTTCTGATGGACGTTTATTGCTCGCACGAGCTGTCTTTGTTCCAGTAGGTGTGAGGACTGACGACTAATGCTTCCTAATTTCCTCCAGCGCAAAGAATTCCTTTACTCTAGGAACCCCTACTTAGACTCTCATACGCCCGTCATGCACGGTTCAGCGGCAAAAAAGGTGAGATCAAATCTCAGAGCTAGATTGTATCGCTTGAACGACCCTGGAGCCTTTTTCAGTATCTGAGAGTCGTCCAGATCGCCCAAATACGAAAGGACTGGGGGCGGAATATCGTTGTCGATATGGGCAGTGAACGATTGCTCTGGACATCCAGTGAAGTTTTGCATGCCATATACTCTGGCATCATTTACTCGGATGGGTGGTGCGTTGATCACAATCTTCTGGATCCTTAACATGGCAACCTTCAAGTCATCTTGAGTCAATTGGGGTTGGTTGGGCGGAACGCACCGCCTGGATTGCGAGCTTTCGTCGCCCATGCATTCGTCGTCATCATCGATATCAGCATGCTCAATTCTCTCTAAAAGAGAACGTTCGATGTCTTGGAACTGATCTTCCCAAGAGGGATGGATATAGTCCGGTCGCGCCCTGACGCCATCGTAACTGGAGACTCTCAAGAGCCCTCCAGAACTAAGCGTGTTTGCTATGACAGGACCGATCTCTTTCGAAATGCTGTCGTCAAGTACGAGGCGATTGCCACTTTTGCTAAGATCGGTAGCGGCGGCTTCTAGGAGTGCGTTGTTGACAGTGCTAGATAGACTATCGGAGAGGCTCTGTGGTAGTAGCTGGCGAGCATCTGCGCTACTGGGGCGGTAGTGCATAGGTGGGAATGGGAGTACGGTGGGAAATTCCTGGGCAACGTTCAGGTCCGACACTTCGTTCGCGGGTGTGTAAAGTCTGAGCATAGCATCTGGCTGGGCGAAGGTGGCAAATGAACATAATATACATCGGATAGACTTTTACTAGGTAATACTTATACTCGTCTCGCTGGGTATCATATCTGACAAAGATCGCCTGACAGCAGGAGCATTAATGACTCATCAGAAACAAAAGAGCTGCTTGGAGTCCCTCAGAGTCCTGTAGAGCAGCCCGATATCTTTAGTAATTTCGACCCTGTCGGAAAGCCTGAAGCTCTCCATCTATCCCACGACATCAAAATCGAATGGAATCCTTCTATGCACGATATCATTCTAAAGGCATAAGAGCATCGACTGGAGAAAAAAGCCCGGTGATCCGACATCGATACTGTCAACCACAGCAGATGATCATATGAGACATGAAGAACGACTGTAGGTGCCGATGTGAAGCCTTGAGATTATTTCATGAAAGAATTGCATACACGCTGTCTGCATGCTAAAATGATCATCGTCCGCCAATATATTGCTCGTCATGCTCCGTCTCGGCGAATGACCTGCGTTGATCACTCTCGTCCCATATCATCTGATTGCCTCCTGTGATATTCAACCAGCAGTAACGGCCTGACCCTTATCTTGAGTTCTCCTATAATCATCTCGCAATATCTTAACCAAGCAAGGTACCAATCTCGTCCCAAGGTCACATCAGCTCTGTCATCTAGACCAGCATCTTCCTACCTCCGTTCCACCTCCCCCCATGCAATATGTATCCCCTAATCTCTTCCCACTCCCTGTCGTTGGCATCCACAAACGCTGTCGTGCCCCCAACAGTAGCATTCTCATACTTCCCATGCCTCTCAAAATGCTTGTTCCTGTTACTGAACCTATCGTCATCACTGAACCCAAGACTCACACCCGGCCATTCCCAGAAGTAATGCCTGCGACAAAAGGCCACTGAAGGTGCCACGTCACATTGGCAAGCATTGGCGTCGATGGGCGTGCAGCAGCGGTACACGCGAGGTATCCAGTCAGAGGGATCGGCGATCTGGAAACGCAGGCGTTCATAGGATTGTGTGTAGCCGAAGTAGACCATCTCGAAAGCTTTGAGGGAGGGGAGGATCTGATTGATTGCGGCAACCGTGTTGGCAGGCTGAGGGAGCTGACGAAAGTCGCTGGCGCGGCGAGTCACTGGGTGAACGCATACGATGTGGAGGGTGAGGGTGTCGAGAGCGGGGCATATCGTGCGGATCTGGTCGATGTACCAGCTAAATGTGTCGTCGATGGTTTCACGGGGAATTGTAAGGAGATCCTCTTCAACCTTTGGATATTTGAGGCTAAGGTGTTTGATTTTCGGCATATATTTCTGCGTAGAGAGCAGAGTGGTCAGAGGAGGACGGTCCGGGTATACGGCTCGCCACGTAGGTTCCAAGTGATGCATTTTGAATTGAAAGTTGTTGACTGCGTAGAAAAGATCGAGAGTCTCAGTATGAACCTGGTGATTGACCCGTAAAAGGCCGGTCGGTGCCCGTTTAATCTTATGAGCGCGGCGGGAGATACTTTTGGTGAAGGGTTGGTGGCATTGTCGAGCGTTGTTCGTGAGCTCGCGGGGATGGCGTAGGCACTTTGCTGTGGATATCAAGGCGAGCTTGTAGATATCTACGCGGATTTCGAGAGGAAGACCGAGGAGACGACAGGGCTTACATTCTGTGGCGTCATTTTTCGTGATGTCCTTTTTGCTGATATCCTTCTTGACGGCCTGTTTTGATCCCATGGCCTTTTTGCGTCCCATCTTAGGCGATTTGAGGTTTGGTGGGACGGGTAGAAGAAGGAGGTGATCGAAAAGTTTGCATTGTAGAAACTTTTGCCAGCTAGTTCAAGAGTGTTGGGCGGTTCAACATGTGTTAGGTGCGGCTACCCGCGTGAAGCAAACATGCGTGTGTAAAGCAGAGGGCCTTTTCCTTCGATTCATGATTGGCCAGATATGTGTTCTTCGAATCACAACACCGTGTCAGGAGCGTAGAGCCTTCATCTTCTTTCATTTGCCTCCTACCAAGGTAAATCCTCTGACCTCCTTGCTCCCGACTCCTTCGGCTCCACCACCTCTGTGTTTGAATGCCCGTATGTGCCCTTTGATTGCTTGCTTTTGGCTTTCTGTGAGATGCACTTGTGGCCATGCATACCGTGCCGATTTCATTGGCGCTAAGCAGTCGCTGTACACGGTTGTTTCTGTCGTCCTCAGAGCGGTATACGCTTCGAAAACCTGCTCGCAACACCTTGTGGTGCCTCGGCAGATCAATTCAAATGTAGTCAATGTACACAAGAAGTCGTGAAGCGCTTCTTGTGTCTCTCGAAACGGCCGAGTCATTACTGGCGCTGTCGCCCACCAGGGATCCGACTCCGGGACAATGTGCAGGCTGAAATGGCGAACCAACGGACAGTGATTGCGGATGCATTTGACATAATAGGAGATGTATTTGTCGAAAATCCCTATCTTTCCTTCGTTGAACTCAGGAATCTTCAGGCTCATATGTCGAATCAAATCTGCGCGTCTCGATTCGAGTAGCCGAGGCTCAGGGCCAGGAATCTGGACTGGGGGAGCAAAGAATGTTGCTGGTGGTCGATCGACGGTGAATTGGAAATGATTGATGGAGTAGAAGACGTGGATGGCTTCTTCATGGATTTGGCGATTGAGCAGAAGCACGGCGTTGAATGCTTGTTTCAGTATGGTGCCATCAGAATGGCGTAAAGCTCGCGTCAAACGCCGCCGTCCATCCGGTCCAACGGTAACCTTTCGCGGAGGTCGAAGACTCTTCGCAGTGGATGCAAGCGTGTACTTGTAGATTCGCACGCGAATCTCTGGTGGTACGACAAGGAAGAAGCAAGTGCTTGAGCGCCTGTTTTCAACACGTTTAAGATTCTTTGGCTGTGTCTTGAGAGTTGACATTGCGAGATCTGCCACAGCAATAAAGGACTAAGCTTCTTCAGAGTACCGTCCTGCTTTACTCAACAGCACCAGGAGCTTCAGGTACTTGTCGCGGATATGAATACGATGGCGCGAAGGTGTCAGTTGGGTGGTGATGATCCGGATGCCAAGACTTGGAAAAGGGGAGATGAGGTGGGGAAGAAAAGTCACACTGTGGCCAAACGTCTTGTTCGGTTTTTCCGCCTAGTCTCCTCCCAATCATGAAATCGCTAGACCGACCAATTCCATGGTGCAAGGTATGCGCAAACGGCCTTCTATCGGCAGCGAGATTCTGAACTTGGATTACCGAGTCTTACCTTAAAAATCAAACAGCAGTTCGCGCTTTCAACACGTGGGTCTCTTCAGCTTCCTGTGTAATTAACAATGGAGGTTAGAGATGTCAATGATGCATGAGCAATCATTTGAAGTGTAAAAGAGCCTTCCTGTTAAGGTACATCCTCTGGTACTTGTGGTGCGATTAGCTCGGTGATTGATGGGAAGGCGGTCCACCGCATAAACGCACGGGCACAGGGTGAGACAGGACGACGAAGGATAGGCTTTGTGTAGGACTGCGTAAGTGCTGCCGCCGGTGTCTCAACTTTAAGGCACTTGTATTCTCATCTCAACTCAATGGACGGTCTATATGCCGCTTAGATGATCTCTCATGCTATCAGCGGAGTCAAGTACGGCCACGCACTGGAGCTTTTTTGCATCGGAGAATGTCATCTGCAATAATGAAAAGTGCAGGCTTACCATACTGTTCTCCAAAGATCCAAACCTACGCTTTTCCAAGACCTTGCTGTCCTCCATGGTTTGCTACATCTCCCTCCATTGCCTCTTGAAACGCCAGATCACTCCTCCTGTCGCTTCGTCTTGAAGCTTGCGAAAATCTTGACTTTTCGCCTTCACTACGTCTACTTGCATCCTGCATATGTCGCTCCGAGCGGGGGTTGCTGATTCGGCTCGCGGGTCCGGGACTCTCACTATGCATGCTCGAATGCCTTGCGGATTCGTGAGCGGTGCTGCTTCTAATCCCACGGCTGTACTGCGAGTGTTGGGCCGATGATCGAGGACGTTCGACATGAGAATGGTGCTCAGGTTGGTGCTTGGAACTAACATGGGAGCGGTGTTCGGGACCATGGTGGGGCTTGAGGTGAGAGTGGTGCTCAGAATTCGTGTGTGCTCTAGATTTAGAATGATGCATCGATGGAGGCCTGGAGGCGTGCTCTGGCGAGTGGTTAGATGGATGAGCGGACTTCTGTTGGGGCCCACGTTTTGATCCATGTTCGGAAGCGACAGCGGAGCGGGGCCGATCGACGGCGGATTGTTTACCTGTATGCTTTGGGGAGGAGTGCTGCTGTTGAGATCGAATGGAAGATTGGCGCTGCTGTTGATGATCAGAAGGAATAATTGAACAGGGTCGCCTCCCGGGATCTTGCTCACCCGCAGGTTGCGAAACTTTGTGTGGTTGGGAGTGAGTTGCAGACCGGGGGCGACCTTGGGATGCGTGCTGCCCTGCAGAGTTTTGCATAGCTGGCGGGCGAGAAGGAGACCCTCTTGGCTGTTGAGGAGGTCCATAAGCTGGGTCAGAGTATTCAGGAATACGCTCCATAACTGGCGGATTGCTTTGCGCACGCTTCTTCGCCGATGGTCGTACCCAAGCTCCGCGATGCCGATCAGGTACGCCCCCGTAGAAGAGTATGTGGCCCAGTGGATTCATATCGAATATCCTGTAAATTTTAGTAATGAGGCTGAGGTGGGATTCTGCAGTCAGTCAAGTCGACAACAACTTCCTGGGAAGGTCTGTGACCAAGGGCTTTAAAGAAGGTGCGGTACGAACAAAGACGTTCTCCATGAGGCTTCTTTGAATGACAATGCTTTTGAGGTCGACAAAGACTGTGAAGGGTCGTAGTGCACTTCCAAACAGCTCCGAAGGCATTGAACGAACAAAGACTCACCTATGGATTGGTGCATACATGCGCTGCGACTGCATCCAGACAAGCTCGTAAGACCATGTAATCAATGTCAATGGTCGATGGTAAGCTTAGTACCAGCCTTGTGAGAAGGAAGACTAGTCTGCAAAGCAACATGCACGTGAACAAAATACAAACTTTGCCTTCATTAACTATCCAAAGCCTGCGAGCGGAGATTAACCAAGAGATTCTAATACCAATGAGTCTCTAACCAGTTGGTCGAAAGTCCGTGGACGTGGTTTGACGTAGGCTAAGTATAAAAGTCAGAAAAGGCATTGAAAGTTACTTCCATTTGGCGTGTGTTGGATAGCAAGACATGTTATGTACGGCCGTTTGACTGAGCATGTGCTTTCAAGCTATGGGCTTGCCTTCGATTCCTCACTGCGTCAGCAAGACGCTTGAGGACTTTCTCTGTTGCTTCCCAATTTATACAAGCATCCGTAATGCTGACGCCATACTGCAGACCTGATTTTCCTTCTGGTGGCACCTTCTGGGCCCCTACGTGGATTTAGCTATTAACCTGGGGAAGCCTCAAAGGTGAGTAATACCTTCGTTGATGTTACTTTCAATCATCACCCCAATAACTCCCTCCTCGCCCGTCTCGATCTGTGAAGCTAGATCCTCCGCAACTTTAGGCTGGTTTCGGTGGTCCTTCAGGCTATTCCCATGGCTACAATCGACCATCAGTCGTTGCCTCATGCCCTTTTTCGCCAGCGCAGCTTTCGCTTCTTGTATGCTTTTCCTGTCATAATTGGTACCCTTCTTACCTCCTCTGAGAATGACGAAGCAGTCCTCATTGCCTGTAGTCCCGACTATTGCAACAAGCCCAGGTTTAGTAACTGAGAGAAAGTGATGCGGAGATGTCACAGCACCGATGGCATCAATTGCAACGTCCAATGAACCATCAGTTCCGTTTTTGAAGCCGACCGGGAAGGAAAGGCCAGAGGCAAGTTCTCGATGCAGTTGACTTTCTGTAGTTCGTGCACCGATAGCACCGCAACTCAAACAATCGGCAAGATACTGCGGCGATACTGTGTCGAGCATTTCACTCGCAATGGGCATGCCCATATCTGTGAGATCGACGAACAGTTGCCGTGCTATCCTTAGTCCTTTATTGATGTTGAACGAATTGTCGATATCTGGATCATTTATCAGGCCTTTCCAACCAACTGTTGTCCTTGGCTTCTCCAGATATGATCGCATTACAATGAGAAGATCGTCGTTGTACTGCCTCTTCAATTGTAGAAGGCGGGTAGCGTACTCAATAGCAGCATCTGGATCGTGTATAGAGCAGGGGCCAATTATCACGAGAAGTCGTCGATCTGAATCCGTGCCCTCCAATAAAGAAGTGATTTCATCGCGGGCTTTTATGACGGTGTCTTTTGAGGTCTCTGTCTAACAAGCTCAGTCATGCGTTCTTCTTCGGCATTTCTGAGGCGCACTTGTAAGATCTCATGTTGCAGGAGGTTAGGTGGTGTTATGGGGTTGACGCCCTGTGCTATTACTAGCGATTAGCCAGGTCCTGCAATTGGCATCTGTCCGCGTGTACTTCGCCAGTCTTCAACGCTCTCTCTGTTGCCGCAATTTGGATTTGCAATTTGATACTGGTTTGGTGGTCAGCAAAAGAAAGTGACGGGATGTTTCTGCTCTTCGGAGGCATTAATCACTTACAGTCATGACTAAATTCCTGGTCCTACCTTTGGTTGTATAGAAGCTCAAGTTTTTCGTGGGGCATGTCATGAGCTGTGGAGAAATTTTGGGTATGACTCGTGCAGCGAGGCTTGGCAGATTCAATATGCCTCAGCGCAAGGACCAATCATATCTAGGCCATTAGGCTCTTTTAGCTGCAACCCAAAATTGCTTCTGCATCGCCGGCTGCTCGAGTTCAGCGAACGTTCCCTTTAGACGAGGAAGCCATCCTGTTATATTGTATCGGTCATCTTCCTATCTCCCAGCAGCTGAGCCGGCGCCATGTTGGCTGGCACAGCATTGCGCTCGGCGCGTTCTGCTGGGCTCGCAAGGAGCGCCCTTAGCCGAACAACAAAGGTATGTCCAATCCCAATCCATTGCAAGAGGTCAAATCGTCATCCTGACGTGCTGTACAGCGACTCAATAGCTCCTCACCACCTGACTCGACAGCCACATCTTCAAGCAACTCACCCTCACGTCTGACCGCCGCCGGCTTAGCCGCAACAGCCATTGCCATTGGATCTTTTGCCTGGTACCAACATCTATATGGATCGAAATTGCATGCTATGACACCTCAAGAAGAAGGGTTGGTGGCCTAAATGCCCCTGCACTGAGCAATGCTGAATCTAGAGTCAGATTACATGCCACGAAATACCCTTGGGAACACGAGAAATTCACAAAAACATTCGATCATCAATCGTAAACCGTTCGCTCGAGAGTCTTGTCGATCTTCTTTGCTGACCGTCGGATAGCATACGTCGGGGCTTTCAAGTCTACCGAGAAGTCTGCTCCTCCTGTCACTCTCTAAACCGAATTCCATGGCGCGCCCTTGTGGGGACGTCTCACACGGTGACTGAGATGAAAGCGATGGCCGAAGAGAATGAGTACGATACAGAGCCCAATGACGAGGGTGAGATTGAGAAGAGACCTGGAAAAATATCGGATTACATCCCAGCACCCTACAAGAACGACGAGGCTGCCAGAGCTGCGAATAATGGGGCATTGCCACCAGATCTGAGCCTAATGGTTAAGGCGAGACATGGAGGATGCAATTACATATTCAGTCTTTTGACAGGCTACCCCGAAGAAACTCCTCCAGGAGCCACTGTGGCAGCTGGATTGAACTTCAATCCCTATTTCCCAGGAACTGGTGGGTGTCAGCAGCAAACTGGAAGAGGTGATCTCTGACAGTACGCAGGTATCGGAATGGCGCGTGTTCTGTACGATGGACTCGTTGAATACGAAGATAAGACCCCAGCTACAACCTCGCAAATGGCAAAGGACGTGGTGGAGTTTTTGAATTGGACTGCAGAGCCAGAGATGGATCAGAGAAAGAAGATGGGTGTGGCCACAATGGTAATAGCATCAACGCTGCTTGCTTTAAGCATATGGGTCAAGAGGTTTGTCCACCACACACATGGCACTCTTCACATGGCTAATGATACCGTGCTAGATACAAATGGGCCCCTGTCAAAACAAGAAAGATCGTCTATAATCCCCCTGTGACCAATTCACCAAGGTCACGGCTTTCGTAGTTTCCAGTTGGGCAATTGCAGCTGGGGCTGCAAGCTGAACCCTGTTATCGAATTATGTACATAAGCACCTGAAGTAGGGCATGGAGAGGCACCTCAAAGATTGCATCACCGTCGATGCGTCCGACGCTTCTTGGACGAGCTTGCATATTGGTGCGATGAACAGTAATGTACGGGAACTATTGTGCTAGTGCAGTCGCTTTATCCCGTAGCGCTTCCTGGGCTATTTGCTTTCCTTTCTGTCTAAAAGAGCACCACAATGGGTTGCCAAACCGGTCACTCCAGACTTGAGTGGTGCCTTTAATGACCCTACCTCCATGCCAGTACCATTAGTCTCGGAGAGCACTTTGCAGAAATGGCTAACGCTTCTCACAAACGCGAGTCTACTCCAACAGGAGAATTATCCAGACTTCCGCCCGAAGTCCGAGTTCAGGTCTACAGCCACTTATTCAGTCACATATTCCCAATCTATGGCTATCCATTCTGGAAGACCGAAGCAACAGCAAAGTGGGAAAAGCCACCTGTGGGCGGATTCTGCTACCTTGCTCTCCTACGCTGCAGTAAGATCATAAGGAAGGAGGCCACGCCCATCTTCTTCAGGCAGGCTATCTTTCGCTTTTCACTTTATCCCCTTGAACGTCCAGCCCCGGCCCTACCAGGAATTTTGATTGATCGGATGAAGAATGTGGACATCATGGTGGATTTGGCTGCATTTTGTTCAATCTTTATGAATCCCACTAAAATTAATGAGAGTCCTGCATATCGACTTGAGTCACTGTGCAAAGAAACGATTAATAACTTCACCGGCAACACGATCCAGCGCAAGGCTTGTAAAGTGACCTTCTGTGGCCTCGGACATCCCTCTGCAGCCTTTGGACAGAATGTATTGACTGAAGCACTTCGCCATTTGACAGGGTTTGAACAAGTAACAGTAGAGATCGATGAACAAATTCATAGCCCTCTCGACGGCCAGACTTGCACCGAAACGCGTCTCGCTGCGGCTTCTGTTGAGCTGGCAACAATGGTTAGAGCTGCCCTATCTCCAAGACTAGGCCCGGCGGAGGTAAACTTGATTTGCAATCCCCCTGAGGTCCGGTCTAGGGTTGGATTTGTGTTCAAACCGCAGGCAAGAAGAAAGACGAAAGGGAAGGGGATGGAGCAGCTTCGGTATGGCTGTTCCTTCAAATGGTTCACTTCGAAGCGCAAGCTGGACCGTTAGTGGCAAGCTAGGTGGTTTTATCGTTAGTTTGGAGGTCAGAGTTGTACACATTTGTAGAAAATTTTAGCTTCAGCGCCGAGATTTATCCTCTGGTGAAGATACTCAAGCTATCATAGTCGAGCCACTTGATTTGAAGCTTGGAATGAGCTGCTGGTAGCTGATTTGGCCGCCATGCATCGAGACAGGAGTCCGCAGACATTGCTCAATCTAGCTATTTGCAGGATCCGTCCGCTCCATATTCTGCTCAATGAAATTTCTTATCGCAGCCCAACGTTGCCTACTACCTCCTCCCTGCCCTTCAGGACTCTGTTCATCTCCGTCTGCCCCCTTCCCTATTCTTGATTTCCCCCTCGACCCTACAGTCTCAGAAGCCCGAGCCATCACAGCCATGTTCTTCGCAAACCGCTCCCTCTCCACCTCCATCAATTTCTCCTTCCTCTTCCCCGCGCCGGGGCGTGACTTCAGACTCTTATGCTGTATCTTCTTCACTTCAACCCCCGAATCTACTATGGCTCCTCCTTTTTCTCTCGAAATGCCCGCTCCTTCTCCAACTTGCCGCCGGCTTCCTGTTCTAGATCTGGTCAAAGATGCATCATCTGGTAGTGCCTCCTCCAGTCCCTTCAGATTCGTCACGAGCTTCTTGCTTGGCCGTCTCCGCTTCTTCGTGATTCTCGAGCTGGAACCGCTAGTCTGATGGAGACGGGAGAGGAGGGAGGCATGTTTGGAGGCGCGCTTTGTGGACTTTGTAGGAGCTTTGTTCTGCTTGTGTGGAACACGGTAGGAGTCTGGGACTTCTGTATGTGTAGAGAGGGGTGCTGAAGATGTGGACAGGGAGGGTTTAGGAGACGCAATGGCAGTGGTTGTAGCGGAGGTGTGGGTGTGGCGAGGTTGGGGGCGAATTGGAGCCTAATTGACACATTATTCAACGACATTTGAAAGTGTCTGTGATTGGACTACCATAATTGTATCTGTGCTTGATGCTAGAGTATGGATCTAGCGGTCTCCCTCTTATAAGGGATTCGGAGATAATCGGAGATAGTTCAGAGTCTGCTCACGACTCCCTCACGACAGATTGAGAATAGCACATCTGTGCTGCAAAGGGCGTTCTCGACCACGAGAGCGAACATTCTTCGTTCGTTGACATGACTAAATCAAATGAAGCTAAAGCGTCGCAAAGCCGCGAAGGGACGAGCCATTCAAAGGAGGTGCAAGGAAGTGAGACTAGAGAAAAGAAGAGAGCTAGAGAGCAGAGCATCTCAGAACTACCCTCGCGCAACCGTACCCAGATTGACGATCGAAGAGTCAAGTCTCGCGCTACTCCGCCGGAGACTGAGACTCGACGTTTGAACAACGAAGAATATAAACGCTATGGGCGTCAAATGATTCTTCCGCAAGTGGGTTTGAATGGCCAGCTGGCCCTCAAAGCAGCTCGTGTTCTGATTGTCGGAGCTGGAGGCTTAGGATGCCCCGCCGCTACATACCTAGCACGAGCAGGAATTGGAACCCTTGGGATCATTGACGGCGACTCGATAGAATTGTCGAATATTCATAGACAAATACTGTACGATGCCGACGAAATTGGAGAGAACAAGGCGGGCACGGCAGAGACATCATTGTCAATGTAGGATGCAAGATCTATAATATACGATTGATACTTACCAGTACCGCAGGATCAACGACAATCTCATTTTTCGGTCATATGAGTATCATTTGGAGGCTAAAAACGCCTTGAAAGTCATTGGGGACCAATACGATCTTATCCTTGACTGCACAGATCATCCATCGTCTCGCTATCTGATTTCCGACCTTGCAGTAATTGCTGGTGTACCATTGATATCTGCTTCTGCCTTGAAAACTGAGGGGCAATTGTTAGTCCTGAACAACCCACCATGTAGACGCAACACTGTGGATCATCGAGGCTTCTGCTATCGATGTGTATTCCCAAAGCCACCTCCTCCTGAAGCTCTCCAAACCTGTAGTGAGGGCGGCATTCTGGGCCCTGTTGTTGGGACGATGGGAACTCTGATGGCCACTGAAGCCATCAAACTCCTGACTCGAGATGAACCGATGAAGCTTGAGGATTCTGCGAAGACCATGCTTCTGTATTCTGCCTATAATGACACCCCTTTCCGCATGGTACGGCTCAAAGGCAAGCGTGCTGACTGTCCCACGTGCTCGTGGCCGCCTAAGATTGATAGGTCAACTTTGAAGAGTCGAAGCTTCGATTACCAAAAGTTCTGTGGAGTCAATAACGCTCGTGCCTCAGAGACTGAGAACAGAATCCTACCTTCTAGCTGGACTCTCAATCATGACCTGTATGCCAACAAAACAGGGACTCGACTCATCGATGTCCGCAATCAAACCGAATTCGACATGTGCCATATACCTGGATCCGTCAATGTCCCTCTATCAGACATTCAGTCTAGTCCAGACATCCTGAAGGAGCACGTAGAAGCATGCCAAGAACTGCCACCAGCAGAGAATGGCGAGAAAACGGATCGGGTTGTCAACCCCATGGTTTTCGTTTGTCGCTACGGCAACGATTCTCAGGAAGCCGTGAAAATAGCAGAGAAGTATCGCCGGAGCCGTGCGGATTTGAGAGATGTCGTCATTTTGGATATGACAGGCGGATTAAAAGGTTGGAAAGAAGCAGTCGATCCTGAATTCCCAGAATACTGAGCAGGTACGCCGACATATTCAACGAGTTCGATGTGGCGAGTACTGCCAGAATTCCCTCAACATCAGATCTGTCCTATTGAATGGATTTCACTGTATAATAAATGGACCTGTCTTAGGATGTTATTTAGCAAGGTAATGACATCGTTGACTACATGTCGAAGCGAAAGCTCGGCTGAGATATTAAATGGTTGAGGATTGACTGCGATCGAAGGTGAAGCATATAGTTTCAGGGTGTTCGAAAGAGAGAAGGGTCTTGGAAAACAGCAGACCTTCTCTGATGTGTTGCCTTCCTCTTCGACAGCCATGACTCATTCCGGAAAAACGGACAGGATAGGCCTATCCCAAAGTCCATCATCGGAAAAAGCAAACTTTTGTGAGGGTGACGAATTGGGGATTTGCGAATACGCTTGAAGGATGGCGTGGTTGAAATTCATATGGGATGGTGAGATACGTCTTAGCTTGGTTCAGAGGAGAACGTCGAGACAGGTGGCCTGCGGATGCAGTGGGAATGATGAATGGTTTAGTGGAATTGGAGAGTGAGATAAGAGATCAAATTTTGCATGCCAAATCTATCCAGATCTCTATGCTTTCATAAAGTGCTCCTAAATGTTGTAAACTTTTGTAGGGTAGCATAGGACCGGCAGGGCGCTCTCGGCCAGCTTCCAGGACGTTTCATCATCGTCTCGGTCGTAACATCTCATCGTTAAAACTGCCACCAAAATGCCGCCGGAAACGCCCTGAAAAATACCCTTCTAAATGCTCACCATCTCATCCTCTCGACCACTTCCCTACCGATGCTTACGCACCTGCAACTGCCTCCGGCGCATATCACCTTGTGTTACGGCCAACATGTTCCTGATATCCCGCTCGACTTCATCATCTCCGAGCTCGTCTTCGTCTTCGTCTCCGTCTTCGGCTTCTTCTTCCTCACTGTCCCCACTTTCGCTCTCCATCCTCCGTTTGGCACCAGCATTGATAAGCTGTGGGTCAATATTCTTCCTGACGCTTTCCGGGATTTCCGGAACGCCCATAAACGACGTTTCGGACTCGTCGTCAGATTCTTCCTCCGAGCTGGATGAGGGTCCTTGCGAGCTAGACGAGGCGTGCGCTTGGTCGCTGTTCGGCTTTTGCGGACTGCCAGTCTTTGATGATGGGATGAATTTGTTGAGTCTTGCAGCAGTCAACGTATTTTCTGGGCGCGGGGCGAAATGGTCGGCGATTTCTTTAAATTTGGCGCTCTGCCTTGGGTCTAGACTGATACTTGTGCTTGTCGAAGTAGCTGGCTGTGATGGACGTTTTGCCTTCGCCATTTCTGACAACTCCGGTGGTTGGGTCTTCGGTACCGGTGGCAGTGGTGGTTGGAATTTTGCCTTTGGTGGTTCTGATATCTTCGGAGGCCGGCTTTTCGGCTTCACTTGCGACGAAGTCTTCTTTGATCTTTTGGGGCTGTATATGAAAATGCTTTGCCCTTTTCCGTAAATTCTGGAAGAGCGGCAAGAACTCTTACTGCTTGGAATCATAGGAGTCATGCTCGTCCGCTTTGCCTGATTCTCCGGTGTTATCAGCATCCCCACATCAGGGGACGATGGTGGCGAAGGAGACTCTGGTTTTGTCTTTGGCTGTACGTGTTGTTTGGGCTTGACTGTGGACTCCATTGGCTCCAGTGAACTGTCACTGATAGTACTTCTTACAATCATAGGCTCGCTATTCCCGGTGGCAGCTGTAGCTTTGAACTGCTCAAGTAGACTTAGTCGTTGGTCTTCAGCAGACACTTCAGTGCTATGAGTGCTTGGTCTGCTAGGCAACGAGAAGCTTTCACGCGTCGGTAAGGTTCTGCCTGGTAATGGCTTCTCAGATGCAGGAGTCGATGAAACGCTTGCTCTCTCATTCGATCCACTTCTTACCTCAATTTTCCTACGCTTTGGTGCCGGTTGCTCAATTCTCAAGTGCTCAGTAGGATTCACCTTTGGTGATGGATGGATGTAAGGGAGAGGATTTGGGGCAGCAAGAAATGACGATTGCTGTTGCGCAAACGAGGAATCAGCCAAGGATCGCTCAGATTCAAGTGAATATCCAGGGTCATCATCGATAGGTAGCGCTGGCGTGATACTGCGGGAAGCCTCTGATTCACTCCATGGGTCAGTCGGCACAATTCCACTGGCAGCGACCATTGAATAAACGCCTAGGCGCGCCTGGATCTTTATTGGATCCTCTATTTCCTCACTTGACGTCTCGTCTTCTTCTCCGGACTGGCCTTCAGCATCCGAAGCCTCATCCGAAGCCTCATTCGCAGACGAGGTGTGCCTGCCGGTAGGCTGCGGCCCATTGAAAGATGGCACGGACACGTTGGCCACCCCTGCATGTTTCCGCCAGCCAACCGGTCTACCACGCCTTGGCTTACCGTCCGCATTTAATTTGCGGAAGGCGTTGTAGCCTTCATGTTTGAGTCCAGAGATCGAGGTTTTGGGCCGTAGAGCAGAATCCTTGTGTTTTGGATCCAAGCCTGGAGGGGCAAATGGATTCTTCCTGGGCCGTCCTCGAGGTTTGGCAGTCAGTATGCGTATCCTCTCTTGCTCTTCCTCCTCAGCATAATTTCGATTTTCGAACCGTTGCAGCTCTTCTGGAGTGATGTAGTCGTAAATCTTAGCAAACGGGACGTCCTCGGTGTCGCGAATGGTTGTTCCGCCGAAATGGGTTCCCAAAGTGAATAGCGGCGCCTCGTGTGGAGTTTTAAAGCAATGCAATATGACCTTGCGTGACTTCAAGTCAAAGAAGTTGGTCGAGCTTTCGCCGCCGTGCTTTGGCGCTAGAAGTATCGGCGGCTTTTGCCTCGGGACGTACTGCTTTCCCTCGATGATTGAGACCTGCAACGCGTTGGGCCGATAAGTATTGTCGAATTAAGTACTTACGTGAGACCTTTCAACTCACGCTTCTCATCCGCTGTCGAGATGGCAACGGAACTGATAAAGGTGTGCAGCTAGATTCACCAGTATCTAATGGCGACCGCCGCTCGCGACGCGGCGTGTCTGCTTCTATAGAACCTTGAACGCTCAACGCAGGTGCTTCTACATCTTTAGCACTATATTTAACGACGAGAAAATTGTGTTTGATAATTCTGCGTACCTTGAACGGCAAAATTCATGGCTGCAAAGAACAAAACAAAGAGATAGTTTTAGGAAATAATTCGAAATTGCTGCGCAAGAAGAAAAAGAATGTGCTTTAAAGGAAAATAAGTAGCGCCATACGCTAATTTAGTGCGGCTTAATAATAGACTTCCTACGTTTTAAATTAAGATATTACTTATAAATTACTATAAATTTATATATAATAGACTTTAAAATCAAATAAGTTCTAAGTTCTAAGTTCTTTAACTTATAGAACTTTAGAATAGTTTTATATTCTTCTTTTTTATTTAGTATTACTATATTTAACTAGATTAATATTTAATATAGAGGTCTCTATATAAATTAAGATTCAAATGTAATGTTAAAGATTTATAGATCTCTTTCAAGTCATATTACCTTATATATTACGACTATGAAAAGAGCAAGTATTATGAGGTATAATCCTATAGGTCGCATTGTATTTCATTCCGACCCTGCTTACAAGGTACGGCGAAACAAAACGTTGGTACTGCAAAGACCTGGCCACTTGGCGTTCCCTGCCCGTCGACCCCTTTCACATGCGTTACAACAATTGTTTGAAGACAAGCTGGTGATGGTGAATACTGACGCCTGAGAGGTACACTGCTTGCGGCCGCCAATAGGACTGGACCAAATCCTGTTGACTCGCGGAGTACATCTGTGCCTCATCCATTGGTACAATGTCCTCCAATGATGCCTCAATCCAAATCGGCATCGAGAGTGGCAAGTTTTAGATCTCGAGATCTCTAGGTAGACTCCTCGCCTCTATCACGCCACACGAAGTGGCGTTACTGTTCTACTTCATTGTTCAGATCTCACCTGAGAATCCTGCCATGTTCCAACAATTGCCTCTCTCATTGTTTCGTTCCTTGAGACCCGCGAGCTCACGCCTTTATGTAATTTGCGATCATTCCAGGACGTTTTCCTTTATCAGTGTGGCTCAACCAGGCGGTTTCAAGGTGGAGATTCCCCCTCTGCATTTCATTAAGTCAATAGCATGTTGCCTCAGCCTCCGGTCTCGCTGAGACGCAACGACGAATTGCCTTTGCGATGCCTTCCAAGCTGAGTGGGGAATGCCGTTTCGGATCAAGGGGATGTCTCACACATAAGAAAGAAGGCCTGGCAATGACTGGCTCTCGCTGTTCATCAGGCTCGGTTGAGAGTACACACTTGTGCTCGTGCTGTGAAAGTCAAAACACATGCGATGGAGTGTTGACTAGCGTGATCTTGATCTGTCAGCAAATAGGGCATCGGTCTATTGCCCTATCGAGAAAGCGGTCGAATGGGTGCGTGACCTTCCCCTCTCCAAGTCAGGCGGCAAAGACAACGTGAGACCACCTTTGCCCTCCAAGGTAGCAAGATCAAGATCTTCGCGATAATAACCGTTGCCACTTTGTCTACGAAGGGCATAAAGTACTCTCGACCTCCTGACATCTCTTCTCACCATCGACACTCGTTTATTTGTAGCCACGCAAACCAGCCCCGTAACTCAGCCATTCGCTACGACACATTCAATATCGTCACCGCGCAACGAGATTACATAGAACAGCCTACACTCACTCGGTTCGAAGATGGGCAACTCCGTCTCCCGTCCATTCTCTAAGACCGGCAAGGCCTGGGTCAAGGTCACCATCAAGCCAGCCAACGCCAGCAGTCCTCCTAGTAGGCCCAAACTCCAACGTACTCTAACTCAACGATGCGACGACTGTGGCGAATGTACCAAGGTCAAGAGGGGATGGTCCTATCAGTGCTATGATGGAGAACAGCATTTCCGCTGTGAGGAATGCAGGAAGTGGTTCTAGCAGCCCGGCGATCTATCGACCAGTACTCGCTCACAAGAAATGTATGATACTGAGGGGGAGATCGAGACTTTTGCATTGTTTGCTTGGATGGGGCTGGATCATGTTGCAGAATAGCGTTTGTGAGAGAACTTCAGATCTACGATACAGTTGCTTGGATGAATTTGGGTCACAATACAGGAAGGGTGTTTGTTTGGCAAAGGCTTTGAGATTTATGATACGTCTGCTTCAGTGAAATTGGTTCATGGTTGATAAAAGGGCAGGATGCTAGGGTTAGGAGAGGGTGGGATATGAATCCGGGGTATGTAATGACGACGACTCAGCTACAGGACTTGACAAATTTGCTTCAAAAGATATACCACTCATTCATGGATTCGAATGATCATCTGCACGATCTGCTCTCCACTGCTTCCTTTCTGTCCTGTGGGAGGGGTGCAAGCTTCTGCTTCTGTCACAATGTTTACTTTCACGCCGGCTTGCACGACCTTACAGTCTTTCTCGAGGGTACGTCAACATCGTCGGAAGCAGGATGAAACTGTGTCCCCTCTATGCATCTCTGGTGGTACATAGATTCACTCCGCTCCCTACCTGTGATGCACTACAGCAGGTCTATAATAGACCCACTTTCCCTCCATGATGGACTCATCACCATCAGTCCCACAAACATCTTTACCTCCTCGCATAGATCCCATAACGTCAGGAACGTTCCTCATCACCCCACATACCCAGCCCGACATTCATTTCAATACCCAGGAGACAGCTGGTCTTGTCTCACACCATTCATTACAATATATCAACCTAATTAAAGGCCGCCGGCGGCATACCAAACAGCCCATAGCCCCCACCGAGCTTCATCAAGTCCCCAGCACTTCAGCCATCACACGTCTTACAATGGGAAATTGCATGTCGTCAGATTCAAGGGATCCACGAGACCTCGCAATACAGGAATTCAAAGCAAAGCGCCTCTACGAAAAAGACGAATATCCTTGTGCCAACTGGTGTGGAAATGCCTTCCATGAATGGGAACTGAAGTGCTCGTATCTTGGCACAAATAAGCATGGAAAGGTGATCTGTGGTGATTGCAAGTCCAGATTTGGATCATGCGGACCGTGGGTTGGAGCAGAGATATTGAGGTAGCTGCCGGCAGCGTGTAAGATCTTGGACGGTATCAGGGAATAAATAATAAAGGCAGTACAACAAATAATCTCAGCACTTTTGGATACAAGAAAGAAGTGGCAGGACGGTTCACCTATGCACGTGGCCCTAAATTTTCCTTGCCACCGTCTACGCGGTTTTCATCGCTCTCTATATCTTTGAAATCCATCAGCCTTCACATAGAAGTACGTCATCACGATCACGATTCTTTGGCTAAATGCTCCGTGTCGTAGATGAGATCAAGTAAACACCCGCTTGACCAAGCTTGCGTCGGGGACTACATCATGTCAGCAACACTTTCATTGTAAAAGGCAACGCACTCACCGAGTCCGCACAGAACTCGCCGTTCTTGTTCGTCAGCTCCGTCAGTCCAGCCCAAGGACTCTCCTCAATCACCCGCTTGCACCCATCTAATCTTTTCGTCACCTGTTGAAAGGCCTCTGTCCTCTCTTCCGCCGTATTCCTTCTCATCAAATCGAACTTCAGCATTGCGCGCAAGAAGAAGCCCGTGGGCCATAACCACTCAGGACCCTGGTGATAATTCCTCCCTTTCGAAGTAGCAAAGTCTGTCGAGTCTTCAGAGTTGTTGTAGTAGGGCCGGTAATTGAGATCTGACGGGTCGAGTGTTGCCATGCCCGTGGGACCGCAAAGGACTTTATCAGCCATCTCGAGTGCAAGCAGGGCGTGAGTCGGTTCGAAGAGGTCTGATGCGACTGTCATGGCGATAAGAAAGTTGGGCCGGAGCTGGTAGTCTTCGTACTCCTTGCCGGACTTGTATAGGTCTTTGTAGATACCGCGACGATTGATGATGGAGGAGTTGACATCGTACTGGTCGTCGTCGCTTGAGTCGTGTGGAATGTAGTAACATTTCTCGAAGTTACGCTTGACTCTGGAGGCCCAATCTGAGAATGTGATGTCTAATCCAGTGCTCGTCTTGACACCACTGTGCTTGTAGATTCCCTGCTCGTTGAGCTGAGCAACCCAGATAAGCGTACTGTACAGAAGGCCGGTCAACTCAATCGCGGCGCCATCTCTTGGTGTGCCTGGTATTCCTTTGGTGCCAGCCTTCTCGCTCTCACCCATCTTATCCATCCAGGTTCCGCAGTTGTATTGGTTGCCTCCGAAGATGATACCCGTAGCCCAATCCACCCCTACTTGTATGTTGAAACCCTCGGGCTTCATTTGCATGTCAAGGTTTGGACCAGCATTTGCCTCTCGAAATAGGAGTCCTGTAGCATGTCTTTGCAGAGCTTCTTGGATGACATCCTCAATGGTGGATTCCATAGAGTACGCACGAAGATCCTCTACGTCAAAGTAGGAGTCATCGTAGGGAAGAAAGCGGCGTTGGACCTTCAATGTTAAGATCCCTAGACCGTTAGGTGCCATTTTGACATAGTCTTGGATGTTCTGCAAGAAGAACCAAATAGCATCTCTAGCGTTGTATCTTGGCGCTCGTCCGTCGCTGAGGAGGTTTGGAATCATACCATGTTTAAGGACACTAGCAAAAGCTTTGATATGTTCTCTGGCATCATCATATCTTCCAGTAACAAGGTACAAGCCCCGTAAAGCGATGAAAATATCCCTGCCCCAACAACGTGCCCAGCTGCTTGAAAAGTGAGGAAGCCCTGCAGCCAGAGACGGGACAGTCTTGGATGGCACAAGTGAGGCGGACTTTGTTGTCCCGCTCATCTGAATACTTGTCATTGCAAGGCTTTGCCTAAATCTCTGACTTGTTTGGATATTGCTACTCAGCAAGGTAATACTTCTTTCCCATGCTGCTGTAAATGCAATTTGGATTACAAGAGCAAAGTACCGTGGAAGTAGGAAACTAGGGATCTTTCGTATGGCATCGAATCTTTGCTTCAACCATTCTTTGGGCTTCAGCAGACTGGGCCGATCTTCTCGACTTGCGATTTTATCAAGCCGTTTGATAATGTAATCAAGCGGCCATTGCCCATCCCGCAAATGCTTACAGATCGGGTGACCAAGATCATTATCATGGACCACATCCTTGAGGACGCTCTGCCATCCTTGTAGGCCAGCGTAGACCAGTGGCCCATAACTTGGAACATCATAAACTCCGTCCTGACCAAAGCTAGAGTCTCTTTCTTCGGCATCACATCTGTAAAGAATCAAGTTCAAATCCACGAGGTCAACACCTGCAAAGGCCTTTCCTGCCTCAGACTGGACGAAGTGATCCAGTCCCTCTGAGTGCTGAATACTGGGTATCCACGTCTCGAACAGCGCGATACTGCCTGGTGGAAAGTATTTTGGCATAATCAGTACCGTCTCTTCTGCCCCTTCTTCTATGCTGATACCTGTCATTTGCTCAACTTTACTGGGCAAACCTCTAAGTAATTCTAGGTCGTTAGAACAGGCTTCTTTCGCTGCTTGCGATACATCGACATCCAGTCTCCAGCATCCAATCAATTTAGCCCTAGAGCCGCCCAAGTGAACGGGAGCCAGAGCTCCGTGTCCATCCTCATAGCCAGGGTAAGCGGTGTGTGCGACGATGAAATAGCCTTTCCTTGTTAGGGGGTGGAGACGATGTACGGTTATGTATTCGCCCTCGTGGTGTATGAAAGTTTCATCAAATCCGTCTTTGCCCATCTCTGTGTGGAGTTGATTTAGTAGCTTCTTGATGCCACCAATTCCACCACTTTTTGCGCCTACCTTGACCGGAGCATCTGAATATAGCGAAGAGTATTTTCGTTGGTCATTGACAATGTTAACGTTCTTCGGATAGATCTCGTCGTACCCCATAACACTACCTGTAGCTGAAGCGCATATACCAACGAGGGCAGCGTTAGGTAGTGTATCTCTGGCATCGCGCTTTTGGGCAGGCATTTCGTTATCATGAGTGCAATCCATGAACAGTGCATGAAGCGGACTTTGCTTGATACGCTGCACCCTCTGCTGACGCGTTGGCGCGACTCCATTCATTCTGCCTGACATTGACTTCGCAGTCACGTCGCGTTCCTGATGTGAGATCTCCTCAATCTCAAAGCTGCCGATTGGCCTGCCAGAATGCATGTGTACCAACCTGCTCATCTCTTGGGTGCTCCAAGATTGCATGGCCTCTCGGATGAGGGAGCTAATGCCCAACCTCTTGACAAAAACATAGTCAGTCTCTTCAGATCCTGTAAATAGCTCCGCAAACACAGCCAAGTCAGGTCTAATACTACGGGCTTGGTCGAGCAGATATTCCGCAACATGCAGTGGCGTTGAATGGCAATTATCGATCCGAAAAGCTGTGAAATACTTCGCCATCAAGCGAGTATATTGAGCCATAAAATCCCATAGAAATGGATTGTCGTGTGGAGTCTTGCCGTAACGTAGTTTAACACAATCTGACCAAACGATGATCTCTCGGCGAGTGTATGCCCTAGAATCGGAGCCTGCATGGTCCTTCAGCGCATCGCCGCCCCACATCCAGCCATTGTTCACCAAAGCTCTTCTCTTGGGTTCAAGCTTTCTCGTAGTATCATTCAGAGGCAGCCTGGTAAAATAAGGTTCTGTAAATGGGCTTGATCTGGTAATTGGTCCCCATTTCGGCCCATCATCATCCAATCGCAAATACCTGACTCGATCGAATATCTGTTGCGCCATAACAGCTACATCGTCATCATACTGTGCGTAAAACCTGGCATTGATCTCGTTCAGAACATTTACTATGCATTTGTTGGCGGCCATGGCGTCCCTTGTACTGAATCGCCCGTACAAGGCGGTCAATAATGCAGCGGCGACCTGATCATCAGCTTTACGGTAATAGCGTGGTCCCAGACCCTGCGAACCACTAAAGCCATTCTTCAGTAAGAAGTCGGCTCTCTCCTTCAACGACCAAGCTTTCACGTATTCCAAGCCGCCGACACCAGATACGCTGAAGCTCTCCTTTGGCAGTTTGGTCTTCCCGATAGTCCAAGATGCCATGATATCCTTGCAATTGCTGGCAATATCTACGACATAAAACTGCCATAGCTCGAGTGGTTTGATTACATGCATGTGCATCCCGGCAATAACTTGTGAAAGATCGCCAGCATTGTTCAGCTTGTAGGGAAGGCCGTGCTTTTCCAGATCAAGCCCAAACTGGATGAGCGCAGTATCTAGCTCGAGGGCAGATTCTAACCATGGAGCCGTTTTGATGTTGTATCCCACATCAGGCTGTTCCTGCAACCAGGGACTGTTGTTTGCTGTGTGGTTCCAGACCACGTCCGTCAAACCTAGCAATCCCCAATCCTTTTCCATTTTCTCAGTCATGTTCTTGATATCTTTCTCACCGTTGAAAAAGAATTTTGGGTCAAACTTCAACTGGTCGTAAAGGCTGTATGGTGAGCGTGACTCTCCCCGTTCGACAGGTGGCGTAAAATGCACCATATTATAGTCGCGGCTGGCGATACCCTTCAGATGTCTCTCCCAGTCGTGCGGAAAATCCCCCATGAGCCTAGTAACGACGGAAAAGATGGATAGAGCATCGAGAGGTATGATTTCTTCTCCAATGGTCAGTTTCGGCGACACATCAACATAATATGTGGGTGTGCGCGTGTGCTGGGACGTCCGTTGCTCTGTAGTAGCGAAAGGTGGAAGGTCGTAGTATGAGGTGAAGAACTCGAAAGCGCCAGCTTTTACAATGGGGACGTCAATGCATATGATGCCATTGAAATCCGGTAAGAGTCTGAGTGACCATTTGTCAGGCTGAGATCTAGGTTGGACTTGGCATCACCCACGGAAATTCTTGATATTCATGTCTTTCAAATGGCTGCTCAGCCTTAGGGATATTGGTCTTGAAAACCCCTTGTCGGCAGATTGAGGAGGTACCTTCGATTTCAAACCGGAGGTAATACGGTGGATCTGTTGGAGGAGGAAGGTATATGTACTCTTTAGGCACAGAAGGAGCACCAGAGTCTGACAATTGGAGTGCGTAGACCACCGGACTCGGGGGGTAGCGCTTTCGCCCATTTCAGCTCAGATATGGCGAGCGTTTGGCCAATGCCGGATGTCGTAAGTAGCGTTTAGCGAAACACCACGCTACTAGCTGCTGTGATCACACCCGTTACCACATCCGATCTTCATTTGATACAATCTTCAATTGTTGCGAAGGCGAAAGGGATTCTGTGATTTATCAATGGCGGCGTCTTTATTCGGAAGGCTATGGGAAGAAAAGAAGATGTAACGAGCTTAGATTACCGGGGGATAGTCCAACTAGGGTCATTTAGTGGGTTACAATTGGTTCGTCATAGACGGAATAGCTAGCTATATAATGACAGGATGTAGGACGATGGGGAGCAGATGCGGGTGCCAAGCCTGGTAGGGCTGAATTATGCGCCTTTACGACTTCTTTGAACCCATCCAACAGCTTTCAATGCCCCTGGAATTAAGTCAAGGAAATGCCTCCGATTCACGTTGGTCAGACATTTGCAACTCTCGCCGATTTCAAAGACGCTCTCCGCGAGTGGGCTATCGAACGAAACTGGACGCCTCACATCCTTGACAGCGACAGTCACAGAGTACGCGCGGGTTGCAGATCCAGCCCAACCTGCCCTTTTCGTATCAGGGCAAATTATAGTGCGAAGAGAAAGGACGCGAAGGTCACGACCGTCGATGATGTACACAATTGCGCCCCATTCACTGGCGAAGGGCCTTTACATCAAAACATTAAGCGTGCCGAAACCGGCAAGTTGAAGTTTCTCGTGGAGGCAGTCCCGAAGTTGATGAATGTGAATGTGGAAACCAGCATACATGAGATAATATCGGTGGTTGAGCAGAAATATGGGCAGAAGATACCTACCAGGCAGGCGCAGAAAGTCAAAGGAGCCTTGGTGACGAGGATAAAGGGGCCTTGTCGGCATTGTCATCGCCTGGGCCATACAAGAAAACTCTGTCCCCAGTTGAAAGACGCAAGTGCGCGATCGCTCACTTTTCAGAGTAGCAGCAACCTGGATTTCTCGCCCACTGGACAAAGTGATGGAACATATGCAGACGGCGGACTAGATGATACATTTGGTGAAGGGGAGACTATGGATTATGATCAGGGGCAAGCGCCACCATCTCATGTTTACAGCCAGCACCCACGACCAACATCAGATCCGGCATACCAGCAGACAAGTCATGACGGTATTGATCCAAGTCTCGGTAACGGGATTGATCGTGCTTACAATAATGGCCCGATACCATCACCCCATCCACCGATTCCTGCCATGGCGGCACCTCACATACCTGTCCGAAGTCCCCGGCAAAGCTATGGTCAAAGCAACGATATGGTGCAGCAGAGGACGCCAAGTGATCGAAATCCTCGAGGCAGAATAGAATCCACTATGGCCCCAAACACCTCAAGTCCTTCGCGAACGCCTGGGGAGGTTCGGGCGGAGGCTTCACGGCTGATGCAGCAGGCTACGCAGATGATGCAACAGGTAACTAGGATGAATGCTGAAGCCGTACGATTACTGAATTCAGTTGGAGACGCGACTTGATGCAAGGGGAAAGGGTGATAATGGTCAGATTCCAATTGATGCATGCAGAAACGGACTGGCTCAGACGTATTCGCGTGGTGACGGCTGGGATTGAAACCTCCATTCATATGTCTGTTACTAGACAGGATCGCACTGCGATCTCGGCGAAGTGATGAACGAGGCCTTAAGGAAAACAGGATCTACCATTAAGTCTTCGAATGAGAACATGCATCAGAGGAGGTACGCTTTGAAGGGAAAGGACATGTAGTGCCAGTGTATGATGGGACGAGCATCAATTCATGCAATTCATGAAGAATGTCACAAGATGTATTAATGAATCAGTATCGATAGTCTGCCGTGCATCTTATTCGCTGTAGGAATCACTGTGATGGATATATACTTCATGGGACAAGGCTATGAACGCCCGCTTCGCCCCACCTCCCGCCTCTCTCAACTCTCCGTTTATTCTCTTCCTTCCCACCTCAGATCTGACCCACAACTCCAAACATTCCTATCCCAAGTTCTGCCCTCAACCCTCTCACCTTTAGACAGTCTATATCACCGTTCACATGCAAATTTCAATATAGCCTACCGTGTAGTTCCTGCCCTCCGGCAGCATTCACGGGTGCCTGGTTGCTTGATCAGCCAGCTCGATCGCACACAATTCTTCCGTCAATTTCATCAGACCATGCCTTCCGCTGGCCATTATGGATCGAAGCTCGGTGCCCATGACCAGACTCATAAGGTTACTGTGGTTGGGTCCGGCAATTGGTCAGGCCAAAAGCATTCACGAGGCTCCAATTCGCTGACATATGCAGGGGCTCCGCTATCGCGAAGATAGTAGCCGAGAATACTCGAGCCCATCCGGAGCTCTTTCAACCAGACGTTCAGATGTGGGTGTACCAAGAGGAGCTCACAGTACCGCCAGCGTCGAAGAAATACGACCCTTCCTCTCCTTACTCAACACAACCACAAAAGCTTACGGACCTGATCAATCACTTCCACGAAAACGTAAAGTATCTACCTAATATCGCGCTTCCAGAAAATCTTCACGCCAATCCTTCCTTGCAAGATAGCGTTAGAGACTCTTCGATACTCGTCTTCAATCTTCCACATCAATTTATCAACAAGCTTTGCCAGGATATGAAAGGTGCGATCGTTCCCTTCGCGCGAGGCATCTCCTGCATCAAAGGTGTCAATGTTTCAAACGAGGATATCTCTCTGTTCTCGGAGTCGATAGGCGAGGCATTGGGAATATACTGCGGTGCTCTAAGTGGGGCGAACATCGCCAATGAAGTGGCCCTTGAGAAATTCTCGGAAACGACCATTGCGTACGACCCACCGTTCACCGACTCCAAGAACCCGACTCCCAACGAAGGATCTACACCGAAGCAAGCTTCAACACCAAGGCATGGCCTTGCACCTTTGACCAGACCAGAGGATCTGGCGTCAGAATTGAATAAGCACACAGATGCGAGGGGAAAGACGTCCAAGATCAAACTGACTCCAACACCATCTGAACTTCCGCCAATTGATCATGACCTGATCAAGACGCTTTTCCATCGCCCTTACTTTCACGTGAACGTTATTTCCGACGTGGCTGGCGTCTCTCTTGGAGGCGCATTAAAGAATATTGTCGCGTTGACGGCAGGCTTCGTCTCTGGCTTGAATTGGGGTGATAATGCCAAGGCTGCTATGATGCGTGTGGGCTTGCTGGAGATGAGGAAGTTTGGGCAGATGTTCTTCGAACAGACAGTCAAGGCGCAGACGTTTACGGAAGAGAGCTGTGGCGTAGCAGATCTTATTACGAGCTGCTCGGGTGGTAGAAATTACCGATGCGCGAAGATGGCAGTGGAGAGGGGAGTGTCTGTGGAGATCGTAGAAAAGGAGGAGCTCAACGGACAAATACTGCAGGGTGTCGGTACATGCAGGGAGGTCAATGCTCTGTTGAAGGCCAGAGGCCTTGAACATGAGTTTCCTCTTTTGACAGCTACATATCGTGAATATTTCTCACGTTCCTGCTACCATGGGCTACGAGCTGACTTTGTATCTAGGTGTCTTACAGCAAGAAGCGAAAGTGGAAGACCTACCCGATCTCATTGACAATCAAAGGCCGTAGATTTGATACATAGATATGATACCCATGGATGCTTAAACTACGTTGGGAGGGTCCGTTGAAAGACAAGTGTGATTGCTGTCGCGATTTACTGTCAATGTGGTTGTAAGGCATCACCATGAAGTGAATTTGATGATGGTCCTAGAAAAGTGTCGACTAACTTCCTCCACCTGATTTCCCCTCTTCATTTCATCACTTCCTTCTCACCTTATCGTACAATCATTGGCATCAGAGAAGTCAACTCTTATCCTTTTCATCATCGATCCTCTCTTCGTGCGTCAATATCTCGATTCTCACATTCCCTTGTTTCAAGACCCTGAGCAACTTGTTTGTTCAAGGATTACCACCAACTCCTTTTGACACTACCTCTATCAGCATCTACCTGACATGGGCAAAAACAAAAATAAGCATACACCCTCCAAAATCGAGACTCCCGAGAAGGGTCCAAATTCAAATTTCCACAGCTTAACTTTCCCTATGTCTCCATCTAAGCGCATTAAGCTGGATCCAGATGGCAAGTCCAAAGGCGAGAAGAAAACGTCGTCTCCGCCAGTTGTTGAGTATGACATTCCTCAGGGTCAAGCATGCCAGTTTTATGAGACTGAAAGGTTCGTTGTAGGTCGACGTTCGACCAGATTACTACACTTCGCATCGGCCCTGAGGGCAAGATCTTCAACATGCACTGTGGACTATTGTGCAAATCATCGGAAGTTTTCAATACCTTGCTCTCGATCCCCAAGGACTCATCTAAGGCAATGCCAGTCCCAATCACCGACTGTCATTTCGATTTCATCCAGAACTCGCTTTCGATGCCAAATGAAGATGTCGAGATGTTTACCCGTGTGAATCACTGGTACTATGCGAACGAGCTAGTCTTTGAGGAAAAGCTTTTCTCGACGCTCACCTGGCCTATGTTGGTCTCAATATATGCTTTCGCTGTCAAATACAAAGTCTTGAAACTACAAAATAAGTGCATTGACACCACTATCATGAAGCATAAGGCGGACAAGTTTTTACCTAATGCCGATACCATGACAAAACTCTGGCGTACTGACGTTGGGGCTGCTCCACTGCGCCGTCTCTTTTTCGCACTCTACGCGACCGACTGTGATTTGAGCAGTCTTCCAGGGAACTTTTCAGCAGCATTTCTGAAGGGTTTGATCGCCGAGCTATATCGCATGAAGGTCGACAAAGTTGAGCATGAGAGCTTCAAGTTCTGGAAGATGCGCCACACATTCTATGTAAGCGATGCCTCTAACCCATTGATCATCGACAAGTGATGGCTCTACGGACGGCATCAACAAGCTTCTACACGAAGCCAATACTCACTATTCCAAGGTGAAAACGACCGCGGATTGACGTCGTTATTACGATGATTCGAGATGATAGTGGACCATCAAGCTATAAATTCATATTTAGTGCGAATATTGCGGGTATTGTTCACGGGGAGATACAAAATATGGCGACACCTGGCGGAGAGCTTCGAAAGAGAAAGCAGGGCTCGTTGATATGTATGTTTCGAAGGTATCGAGAATGTGGATCTGCATGTAATTATCCACAATGGTTGTCGGTTGCAAGGCTTCAGAAGCAGTGATATGATATTTCTCAAATCTTATCCTGCTGCCTGTTTTGAAATGCTATCTCCACCCAGTCTTCCAACTCCTTCATTCGACCCCAGGTTATCACATTCATCATCTCAACCTTCTCGCTTCACGCTCAGATTCTAGCAAGCATAGGATGTCATCTTCCTTAACTATAGCACACGACTTTTCGTTAGCAATGATCTTTTGTAGATACCTATCCCCTGTTGTTGTACAAGGACAATGGACAGAGGAAAGAATCGACCCACCTGGCCCCTTCACGTTCCTGATGATGCTTCGGCTTGTGTCATCCATGAACTCCACGCGCACCTGTGTCACACCACCTCTCGAGCCTATCCACACAGATTCTGTCAGCGCTGTGGTTCTTCCAAGTGCTCTCTGCTCCCATGACCTGTGCAAACCCGATCATGTCATCCACAAGCACAGAGGCCCGTATAGCGGATTTCCATGTGGTATCAAATTCCTTCTCTTGCTCGTTGGGGATGTAACAGAGGGCAGCCGCCTCGACAGATTGGTACGAAAGGAAGATGAGACAGAAGGTCCAACGTACCAGTGCGACCGAGCACTCTGCAATTCCAATTAATAACATTCGCGCTTGGGAACAATGAGGATGCTTACCGAATCACTTTCACCAGCTTGACTGGTACCTTGCCGGCATCCATCTTGAGTCAAGGCCGAACAGAATTTGCCAAATTGTAGGTTATTGATGCGTGATATGCTTCCGATTGCTGTGTCTGACGATGATCTGCGCAAATATCTTGTGGGCAGAGATAATGCCAAGGCGCTTAGGGCATGCAGTAGGGCTCAGGCCCTAGCGGGGAATACTGTTTCTCGTAATTGCGAGCTCGGATGTGATCACTGCATATCCAATGTCTGACTCATTGCCTCCAGTGACAGGCCCTTGATTGTTCAATCAATCCCACCGTCTGATCATGTATCAATTGCGTGCCAAATCAATGGCCCAATCTGATACCGTGAAGCTCTGAAGGCTTTCCCCGAGCCCCGCAAACTCCACACTTGCAATTGAACCTGCAATCACACCTTTTTCATTCCTGCAACCGGCTTTCCTCTCAATCATGGAGATATCTCAACAATTCTCCTCCTTGTACCACTCCCATTGTCTTACCCCTTCTCCCCTCCCCTTCGGTCACCCAAACCAACAACTTTACTAACGTACCACCCGTCCTCACCAGAAAATCTGACCGTCTCCTTTTTGCTGTGCCCAAAAAAGGCCGTCTTCAAGGCCCCATTCTCTCCCTCCTCGAAGGCAGCGACATTCAATTCCGGCGCGAACACCGCCTCGACATCGCCCTCGTCAAGAACCTGCCCATTGCCCTCGTCTTCCTCCCCGCGGACGCTATACCCTACTACGTGGCTGAGGGAGAAGTGGATTTGGGAATTACGGGGCTGGATCAAGTGAGAGAGGAGGAGGCGGGAAAGAGGAGGAAATGGTCGAAATATGCGGGAAGAAGGGAAGGCATCAGGGAGATCAAAGAGGGGGAAGTGGAGGCGGGGAGGGAAGGAGATGGTGGGGTGGGTAATGAAGAAGCAGGCGTGGATGTGGTAATGGATTTGGGATTTGGGCAGTGTAAGCTGCAGGTGCAGGTTCCGGAATCGCGGAGGTTAAAGACTGTGAAGGACTTGATAGGGGGAAAGGTGGTTACGAGTTTCAAGAATCTGACGAAGGAGTATTTGAGGGACATCGAAGGTGTGGATGGGAAAGGCGAGTTGAAGACGCAGGTCATATATCAATCGGGAAGTGTGGAAGCGGCATGCTCGCTCGGGGCTGCGGATGGGATTGTGGATTTGGTGGGTAGGTTGCCCCCTACCACTCAACTATTTGCACTTGGGCGCTCTGAGGGTTTGTTGCCCCTGGGCGAGGAACACCGCTGATACATAGCGTGAACAGAGTCAGGCGAGACTATGCGAGCCGCGGGTCTCATCCCAATTGACACCGTGCTCTCCAGCTACGCCGTCTTTATCAAATCCAAACGAGTCTCCGATCCAGCCCTAGCCAACCTCATAGCAAGCAGGATCAAAGGCGTGATCAGTGAGTCCTCCCCCCTTATAGCCGCTCGAACTTCTTGATGTGCTTCACAATCCTATCCTTACTCCCAACATTTCTGCCCTACTGTCCTCCTATATCCTACGTTCTCGCCCAGTCTAAGCTAACGCGACCACTCTCACCTTCCATAGCCGCACAAAAATACATCCTATGTCAATACAACATTCCCCGCTCACTCCTCGCCAAGGCCTCCCAAATCACGCCAGGTAAGCGTGCCCCAACAATAACAGCGCTCGATGATGCGGAGTGGGTCGCTGTGTCGTCAATGGTGGAGAAGAACAAAATCGCTGTCGTTATGGATGAATTAACGAGCGTGGGTGCCACGGACATTCTGTGCTTGGGAATTCTGAATTCAAGGACGACTTGATGGTCAGGATGTTGGAAAGCGCAAGGATCCTGGAGCGTGAGGGCTGGGCTAGTAGGGCGGAGCCATATGGATGTGGATACTTGATAGAATTCAATGTTTATAGACTAGCTAGAGATCTGATGCCCTTGATAGAAGTACAGCGTTTTGCCAATGGAACAGCCTTTTTGCAATCTGTGAAATCCCCCCAACAAGCCAGTGACGCTCTAAAACCACTCACGACATTTTCTTAAGCTCAGACCGTCATCCTTTAAGCTAAACTTCAATACACCCTACAGCAAACGCAGACATGTTTCCCTCAACTTTAACGATCTTACTTTGGTCTCTCAACGGATGCGGTAGATCTCTTCTGGAGTCCATGATGGGAGACCGTTCGTTCCAGCTCGGCCTAGAAGATATTTGAAACTCGCGTGGAGCCGCCCGCCCCAGTAATAAGCGTACGGGGCTGCTACGTGTCGCTGGTAGGCGTTCTTAATCTTGCCATATGTAATTAGGTCGGCATCGGAGGCCGCTCCTGTGGCTGGGAGTGCAGGGTCCAGTGGGGGGTATTGCACTTTCCTCTCCGCGGCAGTTTTCCTCTTCCTCTGCCTCTGGGGATGCACAACCCCATCTGCAACAGGCCGGTCTTGTGGCTGTTGAGCTGCAGGCGCGGTTTGGGTCGGCAGTGTTGGGGCGGCAGCTCGCGTTACGGGGTCACCTCGATCGTTTGCATTGTTGAGGGGCTGTATTACAGGTCCTTGATTGTTTTCCTGAACGAAAGCCTGATTTAGAGTTGAATGGTTTATTTGTGAAGTTTGGGTGGCCTCCGCGCCTGGATTGAAGTTAACGCCTTGCATAAGAGTTTCGAGCTTCTGGAAGGAGTTCTTGAAATCTGTCAAGACCCCCTTCACTGCCGTTCCTGGGGACTGATGGGCAGCATTCTCGTTCCTTGAAGAGCCCGAACGGACCTCTTGCGGCCGATCTACCTTCTTGGTGGGCTTCGAAGGTTTCTTCGACAGCTGTGGTGGTTCGGTTTGATGCCGCACACGGCGCGCCGAAGGGCTCGGAGTAGCCAAAGCTGCCGCGAAAGTATTGCTAGCCTTTTTCGGCGTCGTCAAATCAATAACCACAGTCGTAGATTGTTCATTTCCATTGGACTTCTTTTGCTGATTAGATCGCTTTTCATGCGGTACGTGGGCTGTCGCAGTGATCTTAGATAAGGAGATATTCTCAGTGTTTTTGTTCGTGAATCTGTTCTGCTCCGTCATATTAGTCGTTAATGAGCTATCAACAGCTGCGCCTTCACGATTATCTGTTGCGGCGTGCTGTGATCCACCAAATCGAGCATTCGCTTCCTGTTTACCGCCTAATCTCCTCTCCAGAAGAATCCCTCGAGCGGCCTGTCTAAGCTTTTCACTGTGCCCCTGACAAGTTGCGATCTGCATGACGTGTTTAAAGAAATTCGCCTCGGTGCCCGCGAACGTTTCAGGCCGGGCAATGTTCTTCCTGAAACAGGGTGGAAGATTCGTACAAGTGCATTTGCCCTCAGCTTCACGATCTCCCGGCTTCTGCGCCCGATCTTTCTCGTGTCCATTGTGAAGGACAAAAGAAGGCCCGCTGTTCTGGCTTGGATGACGAGGAGTGTTCAGCGGTAGCGCTCTTCTGGTCAAGTCAGATGTATCTGATATATTCTGGACAGCTCTTTGGAAGTTGTCGGCGTCGGAAGATGCTTGGCCTAGAATTATCACACGTGATTTATCCGACGACGCCAAACTTTCATTCGTAGAACTTTGCCAGCCGTCAGCTTTTTGTCGTTGTGTGAATTGCATAGAGGCCTCTCCGATCAATCGTGGCGAAGTATCTAGTGTCGTCGGGTTTGGCTTCGGAACAGCAGGTTTGTCGACTGTGACCTTATGGGAAGGATCTGCTACAGCGATTGTTAGCAACACCACAGGTACGATTGCCTCGATCACATCGATTGCTTTACCGTGCTTTGTTCTATGTATCTTGAGTTTTTTGTGTTCTCTCTTTCCCTCCTGACCTTTCACTTCTGGGCTACCGTGACCATGCGATCTCTTTCTTTTCGTCTTCTTTGCCTTATGTTTGGTGCTACTCTGAGAAATGACGTGCCCTGAGCTAGGAATCATGGCTTTGTCGAGACTTGATTTCGGGCAAGGCGTGTCCAATGACACATCTTTGTGCGAGTGATGATTCATAACATCACCCAGTAAAGGCAGCCCAGCGGAATGCCCAGACCACGGTGTTAGGAATAAAGACTCTGATTGCGCGCGGTCTTGTCCACCTGGTCTGGCAACCCGCGAAACATTGTTCACAGGGGTCATGACGTGCGGCATATTCACAACACCAAGGAGATACTTATTAGAAATATGGCCTTGATGAGGGCTGCAAGAGACCATGTCAGATGCTGTCTTGGAAAGATGTTGGTAGAAGCAGGGTGCATCTGACGCGTGAGTTGTGAACGCGTGAGTGAGCTAAGCGGGGTTCACCACCACGGTGTGGTGATGAGAGCTTAAATCGCCACATCCCACGCTCTTCTAAAAGAACATTATTCACTGTAAGGCAATCTTTTCCGCAGAAAATTCACACGAAAAGAGCTAGTACTAATTCAGCTGTCACCGAGCTATGCGACTTCTGGATTCCTTCTGTATCTGAACTCAATACTGCCCTGAGACTCTTTTGATATTAAGGCCTATAGAATCCACGCTCACCGCGCCAGCCGCCTGATCGTATTTAGTGTCCATACAGGCTGACCGTCTTCATCTTGCGCTTGCAAAAGATAAGTCCAAGGATGGTATAATCGTCCCCGATAACTGAACGCATACGGTGCATTTCGGTGCCTCTCGTAGCCACTTTCGAGCTTTCCGATACGGATGATCTCCGAATCTGGTGCAGACCCCTCCGCGGGCAGGTCTTTCGAGAATCTAGGATACTGTTTTTCGAGCTCCGCAACAGTGGCTTTGCGCGACTTCTTACACCTCGAACTCTGACTTTGGCTCTGGGAAGTGGAAGGCTGCGAGGTTTCAGATCGATGCTCTTGGGTTTGCTCGGTGAAGGCGGATGTATCGGCAATTATGTCTGCAAGGCTATCGGAGTCGTTGAAAAGGTTCTGAAGGATTTCACGGGTCTCATGCTGGAATTGGTGCTTTTCAGGGCCATCGAGAGAATTCAATTTGTCTGTGACGTATTTTTTGAACGCTTTACGTGGCGTCGGCGCGTTCTCGTCCTCGTAAACTTGTCTTTTGCGCTTCATAGAATCGCTTGTACCACACTGTCCGTCTACAACATCAACTGATAACCTTGTTTGCAAATTGCTATCTGTCGTTCCGTTCAGACCAGCAACTTCAGTGATGGCATCATGACTGTTGTTTGCATCATCTGAAAGATCGATATAAGGTATGCAATCTAAGTCATCCTTGCACCATTGAGACATAGTGACCAGGGTGGGATTAGCAAAGCAATCGGCTGATTTTGTGATAGCGTCCTTTCTTGATGCGTCATATCTCGCGTCCTTTACGGCTATTTGCTTTGGATCTAGTCCCCGATAATGCTTGAATAGTCGAGTCGGTTCAATGTGTTGGCCATAGAATTCTGGCGGTGGTATGCTGGATATGGCACGTACCTGCCGGTCTAGTTGTGCATAATTCGTCGCTCGATTCACGCTTCGTGAGTGCAAAGACAATGTGGATGCTTGAGGCATAGAGTCGTAGACGACGGGTTCCTCGCTCAAAGTCTACGACGTTCTTAGTACAGTGAATTTGGAAGACTTAGATTACAAATCTGGGTCATGCTCACAATTTTGGTCAAATGGGATGGTGCTGTAGGCAGAGTTGTTGGGATTGGCGCTATCTCATGCAGCATCCTGAACCTTCCCTTTAAGGTTTGTCGAGGTTTCAATTCCACATCCTCCGATTCAGGGGAGCCGCAGGAGGAGACACTCAGATCCAGTTCAGGATTAGAGATCGACGTCGTGGTAATGGAATATTCCATTGTGTTATCATCAGAATTGGGGCGAGACATAGACCCGACGCCTGAAGTAGAAGGAGATATACTAGTGAATCCGCGCGAAGGGGTGTAGTCAGAGCTATTCTCTTGTGAGTGTAGCCTGAGATAGGGGGATAAGCAAAAGCCGTTGGAACCTAATGACGGCGAAGTCGCATCTGACATGGAAATGGATGGGCAGTCAATAGATAGTGACGGTGTTGCAGGACCACCTTCAATTGAGGGCAGAATCTTGACAGCCCGAATGGGACCGCGCCTTTGGTCTGGAAGTACGTCACTTGATTCCGATTCCGTGGGAGAAACGAAGTCCGAATTGCCTAATCCATCCGAAGACGATGATGATATCCTGACCTCAAGCAGTCGCTGTTCCCCGGCTTTGAAGGGTGGCAGTGCCGCATTATGGCAAGGATGGTCCATTAAGGTGGCTTCGAGTTGCAGCAATACTAGCAGGCAAGCAAGCTATGATCCATCGTCAGCAAGTCTCGGCTATCAAGAATATGAAGACGTACGAACGGGGAAACAGTAAGCACACTACTAAACCCATGGATACGCCAGCCGGCGAGGAAGCAAGCAATTGGTGCAAGCAAGCTGCGAAGGTGCCCGTTTATTCTAATCTAAGGCTCGAGACGCGACGCGTCGTTTCGACCCTAATTTAGTTTGTCTTCATCACAGAATGGTGGAGCTTGGTGGGGTCGGACGTGTTAGGTCGAACGTGTTAGGTCGAACGTACAATTTGGCTATATTTGACACAATTGTAAGGTTGCTTGGCAAATTTCATTAATCGAGAACGATCGGTAGCACGTCATACGTATGAGGCAGACCCCACGGTATGGAGCATACACGATTGCTGATCTGGTGGACATTTGGTGCACATGATTTTGTAAATTCCATGAAGCCCGGCTCAGAGCTTCTAAGATGGTGAGTGAATTAGAAACTGTGAAATAGGGGTCTTGCAACGTGAACCGGCGGTGAGCGCTTATTCGAGGCGTTGCTAATGCTATGCTCATTCAGGCTGTTATATTGTTGCTGAGGTTATTTCACTTCAATCGTATCTTGCGTATGAACACAGCATCAAGACAGTGTTTTCAGAGAGCCATGAGATTTGCCACAGAAAGGGCCTACACAGCACGGATGAATTCCTGTTGTCTCACACAAAGCATTTCTCCACTTGCCTCAAATCCTGCATGAGGCAGTGTAGGTTGTGATACAAAATCAAATATCGAAAATCTAACAGCCAACCGAGGGTATCAAAAGCACAAAACCTCCTGGTGACCCGCCCAGATGCAGGGAATGTTGCCTTATGTTTGATTAATACGATCCATCACACGCCACTTCACAAGCCTAGAGGAGCCAGTCGACGGAGCAGTGTATCAGTAGTGTCCACTGTCGACTCTCTTTTTGCTTCTCTCTTTAACATTGGCACCCTTAGTCCTGGCTTTGTAACTCTGTAATTGCCGAGAAATCCGGATGCGCTCGGACTGGGAAACTCATCGTCCCTTTCTACCGCTCTGGGCACCGGCATATTTCCCGAGCGTCTCTTCTTCCTTCTGCGTGTGGGGCCAGCGCTGCCTCCCATGGTCGTCGGATGTAATTCTCGCCTGTGTTTGTGGAATTGGTTATTGGATGGAAAGACTGTTCGACAGTGTGCGCATCTTCGCGGCTTGGGACGATGACTCCATGCTTGTGCTGGTCGCGAACGAATGGGTTCTGGTATCTCCTCTGGCGTTCCTACAATCCTGTCCAGCCACGCGCAGGAGGGGCCCCCAGGCCTGGCCACCCCCTCTTGGTGTCGCACGATCGGATCGTCCGTTGCTTTCCAGTCTTCGACCGACAGCTTGCAACAAAAGCAAGTGACTTCGTCTGTCGCTTTATTGCTGTAAAAGAACCCTGCTGCTGCTACATCGATGGGCCGCGGCTTGATGGCAAGTGGCCAAGTGTGAAATGACGAGAGTCGCTCGACTAGTGAGCTCATGTAGCTTGAATTAACGACAGAGCAAGATGGTGAGCCAACGAGGTGCCTGTCAAATGGGTCGTCGCCTTCTTTCCATGACGGAAGTCGGACACTGCAATTGAAGCATGTTACTTCGTCCGTATCCCAATTGCTATGAAAGAAGCCTAGAAAGTTCAGCGGATGCTCATCAAATGGCTTCCAACGAGTGTTGGAACTGAGCTTACCAGCCGCCGCCATGACTTGCGGTCTAAGGAAGAGGCCATGAGGCCAATTCGTGAATGACTCCAGACGATCTTCGAAGACCTCAAATGAGCTTTCCATGTGTGACTCTTGGATTGTAAAAAAGAACGGTGATGGCGTTCGAATAGATACCCATGTAATCGGACGAGACTGAGCTTTTCAAGACGGATTCGAAGGTAATGCTTTCGCGTGTTGTCCGAAAGACGCGTCTCGAGGAAGTCGAACTTAAGATAAGGAAAAGTGCCAAGGGATCAGCTCCGGGGATGAACCTAGAACTAGTTCTAGTGCGGGGAAAAGGGGGCGACCAAGTGGGACGGCAGTTTGCTCCGGCTCTCCTCATCTCCCCTACATCCTATAACCTTGCCCCTTCGAATCTATGGAGGCCCAGGTGTTCATGTTGTGAGTGCAAGAATCGAGCCTCTGACAATCTTGCCAGCCCCTGCAGCCGCTCATAAATCATCAATTCACTTAATCGACCCCTACTTTCACGCTTGAGTAGTGGAAAGCACGCTGCATCCCATTGCTATGAAGAGCTTTTAGCGAGACCAATTTTGGCAGGTAAGGGTAATTGAACAAGGAGAATGCGAATCGATGCAATGAGTACAATTTGTCTCATATTTAAGTCGGACACTATATCTTTCATTCCTCAATATTGCTCAATTGAGATTCCTGAAACTCGTCTACAATCTGGTTTGCAAGTGAGCCTCAACCCTAATCAACAATGATTTCACCTGGTCTCAACATGATTTCGAGCCTCAAAAGTTGCTATTTAGACGGTGATCGAGATCGTGCCCGGCCCACCAAACGCTCCGTCTGTACCGATACTTGCCCCAAATTGCATCGCCACTCCGACAGTCCCACCGCAGGATTGAATGATCTGGTTGCAGAGATCTTTCGCCTTCTGGCCGCTGCCGCTCCAGTTGGTGTTCTGCTGAGTGAGGAACACAGTGATCTGAGAATTCGTAGGCGACTGAGCAAGAAGCGTGGTGGTCCCAGTCAGGGTGATGTGGGCTGGGATGGCATCGCAAGCTCTAGCTGCATCTGCGGTGTTGAAAGAATTCTTGTCGATATTGCATTGGGCAACCGCGCGCGGTTCAAGAGGTGATGAGGAGGCGAGAAGGGGTAGGATCGCAACAAGGGCGGTAGAGAATCTGACCATTTCGATGGATTGTGCCGGGATGCTATTGTACGGGGACTTGGTTTGTACGAATTATGTGGTATGTCCAGCTCAAGTCTCTTGAATAGTAAGTGTTCTCTGATGCTTGTCGATGAAAAGAATCAGACGCAGCCTACTGACTGCACTTTATAGGCAATATTTACCGCACTAACGTAACTTCCAGTCGACCGAGCATGGTATCTCTTGAGCCAATGCTGCGATTGCCAACAGACACCCAAGTAAGTGTAATTGCTGACATGCAGAAACCTTGAGTCACCACTAAAGTAGTCCATAGTACCATACCCCAGCTCTCCAAGGGTACAGAAATTGCCACTAGGAGTCTCTTGAATCTGAACACTAATCTCACAACCATCGTAAGGGGCCGAGTATGATCACATCTGACGGACGACAGCACCAAAAAAACGTGGTTGGAGACAAGGCGACTAAGACAAATGGCCCCGATCTTGATGATGTGGAGGCCACGTGGTACACGTGTGCATGCAGATGTACAAATCTGCATGACTGATGAACCTTGGATGGTAGCGGTCCACAACGATGATTGGAGCATTTTGTTGATGTACATGCCGAAATACCGCTAAGGACGCAAGACACTGCGTTCTCGAAGCTTCGGGCCAGCGCTAATGCACTGAGCAAGGAACCACAACGGGGATGGAAGAAACCTAATACTCTCTTGATATGACAGGCCTCTATATGCTGGCTTCTCTATGGAGTATGCAGTAAGACTTTAGCCTGTTGCCCCCCACTAAAGTCGAAGAAAGGAGCATAATGCGCGGAGATACCTAGCAATCGCATCGAACGGATCGAAACGAAAAGACCCGCTGTGCAGAAACGGTTGCACTACTAGACACCAATGCTACAAAGGTTGCGTTCAACCATTGCGACCCTGACAGGCATACAAACCCTTCTAGGCTGGCTACAACACCTCGCTTCGCCTTAAGCCTGGGGGGCTTTCGTAATACACGAACAATGCACGCAGTTGACTAAGTCGCAAGCGTTGTTGTAATCAGCCACCTTTCAAATCATGCTATTAGCGATACAACAATCAGACGAGGAAGGGAAGGCTTGCAGTCCTCAACGGGCTAAATGGACGCCACTTTGCAAGAAATAGACAATTCTGCCGAATCCAACAGCCTCGTCCCTTCTTGAGCTCGCTTTCTGTACGTGGCCACAGCGTAACGAATGCCGAAGCCGCGTGTCCCAGATGACACCATTACCTTGAAGCTCGTAATTAATCTTTCGTAAACCAACTTTCCACGAAAATGCTGACAGCTTTCCAATCTCAAGCTTCGCTCTCCGACGGTCCATATCACTTACTGGTACCTATGAGATGGCCATCTGCCACGTCGATCGATATTTCAGTCAGATTGAGCACGGACACTGCCATCGTAGGCAGCTCTAGTTCTCAGTGGCGTCGTCATCGCCTTGCTCTTCATTACCTCAAGCTATTTTTACACGGCTGAGCAAGTCAGCAGAAGTTGAAAAAGTTCAGCCCTTCAATTCGGGAGTAGTGCCAATCGTTACTGACCACATTATGGGAGCACGCACACCGACCCTTCGCGAAGACCTGAAAGGCACGAGGATACCATTTCACGGGCGACATCGTCCAATGAAAGACTCACATCTAGATCAACAGTTAGACGTGGAGCTGCTGTAACGCTCGCAGAAAAGACTAGTTGCAGTACGGTACGAGATGAGTGCTATGAAGAAAAATTTCCATGGCTCCTGAAGATATTCTGCTTCATAATCAGGAAGTGAGATCCAAGACCTCACGGCCCAAGGCAGCTTCTCCTCCCAGAAGTGGTCAAACGAATGTAACGCTACGGATTCAACGCTTAGACAGTCCCAGGGTTGACTTGCTCCAAGACCCAGAATTCCGTGCAGAACTAGCCCAAAAGGGCAATAATGAATCATAGTGACATTGAAAACCTTTGATGGCATTCATCAGCTTTTCTCCCCCGATGCCAGCTCCGGCACTTCGGGCCTACTACGATCTTCTTCGCTTGCGGCGCCATCCTTCAACAGTGATTGAAGATACTTGCGCCTCACAAGTTTTCTAAAATATAGCGGCACTGGCTACACTCGCAGTGTCTGGACATGGTCGTTTCGCTCTAACAGGAACAATTGGATTCATGAACGAGATACTGAGCCAACATTGAATATGAGGCGAATGTCTATATTTCCTTAATAGTTATCTGACCAAACGCCAGAGCTCAACTTATGTGTAGCAGGTTGTTGTCGGCTCTCTGAACCATAAATATCTCAACGTCCAGACACTTGTGAGATTGCTTCGACAAGTCTATATCTATTTTATCAGTCATTCAACACTAGGTTCAACGTAGGCTCGTATCAGCAACAAAACTTGCAAAAATTGAAGACAATCCGCACGGTGTTATCGTTCTACTACTCTGGCAATCATGCGAAAGATGTACCCAAATCAAAGAGTCTTTGCTGATGAGAAGGTCAAATTACATCAAAGAGGCGATTCTTTTCTACGAATGAGTCTCAATTCTTGTACTGCGAATCTGTGGTGAAGAGGGCACACACCCTCAAGCTATGAATGTCAGCCTTGCAGAATGATTGGGACAATATCAGGCCTAGTAAAAGGGGCGGAGACATCGGAGCGTGGAACGCTTCATGCTCAGCGCTTGGGCTAACTGCGGATTCCCAGCAGCCGCTTCGCATGAAAACTGATATTTAGGTGAAGCAAGTTGATCCATGTCTTGCCACTTCGTGAGCCGAATGGCGTATTTTCAGACGCTCGAGGTACCTGACCCTCCCTCTAACCCAAGCCATCCTTCCTAATGCGTCCAGCCAGATAATATTGAGCGAGAATCAGGCCATGTGCGGGCACTAGGACCGCCCCTGACATGTCATATGTCAATCATGATTTTGGTTATCTATTTCGCGAGAGGATTGCCGGAGCATGGGCTCCACTCCTTGAAGGTGGGGTGTCTTCCCACGGCATTGGCCCATAGAAAGCGATACGAGGTTAGCCTGCATGATGCAGGCTGCAAGCTACCGCCCATCACCCCATCGAGACGGAATGGGTAATTGATTCACGCTAGCTGCTTGATCATGACGAGGTGTGGCATCCCCCATCTACGTTGCACTGTGGTGGGCTATCTCTTGAGCCAAATGACATTCCCCTTAAGAAACAATCTGGACATTTTATTCTCCATTTGTGTTTTGATGTGGAGACGGATTCTCTGAACACGAATTCTGCTTGTGAAAAATGTTCAAGAAGGCAGACATGAAGACCTTCCTTGCCTCGATCACCTTGGCCCTCCTCTGCCTGACAGTCTCCTCGAACAAAAGCCCGGCGCCCTCCCCACTTCGCCCTCGCTAAGCAGGGGAAGAGGGAATTCAGTATTTCATTCTTACCAGCTACAGCCAAACCGGAGCCCCCTACCCAACGCTGAACATTTCCGTGCCTGAAGATGGTGTGACGCGATTCTACGGTGCGAACCCCACCCGTCGCTCTGCCCCTCACACACACATCCAGGACTGACCCCATCCTCACCGCCTAGACTCTCCCCTGATCATCTACGAGATCTCGCCCGCCGACCTCGATACTTCCACAGATCCCCCGACCTACAGCTACAGCTTCACGGTAGACCCCAATTGCGACTTCGTCTTCGCCGACTGCACATTCTGGCCGATCCGCGGAAACGGGCTTGACGTCATCCCGGCAAGACTGGTGAGTGTAACATGCTACACGTATGACAGAGGGGGTTACGGTCCGGGTGGAGGCGGCGGTCGACCAATTCCAGGGTGTACGCCAGAGCCTCCACCGCCGACGAGCACGTTTTATGGGACGGGCACGGCAACGGGAACGTTCTATCCGACTGCCTCAGGAACACCAGGGGTGGTGGTCAGGAGGGTTGACGGTGGATATAGGAGGAGCAGTCGGTATGAGAAGCCGGTGCTTAAGGGGAGGGGAGTTAGGGGCCAGGAGTGGGAATAAGATAGATGAGATGAGCGGGATACTTAAAAAGTCGCCGAAGTTGTCGGGGTAGCTATGTGGATGCCCTGCCGAGGGGTGCGTCGCTTGCTCCGGAATCGAGTTTTCAACCACTTCAGAGTGATAGTCTAGAGCAGTGCCACATGACATTCAATCGCCGACTGGCGATTTTCCCCCAAAACGTATCCAAGCTTTGTTTGCTTGGCGGAAAACACGCGCTAGCATGTGATTTGACGCGCTCTCCGGTACCTCAGTCTTCACTGGCCCCTTAGGCGTAGAATGACATTTTCTACCACCGCAGGCGATCTGCAAACCCATGCCAGGCTCCCTGAGCCAGTTGCGGCTGCTCAATGGCCACATCTGGAGTGGGAAAACCCTGTCAAGGCCATTGAGCATGCCAGGACTCTCCAAAAAGACTTTACCAAGGTCCATCAATTCATTAAAATCAGCAGGGAAGCACTGGCATTGAATGACAATCGGTCCGAAAAGAAGACTGCTGCGCATAAGAGGAAACGTGATATTCCCAGACACCTCTTCGATACGCTATACAAGTCATACAATGAATTGAAGGAGAAGCTGGAGGACGATCATGAGAGAGGTCCCAGACCCAGTAAAAGAGCGCGCCGAGCAGAGCCCACCTCGAATCAGGAGTCGATCCTATCTGACTCAACAGCTTCCGAGCACCATTCAGATTCATCTCCTCAGCCTGCGTTGATTGATAATGGAATTCTGGCAGGGCCGGCTGACGAAGGAGTACGAGATGCTCATGATCCATCGACCCAACAAAATGGAGTGGGCAAGATGCCAGAGATTCCTGTCAAAGATACTCGAAACGTTACGCCTAGATCACCATCAGCGTGTGACGGGACCGTCGTCGGCGAAAGCATTTCAAAAGATGGGGAAACGCTGCTTCCAAGCTTCACTCGACCTCAACATAACCTTTGCTCTCGAGACTGCTCTTCGTCCAATGCCTCCAATCAAGCGCAAGACAGTGACGCACAGCCAGAGCTACACACTGTTCAACAACAAACGAAGGAAAAATTCAGCGAGAATAACAATGTTCAGCCACCTGGCGCGATATCTACGCAGACTACGACATCTTGCAAGATTCCAGACCACAGTGACAGTACAAAAGCCAAAAACTTACCTCCTGCGAGTCTTAATCCCGGTCCTCCACTCGCCGCGATGTCAATGGACACCTCGGAGCATCAACTCGTGCTATCTACTGCCCCTCATCAGAAGCAACTAAATCTGGATATCCCAACCTTACGTCAGGTGGTAATTGACTCGTATTGGGACCAGCAAAACTTTAGCCTGGAGTTTCTCAAAAGCATGTCCATCGGCACCATTGAGTACCTACAGGATGGTGATATTCGTGTCCAAATGATCTCCTCGGATGGAGCTAAAGTAAAGAAGCTCGATTGTGCACCCAATGGGCGCTCTTGCTGGAGCCGAAGTCTTTGCCATCACATATCATTGAAAGTCAATACATTCTTGATAGTTGAGATTGTCACGCTGGGACAATCGGAAAGCCGCTGTGAAGACTGGCCTATTCTCAGGCAAGAATTATTTGATGCAAATACTGGCCGAATTGCCACACTCTGCCAACCGGATGATTTCGCCGGTTTTTATTGGAAGACTGACGACACACCCTCGACAGAATCTTCCCGATTAGGATTCGAACTCTCCACTTTTCGACTAGCAGCAGAATTTCTGACCAAAGGTATCAAATGGAATGGCCTGATTAGGAGCTGCCAACAAGACCCACAAAGATTATTCATGCCACAATGCCGAGTGTGTCAGCATTGGTCGCACGACTGGCGACACTGTCAACTTCCCCAAATATGCGGCTATTGCGGCGGTGGCCATGAGCTAGCAATTTGTTCCCAGGCAAGCTCTGGCGAGAAACCCCGATGTGCTCATTGTAATGCATGCCATAAAGCTAAGAATTGTCACACCTTTCGGAAGGAGGCTAGGCGTCTTTTAGTTAAAAATCATAGTGAACAAGATTTGGGCAATCGTCTGTCGCTGGCGCGGTGGAGTAAGATGGTTCCACTGCAAGTCAGAAACAGCGCGGCTTATCACAAACTAAAATGTATATCCAAGGGTGAAGTTGATGCCTTCGTCAACAGCGCACTCTCCAAAAATCTGCAGTCTACCTGGCAAATTTTCAGACACAGTGGTACAGACGGTGTGTATTTTCGAGGCTCGGAGGATCTTGAAGTAAACGTTGTATGGTATGAGGAAAATGCGGAGCCTTTCTTCAGTCCTAAGCAGGAATGTGGCTCTGCACTCGAGCAGATACTAACACAAGAGCTGACACAATATAAGATTTTGATGATCAATGTTAGACTTGCAGACTGTAATTTGTGGAATGATGCCCAAAGACGAGCTACAATACAGGAGCTCGAGAAAGACAATATGTCACGCAGCGGTCTGGATTGTGCGACGATCCTTGACGCCAGATACGGTAAGAATGCAACTCGAGGGCATGGAAGGACAATGGCCTCACCAATCCTAAGTCTCCTTAGCGTCGCGCAGGCAAACAAGGCTATAAGACAAGGTCTTACATACAGAGATAAGAAATACAATTGCCGTCGCTATGGGCTTGACTCTCGATTCAAGGTTCCCCACGGGTGCACCGACACGGCTAAGAAGGAGGAACTACGCCGACTGAGGAATCTTGATGAATACTTTCCGGAAGAACAACCGCAATCAGCGGATAGCAGTCGAGCTGAACTTCATTTACCCGCAAACAATCCTAGCGGCACACCGGCACATCCAAGCGATGATAGCTGTGCGTCCGAATCCGAAGATAGTGACAGCGGCAGATCGGCACGTTCAAGAGACGACAGCTTTGCCTCCAGGTCTGAAGAAAGAGACGACTTTGCCAGTAGCATTTCTGACCCCAGCTGTCTCTCCACGGACTCTGAGATAGAACCTTATGCAAAGCCGCTGGAGCATTCGAAACCACGCCCACTCCCTCGGGCCATCGATAGACCTGGTATCGCCGCTAGTCCTGCACCAGTGACCAACCGGGCGGTATCTCCCTCTACTCAAGGGCGAGAGAATCCACCACCACGCCCACTACCTCGAGCAGTCGAGAGACCTGCTGATATCTTCTCCATTCCTTCACCTGTGACCAATCGGGCGGTATCTGCCTCTTTCACTGGACGAGAGTACCCAAAATCGCGCCCAGTACCTCGAGCAGTTGAGAGACCTGATGTCAATGCCGTCCCCGCGCCCGTCAACAATCAAGAGGTATTCTCTTCTGTCAAATTCGAAGAAAATGTTCAAAATGGCCATAGTCCAGAAGCTCCTGCTAATAGTTTTGCTGGAGCGGCTCATTCTGCTCCCGCTCATCAAGGTAACCAGCAAGATTGCTCCACGGTGAAAATGGAGGAGGAACAAAAATCTAGACTTGAAATTCAGGAGGCGCGTTCGGTCATTATGCCCGTTCGCCGACATCGCAGAGGAGAATCTCCGTATCGATTCGTCACTCCCGTGGAAGAGGACAGAAGCAACCCTGCCGCATAAATGATGGGTCTGACGCGTCGCGTGGCAGGGGAGAGGCTGAAAGAAAATCGATAGGATGAATTATTTTGCCTGGAGTAGAATGACTTTCTCCGGAACATATCTCAAGTTCAAAAGTTTGCGACTTTGCATTGCCTCGGACTTAATTCGATGGTGTGGCGACACTGATTCTGCCGACCTAGTGCTGGGAGGCGATTTAAGCGTATGTTTGTGGTAAATTTTTTCGTCAGTAGCAATACTGCAACTTGAAATCAGTGAATGTATAATAATATTCAATTCTATTCAACTTCTACCCAAAGGGTGGCTCCTCCACCGCGCTCTTCCTACATGATATTTACAATTACAATACTCAACGAGAATCCCACGGCGTCCACCCGTCTGAGCTGAAGCCTCTTCGCTCCGCTATCTCTACTCGTCGAGCCAGTAGAATGGATTTGTGTTGCTCCTGCAAGCTCTTCGGTTCCTGTGTCTTTCCGTGTGTCTGCTGATGACAGACCTTTCATAGAGACGATTGAACCAGTCGAATTTGCGGCATCATTCGATGCCAACCCTGAAATCGCCGGGCCTAGTCCCGATATCGACGCCAGCGAGATCGTATTGTTACCCACAACCAATGCATCAGCCCCAAGCGAGACAGCAGTTCCATGAATGGTCGCCGCCGAACCACCATTTGTGATTTTAGTCCTAGAAATAGAGAGCCCCCCATGCCCATCCGCGGTAATAGTCTCGCCGGCAACAATAAACACAGAAGACTGCCCCAGCACCGGACCATTCGTGATCAAAGGATGAGCATAGGCATACGTAGCTGATCCAACCACCAGACCGTCCGTAGCAAGCGATACACGCGTCCCCTGAGCGTCTGTGATGGCGGGTCCACCAACAGAGATAGTCTGTCCATCTATAGAGATTACATTCGCTCCTAATGGCTTAAAGGTCTCGCCGGCCAGGGTAGTGTCGGCGGATGAGGTCGGCAGAGCTATGGTTTGGCTGCCTATTACGAGACCAGAAGAGCCGAGGGAGACTCGTGTACCGGAGATTGTGACGGCCGGGCCATTAGCGGTTATGGGTGTGCCTGAGATTGAGTAGATTGCTGGTGTAATGGGACCATTTGTTGGATCAGTGGCGGGTGGGAAGAGAGGGATAGTTTGAGAGCCTACGATTAGACCAGAGGAATCGATACTGATGCGCATGCCCGAGATGGTGATTGCAGGACCGTTGGCTGAGACTTGCTGACCAGCGACTGAGTAGACTAGAGGTGCATCTGGGTTTGTTGATGGCGCATCAGGGCCAGGTGTGGGTAGAGGAATCGCATTGGAGCCGATTTGAATGGCCGTCTTTCCAAGAGATATGGGCGTTCCATCGACTGTGATTGGGGCTGCGTTGGGTACGATAGTCTGACCGGCAACGACAGCGGAAGCAGCGTTGCCGACGATTGCTTGGTTACCTACGGTTGCAAGTGTCACTTTAGGTGATTCGGGAGCTACGGATCCGTTTTCTAATAGTTTATTTGCACCTGCTTGAGCGTCTGAAGCAATCTCCACCGCTTGTGATTGCCCAGGATGATCCTTTTCACCAGTATTACCACCTGCAGGGGATTGTTGTGAAGTGATGGGGCTGAAGGTGAGCGGTCCTGCTGAGAAGGTCAGACCTTCAATGATGACTGGAGGAGGAGCTTCATCCAAAGTTTTCCCAGGAGGGTCTAACGTCAAGCCGTTAGCAACTAATGGAGGGTCCGTCTGCACAACAGCGACTTGAGGGACTTTGACGGCTGATTTGCCGACATGAATCGATCCGTCAGACACCGCAACCATTGACCCTCCGATTTCTGTAGGAGCAGCATTAGGAGCGATTGTCTGACCAGCGAATATCACGGGCGCATCCACAGATCTTGTCATCGGCGTATGCATAGAAGCAGGTAAAGTGGCAACTGCTGGTTGTCTAGCGGGTTGTGGATTTGGTGCTGCAATAGGAGAATCCTGCTTAGACGTCTTGATTTCGTCGTCTGGTACCTGTGGTGATCCTGCCCAAATTTGCTGAGTGTGTATGGGCTCAGCAGGCTGATTGGGTTGATTCAGTGGAAAAGGGTTGTTCTCGGCCTTGTCTACTGTCGGCGGAGATTCACGAGCCAATGGAGCAGGGGTGCCTTCAGCTTTAGATTGAGTGGGTGGAGGAGGGACTATGCTTATTGGTTGCGATGAGGTTGTATCAGAAACCACGTTTGGGTCTTTGACCAGCTGTCCAACACCTGGCCCAGGCTTTGGTTTTTCCACTGCCGCTTGAGCATTCACCGTGGCATCGGCCTCCTCTGGGGACAAGGAGATCAGTGAAGTGGCTGGATATTTCTCATTTGCCGGCCTAATGGCAGGATGTAGCGGATTCCAATGTTCCCCTCCGACTACGCTACTTTGAGGTATCAGTACCTCGGGCCCCGCAAGATCACACGCATTCCAGATAATTACTGTTTGCGTCGAATGATTTGAAGTCAGCGTCGATAAAGAATGGAGCAGTCTCGACCCAGACGAGGTACCGGTGGATTGAGGGCCATTAATTGTTTTCGTCCTCAAACATTCATGAGCACGAGAGTGGTTTGTCTGAGACGCGATAGAGACCGATGCGTGGGCCGGACTCGTCGATAAAATTTTGCTGTAAATCGATAGCGGAGTGGGTGATGGCAGGAGTGAGCCATCATTGGTGTTGTTCCTATTGAAAGGCTTCGTTGTGGGGTTGTTATGAGTTGCAATGGCCGTAGTCAAAGAACTGAACGCGGTTATATAATACAGGCCTTCAGCAAGTTGCAAGGTGGCGAGAAGAGCAGGAAGTAAAGCGAAAGTCAAAGGACAAGTGGTCCGCATATTAAAGAAAGTATAGGCAGCCACAAGCCAACAAGATTAGCTAGCAAACTTAGTCGATGTTGCTCAAACCATGGTATGAGAAAATGTAAGATACTTCTACAGTACTTGTGACTAGGTAGCATCAAGGCAACCTCTCCTCTTCTCAAAGACTTAAAGAACATGATACTAGAAACGCACGCGTATAGGAGTGGTAGATCCCGCAATACGAGACGTCTTCGAGCAGAGGAGTGACGAAAAGCCATACCAAGGCTGGTCATCTTCGAAAGGGGTATCTTGGCCGCCGATGTGGAGCCATCATGCAAGTAAGATCTCGGAATTGCAAGGCACAGCACGGGAATCGCTTCGAATTCGCCAAATCTGCAGGGACGACGGGCATAAGGCTGTGCAACGAATAAGAGACTGAACGGAGAGGCAGAGTCTCTCAAGGCGTGGGCGAAGCACATGATCTTCATCTGGCCGGTAAGTGATCTCAAAGAGGAACCGACGCTCCGGCGACGAGCTCACGGGAGCGCCCGTAAACAAAGCGCTAAGGTAGACCTAAGGGTAAAGGTCTCAGGGCTAAAGTAGAGGATTTATATGCGACAGTGAGCCCACTCAAAGATTGTCGTGCTCGAGAAACGTTTGCAGGAAGGCCGAGGGTCGGTTAGTCGGAACATGGCCACGCCAAATCCAGTTTTAGGGGTGGTCTTAGGGAGAAGGTGCCCGGAAGGGCTGCCTACAGGCGGGCACTATAAGGCTACATTTCCCCCAAATTGGCGCCTATAATTTGGCGTGGCCATGTTCCGACTAACCGACCCTCGGGCGCTATAGTCCGAGGCACTAGGCTCCTTAAATCCGACTTGAGCCTAGTCCGGATACCCATCTGCAGGCCCGCCTCAGCTACTCGGCCCTGTTGGGACGCCCCTTCAATCTCCTGGGCGGAGCTGCATTTCGTTGGCTGAGGCAACACAAGACTGATGTCCTACGCGCTGTGGAAAGATGGCTGTCTAGCAAGAAAAGCTTATGATGTCTGCCGGGGACCCTGAGCGCCTACTCTTACACTGTTCGTTGGAGACATGGCGTTCAACGTGATGATGGCTATTCATAGAATCTCTGTTTGGCCTCATGATGCCCGTCCAAACTGTATGGGGGCACCAAGGTTCAAGTGTGCTCAATGCGCAAGCGAGGCCGCTTTCAAAGATGTTAATACTGAAGTCGAGTTCGAGGATGCTGTGACAAGGGGTTGAAAGCACCCAAATACCATCTGCTGCCTCTCTTGCGAGCGTACTAATGTACTTCACCAAGACAGGATTTAAGACCAAACCGCCGCTCAATATCACCCTTGCCTTTGCTCTTCTGGAAAATTTGGTCAGACATTGAATGGGGGTGGGGCGTACTCGGCGAGCACCTTCTACCTGCTGCAGGGTTCTCCGCACGTTCTATCTGGTATGGGCCACGAACTGGTGGGCGTTGGAGCTCTTGAGCTGGCTGTCAGCGGCTTTGGCATTAGGCATGGTTGTTATCCTCCTGGCATTGCAACAAAACAAGCCGTTGCCTCGTTGGCCCTCCGGCATTACACTAAACGCGATTCTATCAATTCTTGCGCAGATATGCCAATGGGGCTTGATGGGAAGCGTGACCAAAGCGATCGGACAATTGAAATGGCTGTGGTTCTCGAACGGGAGCGCAAAGCCGGTGCGAGACTTTGTCGCCTTCGAAGAAGCTTCTATCGGCCCTTGGGGAAGCTTTCTCTTGCTATTGAGAGGATGGATATTGTCTGCCTTGCCCGTGGTTGCGCAGGGATTGAGACTTCGCTAACGTGTACGGCAGACATTGGGCTACACTGGGGGCTTTGATTGTCATAGTATCACAAACCGTAGGCCCAATGGTCCAACAGTCAGTCACGTATCCAATACACCTGCACTCTTCAGGCGTCTCAACAACAACTCGGGCTGTGTCCTTCCGACAAGTAGATGGCCTTAATAATAACAGTAAGTCACTGCCTCACACGGCCCGTCAGAGCATGCGGTTTCTGATGAAGGCAACAGACAATCAGACCTACTTAGTAAACCCAATGAAAGCGAGCATCTACAATGGCCTTTATAAGCCTGATGTAACCCTCTCCGATCTGCCAGCCCCATGCAGCTCACGTAATTGTACCTGGCCACCTCACTCATCATTGGCTGTGTGCCCCCAAATTGTGGACGTCTCGTTTTTACTCCAACAATCCTGTGATGGGGAGGAGAAGAAGCAGTGCAACTATTCGATGACGACTGGAGAGAATTTGGCTCACTCCGACGACTTCATTAGCTTGTTTGTCACCAGTGACAAAAATTACAAATCAACTGCCTTCGTCGACGCAAATCCACTGGTATCATTCTACACATTTTTCATCTCCAATCGTACCTCTACACCCTTACTCTACGAGTCAGCTCTTCAGCTCTGCGTACAGACATACAACACTACTGTTATCGATGGGCAGACCTCCACAAACGTTCTTGCCACGTATACTAATGTGAATGCTACGCTTGACTACACGATCACTGTACCGGCAGATAGTTCGGCGTATCTCATGTCGCGTTACTCCGTCAACACGATGACAGATTTCTTCAGAACTGTTCTAAGGGCTCGTTACGCTGTCAAGGAGAATAACCCGATCTATGGTTCTGACGCCATCGAAGTGCTCGTCGATACGCTTCTTGTCCCGCCATACGATATGGCAGCAATGTCCAACTTTCTTCATGGCTTGGCAACGAGTATGACCAATACGTAAGTTTGCCCGGACAACAGCCCTCTCATCCTCTTCTTCATCACATCTTTGATTCAATTGGGGCTGACTTCCGTGTAGTCTTCGCTCTGGGAATTGGGCGATACCTGTCAATGGTACAGCTTATACCCCTCTTACTTTCGTCTCTGTCTCCTGGGCTTGGATGTCTCTTCCTGCTGCGGCTGTTCTTCTGTCCCTTGTCTTTGTTTTGGTGACAATAGCTCAAACTTCGAGGTCGAGACTCGAGCCATGGAAAATGTCAACCTTAGCTACACTGCAAGCATTGAGCAGCGCAATGCACGAAGATCTAGGGCCGCTTCGGAAGCAAGCAGAAATGGAAGAACATGGGGACGATCGCATGGTCAGATTGAGAAAAGGGGCTATGGGTGGCTGGAGGCTTGTTGCTCATGAAAACAAATGAGTAAATGTGAAATGAAATGATACGTATATCGGCCAATTCTCTTCCCACTGATCACCTCTACGCTCTATCTGAAAGTTGGCTAACGCAAGGAAATGTGGACTAGCCTTACGCGGCCGACTTCTAAGGAGGATACGGTCGAGCAAATGCTTTGAACTGTACCTCAGCGGCATTCCTGCCGGCTGAAGGTCTTCAAGACTCTGGGAGGCCGTCAGCCTACACATGGAAACTGCGCTGAGGTCAGGGGTTCTTCGCGGTAATGTGCCGGTACTTCCATTAAGTGCCGGCATGGACATATCATACTGTCTTTCAGCAAGGCTGATCAATAAAGTCCAAGTGAAATAGCAAAAAGGCCTAGACACCCTTGTAAAGTTTTTGAACAAGTCTGATGTGTGGTCCCTCACTAGTCAAGAGATGAAACACGAGCTTGATCTGGCCCCTTTTGGGGGTTTCCAGTGAATACCAGGGGTGTTCCAGTGCAGCGTGCACAACCAATCATCACGGCAATATAGACGCGCGGTATGTGTCTATTTCTTTATCTTCAGAGAATTGGAGGAGCTTCCCCAATGAAAGGTACATTGTTTCTAAACATATCCATAATCATTCCATTCAAACAGGTAGCTTCAAAGTGAAGCGAACGTATTTTTTGCTTCTCTAGTCCTAGCTTCGGATGCAGAAAAAGCTTGCACAATGTCCGATATCGACATTGACCTTGTTGGCTCTCAAGAAGGCAAGTTTCAGCCTGCAAGAAAGGCCAGGCTTTCTTGCCGGAGGGCTGATGCTGGCAATCGTCAAATTGATCTCTCCAAGTGGGCGTAGGGCAAGTGTAGGTCTCAAGTTTCTCTTTACACAAAACCCCTTGGTCTACCGTTCTTGTTGCCGGCAATTCGACGAGATTCCTCTCTTTGATCAATAACCTATTTCTTAGGCCAACGACCCTCCTCCAGCATATTTTTCTTCTCGTGCTTGACCAAGGAGGCTCGTGCTCCACCCAAATGGTGCCTAGGCCCATATTCGATGTGCTTGGAGCGGTCCTCCCGTCAGGCGGTGGGAGTAACGTCTCTCCAATCTTTGATGCACCTGTACTTTATTCGATCCAAAACCCAGGTGGACCAGGACTAGGAGCAGCCTCCAACTTGCCCATCCTGATCCCCACGTATCCTGCAGTTACACCTGTCGCAGGTGATCCCATCGACCTCGGCTTCGGCCGCCCTGAATTCGCACCATCAACGAAATCAATACAGCCAACGCCAACCTCTTCGAACCTAGGTACACCCTCCCTTACAACATCTATACATGCATGTTCCCGCCCTGAACTCTACAATTAGAACTAAACAATGCTCTAGCTGTCTCCATTCTCGGCACCACTACCTTCGCCAGTGACCAGCCGGCACTCATAATCACCGAGCTGCAAGTTCCCAAGGCCTCAAAGTCGGTCCACGAGACCACGCTCTTGTTCTGCACGACTGACTCCTCCATTGGTCCTCAATTGTCTGGTTCCCCGAGTAGCGAACGGGCACGACATGAATCTTTACAGCTTAGCCCAGCCACAATCACAAAATTGGGAACACCTCTGCCCAGCATTCCTTCCGGCGCGCTGTCACCAACCTGTCCTCCACCATACATACTAGCGTCTGAAGTCCACGCAGTAGCAGCCGCATTCGACGCCCCCGTATTCACTCCGACTTCAACTTCGAAGTCTATCATGAATGCTGCGACACTCACTTTAACCTCCTCGGCAAGCAATCCGCAGCTCGATGCGTCCTTCCGTAGCGGACAAGTCGCTGTAAATAATCACGGATCGCCTGCTCCAGTAACGGAAACGGTCGCCAAGGGTGCACCTCCTTATGCCTCAAACTCAATGTCTGGTTCGCTCCATGAAACTCAAATAGCGGGTAGTAAATCTTCTACCGCCCCTGCTAGAGTCGACACAAGGACAGCAGAAACCCTTTCTCGGATCCCATCTGCTTCTCTTGTATCATCCGTATCCTCGTCGTATTTGTCCGATTACCTAAACGCTTCTGTGGTAGTCACATCTACAAGTTCTGCGGTAAAAATGGCCGGAAATGTTGGTGGAATAGGTCAAGTGATAGAGGCTCCTCCAGTGACACGCCCGGTTTCGTCATCTTTATCCTCATCTTCATCCTCATCTTTAACCCCATCTCCAGCCTCATCTTCATCAGCAACACTCATGCAGGAAGCGACCACTGCTGGGTCTCCAGCGTCATCATCTCTGGATGCTGCAGCCGTCACACTTTCAGGAAGCCAACCAAGATCACAGGCCACAATACAGGCTAGCATACCAACGATGGCCAAAGCTGGTTTCTTAGACGCAAAACTTTTCAATGTGACGAACGACAATCACAGAATGACAAGGACCTTGGGAACAGCGCCAATATCGACCCTTTTGGCAAACCAAAGCTTACCGTTTTTAATCGTCCAAGTTACGAGCACGGCGGAGAAAATAGTGCAGATCACGGTGCAATCGCCGCCACAGCCTGTCGCCAACGCGACCACGGCAATAAAGACGACGCCAGCAACATCCATATCTGCAGGAAGAACTTTGAGATGGCGTTGGGGAAGCCTGACTGCGTTGGGCGTCTTTATCATTCTACTCACAGGCTGAGCTTTTTTCGGATACGGACTGCTACAACGAGAAGTTCATGTGACGTGATCGAGTGGATATATCAATGAGGAGCAGAGAAGCAGATGGGAGAGATAGCTGAGCATTCATGGGCTTGAATTTGATCAGAGAGGACTTGAAGCGCCAGCAGGGCATGCAAGGATGCCAGGGTCAGGCAGTAAGATGAGTATGGCTGGAGGGTAGGCAAGTGGACAGCGAATGCATTTGTGGCAACGCTGACTAGGTGTTGATGTACGAGGGGTCGAGCACTAGGCCGCCCGGGAGGGAGTCAATGTCTTGGCGTCTGATGAGTAAGGTAAGGTAGCCATTCTTATATGTCAACAAGGCGGATCATTCAAACAACATTGCGTGATCTCTCAAGGCAAGAGCGACAGCTGTCCATGCGGGACGGTAAGTCAAACAGAGATCAGCCGTGCTATCAGCAATGCTGTCTGTCTCGATTAGAACCGTTGCATCCCAATCATCGGCTCGTCTCTACACGGACTCCCAGCTGACCCCTCCGCCTCGATGGCTCGAGAGTAGCAAGACCGTTGGTGTCTCGACTTGTGACCCACGTGCACTGACAATGCCCGCCATTTGAGATCTCCGACGCAAGATGTCATATATCCCCCGATCCTGACCCTATCCTGGGGTGCCGCAGAGCAATCCCGACATCCGAGCGCACGGTCGTGCACGACGCAAAAAGCGCATAAAGCAAGACAACCTGCCCTCCTTTTCCTATTCAAGACTACACTTGAGGCGTGCCATACCAGACCAGTATCAAAATGACTCAACATGTCTGTGTGAGAGTGGATGAGGACACCGCTATAAAAATGCGGTTCTTCCCTTTCCCCGCAAACTGCGCCCATGGCAGGCCTTACATTCCTCCAATTGCGCCTGCATGTCCTCTGCGTTCTGCTGGTGATCTACGCTCTTCCAACTTACGCTGCGAAAGAGATTGAGTGCTACACCTTTGATCACTCCCCCAGCCCTTTCATCCCCGAACTCAACGACTGCGTCCAGCTCGCCAACAACATCTTCACCTCCCCATCCTCAGGCAAGCAAGTCATCTTCTCCGACCGACCGGTTCCAGCAAGCTACATAAAGATCCCACGCAGCTACTTCTTCAACAGCTGCTACATGTCCATCGAACCTGAAGGCGAGCCGTACTATGACATCTCCTCGTGGCAGCAGATTGCTCAAACTGTCAACAATACTGCGCACGATTGTTTGAGTCACGTGTCTCATGGTAGCCATGGGTTTGGTGGAAGGAGCCCTTCCGGGGTGAATAAGTGGCTTTGGATTTATGTCACGGGGCTGATAGTCGGTCGGACATCAATCGATTTGAGTGGCCAGGAGGTGGATTCGCTGAGCATCTTGAACAACAGTACCTCGACTGTGGTGGACCAAATGAATAGCGCGACGCAATGAGATGTTCATTTCGATTGCTACAGCTGTCTCGAAGAGCAGGTTACTTTGAAAGGGGGATCGGGTAAGAGCCTGGGAAACATCAGGTCTGCATGAACCTCTATAAAATCTACGACCCCACGTCATGTATACAGGTACAGACGGTTCTAGCAAGAATGAGGGCCAGGAATCAATTAGTCAAAATCATAAGGTGTGATTACCATTAGCTCTAGGAGAAGCCTAGTCTATGTCTATATCTGACAGAAGCAGAATGTATATACAAAATCCCATTACCACCATCTTCTTTTTCACCTCACGCCACCCAACCCTTCGCAAATCTCTTCTTCTCATCCTCTCTCTTCCCCATCCTCCTCATCTTCGCCACGTTCCCGTCCGGCCAACCGGCTGGCGGATCAGGCAAACCCTTCACATCCGGACACGTATACAAGTTCACCACCGGCTCAACAAATGCCTGCGGAGAACTGCCATCCGTACAAGAACACTCATGCCCGCAAATCCCCGCGCGTCCGCACGCAATTGGTCGATACGTGCACGTCCTGTCAATCCCATCCTTGAATTGCCCATAGCACGGAAACCCGCCACTGACCTCGTCTTTCGACAATGCATAGCACGGGATCTCCGGGCGGCAATCATTGCACATATCCACGCTGACATGGCACCCATTTGCCAGATCCGCCGTCCCGCAGATCTCGACATCGCTGTGCGAGTACAGATTATCAAACGCCTTCTTGATATCCTTGCCCGTCATGCCCTTCGCGTACGCATCGTCGTTGTCGCAAGAGAATTTCGCAGTACACCCCTGGTTGCCACCTAGCCAGTCGTTGATGAACGTATCCCCTGAGGATGCGACATAGGCACTGTATTTGTGATAGGTGTCCCCGTCGTTATATTGCGCATACGCATTCTGGCACGCGCCCTTACTAATGTCCCCACACAGCGAGCTGCCGTCATGGTTATAGCTCGTCTCCTGAGGTCCCGCGGCCGCGGAGCTCGCAGACACAACACTAGCGATGCTGGCGACGGAGGCCGCAGACACGCTCTCGACGGAAGCGGAGGAAGCGGAAGCAGCGGCGAGCGAGGCGCTGAAGGCCGTAACGACAGGGCACGCGTTCGCGGTCGGCTGGATCTTGTAGTCGCATTCGATCTTGTTGGGGTCGTTGCCCGTGGCGGGCACTAATGTGCCGCCGCAGTCGCACCAGCCGTTTTGTGCGTAGGGGCATTCGGCGCCGTAGGACCACGTTACGCCGCGGCAGCCGGGTACGCCGCCGACGCCGGGGATGTTGGTGGGTGCAGCGGAGGTGGAGACGGGGGTGATGATGTCGGAGGGATTGAGGGTCGTGAAGGCGCACATGGCCGAGGAAGAGGCTTCGCCGGTGATGCCGGGCGAGACGGACATGGCGGCGTAGTGGGATGACGGGCCACAGTCGCACCAGGAGGTGGGACTGTACCAGGGTGCGCCGTCCGCCATGCAGTCGGCGAAGGTGGTGATTGTGGCCGAGGCGGAGGAAAGAGTACTGGTTGGGATAGTTGTGGTGGTGGCGGATGGAATGCTGGACCCTCCTGTTGTAGATACTGATGTGAGGGTTGAGGATGGCCCGGACGACGAGGGAGATGACGAGGCTGACGAAGCTGTAGATGAAGAACTGCCAGAAGAAGAACTCGAGGGCTGATTGAGGGGGCAACTCAGTTCACGTTTCAAAAGCGACGAGTCCAAGCTACGGAGGACTATCGTACCCGTCGTCCAGGAGAGTGGAATGTCGAGCTTGAAGAAGTCTTGTGTGAAATGCGAGTCAGCTTTGATGGCGGCAAGCTGCTTCAACTGGGACGCCTTGAGTGTGGCTTCGGTCGTGTCTGCGGGATTGTTGAGCTGCGTCTCGAGATCATCCCGAGTGGTTGAGCTCCACGTCCAGGCCGGAGGGGCGATGTCTGCTAGATATCCTTCAACCCACGTTTTGTAGTCTGCCGCCCAGTCTGCTTTGATGGGAGTTCCGTCACTGTGCTTGTAGGCGGCAAGGGTGATGTTCTGGTCGAGACTCTGGTATGCTTTGTAGATCCGGTCATTGGTGACATCGAACATGTGGACGAAATCGCTATCTTTGAAAACGCTGAAGAGCATGATGAAGTCCTTGATGGTATCGATCTTCGTCTGAGTGGTTTTCAGGCGCGATCTGGTGAAATATGTATCGGGAGGATCGATGCCTTTATTGAAGAGGAACCCCTTGGCACCATTAATGCTTTGCTCCAAGCCTGCGAATCCTTCGTTCGTATTCTTGAGCTTTGCTGGGTCACCATTTGAAGGCGCCGTCCCGTCCGAGATCTGCATTCCGGGAAGCTGATCCATTATCCTCTGGATATTGTTCCTGCCGCAAGGGAAGAACACCTGATTCATGTCATCGCAATTAAAGCCGGGTTTGTCGATCTTAGTCATTAAGAAAGCCTTCCCCATTTGCAGCTCGTAGACATGATCGATGGACTGTTTGCTTCCAGTCGGGATTCCTGTGGGTGATTCATCCGTAGTGCGGTACCATTTATAGCCTGGTCCTGTTTCGGCACAAGTGTGATTGCCTACGTACCACTTTTTGCAGGCATTGTATACCTGACCATTCAATCCATTTCCGCCATTTGGCTGTTTAGATAGGCCGAGGAATTGCTTCAGCGAAGAGTAACCAGGTTGCGTAGCGCCCTCGCCATTCGGAAATGTGCATGAACCTATTGCACTGAAAGGAGGCGAGTCTCGTTTCTCTAACATCGAACGATAAGTGTCCCTGGATGAAATACCTCGTTTGGCCGCACTACCAGTCGTGTAAGTCCCGTCCTCAAAGGCATCGATTGGATCGTCTGGATACGCATAGGTTGGGCAAGCGCCGGCCGCAGACGAGGAGCTCGAAGAGCTAGAGGACGAGGACGACGAGGACGACGAGGACGAACTACTCGAAGTCGAAGAAGAATCACTGCTGGACGAAGATTGAGATTGCGATTCGGAAGTTGATGATTTGTCGTCGTCATCGTCCTCTTCTTCCTCTCCAGCTTCCTCGAGCGCGTCAAGCTGAGCCTCTATTTCTGGGATGATACCCGGAGGAGGAGGAGGACCGGTCAGTGGGCCGATTTCAGATGAGATGTCGTTCACTATATCTGAGATACAGTTGGCTAGACCCAGAACATCGCCCGCCAAATTTTTGACCGCATCGATAGGATTGAAGAAGCGCTTCTTGGCACCACCACCGGAGCATGGATGAACAGAGGGTGGGAATTCTCCGCCAAGGTTCTTGATGACATTTTCGGTATTCTCCAAGAGATTTTCTATTTCGTGGACGGCCTGTGTCTTGATAGCGGGGAGTGTGATGTCATCTACCCAACCCCTTCCACCTTTGACGAATCCGAGCAAGAGTAAGCCAAAGGCGTGGTCTTGAGAGGATGCAGCAGTAGTTGGAATGGGAGAGTAAGGGATCCCTCCTGGTTGAGTTGTGTTGGGGACGTCAGTATTGACTGAAGGTGAGCTTTGCGTTCCTGAAGATGATGAAGATGATGATGAGGTAGAGGAAGCGCTTGAAAATGTTCCAGTAGACCCAGGCGAGGGACTGTTGGTGCTTGTTGCTGTTGGTGAAGCAGTAGAGCTACTTGAGCTTGAGCTTGAGCTTGACGATGTTAGAAGTCCGTTAGACCCTGAGAACTTGCTCAAAGAAAGTCCATTTGAAATACCACTTCCTGAAGACGAGGAAGATGCTGAGCTAGAGGACAAAGGATAAGGCGGAGAAGTTCCCGGGGAGGACGAACTTGATGATCCTGTCCCCTGACTTGGAAAAGGAGGTGTTTTACTTGACGAAGAACCAGTCCCTGGTAGTCCTTGAGAGGGTCGAGAGGATGTGGAAAGGCCGGTACCGAATGGCGGGGAAGAGGAAGAACTCAACCCAGTGCCAGCAGGCGAAGAGGATCGTGATGAGCTCGAACCAGTGCCTGGTAAACCTTGGGAAGGCCGGGAAGATGAGGATGCGCCTGTCCCAAATGGAGGAGATGACGAGGAAGTAACTCCTGTGCCACGAAATGAAGATGAGACGGATGAACTTGAAAGACTGCTTGATGAAGTCCCGATCGATGAGCCAGAACTCGTAGATTGGGTCGGGAAAGGCGGGCTGGATGAGGATGCTGAGCTAGATGTTGAGGTAGCTTTCGGAGGTAGTGAAGGGCCTGAAAGTGCGAGCGATCCATTGATGAAGATATCGTAAGACTTGTCCAAATTCACACGAGCGTAGTCCACGGTCAGGGTGGGCCCAACCGTTGTAAGGCTTGTGCTGTCAAGAACGACATTGGTAGGGTTGACAACAAAAGACTCCTGATCGATGACTAGAGTTTCTGAAGCAGGAGCTCCTTCGGCTGGGACTTGGTCAGGAAGGGAATTGCTTTGGCCAGCCAGCAGAATGCACGAAAGAATGGAAGCCGAGATCGGCAATGACTGGAAGGAAAACATGTCGTGATAAAAGAAAGACACGAAGGCAAAAGAAGGTCAAACGCAAGGAAGGCGAAAGTGCGGTGCAGAAAGGAAGATGGGAAAGGTCATGGAGGTATATGAAGGCTGTTCATTTTGACTCTGATCAGATGCTGACGGTGTGAAGGATAAGGTAAACTTGGCGAAGCAGCAGCATTATTCGAGCCGAGTGTACCGAACATATGATGATCTTCAAGAGAAGAGAAGGACGCTAAACGACCTGTGAAGTTTCAACTCGTATGGAGTGGAGCGGATCTGGGATGGTAGTGCGTGGACAGGAAATGGCGAAAAGTCGATGGTCAGCCACGACCCAAAGGTTCTGAAACAGCCTAGGGTAGGTGGAAGATGGTGTCCGTAAAGCTTGGGCAGACAAGGCTGGTAAAGTGCCGGGTAAGCCCAACGTTGACATGCATATTATGATTCTGCAAGGTTGAGAAACGAGAACGGGGAAATGAAGAGAGGCATGAGCAGGGGCGCTTGGGGCGATGGCAAGGCCATGATCCCTCCCTGCATGTAGCGGAGCTCACTACCATCAAGTGCCTGACTAGTGGTATAGACCGCCCCCAAGAGTAATCCACGGGCCGGTGGGGTATTTGAGGCCTTCGAGATTGAGCAATCAAAGTGTATACTGAGCATAGCCCCGATGAGGGCTTTTGCAAGCATTGTCTGACCGACGATGTAAGCAGCCGAGGACCAAGATGAGGTCCAATTGTTCTTTCGACGTATTATTGTTATTCCGGGGAGATGTACGGTGGTGGTGGTTGATGTTTCGTCGGAGGTTGAACAACTGAACAAGCTTTTTCTCAGGCCTGCCAAATCTTGTCTCGGGAAGCTCCGCCGCACAGCGACAGCTGTATGGCAGAGATGCCCCCACTACTACGACTATCGTGACTTAGTACTGATCATACTGTTCTAATGCGTGCATTAGATGAAACGGCCCATCTTATCAGCCAATGATTATACAAATTCAATCAGCGTGTGATCAAAGGGGGGCCGATTTCAAACCTAGTTGGGGTCGCGGGCGATTATCGCGGCCCATATTCTGCAAGAGAAAAGGGGGCTCACCCTGCTGACGCAGCTCATTTCCTCCCACCTCCTGGTACCTCCTCTGAACTTACCAAGTGCGGTTAGCCATTCTCATGTTGATGATCGACGGTAAATTAGGAGGTAGGGCTGATTGCTCCTTATGCCGTTCAACATCAATCCCCACATGCCCTACTCTTACCTCTAGATACTGGGTAAAGGGTAGGCCATGTCTCGTAAGGGTATCTTTGACTATTAGCTGTCGGTGTTCAACATTATCTTCGTCTGTGCTGCTTTCATATGCGTCGTCCCCCGGCCACTGTCTAGCCGTTTGCGTCGGCAATTGTCTGAAAGCGACACCATGTGCACCCAGAATCCATATGCCACTTCGATTCGTGCGAAGTCTTCTTTGGTATCACATAAGTTTGCGTCTTGTTCGTTGGCTGTTTCTTCCCAGTTTAAAAGAAAAATGCGATTGGGTTGGTGACGGTGGACGTTGGCACGTCCCAAAACGCGCTGTCACCCCGCAATAACGCGTTCTCAACTAGATACACGCACGATCACGCTCGGGTCGATATCTTCATTTTGCATTTGCTGAAGATCGTGTGCATCGGCACACTACCGTCCGCAATTGGCTACCCTTGCATGCCACATTCCTGTGCGATCTAGGGACGCGTGCTCTCCAGCGGGCGGTCGCAGAAACCCAGACGTGTCAAATGCTTCCTAATTAATTCTACTATGATTACCTTTGTCGTACGCTGCAGACGTCATGAAGATTGCTGGCTAGGAAATCGCTATGCGATGGCTCTCACTAGCCAGCTACACCATTTTCCTTACCTTAGTACCACCAACAAAGAGTCAGGCCACCGTGTGTCGCGCGACCTATGGGTATGCCAACTTCATTGAGCCGCTGTCAAAGTAATTATACTCACATGCGTACTCAGCCCGGGACCTTCAGGCAGAACGATCCTAATCCAAGTTGTGCTTCAGAATCGGCCAATCCAACGTCGTCAAGACTCGAATGTCTATCTAGACTGGACCGGGGACACAGAGCCAAATTGTGCTACTTCCTCTCTATACACTATCCAAGACGGCCGGCTTCTAGCAGATGGAAAATTCATATCAGCACCAGCAAATATACCACTTGTACAATTCTCTGCTTCGGAAGCAAGAGAGGAAATAGACACCATCTTTGGCGTCACTGGTGACACACTCTTCTGGGACAATCCCGCATTCGACGGTGGTACCGCAAGATTCTGCATTGATCAAAACAGCAATATTAGTGCTGTATTCAATGGCGATCTACCCAACGACTGTTCCCCCATAGTTTTGAGAACAAGAAGCCGTACGTCTGCCCCTACTATTAAACCACAGAAGCATAGTGCCAGTCGCTGATGCCATACCGTAACTTTCTAGTTAATACATGCCCCCAAAGATCGCAAGCGTCAGGAGGCTTCTTGGCCCCTAGCACCTCTTCCGCGGCATACTCAGCTAGCGTAGCTTCAGTAACGACCAGGCTGTTATCATCTTTGTGGGTTCTATTCGGCACTGATGAAACTACTCTAACAAGTCTCTCTAGCGGCGCTTCAGTGCCCAGGCCATCATCGAAAGTCACCGCATCCTATGGTGGCACAACAGCTATTCCCTTTTCTGCTTTCAGCCAATCGTCTGATATACCAACAAGCGAGCACAGCCAGTCACTTCAGGTACCGGGTGCTGAGACTCTGACTACTTTGTCTGCTGGGGAATCTGCCGAATCATCTCAGGCTCGTCCGACCCCCAGAATCAGCATGGCGGCTTGCCAGCAGGAGGGTTTTCACTATTACCAGACGACAGCTCAGAGCAGCTGACTAGCGAACCCACGAGCTCGGGCAGCAGCGAAATAGGTGATACTGCTTCAGTTGCGGGCGTCTCGGCGGTCCAGTCCCCTAGTCCAGATCAAATCCTTAGACCGTCAACGAAAGAAAACAGCAACTCCTTGGATCCAGTTACGCAAAGTCTAACCGGACTTTTAGCCTCGCCTACAGAATTGGAGGGTCCAGTCGCAGAATCTTCGCAACCGTCTTCAAGGCTTGCGACTCCGACCAGCGACGTGGCACAGGCAGGCATTCTGAGCAGCTCAGCAACTGGGCCGGATCAATCTCCTCCAGAAAGCGAGCCAATGCTGTCCTTGACCCCTCTCGGCGAAGCGACTTCTTCGCCTGTCAAACCAACAGCTCCATCATCTGCCATGGTGCAAAGCAGCCGGAGCAGCCGCGTACCGGAAGAAGAAGTATCTACCATCGAAGATGGCAACCCGAGTTCTACTGGGAATCTACCCCCTCCCATCCCGTCTTTCGAAGCCTCTACTACCGACGTCCCAAGGCCTACACGACCATTCACAACCGATAATTTATCGCTCTCTGGAGGCCCCAAGAATCCGCCCTCATTGACCTCCCCAATGGCTTACAGCAGCGGTAATACTTACTCGCCAACGAATATGTCTGCTAACGATGTGAACAACACGGCAGATTCGATACTGGCGCCTAAACAGACTATGTTCTCGTACAGCTCGACGACCCCATTGGGTGCTGTATCGTTAATAGATTCCTTTTCAAGTTTGAGCGTGACTTCAACACAACTCCCCTTCGACTCGCGTGACACCCCAACGATCAATCAAATCCGTACCTTGCCTAGTACTGGGCCAGAGCCAACGCTGCACCTTTCAACGACCACCTCAAGTTCGGGTCGATTGCCCGTACAAAGTAGCGTTGGCCCTTCGAATTCATTTTCCTCTCGCGAACTCGACATTTTGTCATCAACTTCACCGTCAAAATCCTCATCCCAGCCATCATCATTGCCCGACTCACGTACAAGTCAAGCGTCTTCCTGGAGCCAACCACTGGCTTCTCAAAATGAATCAAGCCCGGTCACATCGCCCTCGCCATCGACAGGCGATACATCTTCAATTCTAGTTGATACAAGAAAGTCGGAGGACTCCGTCCCTAATTCTTCCGTCCCATCATCAAGATCAACCATATCTCTCTCGCTGGCAGACGAGCCATCATCCTTCGCAACATCAGGTTCTGAAAAAACCTCTCTCTTTACATCCTCTGCGACAAATGATGCTGCGTCAAGTTTCCCCTCCATCTCCACCAGCCTGTTGGGCTCAATGGCACCTTCCATGTTTGCTTCCAACAAACCTTCTTCCTTTCCACAGGAAACCGCCACACTATCGATGCCGTCTCAGTCACTGTCTGATGGACTCGTGTCAAGTTCACCAGCTGAATCAGGCAGAATTTCTACGATTCAACCCTCCAGATTTGGAGACGGGAGCGACACAGCTACCGGATCTGCTACCAACCGTGATATATTAACTATTCCATCTTCGTCGAGCTTGAGACAAGTCTCAATGACATCTAGAAGTGTATCAATCGTGGCAAGCACAATATCTGCCTTTGGCTCAGCGGAGACTTCTATGAGCATTCCACTTTCTGCTAGTAGCCAGAGCTCGGCGGGAATTTCAAGCAATAGTCTCGTCCTGCCCCCAACAGGATCAACTGAGATATCTTCAACAGAGTTCACTATGACCGACGGGAATTTCATACCGTCACCCACTGAATCCGTTGCCGCTTCTTTGATTCAATCTAGCCAGACTGTTCAAAACTCTCATGCTATTACCAGTCAGCCTACACTGATGGCCGAGACTTCACGAAGTAGCAGCGAAAATCTAAGTCCTTCGCCCCCCGACTCAGCGGGAATATCAACATCAACATCAGATGAAACGCCAAATTCTTGGCAAAGCCAGCCTCCTACAATCATGATGGGTGACATGGGCAATACAACCACATCTCATAAGTCTAGCGCATCTGAACTATCAGTCGTTTTTACTAACACGGACAACTTCGGATCTAAAGTATTGACCACCGACCAAGAATTTGACACCTCATTCACCATGTCATCGAGCTCGATGACGAGTGCGGTTGTCTCAGACCATTTTGATATCACCAATTCTCGGGATTCAAGTGAACTGACTTTAAGTGATGTAGTGGATACCTCTGCGCCGCCGATATCGTCTTCGTTCGGAACTGCTCCCTCTCTTAGCCTATCATCTCTTGAAATTAGCACATCATCCGGAAGCTTCTTGAATCTAGACTCTGCTAAGCAAACTGTGAATTTTGTTTCTTCTGATTCTCCAAACCTGTCCTTGGGACCATCCATTCCAACAACTTCAGGCTTGACCTTCACTCCAACCTCGAGCGCCTTTGTTACCTCCACGAGGGAACCCGCGCCGACCCTCACCACGTCTACGTCAGCTATGGACGAGTCTGAATCTAGTGGGACTATCTCCGAAGATTCGAGCAGGTCACCTACGGTGTTTCCCTTTAGATCTGGAGAGGGCGAAGGTATGGCTACTACTACTGCTACTGGTCCTGATAACTCAGCTTCGTCACTCTATTCAGGTTCAAGTGAAATCTCGATGCCTTATCTATCCACTTTTCCCCCTCCATCTTTTTGGCATCGACTCTTAATATAGCTGTTGCAAGTACAACTGGTGCAACCTCCGAATTTACCTCCGATGATACCTCAGCTAAGGCCGTGACCTCTTCCAGTAGCCGAGATTCCGGAGTAACCTCAAGCGGTAGCATTTTCCTATCATCATCTACTATTGAAGGAGCATATTCTACGTTCCCGCATCCTTTTAGTATGGATTCGGATTTTGTTACGACTGGGTCCAACTACACATCATTTACCGAACTAGAGACTTCATCTGCAATCATCTCGGCGAAGGAGTCAAGCTCCGCTCTGACAAGTCTGTCTACTGATTCTAATAGCGTTTCTATTTTTTTGTCGATTGATATCTCTTCCCCAAGCGACACATCAACATACTTGCCGAGTGAATCTTCTGCATTCACAATACAGGGTGCAGACCTGACGACCTCGTCGTTCAATCCTACCGGGGTTGGATTTACTTCTGATGTCAGGCTACCTGAGTCGTATTCTCTCTCCTTGACGAGCGGATCCCCAGCTTCGGAAGCCACATCGTCAGCTTTGACTACGAATGATACATCTGTTGGTATTTCGCCAGAGGTCTATTCTACATCATCGACCTATGCTAGTGCAACCACTACTTACTCGTCCAATGAAAACACCGCGCTGTTCGTATCGACTTCGCTGGGAACCCCAGAATATCTTACATCTTCAATAACCATGTCTAATATACTGTCACATAGCTTATCGGAGACCTTGCCAACCAATAACACGGTGGAAGATATGAATACTGGTACCACCGCCTCAATAGTAGACTTTACTCTATCGATATCGAGTACACCTACACTTTCGAAACTTACGAGTTCTGAAATAAATAGTCTGGATATCAATAGCTCTCAGTTTGCCAGCCGATCTTTTACAGATCAAAAGACCACGAGTGTAGAGTCCAACAACCCGAGATCTGATTCCTCGGATCCTAATACGTCGAGAAGCACCGGACAAGACGCTCTCCGTTCAGGACTCGCCGGCCCGGAAACTGGCAGCTCAGAGAATGGCAGTTTAAAAAGAAGCAGTGCTGAAAGTGGCAGCATTGTCACGACCAGCTCCCAACTTGCTAGCGCAGAAATCACGACTTCGGCAACCAACAGCCCTGAAACTACTGGTACGAAGGTTGCCAGCCCTGGATCGAGCACTTCAGAGTTTCCCAACTTAGATAGTAGTAGCTCGAAATTTTCTCAGTCTCAGTCGACCATCTTCGAGTCAACATTAGCGCGGTCGACTAGTTCGGAGTTGAAGACTTCACAAGGTAGCACGTCTGAACCGCCCTCGCTTCTATCAATCACCACACAATCTAGCATGTCCCAGACAAGTACCTCCACCATTGCCCCTTCGATTGCACCTACTTCAGGATCATTCAGTTCAGCGCAACAAAGCCCTGGAGAGAGCCCTCTCAGTACAACAGCATCAGGGTTGAACATTATATCCTCGACGTTTATAAGCGACAGTAGTAGTTCTAGTCAGGCTGGCACTCCCGTACAATCCACAAATCCTGGCATGGTCAGTTCTCCACCAGGGTCTGTTTCCGTTTCCAACCCGACCAAACAATCTACGAGCAGTCAGCATAACGCAACAGGGGTATCTGAATCGTCCTTAGCTTTGGAATCAACAAATTTGTCTAGCTCTACATCGGCTTTGAGTACAGACGTCAACTCAGCGGGCCCTTTTCAGTCGCAGGAAACTCGCGGTGGTCTGTCTATATCGATTGAGTCTGTTGGTCAACCCTCAACAGCGATCCCAGATTCTAGTAGTCTGCCCTCGGAATCAACTAGCCCGAGCGAATACTCTTCTTCCTCCGGCAATCTTTATCCGACGGAAACACTAAGCTCAGATCGACTGTCTACATCCTCGAGCAGCGGGTCTTTCACATTAGCGGCGTCCTCCACGAGAGGCTCAAGTGCCTCAACGACTCCAGTGCCATCTTCCTCTTCAATGCTGGCTCCTGCACTTTCAATGACTTCGATAAATACAGCATCATCGCTGTCGACGAGCTCAGCGACCACCACAGCTCCCACTAACAGTGTAGCGTCTTCTTCTCCGACCGACTTGGCCTTTACATCTTCAAATACCTTGACTACTCCTGTACCTTCTTTCTTGAGCAGCGTGACATCTGGCTCGTCGAACATTCCAGCTTCTGCCCTCTCGGACACTCCGACTGTCTCAACGTCTTCATTCTTTGCGACCTTCTCTTTCACTCCTTCGGATGCTCTTAGAAGCGAATTCACATCTTCCTCATCAAACGATATGGTATCTGTGACTTTTAGTACTCCGACGATTCCCGCAACATCTTCTTATTCTTCCTCATCACTCAATTTTACCCCCACGTCACCATCAAACTCATTGACGATCGCGGTAAATTCCTACTCTTCGACCAGCCTGGCTTCTGCATCTCCAAATACAATATCGACTGCAGACGTTTATACGCCCTCTACCAACCTCGTTTCTGGATCGCCAACTCATCTATCGGCTGCAGGGACTTCGCCTGCTGTCAGCAACCTTTCCTCAGTGTCCTCAAATACCCTCATGACATATGCGACTCCCTCCTCGTTGATTAGTCTGGCTTCCTTTTCCTTAGATTCTCTCACGACTACAGCGACCTCTCCAAGTACTACAATTTATCAAACCACGTCTTCATATTCAATGATGACTACAGCACCCCTCTCATCCATGTCGACGAACATCGCTTCCGCATCATTTGATACTCTGTCAGCTGCAGGAACCTCCGCTCTCTTGACCAGCATTGTTCCAACGTCTTTGACAAATTCCGTCTTACCAAATAGCATGACTTCGCCTTCTTCGAATGCTCCCGCCACAACAGCCACCTCTTCCACTACTTTGAACAGCCTGGTTTCCACGCCTTCAAATTCTATGGCGACTACAGCAACCTTCTCCTCTTTCGAGAACAGACAATTTTCCACGGCTTCAAATCCTCAGACGAGCGCCTCAACCTCGAGTGCCTCAGCCTCGATTGCCCCAACCTCGAATGCCTCAGCCTCTTCTTCCTTGAGCAGCTCAGCTACTACCTTACCCAGTATTTTAACGAGTGCTTCAACTTCTGCTTTTTCAAGCAGCCTTGCTAATACTTTGACGAGTGCTTCAACTTCTGCTTCTTCAAGCAGCCTTGCTACCGCCTCATCTACTACTATAACGAGTACCTCAACCTATTCCTTAACAAGCAGCCTAATTACTGCATCATCAAATTCGCTGCCGAACACCTTGGCCTCCTCTTTTTTGAGCAGCTTAGCCACCGCGAGTTTTTCAACCTCATTTTCCTCAAGTAGCGTAGTTGCCGTCTCCTCCAATACTCTGACGACTCCTTCAAGTGCCGGCACACTTCCTACTTATACGACCAGCACAGCATCTTCTTCCGCTACCCTGGCCTCCTCAAGCTATACAAGCATAAGTTTCACTCCTGCAAATACCTTTGCCACTGATTCGAGGGTGGTATCGCCCACAGCTTATACGACAAGTCCAGCATCTTCCGCGACATCTTCCACAGCTCAGACTTCCACCTCGTCGAGCCTTCTGACGACTGTTTCAAGTGTTCTTACATCCTCATCTACTTCATCCATCCTGTTATCATCTCCTAGTCTAGCGTCTTCTACGACTAGTATGAACTCTTCTTCGACAAACGCATTCCAGGCCTCAATACTATCTAGCCAACCAACATCTATTTTATCATCTACTTCGACGAGCATTTCTATCATCACATCATCGACCATTTATTCTACAAGTCTGGCAACCTCGACTAGTGCCGCGGTATCAACTTCTTCGATTACATCTGTGTCTGCTGCTATGGCCACTTCGTCCTCTACCTTTCAAACGGCTCAATCTTTCTCCTCATCTACCACAAGTTGGTCTCTGACTGGGTCTACTTTGTCTACTTCATCAGTTTGGCCCACCTCTTCCATGATCTCTATCCAGTCTACTACATCAGGGATTGCCACATCGACTTCCGTCACTCAACAGACGACGTTGCAGAGTTCTACCTTAAGCTCAGCTTCTACAACCTCGTCCACGCTATCGACTTTATCGTCAACAAGCATAGATCTAGTCCAGCAGGCTAGTTCTATCATCGCCAGGAATGGCTACAATTATACATCCTTTTGTTCCGATTACTTAGGATACTGTAGCCTTCAGACTACTTACAATTACCAAGGCTTCGTGTCGTCAAGCCTGACAATCACTACACTTGTAGGCATCTCTACTAGGTTAATGACCACCACCCAAGCAGTGACAAGAACTACTCCAGCTACAACTTTGACGCAAATTGCGCAGAGTACAGTAAGTGATACATGTCGTCTTCTCCATGTTGTAATCTAGACTGCTCACTATATTAGATTACTATTGACAGTACTGAAACCGACGTAATCTCAACGACGACAACCAAATTTGTTACCGTGACTCGTCAGCAAAAACATAAGGCACGCGAACTTGATAATCTAGAGCCGAACGGGATAGATGTCGAGCGAAGAGATATCATTCGGCGTCAGAACAACGCGAATACTGCCACTGTTCCACAGTCCTTGACAGCTTTCCCCTCATCTATTATCAGCGCTGCATGTAGTCTGAACGCTTACCAACCTACAAGTTTACCAACCGTAACAAGAACCACGATTTCAACAGTAGTCAATACTCTTTATCAAACTCAGCCATCAGCCTACACCGACCAATTGAACACAGTATCGAGCGAAACAACCGTCAAATTCGGTACTGTGACGACGTTAGTGACAATTGATCCGTTCACTGTACGAAACACACGTACAACTCTCACCACAACGACGAAGACAGAGACAACTGCCTGCATTGCCTATGCTACCCCTGCTGTCTACTTGAGCAGTCCCACAGCCCTTGTGGGCAGTCCGTCAGGCGCAGCGGCAAATTATGATGATTTCTCATATAAATTGACTACTCCCTTTCCCTTACAACTGTACGGATACTCTTCTTCAACCATTTACGTATCTACAAACGGCGTACTTTCTTTCGACAATCCTCCAGGTTGTACGCTCATTACTATTCCCGTTACATACTCTGCGAATTACGTCAACTTTCCGCTGCCGACTGGAGCCTGGACAGCGATCGCTTGCAAGATCACTACAAACACGATACCAGGGTATTCTGCTTTCCCGTTCTGGGATGATACGGTAGAATCACTCATTCTCGATTCGCTAGCGAAGGACATGAACTGACATTCGAGCAGTATGTGTTCAAAGGACAACCTCAGGGAATATACTACCAAGTTGAGGGCACTAAGATCACATTTGAATTTTACTTGTCTCATTACAACGATGCCACACAATACTATCATTACCTCCTCATTTATGATACAACTCAGCCTGGCAACGTCACGTTCAAGTATCTCCAAGTGCTTGACCTTGGCGCCAGTGCTACGGTTGGAGTGCAAGGCAGTAAGTTGTTCTGGCTTTCCTTGACACAAACCGTTATGTTAAGAAACAATTAGACAATCAGTATTTCCTTCAGTGGAGCTACAATGAAACGAAAGTGCAGCCAGGCCTCAGTCTCATCATGGACACTACCAAGAATGTCATCACTTCATCTCTACAGCAGAATACCTGCTGAAATTGTTCACCAAAAGGTATGATCATTTGAAGCACCCTAGGAATTCTGCCCCGCGTGCCTACTGGGAACGCTTGAGCGACGGAACCTTTGGCTTTCCCCCGGTTGAAACACGAAGCGCATGCACTTCTTTCCGTGAGCAAGCTTACTGTAGGTGTGTGCCACTCATGATATCCCAGTCGTGTCCGATCTCGGCTAAGAGGTTTCCACGGAAGACGAAAACCGTGTTCCATGATAAGGTTACATCAAATACTAATGAGATGACGTTCAGGGATATGATATGCTGTGCCACAGGCGAACTTTATTGCATGACGTTAAGGGGCGCATTCGGGCCATGCGTGACGTACCCTACCATCACCAACAGTGGCATCCGGAAAAACGCCATTGACGCAAGGCCGCCACGCTGCCACGCCGCCTAAATAATACGAGTACGTTACAGTATATTGCACTTGTGTTGGCGCAGAGACTAGGGCCATGAATGGCTAAAGCTGGGACATGGGGAGGAAGCTTCGCTGAGCTGTGGCTAACAAAGTCAAATAGTCCAAATTATGTCAGTCATCTTTCATCGAAGGCGAAGCCAACGAGAAGATGTCACTTAGTAGGAGCAGAGTCATGTTTTGGATTACATTATGATTATAGTCAGCCTACTTTCATCTACTAAGACTCTGTCACTAATGGGGCAGGCTCTGGGGTTCTGCGTCTTGTTGGTGAACCTTGCAGCTCCCAAAGCAGTTAATTTTGGCAGTCACCTTTCAACAGAGCAAGCCTCAACCAGTGCTCTTCGTGGTGCACAGCAGGGGCTACTATTGGCACTCTTACCTTTTTAGGTAAATATATCACGTTTACCATCAAAGCTCTGGAATTGGGGGTGATTCTGGACCGCATTCATAGAAGTATAGGCATCGAGTGGGAATAGAGAATCTCATGTCTCTTTTCTCTTGAAATTTATAAGCACTCCCCGCAGGAAGGATCGATGCGTCATCTTCACTTCTACCACAGAGACTGCTAGTTCCAATCTATGCGCCCTTTCGAGGCACCACAAAATCAATTCTATGCTTTGTTTCAAGCCTCTATCAACATCACATCGAATCAGACTACTTCCTAGCATTTGAAGACCTTGGCTTGACTTGCCCAGAGAGATTTAGGAAGTAACCGCACCGCGGACCGCCCGCCATGCTGAAGTCACATGTTCTTCCGACAGCTCGAGCGCTAGCTTGATGATATGTCTCGGTACTCTTTGTGCGCGCGCCAATACAGGACCAGAGTGGTAAAAGACAGGGCTGAGACAACGCCGATGAAGCTCTACCGTGGTCTGACATACAGCTGACAACCCAATGATTTCGTCCGCGAGAGCGCCAGATATTTGTAAAACGCCAACAGATATTCTACGCTTGTCGGCCTCCGACTTATTTCTGGAATGGTGGCGCCCATCATCTTTGATAGCGTTCATGTGATATCTTGCATTCTTGGCTTGTCTCGTCCAAACTACGCTGAGATGTATCTAGAGCTGGATGTAACAAGCGAAGGTAATGGTGACAGCCGCCGTGGCTGCATAAAAAGCCAGTCATTTCGTTACGAGATAGGCTTCCAAAGGTTCTGAGAAGCATCCTTCGATGAGAACATTGGATGTTCAAGTTCTCTTTCACAGCTACGCGGATAGGCGCAAGATATACTCGTCTAAATTATGAAGTATCTGTACGATTTCATGTCTTGGTTAGTGTTGCTGGCTGTAATTATTATCCCTAGCGCGGGTGAGTCTTCACAATCATGATTCGTTCAAAACACATCTGAATATCAAAGATACTGCTGCTGTCATACTACCATGGAGCGAATTACAGGTCAAGAGACAGGTCGAGCCAGTGTCGGTTAGTCCTGTGCCTGACCATTTTACGCCTCATGCACCTCCACTCAACTGGATTGGTTTGGGCGATTCCTACACTGCCAGTCCCGGTACTGGAGAGGATCTGCATGTTGGTTGTGCCCGCAATGTTGGTTCCTACGTCGTCCAACTGGAGAACGATTTCCCTTTTACTGAGACAAACGACGTCGACTTCATTGCATGCTCAGGCTATGTAGCCAACGACGTACTTGAGAAGACAATTCCGGACATCAAACAAGACTCAGCCGATTTCATGGTCATGAGCTTAGGCGGCAACGATATCGGCTTCTCCAAAATCGCCATTTATTGTCTCATAACCCAGTACATTATCACAAGCTCGTGCCAAAAGGTTATCCAAGAAGCCCAAAATCAGCTAGAGAGCGTCCAACTGCAGAACAATATCCACAGCGTCTACGACAGACTATTCGACAAAATGAAAGACGATCGCCACTACCAGCTCTACCACATTTTCTACTCCCGCTTCTTCGACGCCACAGACCCTTGGTGCGATTCCCAGACCTTCCGCGACGATCCCATTGGCAAGATCACAGGCATCAAGCTCACCAAATCCCGCAGGCAACTCCTCAACGACCTCACCGATGCACTCAATGCCCGCCTCGAGGAGATCGCAGTCAATTACATCAGGCTCAAAGTTGGTCGTGCGTCTTGGGCCAAAGCCTCCCGCCTCATCACCATCAACCCGGACAAGATCTCCACCGCGGACGGAACAGGCACATACGGATTATTTGACGGACATCGTTTCTGCGAGCCAGGCGTTCGTAGCCTCGAGAACGATAATGTCTGGTTCTTTGGCGTCCTCGATCATGAAGACGCGGCCGTCGCCCCTGCAGGAACGGTCGCAACGCAAAGAACAAAGAGAGACGAAATGATTAGGAGGGAGCAAATTGAGGAAGCGGGGCGGCTGATGCATGAAGCAAGGGCGAACAATAATGGATCTGATGAAGACGACGCGATTCCTTTTCCGTTGCCGCCGCAGCCTGAGAGTCTTATTCAGTCTTTTCATCCGAAGACGAAGGGGATGACGGCTGTGAAGTCTTTGATGCAGACGGTGTTGCAGAGGGAGAGACCGGCTGAGAAATGAGTGTGATGTGGACTTAGGAACCTTGAAAGATTACTGTGGGCTCTGAGAATCTGGTGAGATGAAAGAGGTCCGGGGAGGTCAAAATTTTCTTTCAAATATAAAATGTGGGTAGTATCTAAGGATCAGATTAAAATACTAAAATAGCTTTCATCAGCCTTTTTAAGGCTGGAACCCCTTGACTGATAGATCAGTGAACCTTGAATCCCCTCGAGCACTCGTCTTCTTGATCGTTCACTTGCTCTTACCCCCTGTTTTCCCCATCCGCTCACTATGTCTCCCGCTTTTTGGATCACGATGGTTTAGATCGATGTTTCCTTTCTCATATGAATCCTCCTCCATCTCATAGGGCAGTGACTGCCTGGAATGTCGCTCCGGGGACAACGTTTCGTAAGGGAATTGTGGTGTATCATATCTTGAAAATGCTTGTACATCCCAAAAGGGGTTATAGTTCGGCTGTAAGTTTGGTGGTGGAGCAAAAGCTGAGATACCAGGAGTGGTCTCTGCGGTTGCTGTTTGAGGATAGGAAGGGGGCGCTTTTTTGGTGCGATCCCCTGACAACGAAGGTGTTTCCTGGTGAACATCTCCATTGGGAAATTTCTTGTTGATGCTCGATCTTGGACGATCAGTATATTTGTTGGTATCTTCTAGGCTTTGCTCAAAATTTGGAACTTCGTACCCGGAGCTGGTGCGTCGGACTTCGTGCTGTCCATGATGCCGCGGCCTCTGTTGATCTCGTCGTCTTCGAGCGCTTTCTCCTCTCAGATGATTCTGCTGTTGGTCATGCTCGTACGTCTGAGCGTCATCGTCCTGGACAGGATGGCCAGATTGCTTCACAATCGTTGCATAAGGGTGAGAGGGGTCGTCGCGGAGGACCTCGTCGAGAGGGTTTCTTGATGGCATGCTAACTCCGCTGATTCAAGGTCTCGTAGAGAATATATTGAGATGTCGATGACAGAGGAGGCCTCTGCCTTTTTCGATGGAAAGATTTCTGGAAGTGATGTGAAGTAAAGAGATTCAGGAAGATGCGGAGGCTTTATCAACTGCAAGGACTTGAGTATATGAAGCTGTGTTTTTGATAGCTGTCATGGGGACCAAACACTCTTGTACGACACTGTTGTTGTAAAACACAACAAAACGAGCACGAGTATCGTGGACAAGACGCGAGTGTTTAGAACCTATCTCAACACAAGAAAATATCACATCTTCAGATGTATTCAAGAGTGCCACTATTTGCGTATGAACATTTGCTAGGAATCTTGTTACGGATTGTCCATCGAGGCCGAGGACGTGTAGCAACAGCCAACGAATCATCATTGTCTATCGCTCTCGAGTTTCATAGACATGGAACACATCAGAAAGAGTGTCCTCTATAGGTCATATACTTCCTGTGGCAAGTGCAGGTTCCTTCATCATGTTCTCATGTTTCTAAGCTAGCTCACTGACATGGAGTCAGGTCACGCGTCATTGTCACCGCAAAGAGCTCAAGACCGTAAGAGGCCACCATTGACGTGAATTCGATCGGAAAACCATTGCATCGTACGCAGACGTATAAGAACCAGTCCTTCACGTTTCTCCCTCCCGCTGGCCGACCGCAGATTTGGCTGGACTTATCATCGGTGAGAGAGAAGCGTACCACATCCCACGAGCCCGAAAATATCAGATTCACGGTACTCGGGTCCTACGATGTTTCTAAGAAACACCAGTGAGAAATGATCTCTGGCTCTTCAATCCAAGCACGTATTTCTCCCGCGAAATACTGAAAGACTTCCTCGTTGGAGACAATGTTCGATGTATGTCGAACATCCCCATCATATCGTCAGCATGTGCTTTTTCTTCAAGAATGATCTCATCATTGGAGGTTCGCTGGCAACTTGGACAATATCTGCCGGAAACCAATATCCGATCATAAAATTCGAATTGATGTTAACTTCCGCATGACGACCATCGATATTTGGAGTTACGAGACAAACCAGCACAAATCAAAACTCCATCATGCTCAATGGCCCTCGACAAGTGCTGCGTTCCGATGTGAGACATCCAACATACAACGAACAACGAATACATACAACGCAATGTCTTTTATTCATCCGCCAGATTTTCATGCATGCGCCGAACAAAAAAGTTGGCGAATTAAGCCGCCTGTCAAAATTTTATAAGTCCGAAGAACAGCAGAGATAGTGCTTGATTGACCTTGACTTCAGAGGTATTCACTAGGCAGCAAAGATGTGGATGAGACTCCAAGGTGCCGCACAATTGTGGCCATTGTTCATTTGCATTTGCAACGCATTGACCCTCCCAACCCCACCTGTTAATACAACGGATATTGCAAGCTTGGACTCGCAGACTAACGGGAGGCTCAGTTACAGGATTTCCACAGGCACGAAACTTTTGGACAAACTCGACTCCTATATCGTTGCCACGCAGATTCTTGCATACTTATCACGCCTTGATCGTCATGGCACCGAGCCAAGACAGACTTTCGAGTACAAGTCTGTCTTCATCCAAGTCTCGGTTCCAGGCGCACCGCAGGATGTCCGGCTGCCGCGCTATCTCCTGGTGTGGATACTCGGTCTAGCGACAGGCTACTTGTCTGGTCAGACACGCCCAGTCGAGGTAGATTTTACGCCGCAGATCGATGGTCGTCCTGCGGGTCTTATACAATTTATCCCAATTCATCCAACATCCGGACATTCGGAAGCAACCCAGAATATCACCCTCCCGCAAAGAGGCAACGAGACAAACAAAGATAACAGCTTTCCTGGAAAGGAAGGTGAAGTGAAGAATGTGTACATGACAGCGACATCTAGTCAGAAAAACTCGAATTTAACGCAAGCGTCTGTATCATTCGACCACACAAACACAACAGAAATAGCCGCATCATCTAACGCAAATATCGCGACCACCATCGATTATGTCTCAAATATAGACTATGGGTACGCAAATTTCTATTGGCTATTGTCCAATTTTTACGGCATCCTCTTCCATCGGCCAGGCAATCAAGAGTCCGAAGACCAAGCATATGCGATTGCAGGCTGCGCACTGGTAATCAGTGTTCTCAAAGCAGACCGGGCTGTCCAAGAGAGCCGGCCGTTTGTAGTTGATAACGTGCTAGACGGCCTTGATCGCATCTTGGCGCAGACGATAAGGCTACGCTTGTATGAAGAGCTGTTGGCTAAAATCTTTGACTTGACTGGGGGTACGACTTATGGTCTAGGCAGTATTATGATTGGGAGGAATCTTTCTCCAGGCAGGTCTGATGTTCAAGTTAGCTGAGAGGTTTGCATCATAAATTGTCAGATTAGGTGGGATTTTGGTGGTTCAATAATAGATTCTTGGAACTCATGAGCGAACGAATGAGATATCAAACCTTGAGTATACGCTGTACTTTTTTCAATCCTCGGCGGTTTGTATCAGCATGGGCTCCGCTACACCAATGTCAGCCAATGGAATTAGCGAAAGGCTCGCAATATCATTTCTAGCGTGACAGGTATTGCAAATCTCAGAAAGGCCCACAAAAGAAGAGCAGCATTTCTCAGGCTGGCACAAATCCAGCCCCAAAGGTTTTGATAGAGACCAGTGAAGGAAAAATGCCTAAGTTGGAGTCAGGGAGATGCAAGTGCTCGTATCAAAATATGGCAAGGCAGCGCCTGATTGGGTGAGCGACTTGTTGAGGCATGAATCCCAGTGGCCGATAAAAAGTCATGATTTTAATTTTCCTTCAACACCACGCTTTCAACAAATTATACTCATGCAAACGTTAGCCATCATATGTTCATCCCGCTCCTGCTTTCATTCGATCCGTGGCGGAGTCTTGGAAGCCGACTTGAATGGACTTGAGCTCCTCCTACATCAAGCTGTCAGCCTCCGCTGCCTCAAATCTTTGCACAGGGATACTCACGACCTTCTCCTCTCCCCTTCCTTCCTATATCCCTCAATAATTCTCAACATATCCTTCCGTCCCTGACTTGCATTCACATATTTGCCCGCCATGCTCATACTGACCTGCTGCTCACTCTCCACCATCAATAGCTTCTTCAGTAGCAAATGTCTCATCTGTATGCAAACAAAGACCCCACAGTCGCTGCTATTCTCCTGTCTCGGACTATCCGGCAGATCCAAGCATTTCAACGGCCGTCTCATCAATTGGCTCAACTTATACGTCGCCACCTCCGCTTCTGCATGATTTGCAGGACAGAGGCTATCGTAGTGGAAAGCGATGCCGTCGAGGACGGAGACGAGAAGGAGGGACCAATGCGAACCACCTTCGGCGAGATTGGGGTTCTGGCAGTCATTAATGGGAAGGAAGATGTGTGTCGTTCGTTTGAAGTCGGGGAGAGCCGTCTTTAGAGTGTCCGGGTTGGCGGTCTGCATTAGCAGGAAGGACATGCTTGGCCGGAGGAGGACGATGTGGGCAGTGTGTTCTTTTGCCAAGTGTTCACGCTCGAGGTATCTGCGGAAAGCGAGGCATTAGGAGAGGCGGCGGAGGAGGATCTGAGGAAACGTTACTCTTCCCAGAACGATATGCTCTGTTCATAGATTAGCCAAATCAACGAGCCTGCGGGCATATTCGGCGTACATTGTCCGTCAACCAGTCGTCCTTCAACGTCCTGATGTCTTCTCTTGTCACTAGGCCGCATCAGCGGTGTTCAATCTCATTACGCCTTTGCGGACGCACACACATCGTACGTCATGATCTGAACCAGGCATTAGCTTGAGCACCTTTATCGTGGGGAGCTTGATCACGTACAACTGAGATACGGATCATCTGGGTTCAGCTATGAAGGCCTGGTCAGCATCGTGCGATTCCTCTTTGGACCCTTTCTCCTTAACAGAGCTCGTACATGGTTCTGTAACGCAATGAGAAATGGCAGCTGTAGACCTACTTTCTCCCCAAATTGCCGACTGACTCGTCCACCAAATGGGTGGAAGCCGGAGTCGCGCATGTCTGCGCAGAGAGGACGTTGTATGGACTATCAGATTGGACGTGCAGCTTGCGAGTACGGAAGAAGTGGAAGATGAGGGTAAGCCTTCGAGGGACTTGGAAGGTGTGTCGTACAAGAGGTGTTGCAAGGGGGCGCCGAGACCAATGTCGAGGAGACTCAGTCCCCTGGCTGTCAGGTCCAGCCGATCATGTGTTCACTCCCCAACAAATCCTTCAGTGATGAAGAATCTCTATGAAGTATCATAACGCTATCTAATGGGCGCAAGCTTAGTGAGTGACAGTGCGGCTCTGCGGATGCCAACGCTGGTTCTAGCTGCAAGATATACATCTCCGATTGCATCATCCAAAAGTAAGCAACATATACTCAGCAAACAATACTAGCATCTGCATGTAAATCTACGAGTATCACACGTCTCCTGTCTGCGCCAAAAACTGGCATATAATACAACAAATACGCTTTGAACGCTGTCCCTGAATAATTCTACCTGACCTAAATATCATCTTCATCCATGTCCACATCGTCACCAGACTCAATGAACACCAATCGTGTGCCTTGGGCAGCGGTTTGCCAGACCTATCAGAGACCATTAGCGACGAAGCCAGCCCGCAAAGCATGGGAATACTTACATCAAGCATTGCGTACTCATCCACCGCTTGGCTGAACTGATCCGCCGTGAAGCCTTTCGCGATGATCCTCTCCTTCACCTTCTTGATACTAAGTTCTCCCCTACTGCCATCACCCACAGCTGCAGCACCACTATCTTTCATCGCCCGAACAAGATTGTAAATCTTGCTGCTCGGGCTCTGATCTTTCATCCCCCGCCCATCATTGTGTAAGCTCGCCTTGCTCGTCTCGATCAATCGAAGCGCCTCATCCACATCATCAGTCACTACCTGTGATGAGAAGCGTAATCGGGCTAGAGCTTGCGCGAGACGGAGGACACCAAGAAGCGTACGCGGAGAGATGTGTGAAAATTGTTTCTTCCCGCCTTCATCTCGTTTTTGTTGCTGTCGCATGCGCACGTACGCGCCTGTCATGTATTCTGAGACCTCCTTAGGAATGACTGGTCGCCAGCTGCGTGCTTGAGCAATGTACTGTCGAACTTCGTGAGGTGTGAATATCACGCCCGTGGTTTCAGGATGCTTGTTGTTCATATGAACGAAGGTGACATGGCTTGCTAATTCTTCATCTGCTTCCCGAGTTGGCTGATCAAGCATCAAGAAGAGGACGTCGAAACGCGACAAGAGTGCGGCAGGAAGATTGATGTTTTCGACGGGTGAAATGCGAGGGTTGTAGCGGCCATATATGGGATTAGCAGCCGCGAGAATGGAGGTTCGAGCATTGAGAGACGTGGTGATTCCGGCTTTGGAGATTGAAATGGTTTGCTGTTCCATCACTTCGTGGATTGCTGTTCGATCGCTGTCGTCCATCTTGTCAAACTCGTCGATGCAGCAAATTCCGTTATCTGCCAGGACCAGAGCACCACCTTCCAACACCATCTCATCGGTCACTGGATCTCGCATTACAGCAGCGGTCAGACCGACACCACTACTTCCTCGACCGCTGGTGTATACGCCGCGAGGAGCCACTTTAGAGATGTACTTCAAGAGCTGCGATTTGGCTACACCAGGATCACCCATCAAGCAGACGTTGATATCGCCTCTTATGCGCATGCCGTCGCCCATCTCCTTTGTGACACCACCAATTAGGAGCAAAAGTAAAGCCTTTTTCACATCAAGATGGCCGTATATTTCAGGGGCAATCGACTTTGCCAGGTACTCGTACATGTGACCGGAGTGTTTATACTGCTCTATTCTCCGAAAAGTCCTGGCATCAAATGTGAGATCATCATATGCTTGTTTGTGTTGGTTGATATATTGCGCCTCCAGGTAAGTGTCCGTCAAAAGACCGGCTCGAATCGCTTTGAAGCCGGTATAAGGCGTAGGAAGGAATATACCGGCGATATCAACGATGTCTCCCGGATTTATCTGCCGGCAAACCGTACCGTGACAGTGAATAGTGAGTGTTCTCGGTATATGACCGACAGGTACTTGGTCTGCCATCTCTTGGATCTTCGCTTCTTGGAAAGGTAGAAATTTGGATGCTCGAGTTGAGAGAAAGAGCTGTCCTTTGGAATTGTTTTGCTTGCACTCTTCCGAAGGACATTCAGTCATAGGCGTGAATTGTTTCGAGGTGACTGGTTGGAATATCTCACACCCACATCGATCGCAGGTATAGGCGTTGACTTGAACAGCTGGCTTGACATCGGATACTCTTGTCGCAATTCCTCGCACTGTGATCAACCTCCCAAGATGTTCTCCCCGTACGTTTCGAACCGCAAGAGCCTTGTTGCTCTTGGTACTATCAGCCCCGGCAGGCGACTGGGGTTTGATGACGAGTGTATATCGCCTCGTCAATGCTGCAGGAAATATCGACTCCGGCCTTGATGGTTCGATTTCATTTTGTGCAGCCAGCACGACACTCTCGTTTCTTTTCTCTCTCTGTGACATGATAATGTCTAAAACATCGTCCTTGAAATTGACCTCTTTCGTCTCGTTTGGCATCACTTTATCGACTGCTTGAGAAATTATGTCAATGTAGTGTTTCGCATTTTTTTCTATAGAGTCGACTAATCGTAACGTCTGCTCTTCGTAGCTCTTTTCGTACTGTCAAACATCGTTAGCAGTCAGGAATGCGCATTGTAAGGAGAGACCGTACGTTATCCAAATCGTCCAGTTCAATTATGACTTCTTTCAGCTGCCGATCCGCGACTTTCTGTAGCAAATCCATATATTTTTGCCGCGGTCCTCTCGTTCCATTGCCCTGTCTTGTTGGCTTGCCCCCTACTACATCGTCCATGGTATCATATTCATCTTCCGTTGCATCGCCATCGAGATTGAGATCTTCTATTGCTTCTAGGTCTGTTGAGGTTGACTTATAGTTCTGTAAGAAATCTTCAAATGCAGCTGCAGTCAGGGTCAGCCAATTGCTTTGTGTAAGGACTTGATGAACATGCCCTGCTGGGCTTCATAGTCAACCGGGGCTTTCCAAGTCAAGAGCGACATAGCGCATTCAATCGCAACAAAGATATCTCTAAGTTGAGTGAGTTGCCGAGAAACACAGAGATTGAGTACGAATATTCCCCGTCGCAAAGAAGGAGTGGGTGCGTGCTTGCGAGGGTTGAATGTAGAGCTGCTTAATTGAAAGACGCGTCGCGCCCTGAACGCGTTTAGGGTTGTCGGCTGTGTCCGAGCCAATCACATCCACCTAAAAATGACCTCGGCAGAGTCCAAAATAAATCGTGAGGTCCGCCTTACCTATACAAATGACCGGGTGGGAGAACAAACCGTGTACATATGCTGAACTGTTGACATGACTTGTGGCAACAATGTCTTTTTCCACAGCCGAGCTCAGGCTTGTGCCACTGCGGACGTGCTTCGCCACTATTCCACAATCTCTCAAACGTGTACTCGATAACGCGAATGCTGTAAGTCCGGTCAGACTTCCAGTGGTACATTGACTAATTTTCAGAGGTCGTCCAAGACGTCATCGTAGAGCTACGAGCTGCTACGCCCTCTAAAGGCCCGTCCGGTACCTCAAAATCGTTCTACGTGGGGTGGGCCGGGGATGCGACTCGGTCGGAATCCTCGGCGCTCGCAAGTAGGGGCAGTAAGAGAAAGCAGGGTTCTGTAGATATCATCGAATTAGATGGTATCTTTGGGCGTACACTTGGCCTTGTAGACGGTCAGAAGGTTGGCTCTTATCTAAACAACCCTTTCGGTCGGCTGAATACAGCCAGGTTAATGTGCAGCTCCACCTAAGCCCTCCTTTGGCACACACGGTCAATGTAGAACCCTTGGAGCCGAGTGACTGGGAAGGCAAGCCATGACATTCTTTGCGTATGGCTCACACTAATAGATGAAATCAGTCATCGAAAGTCGCGCGAGCTTCCTCGAAAATTACCTACTCTCCCAAGTCAGGGCTCTCCCAAATCCGGTATCAAGCGAAGTGCAGCCTGGTCATCCCATAACCATACATCTCTCGCCGACCTCTACCGCTAATATCATAGTCACATCATTGACACCCTCGCCGAGTTCCGCTGTGCCATTTGTAAAATTGGCCCCAGATAGTGAAGTCATTGTTGCCCCGAAGCTCCGATCACGACCCAGTCATCAAAATAGAACCACAAGTCAAAGCATTACCAGCAAAAGGAGTATTGGGACCCGCGAAGCCCGTCGCAGAAGTGGCAGGGAATCTGAAGGGTCAAATGCGCTGTTTTTGCGTCCTGTGGACAAAGCTCTTTGTCAAGACTACTTTGATCGACAAGCTGATATCACAGAAGAGAAAGTCTGGCCATGTTTGTGGGTTGACCGGGAAGTTCTTCAGCATCGCACGCTTAAAGGCGTGAAGTGGGTTTATGCATCAATCATGAAGCCAGCTACCACCAAGGCTCCACTAGACTCCCATCAATATCAAAAGTTGAGAGACGCAAAGGCAGCCGAAGCTGGTGTACCCTCTACGAGAGTAGTCGCCAGGTTACTAGAATGGCAAGATGCCTTTGACACACGCCATGCCGCTATATCCCCCCTTTGAGCCTGGTATTAGGAGCTCGAAATATTTGTGGAGGTGTTCTCCGCATCTCAGCAGCACCATCACAATCTTCCAAAAGCGAAACAGGGGGCTTGAAACTTTTCCCGATACTTAAAAGCGAAAGTGATGAAGATGGACTGAAGATTGGTGGTCAGCGGGATATCAAGAGAACATCGGTCTCGTGGCTTATTGACAGTGGTCTGTTGAGTGGACCTATCACAGATGGACAATATCTTCCTCACAACACTCGTGCCGCTTGGCCAGGTGGTATCATTAGATTCCAGAGCCAACCCTCTAGTGATACCCGAGAGACCAGAGACGATCCGAGATGGTGCTTCGGCTCCGAATATAGGGGCAATGTCAGCCTACAGCAAAGCATACCCGAGCCTGTTGGCTTCGGCGACGAAGAAGGATTTGAAGGAGATCTGCATCTGCAGCCAGGTACTCTTATTGGAGTTGATGACGTTCAAGAACAAGTCGCTTCTCAATTAATCCATGGCTCCTCGGTGTTGATGACAGGTGGCTTGGGCTCTGGGAAGTCCTCAGTATCCCAATTTATAGCAGCACAGTTGCGTTTGGGACATCTCTTTCATTCATCCCTTTTTTCCTTGCCGCAAGTTAGTATCCGAGGAGGCCCGAGTCTCCGTGATCAAAGAAACAATCACACGATTGCTCGCAAATGCCGTTTGGGGTACTCAACTGGGCGGTATGGCTCTTATCGTCTTAGACGACTTGGACAAACTGTGTCCAGCGGAAACCGAGCTCCAGACCGCCGATAATGAGCGCAGTCGACATGCGAGTGAGCTGATCTGTTCACTGATTCGAGACTGCTGCGCTGATCGCTCGAAGATAGTGATTCTCGCAACAGCACAGAGCAAGGAGTCGTTGAATAGCATTATCGTAGGTGCAAATATTATCAAGGAAATTATCCATCTACATGCGTTGGACAAAGACGCGAGAATAATTATGTTAAAAGCTCTGACAAAGGGATCGCAAACCGTGACCAATGGTACAAGGACTATTGAAAGTGATGTGCATAATCAAACAAATGACGAAGATGCGGCCTGGATGGCAGAAGCAACAGAGCCAAACCAAGGAGCTGAGAGTGATGGCTTCAAAGTTGATGTTAATCTAGATATGCTAGAGATGGCAGGTCAAACAGATGGCTATCAGCCTGGTGATCTCACTCTTCTTGTATCGCGGGCAAAGAACGAAGCCATAATCAGGGCTGTCGAAAGTCCATCAACCGAGTCCCAACCTTCCCTCTCTGCTGTCGATTTTCAGAAAGCACTCAAGGGCTTTTCGCCCGCCTCACTACGCAATGTCACTCTTCAAACTTCCAATACAACCTTCAGCTCCATTGGTGGCTTATATGAGACTCGCAAGATCATATTAGAGACACTTCAGTACCCAACGATTTATGCTCCCATATTTGCACAGTGTCCTCTTCGCCTTCGTTCAGGACTATTGCTCTACGGCTACCCTGGCTGTGGCAAAACACTCCTTGCATCTGCCGTAGCTGGGGAATGCGGTCTCAACTTCATCAGCGTGAAGGGGCCTGAGATCTTGAATAAGTACATCGGTGCCAGCGAGAAGAGCGTTCGCGATTTATTCGAGCGAGCGGAATCCGCTCGCCCGTGCGTCCTCTTCTTCGATGAATTTGACAGTATTGCCCCAAAGCGGGGTCACGACTCAACTGGAGTCACTGATCGAGTAGTAAATCAGCTGCTTACCCAGATGGATGGCGCAGAAGGCTTGACTGGAGTCTATGTTCTTGCTGCCACGAGTCGGCCAGATCTGATTGATCCCGCGCTACTAAGGCCCGGAAGATTGGACAAAAGCTTGCTTTGTGACATGCCTAAGTATGTTGAAAGACTTGACATTATTCGTACGTTAGCGAAGAAGCTAGACTTTAGCCCCAGAGTTCAAACCGAGAAAAGTAGTTCAAGAAATCTTGCGGAAATCGCTCGACGGACAGAGGGGTATTCCGGAGCTGACCTACAAGCCGTGGTCTATAATGCACATCTTGAAGCCATTCATGACGTCCTTGGGGACCAATCCTCAAAGCAAGAAGTCAATGGCAAGAAAGGAAAGGACCTCAAGAGACGTGAACAAGCCATAAAACCTGATATACTGCAATTTCGTTTTGGTCAGTCCGAGGGGCCGAATAATGGAACAAAGGCACTCTCTCAAGCCCAAGAAGCAGCAGAATACGCCGCCATTGTTGCAAAACTCGACGCTCTCAAGCTGGCGAAGAAGAAGGAAAAGCAAGCACGTCGAGGGATCGAGCAAAGACTAGATACCCAAGCGACTGGAGTCAAGGACTCAGATGTAAGAGTCGTTATTGAATGGAAGCACATTGATGCGTCTCTGGCTAGCACAAGGCGATCCATTAGTGGAGAAGAGCGAAAGAAGTTCGAGCACATTTATCAAGAATTTGTGTTTGGGCGAAACGGCGAGATGCCTGATGGACAAGCTTCTATGGAAATTGGTGGAAGAATCAGCTTGATGTGAAACGACTTATATTGACCCTTCTATCTGCATTACAAAAGTCATCATTTGCAGGCCAGATATTGTTACACCCTCGTCCCATTTGGTCCGTGTGCCAATCAGCTCCGACTATATGTGAGTGACCATAGGAAGGAGCGGGTCGGGTTGCCAGCTCTCTCAGGGGTCTTTCACAGATCGTTATAGTCGGGGTGGCATATGCTTCTTTCTCTTATGATCGAAGAACGCCCTTTGTCCTCTATCCCAACAGCTTTGTTCATTCTAACCCAAGCCTTGCATTTCGCGCAGACAATGCATTTTCCAAGTCGCAAGCAATCACAAAAGATATCCAGGCATTCGCCTCCTCTACCAAATCCTACCATCATTCCGAACCTCTATGCCCCTTCGGCTTCTTATTGATCGGGTGGAAAGGTGATCCCAATGTCCGCGTCGGCTTCCTCTCTTCGTTATCTCCATCACCGGGCCACGTGTAACCATCAGGCAACGGATTTTGATATCTTGCTACCATCTCCGCGGCAACGATCTGCTCAGTCGTCGGCCTCGCATCAGCCGATCGTCTAGAATCGTCCAACATCTTCACTATGCTGCGAGGAACCTCCACTGGATCCTCCTTGGCTCTTCTAGACGATCCTGCCATATTCCCAATCTGGTGCGCTGGCCCATGCCGATTTGGGACGTAAGCTGGAGGTGCCATTGACCCGCTTCCGGCCACACTGCTGCCACTGATACTGCCACCGCCGTAATCGGGCAAAGGTGTCTGGCTTCGCCTCCGTATGTGGTCTCGATCGTAGCGCGCTGCCACGCCGTTCGCTTCCGTGTTTTGTAAGGTGTCGCAGGCGTGTCTAAGCGCCAGGCCGGCTTCGGTGTCCATGCAAGGCCCATTGCGTACGTTGTAGAGGGTTTCTTCATGCCAAAGTTGGCCTGGTTTTACGTAGATGGATGGATCGTGGTAATCATTCATCTTATGCTTGCTCTTGGCTGTGACCTTGGCTTGATGGTGAGGGCTGATTGGCTGGCTATTCTGGAGTCGATGGTGATATTTTGGGGTAGGGCCGGGGCACGGTGCATTGTTCTCGTGAATGCCTTCGGCGCGAGTGAGATATTTGAAATCGTTCGCTGGGCAGATGGGCTTCCCGCGATCCTCTTCAGCTATCAGATAGTAAGAGGGGCAGCGCTCGATACTATCTGGGCCAACGCAGGCATGACGACAGTCGCGACAGATGTATTGGATGCACATTTATAACCGGACGATGGGGTCGAGGTAGCGTGATGACGAAGCGAGGAATGCGGTTCAGGAGATCATTATATTGCCCCTTGCGTGTGAATGACACACTTCAAACGACCCATGACACGACCCTCGAAGTGACGTGACACTTATCTTCCGTGATCAATGAGGTGGTACAATGCCAACACGAGTGAAGAGCATTATGGCCAAAGAAGTGAGCATGAGCAACAGGCATCCATCAATTTGCTCCACGCAGAGCAAGAACTCATTTTGGCAACAGAAGAACTCGCGTGGAATAGCTCCATTGGGAGATTGGTCGAAAAGGGAAACGGGATGGTTCACAGCTTGCATCCAAAATCATACATCTATCTACCACTGCTGATAAACTTATTCACTGCCTCTTGATCAAACGCTCTGTCAACAGCCTCTTCGAAAGCTTCCCCACCTCTCAGGGTGCATCTGTAGGATGAAGCCTTCTTTGTCCCTGAAAGGTAGCGTCTGGAACTTCCCAGGCTTATGTGATGGAGAAGGTGCCGATGGTAGTTGCGGTTGAGCCATATCCGGGCTACGGTCGTACGCTGAAAAAGGTGATAATTCACCGTCCGGGTCTAGGTGGGGCAGAAAATTGGTAGTAGTCGTCTGAGTAAAGTTCTGCGGTGCTCCTCCAGGACAGTCGTCGACATGAATCATACTCTTTTCGCTGTTTGCGCCTCTGTACGGCAACGGACCAATTGTCATTGTTTCAGAAGGTAACGATGGTGCCTGGAGTGCTGGCAATGAGGCTACAGGAACGTTCTCTTTGTCATACATCGAAGCCTCCACTTTGGTATCCAACCAATTCAGGTGAGGTACATCATTCAAGTACACTTGCTGCTCTGGCGTTGGTACTTGCTCCAGCATATTTGCAGTCCTCGGTGAGTGTTGCTGAGTATCATCAAGCATTCCTCCCATTTGCTGTTCCGGATTGGCAGATTGCCGAGATTTCAAACCCTGGAGATCTGGTCTTGCTGCACACGCTCTGGCTTGGAGGACCTTTCCCATCTCTGCGATTTTCATTTCCGCCTGTCTGCGTTGGTCTAGGGCTGCTGCGCCAAATACTTGCGCCTTACGGGAGGGTGGTGACCCAAGATGATGAAGCATTACGTCCGTCACATTGCTGAAGTCCTGCTTTGCCATACTCTCTTGGTAGGCTCTGAAGCGCTCCGCTTTCAGGACCGATTGCCGGTGTCTGATCTTCGCCTCAAAGTCTTGATGCTTCTCATCATCCCCTTCCTCCCGATGCTTGATGCGGCAGATTTTGCAGAGCCCATCGCCTTCGTCCGGATAACGAGCATTCCTACGGACAATGGATAGGCATGTCCGCTCTCCTATTTTAATGAAGCCTAGCTTGTATCGATTGCGGCAAGGTTTGTAATTGGGGCGACCCAAGATGTCGTCTTGGCAGTCCCAACAAGTCAATTGGATACACATGATTGGGAAAAATAGACGCCTCTGAGAATGGTGCTTTGATAGGCTGATATGGTGTTCATGGATTAGTTTTGGATTTGCCGCCTATGCTTATATTTGGACGCACCGAAAGTTTCATAAATAGGCAGGAGCGACCTTTATATAGACATTGGGATTCCCCGTGTCAAGGTCTAGGTGTTGCAGTGAATGATAGTCACGAGGCTCTGTGATATCCGAGTACCCAATCATGGCGTCTTTCAAGCAGTGTCACAATGCTGTGTTACTAATACAATGTGAATGTGATCAGGTGACGGAGTCGCCCCAGGTCGCACAAGGTGAAGATCGAAAGGGCTAGAAAGTGGTACCGCTATTGTCTGGAAATAGTCTACATATGCTCAAGGGACTCGACTATTTTCCACAGTGGCTGAGCTTGTACGACTCAGAGCGAAGACCAAATTCAATTTCGTCACCCGCTGCCATTTTTGAGTGTCCATATGTTCACGGGGCCCAACGTATTGTTATTGCTCTTCGCAGCCAAACATACTATGTTGGAATACGTACGACTGATCCAGTTGAATGAATTAAATATCAAAGACAGTTAGGTGTCGAAAGTCGTGTCTACCCTAAATCTTTGTTGTGACACCGAGTCGCAAAGCCAATGTCGTGCTACGAATGTGTCACAAGCGTCCTTTAATGTGCACACGATGTCTTGCAAAATATGACAGTATTTAAGAGCATCCATATGTCTCTTTCTGTTCGTCCTTGATATCCAAATGAAGCGTATTGAATGAGTCTTTAGCTTTTCTGTCTACTCAGAAGGTCTACATCATGTGCATGTATTTCACATGTACTCGTGATTACTGCAGAAACCCAGGCGTGATAAAATGTGCTTCGCCAATCAGGGATGGAAATTGCCGTGGAGAGGTAAAACGGGCTCACCAATATTTGCTATATTGTACAGAATGCAACCATGATCACAAGTCGGAACAGAATCAAAAAATCAAGGCAGAGTGCAGAGCGAGGGCAAGAGAAAGTCGAGACACGGTGAAAGAGAGGTTTGGCCTAGCGAGCCGGTCTCACCTCACAGCCGAGAGAAGTAGTATCATGGAGTCTCATATTACTGAACAGAAGGCGCAAGACTCTCGTCGTAGACGATATGAGGAAGACGTGGCTCGAAATTACGGTAAGTTTGGACTTGGCTCGCCAAACGGCAAGGGCGATAACCTTCTTGCAAGCTGACTTTCGCTCTCTTGTCCAGATCACCAATCACCAACTCACATTAACATCACGAATTCAAGAACCAGATCATTTGATGCATGGTCCGAAAGCGCTACAGTCGATAATGGTTAGTCAATTTAAATACCCTCTTGGACCTCAAAGCTGACGATGCTCAGCTACCTATCATCATGATCGCGAACAGCCTCATCATAGAGATGAACGGCACGACCGTCGTCGCACAGCCCCTTCATTGCCTGAGTTTTTCGAACCTACTCCACGAGATTATTCTGTGGACGAACCTCTTCCATGGCATCTATCCCCTTTGTTACAGGGTATCGATCCTGAGGGCAGTTTCAAATATCCGTCTGGGGGCAATCATCCTTTCCGACGTGACTATTATTATAGCAGTGACTGCCAGGAACACAAAACTGAGACAATGAGGGTGTATATCAATTAGACAGTGGAACCTGCATGCTTTATCTTGCAATCTCGCAAAGAGATTTGTTGACCCAATTCTACAAGCGACTTCAGAAATCATATATCAGTTCGAGTGGATTCCAGGGAGCCAACAGATCCCTCTGGTGGACTTATGACTGTAATTAAATCACTGTGTCTCACTGCTGGCGGTGCAACAGACACCTCCCAGGAATGAACCATCATCATAATAATTAATTTTCTATGGGTTGTATGAAGAACAACACTCAGTCAACAAATCCTTAGTGAACCTTTTTCTGTCCAGTATAAATTGAGTGACGTCTCACACATCATTTCAATTACTCACACTGAGTTATTTGCTGCTTCATAATGTGTAAATCTTAAGACTGTGATGAACGTGGGTACACCGTAGTTAGGAGATGCCGTAAGGCCTTATAACGGTCTTGACTTACCTTGTTCTGGTAAATTAATCAGTAGCACTTCGCCACTTTGCGATGGATGCGGTACGAAAAGACGTAGAAAGGTCAAGGTACAGTCCAACGTTCAATATAAGAAGCGCGAAAAAGAGGTTCGACAGAAAGAAGGTTCTCAACCACGGCAGCCCGTGAAGCAGCAGGCCGATGATGGGAGCCCATCATCTGGGGAGCCTGTGCTCCGATCTCGCACTACGAAGCAACACACTTTCCCTGGTATCATTTCCCAAGCCGCGAGAGAGTAGCAGTCTTCATCCACGAACATACTCGACTTATCAGCCTTCTATTGACCCAGCGCCGCGACCTTTGAGATGTCGTAGGCGCTTCATAGATATCTACCCACCCTCGCCGCACAGTCAATTGCAAGCCCTAGAGCTTCTGATACTCAAAGATGGCGGTCCGACAGGCTGGAAAGAAAGGATTGGGACGGAACTCACCGCCAGGGAGGTGACTGATTGTCGCTGCAGGAAAAACAACGGCGGGCTACTTTTGAGCTCGAGTAACTCAACATCATGCGGGTGCTTGTGTCATAGAGCAGTGGCCACATCTGTCAAGGGCATGAATCAGTGAATAGCAAGCGATGAGACTGCACTAAGGAGGATTGATCTAGCCAGGGACACATGTACGATAGAGCTACTAGAATTATTCATTGACCGAAATCCAGTTTGCATGACCCATTGTTCGGTGCCTCAGAAGGCCAATGTTTCCTTGAATAGCGAGTCATACACTCGGCAAAGGCCTCCTCTGTCTCTATACGATGAATAGTCAGTCGGGTACTTAATACAGCCATGCTAATTTGGCATCCATGTTTGAATATCGACAATTGATGCACTATTGGTCAATTCTGCAGGCTAGTGCTTTGTTGTGGTGTGTTGAGCAGGACAATCAGAAATTGACACAGAACACGAGAAGACACATCAACGCGTATGGTGCTTTGGAAACTTGGAATTCGCTTTCACATCGACGCTGACTGTGTTCATTCAATCCAATCACAGCTTTCTCAAGGTTTCAACCTCTTCAAGTCCTCTGTACTAACTGCCAAAATCATTTCCATTTTGAATAATGTGTGAGACACATGTTTGTGAAACTCCAGAGTGCCAGAAAGATGTCCTATGCAAGTGCCACGATGTGAGGATGGGAAGATCGTGTAAGGGAGGGAGGCCTATCCTGAGACCACGCTTCTGTGACGAGCATTTCAGCTTGCCAACCGGCATCAGTCCCTCTCAAGCTCCTCATCAAGCTCCTCTACCTCCTCAACCTATTCAACGTACGTCCTCGCGACAGATTTCTAGTGTATTCGGGAGTATTGCAGGCGTGATTGAGTCTCCAAATAGCGCATTGGCGGCACGGCAGGCGTACAAGAACAGTAGGCTTGCCTGTGAGTACAGTAAAATGACTGCTAATAGGTCATAAAATAGTCTTTACCAGCCGGAGTAGACTCCCATTAGCACAGTACAAGTCTTTAATAGCCTCTCCTACAATAGCTGCACAGTCCTCTACGTCGCAAACAACAGAACCCTCTGTTATACTCGACCCAAATTCTCCGCGGAATTATCAACAGAACCAGATAAGCCAACATTGGGAAGGTTTAACAGGCCGCCATGAAGAGCAGCATTCAAGTTCTAGTTACCAAGACAACCAATGCCGGCGCTGTTGGGCCCTTTTTGATACTGCAGAGGCGCTCGGGAGGCATTACAGGGATATATCAAATGATTGCAGTACCGATAGAGATAGCGCTGAGCACTAAAGCGTCCTATTTGGCAGACATGAAGCTATAAGAGATACCCCGAGCAGTCGCGTTCTTAAAGGGGGAATAGTAGTGAAAGTGAAGGAAGGAGGTTGATATAGCAGGATATAAGACGATTTCATTTCTCCTTCGGCTAGAAGACGCGCTGACGCAATGGTATTCAGTAAAGAGAATAAGATACAACATTATTGAGAGCTTCTCATACATCATGCAGGGACGATCTTTCATCTCAGTCTTCATCTCTGCTTGCTGCATATCTCATCAAGCCTGCATAATGATCTCGCTTGGTTTCTCGTGTTGTAGGAATTCAGGTTTCTACCACGAATAGTAACGCCAAGCTGAATATAAAGACCCATTATCTGAGGTGAGCTGCCTATTGCATCCAATTTCATACTGTAGCTACCTCCAGCATGTCCCCCCAAACCCCTGAGCCCCTGAATTATAGCGCCAAGAGCTCTAGCCATTTATGGTTAGCCTGCACGGCTGGTGCCTAAACGAACGGCAGCCCGAGTCAACGAGTCAACTCATCTTTGACGATGTGAAGTCCCCAGATAAGGTACACGCAGTCTTGTACCGCGACTTGCACGGGACACTGGTCGCGGGTATCGCGCAATGAGGTCTGGTGCATGTAGATGGCAGAATCTTGAAGAGCAGGTGGAGGATTCTGATCGTTTGTATGCATACGGCCGAGCTGGGTTCGAGAACGTCTTTAGCGATCATGACAACCTGGAATTTCTGGAACTTTCAAATTTCAATGTAATATCACCCAACGTATCTCGACTCCCTCCACTCACACCTGCAAGGTCTCCACGAAAAATGTGACGACGCAGGGTCATCTCAGCGGGGACGAGTGCGAGGCTTGGCTAGCAGGCCAGGTAGGGTTACAACGTCTGATCTACGTCTACATTGATTTGACGTTTTCCTGAGACCAGCTATGTAGATTCTGGAGATGCTAGTGAGCGACTTACAATCATGTATGATCTTTTTATTCGTCGTCCACGGCTTGTGCTGTCCTGATACCCCAACAGCTTCAGTGAAGGCTATTCCGGCTGCCGGAACGGTCATCTGTTTGATTTCCCTTTGCGATTGAGGTCTAAAACCCTCGAAAAGCTCATTGATCAATTTCAGTTGCCACGAAGCTACCTGCAGATGTTACAAGAGGGCTGCCACGTCTTTGTTGAGGATCAAGAAGGCAACGAATTGAGTATGCGAACCCTTAACCCACTGTCTCTCCAACCGCTCATGGATTTCAATAGCTGTACTGATGCAGAACACGTTTACTACGAGCGGGCGTTTCAGCCTGGCCTTAAGCTTCAACTTCGATACTTGTTATACGCGTGCGTTCATACATGGCTTTCGAAAAGATGAGATGCCCAAGTTCTGCGCCCAGATATTGGCCGAGCGAGAGCTCCTAAGTCTTCCATCATTAGTACCGTATCTACTGCTATCACTGAGAGGAGCGTATATTGCACCCTACATCATCGATTGTCATCTATTAATGGTAGACATTGAGCGGCAGACGGGCCTTTCGACAGTATGGCATCCAGGCAAACCATGTTGTGATCGTCTCGGAACCCCAGAAGCTCGCTCCCAATTTACGTTCGAGATAGACTTCGAGAACATCACACGAGACCTCACTAGTATGACGACTAAAGTGTCTTACTGTGAATATGCGACTGAGATTCATCTTCCTATGTTAGACAGTGTAGACGATATCAATAGCAAAGCAATAGCAAGGGCAACTTCCGATCACAGAGATAAACGTATAAGAGCAGAAGCCCGCATACGCGTACAGATCAAGCTTCTAAGAAGTTCGCTCAAAGGGACACACTCTCGAGCCAAATATCTTTCGAAACGTGCACAGGCTCAAGTGCAAACGGTGAGCAGCTGATCTATCTAGATCGGAATCTACTCATACTAGATAGGTCTACAGCTTGATAGCCCAAAAAGACAATGCATTCAGCATGCGTGATAACGCGGCTCTCAAGACCATATCAGAGGACCAGAAACGTATTGCGTTGATAGCAACTCAAGACAGTGCAGCCATGCGCATCGTCGCTGCGATCGCTACGGTGTTCGTACCTGCGACATTTACTGCCGTAAGTAATAAGTCAAACGATTCTCAAGCATTTTTCAGTAAGGAGTAGAGGCGAATGAACTTCTACGTACGACTTATTCCTTCTCTCCCTACGAATCACTTGCTGATCTCCAAAAAGACTCTCTTCAGCACCACCTTCTTCAACTTTCAAGCCGGCAATGGAGAAAAGCTTGTGTCACGGTGGCTGTGGCTATACTTTGCGGTCACGATCTGTCTCTCGTCAGGCATCATGGTCTGGTGGCATGTTACTTCTCGCCGAAAAGTGCATGCGATCCACAAGGCATTTGGTGAAGGCGTTGACGATAGTTTGGCTTCGAAATCCCTGACTATGATCGAATCGTTGAAAAAGCACGTATAATAAGGATGTTGTTTGTGATTTAAGCAGTGCATGAATGAGAAGAGAACACCACTTTCACGACTTATGAAGCGTCGATTCACCGTTGACATCATGGAGCACGCACACTTGAAGCTATCGGGCACCTTATTAGAGTCGTGATGATACGACCCGTCATTACTGGTCAAAAGTCCTGGTGGCCTGACCTCGGGGCTCATTCATCATTCCGCACGTGGACAGATGGTGGCAAAGATCCAGCTAATCTGTCAATATCCTAAGCCAGCCTTGTTTGCAATGCCACCTTCCTTTCTCTCCGCAACTATGAAGCTTGCAGATCAACTATGAGAAACAGAACATCGATTTATGCTAGTCTTTGAAAGCAAGAAGGCACCTCCTAGTGCACCCCTCTGCATGAGAGTGTTCTACCACATACGAACACCCCACACGAAACACACACTGATGCCACAATACTACCGGAGAGCCGACTGATGTATGATCACAGGTGTTGCCTGAGGTTCAAGTGGGAAAGGGGAGATGTGCTGATTGCGGATAATTCGAGCATGATGCATACGCGGACTGCATTTGGAGGGGATTGTGAAGCGGAATGTGGCGGAATCATTTGCATGAGATGGAGGTCAATTTGTGTAACGATTCGACCATGAGTATTCGATGGACAGGTAGGTCTTGCCAGGCATTCGAGAGGCAGACTCAGGAAGACTTCTAGGCTAACGGGAAACGTTGTTTGGGATAACTGCAGTCCTCCTTTTCCGAATTACGAAAATATTGCATTCCATTTTCAGGTCCTACTACATCTCGGGCTCAATCATCTCGTCAGTTTAGCAAATAATCCTTCACCTTCTCCGCCCAAACCGGAGCCCTACTCAGAAGTCAGCCACTCCCAATTCTCCCACCTCTCCCTTTTCTCAGAATGTGCACTCACCGCTTATACCTCGCAATCCCCACCGCATTTCCCCCATCCAGCCCATCAATAGCTGTACACATCTCCCTCCCCATGCCCACCTCCTTCATCTCCCTAAGCGGATACTGATACAGATGCACAGCCAACACCCTTCCCCCACTCTTCGGCAGCGCAAAAAGCGTCTGGATCTCACACCTCACATAGCAATTCTCTACGTCTACCTCGGTATCCGTGGCCTCCTGGCCCTCGTAGAGATGGTACTCGCCCCGCTCGCAGAGATTGTCGTTCGTGGCCAGCGCCCAGTTCGTGCGGTACCGGATGTCGCGCGGTGTGAGGGCAGCGAAGTAGCGGTCCATGGAGTGGGCGAGCTTGGTGGAGTAATTTGGGATCGGGGCGTGCGCTTCGGACAGGGTGAGAGAGAGTTTTGTTTGGGGGTCGAAGCCTACGGGGTCTGGAAGGGTGTTATCAGAAAACAGAGTGATGAGTAAAAGGAAGGGGGAGTGAGTTGGGGGAAAAGGGGAGCTGCGGATTTTTTGTATTTCAAGTCAATACTTTCAAGTGTGCATTTTCGATTCTATACGTGATGCTTGACCTATGATGTACTGGCTAGAAAGTACTACTTACACTATGGAGAGCGAAGTCAGCATTGCTATTTAGTGCGGAAAGGATTGAGGTATTCACTCACGGCCCATACAAATGATTGGAGGCTGTAGCAGCTGCCGTCGGTTGACGGCGCCAGCAATAGAAAATCCTCATCTACAGTACGGTTGAGGATACGAAGAGTCTCAAAGCGGTCCGCAGGAGCATCGCATAGCACCACCTCGTCAGTGACTAGATTTTGAAGAGTATCCTGGGCAGCAGATAACTTGAACATGGTGGGGTACCGCTGGGGTAGATAGCACTGGACGAGGAATTCGTAAAGCTCATTCAGCATTGAGACGCCAGAATCAAGACAGGCGAGGGCGCCAGGATATTGTTGGATGATATCCTTTCTGGCTTGTATTCGGGACGGATAAAGCTTGTCGATCTGGATGATATGGTCGACATCGGTCTTGCGAAGACCTGAACATTAGTTTGTCAGTTTGAAGGGTTTCTGATGGCAGGTGGAAAGAGGATTGACGTGCCCATTGTGAGGAAGTACTTTGGACTGAATTTGTAGACGCGCAGCGGCTCGACTCGTTGGTAATTCAAGTCAGGCAAGGGAGTTATCTCGCCCATTGATGCCCAATCCAAGCTGTCTTGTGGGGGTTTATTCGCCTTGATGTCGAGACATTTTGATGGTGTTGAAAGCTCCTTTTGTTCAGCAGAGATTGTATGCTTCCAAGAAGATGATTTAAGACGGGAGGATAACGATGGGTACTGGGCTATCATCTTTTGTACCAAAATAAAGACGACGGCGGCAACACCGACGACTTGGAGTAGCAGCCATGCTGCATCCTCGCTCAGCAGGTTCATTGCAGTCTCAGTGTCGACAGTCATCTCGGACAAGCCCAGTCGTGCGAAGCCGGACATTGAACTGTAGAGAGTGTATTCCTGCTGTACGTGAACATGGATGAATGAGGACAGGACAAGTAAAAATCGAAAGCCATAGTGGGGCAAGTGAACCTCCTCTTAGCTGCATATCTAGCGTATGGATCATCGAAGACCGTTGAAGGAAGATGTTGAATGGAGTGAACCTTCAGCACGTACGCATCGTCGCGCTACTCTCCTCTCGAATGACGACGATCCGGGCTCCGCCAAGGACGAATTTCAAGTGGAAACTGTAGTGACCAACCATTTCTCGTATCCAATCCAACAGAGCACAGTGCTCTCGTCTCCCGTGCTAAGGAGGAGAATAATCTAAACGCTTTTCCAAAATACCACCAGCGAGCTGCCACGCGGCAACGACGACCCCCACTTCACATGACTCCATTCCTGGTATCACTAATTTTCTTGAGAAAGATATTCTATCGACATTTCATATAGCCAAACGTATCCTCGCTCATAAATTGCTTTTCACGTACGCGACGGGTCCCACGTAGTTGTGCCGTCCAATAAACGCGTAATACGTCATGAAGAATATAAGAACGCTTATCCATATCACGCAGCTCCAGTTCATCTCGGCCGGCGCCGGACCCGGAGCGGCTGGGAAGAATTGGAACACAAAGAATACGGAGAGAAAGCAAAGGGCAATGATGTTGACTGCATTGCCGGCTTTGCCAAGGTTGAAGCGAGAAGGTGGGAGTGATGCGCCGCTCAGTCGCCTTGAGAGGACACCTGAGACTTGTGAGTGAGCGCTTGAAGCTTGAGGCTGAGTCAAGGTTGTCACATACATGTGATGCAAATGATGTAGCTTGTAAGTAGGCCTGAGGCGTTCAGGGATACAAATATTCCATAAGCTACCTCGCTCCCAATTGCAATAGCGGTGAGACAGATGGTAAATACCATCGAGACTGCCATTGCATTGACTGGGCTGTCGATGATATGAGTTGAATTACTCTAAATAAGCAAGAAGAGACTCACACGTCCAACTTAGGGTGCACCTTCGAGAGCCAAGGGCTAAACGGAAGGCCACCATCCCGAGCGAACGACCTAGTGAGAGATTAACTAAAGATTTCGTAAACTAGAAGAAGCACTTGAGTCCACGTAAGCTTACCAGAGTTGCCTTGATGTTGTCGTGACGCCGTTGACAGAGCACGACAAGACCATTATCAAGATGACAGTCGCAAGTATTTTTGCGGCAGCAACAGAGTGCGTGGCGTTCAGTATGACCTCGATGTATGGCTGACCCGTCGAAGACTTGATAGCGGCGTCAATATCGCCGAGGCAGAACATCAAAGTGACTTCAATAGACGTTAGTCATTTTCCAGTGGTGGGGGAAGATGACGGGAACACGCACCAACTATAATGAAAGCGGTGATGTAATTAGAGATTGCAACGACCAGCATAGATCGTGGTAGTCTCCAAGCCGAGTCCTTCAGCTCTTCTGCCAAGTGTACGCTCGAATCTGCACCAGTCAGGTAGGGCAAAGGTCCATTCAAACCGACGAGACAAGCTAATCCAGTGGCAGGCCAGCCATTTGATTCAAATTCGGTAAACACGGACGAGGCACTACCCCGGGGAGCCATGGTCCTGCGATGTAACGGATCAGCGCTCTTGCACTATGACAAGGTAATTCTGCGGGCGATGAGTCTCGAACACGCACCAAAGCACGATGACAAAAGCAAAGAAGCCGAGGACATGGAGGAAAGTCACAATGCCTTCGATGAGGGGCAATTTTCGGAAGAGCACTGTGTTGGCGAGGATGGCTACTCCTAGAATAGCCCATGAAAGCAGAGCGGTCTGCCATTGAGTCACCACGTAGGTTGAATCGCTTAGAGCAATGAGCGCTGTGATCTGCTGGGCAGATGCCTAGAAGGGTTCAGTTGTGGTTGTGTTGGACCAAGTGATATTGAGCTCACGAAACAGGTCGCCGCCAGGCTGGTCTGCCAGCCCAGGACACAGAAAAAGCCAACGCTAAATGACAGGATCTTTTGATATTTACGTGGTGCAACTAGGATGCGGCTTAGTGACCAGTCTCGAGGCAGCGCAGAAGCTTTTTGCAAAGACGTGACTTACATTCAGAAGTCCTATGCGAGACAATAAGTCAATCGAATTTAATAAGCTGTAGCTCATCAAAGCAATGGGCTTACCAATGATACTGCCCTCCTCTGCGGCACAATCTGGTCAGCCACGATCAATGTTTCATCTGGCTAGGAGTTTGCCTTACGCCGTTGGCGCTATACTCGCCATCTCTGCCATAGCTTTTGGACATTAGCAATATATTGCAAGGTGCTTCCTGGGGGCATTTGGATTGAACTCACATAAGCAAACGAAGAACACGCCGCAGATGGCCACCAGCAGCATATATATTGTCCCGGCCTTTCCACCATTGGAAAGTGTCAAAACAACATTACTATGTGAGATATCCCGTCAATAGCCGGCCACGTTCATCGCAACTCCGACTTCAAATGATTCCGTGGGCTCACATCAAAGCAAATTCCCAGGAGCATCCCAATATCATCGCATAGCCTGTGATACTAAAGAATTGAAACTCGCGACGAAGCTCCTGCTTCTTCCCTATCCTTTGCATTCCTTGATGAATATATCAGCCTCGGTACAGCTAGAACCCCCATTTAAATGGTATACGAACCTCGTTGATCCCAGTCATTTCCAAGTTTCTCCGAGATGTCGCCGGGAGAGACATCGGGAACATTGTGAATCTCAGAGTGAATAAAGAGAGACTCGTCTTTGGCTGCTGTATCCATATTGTAGTGGGGTGATGTTCTCCTCCCAGCTATCGAGGGTGATGCCAATGGCAATCAGGCTAGCGTGAAAGGGATAACTACAGCACGTTGAGGCAGTAGAAAGACGACCTTAATCAGGTTGAGATAGCATGAACGTCAAAAGGATTGCATGCGAGCGTGAGCGTTCATTGAAACAGATTCAAAGAACGCAAGAAAGGCAATTGCGATTAGCGGGTTTGTTGTGGAACTCTCAACAGCAGTGATAGGTGCGGATTATTCGGTAGATGCTGGGGAAGTTGCACACTGTTTTGCGAAGACACATAGGAGGGAGCGGGCAGCGGGGAGAACGGTTGGGTGAGGTCGCGTGGGGATGGTCGCGTGGGGAGGGTCGGGAGCAAATCAATGGCTGTAGGCGGAATCCTTCGAATGGGAATCCTTCGAATGACAGCTAGTGAGCCTAGTGAGCTAAGCTTTCATGTCTGTCGATCAAGCACATGGACAGCCACCCGTCATGACTTGCTAGGTCAGAGTAGTAGGTTGGAGATAGCTTGCTACAGGCGTGGTCGGATGTGGCTTTCCCCGCCTACTTATGGCCGTCATTAGCTAATAATTGATACGAATCCAACCTCAAGCCTAGATATGCGCTAACCCACCTACGAAATGCTTAACTCAAGCTACTGCCAGAACGCGGAGTGATGGCTCTCCCCTGAACCTATAATTTCCATGGTACTGATTAGCTTTTGCCATGCTTCCCGTGCCTGATGCAAACGGCATGATCTACCAGATTCGACTAGGTAGATGTAGGGTATGTGATGACCCATTTCATTGCGCGTCGGATCTAGATCAAGGCACGGCAATATTGCTTCACACATGGAACCAAACAGCCGTACTCCACGGCCGACTCAGCTGTTGCCAATTGACAGTCGTCCCATGGCTTGATGTTTTAGCAGCTTCATGGCATCGTTGCTAGCATAACGAGAGCCTTTGAGATTCCCAAGCAACAGTCACCGCTCCTTGACGATGTCGACGCCGCAGGGTTCACGATTCTCAGAGTACAATCCCTCTGATCATCAAGCGCCGTTATGGATAGCCACCTCCATCACATTGGCCTACACTGGCCTCCTTCTCCTCGTTCGGCTGGCCATCAAGATCAAGCTGTTAGCGTTGGATGATCTCTTCCTTGCTGTCGCGCATGTAGGCTCTGACGCATTTCGAATAACAGTATCACGTTGCTGACGGCCCTTTAGATCGTGGGAATCGCGCAATGGGGCATCATGTATGCTTCACTCAACGATGGAGTCGGGAGAAAGGTCTTTGGCATAGAGCAATCCAACGCCGCCAAGGTACGCATCCTGCCATGATTTTATCAAAGCGCCCTGTTGACATCAAATGCCCCAGTTGGTCTCCGTATCGCGAATCCTGACAATCCTTACCGTTGGCTTCACCAAAGGCAGCGTCATTCTATTCCTTCGACAAGTTTTTGCGGGAACAGCTAAAAAAGGCTACAATCTTTGCACAGCCCCCATGGTTGCCACTGGTGTCTGGACGCTTGCCTCAACCATGACAGTCAGTATCAATTGTGCCCCAAGTAGTGCGCTGCTCCTAGACAAAAATCCCCAATGTCCGGGTGATGTCAGTATCATCTCGTATAAATCCAGTCTGTGAGACTAACGTGAACACCAGCTTGCACGGTGGAAAGTCGTGGCCGCAGTCGATGTCTGTCTCGAGATCATGCTGGTGGTCATACCAGCCATTCTATTCTATTCAGTCAAAATCAGCAAAGTGCGGAAGGCAACCATAATCGTCGCCTTCTTACCTCGAATCCTGTAAGTCTCCCCAATGTCATTAGCCATCTCCCAACGTACTCTACCTTTGAATCATCTAATTCAAGACACAGTGTCCCTGCAATCTTCATCACGTATCTCGAAGCATACATTCGCTTCCGAAAATACGGCGGATCGAGTATCGAAGCCGTTGGCACCCTTGTTTGGCAACAAGTTTTGTGTGGCTACAGCCTGGTATCAGCGACCACACCCTGCCTAAAAGGCTTCCTCGGGCGCTTCCACACTGAAGGCATAGCTGGGACCCTTGAAAGCTCCTACGGCAACAGGGCTTATGGTCAAAACTCCACGACAAGGACAAACCCAGACGTGTACGCTCTGGAGTCACTTGATCGCAAAAATAGCACGAAAAGACCTCCGAAAACCGAGCCAGTGTCACTAGCCTGTTATCCGGGTGAGGCGATACATTCTGCGACTGCATATGGTGGGCCCTTGGGCGATCATAGCGCCAGCAGTGTCAAGAGCTTTGGTAGTGAGCGGATGATGATTCACCGAAAGATCGAATATGATGTGACCTCCACATAGTCGGGTGTTTGGGAATACACAATAGGCTATGGGCTAGCCAAACATTCTCGCAGATTCGGCGCTTCGATTAAGATTATAGAAGACACAGTAAAGATTCAGAGCCATTCAATTGGCTGACGGCAGAATAGAAGCATGATCGAAGACCTGCTTCTTTGAGAGGCAGATGTTTACCAAAATTGCTCATGAGCGTAGCGAATATCGCAAACAGGGGGAACCGCAGGTAAACAAGAGTGTGTGGGCACGGAGCAGACCTGCACATCAACAAGAATGCCTGCATGAAGATGAAATGGAAAAGGGATCTGACAGCGCAAATCTCGAGTTGTGAATGTTGTGGACTCGGAGCGTACTCGATCTGTCCTTGCTCTTTTGCCCCGTGATAGATTCGGGGGACAAGGTAAGGGTTGATATGCTCTGTTGAGGCTTGAAATCGTCTTCAGTTGCTTCAGTTTAAACATAGTCGCCGTCGGCCTACTTACAGTACCAAATTACTCGGCTTTCCCGTCCTGTACTCCGATTCTATAATGTCTTAAATTATTGGGATGCATGGCTCTTGTATTGTTCCAGCAGTGGAGGAAGGTTCCGGCCCTTCAGGAACACGTATCTTCGGAGTGTGAATGGTCTACGTCATTCATCATAGTCAACACTGGATGGTTGTTGGCTGAAAGACTTTCTGCCACTCTGGGCCCCCTGGGGCTTCATTAGGTTCCACAGATTAGGTAAGCGGGCGGCCCTAGAAAGTGCTCACGACACCTGACCTTTTGCTCTGCCTACATCGACCTAAGCTCAATAAGTAAAAAATCAATACGCCTGATGACGCTCGTCTATATGACGACAAGCATCTAGTCTAACAGTATTTTGCGACTTTGGTCGGACTCGAGATGTTCGGCGTCCTTCGTCCCAGTTCGCCCAGCAGACAACATGCGCGAAATCCGTCTGCATCACCTCCTCCAGCGCGTTCCCTTGCTCCAATGCCCCCAGGTGACTTTGTGAATCGCGAAGATCTACTAAACGCAATAAAGGAATGGGCGTCAGATCAAGGGTACGCAGTCGTGATCGCACGCTCACGCTTCAATCGATTGTGGCTGAAGTGCGACCGAGGCGGCCATTATGAGAACCGACGGAACCTTACCCAGGAACAACGCAAGCGCAAGCGGGGGAAAGTCGCTTGCTTGGATGTCCGTTCAGGATGATCGGTAGCGCTAGGAAGGAAGGTGGATGGCATCTTGAGACCGAAAACCCCGACCACAATCATGGACCGTCGGATGACTTAAGTCAGCATCCAACATTACGGCGGTTGACGGAGGAGCAGCTTCAAAGGGTACATGATATGTACGATGCTGGAAACACCCCATCAGATACAATCCAAGAGCTTCGCAGAGTGTGGCCGGACATCAAGATACTCACGCGCGACATTTACAATACGCGCAAGAAGTACAAGACGCAGAAGGAGCTCGAAGAAGCGGCAGGAGGACAGTCAGGGCCACAGCCATACACAGACCCAAATGGGATAATGCCAGGCCCTGATGATCGTGGTAGGTGGGCTTGGATACATGACGGCGATGAGATCACCCCAAAGGGCAGGAGAAGACGTAAAACAGTACCAGCGGAACATGCAACTCTTGACCCTCAGCTCCAGACGCCAACTCGCGCAAGTGAGCGAGTCTCTGGAATCTCTTCGGCGCATCAGCAACTGGTCAATGCTTCGGGTGATAGCGCTGCTTCTCTGCCTTACTCTTTGCCAGGCGATAGCAGCCGCAATGCCCTTCCCAGTCGAGGCGGTGAATGGATGGACCCTACTCGACTCAACGCCAGCATTGCCCCCGATCCATCAATGAGACCGTTCGATACAAATCCAGAAAGTACAACTAATGGCTTAGTCCCTGAATCGCAAGTCGCGACTGCTTCGAATACATCACCGCAGATTTCAGAAACGAGAAATCACCTTGAGTCGAGGCTGGAAAGTCTTGAAAAAGAACAGCGTGAGACTAGGAGCATGCTATCTCAAATCTTAGGAGCCGTCCAAGGTACCGGTAGCAGTCCGCAGCATGCTTCCCGTCGGCCCTGAGCTGTGTGAACAGTCGCAAGTGTCATTTCCAGTCGTGAATGTATGCTGAAGTGAAGTTGTTTTCCATGATCATGCTATATGGCAGGTGATACGAAGAATATGAAGTGGATGAGGTGTTTGCCTGCTTTTCTTCTTGGACATACATAAAGCGATAAATCAGCATTTGCATCAAGGAGTTGAGCTCATGGCTTAAGCTCGTTGGAACTGTAAGATAGCAGCCACACAAGCAAGATGAAGGATTGGTGTAAAAATGAAATGCTTTTCGAAAGGCTTCACAGCAAACCATTATATCCAGGACAATTGCCTACTTCGTATTGCTAATCACAGGGGACTCGCTCGTTAAATAAAGTGCGCTAATTCTATCTAGACAGATCTTCTAGAAGGCTTTGGCTAGGAAGATAATTGTCTCACTCTAAACTCTTTTCACCGGTGGCTCGACTTCACTATGCAAACAAGTCGACTGGCTTGTAGAGATCGAAGTAGGACCTCTTGAACCATACCCTCTTAGCCAGCCAACAACGAGCTTTCCAAGTCGTGAGATCGCCCGATGCCAACGTTGGATACCTAACACTTTGATCACAGCCTTAGTGCAAAAATTCCAAAGCGAGGTCACCTCCTCTCCGAGGCCATTCCCTGACAGTCCCACTCCGGGGAGGGGGCGACGACGAGCTTGCCTTCAGTGACCGCAATATTACTGGCGTTAATGGCGTTGTTTTTGCGGCGATTACTGAATGTTTCCAATACTCCTTCTAAGTGCAGCAAGCGACAATTGGGTACAAGACAAGAAGCAAGCAACAACATCGATTTGCTCTTTTTGAAAGCTTCAATGATAGTAATGGCCTAGTCTGAGCACTATGTCAATGCTTGCCGGGTGCAGGCCGAGCAGGTTCAGATCTATCTGCAACACGAAGAGATTGATAATCTATCGTCTCGCAATCTGTCTATTCGACGTCGAAATTACGATTTTGAGCATCAATAGAGCATAAGGTTGACGGGACTCGGAGCACGTGTCAAATGCGGCCCGTGATCGATCTCGTCCGAATTGCGGGGTCAGTACGTCTCCCAACTGTCGTGCTACAACGTGCTCTCAAGTCTCGAGTCATATTCTTAGCTTTCTTGATCATAGTCCAAGGACGGGAGTAATTCCGTTTAATGGTGGGTTTTGGTGTGTTAATCCAAACTTTGCGCCTCGATACGTCCAAAGCCGAGGAAATTGTAAGACATCGAGGTTTGCTTATATTGCTACCGTCTTTGTAAATCATATCCAATTTGTAGCCTCTTTTTACAGGAGTCTGTCATTTTTTCAGGAGTCCATTAGCCTGCTCCTTCAAAATACACGTTTCAAAGAATGCAAGAAGACGTCTTCCCAATATGCACGGCATGCGGGTCTCAGTACGACGCCGAGAATGGCAGTCCTCCTAAACGATGCAAGATTTGCGACGTGCGTTTCCACAAACATCCCATATTCCAGACCCGATCTCCGAACTCACTGATACGATAGGATCCACGCCAATTTGTTCCCCCAAGCGGACAATCATGGACCACCCTATCTCAACTCCGCACAGAGCACGAGAACAAATGGGCACAAGACCCTGAGGACTCACGAGTCTGGTATTTCTGGACTGAACCAAAGGTATTGCCCTTATCGACTTGTTTCCACCCCCGTCCCCTTTTTCTAAGTACCCTTCGCTGTATCACATCCCCTTTCCCCTTTCCCTTTCCCCCTATTCTCGCTCCTTCATCCTCTTACCTCCCTCCCCCTCCCCTTCTCACACCACCCATCTCCTAGTTCGCAATCGGCCAACGCGCCTTCCTCCTCCGCACCCCGCACGGCAACATAATCTGGGACCTGCTCCCTCTCCTCTCCCCCACCACCATCTCTAAATTAAACGACCTCGGCGGCGTCCACGCAATCATAATCTCCCACCCGCACTACTACGCCACCTACGCCTCCTGGCTCGCCGCCTTCCCGGACGCTACGCTCTACGTGAGTTCGGACGACAAGGGCTGGTTGTGTCGCCAGCCGGAGCGGAACATGGTCGTTTGTAGTGTCATTGGGCGGGTGGGGTATAAGGAGGAGGTTGTGGATGGGGTGTGGGTGGTGAAGGTGGGAGGGCATTTTGAGGGGAGTCTGGTGCTGCTTTTGGAGGGCAGTGGGAAGGAGGGGGAAGGGGGGGAGGGGGCAAGTTGTTTGTTGCGGATAGCGTTATGACTGTGCCTGTAAGTTTTGAGTCTGCCTTTTCCCACTTTGTGCTTGAGGTCCTCGATGGTGGTACCGCGCTGCTGTGGTACAATTTCGACAGCCTCGGCCCTTGTTACCGCCGCCTTCTCTATAAAGCAAGAGTTTGGCTGCGTCGCGTAAATAGCTGACCTTTATTTTCAAAGTCCGGTCTCACACCCTACCCTCGCCCACCAGGTCAAACGACATACAGCTTCATGTGGTCGATCCCGAACATGATACCGCTTCCACCGAAAAGCATCAAGCAGATCTGGGATGCACTCAAGGATTTGGACTTCGAGAGTACACATGGGGCGTTTGTGGGGATGGATGTAAGGGGCGAGGTTGGGGAGGTGAAAGAGAGATTGTTGGAGAGTATGAAAATCCAAGTTAGGGGAGAGGGGTGGGATGCCGAAGAGACTTTTGCTGAGAAGGAGCAAGTGAGTGATGATGTCTTGTACAGGACAATCACAAGATGAGGTGGAAGATGATGGGAAAAATATGATTCAATCTGTAGGTCTTACCTTGTATCTCAGGCTAATGTGGGCGGAACATGCAAGACATTGGACATTGAGTCCGTAATACTCCTGCCTTGCTCGCCTCGGTTTCGTCAGATTCTGGGAGCCGAAATGTTGAGCAGAAAGTTCGTGCTCTACGTCCACCTACTTGGATTCCACTTCAGGCTGTTTTGCCTTGGGTAAGCCTTGAGCATTTCAATCTTTGCTCTACGTTGAGACAACGACCTCTTCTTGGCAGTTGGTCACCATCCATCCGTGATGCCCACCGAACTCAGAAAATTCTTTGGCCAGGCATGAAGTCCACCAATATTGCATAAGCTGCCGCTAGTATGGGGAAGCCGGATCTTGTATTGACTTTGAGGTCGGAATCAGGCGGTCCTGCAAGTCCGCGCATTGTGAAGGTTATCTGAGCTTGGCATGGGTGTTTGCCATGCTGTACATGCTCATACCAAACCAACTAGCCGCTTCTTTTCACGACTCGGTGCTGCATTGGGGTTCATTAGAGATCGTAGTGTGATCATTGTACACTAGATGAGTCTGCGTGGCACGGTCTTTTCTCCAGCAGCAGAGTCAAGTATGGAGAGACTTATCCCCGTCTGCGGCTGCTGCATACGCGGCAGACTTTCAGAAGAACCCCGTCGGGTTCTTGGTGTTCGCCGGTAGATGTCGGAAGCGGTGATGAAGGATTTCAATTGAAGCGGTCGCTTTTGTGCTCACTAGCTAGACCTAGCCTCCTGGTGTTGGCCTGCTGATTGTGAGCCTTCCAATTAAGACCGAAGAAAACGAAAGTGAGCGCTCACCCGTTCCTTTCCACTGTCACATCAATCTTGCCGCTTTGCTTTTCGTTCCCTGCATCTATCTCTTTCTTCTTTGCGCCTTTGTCATCATCATCGGCGCAGCCACAATCGTAGAAGTCGCCAATATTGGAACAATCAAACTCCTCCTTCTCCAGACTCCTGTTGACCACATTATGCACATGACAAGCCCATGCCGCAGCATTGCTCCTTGTCGAAACCTGGGGTGGAAACTTGGCTAAGATCTTCTGAAAGTGGCTTGCGCACTCGCCACTACAGCCCGAGCGAAGTCAATACTCGTCTCTAAGACGCGGTCGCGATACGCTAGAGTGGAAAAGGGGGCAAGGGGCACATACCATGGATACAGCCTCGCAAAAAGGTGAATGTACGAGACCAAGGCGGTCTGCTCCTCCTTACTCGGCTTATCGGGAAACTTGGCCATCATGGTGTGCATGACCTTCCATGCTGCCCTGCCTAGCTCCGCTTTCGCAGTTGCGTTCTCGATTTTTGATGAAATGACGTCCCCTGTGAGGATTTCTGGCGCAACAGGGGCGTCATGGATAGGTGGAGAAGAGAGGGTAGCGGCGGCATCAGAGGAACTGGATGTGGGGACCGGGAAATTAGGTTTAGGTGGAGCTGGAGGGCGAACGGTGAGGTAAAATAAGATGATGAGGGCAAAGGCGAGAAAAAGGGTGGTAACGGTTCGTTTGTTGAAAGGAAGGGATTGCGGCGGAGGGGCCATGATTGGGTTCCGGGCAACGGTGAACCGTACTATCGAAGTTGGAAGGAGGTGTACCGATCAACGTTATATTAATATAGGTCCATGATTCTGTAGAGGTGGCATCACACCACTGACGGCAGAGGTGGAGGGCTGCTGAAACGCCTGGCTCGAGGATGGGCCATTGGCCTAAAAGGGTAATGCGCGAGCCCTAGTACTACGCCATAAGGTACGCCACTTTCATGCAAGATTTATGCAGGGAGATCGAGTCTTATGCACGCCCGGTTATTTACGGATCGCAGAAATGCGCATGGAAGCATCATTGTGCGAGTGGGATTACTGATTGCAAATCGCGGTCGGCGTCAGCAACGACGACTGATGCCTAGACAGTCTTATCCGTTAAATACCTATAGCTGAGGTCTGTGCCTGTCCTTCATCATATCTCACTTTGTCTTCAGACCAAAATGTCCTTTCCTCCTCCGCCCTCAAACACGCTTGGTAATTTCCCACATACTCCGTTCCGTACGCGTAGTGCTAAATAATTCCAGATTGGGGCAAGCTTGGCTTCCAGTACCGCACGCGTAAGCTTCATTGCATTGCATTGATACAACAAATGTTGAATCATCTGACCAGTGAACGGCCATATCGAATCCCGCTACTCCCACAAGACCAAGACATGGACGACTCCAAAGCTAGTCCGATCTCCCTACTTATCCATCCACGGCATGTGCCCCGGGCTCAATTATGGTCAACAAGCCTTCGAGGGTCTTAAGGCCTTCCGCATGCCTGCAGGCGACGACCGCATTGCTATCTTCCGCCCGCAGATGAATGCCGAACGCCTGGCTCACAGCGCTGATATGGTGTCAATCCCGCCTCTACCAGAAGATGTCTTCGTCCACTGCTGTCAACTTGTTGTCGGGTCGAACGCAGAGTTTGTTCCCCCGCATGAGAGTCCGGCGAGCATGTACATTCGTCCGCTTGTCTTTGGAAGCTCGCCGCAATTGGGACTAAATCCTCCCGAAGAATACACCTTCTGTGTGTTTGTGAGTCCAGTAAGCGTGTATCATGGCGTGAAGCCTGTTGCTGCTCTGATCCTGGAAGATTTCGACCGCGCGGCCCCGGAAGGCACAGGCAATGCAAAGCTTGGGGGCAATTACGCGCCTGTGCTAAAATGGAGCGAGAAGGCGAGGAGTGAGGGATTTGGGATTACTTTGCATTTGGATAGTAAGACCAGAAGCGAAATTGATGAGTTCTCGACGAGTGGCTTTATTGGAGTCAAGAAGTCGGATGGAGGAGACATCACGCTCGCCGTCCCTGATTCGAAATGCGTCATCAAAAGTTTCACAAGCGATAGCATATGTGAGATTGCCAAATCGCTGGGATGGAAAGTCGAATGCAGGTCGATCAAGTATGAGGAATTGCCAGCATTCTCGGAGGTCATGGCAGCAGGCACTGCGGCTGCTTTAGTACCCGTGAACTCGATCACCATGAAGTCCAAGGGTGATAAGTTCTCATACAACGGAGGGGGAGATGAGCCCGGCCCAGTAATGCTGAAACTCCTCGACACTCTGAGGGGAATACAAAGTGGAAGGATCAAGGACTCTTTCGGATGGCGCAAATACGTGGACAAACCCAAGGATTACGAAAAAGAAAATGATGCGGTGAACGGTGCGCCAGGTAGTACACTCGTCAACGGCAGCATTGATAAATTACCTTGAGCAATAGCGACTCCTTGGACATGATTTGCAGTCTCATGCCACGTCCACGTCAAATACGGAGATCGCGCATGATACTCCCGAGACCGGCAGAGAAAAGTCTTCGCTTTTGAACAGAAGATCCTCACCCATGTGACGTTTGGTGAGCATCATAGAACTTTTGGTATAGAATCGGTTTGAATAGATCGTGTCTTGAGCGTACAATCAATGCACGTTCCACAGCTCCAAGGATTTGTAAGAGTGCAACGATCCATTCCAAATAAGCATGAGACGAAAGAAAAACAACATTATCGAGGAATTGAGAATGGCGCAAGGAAAGGAGGTTGTGCAAGTAGGGTCGCTATGGTCGGCCGTAGGGTCTCACGCGCCCGAAATAGCAAAATGTACACATGCCCCTCGACCCTCAGCAATCAACTCATCAACTCATCTCGAAGAGTGCCTTATAAGCTGCAACGCTTCTGCAGAACGTTCGGATAGTTCTGAGGAGGATCGCATCAGATTCATCCCATCGCAACCGATGGTGTCTTTTCAATGCGAAGTAGGGCTCCCCCTGATTGGGCACGAATGCATTACCATCGATGCTAACTGGAAATTCTCACATCTAGGCTTGCGGTGATGTTGTTGGGAAGAAGAAATTGGATCCCCACCGCGGCCAATGTCAGGGCGCCTCGTATACATGCTTAGATTGCATGACGCACTTTGAAGGCATGGGCTACAGAGCACATATGGTACTTTTCTCTCTCACTTCCTTTCGCTGCGAAGTTCGTTGTGCCGCTTTTGACGGCCGTGTACGCCTATGGCTGATCTTCCTGTGAGTTAGTCATGTATATCAGAAGAACAGAAGTATCAAGGCACACTTTATAAGCAGAAACCATCCAAAAAATCAGTCAAGATCGCCCCAATCGAGTCTTCAATATCGCGAGCCGCCTACGTTGAAGATGCGCCAGATCCAGACACAGGGAATGGTATCGTGATCGTCGAACCACCTCCAGAAGCCCCCGTACCACCCCCAGCGGTTTTAGAACAACCAAATGTCAACGTGTTCGATTTCCTTGTCACTGACGAAACCCCAAATGCCTCGCGAGTCTCCCTCGTCCCGGGAGGCCAGAACGGAATGGACTACACGCCTTCGGTGATAGGCTCGGAGATCAGCCGAAAAAAGTCGAGCACCGTACATGATCCACAATACGAAAAGCACGGGTTCTCGTATGGCACGGAAGCATTGCCTGCAACGCACAAGAAAGAGAACGCACACTTCGAATACATCACTCCGGCATCAAAAGAGCTGCGCAAGCAACTAGAAAAAACCGAAGGCAGATCCACAGATAAAAAGCGCAAACGCCTCCAAGTCGAAGAACTAGATCTTTCCGTCGCGCGCCGCCCTTCACAAGAGTCCTCAGACGCTATCATGTCCGACGCTCCTCCCGCGGTCCTCCACTCCGGCCTGACAGGAGGCCTGAACCGGCTCCTCTCAAAATCCAAATTCCCTCCAAGCCCAGATTACTCCAACGATCCCCCCAGTCCAGTCAAGCGCTCGAAATCCGCATCGACATCCCAAGCTCTGGTGAAAAAAGACCGCGATCGCGACCACAGTAAATCCACCGCGCGCTCCACCTCCAACGCGCTTGTAAAAGTACGCAAGCGGCGCACATCCGACGAGTCACGCCCGCGCAAGAAAAAGAGACATCACACCTCCCACAATGACGACGAGTCATCTACTCACCGCCGCAAGAAGCATAGGCCAAAAGCCATTGAATACCCATCATCTCAGGCACCCGAGGACTCTCAGCAGCAGTTGGTGGTCTTCAAGACAAGAGCAGAGTTCTTCATGTCGTTGGTGACGAAGGGGGAGGAGAGCGAGAGAGGGGATGAGTATGCATAAGGTGCTGAAGCGGTATCATCGTGAGAGGGCGGAGGCAGTGAAGGAGGAGGAGGAGAAGGAATTGTTTAAGCGGTTGAGGTTGAGGAAGAATGAGAGGGGTGAGATTGTGGTGTTTTGGGAATGAGGATACTTTTGAAGAGGGGGAAAAGGCGCTTTTGCTGGGCTTTGCGGGTAACGATGCAAGATGATATGAACAATTTTATGAGCACAAGCGAGGCGCTTGAGTGATACGTTGGAGCTGGATCTCCTACTGTGGCGAGCGGGCATAATTTGGAATGGACAACCAGGCTTCGTACGTATTTCTTTGTTTCTTCTAGCTCTTGTAGTATTAGCGGATTCCAATTTGACGCAAGATATGAAGACACGAAGATTGTGCTAAGCTATTGTACTCTGACATTCAAGCATTTCAAGCTGTCTCTCCCGCTGCGTTGATCTTAAGGAGCTCTCTATCAGTAAATGAGGCAAATACCGCAAGAATGACCTCAACCTGAGGTCGACACAACCCAGCTGATCGTACAAGGCCAAATGTCGCTCCAGATCGACATACTTGGGCAGCCAAACCTTCATATTTCATTTCAAATTCTTCAGAAACATTGCCTCATGAGCCATCAGTCATATTTTTCTCTGACCTAAACACGCTCGACAGCTCCGTCGGGCTTCCTTGGCTGAAAGCGGTCCTCACTTCAGCGGAACGTTGCTGCAGCAAGAGATTTGGCGTCGTTGGTCCTTCATCCTCTTCCTCTTGTTCGACATCCGTCATCTCAGCGTCTTCATTCGCCCCGACTGATGACTGTGCGGTTCCGGCTGCCGCAATATCCTCATCAATAGCAGCCATGCGCCTCACGAATTCATCCTGCAGATTCTTCAACCACGTCGCTAACACCCTTCCCTCCATATTCCCCTCCTTCGCATGCTGGAGCTGTTGGTAAAGACTGAGAATCAATTTCCGCCTTCGCTGAATTGCAATAGTCTTCGAGCTTTTCTTCTTCCTCTCCGTGATCTCCTTCAACTTTTTTGACACTTCTTCCGCTTTACTGATGATACCTTGTGGAAGATTGACGACTTTGGCGAGGGCGATGCCATAGTTTTCGTCTTCTACCCAGCCGTTGGCGACGCGGTAAAGCATTGTCATCTTGTCGTGTTCCGGTTGGAGGTTGACCTCAAGATGCAAGTTTACAACGCCGGAGCGCTCTGCGAGAATTTTGGGGAGGTCGCGGAAATGGGTGACGAACCAGACTAAGGCGTGACTTTCGACAAGCGCTTCTGCAACAGCGATGGCGATGCAGAGACCGTCACGTGTGCTTGTGCCGCGTCCGAGTTCGTCGATGATGACCATACTTCGCTGGTCGATGTTGCGGAGGATGAATGCCGTCTCTCGCATTTCAAGGGAGAATGAAGAGACGTTGGCTTGGGTACTATCATCGATTGACACTCGAGCAAAGAGTTGATGGCTGACAGGGAATGTCGCAAAAGATGCTGGTACAAAGCAGCCAAGCTGTGCCATGATTGTCAAGAGAGCCAGTGAGCGGATGTATGTGCTTTTTCCACTCATATTACATCCGGTGATGATCTGGAAACGCGAACGCTGGTCGGCGAAGGCGCCATTAGGAATAAACTTCTCGGAACGTATCTTCTCGATAATAGGATGCCTCCCGTGGTTTATCGCTAGAGCGCTGGTCAACTCTGGTCGGACGTAGTCCTGAGTAGTGACCATGTGGGCGAACGAGGCCAGCATATCTAACAGAGCAATTGCTTCGCTGATCTTGAACAATGGCGATATTTCTTCGCGTACACTGTCGATTAGACGTCGTACGCTTCCATCAGACAGCTGTACCACTTCCATGTGCGAGTCAGTGATCTTCTGATTCCACTTAACGAGGTCAAGAGTCTGACATTCAACCATCTTGTTTCTGCGGTAAACATTGATGAAGATCTCTGGGAGTGTACGGTCTTCCAACGAATGCACTGGAATGCGAACGTAAAAAGCTCTACCCGTATCGTACTTGACCTCAAGGGGAAGAGAGTGGCTCGCTGCAAGATCGTCAACAAGTTTGAGCGCATCCTCAGTATTTTCTTTGTATGTCTGTCGTGCCACATCGAGGAAACCGTTGACCCCAGACTTGACGGCATATGTTCGCTGATTGCGGAGGTCGAGGGGTTGACTCTGATAGGTGATGTCTTCATTAATAGTGTTGTCAATCAAAGCTTCTACGTCTGCAATTGCGTGTGGGGAGAACAACTAAGGTCAACGCTCAGCGCCTGCCTTCTTCAAGATATCATGGGACTCACATCCAGTATCGATTTCAGCAAATCACTCTCTACTGTACCGATTGCTTCGCGAATCAATGGTATGGATTTGACGAATTGCTTTAGCATTATAACATCGTTAATCTGCTGCTCAAAATACTCGACTGTTGGATTCTTTGGGATCGTATTGACCTGGTAGATTAAGGCGTATGACATCTGACAAGTTGTGATTGCTTACTGCGGTCAAAACCTTGTCAACATCTACGAAAGACTTGAGTGCTAGTGAAAGCGTCAGTTGAGTGAATGTAATTTTTTTCAAAAGACCAACATTGTCGTACTGCAAAGAAAATATCTTCTTTGGAGGTCAACTCTGCTAAGGCTTCATAACGCCTTACCAGAAGCTCCTTGTTCGTAGAAGGCTGCATTATGTTGACGCGTAGTCGCCTTGCACCCATTGGGGTCAAAGTCTGGTTGAGGAGCCCAAAGAGGCACGCCTTCGAATTTGGATTCTGTAGGTTCTGTATCAGCTCAAGAGACCGGCAAGTTTGCGAGTCGATCATCATTGAGTCCTCAGAAGGTTCAAATTTGATCCGTAGAGAGTGGAAAGGAAACGAAATTGAAAGTCCGAGTTCGACGTATTGCATTGCCTATGACCTTTCAGCATCCTCGATGCAAGACTGGCAATCTTACGGTGACCCACCGCAGCGAAGCAACAAGTTGCGTAGTAGTTGGCTTCAAGGCATATCTTGATTGCCTCAAGATCTTCTCTGATCGCCAGTCGCTGGATGTACTCCATGCCTGTATTTTCAGCCCAATACTTCCTGTCTAGAGGCTCAATGCAAGTGGACCTGAGATTGCTCTCGACAACAAGAAGCAATTTGGACTTAGGCTGAACAGAAGTAGATGCAAAAAGAACTTGAGAAGGTTGATACACGGCGAGCTTTTGCTCTGTCTTGGTGTAGGTCTGATTGTCAGATATTTGGCAGAGGACAGCTTCAGTAGTAGAAATATTGATGAAGGCAAGTCCAACAGTAGGGGAAACACCACGCGATTCACTGACGGCACATATGATTTGTTGTTCACCATATGCCGTTGAGGCTGCAGTTCGTGGTCTGCCTCTGGAACGAGTGGTGATTGTGCCGCCTGTGGTTGGACGAGCACCACTTGTAGAGTAAGGTGTACTCCTGGTGGAGTATGATGTCGACGCACGAGCACCGCCCGTGGCCGAGGCAGACTGATGACTTCGAATCACCGATGTCATCAGGGCGAGTTTGCATTCAATGGCATATGCTTCCCAAAAGCAAAGAAGGAGGGAAGGAAGAAAGTGAAGGGGAAGGTATTTAGGGGCCGCTTTAGGGTTCGTCGCTTGCTGCGGGCGCAGGGCCGGGGATGACGCCCCCACGAGAAGGTGAGTGCGCTAAGAGCCGCAGTATAAAAAAAGAGGTTGACAAATTTGTGAGATCTTTTACCCCTACCCCAAGAAATCAAAAGTGAACATTGGAAAGACTTCACTCAGTCATGGCTACTTCACTTCCGCCTCCGAGTAAGCGCCAGAAGATTGTTATTGCCGAAAAGGAGCAGGCGACGAAGGAAGCAAGTGCCATCCCTGAAAACCTTGGAAGCGTAAGAGTACAGTTCGTTGACCAAGCTACCGGTCACGCGACGGGCGCTCCGATCTCTGTGCCAGTGGCAAGTGCGACTGTAAAAAATCTTGAGCTGCTATTGAATACCGTAAAAGGGCATGTAAGTCATCCCTAAGAGGCAGACTTTCCTTTTAGTCGACTTTCTCTCTGGTCAAAACTCATTAAATAAATATAGAACGCGTCTGATCGAATACCATATCGCTTTACTTACCTGTCTGCTAAACAAGAAAGCTCGGCGATAGATGTCATAAATGATCTTTACCACTCGGTCTTAGAACCAGGTATAATAAGTACGGAAGAGTCTATTCGCCTGTTTCATACTCCACAGGCCGTCTTCAAGGTTCGCGCCGTCTCTAGATGCTCATCGTCTATCCCTGGTCACGGAGAGCCCATCCTTGCCGCTGCCTTCTCTCCCGCGTCATCTTCACGATTAGTGACAGGTAGCGGAGATAAGACAGCAAGGATCTGGGACTGCGACACCGGGACACCTTTCAAGAGCCTGCAAGGCCACACTGGCTGGGTGTTAGCAGTCAGTTGGTCGCCGGACAACACTATCATAGCGACAGGCAGCATGGACAATACCGTGCGGTTGTGGGACCCAATCTCTGGACAGCCCCTTGGGCAACCTCTCAGGGGCCATACCAAGTGTGTCACAGCCCTAGCATGGGAGCCGTACCATCTTCAGGCGCCTGGAAGACCTCGAATAGCTTCATCTTCCAAGGATTCAACGGTGAGGATCTGGGATGTTGTCGGCAGACGGATTGAGAACGTCCTCAGCGGACACCGAGATCATGTGTCTTGTGTCCGATGGGGAGGCACTGGCCGAGTCTACACCTCCTCTCGTGACAAGACCATCAAGATCTGGGATCCTTCGCAGGGCACGCTTGTTCAGACTCTGTCAAAGCACAGTCACTGGGTAAATCATCTGGCTCTATCTACGGATTTTGTCTTGCGCACGGCCTTTCATGACCACACCGGAGACGTACCATCAACGCAGGAAGGCAAAATATCGAAAGCCAATGACCGATTTCAAAAAGCAGCACAGAACGGCAATACAACTGTGGAGCGTCTAGTCTCTGCTTCAGATGATTTCACGATCTACCTATGGGAGCCTGCAAAGTCGAAGGAGCCAATATCTCGCCTCCTTGGCCACCAGAAACAAGTCAATCACGTCACCTTTTCCTATGATGGTCACTACATAGCCAGTTCTGGGTTCGACAATCACGTGAAGTTATGGAATGGCAGTGACGGAAAGTTCATCGCCTCCCTCCGAGGTCATGTTGGTCCAGTATATATGAGCTGTTTCAGTGCAGACAGCAGGCTACTTGTCAGTTGCAGCAAAGATACGACACTCAAAGTGTGGGATATGGGTACGAAGAAATTGAAGGAGGACTTGCCTGGCCATCGAGACGAAGTTTATGCGGTGGACTGGAGCGCGGATGGAGCAAAGGTGGGCAGCGGGGGCAAGGACAAGCAAGTGAGATTATGGAGTCACTGACGGAAATATGTAAGAGAGAGACAGAAATTCATGAGAAACATCACCACCTCTGCCTTTTATCTCACTTTCGCAGTTTTATAGATGCCTCATTGTTGCCTTAAGAATTACAAGGCCGTCAAGCAGTGGAGGAAATAATCCAGAATATCAGCAACGGTTCCAACGAGCTAAGTATTTGCGATCTAATTTGAGATTGCAAGCCGAGACAACCTACAATCTAAGTCAAACAAAACGACCTGTTCAGCCACTAGCAATCCAACCCAATCTCAGGTCTAACTATTAAGCCACGCTCTATGCCACTGTCGATCCATTTGGAGATTGCATTGTCCAAACCGCACCCAACGCCGCTTGAGTTCACCTTTTCAACGTTCAGTCACTCATAGCAATCCTTTACGCATTTCAATTGGAGTTCTGCTGCTTCAATTCAGACTGATACTTGCTCCAGATTGATGCTCCTTTCGTGCACAGTACATCAAAGTACCATCGCGCCGTTGGATGAGCAGAATCCTCAAAATCAAGTGCCCGGCACACCAACTCATCGTCTTGCCAATCAATGAATCCCACAGGCCGCGTGAAATGATCTACTACAATCTCCTCCACAACATCTTCTCTGCTCCTAGATCGAATCGCAGCTACAAACATCGCATGCACGAACCTTACTCCTAGCCATTCCCGGCACAGCCTTACACCCCGAGAGCTGCTCTGGCGGATAGCTTCCGTCAATAACTTCGCGGGCAATTTGTGACATAGCGGTGGCGTGTCAATGACATAGGATCCCCACAAAAGCAGTCGCTCAAACAGGTTGATCCTCTCATCCGTCCATTGTCCCTTCAACAATCTCGATGGGATAGGTACATCATCGATGATCTTGAAGGCTGGCCCATCATCCAGCACACTCAGGCTACTGTCCACAGCCTTCTCCATCTTCTTCGTGAAATGGTCCGCGAACCAGCTTTGATTGAGCAGATCTTTTTGAAGGCGGACTGCTGGTTGGAAACCAATCTCGCGTTTGACTGTCGGAGAGAAGGCGTTGATGCAAAACCAAAGCCGGGCAGATTCACTATCAAGGCACGCCCAGAGATTATGACATGTCAAGCGCAGAGAAGGGTTGAGTGAGAAGCCGTAGATGCTGATGAGAAGTTCCGTGGGGAGGTCGGTGAGAGTAATATATCGCTTACGACAGTTGGTAGTTGTTGCCTCTTCATCGCTCCAGATAGATGGAGCATGGTTTACGGATGAAAAGGGCGAACTAAAGGTAGGACTCCAAGCCTTTGGCTTTGCATCCCTGATCCTGTTGATGATGCCATCGCCGCGGTTCTCTACCCAAAGATCAGGTAATCTGCTCCGTGTCGAGCCTTCATCCGTTCGAAAAGCATCATAAGGTAAATCACAGCTCGTGTCAGAGGAAGATCGCGACATGACTAAAGAGTTTCAAACAGGTGGGTTGGTGTTCTTTGGCTCCTGAGTGATACTACCTTTGCCAGCTTATGATAAGCGATCGCGCAATCCCCTTCTAGTAAACGATTCTTGGAACGGCAAATTTGCGATTGAAGACACAGCTCAAAATCTTTACGACCTATCCGATTGCATCAGGTCACATTCAATGTGCCCGTAGGTTGGTACCAGATCACGCTGGCATACTATCAATAGTGGAGGGATCATGAAGCTATCCTGGGATATATCAAAGATTAGCTTGCAAGGTGCGAGACAGACGTACTGTGTCTCTGAAATGATGCACCCTATATTTAGAAGTCTCATGGTGAGGCAGCAAGATCTCTATCAGCTTTCTCAGCCTTGTCTCATCAGCTTCTGCCTGAGGCAGCATTCATAGCAGGCTAATCCACAAGTAGCTAGCGGCAAGAATCGTGCCAATCTTAGCCTCCACTCTCACTCCACGTCCTTTCATCAACGAAACCTCCCTCATCGATACGGACACAACTCGCGTCGCGACTTAAAGTCCTTCCATTTTCCTCGTCTTCAACCTCATCGCGGCCTGTAGGCCCGGTCGCGCACGATGGACTATCTTGGCGAAGAAACCTATCCCGAGCCTCCAGGTCCCATAACCACCCTCTCCCAACCACATCCTCAACCTCACATTTCACCACCACCACCACCACCACCGCCCCCTCCACCAGCACAGTACACACTCCCTCATACGCCCGATCAAAATGGGCCTCCTCAGACCTACTCCCCTTCACCCTCTCCCTACATCCCTCCACCCAACAGCGACGACCCCTACAATGGCATGCCCCCTCCCCCCGCAGCAATCTACCCCGACCTTCCCACCCTCATGGCCGCTTGCCAAGAGCATGGCCGCCGCCACGGCTACGCCTGCGTCACCTCCTCCAACAACTACAAGCGCGGCATCGCCTACGTCCGCTGTGACCGCGGCGGCGAATACGTGAACCACTGGAACGTGACCCCCGAGTCGCGCGTTCGCAAGAATCGCACGCGCAGACTGGTCGGGTGTAAGTGGAAAGCGCGCGCGAAACGGATTGGGTCGGAGGAGAGCGGTGGAGCGGCAGACTCGGGGCAAGAGGGAGGTGGAGATGGGGGAGGAAATGGGGAGGGGAGGGACGGGGGAGGATGGCAGTTGACTATGATGGAGGATAAGCATACGGGACATGGGCCGAGTGAGGATTTGAGCAGTCATCCGAGTCTGAGGCAGTTACCTGAGAATGCGGTGGGGGAGGCGAAGAGAGCTTTTGAAGAGGGAAGGACGCCAAAGGAGGTGTTGGAGAGATTGAAAGCGTGGAATGCGGCGGTGACGGCGCAGGATGTGTATAATTTGAAAGCGAAGATTGCGAGGAGGGATGGTGGGATGAAGGAGAAGGCGACGCCTTTGAAGGGCAAGGGAGCGCTGAGGGGGAGGACGGTGGCTATCCATGAGGGGGTCGGAGGAGCTAGGGAGGGGGAGGGTGTGGTGGATTCGGCGTTGAGGGTGCAGGATCCCAACGTGGGGAATTTGGGACAGTTGACTGCTGCTGTTGCGCAGATGCAGGAACCGGAGCATTTGAGGGAACGGGAGCAGATGGGACAGGCCATAGAAAATGGGCAGGCGGCAAGGGGGAAGTGTGGCTGTACTTGCTGTGAGCATTGAGAAAGGGGAATTATGAAGGCATGAGGCTAGTGACACAAGTTAAAGAGCATGTCCGCCTACTAGTATATGATGGCCTTCTCAGAATGTCTGTTTTGTTGCTGAGGCTTCAAAGACGGCCATCAGAACTATGAATAACATTCTATATAACCAATCCTTTTCCAGGCAACAAATTGCATTCAAGACAATTCACATATCCAAACAAGTTTGTGCCTGCTCCTTAGGAGGCCTGTTGCTCAGTTCGCCGCTCACTGAATGCCGTACCGCTGCTAGAAGAGGGCCACGAAGCTTGCAGGTAGCTGTAATGAACAGATACAATAGCCTTAGAGAGGTAGAGCAGCTGCCTAAATTATTTCAATGTTGCTGAGGCACGACCTGCCAGGCACCTCACACTAGTTTCCTTCATTATTCTCTTTAGTTGCACCGCTTAGTTAAAGCATCCCTATAATCTCGGTGGGCTTTACGTGAGCAGAGTCCCATTTGTCCGAATTGCTTCGAGGCATCTGATCGTCATGCGCCCCCCAAAATGGCAAATCCTTATGTTTGAAATATCCAATATGGCATCTCAATCGTCTCATGGATCATCCAGAGATGATTGGGCGGCATGGCTTGGATAGCATCAATTTTGGCGGCATGCATGCGAACCAGATCGTCTACAACGGATCAGGGAAGTAGCGAATGTTGTCTTCGTTATTTTTCCAGTCATCCCATACCCCTCCATCGTCTTTTTGAGCCAGTAAGCCAGCATCGACCATGAATTCTGCCCGGCGAACACAATCAAACCCATAGATAGAATGTTCAGATTGATTATGCGAAATGATAAGGCTCAACATATTCGGAAAGGTCTTCGCGTAAGCTTTACCTCCAGCATTCATGCCAAACCCGAGGGGGGACCTGCGCTCGAAGTGGTCACATGGGTCCGATTGTTCACCATTTTCGTAGGGAGGAAAATACGGTAGATACAATTTGATGACCATGCGTTTCAATCTCGAGGGTGAAGTACTTAATGCTTCCTTGGCCATTACAGCAGTAAGTGCTGAGATAGCGGCTTCTTCAGTGGGACCATGTTTGTATACATGTTGTGCAGCCTCTCCACCGAAGATGAGAGGACATATGCGGCGCATTCGCAGACGAACATTCTCGAAAGAGCTCAGACGTTTAGCGATTGCTAGACACAAATGCTCTGAGCATTCCTCCCCTGTGGACACACAGGACGAGCCGATGAGATCAAGCGTAAGAGTCGTTACTGTTGCTGGGATACAAGCTATGAAGTTCTGGACTGTCCGAGCAAAGAGATAGTCCCACTGCCAGTCTCTCTCTCCATCGACGTCGGTTAAAGCTTCGAACGAAAGCTCGTACAACGAATGACACTCTGGGATGACCTCAGATATGTCATGCAAACGGCGATTGACTTTCTTTCGCCACGGTAACAGTGTAAGCTCCATCAATTCCTGGTTACATTGAGCTTTTGGAAGTGATCGACGACGACCTGTAAGACTTGACTCATCAGAATCGCTGTCGGTAGAATCGCTATCGAGAAAATCACTGCCAGTAGAGCTAGAACCAGACTGTGTTTCCCAACTGTCGGAGCCAGAATCATCCTCCTGAGATTTATTATCCCTGGTTGTTAGTTCTTCCCCGAGGAAAAACCCTTCGCCGTCATTTGAGGGACGACCGACCAGACGAATGCCCAACCTCTTCACGCGCATCTTGATTCTGTCGTACAGGAGTCCATGTCTCGGTGGAAAACATCCTAGATCGTTGGATGATAGATAGATGTCTTCACAATTTCTAGATTGCACGAGAACAGGCAGGACGGTGTGATACCACTGCTTGCAGAGCATCAAATACGATAAATTAGATCGCAGAGGTATTTCGCTCGCAATATGGCCAAGTACTTCGGGCGGTAAGTCAAGCAAGGCCACCATTTTTGCGAGATGTTCAAACAGTTGGACGCGTCCTCCCCCTCGTCCATCATCTCGTTGATCCCGAAAAGAGACACGCGAGGGCCGGCCCGTTTGTAGTGCCAACCCATATTCATATCAGTAGGATTTTCCTTCTTTCATACGTATCCGCCTGAAGTACTGTCCGGGCCACTCCTCAGACGAGTCGAGTAGTGACGTTCCCATGCAATGACTACCCAAGCAATCTTTCACAAGTGAGGCGCATCATCGGATGAACACAATCAAGGTTTGGGCGTGAGTAGCTCCAACCATGCGCATAACATAAAACCTCCATTGATCGCATTTCAACAATTGAAGAATATGCCGCAATGCGGCACGAAGACACAGCCTCTTTGCAAATTACATTTCCTTCTTACGATACTGCAACTTTCATGATTTGCTTTTTGGTAATGGAGGAGACCAAGCTCAAACCTCCATGGAGCCGCGAAGATTTAGCTTCCTGAGACGGATCCTTACATATATCTCCATTAGCATTTGCGATATCATGAAGACGTCGGATGGTTCACCAACAGTAGGTTGAGGCTCCCGCTGTCACCTGTTTTCCTGCGTGGAATAAGTGCCAACACAGAGCGCTTGTGTATCCCGTCTACCTGAGGGAGTACCTGGTATGTCAGGATTTGCTGAGATGGAATGAGTTAATGGCTCACTTTAAAAGCTCATAAGGGTAAGGTGCTTTCTTTGTGACCTAAGTACAGACCTCTTCAATCTCTATCTGTTTTCAGAGCGTCTTTCCTTACGATTTTTTTTTTGGCCGTTTCGTCGATGATCAATACATCCTCAGAGTTTCCCTTTCAATAAAGCTTCCATACCTTCAATATGCATCCCATTCACGCCATTTTCTTTGCTGTTATAGCTATGTCAATTCAGTCAACCAAAGCCTCGCCTCAGGGTTTCGCCAACGCTCTTTGCTCATACACCGACGCTGGGCTCGATCCTATGGCTCTCCCGTGCAGACCAGCGTCGAATAGTGTACCATGTACCAATCTAAAAAATGTCTACGCAGGATAGTAAGTCCTAATCTCACCATTCACATCTTCTCCCGATAAGCAAAGCAAGCCGCTAACGCCTATCATTCAGCGGAGCACCCCAATCGAAATCCAAGCGAAGGCTGCTCCGTCAATCCGACGCCGTCTTATCCACGCGTGATACTCCTCCAAGAGACCAAGACCTCTGGTGCCTCGCCGGCACCAACACCTTCGTGATCCCCCGGCTCTTCGCCAAAGCCCAGGTTCCGGATTCTGCCCAAGTCATAGCTGAAGGCACCAACAGCACCATCGCTGAGACCATCGACCAGACTCAAGACCACATTGACCACTACAAAGACGGGGTCATAAACTATGGCTATGATTCGGGGTGGCGGGTTCACGGCGATAATTTCGTGTACTTGGAAGTGACGCATGCGAAGAAGAATCAGGTGACGTATGGGGTACTCAATAGTGCGATCAAGGCGCTGAGGGATTATATGTCACAGCCTGGGAAGTGGTTTGGGCAGTGTGGGTTTGATATTTGGGATGGGCCGAACCAGGTGGGGGAGGGGTATATTCGGTCCTATGGTTTTTGAGTAGGTGGTTCTGGTGGTGGGTCAAAGTGGCAGAGGATCCGTTGATGGAAGGTGTGAGTGATGTGTGTTGTAGAGAACCTTGGGTCATCTCTCGATTTGCACAATAGCAGGTTTCCCACTGTTGCTCACGATCGCCGATATACACCTCATTTTCCGCGAAACTTTCTGCCGTGTGGACGATTCCTAGCATCCATAGGCTAGAGAACTATGAAATTGCACGTCATCGCAGGTCACGTTGAGATGTGGCAGTTTTTCAAGCTTCGTACTCACTGACCATTTGCCGTGACGACCTTTTGTGACGTTTTCCTTCTGAATGTATGCCTCAATATGGAAGTGGAATGTGGTGACAGGGTCGAGTCCGGCGGATCATAATTTGCCATTCATCCGTGGTAGGTGGAAAGTACCTCGACATCCTGGAGGAAGGATGGAGGTTCGTAGGAGCTCCCTCATTGCTCCTGGCATCATGCATGGCCGTCGAACCTAATTCGCCCGAAATGGAAAGGTGAGATATCTTAAAAGGCAGCACGCCATCCGCTAGCGCATGGCAACAACGGCTGGCGCTACCATTCAAGGTTGCTGACATGCATACCTGTCTCTATTGAGTACAGTCCCTGTAGATCTTTTGCCTCGAGCGGTAAATAGGGATATTGAGATGCTTGACCAGGGGCGGAATAGGAAGCTTTGGGCAAAGCTTGATAGGAACAAGCGTTGCAATTTCGGTGACGTTTGAAATGGATTGTCTACCATTGGATGAAAGTGCCGTTGTGGCTCTTCATTGCCATGGGGCCACCCGCAAAAAGTCTGAGGTTGTTAAGGTGCCATCCCTTTTTCAGAATCCACTACTCAGAATTCGTCCACATGCTTTTAGGCCTTCTCATGTCATGTCTGTTGATGAGAGCCTCAGCATCTGTTCGACAGTATGTATGGGCCATTACCCTAAGGGTATTGCTCGTTGGATTAGAGTCACTCATGCGAGGGGATCATTGTGAGAGAGGCATTTGGTCTCCCCCTTGCTGATGTGGCCCTGCTAATTGCAAAGCTGTTGTGACGTATTCTGGCCCCTGAATTCAAAGAATGGATCCAAGTACGGGCAGACTGCCATCGGTCACTTGCTGAATGGGGACTCTTTGACAGGTAAAAGAGATCGTCGTCCATTCGTTCCACTTTCGGTCCCATGGCGAAATACTCATCCTTGTCGGGTGTGCTCACTTTCGATTGACGACGCTCCTACCATTTTACTTGCAGCACACAGTGGCCGCCCGGTAATTGCTATGACATTCTTTCCCCGTTCACAGGGTTCTTATACCAATCACACTTCTCTTTAGGCGAGGTAGGAAGACTAAGTCTCCTCCGAAGCATGGCAAGTGCCTTTGCCAGCGTAAGCTAAACGTCCAAGGTGTGTCAACGACGGATGCTGGTCTCGTATTAGGTCACCTCCGTTGACCCTTAAGCTTTCTGAAAAGCAGAGTAGCTGATCTGAGTTGCCAAAATGGAGGGGCTCGAAGGTACTTCCGTTTTGAGCGAAGACATCTTGATAACAAGCTTTAGCCTGATGTCACTCGTTTGCAGCGACCTGAATCCAACGCTCAAGTATCGCTTTGCTGCACTTCGTTCACAGCAGGGTGAAATAAATCAATTATTCTATCGGATCTCCTGTTTAACTCGAGCTTTATTCCCTATCTGTTACGGAATTCAAGTAGAAAAACAATACCAAAATGAAAGCGACGTACTTCATCATTGGAATCGCGTTCAGTCATGTCGCCACTTGTGGTTGCCCTTTCGCAGACCTGGCAAAGCGGTCCGGCGGGCTCACGGAAGACGATAGAGCTAAACTTGAGCAGGTCCGAAGAGATCCTTCACAGGCGGAGGCACTTTTCAAGGCTCATCAAGCCAAGAAACGCGCACCAACACCTCAACCACAAGGTGGAATCATTGGCCCCATTCTTGGCGGCGTGCTGGATCTGCCCCTTGGAGGAGGGCTTCGTAAGCTTCCAGCATTTGTCGGAGTTAGATCCATTATTGACATCCATGGTCCAGTGAACGGTGTGCTACAGCCACTCACAGGCGCCCTCGCAGCTATCGATCTTCCAACGCCCCAGCCTCAAGGCCTCCAAGAAATCCCAGGCGACGACCCAGACCATCAGTTTCAAGCACCTGGTCCAACCGATATCAGAGGAGTGTGCCCCACGCTGAATGCTCTCGCCAATCACGGCTACATATCCCGTGATGGCATTACAAGCTTTGCTCAAGCTGCTAATGCCGTTCAAACAGGCTACGGCTTCGACTTTTCACTGAGCGTTTTCCTCTCAGCTGTTGGTCTGATGGCGGGCGGTGATCTTGCCACTGGTAAGTATACTATCGCTGGCCGTGATGCTCGTGTGCCAGATACACTTGGCCCAGCTGGCGGGCTTGACAAGCACGGCGTCTTCGAGATCGATGGCAGTGTCACTCGTCAGGACGTTCATTTCGGCAACAACGCGAATTTTCTTGAGCAACGCTGGGACGAATACGTAGCCGAAGCTAACGAACACGATGGTGAATTCGGTTTTGACACCCAAGCTCAAGACAACGGATTGCGTTACGATAACTCTATCAAGACCAATCCGGACTTTTTCGCCGGCGCCATCTGGTTCATTGTCTCGCATGCTGAAAGGGTCTTCGTGTACGCTGGGCTTGCCAACGGGACCACAGGAAAGGCGGACTATGACAACGTTGCTCCATTTTTCCTCAACGAAACGTTTCCTGCAAATTGGTATCGCCGAGGGGTACCATTCACCCTCCCTCAAGCTATCCAGCAGGCAGGTGCAATGTTTCTAGCAAATCCTCGCGCACTGGGCGGCAACCAAGGCGTGGGTAATTTTGTCCCTATTGACATAGCTTCCGATCCCAGCAACATTGCCAATGCGCCGGCGGAGCTTGGCTGTTTCGTACTCGAAAATCTGTTGGACGTGGCGCCAAATCAGCTCGATCCATTGATTTATGACAACTTTGAACTTTTCACAGGATTCATCAAAGGTAAGACATTTCTTGTTCCACCTAATTTGTGGACCTCTAATTTAAAAACTTTTGTGTCCAGGAGTGATCGCCCCCTTCTTCATCAACGATGGGTACTTCAACTGTCCTGCAGCTCTCGAGTTTACCAAGCCTGGGGAAAATGCAGGCGAGTCTGGCGGTTCCGTCAGCTCGTCAGGCTCACCAGTAAGCGTACAAATAGACAATAGTGCTGCTCTCACTGATTTTGAATAGGTTGACGGTGCCTACCCAGGCATTGGTATCATTGCGCCTGACTCTCAACCCAGCTGAACAGAATGATGTTGGAGGCGAAGGGAAGAGTTCCAAATCAGCAGACTCAGATCCCCAACAAAGAAATAAGGATTGAAATATTTTTGTTCAGATGACTTAGTACACACGGCGATTTGCTGATGCACACTCTTTAAATTATAAAGCTTTTAAAAAAAGCTCATGGCATGTGTTCTTAAATGCTAGTCTGGTTGCTTCCCTTGATGTGGCCGTCATTGAGACCAAACCATCTAGTCCGTTCCAGCTTGTACTAATCTGTCTTTCAAGCAGTCTCCACCGGTGACTTACCAGAGACAGGGCCTCTGGTGATGATGATATGGCCTAAATCAAAGGCTGTTCCATACAACACCACATAAACTAAGACACTTAGCTCATAATACTGCCGAAGCTTTATCGTTTGATCCAAAATGCGATCCAGACCGTCTAGCCCGTATCTATATTTGAATAGCCGTCCTTGCGCCATAGCTATGGAGGATTTATCAATAGTTGCTATCATAGTGCACCCCCGCGGGTTGTATGCTTTAAGACTAAGATCGGCATCTGGGGAGTTTGCAAAGAGTTCCCCGTACATGAAAGAGAGAAGCCAAAAGAAATTGGGATAGCCATAATCTATTTGAGACAGATAATCAAGGTGGGTCCCGATGTTGGAGTTAAGCATGACAAGGGAGGTCGTATTCGTTTGATTTGATAACATGGACGGTTCTATGGAGTTTGAATGTGGTGTTATATTATCAGATGTGGCGTTCTGTTGTGCTAGGCTCAGTACACGTTCTTCATGGGGGGGATCGTTATTCTGCAATGTCTGATTGCCGGCTTGTTCCCCTGAAGTATTTGTTTGAGAGCCTTGAGGGATATATTGTATTAGTCCCAGAGCAACACTATCGAGCCTTGGCTGGAAGTACATCTCGACAAGATTGTTTCGACCTACGAAATACTCGACGGCTTTCGTAAGCATCCACACTAGGAAGGATCGCTTCATCTGGCCTTGAGCCGAAGAGACTTGTATGAAGACTGATCCATAACGAAACGTTTCCACTGGCTCAAAGCCTGCATTGTCATGTCGTGACAAGTATGAGAGAAACTTGAGCGTTGCGAGGTAAGCGTCAAGGGTTATCAAAGGTTTAGCTCCCAGGAAAATGCTATAGGTTAGTTGCGAATTAGACTGCAGGTCTACCGTCGTAGTCTCAGTAACGTTAGAGGCCGGAGATGGTAGTGCCAACGTAATATTGACCAGTATCAGTAGTCGTGCCGCCCCTTTCAAAGTCACCCGCATCTTTACTACAATATATGAACTCTCACAAATTTTCGAATGCCGACACGATCGAATCCTACGTCTTGTGTGCTTATATGTATTCGAGTTCATCTTCCGAGACATTCTCGCTGTTGATACGCGAATGCAGTTGTTAGTGTCGGATATATGCTGAACAACATGTTGTTCATGCCCGTTGGTGTCTCAAATGGATACGAAAGTCATACCAACTACATCGTTGAGAGATGCCAAGGTTAACACTCGTCTTTCAGGCAGTGTGGCTGTTGCTGAACAGCCATAAATTTTGAGTAGTTCTCGGACTAAACCCCTCACGATTCACGCAGCCTTCATCTGTAGACGCGCTATTTGCAATATGCACTTCCATTGCTACTCTTCGTAGTTATTGCGTAGAGAATCTACGCCGTCATCACCATGAAACCCATTCTTATGGGTGGTAAGACTAAGATTAGTCGCAGCAAGTCGCAGTAGATAGCATGTTGCTGGTAGCACCACTCATAAAAACATAAGGGGGAGGACTACTGTCATTTTAGATGACAACTGCAAAATATGGTATCAGGTCGAAGGATGATTGCAAAGGATCGCTTTCGGTGAGAGACTGAAAACAGTAAAGAGCCGGGGCGGCTAAAGCGCGGCTAATCTGCATTGATAGAGATCTTCAAGTGTCTATTGACCTCGTACATTGAGTGGACCTCACGGGAATATGGGCGACGCTTCGAGTGACTCTGCTAATGGCGCAAAACGGTCAAGGGGCGCCTATGAGGACGGCGAGGCACCTGGAACGATCAAGTCAGGTAGGGAAGTGTGGTCTATCCACCAGTGACCACCATCAGATCAGCAATTGATACCTTTGCAGAATCCTCTTCCGATGATGACTTTGGGCCTACTTTGCCCTCGGATGCCCCGAAGAAGAAGAAAAGAAAGCTCCCGCATGAAAAGCTCTATATATCCGCTTTACCGGCCTCGCCTCGCTATTCCAAATCCTTGATGCACCGGGATCAGCTATCATTCGTTACAGTGACCCCCTTCACGGACTTCGTGATCACAAGTTCGGTAGACGGAGTCGTCAAATTCTGGAAGAAGGCAGTCGCAAACATCGAATCTGTCAAAGAGTTCAAGGCACATGTTGGAGAGATCAAAAGCGTCAGCGCAAGCCAGGATGGGCGCAGCTTCGCCACAGCTGGTGTGGACAAGACAATTAAGATTTTCGATGTGGTGACTTTTGATCTCTTATCAATAGTATCACTCGAGCGACCTCCGAGGTCTGTGTGTTGGGTCCACAGGCGTGGTGCATCGCTACCGTTGCTTGCCGTCTCCTTCGACGAGAGCAATGATATTGAGATCTATGATGCCGGGGGAGAGATTCAAAAGCCTGTCCACACGATCAGCAAGCTTCATAGAAGTCCCGTGAGAGTCATAGCGTATAATACCGAGTATGACTGCGCTCTTTCTGCAGACGATAATGGGATGATTGAATACTGGAGACCACATGGGATGTACGAAAAGCCAGACAATGTCTATAAACTGAAAAGCTCGACAGATCTATTTGCGTTCAAGAAAGCGAAAAGTCTGCCCGCATCAATTACAATATCGCCGTCAGGACAGAAATTTGCAACTTTCTCATTTCCAGATCGCAAAGTCCGGGTGTTCGACTTCGCGTCCGGGAAACTTCACAGAACATACGACGAGTCACTCACAACTATAGCAGACATGCAGCAAGCCGGAACTTCACTACGCACATTCGAGAACGTTGAATTTGGTCGCCGTCTAGCAATAGAACGCGAAATCGAAAACCCCAACATCCAACCCAAGATCAACGTCCATTTCGACGAGTCCTCAAATTTTATCCTCTACGGTTCTTTACATGGCGTAAAAGTCATAAACCTGCTCACCAACCACGTCATCAAGGTCTACGGCGACACCGAACCCTTCCGCTCTCTCAACCTATCACTATATCAAGGCGCTCCCCAAAGAAAGCAATTCACCACGGTCGAAATGGCCGCCTCTTCCAACCCTCTCCTCCAAGAAGCCGAATCCCGTGACCCAATGGTCATTTGCACAGCAGTCGGCAAACCCCGCTTCTACATTTTCACCAACGAAACCGATATCAGCAAATCCACGCGCGATATCCAGAACGAGAAACCCCGCAACCTCAACGCCTCCGCCGACCAATCACAATCTAAGCAAGCTGAGACCCTCGGCACCCAAGCAAACATACATACCACCATGGGCGACATCGAGCTCCGCCTCTTCCCGCAATCAGCCCCCAAAGCCGTCGAGAACTTCTGCACACATGCCCGTCGTGGCTACTATAACAACACGCTCTTCCACCGCGTGATCAAGAAGTTCATGATCCAAGGCGGCGACCCTCTCGGCGATGGCACAGGTGGAGAGTCTATCTGGGGAAAAGAGTTCGAGGATGAATTCTCGAAGAGCTTGAAGCACGATCAGCCATTCACATTAAGCATGGCGAACGCGGGCCCAAACACGAATGGGAGCCAGTTCTTCATCACGACGGAACGTTGTTCGTGGCTGGATGGCAAACATACGATTTTCGGGCGTGCGGTGGGCGGGTTGGATGTGGTGAAGAGGATTGAGAATGTGAGGGTTTGGAAGGAGAAGCCGGAGGAGGAGATCAGGATGTTGAGTATTGATATTAATTGATACTTGGCTATCGAGAGCATGCAATGCGGCTGGATCTATGGTGTGTCTATGTTCATGCAGTCATCAATCCGTATTGGGATGCCGGATCCCTTTCCTCGCTCGGTCCCTTCGAAATGCCCATCATAAACAGAGATGTCAATAAAACCACACCTCCCCATCCTCATGCACCTTCATCCGATTCGCCCACTTGCCCTTCATCTTCTTCTCCCGATCCTCATCCAGCGTCTTCACATACCCATTTCCCGGTCCACCCCACGTCCTGCTCTTGCCCCGCTCAAGATTCACAATCGTGGAGTGTGGCCCTATGTCCCACGTAGGCGCTTTCCCTCGGCTGAAAGGGTTCGTGCGCGTCTTCTTCGGCGGTGGGGGTGGCGGCATGTCTGATTCTTCGGGGTCAAAGAAGTTGTGTGTGCGTGTGAGGAGAGTGGGGCGGGGAGGGGGGCCGGCTTTGGTGTGGGGCATTGGGGAGGGTGGGACGACGGGGGTTGAGAGAGCGGAGCCCATTGTTTGTGTTGGTGGAAGTGGTGGTGTGGATTATTCTGATGGATTTGCGAACGATGGTTCGTAATGGTGAGATCAATGCTTTTGTCTTCACTCTGGTTTATGCTTTACAGATGATGGACATGTAAGGGAGTATGTTATATTTTGGTTGATTGCATTAAGTTGCAAAATTGAGAGAAAAATGAAGGTGAAGGTTATGGAATATGAACAAGAAGAAAGAGAATGGCAAACCATTGTGGGGGGGAAGTACTATTGTACGTAAAGACAATGAATTGAATGATTGAGGTGAAAACGGCTTTGTTGGATGAGAGCTCACGTTTTATTTTTACTAAGCGCCAACCAGACCACGAGAAGACCGCGTTTCATGAAAGCGCTCGAACAGCAAAATAGATCTTGAAACCGCATCATAACATGCACGGTATCATTGAATAAGAAGTGTGAGTACTGTAGGTCCTCTGGTTGATGATTCGAATCCTTGGTCAGCGTTCCCTTCGGTTCTCTGATGAGTCTTCGGAACCTTTGACCGTGCCAGCATGGTAGATGTCGAGTACAAAGCAAGTGATACTTCTAGGCCGTCTGGGATACCATCTCCTTTACGGACACAGCTTTTGTCGTTGGCGATCGAGTAAAGCTCGAAATGGAGTTCTGGTCCGAAGTTCTTGCTGGTGGTGAGAAATTTCTTCTAGTTTTGGCAGCAATGGTTCACTGGATTGCCGTAGAATGAGAATCTGGGAAAGCGTCGCCTGCACAAGCTCTCTCTTATTCACTCAGGAGGCCTTCTGAGAAATTCCATTGCCCGCTTTCACTGATCATATTAGATGGTGGTCATGCTCAAGTCTGGCGCCACCCAGGCTACAGAGAAAGTTTTAACGATAGCCGTTGAGTCCGGTCCACTTGAGGCCTACGCTAAGCGTGAGGAATCATGCAAGGCATACGGGCATAGCTGCGTGCGCTACTGGTAGGCTCTCCTGCGGTGCGCCGCTCGTATCCAGCCATATCTTCATATATCGTTTGTGTATATGGTCTACAAGTTGACTCATTTTGTCTTCGGTGAGCGCGTGTCGTTGAGGATGAAAAACACCAGAATCTGCTGATAATGTCAATTCATCTCCGTTTGCATTTCTCATGTCAACATTTCCAGTGCTTTACAAAATGAAGTGGACACAATTGCGATCATTTCTTTTCTGCTTCTGCCTCGTCGCTGCGCAAGTAGGGGTTGTCAAAGCCGACGCAGGTTTCCATCGAGACCAATGCTACGAGGAAGTGAGGAACATCTTGCAAGGCAATGGTACTTCGACAATAACGCACCCATCCATGTTCTTTTCAACATCTGACGCCACAAATCCCATCCTCACACTAAGTGGATGCAATCAGCTATGCGGCTCGGGCACAGGATGGTATCCAGACAGAATTCCGAGGCTGGTCGCATGGTTGCTACCTATCTTTCTCCTCCTCTCTAACATGCAGTTTGCACCTATTGGGCTTGAGAAATTCCTGCTTATTCTGCGCCTCCTCGGTGATCCTATTGATTCGACGTGGTCATTACTAGCCAAAGTTGATCGTTGGGGTCAACACCATTCTCATGCTCAGAAGTTGTTGCAAGACAAAATCGAAATCAAGAGCCTTACAATGGTGCTTGCGGCTACCGACGAAGATCCACACGCCATTGATCACGCATTTGCGTTCGATAGTTCAGCTAACAAAGCCTTGATTCTCGAGGCTGCCATTACTCTACGCGAGAACAGGAAAAACGAGGTCCGCCGAACATTCTTTGCGATTGTCTTGTACGTATTCTCAGTCCTCGCGGCCTTCGTTCCCGCCGTTGGAGCAGCGTCCAATCCCTCCGGGGGTAGGATAGGAACAGCAATGCTCCTATCATGGCTCTTGACAGTGGTCTTGTTAAGCAACACAGTCGGAGACTTTGGTTCTCCGCGGAATCGCCAAAAGATCCTAGCAGACCTCATGGAACGGCTGGGGCAAGAAAAGAAAGAAGAAACGCTCTACAAGGCCCCTGGGGCTTGGTCGGGTGCTATTTACTGCTACAATCCACGAAAACGCTTTCTACATGGATCAGGGTGGAAGCTAGCCCTCATTTCTGTACCGCCTGTTGCTATTGCGTCCGGCACAGCCTTTGTCACCCTGTTCACAGGACCTTCGCATTTCAGCTGCCGAGACGTTTTTGTGGTCATTGTGTTCAGCGCCTGGATGATCAGTGCGATATCGACATCATTCTTGTCCTGGGCTTCATTCGCCACGGGCAAGTATCTCTGGTACATCGTCTTAATCAAAGACACAGTGATCGCGATACCCATACTAGCTCTGATTATCGCCTCTAGCTGTGGACTTTGGAATACCTGCTCTTGTTGGAGTGGGGCGATGTTGTACGGTAGAGAGAGAGCCCGTGCTCCCCTGAACCCTACCAAGGTATTTGATGAGAACAATCATGTCATATACCCTGCAGTGGTCGCGACTTGTCTCTCCCTCCAAATCTGTGTGTTTGGGGCTATGCTATGGGTTGTGTGGCCTGGTTTCAAGGCGCTCTGGTGGACCGAAAGAGAAAAAAGGGTGGCTTCGAATATGGGGAGACGCATTCATCACTCTACGACTCCTACGCCGACAAATGAAATCAAGCTTCAGTGTCTGAAGATATCGAGCAACGAGGTCATTGATAGCACGCCATAGCGTCGAATCGAGCAGGATAGCAACCATCCAATGCACTTGTGCTTATTAACTACCACATAATTTTCGGAATGCGCAAGTCTTCCACATTCGATGACCGGCGTAGAGCTCCGCCCTCGGGCCAAGCAGCGGGGAAATGTCTCGCTATTACTCGCCTCCTTACTTTGCAATTGTCCATTGACAGAGAAGCCGCACAGGATTTGCCTTCCACGTGAACACTGGCCATTAGAATCAGTCCACGCAGATGAGGAGACATTGTTTTATCCAGCCCGTTAGCTGGCGACCAAGATATCCGAACCGTTGATCCTCGGTTTGAAAACCCGGCCCCTCTTGACGATCTCGAGAGTGATTCTTTGTACAAAATAGTACATATCACGATGGGTGCGGCAGAATGGTTCAAGAACCAAGTCGAGCCCACACCGGCTCACTTCATCTACCTCGTTACCTCTGCTTTCCTCGCCACCTACGCCCTCTTCTCCTCCTTCATCCGCAATCGTCTCCACCTGTCCGAGCCTCCGCTGGCATTGCTCTTTGGCATTATCTTCGGGCCAGGACTTATTGGCCTGATAGACCCAAACAAATGGGGTGCTGAAGACAACATCACACAAGAAACGGCCAGAATCATCGTGGGCTTGCAGGTCTTCGCCGTCGGGGTAGAATTACCCAAAAAATACTTCCACAGGCATTGGAAGAGCGTGGCCATGCTGCTCGGACCAGTCATGCTCTACAGCTGGCTCATAACGGCCGCCTTCATTTACGCCATCCTACGTACCGAATGGACTACAGCACTCATAATCAGCGCCTGCCTAGCCCCCACCGACCCTATCCTAGCAGCTGCCATCCTCGCCGAAAGCACCTTCTCCGTCCGCGTCCCTGTCCGTCTGAAACACATACTGTCCGCCGAAAGTGGCTGCAATGACGGCACCAGCTTTCCATTCCTCTATCTAGGTCTCCTCTTCGCGATCCACAACCAAACCGGTGTAGCTATTCGCGACTTCTTCCTCGGCACCATCCTCTGGCAGTGCGCTCTGGGCCTGGCGATTGGGTTGACAATAGGCACGTGCTTCAACAAAGCCCTCCGTCTCGTCGACCGCATCAATTATATCGACCGCGCTGCCTTCCTCACCTTCTACCTTCTACTCGCCACCCTCTCCGTCGGCATCGCCAGCATCCTCGGCGTCGACGACTTCCTCGTCGCGTTCGGGACCGGCTACGGCTTCGCCTGGGACGGTTGGTTCAGAAAGAAAATGAAAGAGACGGAGTGGCCCGCAATCCTAGACCTCCTGCTCAACTCCAGCATGTTCATCTACATCGGCTCCTCTCTTCCATTCTCACACTTCCTCTCTCATCCTGACACCCCCAATGTCACGCTTGGTCGATTGATAGGCTTACTCGTCCTCATCCTCCTACTCCGCCGCATTCCCATAGTTCTCGCATTGAAGCCCCTCATCCCAGACATCAAAACCTACCGCGAAGCACTCTTCTGCGGACACTTCGGCCCCATGGGCGTCGGCGCAATCTTCCTCGTCATTGAGGCACGAGCGCAGCTGGAAACAGGGACGTCGCATCCGTACCCGCATCCGCCAGGTGGTTCGCCGAATGAAGCTGCTGTGCAGGTGATTTGGCCAGTGGTGTGTTTTGTGGTCATGGGATCGACATTTGTGCACGGGTTGAGCGTTGCCGCTATTGGGTTGGGGAGTCACTTCAGCAGGCGGAAGGGGGGAGAGGGCGCCATTATTGGCGCAGGAGAGGGATCCTTTGGATGGGATGGTCTATGGTGATGCTGACGGGGACAGTGAGCCGACGATCAGCGGGACTGATGGTAGTGATGTGGAATGATATGTGAGCCATGATGCTATACATCTGCATGATCATGACGGCTGTGATGTCCATTGCATAGATAAATGTCACTAAATTATCTAGATACAGCGCTCGCCGCGCTATGTTAGAAATGCATACTTTTGCGATCGCACGCTTGCTCATGTCTAAGATTGCTGATGTTCCCCAACTCCTCGCTCTTCCATCCAAACATGCTCGAAGGCACGGCGCCTTCGGGCTGTCTAATTCACTCATAAAATCCAAAGTCATCATAATTACAGCGGCCCCCCTAATAAACATATGCAGCAACCTCTCGGCTCTCCCTCCAATCCATCATACCGTGACCTTCTCATCACCCACAGCATGATCCCAGATATCCTCCTCAGGCAACGGCACCTTCCTCCTCCACGGACAGACTTTCTCATTAGCATACGCCCTGTACCGTCCCAAAAGATCCGTATCATAAATCAGTCCCTGCGGGCCAAAACTGAAATGACTCGCAATACTCCTCGTCTGGATGTACACCTGCTTGCCCAGCTTCCTCGGCAACGAGATCGTGAAATGCGCCTCATCATCCTCCTCCACGAAGAACGGCAGGTTTTCCAACACGTCATCGCTCCAAAGCGCGATGAAGTTGATGTTCGCGTGGAAATACCGCATGTTCCATAGCCCCTCTTTGTTGCCGAAGTGGTACGGAGACAGGTCGCTAGATTCGAGGTTTTGGAGGAAGGAGTAGTGCTGTTGCGCGCCCAGCTGCCAGCCCTTCCAGTCTGCGCCGTTGGGGTCGTATTGTGTGCGCCACATGGGTGTTAGTTCGATGAGGGAGTCGTTGTCGCGGAGGGGGAGCCAGCGGTGATTCGTATACGGGGGGGCACCAATAGCCCCTACCTCGGGCTCAGAGCCCTCCTCTATATTGTCGGGGAACGAGGTGATGTTTTCGCCGTCTGGGGGTTCATAAGTGGGGAGTTTGGAGGCGCGCCAGGCTTTGGGGCCATAAGAGTCAGCGGAGGGGTGTGTTGGAGGCTCGAGTTCGGGGAGGTAGGAATGGATGGCGCCTTCGTGGTGATGAACCCAGCCTAATGCGGCGGAGTTTATCAGGTTACCAAGGACGATGAAGGCTTCGGGGTGAGCGAGTAAGGTGGAGACGAGTTCTTCGACTGCGCCATCGCTGAACCAGACGAGGTCGTCGTCGAATTTGACGTAGAGACAGCCGGGTTCCACGGCACTACGCCAGACAACTTCGAAGTCGTTGCCTGCGGCACCTTCGGGTAGGTATATTGGCTTGTATTCTTTGACTTGGGAGACGCGCTTGTCGATCCAGTCTATGTCTTCTTCGACGTCGGTGTTGATCATGAAGTGGATCTCGTCCAGCCAGCCACCGTTCTTGACCAGATTTCGCTGGAGGTAGCAGTCCAGGATCTCAACAGTCCGTCGCCGTCCGTAGAATACTATGCCGTAGATCTTAACATTCTGAGGTCTTTTCAGGTGTTTGCCAGCGCTAGAGAAGTGCACTGGGTGGCGTATGCGTGAGGTGGTGTGTGCTGAGAGTAGAAGAAAGATGAGCACGATGAGTACTCCTCCGGCCGCCCATGCAATGCGTCTTGGAACTTGTCGTGGTTTTACCAAGAGCCATTCTTGCGCGGTTCGACCCCACTCGGTTCTTTCTATGTGGTAGAATGACCTTTCAATATAGTATAAAACATGGTATCTCAAAGTATGTCCAAAGCTCTGCAGCCGGTCCCTCTCTTTGCTCAATGTGCCATTGACTTTTAAGAAAGTGTGCTCTTCATCTGTTCCATCAGCCTCATCATGGTATGGGCTGAGATAGGCATCGTCGTCTGAGGTGGGCGGCTCTTCGGCGAAACTTATCCCTGCCATGAGCGATGGAAAGTGGCATTATCAAAGGTTTGCGACGGCCAGTTATTTACAGCACGTCATGGAGGAAGGGTTCCAAGAAAAAAGAAATGAGAATCAAGATCAGGGGCAGCAGGCACCAAGGATCGGCCCGGACTTCAACTACCGCGCTATCCCTAATCGAGCGGCGCTCCTGCCCCGATTGGGGCGCTTTGATCTTTAATCGGCTACGCTGATGATTAGTGTCAATAATGAACGGGAATCCCTTGGCGGCCAATTATTGTCTCACTCAAAGACATGCCGCAGTCTTGAGTGAACTATCTATCCAACTATTTCCAGAAAATGGACGTCAATCCATGCATGAGTCCCGAATTGCGTGCCGGCAACAAGAGGAGGTCATCTTTTGCTCCCAAAGTCACTCTATTGTTTCCGCCTCACGATGAAGTTCGCCATGCCTCGCCGATTGACCAATTTGACCCCTTTGTCTTCCTCAGTCTTCCCACGCCCACGATTTTCCGTACATTCCTTGCTAATCTCCCTCTGCGCTTCGGTCAATTGACCAACAAAGGCAGCAACGAGCAATCCCACCATCATGGGTGCAAACTCCACTCGAGCAGGACAAGCATACTTGCCCGCCCCGAACGGCATGTAAGACTCCTTCGTCTTCTCATCGATGCTGCGCCAGCGCTCCGGCTTGAAAGTTTGCGCATCATCGCCCCAAATGGTTTTGTCATGATGGCACGCTTCGATATCGGCTGCCAGTAGCTGCGGTTCTTCGTTGGGGAAATGATATCGGCGGTACACCCGCTTGGTAGGTGGAAAAAGGCGGAGAATCTCTTGTGCGATGTGAGCAACAGAAATACCTCCTTCGGAAGGATGGATTTGCTCGAATGTGTGTTTGTTTGGGCTCTGGAGATATTGTACGAGTACGGTTGAGTAGTTGGATGGATGTGACATGCGCTCATCTGGAAATGCTATGGAGATAGTGCCGAGAAGGACGGCACGCCACATTGTTTCGTATGCCGGAAGAATGAAGTTGAGGGGATTCTCTCGACCTTCCTTGATTTCTAAAGCGGGAAAAATAGTCTGTAGGCTTTGATTCAGAGATACCAGAGAGATCGGGCAATGAGAACCAGGGATTTTGGAGGCTCGCCAGCGAGCGTCGATGCCCTCAGCTATATGAGCAATGGCTGTGGAGTTGAGGGTGGATGGCTCCAGCCCATAGAGGACCGAGAGAGATATTTTCAGCGTGATCGACTGAGCCAACCTGTTCAGGAAAATTGCATCACCATGCGTATCAGCCCCCGAGATTTGTTGGTGCACCAATGTTTGGGAGATGTGCGCAATTTTGCTCCATGCATCATCACTTATATTGATCTTCTCAGAGGCATCGGCTTTGAAACGTTTGCCGAGTGCCGGGTCCTGTGAGGTAAATCCGTTGTAAATGTTGAAGGCCTTCACAAGCCGCTGGTTGGGGATCGCACGAGACGCCGAAGGCGTCAATTGGTTGGTAAGTATGTCGTCCAGATACTTTTTGCAATCGAAGATCTTCTTACAGGTTCCTATGTCCACAATCACATGACGTTGCGAGCTGTCAGTGCGTTTGAGGTAGATTTTACATCTCACGATCAGGGCTACAGCAACTAAGATTGTTGCTCCCCATCTGACAAGACATTCGGCCATACTAGACATACTGTCGTTCATTATAGTACCCTGTGGTTGTTTTTAACACGTGTTTATTGAAACTACTTACGGAGAGGCAGAGCTGTAACAGCATATATAAGAAGTCTTCTCAAGCCAAAGAAAATAGTGCGAATAACTCTGATGGCTTTCAATCCTGGAGACATGGGACGCTGAAAACATGCTTTGAGTGAGTCTGCAGGTATGGCAAACAAGTACGCCTGCAACCGACATTCTACCTTAAACCAGATCTGGGCTCGATCACAATTTGCCTGTTGGAGGCTGAATATGCACAGACCCTAGAAGCTGCTTCAATGGTGTTACGGATGGGGTTTGTTGTGATTGACCGCAAGACGCAGCATCGGCCCCCTGCATGATCAAGTACTTATTCAGCACAAAGCAAACAAACACAATTTGTTTGCCATTCTTCGATGGCAAACCGAAGCTTCATGATGCAAGGTCATGGTTTAAAATGTGGGCATTTGCTGGGGAAAATGTCGACGGATCGGCATTTTTTCAGGCAAAGTCAGCGGCATGTCACACGTCGGCAAGCATGTTGTCAGTGACTTGCGTCGCGGACAAGTTTGCGCTGGGTTCTCTCTTCATCAGTATGCTTTGGCTGAGTACGCTCGCCGTCGCCAAAGATGCGGTGAAAGAATTGATCGTAAGAGATCCAAACACTTGTAAAGATTGCTGCTGCGAGAATTGAAAGCCACTTAGGACTCTTTCCCTTGTCATCAGCATATCTCGCGCTCAGCTTGAAGATAGCAGTGAGAATTGGCTGCCAGATCTGCAGAAAGATGAAAGCGCCCATTCTTTGCCTCTGACTTGTAATAGTGAATGGCTCGAGTTCCTGAAGATAAGCCTTGTAGTCTGGCGGGAAGTCATGCTCATCAGCACCGTTTTGAATAATAGTAATGTACCGCAGTGATGGCTGAGAATAGTCAGGATCTGGCCGGGAGAACCTCTCTCTTCCAGGTGGAGCTTTGCCGGGTGCGTACACAGGTGCGTAGAGCGTATGTGCTTTGAACACGTCCGTACTAGGGTGCTCGGGAACCGGTTGGATCCCAGGGAGAAGGGGGTAGCAGTCTACCAGGACGTCTTGGTAGGCTGCGCCACCGCCTTCAGTTGCAAGGATATGAAAGAAATCCGCAGCTGTTACTTCATACACCACACCTACGAGCCCACGAGGCCATTCAGGATTGTGGTATTTTGGCCTCTCAGTAATCGAGTGGCTTGCTTTCTCATCGCCCTCGCCTGAGGTGGGAGGAATTTCTGGCCGATATTTGGTATTGGCAAAACATGGCTCCGAATAGGGTATCCCAGGCAAGTCGAATGTCATGATCAGCTCAGGCACCACGACATTGATGGCTGACAGAGGCCTGATCCCTCGCCGGCCTAGGAACGTGCCCGAGAAGAGATTGGAGCCATAAGCCAGGTATAAGAAGGTTTCCTGCTTCTCTTGCCTACGTGCAGCATGATTATAGAGGTCTTTAGGGGCTTGACAGAGGTCGAGAGCCCTGTCTTGTAGGGAGCGCTCCAGGCGGTCTTTATGAGGCTGTGGAAAACGTCTTCGCACGCCATATTCCTCACTTTCTTCCGATTGGATTGCGGCGAGTCGCTTCAGCGCAGGGGCCGCAGGGTGCTTCATTCCTTATGAGGAGACTCTAATGAAGTAATCAAAAATATCCTACTCGCCTCACTGATACCGACTGCTTTCTACGCGCAGCACAGTCCGCTGGCACGTGTGAATCCTGGATTTGTAATCCACGTCACTGATGATGAAGCTTCACACTCAATGCCCGGCGCTTGCGATAAGGAAGATAAGCAAAGCACTCAATTAACTCATTCCCTAGATTTTCCAACCTCCCGTGTGGTGATTATTCGTCAAGACGTCTTAACCGTTGCTGAATGACAAAGAGGGGACTTGAATGTCGTCCTCATTTGTGAGGTAAGACTGATTTGTGCACTGGGAAAGGGTCATCGCCCCGAGATTGAGTACTCTGATTTTTTTGCCTTCTCCTTTGGATTCGAATTCCAATAGGACATACAGTGCATGTTTAGTATTATACAAGTGTGGCTCAGTAGCTCACTAACAACATACTGTTCCTCTGTTCATTTTCAGTGTCTCAATTGATCAAAATATGAACACCAGAGCTACCAGCCATAGGCACATCGAAAGGCCAAACATGTGGCTGACAGCTATACCTGTAGCTGAACCAAGGAAAGGGGAAGGCGACGGTGTGCTTGGTGAAGTTGTTGTGTTACTGCTGGTGCTATTGCTGGTACCATTGTGGAGTATGCCAAATGTGCCATTCGTAGAGGCGAGAATACCACCGATTGTACCACAGAGCTTGTTTGCTACTGCAGCCTCTCCTACAAAAGCACTGTAGTCAGTCAAGCGCTTTGTGGGACTCATTTCATAGCCTCGGCAGGAAAACGAGACATCATACTTGTGACATCCACACTGTTGCAGGTGGTTCTCTCGCAATTACTGACGATCGCAAGGGCATCATACGCATTGCAAATGCAGGTTGCATTTGAAACGCTTCCACAGAGTGGGAGTATGGGGCTATTTTTGATGCAAGTTTGCTATCGAGAAACATTGGGTAAGCTTGTTTGAAGCGAGTATTTCATCTCAAAGGGGGAGCAGGGATCTTGGAGCTCACCGCGCATAGTGGGAAATTGGTGATGTCCGTGGGATCTTTGCCAGCGGTTGCGTCGATGGCAATCGGAGTCGCCGATGCTATGGCAGCCGAAACGGCGGAGCTCAGGGTGGGCTTGGCTTGATATAACGATCCACAAAGAGCGTCGTCGGCCGACTGGGCAGCTGCATTGTGCTTGTCAACCTATGTGGATGAGGTTTGTTGCAGCCTTCGCACGACAGTAAATCATCGCAGCTTACCCGTGAGGTCTGCAGCACTGCATATTGCGGCCTCGCAGGTAGACGTCGCAGTACGAAAGGCGACACCACAAAGCTGCTCGAGGCTGTTGGCATCGGTCAAAGCGAACAACGAGGAAATCTTGCAAATCGAAGCGCATTCTAGGTCCGCTGCCTTCGTTGCCGTGAGGCCCACAAGAACGAGCAAAAGGTTGGCCGAAGATATGATCCGCATTTTTGCTTTATCCCAGGAGCAAAGATTTCAAGCAATGAAGTATGTCAAGAACAATATACCAAAAATGCAAGGTTCTGGTTTGTGAATAGGTATGAGAAAGCGCGACCGTGATATTGAATCGAAGAACTAGCCACCGGGTCCCATGATGACGATCGAGCATCTCCGAATGCAAGATGACGGCACAGATCTGGCCCCAGGATTTCCCCACGGTTTTGGAGAGACTCTCATTGTCCTACCTTAGAAAGCGGGACAGTTTTGAGTCTACGCATGACCAGCATGACACTTATGCAGGGGAAGCGATAGCCCGACGAATGGGCACTCTCTACACAGAACTTTGTCATCTTCGTTGGATGGTTTGGGATGTCATTGGACATGTGTGAAATTGGTGGCGGAAGTCAACAAGCGTTTCCATGTGTGATGGGAGTTCCGGTATCGCAGGATACGACCGCCACGCCACACAAATGAGCTGGTTGGAATCAAGCCCGGGAAAGATCTCTTGCGAAACCTGCAATCTGGATTGGTCCTCTGCTGTGAACATGATAGATGTTTCTTGTCAAATCCTCTCTCACTTCAATCTATGTGACTGTATTTCTCAGATTCATTTTGAAGAAAGCGAACAGAAAGCTGGCAGCTTTAGTCTCAGATTTCGAAGGACTAAAGGATCGATAGGCCACACTTTCATGCTTTGTATTCACATTGAAAATGTAAATCAAGGTGACTTTTACCCTGTTGTTCTACTGGAGATTTCCATTCTCAGAAGTTAAGCGGTGAGGCTCAGTTCCGCTTCATTGAATAAGAAAAAAAACGATAAGGGTAGTGGTATTTCACCAGCGCCGAAGCTCCCACCCATTCTACACCCCCTATGTCTTTTCACAATGTCAAACTAGAGTCAAGCTCAACAAGGTCTTCTTTCCCCGCTGATTCTGCCAAGCCCGTTCCCTTGGCTGTGGTTTCGCTAGATAGTAGATACTATATATACAATTAGTTATTAGTTCAAAAGTTCACACTTAGAGGGGAGGGTTAAAATTACGGGACAGTGGGAATCTCGTTAATCCATTCATGCGCGTGACTAATTAGATGACGAGGCATTTGGCTGCCTTAAGAGCTGTGAGACCCGCTACTCTCGCAGCGGGTGGAGACTATGTGTTATTGTTATTTAGGTGTAAAATATGTTGTGGACTAATCGGTAAACCATAAAATTTCCCTGGCTCCTCTTGATCCAATGAAGGCAATCTCTTGTTTGGAATTAACATTATGTCATCGACTCAACGCAGCAACAAAGTTGCTACAGAACCTGTCTCACAAAGGCAGATTACTGCAACGACCTGAGATCTACATTGCCTTCCACACTACTGAAGACACAGTGCACGACATCAGCAACTTTCCGACATATGAGCACGCTGTAACTAAGGAGCGGTCTGCAGCTACAAAACAAGGATTACAGTCCGCAGAATGGCAGCCATTCACAATCGTGCACCGAGATTTTGGTTGGAGCTGGTTGGAGCAATTCGGATGCAACAGTCATCTTGGCCAAAGGTTGGCAGCTGCGAAGGCGGTCAACATTGAAATTGCTGCGAGGAACTGGAATGAGGATGTCGATCTTCCTGCGATTGTCCTGCATGAGGCCGACTTTTCAGGGTTTGCTCGCAGCTTTGAGGAGCGTAAGAAGATCCGTGCAGGATGCCTTGTTGCTCGTCGACAGCGTTTTTATAGATGCTGCTCTGAACATTTTGAGCACGCAATTCGCTATCTTGGCAATAAGATGGGGGTCTTGATGAAAATTGAGGCTTTCGGGGCTTTCAGTCAAATTAGCATAGCGAATTGAGGTTCAAAGCACATCAAATTAGGAGCATTGTCCAAGAAATTGAGGGAAGTACACTAAGATAGACACTACTGTGTCTCCCTAATTTTATTTCCACTTCTTGACGGGTCTAAAATCAGTGTAGTTGATGATCATCTTACATTTCCTGATCTGCCGCTCTCGATGGGTGTTCTGCTCTAATGTCCTGAACAAATTCATCCCCGGTAGCGTAGGTTTCTGATTACACCTAGCTGTCTAGCAGACTTACATGTTTCCTGGAGGATTCTATGGAAAAGATATCCATCTTCCTCCAAATAAAACTTGTGTCCGCGATCGGGCTCTAGCCGCAGAGGAGTTCTTGCCGATGATTTTGATTCTTGTTCCTCCACTCAATATTCTTTTTCTGCAATTTTCATGTTATAGTTTTTGAGTGCCATTTCGATCTTCTTGTACGGCCAGCTGAGGTATGGATACAAGAAAGGGCGTTCATCCTGATTCTCATAGTCAGCGTAATTTGCATTGAGTGAGCCATTTTGGAGACACATACAAAGCGGTTGTCATCCGGACTATAATTCTCAAGATGCAGGGCCGGAGTAACCGTCACCATCTTATGCCTATTAATGCCATAGTAATGAAAAAATGTCTTCACTTTCTCATAGATCTCCTGTGGGGTCATTATATCTTGCCATTCATAGACTAATTTTTCCCATGCTCCAAAGGGTCCTAGTTTATGAATTTTGCGTAGTCGGCCAAGCACGCTCAGCTCTTTGTAAGTCAAGCCCATTTCTTCCTCGTCATTCTGCGAATAAGAATCCGAGAAAGGTACCAATTCTGCGGTTGGAAGTCTGATTGTCGCATCTGAGTCAGCTCCAATAATTCACAGAAAGGTTCGTCGCTCGTCACGTACGCTGTAAGAAATTCGGACATAATAGGTAAATCGAATTTTTCCTTCGCCCAAGCGATGAATAACCTTAGATCGAGCTTAGAAATTCCGCCTATTGGGTTCAGATCCGCTGCAAGACGAGTTTTGGGTCAGCTATACTCCACAAGAGAAGCGGTAAAGCCTCGGGAGCTTCTCTAAAGGGGATGAAGCGCCAAGATATGCCTTGCCATTGAGGTCATGCTCACAAATAGAGAGTGTTGGCGAGGGAATACTAACCACTAGAGCAATCATATTTCGTATAGTATCCTATATGCAAACAGTCAGCTGTTTCTACTCTGCTCAGGCGAGAGGGGAGACAAGACCTCTCAATTGCTCGTCAACATTCGCGCTACCTAGCACGAGCAATGAGCCACCTCCGCGCCTTCCCCTCACTGTTGGTAGCATTTGTGCAAATAGATACGACAAGACCATGCGTAGACGACTCTAAATCTTAGTAAGCTTCTAGATCAACCTGAACAAAGATAGTTTTTGATACCTGTATGTTTTGCAAACTGACTAAGCATATTTCGGAGTCAGCGTTCTCGTTGAGAAAAGTCTTATCTCGGAACTGTACTAACGTCCTTCAGCTACGGTGCCTCCTTGGCTTGTGTAGTGTGGTGTGAAGCGTGTTACCGCAGTGAATACGCCTAACACCGCTGTCACAATACTGTCAATATTGACGTCGGTATGATATGACGACAGCCGTTTCGCTAGATCTTTCGCTCTTTGACGGGTTTCTTTCGAGCTGTTCTTCTCAGTACCCATGTAGCATGTGTGAAACAGCCTGTTGCAAATCTCTTCTGGGCTGTCGGGCAGCCATTCATCGTCTTTGCAGATCATGCGTAAGTCTGCAATTACTTGTGCGTTTTTATTCTCAATGGCTTTAGCCACCAAGCGGCACATAGAGAAAACAATCAGAGCAGTGCTTGCACTGTCAATACCCCCAGACAGTGGCAAGAAGAAACCAGCCTGCCGGCTTCTTCTAAGATAGTCCCACTTCAAGGTGATTCAGCTTCGTCATTAGGTATCATTTGTCAAACTCACAAGGTAACAGGCAGGGCCCTGACTGATCTCTTCCTCGGGGATGTGGAAATAAGGCTCTCGAGGCTTCGTTGGGAGTAGATTTGTCTCGAGGCAAGAGCCTTGAACAGAAAGGGCGAAATCTACTTCTATTCTGGTATATTGTCTTTGTGGTGCTTGCTGCGACCATGTCGGAGTGCGCCTGAAGGATCGAACTTCTTCAAGATCACAAGTAGCGGTCGTCACTTCAACGTCGTCCAAAGAAAATTGAGATCCCTGCTGCAACAAGTTTCCATTCATAAATATCATTGCGGATCCATCGTAATACAGCCGATCGCCAGAACAACCTTTAGAATTGGAGTACAAATATATCCCGCCTGCTTTCCTAGTCGCTTCATTGATCAAGTCAAACCGTGTTTTGAGCTTTCGCAATTCGTGATGCGAGCCGCTGGAGTTTGTGAAAATCTCTACTCCATCTAATCCCATGGGACTGCAAGGTGCACAAGGAGTGAAAAGTTCCTGTGTGATAAGGAAAATCAGATTAGCTCTTTCATTCGTCCGCAAGGGTTTGAGAGTGTCTCAAACATCAGACTTCGGGTCAAGATGTCGAAAACGAAGCAGAACGGGCCCATCGCGATAGGCCAGTCAAGAGGCCATAAGCAAGACCATTTGGATTGACTTACTTCGCAAGTCTCACATCCGACCTGTGTGAGAATTAAGTCAGCACGATGTTTATAATAGCTTCACCATTCTCCCAAGGTGGCATAGCGTTACAGATTTGTTCAAAAGGATGATGCTTTCTCAAGAGAACGAACTTACGACAGTATCTTTACAGCCGATAACGGCGTCTCCAATTGTTGTCTTCTTCTGACCAGTAAGGTTTTGGATCATTCTAGGCAAGATGTACTCTTCGTGATGCCCAGGACGGCCCCATGGGGCAAAGAATCGGAATTCGCGATAATTGCCGCTTTCTGCAAGATACAATTTAGGCCGTATAAGAAGGATCTGTCCGTTGAAACAGATGATTCTTGAGTTGTAGGATACATTGCGATGGCTAACCTGTGGTAGTAGAATGAGCTGTGCACGAGAATACTAGTCTTCGTCGTGTTTAGACTCACGGGCATTCCAATGTCAAGAAGTATGTCACGAGAGACTGGATCACAGAGAATCTTTGATAGCATTTCCCAGGAATGTAAGAAAGTGTCGGCCTCTAAGAAATGGTCATAGCATGCGTAGCCCGTTATTTCTACGAATACTAAAGTCAGCATATCCAAGTCTTCTCGTATTTGGATTCTCACCTAGTTCTGGTCCTACACGGAGAGTAGCGCCTTCAGCTTTGGCCTGCTCGATGGAAGAAATGATGCGAGACAGCTGTTAATGCCGTTAGCTTCTTCACGCAACGGTGGCATTCATGTAGCCAAATTACATTGCCTTCCCAATCGAGAGCCCACTGATTTAGAGAGCAAGTCGCTACTGTTATAAAATTCGGCATAATTGCGGTTGGTGAATGACAGTCGGCATGGGATCAAGATTCTCTTCTCTTTCAACGATAAAAAAGGCACCACAGCCCAACACAGCTAGCGTCGTTTCACCCTTGAGCCTTGGCATTCCGCGTGCCGAGCCTCTTCTACCGTCACACGCTGACCACAACCTAATTCGGTGGCCGATATGACCACTGTCTTTTAAAATGCGTCTAGATTGACAATGTTATCACTGAGTTTGAGGAGATTCGATCACCATGAGCGACGACCAAGTCTTTCAATGGCTCTTGGACGTTGACCGTATTTGGCTTACCCAGTTTGAAGGCGTGGAGCCCTTCAGATCTAGTGTACAGTGGTCAAAAGAGAAGGACGTGCAGGCCGCCCTCAGCCAACTCCCGAGCGATGAAAGCACAAAAGTTCTGAAATTCTACCGTCATACAGATGCAAAGCTTTGCCTTGGCTCGTGCTTGTTGAAGCGCCGAGCAATCTCAGACTTTTGCAACGTCCCGTGGGCTGATGTCGCCATAGGAGTGGATAGCAACCGTAAACCCTGCTACTCACCGAAAGAAGCTACTGGCAAGAAGCTGGAATTCAACGTGTCCCATCACGGCACGTTGGTTGCGCTCGTCGGTTGTCCGGGCAATAACGTGAAGCTTGGTGTTGATGTGGTCAGGATGAGCTGGGAGAAGGACTATGACAAGGTCATGAAAGAGGGATTCGAATCATGGGCTACTACATATGAGATGGTCTTTTCACCGCGTGAAATGCGTGACATCTCTGAATTTATCCCTCCTAATTGCAGGGACAGTACGGAAGTGATCAAAGCCAAGCTGCGCCATTTCTATGCGTTTTGGTGTTTAAAGGAAGCATTCGTAAAGATGACTGGCGAAGCACTGATGGCAAGCTGGCTCAAGCGTTTAGAATTTCGCGACGTCGACGTCCCAGAGTGTTCTACGGAAGGATCTTGGGGAAGAATCTGCAGAAATGTGGAAATCTACTTCGATGATGAAAGAGTGGAGGGTGTTCTGTTGCAAATTCAGAGTTTCTGCAAAGAATACATGATCGCTACCTGTGCTTCGAGTGCCGTGGTAGTGGAGCCGTTCAAAGTGCTCAGCGCTGATCAACTCTTCCCTTCGATCATCCAGCCTTGAGGGTACGGATGTCGAGAGGCTTGTCTTCTTCAAAGTTGGTACCATCGCGCACAAAAGCGAATCTTTTGCACTTTGCAAGCCTCACCTCCATCAAGCATTATCAATTGAAAAGGCTGCTTCAAACATTTACAGAATGTGCTCTCGTGAATGACTTGCTGAAAACAGTCAGTTATGACTATTATGCATCCAAGATACGGTAGCAGCGGCAGCGCCAACGAGGCGCGCTTACCGATCATGACTGCAACTTCCGTGGTCCCTTTTCTTGCTACCGCATCTGTTATTTTGGGGTACAGCATCGGCTGAAGGCTGATTGTGAATACTTCCAACACCACCCTTTGATGATGATGGAGTCTCCCATAGCCTCAATCACCAAGTATTTTACCCAGAAGCAGGGCAGTAGTGGCCAACTTTCGTAAGCCCAACCAATCCCAATGCTACTTTTCCTCTTAACGAAACCTCCCCAGACTTGACAAGGAAGTCAAAACCACAGTGGGATCCTTTTTGGAGCAGGGCAACCTTTTCCAAGCTGAAGAAGTTTTTGGGCTTGTCAGTGCTATCGATATAGAAAACTCGCCTTTAGAGCGCCTTGATGCACCTGGTGCCGTCATCTTCTGCAGCATCTTGCTTCATGCTGAAGTATGCCTTCCTGTTCAAAGAGGAATTTATCTCCTTGCCGTAAGTTCACGTGATCTATGGCCTACAGTTGTTGAGCCGAAACAGGCTTCACTACGATCTGCATCATCAAATGGTGAACAGAGCAACTCCGGGCAGCACAAGAAAAAGACGTCGCTTCAACAGAGTTTGATCCCCTTGCTCAGTAATTTCATCAAGGCCGACTGTGACGAAGAGATACGAAGATGGGTGTGTTCGAGCTACCATACTTCCTCCAGTCTGGTTAACATGCTTGCAGACAGGCGTTCTAGCATTGGAATTATTGACAGGCTGTCCGGCAAACGGTCGAAGGCTACGACAGGTGCCGTTGGATAGTCTGCAAGTCTACACAGAACCGTATTCCACTAAGAGGTTGCTGACGGTTTCAAGACGCTCTTTGGGAGAGATCGTGATGCAGTGCGAAAGTCGCGTAATACGCCAATTGGGCGGCTCAATCATCAGACAGCTTGTACTTTCTGGCATGCCCCCGGTGACCTTCTTCCGTGACGAGAGCCAGCAGTATGTGTTTGCACGCTTTCCTGCCAATCAAGATCGCGACTCGCAATGGGTCATCTCCTTCGAAGGCTTCGTCGAGGAGCTAATGTCTGACGACGACGATCTAGCTCAAAGGTGAATAGACACTTTTTACGCAGGAAGGCAGCTGACATTGTGGCAGCTATCTGCCAACTACGTTTGCCACTGCTCTAAGTCTAGGCAACGACCATTTCACAGTTAATGAAGAGCCTGCTATCCTGGTGACAGCCTCGAAAGCACTCAACATTGTCATTCCCTCCTCCGGGAGTCGCCTTGCAATTTACGTTGATATTTCTTTCGAGGTCATTCAATCTGTTCAAGTCGAGCATATGCAGCATTCATTGTCGCAGGAAGATTACGCTCTGAAGCTGAACCTAATCTCTGGAGTCCAGGCTTCTCTTTTGGTAAACGCAAAAGATGTTGAGACTACTGGCGTCCTGTTAGGCTTCAGCTCTGAGAATGCTGCTTCAGCTGTGAAACAATGTGTTCTGTCAAGGATTGGGCAAAAATTTCCCTCAAGCAAAAGAGTCAGTGAAGCTGCTGATGTTGCAACTTCAGAATCTGCTGACGCCGTGGACTTCATTGAGGAGTCTGGGGTGTCTGAAGCGACACAGCCTAAAGCCTCGTCGAGACATACGCCCTCAATCTCCCACGCCAAGTCAGTTGGAAGTATCCCTCATAAAGGCCACCAAGTCCTTCAACGCCACCTTGGTGAGAATCTCAGGAATCAGTTCAAAGATGCTGGCTGGCCAGTAATCGCTCCAAACGGCTCCGCAAGCCAACCTGCTGCCGACTCGAAAACGCTAGGACCTAATGAGAAGCCCACAAAACGCCGCCTAGGAAAAGAGTTTGTTGATGACATGCTCAAGCAGGATCATCCGAAAGACATTGCTCAGAGCACTCTTGCCAAAATAAGCATGACGGAGTCGAAAGATCCCCGGGTTCATTCGAGCCAACAGGAAAGTCAGGTTGTCAAAGAGCCGGACGCCACGATCGAGCAGGGATCTACAGACCAGGAGAGGTGGCAGCAAGGGATGGATGCCATTGACTCGGCACCCGAGTTCCAGGCACAGAAAATACCGATGTGCGCACAGACCCATGCCAGTGACCAGGAAGCCAATACTTTGAAATCAAGGTCCTTGCAAATATATAGGCCGAACAACGGAGTAACTACGCCGCCGCAGAGGACCATCCTTCCAATCAACATAGAGATTAATTCGGCGATTGATCAGTCAAATAGAATCAATCTCGGAAAAATAGAGCAAGATTCAAGAGCTGGACAAAGAAATAGAAACAGGCATGAGCAAAGCATCAAGGCACCCAGGGCGCTAATGTCTCGCCAGGCTGAGAAAAGTGATCACCAGGTCTCAAAGCTATCGCAGATTCAGAAGGAGAACAGATCATCACAAAGTATGAAGCATCGACAGACAAGCGTTTCGAGTCAAGAGTCGATCAATAAATCTCAGAAAGCTCTTGTGACTGATCCACAAGATCGCAACAACAAGAATACAATTGATGTACGTCAGCCAAAGTCGACGACTCATGGATCAGCTCAATCTCAGGACGACAGCTCTGGGCAAAGCAATGCGACCAAGCCTAAGATTGTGCCTGCCATGAATCGAGTTTCATCGAAGAAGTTTGTTAAAGCCAAAGTCGAAAACGGTGCTGTCTCCCATAATGCAAACCTCAGACCCTCTCGCGCGGGATCTGGATCAAAGACGAGTGGACAAAGACTGCCAATACCCCCAGCAGATGACGATATATGGAATGAGGGTTTAGCTATCCCTGTTAACAAGAACTTCAAGCCTACTGCCAAAAAGACTCGGCCCACGAAAACGCACGCCATTACCAAAGTTTCAAACTCCTCGAAGCTCTCCAGAAACAGGAAAAGTCAGGACAAAATTTCAAAAGCCGGTAATCTGAGCAAAGGGCCTAAGTCCAGGCCCGCGAAGAAAGCGAATCAGGGTGCAGTAGTCTCTCGAGCCCAGCCAAGAAGATCGGCAGCAGTCGAGGCGAACCGGAAGTTGGGGAATCAACTGAGCTCCGAAATTACGCCTGAAGAGCACACGCATGATGTGAGTTCGATACCAAACCAAATGATGCAGGAGCTGCCGGAGATACCACGGTCACCATATCTCCAGCATGAGAATGACGAACCACCGAAGCATCGCGCAGATCTATTAAAGACGGCACTAGTACTGGGCCCTGGTGGTCAGGATATGACTCTACAACATGACGGTCTCCAGAAAGACATCACCACCCCACCGGATGAATACGCGGGCGACCAACAGGTGCACTTAGAGGATTCAATTGTATCTGATAGCTTTGCGCATGAAAATGGAGCAAAGCCATCGACTGCGAGAATCCGGGATCCTCCAAAGCCCTTCCTACCTACAACGGCCTTGCACGTCCACCAAAGCCCTGACGAGATGAAGCAATCTGTCAAAGATCCTGAGGTACATCTGGACGTCATAAGACCTGGGAATTCCGTCGTTATTGCCGCAAAAAGCATGAAGACACAATATCTCCAAGGCGATCAGAAAGTCAGGCAAGTAAATGACATCAACGAGAAGAGAGGCCAGACTCCTAGAATACCAGCGAAACCACCCATAGCTCCAAAGGCAAAAGCTGCGGATCCGTTCGCTACAAAGCTCACGCCCATCATATCCACCAAGGCGAAAGTCAGTAGTATTCGTTACACTCGAAAGTCTGGCCCTGGAGACCAGCATACCAAGCCTGCAAATGTTCAGGTAGCGAACGCAGATGGTATATTTGAGCAGGTAATTGGGCAATACACTGCAGGGCAAGAGCAGATCCAACCTTCGCATAGAAAACAAACTCCTGTGCCTCGAGGAATGAAGAGAAAGTCTCCAGACTCCAGTACCCAAGATCACAAGAAAAAGCGCAAAGAATCCATAATCAGGTATACTGCCCAAAGAGACCGAAAAAGCCTTGACGACAAGCCAGGTCTCACGCCGCTGGCAACGTCGGTGAGCAAAGCTAATCTCATACATTTTGACAAGTCTGGTCCACAGAACCAAGGGAAATTCGGCCAAGCGAGACCTACAGACCATGATTTTGCAAGCATCTCTGACTTTGACGGCATTGTGCAGTCTGAAAAGGTCCCTGTGCAGCAATCCTTAGCCTTGCAAACAGCCCAAAGAATAACCGGCAAGTCGCACGTCAGTATCTTGCCATCAATGGTCAACGAAGTACGCTTTGGAATAGATATGCAGACACAGCGCAGGGCACTAGAGCCAAGCAAAGCCGACATGCAGAGGCTGCCCTTATCGGAAAAGAGGAACGTGCTGCAACCCATGCCATCAATCCTGGAGCCGTTGGGACGACGATCCCAAGAGAAGTGCGATTCGAGAATTGAGTCGCAGACACATGTCACAGAAGATGGAAGTCCTTTTCTGCAGTCACAGAGAGCCTTTCATGCTGCTCCAGACGCAGATGCCATGACCGAAGAAGAAGACATTGAGAATGCTCTCGCGGACGCCAAGCTGGAAGACGAACATAAATTTACTGAGCCCATCCCGCCTGCACCGAGATTACCAGAGCCCAAAATAGTAAACGCAAGACTCAATTCCCTCATCCCGCGAAGGACCGAGAACGGAAATGTGGGTGCTAATAGATCAGCACGTTCAGGCAGTCACAAACAGCTCCCTAGCTCTCCACATGCGGAATCAGCTGTTAGCAACTCCGAACCGTTCATTTCTCGACCTACTGGCGTGATGGTTAATCTGCAAACGGAGGAGACTGTCGTCCCTTCCGAGATACAAGATCCTTTCGTAACAAACGAAAAGGTACCCGTCAGCTCCTTCATCTCCAAGTTAAATCAGTTTGCCCAGAAAGTGCACCATGAGCAAGTCGCCGTTGAAGATTACAACAACCACGGCCAAAACAAGGGCGACGTGATAAGATTGCCTCCTGAGGATCCTGATAAACAACTCGTCGCTCCAGCGACCCCAGTACAATACCATCGACCTGCTGAAAGTAGGAAGGATGCCGTTGAGATTTCAAGTGGAAGCTCCTCGGACCACTCGACAGTCAAGAAGTCAGCATCGGTGCCATCGGAAACGGAGCGCCCCGTTGATCCAGATTCCTCAAATGAATGGGCGGAAGATCACCATTATGAGATGTACACCCTGTTGTGTGGGATCGTGAATGTAAGTGAACCTCTATATAGCCAGTGTCGTTCACACTGACAAATGTTCCAAGCGAATGGTCAAGAGGACGATACGGAGTGAGGATGCAATCCACCGAAAGGTTCAAGATTTTTCAGATGGGAGCAAGTCTCTGATCGATCGACTAAGAGAAGAACACAGCCGTCATCTGGAGATAAACGTGGAGATTGCCCTCCAGACGCGAAAAAAGCTGGCTGCCGCCTGTAGAAAAACGACATCAGATCTGGAAAAGTTAAGTGGGGCAAAAGTTGACGTTGTGCAACGTGACTGGAGTATGAGGCAGGAAGCTCTGACGGAAAAGTTGACTGACGCTCTTGCCGCATGTCAACCACTTGCATGAGATTTGCAATATTTGCTTTGCCGTGCTTTTGCGGGCTACTTTTTGAGGGTATGAATCGATATCAGCGTATCACATCATGTCTACAGCAACTGGGTTGTGTTGAGGTAGGTATCAATATGAAAGCCATGTGGCTGTGCAGACGTAGATTGTACGTCGGGTATCTTCTGTAGAGTACTTCGGACCATAAAACATCTTCGTAAAGTCCCACAAAGCGCCAAAATCGTGTTTGAGCACTATGATTTTGCATTTCGATTTTGGTCTCATCCAGCATTACCTCTCCTACCCTTCTTCTCGTTCGCCCTCTCCTTCCTGTCCTGCCTCTTCGCCTTCTCTTTCCTCTCTCTCCTCCCCTCTCCCCTCACAGTCTTCCCCTCTCGCCCCAGGTCCGCCTCCTTCTTCTCGTCAACCTCCACAATCCAATCCCCTTCCGTCCCCTTATTCTTCCCCTTATAGCCCCACTTCGGCACCCACTCGCCCTTTTCCTCATCATACACCTTATTTCCCTCATTATCTCTTCTCCCATCCTTCTTGATCCCCTTCTTCTCGGCGAATCGCTCCCATGTCGTCTTTTCCTTTGGTTTCGGTAGCGGCTTTTCTCGGGGAATGGGCGTTGTTGGTGGTGGGAGGGTCATGAGAACGGTCCTTTCGGCAGCTGAGGAGACATGGATGGGGCAGGTTGTGAGGAGTTGTGAGATCAGTGATTGGGCGCAGTATTGGGCGCGGGAGTGCAAGTGGGGTTCGCTTAGTTCTGAGGAGAGCATGGGTGATGGGTCGGTGACCAGGAGGTTGCCGAGATCGTAGGAAGGTGGATGGGTGGAGGGACTGTATAGAAGCTCAGTATGCGTTGGTGGACTTGCAATAGGGAAAAGAGGCGTACTTTGGGTGTTTGCCGTTCGTGCTTGGTAATGGCGAGGAGACATCCGTCATTGTGGTATCTGTTGTGGCCATGGTAACTTCCAAAGTCGTCTTGAAGTCTGTAAAATCGCCGTCCTTCTAGAAAAGTGGATAGTTGACCAATGTGCCAAAACTGTTAGATGCGCTAGCAGCGCTAGCGAAGCCGCATGAATTTTGACCCTCTGAGGGTTCCAAGCTTTCTCTGCATTGCTCCTGAATAGCACCATCAAGAGGCAAAATGAACTCTCACTTATGCTCGCGCTGCTTAGCGAGAGCATTGTCTCGATCACCACATCCAGTCCGACGCAGATCCCATGCAAAAGTCACCTCGACCGCAGCCTTCTCAACTTCGTCAACATTCTACGCCAACCCGGTGAAGGCAAAAAATACACAAGGCAAAAAAACGGCGGTAGCCAAGGGTGATGCAAATTCAAGGAGATGGGGCAATGCGCAAACATCAGACCAGCGTTTTGGTGACCGTCCGACGTTCCGCAAAGTGCAAGGCAAGCGAATTGTGCTGAGCAACACAAATGCCCTCGAAGTCCCTGGACTACAACAGCTTGACGCAGACAATGTGTACAATCAAGATCTAAGAGGGCAAGTGTTGGAGATTCCTGGTGATACTGTCGATCAATTGAGAGCTGTGGAAGCTTTCAAACATACGCAAGCATGGGGAAACTATCGGCGGCCAGCAATGCTCTTGAGGGGGAGACGTTCGAGTACGCAACGGCAATGAAGAACATAGGCAGTGATACTGCCAGAAGACTTATTGTAGGCGAAAGAGGAACGGGGAAGACAACCATGTTGCTTCAAGCTATGACAATGGCGTTCTTAAAGGGCTGGGTTGTCATCAACATCCCCGAAGGTAAGACCTCCCCTTTCCAGACACGAAATCATACCCAAGCACTAGCTAATGATACACAATCAACACAGCTCAAGCTCTAACAATAGGCCACACCGACTACGCCCCCACCACCTCCACCCCCCCAACAACCTACACCCAAAAAACCTACACGGCCAAACTCCTCTCCCAAATCGCCCGCGCCAACGAATCCGTCCTCTCCCAACTCCAACTCTCAACCCCCCACACACCAACTCCCACCCTCCCCTCCATCCCCTCCAATATCTCCCTCGCCCGCCTTGGCCTCCTCGGCGCAGAGGACGCCACCATCGCCCACGAGATCTTCACCATCCTCCTCCGCGAGCTCCAGGCCCCTGACCGGCCGCCCTTACTCCTGTGCATCGACAACCTCGCACACGTGATGCGCGACTCGAAATATCGAGATGCGGAATTCAAGCTCATCCACGCGCACCAGCTCGAGTTGGTGAAGTGGTTGGTGTCCCACCTGTCTGGCTCACAGCCGTTGACGAATGGAGGGATGGTTCTGGCGGCTACGAGTAGTAGCAATGCGCCTAGTGTTCGAACTCTTAATATGGCACTTGAGTCTTTGGAGGCGGGGAGGACGTTAGAGGGGAGAGATGCGCTGGTGCGGTGGGATGAGAGGGTGTTGGGGGTTTTTGAGCGGCCGGGGCTGCATGTTCAGAGATTGGGAGGGTTGGATAAAGATGAGGCAAAAGGCTTAATGGAGTATTGGGCGCGCAGTGGGGTGTTGCTTGACAGGGTTGATGAGAAGCGGGTGGGAGAGGAGTGGGTGGTTAGCGGTGGGGGAATACTGGGGGAGTTGGAACGGGGCTGCATTCGAGGAAGAGTCGGATATCAGATTTAGGAAGCATGGTGCGTCTCGGGAGGGAAATGATGAAGATCAAGATCCCTAGAGCATACGTGTTTTGTAGCATTTTGCAAGCAAGGATGGCGTTCCATTCGCCTGAGCCTTGCGAGCTTGAAGCACATGGCAATTCGAGGAGGGAGAAGAGGCAGAGCCAACATTAAATATCATAAAATGTGTCAGTAAAGACCAGGCAAGAAAGAATGACAGTCTTAAATCCACTTCAGTCTTCGAACCAGAGTACATTCCATCCCACTTTCTATCGTACATTTCTTTGAAAGATCATAAAAACACATTCGAGCAACGATACCGGCCATCTTCCTTTGCATTCCGGGTATGTAGCACGAAAGAAAAGTAATCCCGCTAAGTGGTGAAAGAGATAGCCAACCATGGTTACAGGACAGCATACCTTTCATTGCAATAATATGATCCCGCATTTTTCCACTTCCCTGTATGCCATGCCTGGTGTAAAACGATTCGATACTGTCCTAAATTAGGGAGGCGTCCTGAATTCGAGTCCGGCTCCAAAACGTGACGCCTGCATGATACGCTAATTTCGACAAAGAAAACGACTAGTTGACTGAACAATGAACATTTATGGGTGAGCCTGCCCGTGAATGTCTAGTTGTGGTGCTCCACAGTACTTGTTGAGGCCGTAAGCGTGAAGTGAGGCACATCGACTCGAGAGGGCGGATATCTCTCAACCTTGCGAGGTAGATGTGGTCTTCTTTGGGGAAGCCTTGGAGAACTCTCCTGTGAGCGGCGATAAGGGTTTCATAGGCGCTAATTCTGGTAATTGAGATGCGGTCCTTATATGACCGTTGGCTTCCTGAGGGATACCAGCAGGCGTGGCGGGTGGCGCCTCGTTACCAGCCCGCCTAAAATTAAGAGGTGCTGGTTTGCTTTGATGATTTCGTGCTCCAGTGTTCGGCGGTGTGGTTGTGTCTCGGTCGTCAGCAATAGCCGTAGAGCTGTTCGAGCTATTGACCCCACTAGAGATAGTGCCATCTAACAATCGGTACTCGTCTTCAAGAGCTTCTTTCTCCGTATGGCAACCTTGCCAACAGTCTCTCCAATGTTCAACCAGGAAGCGAAAACAATAAGGGTCCATTTTCATACATGGCTGAAAGCAGACAGAAAGATTGTGGTAATTCATCTTGTTTTTCTCGGCGTAGGCAGTTAAGAGACTAAGATGGCACGTGATGGCGAAGAGTAAGTAGTAGTTACAAGGTGGAAGATTTGACAATTCGTCCTTCAACATTTGCGGGACTTCCTTTGCATCGGGATGCTCCTTTTGGATTCGATATTGAGTGCTCTTGGGCAGAATTTCGTCGGGAAGGTCTCTGAGCCAAGCTTTCAAAATACTTGCAATGATGTTGATATCGTACAACTCGGGTTCGGCAAAGAGGTCAATATCATGTTCGACATCGAACCTTTTCTGCCAGTGCCGGATTTGGACCTCAGATCCAGCAATACGGTAGAGACCCTCTTCCTCGCAACCACGGAAATTCAAATAGCTAATAGAAGCGTCAAATGAAGTCTCGACAGGGGTATCATGAGAGACTCACTCAATGCATCGCCAAGGAAGAGCAGGCATCCAAAACTCTGTCTTATCTCGAGAATCTTCAAGTCTTGCTGCGATTCTTGTCTTCCGTGTCTGTTCTATTAACGGCAGCGTTATGATCTTTGGTTCATGGCGTCCCTCCTCTCTACCAGTACTACTTGGTCTTCGATTCATTTTGCCGAACAAGCCTTTACCTGCCCTTCCAATTCCGTCAGCGGCTTTACTGGACGTATTCTTTATGTTGGCAAAAAGGTGGGAGCCGGAGTTCTCTTTATGAGAGCCAGGGTTTGAGCCTGGCAAGGCTACGTGAGAATTTGAGGCTGAATTGGCCGGTCGACCCTGTCTCGAAGAACCGTGATCAGAGCTGTGATTGGACGAAGGCCGGTCAGTTGAACGACCTCGAATGTTAGAGCCCATCATAGCCTGTAGAGATCGGTCTGGATGTAGTGGTGCAGTTTGAGGCGCTCGGCTTGTTTCATCGCTGTCATTGGGTGCCAATTGACCATGCCGACCGGGCCCTGTTCCGCTGACTGGTGTCGTTGGCTTTGATCGTCTCCCGTCGTTGTCTGTGCGTATCGATTGTGTACGTTTGATAAGATTAGTGAATCTTGGCTTTGGTTTCCGAGAGAATGAAGGCTCAGTCGGGCTCGGGTTGGCTATAGTCTCGCCTCCCACTGATGCACCGATCGGTCGTTTCGATCGCTCACTTGTAAGACCTACAATGTGTCAGTAGCAGCGTAATATCTGGAATCGCTCTAATACCTGCACGATTATCATCCACATGGACATCAAAGGATGATAAGCTCAAGTCCGGTGTGGAGCCGGATGCCTTCTTCAGGGAGTACAACTTTTGCTGCTGTTGACGTGACTGCGCTCTAGGTGTATCTTCTGATACTTGACGGACGGTGGACTCGATTGGTGGGCCTCTGTTGGACACTTTGGTGTTTTTCAGACTTGACAAGAAGCCCTTGGAAGATTCTTTTCCATGCTTAGGAGTAATTTGCGGAGATGGCGGAAAAGGTGGCAAGGACGTGATGTCTGGTGAAGAAGGCTGTTCTCGAGGGGAGCTCCTCCCAGAACCGTTATGTGGTACGCTCTTACTCGTTTTGTGGTGTCGGGATGCACCACCAGGTATTGTATGATTGGGATTGGTGCTGACTGGGGACGACATGCCACTTCCATCATCTGTTGGAGATGTGACAGTGCTGCTGACTGCGGAGGTGCCTGGTGGCACAGCTAACGACAAAGATGTGGGTCGAGGCATGCTGGTCGACAACCCAGGCGACGGGCGGTGATAGTCCAGACCCCCAACGAGGTTCTCTCGGAATCAAGGCCCGCCTGTGGCTCTATTATTGATCAATCCTCTTTATCATAATGATCATCCAGGAAGACGTAGAGTTCAATATTGGCTCGGGGAAGACAAATTTGCCAAGATTCTTTCTGCGGGTGCTGGATGCTTCGGAAAGCCGTTCAGGGCGGATGATGACAAGGCGATAGGCAAGCCAAAGCTTCGATATCTTTGGGTCCCTGCAAGAATAGAAGTTGTTAGCAGCAGTACAAGGAATTCAAGATATATTTGATCAGTTTTATAGTAAGACGTGGGCATGCCTAGTCCATCAGGAACAAGGCTCACACGGCAGTCGAGGCAAGGAAAGGATGTAGTTCTTGCTAATGTCGCCTACCTGTGCTGTCAAAATAAATGCCTGTGTCAACAGCAGTTGACCGATGCCCTCAGAATGCTAGTTTATGGAACAGGCTGCTGCAATGGTGGGGTGCTCGTTTGCTTTGGCTGTACCCTTGTTCGTGTGACCAATTCGATGCAGGTTCCGAGGGAAGCTGAAAGCAATGCACAGGTCGAAGACTCCCCAACAGAGATCAACGGCCCCACGTAGACGACCAGCGTCGATAGTTGGTGATCCTCCTGCAACGAGATGCAGTAGCGTGCAGCCGGGCTCTTCAAAGTTGCGGCAGAAAAAGGTACTGTTCGAGGGCTGTTTTCCCCGAGTAGAAATCGCTTTCGAAGGGCTCCTATCCCTGGCGTTGTGGAGTATGGCCAGAGGATGTTAGAGGCAGACCTTCTAGCACGTTTGAGGCTGTGGAAGCCTAGGGATGAAGGATGTTTCTCTTCCTTGGAGCCCTGGAATAACAACGATAGGTCGATGCTAATAAATTGGTGGAGGCAGAAGAATAGCGGGGAGCTGCCCTGCCAAGCCTTGACAATGGGAGGATGAAGTGGCTCTGATTAGGATTCATCCGCAGCCACTAAAGAGCAATTCTCATGCCTTGGCCTAGTATTGCACCAATTGCAGTACGAGAAGCATAGACCACATGGTGATTCTCACTGCAGACAGGAACGCGGCTCCAATTTTAGTGACTGTGAGGAATACGCGGTAGCGGCTGGCTACCACTCGTGCTTGCTGATCTCACCCACTTTTGCAAGCCGCATAGCAGTGTATAAACCTCAACTTTGTTTGGATCGTCAGGAGGTGGCTTCCTGCACGAACCATGTCACTGGTTTCCGGTCCTGGACGGGCTGGCGCCTCGGCACAGGATCTTCCCACTGACCTGGCGACTAATGCACATGTGAAATATATCCAGAGCTTGAACACCGTGAGCTGTTGCCTGCTTCATCTTTCAAGCTTTCGCTCATGTGCTGACAGCGTCAAGATGAATTGGAATACTGGCTGACTGAACATCTCCGTCTCAATGGAGTCTACTGGGGTCTGACTGCCCTTCATCTGTTGGGTAGCCCGGACGCTCTGCCGCGTGATGCGACCATCGATTTTGTCCTGTCGTGTCAATATGAAAGTGGTGGTTTTGGCGCTGCCCCGGGGCATGACGCTCATATGCTTTACACCGTTAGCGCTGTGCAGGTCCTAGCCACTGTCGACGCTCTCGGTGAGTTGGACAAGCGAGGCAAAGCAGGAAAAGAAAAGGTTGGAAAATGTTCGTTGGGGCAAATTCTCGCTCAAAGTATTGTAACTAAGGCTATCACGCAGTCATCGCGACCCTTCAACACCCCACCACGGGCTCGTTCGCTGGTGATGAATGGGGGGAATACGATACTCGCTTTCTATACGGTGCTCTGAATGCTCTCTCCCTTTTGGGGCTACTACACTTTGCCGACGTGCCCAATGCAGTTGCTCATGTCCAAGCATGTGCGAATTTCGACGGGGGCTATGGAATTAGTCCAGGGGCAGAGTCCCATGCTGGCCAGATCTTTACTTGCGTAGGTGCACTGGCGATTGCGGGACGCCTAGACCTGGTCGACAAAGATCATCTGGGCATGTGGCTGAGTGAGCGGCAGCTGCCCAACGGAGGTCTTAATGGAAGGCCTGAGAAGCTTGAAGATGTGTGTTACAGCTGGTGGGTGCTGAGCAGCTTGGCCATGATAGATCGCTTGCATTGGATAGACGGTGAGAAGCTATCTCAATTCATCCTGCAATGCCAGGTAAGTCTGAAGTGAGGTGACCCCCCTGGAATCCTCTGACTAAGACTCGTCAGGATCCTCAGGAGGGAGGCGTCGCAGACCGACCTGGAGACATGGTGGATGTCTTCCATACAGTTTTCGGTTTATCTGGGCTAAGTCTTCTGGGCTTTCCAGGCCTTGAACAAATTGACCCCATCTAGTAAGCATCACTAATGACCGACTTGAGTCTTCTAGCTGACTCGCTGTAGTTGCTTGCCAAAGAAAGTGACAGAAAGAGTGTTATCAAATCCCACCTCGTGACGGTCGTTGTTGGTGGTAGTGGAGTGGCCTCGCGTGCCTGCGGTATGAATTGTGAATGATGAGATATCCTATGGTTCTCAATCATGATGCCCTGGTAGGTGGCATGCACCTCGCTAGAATGTTTCGATGCCTTGCGAATCGTCTAGGCTGTGCCAACGATGCTCGCGAACCATGTCCGACTTTTGAGTGCTGATTAATGGCTTGCAACCACGACCCAAATGCCAAAGTTTGCATTTTCCAAATTTGACTAGATCTAAGGGTTGCCATTATGTACCCTAGGAGGTACCTTCCCTCGCTCAAGAGATCCTCGTGATCTTGGCACTTGAGGTTTCCCAGCAACTTCAATCACTTTGCATCCGGCCGGGCGCTTTCACTTCGCATCAATCCTTCTGGGGAGGAGCATACATTCAATCTGGTGGTTGCTCCTTGCTTGCTTGAATCGGCTTTGCTACCACGTCAGTTGCTACCATGGGCTCAATCCCTCTTCATTGCAGCATTTGTCCGAAAGAACCAGATTTCAGTGATGTCTCCCACCTTCTTACGCACATATCTTCCAAGGGGCATTTGTCCCATTATTTCAAAGCCCAAGTGCAGGCTCGGCAAGATGCAGAAATACGTGAAAAAGTCAATGCCTTTGATTCCTGGTACGACTGCCACCAAATCGAGAGACTGCTATCTCAGCGCATGAGCGCCAAACAAGCTCAGCGGGGTACCAATGCGAAGAAATCAATCCGATCGAAAAGCACTGCCAGACAGGCAAGCCAAAAACAGGCCGATGAGCGACGAAGGAAAACCTCGCTCAATGAATCAAACATTGATCCACAACTTGCAGCCCGTCCTTCCCCATTGCACTTGCAACCTAGCAATCAACATTCGCCCAGCCCTCAAGCCGGTCTCAAAGGTCGTGCGCCGGTCCCTCGCATGATTGACTGGGCCAAAGAAAGCGATGTGAGCCCCAGAAGTCCTGGTGGTGCGTGTCCTGATACTTTTCATCAACAAGAGAAGGGCCCTTTCACTGCTTTGGACTCTGTATCCATAGACCCTTTTCGGTCCAATGCAAAACAGCCTGTAGAAACAAGGTATCCAGACCCTTTAGATCTTCCGCCATATCTGCAGGAAAATGATCAGGAGAGCATCCAGACAGACAAAGTCGAAGAACCTATCGAGCCTGGATCATCGCTGAAAGGAATCGTCTACCCGGGCATGTCTTTATTTGATTCTGCAAGTTATGAAGCTCAACGTCTGCGTAATCAGAAGAAGCATGGATCAGTGCTGGAGCAAATGGAGATGGACTCGATTGCCATTGAACCTACAGAGCGTGTTTTCTGGCCTGACGGGCAAGTGAAAATAGAAAGGGTCATCACTGGCAATGTCGAAAGTAGTCCTTTGAAAGAACCAACGCCTCTTCCAAAACCTCCCAAACGTCCACGGACGAGAGCAAGGAAAGCTCTTGAAGACGTTGGGACTAACGTGCCGCGCGGGAGTAGAAAGCGGTACCCAAAGCCCCCAATCACTCGAACCGTGGGGAAAATCACACCGGCGGCACTTGAGAGCATGGCTGACATGGCTCTACATACACTTCGAGCAGTGTTTCCAAAGATCGCTCACACTGGCGAAGATCTTGCTGAAGACGGATACCTTGAACCAAGGATGCCTACTCATGGGACTCCTACTCGCCGCAAAGCAGAGTTCTCGGTTTTCAGAGATCTCCTGAATCTGGACACGGAGAAATCAAGTCTTAATGGGCAATCTAGTGATGGGAAGTCATCGCCGACACAACATTTCACCTCCCAGATCGATTCGCAGCAGACATGCCTGACCCAATTGGAGTCAGAGGTTCGCGACGAGTCTTATCATGAACTTCTGATGCATTCTCCAGTTTCAAATACCCAATCAGCTACCACGAACAAATTCTGTCAATCCTTCCTCGAGAGTGATAAAGAAAACCTGATGGTCTTGACAGGTCATCCTAGCAGAGCAACGTTTGACAGGTCTCAAGAATTGAAGCCTAGGATCACGCAGAGGTATTTCTCTGTTGTGGGTAATCAGACGCCGCAATTTTTCAGCAGCATGCCGCCACAAATGGAATTCGGAGGATCTTGTGGCCCGACATTTCGTGGAAGTCAGTTGAATCCTCTAAGCTCTGGACGGGGAGATCATTATCAGCAACCCCGCTTCTATGCGCAAGATACAAATTTGAATTCGCTACAGACTTGTGTACCTCGACCTCAAACTCAGGCCGAGTATTTGCCCGAACAACGTCAACACCGTTCGCAGGGGGGACGCAGCATGAGAGGTTGAGGCTTGCAGATGATTGGGGCAAGGCACGAGCTAGACACACGGCATCATGACGAGCAATATCTTCCAAAAATGCAACAAATATTTGATATTGACACTTGTCAGCAGCAATTAGATATGGGGAATTTTGGGCGAGAACGCCAGGCTTCTTAGATTGTATACTTGGGGGCTTTGTCTTGGAGGCGATGACTACAGTTTTGATTTGGTCACTCGTAAGACCAGACCATTTCAGACAGGCGCACAATATTTTAATAGCATAGCATCGTCAATTAGCAGTATTGTAAGCAAGCTGTATGTCAATCGTGCAGATAACAAGATCGACTGCTCTAAAATCATATTGTGTGCATCCCAACCCTGATAGATAGGGGTTCGAGTGCAAGCCCTTAACCTAAGCATTTTCGGGCGAGCGTGAAAATGAGCTGCGTTATGACGCGACCCTATTTGAATTGTAGCGAATGCTCCGAAGTGTTTTCCACATAGCAAAGTCATTTCAAGACTTACCAACGCTGAGAGACCATGCCAGTAGCTGCCTCGCTCTCTCAGTCCTCGGCAACGAAGCAACAGTCCATCTCTAGCTTCTTTGGCAAGACTGCCCCTGCGCCTACTATTCAAATCAAGAAGTCGGCGGCATTGAACTGTGATGATGTACCAAATGGCGACGAAGACTTACTCGCCGATTGGTCAGATTATAACGAGGAGAATGTAGTCTTACCGGGTGCTCGAAGAAAATCGAATACACAGCTTACAGGCAGTCAACAGGACCACGAATATGACACGGACCTCCCCGAGCCAAAAAGGCTGAGGCTATCTGATCAAAAGAATGACAGGAATGACCAACATCCGCAGAGCAGAGTCTCGAGTAGTGCTGCCGCCCCTGCTGCCAGCCCTCTCGCATCTACATCTGCGAACGGGACGCAAAAAATATCTCCAGGAAGGCGAACCTCCAAATACACCTTCTCTAGCTCGCCTGTTCCTGATAATGAAGATGCGATGGAAGATGAAGCCACGCAGAGGGGTAAGGACCAATTGCACCAAAGATTTGTACAGAAATTGGGAAGACCCGATAGTATTGCGGAAATCAAGAGACGGAATTGGCTTATTTCGGAGGAGACCCATGAGGAAGAAGGGCAAGGTGATGAGCCAGTCGAGGTAGAAGAAGATGCAAAGCAACCCAAAAGGGGTTCGAAAGGGCAGGCAAACAAGAAAGGGGCAAGCAAGCTCACCCCAATGGAGAGGCAATATCTCGATATTAAGCGGAGCCACCTGGACGCTGTCCTGATCGTTGAGGTCGGATACAAATTCAAGTTCTTCGGCGAAGATGCCAGAGTCGCAGCCAAAGAATTGAGCATTGTCTGCATCCCAGGAAAGTTCAGATACGATGAGCACCCATCAGAAGCCCACTACGATCGTTTCGCGTCTGCAAGTGTTCCTGTACATCGTCTGCATGTTCATGTCAAACGACTGGTTTCGGCAGGTCACAAAGTTGGCGTTGTTAGACAACTCGAGACCGCCGCATTGAAAGCGGCTGGCGATAATAGAAACGCCCCTTTCACTCGCAAATTGACAAATCTGTATACCAAAGGCACGTACATTGATGATATTGGGAATTTAGGGGCGCCACAAGATGTACCTGCTGGCGGTGCTCCTGCAACAGGCTATTTGGCATGTCTCACGGAGAGCAATGCCAAAGGATGGGGGACCGACGAGAAGGTGCATACTGGACTCGTGGCTGTCCAGCCTGCCACTGGTGACGTTATCTACGATGACTTCGAAGATGGATTCATGCGTAGCGAGATTGAAACCAGACTATTGCACATCGCACCTTGCGAAATCTTGATTGTTGGAAGTCTATCCAAAGCAACGGAAAAATTGGTGCACCACCTTTCCGGTAGTAAAATGAATGTTTTCGGCGACAAAGTCAGAGTTGAAAGAGTCGAAAAGCCGAAGACAGCAGCTGCTCAAGCCTACAGTCACGTATCAAATTTCTATGCAGGGAAGATGAGAGTTTCCACCGCAGACGAGGATGGAAAAGCAAGTAGAACGCTTGAGAAGGTACTCAATCTTGAGGAGATGGTCATGGTTTGTCTATCAGCCATGATAACACATCTGACAGAATATGGCTTGGAACACATTTTCGATCTGACCAAGTATTTTCAATCTTTCAGTGCCCGCTCCCATATGCTGCTGAATGGTACAAGTCTGACAAGTCTGGAAATTTACAAGAATCAGACCGATCATACTGAGAAAGGCAGCCTTTTCTGGACTCTCGATCGAACAAAAACACGTTTCGGTCAAAGACTCCTTCGCAAGTGGGTGGGAAGACCGCTACTCGTGAAGGCCGATCTCGAGCAACGAGTCGCTGCAATTGAGGATCTCAAGAATAGCGATCCCCCAATGATAGCTGAGAAGCTCAAGCGCATGCTTTCGCAGATCCGAACGGATCTTGAAAAGAGCCTAGTAAGGATCTACTATGGCAAATGCACTCGACCAGAGCTACTTTCTGTGTTGCAAACATTGCAGCGGATTGCAAATGAATTCGCCTGGGCTCAAGAGCCTTCGGAAGTAGGATTTCGCTCGTCCGTGATCAATGAAGCGATTGCGATTCTTCCTACCATAGCCGGCGATGTGGTAGGGTATCTCGATCAGATAAATCCTCAAGCGGCCACCTCAGATGACAGGTACTCATTCTTTCGCGAAGAGTCGGAGTCAGACGACATAACAACGCATAAGCTTGGCATTGCAAGCGTCGAACAAGATCTGGATGCTTACCGCAGCGTAGCAGCTGAGAAGCTGAAGAAAATGAAAGTCGATTATGTGGTTGTTGCAGGAATTGAGTATCTTATAGAAGTCGACAACCACCAGTTGAAGAATGTTCCGGCTTCCTGGGCTAAAATCAGCGGCACAAAGAAAAATTCAAGATTTCACACTCCAGAAGTTATCAGGCTCATCCGTGAGCGTGATCAGCACAAGGAGGCCCTGGCTGCAGCTTGCGACACAGCTTTCTCCGAGTTACTTGCCAGCATCTCTTCTAAATACCAGTCATTCCGCGATTGCATACAAGCACTAGGGACACTTGATTGTTTGCTGTCACTGGCTGCAGTAGCTACGCAGCCTGGTTATGTCAAACCACAGTTCACTGACACTACCTGCATTGATGTCAAGCAGGGGAGGCATCCCATGGTTGAGCAATTGCTGCTTGATGCCTATGTACCCAACGATATTGATCTTGCTTTCGACCGTACTCGTGGCCTTCTCCTGACCGGGCCCAATATGGGTGGGAAATCTAGCTATGTTCGTCAAGTTGCTCTCATTGCAATCATGGGCCAGATCGGCTCATACGTTCCCGCGGAATCAGCGACGCTTGGCATATTGGACGCTGTTTTCACTCGTATGGGCGCTTTTGATAACATGATGACTGGTGAATCAACTTTTATGGTCGAACTCTCCGAGACCTCGGACATCCTCAAACAAGCAACATCACGCTCGCTCGTCATCCTCGATGAATTGGGCAGAGGAACGAGTACGCATGATGGGGTGGCGATAGCGCAAGCCGTGCTTGACTACGTGATCAGAGAGAAGAGAAGCTTGACACTTTTTATTACTCATTATCAGAAGCTTGCCGCTTCAGCCAAAGCTTTTCAACATGACGAGCTCAGGAACTTTCATATGCGCTTTGAAGAGAGCGAAGGTGATAAAGAAGAGATCACGTTTCTTTATGAAGTTGGCGAGGGGGTAGCTCATCGCTCATACGGGCTCAATGTCGCAAGACTGGCTAATGTGCCCGATTCTGTGCTCGAGGTAGCAGCTGTGAAATCGAAAGAGATGGAAGCAGATACCAAAGCGAAGGGTGTAGACCATCTGTCGCGCTCACTAAGGGGATTGATTGAAGGTCACGAGCAGGGATTGGACGGGCTCTTGAGTGACATTGAACAACTTTGACGCCTTCTATCATGCATACTCCAGCACAGCCTAGACGATGAAATAAATAAGAATGTCTACTAATATCACTCTATGGCTTGGCCATGTTCCATCAAACGCAGACGCTACAGAGTATCAAGCGCCGTTCAACGTGCATCATTTCTCGCTATGAAGCCATCTTGCAGCAGATACTTTAGCACGCATGATTCTTCTCGTCGGTCACCAGTCACAAACAAGAGTCGTCAAGATCTGACTACTTCATGCAAAGCGAAGCGCCAGCCTGGGGTGAAAATTGGCGCCCCTCGAACGTGTCCTGAATTGTTCTGACGCTGATTTGATTATATCAATGTCGCCCCTGACGACTGCTGTCAATGTTCTTGCCGCCTAAGTCCCTTGATTCAAGACAGTTGCACTTTCCCTACCGGCTCAAATAATTCTAGGAGAGCTACAGCGCTCTTCACGAGTTACGCAGAGAATGACTATCCCCTCTGACCTCATATTGCTCGTATCATTATATTCCTGTCACTGACAGCATAATTCTTTGGCGATCGACCCGGCCGCTTGCTTTGGGTAGAGCTATCGCGACCCAAGGACAAAGCAAGGAAGCGTTACAATTCCATCGCAGCTCAGTCTTTGGATACACCTTGCTGTCCAATCTTCACTCCTATATTTACGAAATACTAGTATTTCTACCCATTCCTACTCGCAAGATCGAAGCCATCCCCGAAAGAACCTCGCAGTCAACGATGTTCCTACCATTTTTAGATCCCCCTTTTCAAACTTCCAAAATTTCGGATAAGACTTGTTGGTCGAATGGGCTACCTGATGAGACTGGCTGCCGCGACTCTAGCAGCGAGCCTCTCCGCCCAAAGGCATCTTCTCCATCTAGCGCAGTGCCCTCAGAAAGCAATCATGTCGCATTTGATCCCTCAATGGCTGAATCTGAAGCTTCCTACCTCTCCAGTGGCGAGCAAAGCCCAACTAGAGGTCGGACTCTACGTCGAATGCCCGCACGAAGTCGACTTGCATCCGAGTCAATCTACCGCCGGCTGAGCTCTATTGCATCTGGCGTTGACGCAAGCGCTTTGCGTGAACGACTTATGAGCCGGGACCTAGTCCTCGAACCTGAGGAGTATCTTGCTGATGTTCTCCTTGAGCCCCGACAATTCGCCCACCTTCGTACCTGGAGTCTTTCGGAGGAATTATACCGTGCGGCTAGTCTTGATAGTTCGGTCGACCTGACTAGATTTGCTGGTCACCGAGACACATTTGCCATGCTTCATCTTCCGCAGGCCCCTTCAAAAGCGGTCGAACTCCCTCATGCCTTTTACCAACAATTGGTTTACTACCTTGATCTTGATTCATACAAGTCTCTTCGACTTTCGTGCCGCACTTGGTCACATGGCATCACCAATGCTCGACCAGTCTGCCTACCTACAGCAAACAGGATTCCTACGGAGATTCTCGAGAAGATATACGACGAACTTGAGCCCACAGACTTCAACAATGCCAGGCATAGCTGTCGAGCTTGGATGATTGTAAGCTTGAATGACAAATTATTGACGGAGATGTTGCGGCTTGGAGGATGGTACGAAGCTGCGAAACAAGATCTGGCGAGGTTACAGTCGACTGAAGAGAGAAGGCTGAGCGTTGTTAGCACAAATTGGGTGTTCAGTAAGCGGCTGGCTACTGAATGCGAGCTTAGTCCTAGGCCGTCACTTGATCATCAGACTCGTGCTGGTCTTCCACATGGACCCGTCAATCCTCAAGGTCTCATACGCCAGCCGACACTTACATCCGAAGTAGATTTCGCTGATCTCGCCAGAAAAGATTATGACCACGGTAAAGACTCGGATCCGCCACTTCGGTTTGTCGTCAGTGTGTGCCAGAATTACCTACTCATCTGTAAGGCAAAGACTATCTACGTCTACCTTCTCACAGATCCCTATGGCAATCCTCCACATGAATATGGAGGCCATTTTCATGCAGTGGCTAGCATCAGTTGTCCAGAGCGAGCTCTGGCTGTTAGCATGGACACATCTTCTGATCGCCTCTCCGTCGCTGCCCTCCTTGATGAGCGGTGCGGACTCGTTGCAGATATCGCTCGCCATGACATTCTTCCTGCTCGTAAAGGGCCAGTCAGCGCCCGAACACCACCAGCCTTTCCGGCGAACACCAACCGCAGCTTGACCGTCATCGATGGACCACGTGTGGAGCTCCTGGCGTGGAACAGTGACGGTTCCTACGCCTCTCATGATATTTCCCAGTGCTCCGACTTCTGTAGGTCTTGTGGGGCGCGGGATGTGTATCGTGATCTATGTTCTCCTCAAGATCCGCCTCGAAGCGTTGCGATATGCCCACAACGGCGCTGCGTGGCCTTTGGAAATCAGTCGGGGATTGAAATTCACTGGCTTGATATACTCAGCGGACAGGAGCTGCAACGTTGGTTCCCACTTTCGTCGCCCAGCGATTGCCTATACTTCCTTCCCAACAGAGTTGGCATAGACAGCAATCGAAAGCTTCGAGTTATTGCTAGTGCCGATCATCCAACTCAGGCAAAAATTGCACAAAAGATGTATCCAACGCGAGTCAGACAGCTCAAAAGAAAGAGGTCGTGGGATTATTATGCGAGCTACGATGACCCGTGGAAGCTTGACCATGCGTTTTCACGACTGTCCTTTTTAGGAAATATCAGGCCCTACCTAGAACACTTCAACGCCAGACCCCTTAGTGATGGTCACAACGTTCTCTATACCAATCCTCATGACAACAGATTGTACCTTGGAGGCGATACGACACCTGGACAGGGGATACCGCAACTCATGCGTCGTTTTGTATTTGAGGGACCTCAATCCGGGTGGCTCCCATACATCTATGCTGGCGCACAGGAGCTCAAGTGGGGCGTCAGAGTAATCGCCGGCTACGCCTGTGAAAGCAATCTGAAAGCTTTCCGTCAAGTATGGCTTTTCAGCGTCCCCATCGATGTATTCTCCGCTCCACCACCGCCTATTATTACAGAAGAAGACGGTTCGCAACCTATTCTTCCTTCTTCGGTCATCCCTATCCGCATCCAAGGCGTGCATATTGCGACCATTCGGGGCCTCGCTGAAGTCTCTATAAATGCCAGAGACGGCGATCTCACCCTCCGGGCCTTCAGCTCCTCCCTGATGAAAGCCTACACGTGGCAATTCGCTGCAGGAAATAAAGACGTCCTCAATCTCGCCGTTCAAGACGATGGTATCACGACGGCTGTCATCACAGACGAGGGACCACAAGATAAGAATGAGATCATGAGGGATGCCTCACCCTTACCATTCCGTAGGTATAAGACCGAGCGATACGAGACAAGGGGATGGCGTACTCCCTGGGATGACGGGCGAGGTAGATGGGTATCGGAGGCCTGGAGTGATGGCGCAATGGAGACACCCGGGCCGGTTTTGGCCCCAAGGAATACCGATGAGGATGGAGATGTGCCTATGGTTGATGCGCCAAATCTGGCCTCTACAGATGGATCAAGCGATGGTGCCGGTGAGGATGAAGATATCATTATGACTGATGCGTCGGACTTGCGTCGTTCACACGAAGACCGAACTTCAATGGAAGGTGCCGAGCGCACAGAGGAGGATGCCGACCAGGATGAAGGCTATTTCTCCGGGGAGGAAGCAGAAGGAAGAGCAACATTCCAGCGTACAGGTGGTCCGTTTGCCATCCATGTTCCGCCAATGCATGATGGGCATTGGAGCGACGGCAGCGCCGACTGGGTGCCTGATTATCTAGCTGAGAAGGGAGCTGAGATGGAAGACGAGGGTCTCGGAGTGGATTTGTTGACACTGAGTCGGCTAGAATTAGAGATGCTTGGGCTCTGATCATTCTTGGTGTAAAAAGCGATGGGAGTGCATAGATCGGCAGGGAGAATACGCGGAAGAATATTCTTAGGGTCAATATTCATATCGAGACCTGATTGCTAGAACAACCTGAGATCCTCGCGGTATCATCCATGCGTCTCAGTGCGCCATACCGTTGTTCCAAAGATACACGCGCTATGCTACACCCATTCCAGATTCATATTCCCTATAACCCCAAGGAGAAGCCTACACTTCCTGATCTCGACCATCTCTCCTATTGCCATTTCCCTCAGTCCCACCACCCTCATCACCTGTATCAGCCCCTTGCTTTGGCAACCATGCCTCCTCCAGCGGCAACACCAAGCTCGGATTGATATACCTCAACCCCGTCTCCTCGCTCTCATCCACGGTTCTCCCGGCCGTTTCGGTTTCATACCTGCTCTGGCCCGGCTGTATTCCAAACGGCGGCTCGTGGTTCAGACTTCTGATCGCAATGAACTTCATAAGCGGCTCGTAAGTGCGTTGATAGTATACAATGAACCAGATCGTGAATATCAGCAGCGGACTAATGAGTGCTGCCCGCTTGAAAGCCGTGGATAAGCCGAGGATGCCTGCCATAGCGAGCTGAAATACTATGAGACCAAGGACGATGCGGTTGCAGATGATCGGCCACGCGCGACCAGTGGAGTGTTGGCGGTGGTCCATGGCGTAGAGCAGTTGGTATTTGTAGATGAAAGCGCCAAGGAGGAAGTAGAGAAGGCCGAAGAAGAGGACGAACCAAGATCCTGGTAGCACGGAGTAGACGATGCAGATGATGTAGATGAGGATCGTCTGCGGAAGGTAGAAACCGTAGGAGAAGACGGGCGGAGCGACCAATTCGGCGTAGTCTCGTGGGGTTTTGGAGGAGAGGCGATAGAACGGATAGAGCGAAACAGAACCGAATTCGAGGAGGCGGAAGGGAAAGAGGGCGAGTCCTTGTAGAATGATGAGGTTCATGTAGAAGAGAACGAGGTTCTTGAGTGATCGGGCGAGGATATAGGCAATAAGGGTGGTGTCTTTGAGGTTTTTCTTGATCTCATCAAGGTAGCGGTCGATGTAGCCGGCTGCGTTGGAGGCAGCACCGAAAACTGTGAAAACAACGAACAGATTGAAGAAAGTGAAAAAGAAGTTCTTGCTGATTAAGGACATTTCCACTTCTGCTTGGGATACCATACCTTGAAGGGTTGAGAGCCCTGAGCTTGTAAGCGACGTTCTTGATTTATGGAGAACAACACGTACAATAATATAGGTATGGCACAGCTACGCTCAGCACTGAAAACAGCAAGGTTGGCAAACCAGTCTGGACTAAGGCTCTAATTGTCTGGTGGGTGTTGAGCCAATCCTCAAGTGAGGGAGACACTCTCCCGATGTTCTGCAGGCTAAGCAAACCCGCTAGCGGCACCAAGAGAATAGACCAGAAGACAGTCAGTACTCCAATGACCAGAGTTATCAGCCAGGCTCTCGACATCCGAGTTGACCGTGAGAGATATGTGTTCTCCCAGACAACATCAGACGGCGCGGGCGCAACGTTAGCTACAAGCTGCATAGGCACTGGATCCATAAGAGCCTGGACAGCCATTTGCTTCATCTGCGTCAGCTCTCCTCCGAGTTCATTATGGGTCTTCGAAGGCTTACAGCTGTGGCAGTAGAGTCTAGGGTGACAAAAGCAAGTGGCATTGGCTTGAAGACTTTGCGGCGTGATGTCTTGACTTGTTCGTCTATCTTCCGTAGTTTCTCCTCGTAGTAATCGATAGCGTCAATCTTACGACTTTGTAAGCCCATGAAACCATACCATAACCTCGCTTGAGGCCTTGGTTGGCTATCGTCCTTTTGGCCTGGGCTAGTGTTTTCTAAAAGTCGAGCGTTCTCCGTCTCGTTATCTGGATCATGATTCGTCCTCTGTGGCATGAGCGACTTCCTTCGTCCCTGCTTAGGGGCTTCAAGATATGTAGTCCACGCTGCCTCAAGGTTCCGGAGTACGTTGTCTCTATTTGCCATGAGCTTGTCCACTTCAGTCCAATCTCTGCATAACAGAACGCTCTCAACCTTGCCTATCTGCAAATTCTCAACAGTCTCTTTAATCAATTCCTCAGACCGCAGTTCGACAGGAATACCTGATAGTCTGATGGTCCGATCGGTGATACTTGTTTGGCTGGCCAGGTACGCTTGTCGTACAGATATGATCTTCTTCGTTTCCGTGACGATAAAGTAGAGGGCAAGACCAGAAAATAGATAGACAAAAAAGACGTAGAGCCAAAGCATACGCTCGGAAGCTTCAGGTTCATCATCTTCCGCGCCTTTTCGTAACAGCATGGTGCCTGAGGTTGTCTGGTTGGACGTCTCATTGTTAGACTTGATGGGGCTTGGTATGCCCCAATCCCCAGTGTCCGTATAGTGTACTGGGAGCATCACAACGAGCTGAAAGAAGAACGTCACGGCGACGAACTTGATGGCCATCCTAAAGAAGGAGAGGAACTATCGGCCCGCATGTCAGATGTGCCCGCTCTCTCCAAGGTGGCGCTCTTACCACATAGGCGTCCAACCCTGCGGATGCCAGTACCTGCTCCTCTGTGATACGATACAGCGCCGGTATCCAGCCAAAGAGAGTATCCGGCAACTCGGGCAATATTTGGGCAGCATTTTTCTGGCGCTTGCGAGCAGCGTATAGGGACGTCCATCGCGGGCGAAGGAACTAGATGTCACTGTGAGCTTCTGCAGACAGTCCCATAGGGCCAGTCATGCTTACGCAAAAGGACGTGAAGGCGATAAGACCAAGCGCAACCGATATGACGGATTGAGTCTGTATATCACGCTGGTTCTTGGTCTGATCTCCGTAATTGGCGCCCTTGATCACTGCCCATACGGAACTCATGACGAGCTTAGATGAAATCCTATGGGCTTGAAGGATAAGCTAGGAAGACATCCATGGTTACGTCCAGTTTCCCAGTACTTGGGCAAACTACAAACAAAGGAAAGCACGAGGCAGCCGCCACACATGATGACGGCCTGCAGGATCAGGGTATTTAGATCGACATTCGTCATACGACTTCAGTACGCCCACTCCAGACTTCTCATCGAGGCAATCAAGGTCATGTCCGTTCAGCGAGGCTTCATGCTTTGCCCATCTTATCAATGAAAGAGGTTCGACAACATGTCCGAATTTATGTGATTCTGCAACCTACATCAATGGGACCATGGGGCCAGAGGGCTGACAGCATCGAGCATTGGCACGTGGTCCAATTCCCCAGCACTTGAAGAGCAGCACTTGAAGAGCACAAGGATGCTAGAATATCTCTGTATGTGACTATCCGCAATGAGCACCTTCATTCAGGTAGGCTATGCCGTAAGCTGGGTAAGTGTATGGAAACGGTCCTCGGGAGTGCTACGATCCGTAAGAGGGACGCAATATAGTCACATTGTTCTGGAACAAGACTTGAGGCATGTGTGATGAAAAATAATCTTCGTACTTGATGCAACCGCTCTATGTTCGACCAAATGTAAGGTGTTCATTGTGCTATCCGAATGACTCCAGTCTTTACGCATCGTTAGTCTACCGAGAAGGCAGTTTGAAACAAGTCAGACATTTGTCCAAGTCCAAGTCCTGTTGTGTTTTGCAACAGTACTCCTCGTTGGGGTTTACGGTTGAGAGGCTCAAATACGTGCTGTAAAGAGAGATCCAGCATTTTGTGGTGCCCTTATTCAGCATTCGCGTGTTAGACGATCCTTGAAAGAAAGGCAGCATAATGATCATGCTTCGTTTGTGTTGCTCTATATTACTCGAAACCACTACATTGAAATCAGAGCTTATATCAAAGGGCTTTCGCAGCTTATGTTTAGGGGATGACTGGCCCCACTGTTCATTGCAATGACGTTCTGGATTATCATATCCGCTTTGTTGTGACGAGGCTGGATGTACGATCTTTTCCGAAAGCCTGGATTTGGAATTCGCCGCACCTTGACATCCAGGCTTTCTTACATGAAAGAGATTTGTACTGATTATAGGTAGGCTTACTAGAATCCAGCCTGTTCGTTCGCTGCTCCAACAGTACCAAATAAATGTTGTGGTTGACAATCGGCGTATGATATCAGGGCTTTTGCAACGTCGACTATGATAGGGAAGGCCATTTTGGGACTTGCTCCACTCATGGCATTGCCACTACATCTGTTTCGTGAATTCAAGAATGTGATCTAGTGAGACTTTGCTTTGCCACCAAAGCTACGTCAGGCCGAACACCTACTTCATTTCTTTGTTCTTGATTGTCAGCGCGTCATCATCTTGTAGGACCTAGCTGTGATCTTGGTATATATAAATTCACGGTATCCGTGAAACATCTTCTGTTGCTAGGTTTTCCTTTTGCTTCTCTACTCGATTTTTTGGAAACATGGCTAGCTTAACCATAGCTCTCCAGAATCGCACCTCATCAGACACCGTCTATGCCTACATCACTGGCCTTGCAATTGACAACGCCAACTCCGTCTTTCTGCTCCAAGCCGATGCCAGGACTCCTTACTTCCCAGCAACGCCATCGGCCCCGGGCGCCTCTCTCGCTACCGACTGCTCGATTGCCCTTGGTGCACCGGGTAACATTGTCAATGCAACGATACCCCACATCGCCGGCGGAAGGATCTGGTTTTCGGTGGGGCAACCCTTGACTTTTCTGTTGAACCCAGGCCCCGGTCTTGTCGAACCTTCTGTGACCAATCCGTCAGACCCCAATATCAATATCCCTTGGTCGTTTGCCGAGTTCACCTTCAACAGCGCGCAAGTCTTCGCAAATATCTCCTATGTCGATTTCGTCTCCTTGCCTATCGCCATTTCCCTTTCAAGCACTGCCAGCTCGAACATTCAAGTCGTACCAGGGCTCCCGTCAAACGGCCTTGACCTTGTGTGCTCTGGTCTCTCAGCTCAGCAAGCAGTAGACAACGCCGGTTGGGACACACTTATTGTCAAAGATTCATCTGGCAGCAATCTTCGTGCTTTGAGCCCCAACAATGGTATCGTTACAAATCCTAACCTTTTTAGCAATTACTACAACTTTTACGTCGACGCTGTCTTCGCCCGCTACGCTTCTCAAACTCTGAGCATAGACACTCAAGCGCAATGGAGTACTGTCTCCTCCAATGCTTCTTCTGGCTCTGAGGTTCTGGATTTCGGCGTGGATACTTCTACTTCCCCTCCTACTCCGCTAACATTCAGCAAGCCGTCAGCAAAAGATATTTTCTCCTGCAGCACAGGCTCATTCACTCCCAGCCCCTCCACAGAAAAGGGCGCACTGATCGCGCGATTAGCTGCGGCGTTTAATCGTTCTACGCTTCTGAAGGAGAATTTGACGCCGAGCCAGCAGTCGGAAGCCTTTTACAAAGAAAGTGTGACGAATCATTATGCGAGAATTGTGCATGCAGCGAATCTTGACGGCAGAGGTTATGCTTTTCCTTTTGACGACGTGATTCCGACGGGGGCTGGAGATGTCAGTGGCGCTGTAATGGATGGAAGTCCGAGGTTATTGACTGTCGCTGTTGGGGGAGGAGGTGGGATTGGAAATATGAGCGTCCAGGAGCGAGAGTAGGGCACAACAGCCATGAAGGACCTGTCATACCGGATTTGTGGAGCTCTCAGAGACAGATCTGCTTTGTAGCTTCAACAGCGTGGGAAGGCTTTTAAAAAGTTTCTCATTTTTGGGTAAATCGGTAGAAGAGCACGATGGGTGTGTCATCTACTTCCAATTTTAGAGGACTATTCATCTTACCTTTTTATCTCTTCGTATTTCCTATTTTCATTCTTGACAGATCAGGGAGGACTATCCAAGCATGAAGGTCGAGATCACATATCTAGACTTGAATGTCAAGGTTGCCCTTAGGAGTGAGATCGAGAGCTACTCTCCGGTAGCGTGTTTCTCAGGGGATGGTGTCTCAATTTTTAAGACTTTCCTTAACTATAAGTCTGCGCATGTCATAGTGAGCCCGGAATACTGCCAATAACCATGCAAGCGCATGTCTACCAAGCGCTTCGACGTAAAGCGCAAGACCTATGACAGTCGCGATTAGAGTAATTTAAATCGTACCATGTCAGCTACGCTGCTCACCTCTTTCCAAATATCATCCTGAAGAAGTAGCCGATCACGATAGCGTAGCACTCAAAACAAGCAGCATAACTATGTATTCACTCAGCCCATGTGTATTTCTGCTTATACTTCTACTCAGTACATATTTTGATATACTTGTGGCGTTCCCCGAGACGAATCGCCCCGTAGGCTCTCTTTCTAGCCCGTCTCTGGATCTACCAACAAATGGAAGCGCAGGTCCGGCCAATCCATCGTCACATGTTGTATGCTTCCAACGCGGGGACCCTAAGGCCAACGAAGTCGTACCGGAGTTTTGCTCGCTTGCCATAGATGACATAGCCAAGAGGGACGGCTTTGATGAGTTCAGTAAGACCCAGACATGGTTCTTCGGTCCACCTCGACAGCCTCGAGGAGTGCACGTTACTCCTGACCGATGGGTCGCCGGAGACGGTTCAGGAGGTCTATGCCAAGTAGCAGTGGCAAACTCAGGAGGGCCGCATTATGACCAATTTCGGCTCGTTGACATAGCTGCTAAGGCGAAACAAATTTTCGACACGTGTGTCATTCAGCAAAAGGATACACTAGGGGGTAGCAGTTCAATCGGCACCGGAAAGGGATTTTTTGTGGTTCTGACGGGCAAAACCTGGACACCGTCAGGTCAACTTGCGGACGTCACCCTCGTCGATGCTGCCGAGTCGGCTATTAACGAAACGAACATTGAGTGACAAATGAAAGGTGCTATCTTCATACTAGAAGTAATCAATGTAAGACACTGGAGACAGTACACTTCTGATTTAGGCAAGAAAAGCAGGTGACTCCGTTATCATTCCATCGTGGAAAGCATGACCCTACCTGTCCGCAACATGGTCATTCGCGACACCGAACATTGAATTTCAAAAGTTGGGAAGTCTTGACCACGCCTGAAAGTCACTTCTTACCACGACTCGTCTCCACAAGCCATATCTTCAAGCGAAGACTCCGATAGCATTCCTTACAATGCACGGACAACGTGGAATCATTGTTATCCTCCGAGAGCCGAGCCATTGACCAAGAAAAGCATCTTCTTTTCATTTGCATCAGGTCTGACGCACCTCACGGAAAGGGACAAGGTGTTGAGCTTCTAGGGGTTCACTGCTACGGTGTGGGACATCGCAAGCTATTTCGTTGGGCAAGATAGATTCGCGGACGTGGATGGAAATGCACTTGGGAAGGCTGATGTGGCGAAGCGGAATCCAATGGCGCCGAACGCATTACTCCGAGTGTTCTCTCTGGGGTAAGCTTGAGAAATCATCCAAAACCACCTTGAGTAGCAGCAGTTGAATTCAATAATGGCATGTTCGGTAAACGCTTGGCAGGAAATGAATAAATCAAAAGAAGGGCAATCCTTGCCGAATTGCCAAGCATTGGGATCCTTTAATCAATCTTCTCCAATCATCTTTCCACAGGTTATCCATGTCACCACGTACGAGACGAAACCATTCAAGCCACTGACATTACTATTGCTTACCGTTGACCGTTGACCGCCCTTGAATCTACACTAGCTGCTAGCTAGCTGTGTGGGCGCGGTCCCTTTTAAAATGAAGCCTTGCCATTATTGCGGTCATCGCGTCAAACGCACTTGCCTTGTCTCTTGCTTTGCCCAAACCTTTATTGATTATGGCTCCCTTTCATCTACGTGAAAGGCTATTGTGAAAGGCTATTGTGAAGGATGTGCATGTCGCATTCCCTCCATTCTTAATATTTACATTATCCTGCGAACCAGCATACAGCTCCAATGGCGAACACCAATGCCACAATATTTCTATTCCTCCATCTTCTCATCCTTCGAATCACCGCTCAGAACGTTGCGACTACCATCACTCATACAGGTACACCTGTGACAATTACCACCAGCCCTTCATCAACGCCTCCGTCATCCCAATATACCGACCGCAGCGCTCTACAATCTGCCGTTTTAAACAGTACCAACACATACAGAAGGCAGCACAACGCGTCTTCCATTGCATGGAACGACACCCTAGCATCTTACGCTTCCGACCATGTCAAGGCTTGCAAATTCGCCCATACCGGCGGACCATACGGCGAGAATCTGGCGGAAGGTTATGAGAATATGACAGCTGCTATCGACGGCTGGGGCGAAGAACGTAGCAAATACAACTTTGATAAAGGTGACTTTGGCGAAGCAACTGGTCATTTCACACAATTAGTATGGAAGAACACGAGCAGCACGGGATGCGGAGTGCAGAATTGCAAAGATAGCGGTTGGCTTGTTTTCTGTGAATATTGGCCGCAAGGCAACATATTGGGAGACTTCAAAGAGAACGTTCAGAAGCAGGTCAATTCTGATCAAGCTACGGGAGGAGCTCCGCCATCATCGCCGAAGCAGAACTATGGATTGCCAAAGGGATACAATTCGGCTACAGCTATTCGATTGACAGGGTTCGTTCTATCCTTCTGAGCGTCTTTGTGGAAATTTGTTTGCTGACTTATACTCATAGGAGTATATGGGTCCTGACGTTCGGGCTAGTGACTGGCATCACCTTCTCATGACCATTTAATTTGACGCCATCTTCCCTTTGGCTCAATCCCCAATAATCTTGTTCTTTTGACAAGGCGACGTTTCCTTTCTCATACAATTAATGGCCTGAAGCTTTGTAGTCCTCCTGTTTTTCATGATTAATTCGAGATACCCTCGCAAACACCTAGCGTTGCTTTCATCGTTCACAGCGTCTCCTGAGTCCTGAATAACAGGCACTAGAACCTGATTGGTTCATTTGAGTGCGGAATCGGAGCGCTTCTTGGCGAATATTTTCCATCGCGCTCAGCAGGCAGCCCGCGATGTCAATGCAGTGAGATGCTTGCGAGCTTTGACTACCCTACCGCTGACCTTGAACATGGTACGCCTAGCGACGACATACTTGCAAATAATAGCTGACGTTAATCCAGGCGTCCTTCAATCCGACTCAGATCTTTGGAGACGAGGTGACAGAAGAAAAAGGCGAAAATGCGCGTCTCAGTGCTTTTGTGGGTGCTATTGCGGTGGGGGACTTAGTCAAGAGTACCCTCGGTCCAAAGGGTATGGATAAAATACTACAATCTGCATCTACCGGAGAAATACTTGTCACAAATGATGGTGCGACTATTCTGAAATCCATAGCCTTGGACAACGCAGCTGCAAAAGTCCTGGTCAACATTTCAAAGGTACAAGATGATGAGGTCGGAGATGGAACGACTTCAGTCACTGTTCTAGCGGCAGAGCTGCTGAGAGAAGCAGAGAAGCTCGTCGAAAAGAAGATGCATCCACAAACTATAATAGAGGGCTACCGAATCGCTAACAACGTTGCCCTAAAAGCTCTGGCAAAAATCGCGGTTGATCACAGCAACGATAAAGCCGCCTTCCGAAAAGACCTGACCGCGATCGCGAGAACAACGTTGAGCTCAAAAGTCCTAAGTCAAGACCGAGGTCACTTTGCAGAGCTAGCATGTGATGCTGTTCTACGTTTAAAGGGATCCACCGACCTAAGCCACATACAGATCATCAAGAAGTCAGGAGGAAAGCTCAGCGACTCATATTTAGACGAAGGGTTTATACTTGACAAGTCGATAGGCGTGAATCAACCGAAAAAGATTAGAAAACGCAAAAATACTCGTCGCAAACACAGCCATGGACACAGACAAAATCAAGATCTTTGGGGCGCGAGTGAAGGTAGATGCAACAAGCAAATTAGGTGAACTGGAGCGAGCAGAGCGGGACAAGATGAAGGCCAAAGTCGAGAAAATCAAGAGTCATGGTATCAATTGCTTCGTCAACCGACAACTCATCTACAACTGGCCCGAACAACTGTTTTCCGATGCTGGCATCGTCTCCATAGAACATGCCGATTTCGATGGCGTTGAGCGCCTAGCCTTGGTCACAGGAGGAGAGATCGCATCGACGTTCGACCATCCGGAAACGGTCAAACTTGGGCACTGTGACCTGATAGAAGAAGTGATCATTGGTGAAGATACTTTAATAAAATTTTCTGGGGTGGCCGCTGGACAGGCATGTACGATAGTTCTTCGAGGAGCGACAGAGCAATTGCTTGACGAAGCAGAGCGATCACTACATGATGCGTTGGCAGTGCTATCACAGACCGTTCGGGAACCCAAGATTACGTTGGGCGGAGGCTGTGCGGAGATGCTGATGGCGAAAGCGGTGGAGCAGGAAGCGCCGAACGTGGCTGGCAAGAAAGCGATCGCGGTGGAATCATTTGCAAAGGCACTGCAACAGCTACCCACCATCCTAGCAGACAATGCCGGATTTGATTCCAGCGATTTAATCGCACGGCTTAAGAAGGAGATCTACGACGGTAAAACAACGTCTGGGCTGGACCTCATGACGCCCGGAGGTGGCATTACTGACATGAGGGAAAAGGGCGTTGTTGAAGCGTATAAGCTCAAGCGTGCGGTGGTGAGCTCGGCGGGCGAGGCGGCGCAGCTATTGTTGAGAGTTGATAACATCATTAGAAGTGCGCCGCGGAAGAGGGAACGGATGTGATAGAGGTGCTTATGCGTTTACGAATAGAGCAGTAACACTGTTCAGGCGTATGATTCCAAACATTATTGACGCCATCCTTCCGAACTCCTCCCGACGTTACCGCCACTGTGCCAGAAAGATCACAACGACAACCAATTGCAATAATTGCAACGACCGGGTCTGCGTTGTTTCTGGTTTGAGGCTGAGCGGCACGGTCAAGTCACAGTTGTAGAGCGAGAAGCTGGGGCATGCCGTATACTCATGGTCTGTGGAACTCGTACTGTGATGAGAAGCCGGCTATTACAAGTCTGCCGTCTCTTCTCTCCAGCCTTTCCCTCTCGAACATGTTACAGATGTTGTATGTACGTAGTCAGACAGCTTCTGATTGGCCTGGCTATGATGCAACTAAGGCGAAACAATGGCTGTAAAGCGTTAGTCGTCTCGAATGCGACGGAATCCTTTGGGTCCATTTCTCCCTTGCTGTGCGCCTTTCCGTCTGACAGCGCCAGCCATCTATAAGCCTACCTTCTTCTCGTTTGCTTTCTTTCCCACATTGTTTCTCTCAAATCTCAAAGCATTCCAATGTAGCCCTGTTCCTTATGCGACCCTTTGCTGCATATATATCAATTGCTTACGGCCATCTCATGCAAAACTCATTACCTCGTGTTTGCCTGACGAGGCATTAGATGCAGAGCAGTTCCCGAAATCATGCGGCGGCCAGCAGGAGTCAAAGGAGCTGCTTTGTTGACAGCTTCTCTACTCCTGGTGCCCTACATCGCAGCATTACAACCTCACGAACAAATTTATCACCGAGAATCCCCTCATGAGAATGGTCCTGCAGACGATCAATCTACAGAAGCCGGCTTTTCCCCCGGCCTTCGAAATGGACAACGAATGGATACGACACAGTACAGAAATGGAAAGGATACAAACATAATTGATTTAGGAAACAAAGCGAGCGCTGTCGCAACCAATCCTGTAGCTCTGGCCGGCCATGATAGCCGTGCCGTACGAGCTGTTCAGCCTGCACAACGAGGCTCTGGCAAACATGCCGGGCTTTCTACGCCGCTTCAAGCGCGCTCGTTGCAGGACTGGGAAGTGGAGGATTTCGTGCTTCTGGCGACCGTGGATGGGTCAATACACGCAAGAGATAGGAAGACGGGCAATCCGAAGTGGGAATTGGAGGTGGACAAGCCCATGGTGGAAACGACCTACCATACTCAAAACAAATCCCAGCTCGATGGATCTCGTCCGGAGTATGATTTTCTCTGGATAGTGGAGCCAAGCCGAGATGGAGAGATCTATATTTACAATCAAGGAGGATTGGGAGGGCTGCAGAAGTTGCATATGACGGTGAAACAGCTGGTGGCTGACATGTCTCCATATGAGAGCATGGACCCTGCCGTGGTCTACAATGGAGAAAAGAGGACGAAGCTCTACACCGTCGACGCCGAAACCGGCACGATCAGCAAAGTTTTCGGTTCTGGGGGGACCTTAAGCAAAGAGCCGAGATGTCCCAGGCCTGGCGGCCTTGATCTGTTGGACGACGAAGAGTGTGGCTCAGGGGGGTCTTTCGTTCTCGGAAGGACAGAATACATCATTACAATTCAGAACCGTGACACAACGGAACCATTATGTACTCTCAAATACTCTGAGTGGGGCCCCAACGCTCGAGATGGAGATTTACATAGTCAATATGCGGAGACCAAGGACAATCGCTATATCTATACATTACATGACGGGAGCATTTTCGGTTGGAATCATGGGGATGTAGGTAAATGGCGGCAATCGTACACTCAAAAGCTATCGTCTCCAGTCGTTAGGGTTTTTGATGTGGCTCGGCCTCTGCAAACGGACGATCGAGATCCTCAGCTTATCGTCCTTCCTCAGCCGATTGGACCATTAGATCAAGAACCTGCCTATAGCTCGATTGACGTCAAGAATCGTATATTTGTCAACCGGACTTCAGCTGGTGGCTGGTTTGCGATGTCAGAGAACACTTATCCCCTCGTCACGGGGAGAGCGAAAGAGGCTCTTTGTTACGACAAAGACTGGCTCGAGTGGACATCTTCCACACATTGTAGCTTGGACAAGCGGCAAGAGGGTTTCATTGGTGTTCATGCATTGTCCGAGCTCGAGCCACGTAGAGGCAGTCCCTTGACTATCTCAGGCCACGGACTCAATCAGCAAAATGAAGAGACTTTGCCTGAACCATACGCCGAGATCTCGCGCATCCCGACTACGCCCGCCCTTGATCGAAGTTGGATCCTGAGTGGAGCTAGAGACAACCCATATGATACACTGATCATCCTCGCTGTCATTTTACTCTCATATCTGCTTTGGAATCGGCCACGACTGCTCAAAGCTTTCAATAGCAACATCAAATTCCGCAATCCGCTTATTATTGCGGACCCTGGTACACTCTCCGTCCCTTCATCGCCAACCGTTACACAGTCCACATGGAGCCAAGAGCCAGAGACAATCGATGAAGCTAGGCAGAATGTGGCCGAGGAGAATGGTAAGACTATCCAAAGATCTAAGTCGCGCACCTCAACTTTGGTTGATCTACCGCCTGAGGTAAAACGCGCTCGGAGCATTTCATTGAATGACCGCGTTCGTGCAGAAGGTGAGAAAGGCGTCAGATTTGAGGTTTCTCCACCTGCCTTTGTAGATGGAGAGCAGTTTGACCCATCACAATCTCCTCAATTGGGCAAGAAGAAGGCCCGACGCGGTGCCCGAGGAGGTGTGAAGCATAAGAAGAAGCGAGCAGACAGCCAGAACGGTTCCAAAGATGGAGTGGACGAGACTGTTAAAGAAATTATGCAGCTACCAGAGGAAAACAAAATCCAGCCCGACCAGCCTCGGGTTGTCGCTCCTACTGTAGCAGACATGATAGACCCCGATGGCACGTTACGAATCGGCCATCTTACTGTAAAGACAGACACCGTTCTGGGCTACGGTGGGCATGGTACGATGGTGTATAAGGGTACCTTTGGCGGGAGGGATGTTGCTGTGAAGCGTATGCTTCGTGAATTCTACGAAATCGCCTCTCACGAGGTCGGACTACTTCAGGAAAGCGATGATCATCCAAATGTGGTGCGCTACTACGATAAAGAAGAGGACAGTCAATTCTTCTATATTGCATTGGAGCTCTGCCCGGCGTCGTTACAAGACATAGTAGAGCGACCTCAGGATTTCTTGGAGCTCATGAAGTCATCGCCAGATCAACCGGACATGTTGAGACAGATCACGGCCGGCCTCCACTATCTACATTCACTCAAGATTGTGCATAGGGACATCAAGCCGCAGAACATACTGATTTCTGCACCTAAGGCCAACCCACTGCTGCCTTCAGCGACCCCGAAAGCGCGCCTTTTGATATCCGACTTTGGGCTTTGCAAGAAGCTAGAAGCCGATCAAAACTCATTTCGCGCCACCACAGCCCACGCAGCGGGCACTTCTGGGTGGCGTGCACCAGAGCTTCTCGTTGACGACGATCCGAGCCTTCAAAAAGTCAGCTCCACTACGACGGATACCAACAACTCGGAGACTCTGGTGATTGACAGCCAAACCAGAAGGAGTGCGACGCGGGCTATCGATATATTCTCCCTTGGATGTATTTTTTATTATTGCCTGACGAATGGCCAACACCCTTTCGACAAGCAGGACAAATTCATGCGCGAAGCCAACATTGTCAAGGGTACGTACAACATTGATGCTCTCGGCTGCTTAGGGGACTACCAATGGGAGGCACGGGACTTGATCGAAAGCATGCTGCGACACAACCCTAAGCAACGGCCGGATTCGGGTTCTATCCTGCGGCATCCCTTCTTCTGGTCTCCTGAAGAGCGGCTCCAATTTCTTTGCGACGTGTCGGACAGTTTTGAACACGAGAAATATCAGCTCGATCTCTACATCAAAGATCATGCAGGCACTGACGCGTTCAGTCAACACATCGATTATCTCGAGTCCTGTGCCGATCAAGTCATTGAGGGCGACTTCCAGCGGGCACTCCCGCACGAATTCAAAGAGTCATTGGGCAAGCAGCGCAAATACAAGGGTGGCAGCCTGCTCGACCTGCTACGAGCATTACGGAACAAGCGGAACCATTATGAAGATATGAGCGAGAATTTGAAGCGTCAGATTGGTGGACCTACGGAAGGATATCTCAGCTTTTGGACACGGCGATTTCCCAATCTTCTTTTGACATGTTGGAGAATCATCGAAGACGTTGAATGGACGACGAAAGATAGGTACAAGAGGTATTATATTGGAAAGGATATGTGAATGAGTAGAGGTTCGGATGACAAGATACTTAGACAAGATATTGAGCCATATGATTGACTGAGTGTGAAACACTGTCCACCACGTGGTTATGGCTGAAAGTAGAATGTATTCCCGACCGTGGTTGCTGATAGTGGCGATCTCCTCTATCAAAGTCTGGGGGCATCAGCTGGAAGGCCATGAAACACCATGCATTACCCATCGGGGCGTAGTGCAGGCCAACATGATCGCCTACGGGCACACGATGTCAGATCTTATCTAATCGGCTGAGGCATGTAACCGTGTAGCTGAAGCTTTGCATCCATTTCATTCGCCGGTACCACCTGCGACGCCCTGCGGCAGTGGCAGTGGCAGTGGCAGTGGCTGCCCATTCTCCATGGCCCTCTACACAATACAGGCCCCACTGAGCCATTGTCATCCAGTATCTCGGACCAAACCTGTGACCTGATCGTTCCTTCACTTCCCCCAGACCCCTCTTTCGCCTGCTCATGCGCCTGCCCGCTCTCGAGACCTTAATATCCCCATGGCTAGGCAAGCCACTGGGCACAAATACTCCGCTGACACCCTCTACCTGTACGACTGCAATTGCTTCCCTTCAGTCCTAGCCAAGATTGTGTACCTGCAATCTTGGCCCATTCCCTCTCGATCCGACAGCGCTGACCAAGCTTCAGCAAGGGCCGCTTTCCTGTATAGTCAACCCCAAAGCGGGACAACATCACTGGCTCAGCTCCATCCGCAACTGATGCTCACCCCTACCAAGCGGCTCAATTTTGCGGGAGAAGAATCGTGCAGACCAAATTGAATTTCATACACGATGCCTCGGCCAAGGAAGGCAGGGGCCGGCGAGCCGAAGACTAGGAGTCGTCACGGATGCACGTATGTGTCGATTGTACCACCTCTCCGTCTCGACGCTTTCTAACATCACCCAGGCAGTGTAAAGCCCGGAAGATCAAGTGTGGCGAACAGAAGCCTGCCTGTATCAATTGCGAGAAGACCGGGCAGACATGTGACTACAGTATCAAACTCAATTGGGATGGCCGCTCCAAAAAAGGAGGAAATCAGAACCACTTGACGGCAGATACCCTGTCTGGGACGATCCAGGCGGGGGAGCAAGTGTTGAGTTTCAACACGGGCAATGACAATGCTACGGAGCGTAAGACGCTCAAGAGACCCTCCTTAGACGCGCACCACAGCCATAGTTACAGGAACGGACTGCCCTCCACCTCCACGACCTTCTCGGGGCCTACACTTTCTCGTACAGCCAGGACCTCATCCTCCGCTTCAGTCTCACCTTTCGCTAGGCTCAAAGAAGACGAATCTCCCTATCCCTCACCAGCGGATTCAAGTCTGGACGAGTCGTCTCTATCAACCCTGAAACGGACGTCCACGACTGCCTTCCACACTCCATTCTCCAACATCGACATGCCTCCGCCCAGACAGACCTCTCCTCGTCAGATCAACGTGGGAATCAATCATAACGATCGTAGCTTCAAGCGCGCAAGGCTAGACCGACCAGCCAAATCACCAGATTACGTGCCAGGTCACTACAACTTCAGCATCTACCAGACCAATACCAATGGCACATCCCGAGCGAGCACGTCCACCGCTCAAATGTCTCCGTTGAATGGTACCAGAATACCACCGAGCCCTGTGACTTCCTCCATCGCATCCGACGAGAGTCAGAATTCTCGGACCCGGCAAGCCACTACTAGCCATCCCGATCGCCGTATGTCAATCGAATCGTTAATTTCAGGCGAATCTGGCAAAGAGGGCCACCACAGATCTGACAGCAACTCGAGTACACCAAAGCACTATTATGGGCTGGATCCGGGGTATCCAGATTTTGATTTGGGGTCCAACAATGACGCCCAAGCTCTCAATGACATAACACCCTCTATCAACGCCAGGCCACTCTTTTCACCGAGAAACAGTGGATCAAATCGAGCACCTTCAGATCTGAATCAAGAAAATTCAAAGGCATTCTACCGATCTCCTATTTCAGTGAGAATACCCGAGGATTTTGAACAACTGCCACCAATTCTGAGAAAACATCCTATGAATCTTCTCTATTTTCATCATTTCATCAACTACACAGCTCGAATTCTTGTCCCGCACGACTGTTCGGGTAACCCTTTTAGAAAGATACTACCAAGGAGTAGGCATTGAACCCTTCTAACCGCTTTTGTAATTGCTGATCATTCTTCAGTGGCCCTGAAAGACAACAATCTCCTTCGTCTGGTACTAGCCTACTCTGCGAGCCACCGTGCTCGCCTAATGGGCTACAATGAGCCGAGCAATCGAATAGCCGATTATGTAACAGGCATGTTCTCCACTCTCGCTAACGACCTGAAGAACCCCCATATGCAAATATCCAACACCACCTTCGCCACCGCAGTCATGCTCGCATCCCTTGAGATTGTCTCACCAAATCCATTTGGCCTGGAGCATCGAATCCCATGGACAAAGCATCTAGAAATGTCCCGCACGATTATCACTGCACGAGGCATTCGCCGAAAAACAGTCGACCGCGACGACGAGGAAACTTACTTCCTCACCCGCTGGTTCGCCTACCTTGACGTCCTAGGCAGCCTTTCCGGCATGAACAAACCTCTTCCCCTTTACAAAGGCGACCTATGGGCCGATGACCCCAATCACCCGGACGAGTGTCACCGCATTGATTGTTTCTACGGTGTCTCCACCTGCTGCGTAGGTCTGCTAGCTTCTATCGCAGAGTTGGCAAAAATCTGTGACGATGAGCGGGCTCGTCACTTCGCGCTCTATCCCAACGAACAGAACGATTGGGCTCCAGCGTCTCACAGCGTGGAGGCCGCTAACCGACTCCGTGACGCGTTGAAGGAGAGCTTGTGCCAGCCGTTCCAGGGCTGCCACCATGCTTCCCGCCCAGACAGCTCCCCACGCCCCCGCCAGGAGGACTTCGCCCTCGAGGTCACTACCGCGAATGACATGTATCACTGGGCGGGCATCATATACCTCCAACGGCGCGTCCTCCGCCGTCCCACCAAGGACGAGACAATCCAGTCGTATATTGATGTCATCGTCGCCGCGCTGAGCAAAATCAGTCATAACGGGACGGCCGAGGCGTGTCTGCTGTTTCCCATCTTCGTCGCGGGCTGTGAGGCGATCTTGCCAAGTCATAGGGAGAGACTAGGGGAGCGGATGAAGAATATCGAAAACACTGGCCTCACGCAGGCGAGGGATGCGAGAGAGGTTATGGAGAGAGTGTGGAAAGGGGAGGGAGGGGGACGTTGGGAGGAGTTGGTTGATGGGGAGTTCATTGGGTGAGGAGTGAGTGCAAATGGTGTTTTTGACTACAAAATCTTGAAGCGCATGCATTGCGACGGCGATAAGGGGAGGGGGGATGCTTCTGATGAACATGCGACGAATGCGACGAATGCATGATATGCCTAATCTGGAGTTTGCGATTTTCAGCACAGTCGCCGGTTCTCCATCAAGGAGGAAAAACAATTCTTGGTTCTTATTGCTCAAGCAATCAGACAAACAGTCAATTACGCCAACCTTCTATCTAATATTCGGTCACTTTGAATAACTAACATCGACCACAGCAGAATTCCTTGGACAACAACACAAATATTTCAGACGCACTGCAGCACCGGGACCGCGAAGAAGGAACGAAGTCTATAGATGGATTGTGGGATTTGACGTATCTTGCATGCATGCATGTCTTACTATGATGGATCATTCTTCTTGTTGGTATTGATAGCACTGATTTTATAGCTAGCTAGCTTGCTGTTTTGCTTGTGTGCATATCTATCGATTGATCGAAGTGTCAGAAAAGGGGTTGGGCTGCTCGGAAGGTATCAGACAGATGTGATATATTCGATGGACGATGCATGTGGACGGTGCGGTAGAGGGTTTGGTTGTGGTGATATAGGATTTGCTAGATATGCAGATTTGAGCTTCAAGACCGAGACTTGTCCAAGTCAGTCGTTTTGAGGATTTTTGCTACTCGGCGTGAATGCTATCCACCCTCCGGTATCCTCTCTATTTCTGTGTGCACTTATTCGTGTAGGATATTTTTCTTAGATCAATAAGTCTTGTCAGACCCAATAGAAAGCGGTGCTGGCTTTCAAGTGGCAGGAAAATTGACCAAGGCCAACAACCCTCAGTCGATACTGCTCCAGAATGACCAGTCAATGTCCTGAAAGTCAAGATCAGATGTGCCTTCTACGTCTTGCTCTGTGAAAGTTGTTTCAGCGGTTATATCCTCCGTCGTTCCTCCAATGGCTCCCTCCTGCGCTGCGTTTGCACTAGGTCCACGCACAAATCTGGCGCGGTGTTCTGCAAGCTCAACTTCTAGCTGGGTCACGAAATGGGGTTTGGGGGGCAATGATCGGTGTCCGTTTTTGTTTGGCGAGTTTTCCAAGCAGCAGTGACGAGTTCTGCCGCGTGAGAGATTCGTCGATCCTCCGAGAGCTCTGAAAGTGTTGAGTTGGCCGCATAAAGTTCAGAGAGCAAGTCCCAGATTTGCTGCGTTCTCGATGTGTCGTTCTGCTTCGATGCTTCGACAAGGACACATATGACTGGATTTGTAAGTTTCAGGGAATCTAAAGATGGTTGATCACTTACATGCATGCCAGGAGGAACGCTTTAACCAACCACCTGAAGCATGTCAGAGTCGGGTGGGTGTTCATTGCAACGTTGTATTGCAGAGACTGTATGCAGGTATCCGAGAGTGCGCCACGAACTTCTTTGCTGGCACCACCCGCACGCGCCAACGGATGTAAAGTCCGCTGACGCATCCCACAAATGAGGATCCTTGCGGAGAGCTGGAGCAAAGTGTCGAGAGGTTTGAGAGGATCACAGTATTGGAGTAATCGTGTGTTCAGACCTTCCTCGAGCTTAGGGATCAAAGAATCTTTCGACTCGTGTGGCAATGATTCGTTCGACTGCCACGAGAGTTCAAAGTGGCTTTTGTCGGAGTGGAAGAAATGACGTTGTTGATCGAGGACCCAGTAGGCGTAGAGGCAGTATGACATGCTTGTCAACCCCTTTTTCTCGTAGCATTGGTATGTCTGCTTGAGGCCAATGGGCAATAGCCATGGTATTGATGGCCCCCTAGGATCGAACTATTATTGGTACCGCGATCCCCACCATCTCCAGTGACTTCAACAGCTTCGGAGACGTTGCATGGTACGAGGCAGGCTTTCTCCTTCCATTGTGCATGCTCCAATTGTCTTTCGGGCGTGTGTACAAATATTACTCCGTCAAAATGGTGCTCATAGCTCTTGTCGCCACGTTCGAGATCGGGTCCATCGTCTGTGCTGCAGCTCCAACATCCAATGCTCTGATTGTTGGACGGGTCATTCAAGGCATAGGTGGAGCAGGAATCTCATCTGGAGCATTTATGTTGATCAACGTTCTCATCCCTCTGCAGTCTCACCCCAAATATGCTGGAGCTTTGGGCTCGGTCTTCGGAATAGCCTCAGTCATTGGTCCAATCGCTGGCGGATACTTGACTGCAATCACATGGCGGTGGTGTTTCTGGATAAATCTTCCCGTCGGTGCCATCTCGCTGGTTCTTGTTGTGCTTTTGACTCCCAAAAGTCCCGCGCCGGTGAAGCCGGCAGATACTCGCTGGGGAAAAGTCGATCAGTTGGATCCTCTAGGTTTCATTCTTATGGGTCCGTCTATCGTCTGTCTGCTTTTTACCACTGAATGGGGTGGCACAAGATATCCCTGGAATGACGCACGCATCATAGTACTATTTGTGGTTTTTGTTATCCTGGGTCTCGCTTTTCTAGCAGCTCAGGTTTGGCGGAAAGAAAAGGCAACAGTGCCGCCGCAGATCTTCTTCCAGCGGAGTATTTTTATGGGATCTATAGCAATTGTGGGCATCGGATCTGGACTTGTGATCTTTCCATGTTATTTACCGATTTGGTTTCAAGTCATTCAGAGCAAGTCGCCGCAAAACTCGGGGCTGTCTCTGATACCACTGCTCCTCAGCGTTGTCGTCGCAGTCATGGGCGGTGGTATTGCAACAAGCCTTCTTGGGTACTACACTCCGTTCATGATTGCGGGAAGCGCCATTCTTGTTGTTGGCTCTGCCTTGATCACCACGTGGAAAGCCGACATTGGAGCTGGCATTTGGATTATTACCAGGTATGTATTTTACCCAACGTGTCATTGTTAGCTATGCAGAAATGCAGCAGATCATCACAGGGTTTGGACTCGGTCTCGTTCTTCAACAGCCTTTCATCGCAGCCCAGACTGTCTTGTCGGATAGCGATATATCTGTGGGCTTAGCAGTATTGAATTTCTTTAGCTTTCTAGGAGGATCAGTCTTCATCACAGTGTCTCAGACAGTACTCGAGGAAAATTTGAACCAGGGCCTGGGGAAAATCATACCGGACCTGGACTCAAGCACTCTCGCCAACAGAGGCGCGACATCTCTCTCGAGCATGGTGAGCACTGACAAACTGTCTCAAGTTCTTGATATCTACAACCATTCGATGAGGTCAATCTGGTACTTGGCTTTGGCTCTCTCGAGCCTGATCTTTATGGCATCGTGGGTAATGGAATGGAAAAGTGTCAAGAAGGCACACAAAAGTGATGAAGCGCTGCCTTAGACGTGTGTTGATGTGTCATTGCTCTTCATGATCAAGTGTTTTGCTGGCTTGGATGGATCAGAGTCGATTGTCACTGAAACAACGGCTGCATATGACGCAACGGAGCGGAGGTCGAAGGTGCCGATACTGATCCGAAGCAGTTTCAAGCCTAATTTCGATCATGGCGCACCGAGGTCTCTCAGAAAACGACCAAAGTGGCTGTCGACGATTGACGACATGCTAGCACCACCATGGGAATCTCGCGATTCCGGCGAGGAATCCTCCAATGTATCCAAACGGTCAACTGGTAATAGTTGCTCTTATACAATATTGGTGGCTGTGTTTCTGCGTTACTGTTTATCGTTTTTGCTGATGCTTAATCTCTTTTGATATTCAAGCGTAGTATTTCTTGTGCTTGTCGACAGGAGGAGGGAATTTCAGCGTTGCCGGCATACCAACTCAGGTCATACTGGCGGATGTGCCTGACGATGCAATGTGCCTTACGACCTTTAGCTGCCAAATTCGCGCTGTGTGGAGCTGTCAGGGCAAGATCTGGGGGTTCCGTAACGTAATGGACCTTATTCCTGTGTTTGCTTCCAAAATGCAACTGAATTCAATTTTGAGGGGTTTTTCAAGCCGCGTGAAAGCATGACCAACACCAAAAGTCTTCGAAGTTTAGCCCATGTGCTCGATCGAACGATGATAGAAAGGATATCCATGTCTGCACGAGCTTGATCTTTGCAGGAAGACCGATCTCAATTCGTATCGAAGATCAAGGCCGATACAAGCTCACTGTGGAGAAGACAGAATAGATGTGTCTTAGATGACTGGCCAGGAAGAGCCCCTTTCTGAGGGCATCCTTTGTTGGACCGCATCTAAGACTGATCTAGAACACGTGCAGAATTCACAATTCAATTCGATCAGAATGTAGTGTCGAAATCGGGATTCTAGAGAAGCTGACATGAAAGCTATCCAGACGCCGCCAATAGGCGTGGGATAGAATTTCTGCACGGCCTAGTCACTACTTTCGTGCATCTATGAATGGCCTATCTCGGTCAAGCGAGTGATACAGGAGAAGGTCTCATGAAAGAGCAACCACTAATGTTAGACACCGAGTCGTTAGAAATACAGATTCTGAGTGCAGCTAGAAACTTGCGAGCTGCAGCAAGATCAGACCCATGCTCGGCCAAAAGATGCGAGTTGCAGCAATACCAGACCCGCGGGCATGAACTGAACACGAGTCGACGGAAGAATGATCGGAGCAGGTGGCCAACGTGAATACTTACGACCAGCTGAGGAGAAACGATCGAGTCGGACCAATTAGTTCTGAATGTTGCATGAGTACGAGGTCCAAATCTTTGGACTTGGGCCTCAGTCAAAGCATCAATTGGCTCTAATGAGGCTCACTCGAATTTGGTATAGACACAGATAGGCCGTCTTGCCTCGATCTCATGCTGATTGTGGCTAGCTGGTCTTCATCGGGATCGGCGCGTATGAACGGACCAGATGAGGCTTGTTCAGAAGTTAGAGAAGGCTTATGTAAAGCTTCGATGCGGTGCTTGTCTCGTTTCATCATGCGAGTGAGGGTGTCTTCAAGAACTTGCCTGTCCCACTCGGCGTGTGGGTCGCTGGCGTCGAGAAGGCTGGCGGCAGCGTCAGTGGCCGCCGACTGGTTGATTTGGTAGATACTTGATCCTAAATCCTAAAAATGTTCTGTGTCTCAGATGCGATGTCATGATTTCTGGGACTGCAGGATGACGTTCAGCATCGCGACGCTAATGACCGGTGTGGGAGTCGTCTAGAATCGGTCGATGGACACGATTCGCATACGCCTTCGTGGAGACCCCACGCCATCATCCCCGGCCAGTGGGGCGGCTACCCCAACATAGGCCAACTGCAAGTCATATGCATGCGCTTGCCTGGCGCTTGGAGCGGGCATATCCTCAGGCGATGCGAGCTTGGTACTTTGCCGCTGCAGCTAAGGCTGAGACTACCCACTGTGTTGGTGACGAGGTAGACCGAGGCGCAAGTCAGTCTTGCTCTTGTATGTGTGGCACGCGACTGAATTGCTGCCAGTAGCCTCGTTTCGACATATACACGAGCCACGGATTCGCGCCGTTGACAATGAAACGATTGCGATAGTGTGAAACCCTGGAGTCGGAATCGCCCTGAATCTGTTTCCCCCACGATGTCTGGACCGATCCTGATATTATCCCATTCAAGCGATGTGCAGCCCAGGACGAGCTGGACACGCGATGTTCATGTATAAAGGTTCCCGTCTTTCTCTTCGTTATCCTCACTCCATAGCATCAATCTTCCCTCTCTTTGAACAACAGCCTCAGTGAGCCTTCGCTTCTCCAAAGCAAAGCAAGGCACCAACAGGTCCCTGAGGCCTTTCCTGTCGAGATTAACACACTTGTCCACTCATTCTGATAAGAACATCCACCACTCATTATCCGGCATGGAGTCCATCCCCGCCTCCAATGTCGTCCACAAACTTGAGAAGCGTGGCCTTCTCATAGCCATCAACTGCGTCGCCGCTCTATCCATCTTCTTCTTCGGTTATGATCAAGGTATGATGGGAGGTGTAAATACCTCTCCTGATTACTATGAAAAGACCATGAAGTTCGGCCATCCAGACACTGATGGTACGCCAATCATCGACAACACCCTGAAACAGGGAGGTATCGTGTCCATCTACTATCTTGGTACCCTCATGGGCTGCTTGGTCGGTGGATGGTTTGGTGATAGGTACGGCCGTATCAAGACAATTGGACTTGGAGCTGGCTGGGGTGTCGTTGGCGCCATCTTGCAAACCTCCGCACAGAACGCTACTTGGATGATCTTCGGTAAGATTGCTTCGGTATACGAGTCTTAGCAGCTGTACTAATTCAAACCAGCTCGACTGATTAACGGCTGGGGCACTGGCATGCTCAACGCTATCGTCCCTGTTTGGGCCACCGAGACAGCTGAACACACCTCCCGTGGTCAATTCGTCGCCATTGAGTTCACCCTCAATATTTTCGGTGTCGTCGTTGCCTACTGGATCGAATATGGCTGCAGCTTTTACAAGAAGGGCTTGACAGGCTTTACATGGCGCTTTCCCATTGGCTTCCAGATCGCCCCCCTGCTTTTGCTTTTCGCCATTTGCTGGTTCTTCCCCGAATCTCCTCGTTGGCTCGTCAAGGTTGGCCGCGAACGTGAAGGCCGCTACATCCTTGGCCGTCTCCGTGGTGAGACTGGCGAAGACCACGGCAAGGCTGAGGCCGAATTCCAGGACATCCGCAACGTTGCCGAACTTGAGCGAAAGACAGCCGGTCGTCAATCATATTTCTCCATGCTCTTCGGTATTGGATCAGGGAAGCTCCACACTGGTCGTCGTGTCCAGCTCGTCATCTGGCTCCAGATCATGCAAGAGTGGATTGGTATTGCAGGTGTCACCATCTTCGCTCCCACAATCTTCCGCACTGCTGGTATCGGCCACTCCGACGTCCAATGGATCTCAGGTCTTAATACCATTACATATACTGTAAGTCTTCCTGGTGAAGCATTGGGGATCAAGCAACAGCTGACAATTGCCTAGCTATCAACTCTCATTTGTGTTTTCACTCTCGACAGGATTGGCCGCCGCTGGACTCTGTACTGGGGCTCGATCATGCAAGGTATTGCCATGTTCATGGCCGGTGGCTTCGCACGACTTGGTCTCGACAAGACTGCTGCCGGTGAGATCGCCCAGGCCAAAGTCTACAGCTCAGTCGCAGTCGCCATGATCTTCCTTTTCACAGCTACTTTCGGTGCTACCTGGCTTACGGTACCTTGGCTATACCCGGCTGAGATCTTCCCATTGGAAGTTCGTGCCAAGGGTAACGCTTGGGGTGTCGTTGGCTGGTCACTCGGCAATGGATGGCTTACACTCATGCTGCCGATTGTCTTCAAGGCTTGTGGTGAAAAGACTTACTACATTTTCGGCATCGCCAATGTCATCACTTTGCCAATGGTCTATTGTTTCTACCCCGAATCCAACCAACGCACGCTTGAGGAGATGAATCTTGTCTTCGCATCTGACAATCCATTCGTGTGGGCTTGCGAGAAGAATTACAGAATCCTCAAGGAACAGAACCCCGAACTCGTCCAAGCTGCCGAGCGCGGCCACTCTGTTGTCGATCCAGAGACTGGTCTGCCCAAGCGCGCTTCAATGCGCCGTGGTACCGGCCGCAACATGAGCTTGGATGCCAACGCATTCCAGCACGATGACATCTCGATTGAGAAGCAATCATATACGCACAACGAGAAGTTTTAGGCTGAAGCGACCGACATTGATTCAATGGAGATAGGGGATGATCAAATTGCTACCCAGAATGATCAACAGAACGTTGAGAATTGATCTCTGCATGTACGGAGTTATTGGACTTGCTGGACTCATTGCTGTTTTCTAGCCGGTGGCGCTGGGGAGCCTGTTATATCCATCCATGTACATATTAGATAGAGCATAGACTGGCCCCGAGGAAAATCTGTATACAAATCATAAACATCATCTCTTGGTCTTTTCGTCTCCTGAAATTGCGTCATTGTTTTTGCAGCGAAGGAAATTTAGGTGCTGGAAATTTTGAGAGCCGACCTCCAACCGTATTGGCCTTCTTCATTCTCATAATACGAGTCGTCTTCCGCAAACCACATCAGGGTGATGTTCAAGGTATTGAAAGTATGAAGCATGTCATGCGTTTGTAACCAGCAAATGCCATGAGCATGTCACATCCGTAGGTCTTTCAGAACCAAGCTCCAAAGGAACAAGACGTTTTTACTGGATAGAAGTGGTCACCCCCAACTCGGATCAAACCCCAGATCGAATTTTTCAGCTCCTAAGGGGATCGTGGAAAGCATTCTGATAGATGCGTGATCAAGATGGAAAGGGGGCCAAGACTGTAGTCACTCTGGTAGCGAGTGGCAGCATGGGCTAGCCTGACAGGTTCTATCGACATAGACTCTTATTAGTTTGGGTATGGAGAGTCTAGCGTAGCATGTAGTAATGTTCAATCTGCCTTCTGAGACTGTTCTTAAATTGAAGAGTGCCTCGTCTGAAGACTGCAACTACAATAGTATAGGTCCTGTTTCCATTCCTTACCATTACTCGTACCCCCTTTTCAAGTTAAGGTTTCGACTAGAGCACGCCAAGCCTCTAGCTCCATTCGTTGGCCTAAGTCCGCGTTTTTGCAATATCACAAAATGTTCGCGACGTGCACTTGCAACTTTGCTGCCATAGCTCGAGTAAGAGTACCTGATTTTTGCGCGATGAATTGCTTTAAGCTCATCGCAGAATGAGCCGCACGTCACTTCGCGATGGGTAAAGTTCGACTGCAAATCAACATCTTGCCACTGCAGGATCAACACTCCGCTCAGTCGAAAAACGCAGCGCGTCAATCCGAGACCAGGCCATGGACGCAGCCCGAGAATTCAGAGAACACGTTAGCCCAACTAGTCGATCATATCGTGGAACGATATGGCAGGATCTATGTGGGCAGAGGGTGAGTCAATGAATCGTTGAAGCTCCCCGTAATCAGGCCTGGCTGACACTTCTGCCATCACCAGTCCCTTGAAAATCAAGGAGCTCCAAGACTCTTGGGGCAGCACCCTTGATTTGGCCGATAAAATCGGCGACGTGTTCGATGACAGAACTTCCAGTGGTGACATCTTCACATCAATCTGCAAAGTTCTCAGATATCCTTCAGATCCTGTAGAACTGCAAAATGCTCAACGCTTTGTTTCGCTTGCGCCTGAGTCCTCAGCCCGACCTCAAAAACGCCCTCCGCCCCCTCTGTTCAACGACGCAAATCGAGTGCTCCCGAGCGTAGAGACATTCGCAGGTATCGCCTTGGACGGCGACACAGGTCCCTCACACAAGAGGCAAAAGATTCATCACGAACATGCGCACGACCAAAGACGGTCGCAGCAGCCTGGCTCGCGAAATTCTTTGCTTCAAGTACTAGACTCGCAGCCCTCGCAAACACGTAGTAACTTCTCCTTTGGCCGTTGAAACTCCATTGCTAACACCTCTCCTAGACGCGAATGCATATGGAACACCGACGTCTCCTTCCAACCGGCGACATCAGCCTGTGCAACAAGACGACAACCATACTGTCCCTGACTCCCCAGTCATTGGGAACAGTAGCGTGCGCAACGAGGATCGAGAGACAAAGTCAGAATCACCGGTACTTAGGCTCTCGGTGCATGATATTCCTCCTCATGTGGACTTACAATCTCAACAGGAGTCTCAGCCTCCGGATGCCTCTTCTCGACATGCCAGCCTTCCACATACAGAACACGATGACGCCAACGATCGGGTTCCTAAGCCTATAGCACCAGATGTGTCCCCCGATCCTGACCATGCAGTGAATAGAGGAGGCTCAGATCAGTCTCAAATGCAGCCATTGCAATACCCTGAAGCGCAATCGGGTGAAAAGCTCGTTTCGCCTCAGGCTGTAATGCCTAATGGCCAGAAACCGACTAGCAGCAAAGATCGCGAACAGGAAGTGTACGATCCGATTGAATCAGACTCGGACGGTTTCGATAGGCGACAGCAATTATTTAGTGCAAAACAGCATAGGATTTCTAAAACACCTTCCCGAATGGCTGCTTTACCTCTTACAATGTCCAATTCGTCTAAGGCTCTGAAGTCCATGAGAAACCCCTCAAGTTCCTCTACGCAGCCCTCTTCTAAGGCGTTCAATGGTGATAAGCAAGAGCAATCAACTTCCGCTTCTCGACAAAGCGGTCAAAATCAAGGTGATCATCTAATGAAGGTCCTCGTTGCTGGAGCAGAAGGATGTAACCAGCCGACAAGGCCACAAGATCCGAAGCAGATGGCGTCAAATCTTCAGCGCAATGACCTGCTGAATCCTTCGGCTCACCCGTCGGGCGCAACTGATGTGCAAAGGTCAATTGCTTCTGAACGGGCACATCAAGAAGTGGCACCCAATGCAGGCGAGCGTGTAGCTCAAGCTCTGATTGCAACACAGCCGGAGTCTCTGAACGAAAAGAAAGCGCAACTCAGTATGAGAAGTGACATGGCGATTCCGACTCGAAGCTCAGCAAATAACCTCGAGGCAAAGTCTTCTGTTAGTGTCATTGTAAGGCCAAAGGGAACCACATCAATGGCTCCAAAGGATCAGATCACAGGGTCCCGAATCAACACAACTGTAGGAGAGCCATCGAAAGCTTCAGCTCAAAAGGCGCTTAGCCAAGGGTTCAAAGCTGTGAATATCACCAACGGTGCGCATAAGCTGCAACTACCGGTTTTAGCGAACGATGAACACGGCGACAGCAATATGAGAGATACCAACAAAGGGAACAGCAACTTTGAGCAGCATAAACAGCTAAAGTCCACCCTGCCTCCACTGCAATCCAAAGCGCAACCACGGTTAATAGCAAACCGACCCTCGGATGACTTCACCGTAGCGGCGACGGACTATGGTGCCTTTAACGAACTGCAGTTACAGGAGGACGGTGAACGAGCCATGCTAGCATCTGATGGCGCAAAACAACTTGAGATTGAGAGGTCTAATAGGAAGCCTGCGTCCGCAACACCAAAGGCAAACGGCTGGCTCAATAAGCCAGATCCAAAGCCTGCAAAACCACCTCCCGTAAATGCCGCTCAACGGAAAGCGCAAGAACGTAGAGAGCGTGATGAGGCTTATATTCAAAAGTGGCGTGAACATAACTTTCGAAACGGAGTACTTATTTGCAGTAGTCAAGGCTCGCACTCTGAACAATTGAATGTCTCAAACGATCAGAGACACACATTAACGCCAATAGTTCCAATCACAAAAGCTGGACGATCGTCAAGCCCGTACAGCACGAAATCCTCGATGGCAATGGGCCCGCCGCCTCGCAGTGCTTTGAAGCAGCCTTCTAGCAGCCTGCGAAAATCCATCTCCCAGGTATCTTTTTCTATCAATCAGGAGAGTAGTACTGCGAATGCTGCACCGCAAACAAACGGAGCTACGGAGACAGGTCGGAAGTCAACGCCTACGACTACTACTTCAAGTAAAGCGTCCAAGAAGGTGCAATCGACTCTTAATGACATGTTTATAGATAAGAAGATGAAAGGTCGTGCGATCAATTCTCCGAGTCCTATCAAGCCTATCGGTCCAGAGATTATCAGCTCAGGAGAGTCGGTCTCAGAGTACACGATAACGTCTGAAGAGGGTATTGATCCCACCATCGCGAAAGCTGGACCTAGTAAGAAAAAAAAGCTGATTATACGATCAGCATCACGAAGAAAACTGCGCAGTGGATCACCCACGACGCAAGTATCATCCAGTATTGATCCAGCGCTTCAAGCCTTGAATCACACCAAGTCCTCAAGTCTGCAGAGCTCTTCGACAGGCATCTCTGCACCTATCGAGAACACAAGCAGCAAGGATCATAGCTCTGCCACGAATGAAACAGTCAACGAAGCTATAGAAATATCATCGCGGTCTGAATCTGATTCTGAATCCGAAGATGATTCAGAGTCAGGCTCAGAATCAGACGTTACCTCAAAGCCCACTACAGTCAAACAAGCAACCGGTGGGGCTATCGCCAACGACCCTCCGTCTTCTTCTTGGACATCCGGAAGCACACCGGCGTCTTCAGGAGTTTCATCAGAAGGCATCATGCCTGCCGCAAATGGCACAAAGCTCCCCAAGCCTGCCCAAGGCCAATCTCACACCCCGCTCCAGAACACTCCATCGAACACCACCCAAGGCATTACCGGGATCCAGACTGTTACAGCCCGCGCCACAACCACCCGCCCCAATTTCTACCCAAAACTGAGCGAGCTCCGAATGGCCCGCGAGGACCAAGACGAGGAGCAGCCCCCCACCTCCGCACAGCCGCCACGTCAAAAATCCCCTTCTGCAATCCTGAGAAATCTAAGTCGTACCCGCGCAGATGAGGAAAGCGAGGACGACGACGAGGACGAAACCACCAGCGAGGCCCAAGTGCCCCCGGAGCAGTCGCAGTCACGATTCGCCAAAAGCATCAATGACATCAGGAAGACGCTGTTCTATTTACGATGAGGAGCTGGCTGGTGCAGCTGATGTTGCATTAACATGCTAGCAGCTTCAGCAATTTCCATTCCTAGGCCTGATGAGGTCTCTTATTTCGAAAATGTGTTGAGATCGTGCTTTTATTTTTCTTCATGAGGGTGATTCAGCGATCGAAGAACAGACAGGGAGATTGTCTTGAATACCGCACCCTATGTATGCATTTTTCTAAGAATAACCCATACCATTCTTGAATCGTGGAAGGAGTCAGGCGGAGGAGGGACGTTAGGATATTGAAGGGAGTCCTTTTGTTCAATTCTTGTCGCGTGTCACAACGCAATGTCTACTTCATACAGAATTATGCACCGTGGTCCGGTCATACTTAGATGTTTTCACCACTGTTGTCATGCATAGCGCAATGTCACAGTGTTATCATTGACTAGATACTTCTGCCTGCGAAGGCCCTTTGTAGTTACAATTGAATCTTTCATTCCATGTCGTCGTCGTTCCGTTTTATTATTCATTACCTTCCTCCTTCGTCTCTTGCTTTCAAAAGCGACCCACGTTGCAGCATACATAGCAAGCGATTCTACATACACGTAAGGTCCCGACTACTACAAGCCTCATGAAGAGGCAAAAATCTCGACAGCCGCCCCCATTTGGTTCTCTTTCCCTCATTCCAGACAGATGATGACATTGCAAGCTCAACAGTCCTCCTCAATCGGCTCTCTTCCTCTCGTAGCAGACAAGTCCACCACAATGCAACCCCAACGGTCGCCCCTAATTAGCTCTCTTTCTCTCGTTTCAGGCGGGTGATAACATCGAAAACAACGCAGGCAATTCCCATCCCTCTCAAATTCCTCCTCAGACATGCAACAGAAAACTCAGTCTACGCACGCCTAGCACTCCCTCAAGTATTTTCAAGAGATGCCAGGCCATTCATCAGCCCTACCCAGACCCCACAACAAAGGGCTGACCGGACAAGCTGCAAGCAGATCCATATTCCTCTCCACCAATTCTCCATCTATGATATCTCTCTCCATGTCAAGATCTCTCCAGGATTTCCCCGCCGCCGTCTTACCTAGGACGCCATTCCGACAAAGTAATCGTTGCCGGCTCTTGAAGCGTTTCCCGTGGGAGAAGTCGCCGAAAGCGAGGACGCGTAGATTGGGGAAGCCGACAGGGCTGAAGGCCCAGTCTGCGAGGGCATCTTCATCTCTCAACTCCTCATTTTGCAATCTCTCTTGCTCCCTTGCTGGCCAGGCGAATGAGAAGGTCTGCCTGTAGTCGTGACTGTCGAGATCTGGAGTTGACCAGGTATTCCAGAAGGTTGGGTCGACGAATTTGGGTTTCCAGGACGATTTGCCGGCTGAGCGGAGGTGGAGAATCTTGAGAGATTGCTTAGTAGCGGCAGTTGAGGGAAGGGATTCAAAGCTTTTTTTCAAGGCAAACGGATCATCGCAGATACCCAGGCCCTCAAGGGATATCGTTGCAAGAATGTATACCCAGGCTCCTGGCTCTGATAGCTTGGCATCATGAAATTCTTCTTGATATGGGGTGTTTCTCTTGTGGTAAACAAGCCTGCGCAAGGTGTTCCTTCGTTTGAGGATGGAATCGACAAGGCAATCGTGTCGTGATGAACACGATTCTACTGTCAAGAAGAGATCGCACAGTGTATCAAATGGGGCGAAGAAATCGATATCAGACCTTGGACCGGTGAAAAAGTCGCATACGCCGTGATCAAGATCATCGTCCTCCTCCTCCACTAGCAGCATCAGCTCAAGTGTCTTCGCAGTCGCCTTGATACCAGCTTCAGCTAGCTTAGCGATAAGTCCCATTGTACCTAAGCAATTATTGAGACATAATCTGTCAATCGTTCCAAGATTGAGACCTGGCGAAGGATATGCCTCCCTGTCTACGCTCGAAGCTTCCTGCATGCACGCCGCGGTTAAGGCCAGGTTTTGTAGACGAGGAAGCAATTGCTTGTTGCCGTCAAGATTAGTGGGAAAGACGAACTGCGGCTCTTCACCCACGTCGATGTCTGTGTAAAATCGCGACTCCAAGATTGACCAGGAAATGAAGTCTAATTCCAAAGACTCGATCTTCTGATGATGGTGCTCTAGGAGTGCTCTAACTGCAGAGAAGGCAGACTTTGACATAAGACCCCGCCACGAGAGGTGCTTCAGATTGCAAAAACCTTTTAATGCCACACGAGAGTCGTGGTCGAAGTAGCACTCGGTCCTTGTAATCAGTGACAGGGCAGTGATCGAGGTCTGTTGGGTTGAAAGATAACCCCCTTCCCCCAGGAGCGTGCGTGGGAAGCAGGTTCCCATGTCCCATCTGATCGCCAGTCAGCAATGAATAGACGTATTTGGATAGATCATGGACTGCAGATACCGGAATTCTTTGAGCTGGTTGACTGGTAGTGCCACAAGGAGCTTCATTGTTTGTTCCGCCAAACGTCTCAAATTCCCGTCCAATTCACGAAAGCCTGGAGCTGGACCATCTCGTTGAGTGCATGGTTCATATCTCGTTTTCTTCGTGTCGACAGTGCGCTCCTGCTCCCATTCTTCTAGATCGCCGTCCGAATCACTTTCAACATGCTCCCACTTATGCCCACATCGGTCGGCACCATCGTTATTTGTTGCCTCAAATGGTGCGGCGAAAGCGACTTTTCTGACATATGTCGCCAGAAATCTGGATGCTTCTCGGACATTTTTGTCGTCGAATAATTTGACAGCGTCAAAGTCCCACAAATGCTGCTCATCCTTTGGCCGTATTGTGATAACCTCGAACAACTTGTGAAGTACAAGCACACGAAATGTGCGGCAGACTAGAGAAATTGCGGCCAGGTGTGCCTTTTGATAGATCTGTGCATGCTCTTAGCAATGAGCCCGAGTCAGAGCATATAACAAACATTATCGAAAACGACTCGTAAGAGCTCTTGTGGCAGATTCTGCAGCATCTTAAGCTTATCAATACATCAAGTAATATTCTTTAGCTACTTCCATACAATATTGAAGTAGAATGACTTGCGGAGGAAGAATGATAGAGAAATGTGTTGAGGTAGTTCAAAGTGCAGAATTGGAATAACGAAAGATTCGAACGTGTCGAGAGGGTGGCGATGCCAGATTAATACTATGCCGAATGAGATAGTCCCACCAGCAGACTTCTCCGATTGGGCCGTGGATCGCTTTCTGGGAGTGAAAGTGACATGGTGTCAAGTCTCACATGGAACGATGCGGTCTCTGCGTGATCATGCGCTAAACGAGCACTGAGTCAGACTCCGACGATATCAAGAAGGTTGGTGGTAGAGATGGGCTGTAGCTTTTGAATGATATCGATATTGAGCCTGTAGCTGGCGCAGTGCCTGTTGTCATACCCAATTTCGAAAGAGTGGGAGCTATGAAGTGAAAGGCTTGGTACGAGGCTGTGCTTTCCCTTTTCAGACCAAGACGAAAGGAGCAATTCTACAAGCGCCCAAGCGAATGTGCATCAGAACTTCAGCATCTCGGAATATCGTGCCGATATAATGGAGTAAAGGTGGACCATAGTTCCATACTAGCTCGCATTATCAAATGCGCATCCCATCAAAGAGGTTGTACATTACAGTCATAATCATCAAGCTGCTCCAAAGTATGAGGCTTCAGCCCTGACGGGAATCCTCCCATATATACACATCGAATCTCTCGCCCAAGAATATGACGATGATCGAAAGAGTACTACACATTAAGATGCTTTCCCCACGCCTCTGACTTTGGCTATAAAGGCCTCCTCGTCACCCAAGTCCCCAAGACTGCCGTTCCAACCGAGCACTGCCAGCACATCCTCCCTGTTTCCATACAGTTTGCTTTCCAACAGCCCTAATATGGCCACCACAGTGCGAAAGACTGCAGCGTCCCCGTCGAAGAGCATGATGTCCCATATCCGGGCAGCAATGTCAATGCCTAGGCCATTACCGGGAGCAAGGAAGAGTGTTCGGATCATAGGCTCCAGAATCTCTGCAGGAGCCAGATCGAGTGGCTGCGAGCTTTTCTGGGCCGATGTCAAAAGGCTCCCATTCTGCAAAGCACCAGTGGCAGATTCTGGAGGCAGAGAGCCAAAAAGATGATTATGCAAGCGGGGATATTTTTTTTGAAGCAGTGAAATCGTAAGGTCATACGATTTTTGTGTAGCGGCAGGATCCCCGGTGAGAAACGCAAGAGGAAGTGGTCGGTTGAGAAGATTCGCAAGACAAATGAAGGTCTGAACTGGTGTCGGCATCGTGAGGTGTAAGAAGGCGGTAATCAGGTGCGTACCATGGCTATATCCTACGTCGGATCGATACATTGAGTATGCCATGAGGACGTCAACTAGACCGCCGTGTAGAGGACCGCCGGGCTGGAAAATATTGAGGTCTGGAAAGACAGTCTTCACGTCGCGCTGAATCGCATCAAACCATGCGATCTCTCTCCGACGCATGTCAGTCTTGCCATTCTTGATTTCCTGTTGAATGGCTTTGGCTCTTTCGAGTGCTCTGCGGTATGTAACGTCGGTAAGAGCAAGGTCATTTCCGATGGCTTTCTGCCATACAATTGCGCGTGATTTGGGTGCCACCCCCCGCCACCAAAGTTCTCTTGTGCGAGGTTCGCGAATGACCTGATCCCAATTAGGGAGAACGTGCTCTTCCCAGATGCGGAGAAGGGTGCTTCTGGTATCGTCTTTGGCGCATTGTGTATCTGCTGTCTTTGCAACTCTGCGCTTCTCAGCTTCCTGACTCAGCTCCATCATGCGCTTGTATTCCTTGAGATGCTTCTTTTCCTCCGTCTTACTTTTGGGTGGAAGCCAGCTCGGCCGTGTCCGGCTAAGCACTTTCTCTTTCTCCTTGCTGATTGGTAGAGGATCGATCATAATGTTGTTAGCTCGCAGTGGCGGCAGATTCACAGGCGGTGCAGTCTTTGCTCGAGACAGTCTCTCTAACCCGTTTGTCTCGCTACTGTTTGAAGTACTTCCGCGTCGTGATTCTGTCGCTATTGCATGTGTCTTGAGCGTTTCCGTCAATGCTTTTGCTTCCTCAGAAAGCTCCGACAGAGCGATATTCCATGATTTACTTCTCGAAAAAGGCGGATTGTTAGGCATCCCTCCCGGAGAGATACCTCGCAATAATGCATAAGGTGACGGAGGAGGTGATTGGAAAGAAGCGGGTAACGTGCGTCTGACGTTGGGTATTGGCGCAGTCCTGGGAGCCGTAATCTGAGTTCCATCTAGACCAACGGAAATACGCAAGGGGCTTGATCGTTCTGGACTGATTGAAGGAGATGTCTTTGGGGACGGGCCTGGTGACAGAGACGGTCCCGGCGACAGTGGAAGCGCTGTTTCCTGAGTGGAGCACGGTGATATTGGAACGTTCCAGAGACTGGCATCATCCGGTAAATGATCCTCATCTGAGTCGTCGCATTCAGCTTCCAACTCCTTGACTGACTTTCTGGTTGTTTGTCGAGAGGTTTTCCGTATGGGTAACGGCTGTGTGTGTGACGATGTTAGTCTGGGCCGGCCAGGTGATTTGGGAAATGGTGAAGGCCGCTGGAATGGTGAGGAGGCAGACTTTGGTGACGGTGACCTTGATCTATTATAGTTGCTCATAGCTGTAATTGCCAAGGAGGGTGTAGATGCATTTCTCGAGAACTTGCGTGCTGGAGCGCCGTTGGGCAAGCAAAGTGCCCGCGAGGCCACATTATTTCTATGTGAGTCTGGCGGCCGTGGGCGCGCCGGACGATACTGTTGATTGGTGAGATCGCGCATGGGTGCTGTGACAGCTGCATTACTTCTAGTGACGCTCAGATTTACAGCTGAGATATTATGCTTTGGTGTTTTATGGCCACCCAAGTCATGTTTTGAGGTTTGGTGGAAAGATCGAGGTGCTGCCAGCTCCTCATTGAGGCCAATATCTTCGAAATGTGTAACGTCTGAAAAGACTGCGTCTGGACCAGATGCGGAAGATGAACAATTGGTGGAGGATTTGGAGGATTTGGAGGCGGTCAGACCAGGTGGGGAGCCGGGTGTCTCGTTGGCGAAAGCATTCATTTCATCGCAGATTGAGAGTAAGACTGCGACATCTGTCAATGACCTCGGTCGTTGATGCGCTGCCTGTAGAATCTGGTTGGGAATGGTGTTCGAGGTTGGGTTGTTGACGGGCGGAGAAACAAAGGATTGTTGTTTAGGTATGTTGGCCAAAGTGAAATGAATGTGATCGTCTAATGAGTGTCGGGGATAGCTCGCGGTGCCATTCAAAATATGTACAGTGTAAGAGTAGTCGTCGGCGTCATTAGTATAATTGGTAATACGGGCATTAGAAGCGAGTGGGATGCTGGAGTGGGCACCGTGGGTGAAGATGATGCCCTCCCGCTGCATTTTGGGTCAGGGGTCAGCGGTAGACTGAGTTTGCCAAGCCGTCAGCTCATCCATGGAATTCCCCATGTCCAAAGTTCTGTCTTGTGTATGCAGCAAAGATGCAATCGTGAAGGAGAGTCTTCAATGTTGGGGAGAGCCAGAAGCAACATGTCGGCATCTGAAGACATGGAAATGCAGCATGGGGGCACCGTTTCAGGGGGGCTGGGTAGCATCACGATCTAAAGAGGCCGCGGTCTCTTGCAGGCCCCAACCAGCCATGTTGTTTTTCTACGCGCTTTCTACAAAGACTGTTCTTTTCTGAATATTCACCCTCGCTTCTTACTTCTTAGTAGCGATAGCCTTTGAACACCTCATCGCCCTGCGATGCCACGCGACGGAGTCTTGCTGCCTCCTTGCTGTTGCGAGGTCTGGCTGCCTCGATTGCTCCGGTGAGCCAATGTAGTACGGCGTGGAAGTGGTTCTGCTTGCGACTGAGGACATGGTGAAAGGCCTTACCCGCCAGCCTTGAATGGACCACTTGCGTTAGCAAAGAGGCACTCAGTGGCTCGTGATGCTCTCGCGGGGTCTGAGGATGCAGGGGGTTTTCTTACCACGCGACTTGGCGCTTGCTTACTGCGCGTTGGCGTTGCACCCGTGTCTCTGTATCAGCCTGCTTCGCCGGGATGAGTGCAAATGCTAGATCTATGAGATCGCGAATAGTAGCTGCATGGAAGTGAGCCATTGTGGCCTGTTTCGCATCTTGAGGTTCATGCGGCGCGAACCCTAGACTCAGGGGTCATCACTTACCGATGGCCAGTTCACTCGTCAGTTGAAAACCGCCCGTCATGCTCTTGCTATAACGATAGAATTTCATAGCTGTCTCGGTAAAGTTTCCGTAAATGGTGGACAGCACCGTCCAGGGCGTATTGAAGTCTGTGTCCATCAGCATCTTGAGGGTTTGCCTCTTCAAGGAATCCAGTGCTTTGTGGTAGAACCCGCGTCCTGGGACTTTGGCTTGCTCTACCGTCAACGTATGAGCTACGACTCTTTGCTTCATCTTCTCTCGGTCTTTTGTGAGTACTAAAGACCGCGTGTCTATGGCATAACCGCAATAGGGAAAACTTCTAGCAGCCTCCAACTGCTGTATTTGGCAGCCGTTGATTGTCACCGGAAAATTGGCGAGGCTCTTTACCGGATTTACTTGCACGCCAAATTCATTAATACCGTCATGCATAGTCTGCAGGAACCGTTTGCCCACCCCTTTGTTGGAGGTAATGAGTAAGAAGTCGTCGGTGTAGCGAAGCAGAAGGCTCTGATTGTCTTTCAAGAAGGACAGATGCTTCTTCTCGAGCTCAGCGTAGAAGAAGTTGCAAAGCAGAGTAGAAAGCACCGAGCCTTGAGGTATGCCAGCCCTTTGCCGAAATATTTTCTTACCAATCTTGACAATGTGGTTACCGACGTGATCTTCCAGGAGGTCAAGTAAATGCTCTCTTTGCTCAGCTCTTCGCACTATCTTGTCGACAAAGATTGTGTCTCTCTTATTCGCCACGCGTTTGGCCTGAATGAATTCGGGAAATTCTGTGAAATCTGTGCCACATGTCGCTGTGGTTCTGAACTTTTGAGTATTTCTCGTCGACCGGTAGCCATCACTCCGGTAAGCACAGGCTTTCAGACGATTGATCTCTGCGTGGCCACCAATTCGATAAAGATCGTTTGATGCGATCGTTTCCATCAATGCCACAAGTGGACGCTGTGGTATAGTATCAAAACATGACTTTACATCCGTCTTCACAAAATACATGGGCTTATGTTCGGAGCCTTCAGCCCTGAGGTTATTCTTGAACTTCTCGAGGCGGGATGCTATCTCTCCAAGCGAGAAGAGAGCACTGCCTAGACGCTCTGGCTGTCGACTCTTCTCCAGATCAAGCACACTGAAAACCGGCTTTAGAACGGAATTGACACTCTGGCCTAGTATCGTTTTGCCATTATGGGATTTCGCCGTCCGACGTTTCAAGTTATTCAACAGCCTTAGACTCGTGTCTTTGGGAAGCAATCTTATTTGGTTGTATCCGAGCTTACGACCATCCAGCATCCTTTTTGCTTTGGCCATAGGTACTTCTTCATACATGGAAAGCTTGAGGTTATTTAGCTTGGGCTCGGTTATCATTCGCCATATGTCATGGCGGAAATAGAACAGGCGGTTTCCTTGATCATTGGCTTCAGTAACGTAGAAATTCGCCCGAATCAACGGTATCAAAATAGAGTCGAACACGTAATAGAGAAACTCGAGGAAGATTTCTTCTCGCTTTTTCATATCTAGCAGCGAGCTTTTCTTGCTTAAGCAAGTTGGTGGTGCGAGCCACCTAATGCACTGTATCTAAGTGGATTCAGACAATTGTGATACATGAATTAGGAGCAGGCAACTGACCTTGATCTGATGACGAACACCATGCAACGACATCTTTTCATACCTCTGCAAATTTACGAAGCGGTCGATGTCTTCCATTACTTTTCGCTTGTTGTGTAACCCGCCGGCACCTTCTCCCCAAAAGGCTTCTGCTACAAGACTCGATATGATTGCTCGGCAGAATGCGGATACCTTTGCGTGCGGTGTACAAAAGTCAACAAGAGCTGTACTGGTCTTTGCACTACTGATCTGTAGTTCTTTCTCACTGCAGTCAATTGAAGTCGCATGTGCGTGATCTGCATTATCAGCTCCTAATATACAAGGTGACTGCCTCGGCCTTATTCGCTTGCTTATTGGAGCGGTGACTCGTTGTTTACTTTCATGACTAGAACGTGATGAGGTATTGAAGGGACAATAGTGTCTGAGCAACTCAGTGTATGCGCACAGGCTGCTCAATTTTTGCATCCGTTGAACCAACCGATATGCGTCGCCTCGAAGTCTTTTGGGAACTTTTGGAATGCCATTCCGAGATATTGAAGTCTGGATGCCCGACTCATGCCGACGAATCTCCTCTTCTCTCAACGTATAATCCTTAAAAGGCTGCGTGGTTTCATTTCTGTCTGTTTTTGATGTGAAAACATTGTGTAAACCAAATTGTCTTGGAAATACGTATTGCATCAAGCGAAGAGTCTGAGTTGGATCCTTAGCATTCGGATAACGGCTAAATGCGTCTAACAATCGTCAGCAAGCGCTGTTTATATCACCGTGATAAGAGACTGTACGGATGTGACGCAACCCAAATGTCACCTGACCCTTCGCGTTGATAGCTGGGCGGGCGTAGAAAATTCTACTGCGTACAAAGCAAATTGCGGCTGGTGACTTAGGAATACTATCGTGATTTTCTGGCCGTTTGCAAGTATCTTGGAGTCGCATGCTTTTACCTACTTCGGGGGCAATTTGCTTCTGCTTCGGTCGTAAGGCGTCAAGAGTACATAAGTCGGATAAAGGGATGCCTTGACGCGTTAGAAGCGACTAAAAAGTGGAAAGCATTCATCATACCAGATATTTGATAGAAAGTGCTATGGGCTTGGGAGATCGAGCTGAAAATACCGCAGCTTAACAACAGATCCAACATAATACCTTCACCATCTTTACCCAACAGAGCCAAAATCTGTGACCAAACAGCGCCTTTAAAAGCGTGAACATTACTATTTGGATAGTGTGCTGCAACACCTGGTATGCTCTGAATGCCTGCCTGTGCACACTGGGTGGTCCTCTTATAACCATGGCACAAGGCATGCGGAGGCTTCTGAGAGTGACGGTATAGTCGGTGGAAAAGGGACCAGATTGCAAAATCGACTAGATCCGGTAGAGACACCCCACCCTCGACGAGGCTACTAGTTGCTGCTGTACAAGCTTGCTGAGAGAAGGTCTCAAGGTCCTTCCGGCGCTCTTCACACGAGTATTCAGGAACTGCATTTTGGGTGGCACCAATTAAGGTATGATCTAAGACTGTTGCTAAGCGAATCAACTTCTGGGTTGAATCATTTGAAGACAGCGGGTCTTGTGTTGATCCTTTTCGTCGCTCCTCATACTGTGGATCACCCGCTTCTCTTAGTCCAGCTGTAGCAAGTTTACGGCGCCGGATCTTCGAAGTGGTGGGAATTCTGGATAAAAGGTAGCTGCGAAGTGTCCAGATATGATTGTAGTAGAGCGACAGTGTCGGGTGATGGACGTTTGGCAGTTCCTTTAAACCATGGCTCACCTTTACCTTCTTGCGTTGTGAGGCGGAGGCATTACCATCATCACTTGCACGACTAGTTCGCTTTCGCTTGCGCGCCATCTAGTAAATTAAGACGCGACGGGAATCGGAGGGAAAGCTAAGACCATGCTGTGACGGGACGTGACATGGAATAATAATGTAACTTCAAATACTGTAAAGATTCAAGAAAGGTGCATCTTATCTCTAAGTAAAACTGCTATGCTATTCACGAAATATACGCGTTTTGCGCTAGTCAGCTAACCTCGAGCCAGTATATGGTGGCGCAATCCCCATCTATACACCGACCAGGGACAATGACACTGAGATAAAAGATATTGCCTGTGTGTGCATGAAGCCTTCCTTCATCGTGGCATAGATCTGCAGCCAATCTGTGCGTTGGAAGAGGGGGTCCAGTTGAAGTGGGCCAGGACAGTCCAGCAAGGTGTGAGTAGAGAACAACAAGAAAAAAGGAAACGATCCGACGGGATTCAATGCGAGTAGCCGCAGCTTAAACGTGGGTACTAGATCAGGGTCTTACCGCCGAACTCGTATCTGTAGAGACCTGTGCGGTCACTTTGAGTCTGTGGGTAGTGAATTGAGTCCAGCATCACGGCACGCCACAGGTATACAGATACGGCAAGAAGACAGCAACGCTCAGCTTATTATTAGTGGTATCAGACCGTTAATTGCTGCCTACGCGACGTAGCCACACGATAATCGGTCAGCGCTTGAGGCGGGCCGGGAGTGTCCACCGATGCCACCTTTTTCGAGAGTATCAGTAGCAGAAGGGAGCGCCAAGAAATCATCTGTTGTGAGGCCCATGATTGGCTATCCAACCACCTCTGGAGTCGCCTACGTCCAGCAAACAAAAGTGAACTAAAGGAACCACATCGTTGACCCCATTCACGCCCAACCAGACACAGCCTATCACGCCGGTGACAACACGCTTGCACTTTATACAAAACCTGCTGCTCGCCTTTCTACCTTTATCGCGCCCTGATCTTCTCCTACGTGCCCCCCCCGGACCTAACCCCAGACCCTGCCCAATCGTGCGACACTTCCTACAGAGCCGCAGATTCTCCAATGTCCCAGATTGCTCACCACCTAGATCTGCCTCTTCAACCCGTATCTCTGGTCCCCACACGACGGATCACGCTTTGAGACAGCTTGGCAGCATGCTCACATGCTGTACTTGACGTCTCGAATGGTCCCTTCAGCATGCCTTCGCTGGATGCGGAAAGCAATCCCCACCCACTGAATCAGCAAGATCACTCCCTGGAGCCCTCCACCTACCAAGCCTCCAATATTGAAACCAGCAAAAAGCATTATTTCGACGATGGTATACCCTCCTTGTCTGATACCGTATACAAACCAACGTATCCCCGCCGCCCGGTCGTATCTACTAAGGTTGGCGTTCCTGGCTCAACCCCTGGCAAGAGCACCCCGCAGGATGATATTTTGACAAATCTCCAGGATTACTACAGGTCAAATCAAGAGCGCTTAGGGCGGGAGAAGCTAGGAGACGGTAGGGTGCAAGGAGCCATACGGAATGACAGAATCGACGGCACAAGTCAACCCACAGGCCGCCGTCAACCAGGTAGTCCTCGCCTTCGAAATGGAGAGGGCCGTACAATATCGCCCATAGCCTCCCGCGTCAATACCGCCCAACATCCTTCTTCTGCGAATCATGAGAGATCTCCGCTTAGTGCAGCCAAATCCAGTCCAACTCTGTCAAGTACCGCTCGCAATAGACAAACATCTCTACAAGAGTTGGTCAACAAGTTTAATCAAACGCCAGATGAGGTGCCCCCTCTTCCTAAGAAGCCTGCTTCTCGATCACCTTCAGCTAGCTCCTCCCGTGGCCAAGGCATTCGTTCACGTACCGCTTCTCAGGCCAAAGCCTCTGGTGGTCGGCTCTCTTCCGGGTCGCTCTCAAGTGACAATATGAGCATACGAGAGCCTCGATTTCGACAGCAAGAAAAATCTCGAACGCAAGATGACCGAATGACTAGTCCAAAATTGGAGAAGAATTATACGCTCGAGGCGTCCGAAACGGTACCCGCCAAACCGCTCACCTCCGAATCACTTGTAGATCTTGCACCAGAGATGATGAATCTACCCCGCAAACCATTGTTTGGTGAGGTCGTAAGATCGCACATTCCTCAGCCCAATGCTGGCTACGGAATACCCATCTCTAAGAGACGAAGAGGTTCAGAAGGCAGCTTACACAGTCCTCGGACGCTATACTCGGATCAAGATTATTCGCGGCGCCGAGATCACTCCCCCGACTCGCCAAGTGCGTGGTATTATGCTACTGCTCCTCCACTAGAGGAAATCAAAGCTAAGGGCGAGATTCCGGAACCGCCTCCAAATCTGCACCGACGAACTCGAAGTGATTTGCACGGCATGCCTTCAAGCCCAATTTCATCTCGAAAATATACAAATACTTTGTCACCACCTTCTTCGCCGTTACCTACCGAAACGCCAAGGCGCACCTCTCAATCGAGAATTCCTGTCAGCACCCGTCGATTCAGCGTAAATTCTGACTCTGGCAATTCTCCACCCTCAACCCGAACCAGTTCTGCTGCTGAGACTGCACCTACAAAATTATCGACACGAAGCCGTGCTCCGCCTCCGAAGCCATTGCAAACTGCTAGAATATCTCCCCGTTACTCACGCTCAAATACCCCGCAGAAGTCCCCTCGATATCAGCATAATACTAGTAGACCGGTCGCTTCACCTAGCCTCCCGGCATTTATATCAGAGCCGCTGCCTAAGAAATCGCCACCTTTGCGAAGCTCAAGACCAAGGCAACCAGTTTCGAACGCATCTACCTCAGCTTCAAGGGCCAGAGCGGTTGACAGAGTCGGAGGTGAAAACCATGGCTCGCGAAACCCCAAGGAGGGTAAATTGAAAAGGCCACCTGAGCTTGGGGCTTTGGATTTTGCAGCTAGAAGACAGAGAATACAACAAGCTTTCACAAAGACCGTGAGAGAGGAAGAAGAGCGAGAAATACGCAGGGCCTCCATAGCTCGTGAGCTCTCTGTACAAGCCTCGACCTCTGTAGAAGCATCAACAGATGATGTGTTCTTATCAGGAGACTTGCCCAAAGCTGAAAGGCCCGTGCAAGGCATCAAAGGGAGGGAGCAGCCGGATGAAGCTGGCGCAGAGGCGTCAAAATCCGAACCAGGACTCACTCTACAGACCGGTCAGCTTTCCGATCGATCTACACTCAACCTTAGTCTAGAGGACTCTCCAACATTGGGTAATTTCAACTCTCAATTCTCGCCTGACACGAATGGCTATGGACCAAATCAGTCCACTCCAAACTCGGACATTGATCCGGGCTCAGCGGTTACTGCTGGTACGGGAGACTCTGTGGACACTTTCTTTGATGACGAAGCCCAGGACGAGTCAAGAGATAGCTCGCGCCCTTCATCGCTAGCTCAACCAGCATTACTGCAGAACATTATGGCTATGCGGAATTCCAGAACGCCGAGTCCACCTGGAATTAGAAAACGTGAAATCAACGAGGAGCACGAGTCTGGAGATGATAGGGAGTCGATCCAAATCATGCTAGGCGCAACGCCAGTATTAGAAAAGAGGTCCTTCAATGATGATCATGAAAGTCGGTCAAAGGGGCTCCCTCGAGCGAGGACCCGGACAGCCGATGGAGTATGAGCTCCTGGACTTCATCAAACAAATCGCGCGATGAGAAAGACACCTTCTTGGAGCGCGTTGAAGAGCATCCGCCTTCACAAGCCACTGAAGACCCTCATCTATCTATTTCGACATCGGCTAGTGAGCTTACCCAACCTGCTTGGTCCCCTACATCTGTAGCTTCGCCTCAAACCAATCGCACTACCCTAGATAGTGATCGCTACAGTACTGTAAACCGAGTACTAGATCAGTACCACGATCCTAATGCGTTGAGTCCTGATCTGATCCGTGACGCACAGCACCAGTCTTATAACCGATCACCTGAGCTGGCGCGGCAAGGTGGTTATGATCCTCGAAAAGTAACACAGCTCTACTTGCAGAGAATCGCTCGAGACCGCAATGCCACGCCTAGTGCAACGCCTGAAGATATTAAAGCGCACATCAACAAGCGGACGAGCTCATTGCCGGTCCCGGAGCCAGCCTCAGATAAACAAGTCAGGGATGATATGGACGAGAAAATGCTTCCGACGACTGGGCACAGCCGGAACCTGTCGGCATCCTCTACTGTTCTGGATGTGGATGACGAAGGCAATCTCAAGCCAGCCCGAGCTAGTCTAAGCCGTCCTGACGACTTTGACATGTCTCCTTCCCTCGGTGGGTTCGCAGAGCAAGCGGCTGATACACCTTATGAAGAAAGGCCAACGCCTCCGGAGAAAGACAGATTTGTTGGCAGAGGGCAAAGATTACCTGAGGGCTACGACGGTGGCAGGGGCCGTCACCACCACCCAGACGATGAGTCCCGGCCTCAGTTACCACCTATCAACTTTGGAGGGCAAAGTCTAGCCATCAACGTGGAGCCACCACAAGGAGGTGACTCTTCTTACAAGCCATCACCATCGGTTCCAAAACACTCACCACCTCCGCCACCAATTGAGACCAGAGAATACAGCCGACAGAACGTAGAGCCTTCTAGTGAGACACCTCGAGCAACGCGACCAGGCAACATTTCTAAGCCGTCCGATGACTCATCTATTTCTCGAGATGAGCCCTCAACGCAAGCGGACATTATCTCCAAAAAGCTTTCGCCGTCACCAGAGCAGAAGCGATTGACCCGACGTAAGAACATCATCAAGGAATTGGTTGACACCGAACACTCCTTTGGCCAGGACATGAGAGTTGTGGAGGATATCTATCGAGGAACGTCGAACGTGATCATATCGGCAGACGATGTTAAAACGCTATTTGGGAACTCTAATCAGATCATCGAATTCTCCACACAGTTCCTTGACTCGTTAAAGCAAGCTTCTAGGGCAGTCTACGCGCTGTCAAAAGCCAAGCGCTGGAAAAGCAATCGCACTAGCAATGCTACCACCTACAGTGGAGCGACCGGAGATGAATCGTCCGTTAATGGTCTTGAACTTACAGACGACGAGAAAGATCGGAAGACGTTCATTGGCGAAACCTTTGGGCACCATATGGCTGAGATGGAGAAGACATATAGTGAATATCTTAAGAACCACGACGCCGCCAATCAAAAACTTGTACAGCTTCAGAAGAACCAGAAGGTACAAATATGGCTCAAGGAATGCAAAGCCTATGCCTCTGACCTGACAGCAGCATGGAATCTCGATGCCTTGATTGTCAAGCCGGTGCAGAGACTGCTCAAGTACCCACTTCTTCTGGATCAATTACTTGAGGCCACTCCTGAGAACCATCCGGATTACACTGCTCTTGATATTGCAGCCAGAGAAATGAAAGGCGTTTCAATGCGTATCAACGAAGCCAAAAGACGGGCCGACATCATGGAGACGGTGACGACTGGTAACCGGAAGCGCAAGGAATCAGACATGCGAACTGGGCTTGCGAAAGCCTTTGGTGCTGGAAAGAAAATCCGCCAACAGGTCGGATCGTCCGGCATGTTTGAAGACAGGGTATATACAGGAATTGCCGACAAATTCTCCGAGCACTTCGTTCGTCTCCAAGTGGTCATGCGCGACGTGGAGATGTATACTGGTGACGTGGAGATATTCATGAGGAAATTTCTCGACTTTGCGACAGCAATGGAGGCGCATATTGATGTGGGCCAAACCAGTTTCCCTGAGCTTGAAAGCAAATGGCACAAGTTCAGAATGTCTATGAGAGACATGTCGACCATGGCTCTTCCTGACCACGTAAGGCAGCTCCATTGGAAATGTCTTCAATAAACCAGCTAATTCTTTATAGATCGATTCAGTACGCAAACATGTTGTCCAGCCGATGACTACTCTAGTAAAGCTGCACGAGGGGCCGCAAAGGCTGATGCAGAAGCGCGAAAAACGCTTGCCGGATTATACACGATACAAAGCTATTACCGATCGCGGCGACAAGCCAGACAAGAAGACTACAGACCAAGGCGAACAATTCCTCGCAGTCAATAGTACCCTGAAAGACGAGCTTCCGCAATTATTCACTTTAACGGGAAAGCTCATGGAGCGCTGTCTCAGCAATTTCGTACAGCTTCAATTCAAATGGTTCAAACTATGGAAACTGAAATTGAAGCAAGCCATCGACATTCGATCCGCAACGCAGGATGGTGACTTTCAAGAAGAACTCATAAAGATCGTCAAAGGGTTTAGTGCGGACGTTGCCTTCCATGAGGCTCAAGTAGCTTCCCTTGGCTTATGCAACGGCTCAATGCTGAATGAGACACCCAATTTAGTTACATTTGCCGCACCAGGCGGATCTGGCACCAGCTTCATTGGCAGATCAGACTCTACCCTAGTCGAAGGCCAATACGAAGGCACCACCTCGCCAAGGGCAGGGCCGTCATTTGATTCCACAAGAAGAACGTTGTCTGTCAGTAGTGACAGGTCTCCAGTCCTACCTCAACCTGACTTCGGGAGCTATCGTCCGAACGGAAGCTTTTTCAACGTCGGCGATGCATCTACACCAGGACCTATGCCTCAGCGACAACCCAGTCAACGTATACGTGCTAGCTCTTCCGTATCCGGAAACGGCCCGCAAACACCTTATCCACCGGGCAGTTGGCGATCCTACTCCAACACCACCACACCCATCAACTCAACGCCGGGCCGTCCACCAACGGCCACGGGAAGAATACCCACTGATCCCACTCCATCACTTCGTCCTAGTATAGACAGTTCTCACTTCAATCGTCTGAGTGACGACTCGGCTTTGGCGCGTCCACCCCCGGGCGTCAATTACACCCCATCGAGCCAGGCACGATCAACATCACCATCAAGAAATCGATTTTCGGGCTACTTCTCTTCGGCAATGCCTATGTCTGATTCGCCGCCCACTCAGTCGCCCACCAATGGCCCCTTCAAGTCGGATTTCAATGTCATCTTTTTGGCAGCAAGCGTGTACGAATTCAATATTGATCGAGCCAGGAAGGAAGCTGGATATCCATACCTCACGTACGTGGCTGGGGAGATCTTTGACGTGATTGGCGAAAAGGGGAGCTATGGCTTGCGAAAAATCAAGACGATCCCGACAGCCTTGTTGGCTGGATCTGGAACAAACACTTTGTCAAATTGGCTGGCTAGGGTCGATCCGCTATACGGATCCTTCCCAGATCACTCACACTACGTTCCCTGGAATGATTACCCGACAACCTTGGAGCAATTTCCTCAATCGATTGAGGCTTGCTCTTCACCCTTTCTCTTCAGGAAAAAATTACACTATGGGGGCGACCATATATCAAGATGGCGAACAGATGGTAGAAGAAGGATTGAGGGCAGCAGGCGTGCTAGGATTAGAATTTGTCGATTTCAGCAAGGCGTTTGTGCGCTCTCCGAGGGTGTACCGAGCTGGTCATGTACGCGGTCATGAGCGATGCTAGCATGGAACGGCATGTATACAACAATGAGCAGGGACATTATTATGGTCTTAATAGACGGCGTAGGAGCGTGGAAGCTCCGGCATCGTATGTGGTTTAGTTCCAACTAGGCTTCGTTCTCACACCCTTCTCCTTGCGTGCGATGTGTCTGGTGTAGATCATTTGATGGAAAGTACGAGTCATGCGATTGCAGGTGGATTGCACCTTGCTTGCGCATCAGGCTGTCGATCAACGGTCGGCAGGAGTTCCAAGCGCAGAGGCGACTGCAGGCAGCATGCAGACTGCGGGCATAATGCAGCAGGTGCAGACGCCGGGACTATCATTTCCCACTCACGGGCTTTTCCAAGGCACCACGATCTTGCATCTCGGAATCCTTCCATCTAGTTGTGACGACAAAGCCGCACGGACAGCTTGACAAGACTACTACTGCTCTAGTCCAGTAGTCCTACACTACTGGGAGGATGTGGAGAAAGATCAAGAGCGGATCTGATCGATTCCGTCGGGAGGGCTAAGGAATGACCTTAGCTATTAGCACTGTTAGCACTGTTAGCACTGTTAGCAGCCCTGTATATTCCGGCGGCTGGACTGCTAAAGTGCTACAAGTGGCCTTTGCTTCTTTCTCGCTTGACTCGGCGTTTTGTAGTGGCTGCAGCCGACCCCGAAGCTAAGGAGTCTAGGTATGGAGTTTAAGGAGTCTAACCAGCCCAAGAAGCCTAAGTTGGACCCCGGGAGGCACCACCAGGAATGCTTAGGGAAGTTAGGGAGAACCAGTGGGGTGGTAGGACCGCTAAGCCAATGAATCTGGAGTCGGATCCCAGCTCCGGCAGGGGCAAAGCTCAGGAGCCAAGAGAAATAGAGACACCACCAAGAAAAAGGGACAAAACCATGACCTGGATCGTCCTGCCAGAATCTTTGTTCTCCTCATCCAGCTCCCACTCGTCAATCCGTAACCCGACTCATGCCATTTCTTGGCTCAGATCAGATGATAAACCAGTGTGATGTAATTGTGTAATTGGTGATTGTCCCGGAAACCACCCATGACTTATGGACCATGCTATCCCACCAACCTATGGATAAAGCGACCGTGGATGAGAGCGAAAGACAAGCAGATTCCACCAGGCGTACACGCCACAAGACCGCTGGGCATTAAACCCTCAACCCTTTTCGCGCGAAACCCACATTCTGGCGCCACACGTTTTCGTGGTCAATATATGTGATCCATCTACTGCAAGGGTTCCCTTCCAAATTCCAGCACCTTGAACGCCTGCATCTGTGCCGAGCCAGACGTGCATTCTTTGAGTATTGATGCCGATAGCAAAGCACGTTTGTTGGAGGCACCAGTGCCACGACCATGACATCGGTCATGAATCCGGTCCCTTCACAATCACAGTCGCCAACCTCCCAAATGTCAGTCAATCGCATCATGGATACCACCCCGAGAAGTCCCACCGACACCCGACACCTTCCCCCCCTACGAGTGCCGCAAACAATGAGTTGCCCACTTTGACAGGGGTCTATGATGGCAAGATGTTTGTGTCAGTATCGACTGGCCTGGGTGTCCCAGAAGGCAAACGCTGAGTCCATTGTAGCTTAGACATTGTTCAACAACCAGCCCGCGCCCGCATGTGTGGGTTTGGAGACAAAGTTCGTCCCGACTTCCTGTTGGCAGCTTGCCTGCGCTAGAAGTAGATGGCATGGGTACTGATCCATTCACATCTACAGGACAGACGACCCATCACACCGCCGCCCGCCGTTCGACTGCGGGTTCTTGATGCAGATACCCGCCAACCACTCGACATCAGGTAAGGCAATCCCATGCCCTCAGACCATCATCCTCTTGGACGATGCAATGTTCAGCCTACAGAATCGGCAATGCTGATTTTCTGTGTCAGCGAGATCGACACGGCCTATTACATTCTAACAGTAGATCTTTGGTCTGAAGATGGTAGAACAGAAGCGAATCTTGTCAGACACTCATCAACATCACCATCCATCTCCGCTGCGACCGCAACATCTTACCCACCGGAACCCTCAGCTATAAGTTATGCCCACAATGTTCCAGTCCTGGGTACGCATTTCTACCCAGGCTACGAAGCAGCACAGCCCAATTATACCGGCGTGCCGTATCCCATACCTCGCCAAAACGAGCTCGCGCATCATATGCACCAAGCACAGAAAGCCACTCGCGAGGAAGCCATACGTATACAACAGGAGCAGCAAACCCTTCAGAATCAAGGTCACCATCACTCCATGCCCAAAACAGGGCAATCTCAGCAAATGCATTCATCGACGCAGGGATATCTACCTAACCAGGGGGGAACGACTGCTACGACTAATGGAATGGCATACCCAACGCAGTCTACCATGTCTTATCACCCCCAAGGCCCAATGCTCTCTCCCAATCCCATGATCATGAACGTGGTCGATCCTCGCTCCCATCCAGGGGGCATGTTCACACGAAATCTGATCGGCAACTTAGCCGTTGGCGCCTTCAAATTGACCTACCCAGAAAATGATCTTGGCGTATGGTTCATCCTCCAAGATCTGAGCGTACGAACGGAAGGCACATTCCGCCTCAAGCTCAACTTCGTCGATGTAGGTACCTCCGCCTCGGCTGCTATGGACCCGCCGACACCTAGGGCTCAGACTCAGAGCCTCCAGACTGGGAAGCTCAACACAGCCGCGGCGCCTGTGCTAGCCAGCTGTTACAGTAACCATTTTCAGGTCTTTTCGGCGAAGAAATTTCCCGGTGTTGTGGACTCAACCGATTTAAGCAAGGCGTTCGCGAAGCAGGGGATCAAGATTCCTATCAGGAAGGATGGAGGTGGGGCCAGGGGCAATGAGAGGAGAGAATGGGATGATGGTGATTGAGGGCACGGTTTCGAAATGAATAAGCATCGCACTCGAGACAGTGGCTGTATATGACCCTTCGTACTCGGAGCATCCTCGGCTTGGAGTCGGGTTCAACCACCATATTTCAGGATAATCACAAAGAAATTTGAGGTCTTGGAAGGAACAAGACCATTTGGAAAAAGGCGTCTGATTGAGGGTGTGGGAGGCTTTAGTTTTGCGTTTTCGAGTCTGTTTTAAAAGACGTTCATCTTCAAGGACGAGGTTCGATTTTGGACGTTACCGCATTCATTGGGAGGAACCTCTGTAAACTTCGGTTTTGTATCATTGATGTAGAAGAGCCAAGGTTAGAAACTAATTGTACGCTCGAGTTGATCGATCTCCCCTCTTACTCTATTCCGTGACAGCCTTTAATTCAGCTCGTTCCACTGTGCCGACTATTTCGCCTCCCGGCCTCACCTCAGTCAAAATGTAGACATCTCTCGAGCATTGTGCGTGTGGCAGCTTCTTTCCGACTTTTGTATCTCTCCTTGAGACGCTTTCTCGGACATTTTGCCCTCGGTATATTGGCCAGAGGTCGTTAACCTCATCTAGCACCCGTTCCCTTCGTGGAATTCTCCATATCAGATTCCTTAATCTTCGTTGTATACGTTATTCATCTAGATACCCGTCTTCTGGAGGTATTTATCGATCAATAATCCGCAGATACCACAGAAAGCCACCATGCATGCTTGCATAGCAAACACCGGTCTCTTGACGGAACCCCCGGAGCCTGCACAGCGACGTAGCTCGTCACTTTATCCCATCCCATCCCGTCCCCGTCCCGTATACCAAACCCTCTCCTCCTCACCGTTCCGGCGCATCCACCAACCTCTCAACCACATACCGTCCCCGCGCCACACTCACAATCGGCACCCCCGGCACCTTCCTCACCCTCCTCTTCAAATCCCGATCGTTCGTCGCCACGATGTAAATCCTGCTCTTCATCGCCCGGTCCACGATGCAGTCGTCCGCGTAGGTGCCTTTGTGCGTACAATCCAAGACCTGGATGGCGGGGTCTTTGGCGATGCGGAGGGCGAGGCGGTATTTGGGGCCCAACTTCTCTAATTCGGCTAAACAGCAGGTCGTGATTGTCGGTTTTACGCTGGCGTATAGGCAATCCATCAGAGATGGTACGAGGGAGAGTTTATGCTGGATTGTGTGGGAGAGGAAGTTCGTGTCTAGGAGGATCTGGTAGGGAGGGCGCAGGGCGGTGTTGTAGGTGAAGAAGAGGGAGGTCGGGGCTTGGGGGATTGAGCGGACTATGCCGTCGTCTTTGGCTTTCTTTGAGGCTTGGAGGAGGTCGTTTTTTTCTTGGTTTTTTTTGAGGCGGGCGTCTCGTTGGCCGATTACGCGTTTTGTTTGGGCGAATTTGCGGGTTTTTTTGGCTGTGCCCATTTTGCGAGAATCTTTTAGAGATGGCTGTTATACATCGAGTATGCACAATCTTTGGATTGGCATCTTCTTGGTGGTGATGCCGTAGGCTATTTTTGGCTTGTGCGAGGGGTGTGGCGGCGGGCTCTACTCGGGCGTTGCCCGGCCTTCTGGGCTGCATGACCTGGATTCGGGCTAGCGCATACTCGTAACCTGCAACCAAAACAGACCTTCCTTGCTTCCGTTCCCTGACCACGAACTTCTTTGTACTTATTGTTTGACGTTCGCTAATTGGCTGTGCAAATCACATCTTTCTTTCGTTTGGATTCCCTCGTTCTTGCTACAGTCGCTCCCTGTGTATAGTGAATAGCATTCATTCGCTACTTCAGGGGTGCGCCTCTCTAATACGACGCTCTTCACCCCCTACCAAAGACATCGACGGCGCTCCTACAAAGAGGAAATCAGTTTAAGAGATTTTGAATCGCCTGGGATAAATAGGGGAGCCCGAGAGCGTTCCATACACATACAGACGCCGCTCAGGGCCATGAGGCTCCCAAGGCTATCACCAAACGGCTCGCTTCTTTCGTTCACAATATTGCTCCTGCTCATCTCACACATCGCCGCCCAAGGCTTACCGAAATTACCAAGCAGCGATGACGATAGTGATTCCTCCACCACGGACAGTGCCGCGGCGCCAACAAGTGATTCAAAAGAGACGGACTCCGCTTCGGCTACAGCTTCGGCGACTGACAAGACACAAAGCAAGACATCAGATATGCCCGGCTTAAGCGGTCTCCCTAAATTGAAGGGCGATGACTATCCACCCCCGTCAGTCCCTCCAACAGCAGATGCCCCCTTCATGCAAAAATCGAATCTGCCAGAAGGCACGGTGTTTATATGCGTGGGCGCAGCGCTGGGATTTATTGGTTTCATGCTTTTAGCTTGGAGAGGGTTCTTGGCTTGGTCCGTTCATCGATCCGTGAGGCGAGCAGCAATGGCCCAGGTAGCAAAACATGACGGCAAAGATCCATTACGAGGTCTCAAGACTAAGGGACCCTACGTAAGTACGGGACCTGGCTCGACACTATCGTTGGATCAGCTGGCAGGTGGGAAAGGTGGGGACAAGGTCAATTCTACCCGCAACAGTCTCTTCTTTTCTCCCACCGCGGGTGCCGGAATGCAATCGCCTGCCAATAGAGGTTCTGGATACCTACCGTCAGGCTACTATGCGGCTGGCAATGCTGCACCAGCAAATGGCGCAAGCTTGGCGCACATAGGAGCTGGAGTGCCCATGTCAAATCTGGGCAATCAGAACCGACGCTATTCAAGGGCATCGTTGAGAGCCAGTCCACCACATTCCCCTAGTCTACCACCAAGCAGAGGTACAGACTCAATGTTGAATGGTAGCAGACTCAGCACACAAGGCTTGGTCGGACAAGCAAGTAACAACAGCTTGAACCTCAGCGTGGCTCCGCAAGGTCGAGCACCGAGCGCTTATCTGGAGGATCTTTTCGAAAACCACCCGCCTGGGGGATCACCAGCGGAACATAAAAGGCATAGTAGGAGATGATGGGCATTTTGTATAATTCAGAAGCGTTTTGGATTACTCTGTTGGGTTGGGAAAAATCATGACTGCATGATGGAGTTGAATAGAAGCTTTGGCTCACAATGAGCAAAGCCTACGATGGGTGATGACGAGGATCTCTTAGATAGGAAAGACCTCATATAAGAAATTGACATACCAAATTCAGTCGTTGTCTGCGCGTGGTCGTATATCATTTGGCAGTCTCTAAAATCTCGCTCCTCCCGCTCTATTTTCCCTACATACCTATACCACGATCAAGCTTTTGACCACCTTTCCTACCCCACCTGATGTCGATGACAGCTCAAAAGAATGTCAGGCTTCAAAAGAGCCCCCGTAAAAGGCGGCGCTCCTCCTCGCAACTCCGTATTTGCCTCGCTGCGCGAAGCTCAGATTATCAACCAAAAGCCAGTCCTACCAGCAGGTAAACGCCCAACTCAATCTTGCCTATTGAAGATAGCTTTCCCTTTGTAGCAATCAACGTATTAGAGATTCTGAAAAATGCTAATAGGCTCAAGAGATCCTTTCACAAGTTCTCGACTATCTGCCCCCAGAATGTCAGATTCGGTGCGCTCGCGTGTGCAAACGCATGCAAGAGATGGTCTACGATGACACTAGATGGGTTCAACGCTTAAGGCTAATGGGATGCTGGGATGAAGGAGAAGCAAGAAGACAAAGAGCAGAGGCATTGCAGAAGCACAGGAAGGTTGGGAGCGTCGGCCTGCCTGTCAATGGAGAAGGGGGCCCAGGTGCTGGTGCAGGGGGAGCGAATGTGACGCTATCTGATACTACAGATAAGAACCACGATGATCAAGATGGTGAACATCCTAAGGTTTCTGTCACAGCTCCTGGCGGACTTCAGGATCTGCAAGATGGCTTTAACACCCTGTCTTTAACAACGAGAGACCCAATATCAAGGCTCAGTATCCTCAAAACGGTTCGCTCGATACGTGGACGTGCTCGACTCGAATACGGACGGGTGCATACAGCTCTGAACGCCTTCTATAAGGATGCTGTGCAAGTGCAAAACCACTCCCAAGCGAGAATCTTCCGAACATACAGAGATCCTAATCAGCAAGCGCAGATGCTAGCAACACTGAAAAAGTTTGGCAATAGCGACTTGGAAGAGGGATGGTGGAGGCGGCAGGAGAAGCTTGCTGCCGTATCTTTTGCTTTTGAGCAGGCAGTAACCAAAGAATTCGAAAGTGCTATCGAGTCCAAGGATGTCGATGGGAAGATGAAGAAGTACGCACAAGTACTTACCAGTCTCAACGGTGGCGGAAAAGCAATTGAGATGCTCCTTGAGCGAAGTCCGGTCATCTACGGCAAACACAAGTTTGGAGATCCTATCTATTGCCTTGATGGCATGGGTGACTATTCCTACGACAGATCGTACGACTTCTTCTCGAAGCTTGCAGTGGCTTTTGATGAGCAAGTAGATGTCATGGAGAGAATCTTCCCACCTGAGGTTGAAGCTATCATACCCTTCTTAGAGAAAGTGGGGAAAGCTGTCATTGGACCATTTCTTAATGCACTGCTTGACGAGGCACATCGCGTCTATGTTGAATCGTATCTCAGGGCTGTATCCGGGACATGTGAACAGTGTCTCGGCTGGGCGAGGGCATCTAAGGCAGCATCAGTTGCAGGTGACACCTTTCTTGACGCAGCTTTAAAGATGATAGTATCAATATTTGATCCACATGTGGACCTCTATCTCAAAGAGGAGCTTGCGTGGTTCAAAGACAAATCTGAGGCTGAAGTCAGCGAATGGGAGAGGAAGCTTACCGAACAAGATGCCACAATGGAGTCAATGTACATGTCGAACGTCAATCGACAAGCCGATAAAAGAGATTTCTTGACCTCGTTCAAAAAAGTCGTCATGATGCCCGTAAACGTTTTGCCTTCCTTTCAGAGTAAACCGGCTGCAGCCAAGGCACTTGTCAATGGCGAAAGAGAAATTGCAAAATCGCAGAACTCCACGAGACCGTCTACACCTAGCATACCAAACGGCACGGAATTGACTGCTCATCGATCAGTTTCACCCATGCCAGAGCCTCCGACTTCAGAACTAGCAGCGAAAGCCGCCATTATGAAGACGAGATTAGAAGGCATTCATTCCCTCTTCAGTATTGAAGTCGCCCTCAATCTGGTACACAAAGCCAAAGCCAGCATCGAGCGAGCGGCCATCTTTACCAAGCTTGGTGGACGCTTTACGGAAGATGCCCGTTTACAATGTGAGCTGATCTTCATCGCCCTATTACAAACCCTAGGTCCAAAACATGTTCAAGTAGGTTTCGATCAAGCGGTAGACCATTTGTCGAAGTACAATCCTCGCGATGCTGGTGGGGAGAAACAGCCAGGCAAGACGCCCCTAGTCACATTCCTTGAGCTCGTCAACGTAGGCGATCTCATACAGCAGATGCTTGACGTCTTTTACGAGCAAGAAATGGTAGCTGCAAAGCTCACGGATCGGAACGACTTTCTCAATCCTGTCGCCAAGGAGAAGAAACGCTTTGAACAAATGCTCGACTCTCGTGTCGCTGCTGGACTTAACAAGGGCATCGAAGTACTTATGGATGAAGTCGAATACGTCTGCGCCACTACCCAGAAAGCTGAAGACTTCAATCCTGGTGCTGCACCGAATGGGAAGTCGGACATCCAGGACATAGGACCAAGCGATACCGCCCGAAATATCACCGACATTGTGTCTTCCCACACCAAGATGCTCGTTGGCAGCACAGACAAGAACATGCTCGACGTATTCAATCAAGAAGTTGGGATGCGGCTCTTCACCGCACTGTGCAAGCACCTCAAACGCCAGCGCATTTCTGTCGCCGGCTCCATCAAGCTCATCAGCGACGTGAACCTCTACCATTCCTACGTCTCTACGCTCAAGAATAAAGATCTGCTTCAGTTCTTCATTGCGCTAAGGGAGCTGAGCCAGATATACCTCGTCGATCCGTCAGATGCAAAGTCTTTGGCTACCATTATTGCAGATGGTGATCGTTTCAAGGGTATCTTTCGGGCGGAAGAGGTGTATGAATTCGCGGAGCGGAGGGCGGATTGGTATAGTATCAAGGGCAAAGTGGAGAGGCATATGTATGGCATTGGATGCGCTGTTATGTGACTTGTCTTGTACAGAAATGAGTATCTATGTCTACTGCCAGACTTTACATGCATCTCGACTGCCTATAAAGATACTCCGCTTCGCTTGAGTTGCTGCATTTAGGGAAGCCTCACGCTCGATCGGCGTGATCCTGCAGACAGCGGGCGGTGCACTGCCTGCGGTCACGCTAAGAATGCAGGCTGCATGGACTCGAGGCGCAGTTACAAAAGGCTCTTCGAAGACTTCCCACTTCTCTATCTACCTTTCTTCCATCGTCCATCGTCCGGGATACTAACATTAGGAGTGTCACTGAAGGTGCGAATGTCGCCAACGACAAGAGTCGTTGAGAGAAGCCTTGTTTGAAATAGGTCTATAAATAAACGGTCATATGAACGAGTTCTGGCTCACTTAAACGCCTATAGCACGACGAGTTGGACGAAGAGGGACTGTTGTTTGCGTTTTTGCCTCAGATTTACGGTCAGCCCCTGCTTTGGAATTACATAGAGCGACAACAGGCTTGTTGGTCAAATTTTGCGGTGTCAGCTTTAGGAGCCGGAATTGAGCATTTGACAAAGAATCTGAAAGATCATTTGAACGATGTGCCGCATTGAGCGGTACAATGAGGTCTTCCTAGATGGCCATGCCGAACAGAGAGAAAGGGTTCTCAGTTGCATTGCCCGCGAAGTTGATTCATGTCAAAGCTCTGAATGTGTTAATTTACCAGATGTCCCTGCTTCTTGGCAAGATAATGAGGAGCGTGCTAAGAGGCAGACTTCACTGCTGAGAGCTAGACCAAATATCCAAATAGCAGGATCTTCTAAGAATCCACTTGCTTTGCGCCCCAGATCTGGAAGAAAACTTCCTTATCTCAAGGAAGCAGCTGTTTTAGACGGCGGCTCCACCATCAAAATGATCGAAAGTGATGAGCAGCATTTCGCAGGCGAGGCTATCAATGACATCGGAGCAAGCCTTAACAAGGATGAGAATATCACGGATATTTTCGCACCTCCTCTTACGCTCACTCTACTCTTGGATTGTGACACATGTCGAAGACTCAAAATAAAGGTAAGATCTTATGAACCCCAGCGTGGTTTGTTGTGCTCATATGATGCCAGTGCGACAGGCCGAAGACATCTGTAAATTCACCTTGCACTTCCTGTAGACGTCAAAATATCGTTTGTCAATTTCAAAAGCAACTAGCACCACCTGCGATGAGCAAAAAGGCGGAGGCTCCTCCTCAACTAACGCTGCATTCACCATTGACCCGTGCAGAGGATAAGGAAGCAGGAAGACATTCTATTGAACCGGGATCTGAGGCTTGTCAGACAAGAGGCCAAATTCAAACAGGTGCCGGAGATGACGCCTTCAAAGAGACTGTCGATGGAGTTGATCGACCTCACTATCTCAAGAAGATGGTATCTGAAGGAACGTGGACGGAAGTGACCAAAGATTTGGTCAGCAAGCAAGCAATCGAGCAGATGCGGTATGAGTACGAGGAGACTCCTGGCTTTTACTATATCATGGCCTACCTGAAATATGTAGGTGGTCCTTGATCCTATTCTGTCGCAGTGACAAAGATACTAAGTAGAGTATTCCTTAGGAGGACGTCTTGGCTCTTATTGAGCTTACAAATAACAAGCAACACACCATAACTCGTGCTCTTGACGTTGTTGAGAGTGGGGCGGATGAATCAGAGACCGCTGTTGGGCTCCTAGAAAAGACTTATAATGATATGCTCGCCAAAGTCCAAGCTCACCCCAGTACCTACGCCTTGAATTCTGATGAATTGAGAGTCCTGCATTATTTTCAAAGCCGCGCTTGTGCTAACGATGACCTGTACGCAGCGATTGTGCGTAGAAAAGGGGCAACACCCGCTCAAGAGTACTTCTTACCCTCTGGGATGCCACAACAATATCATGGGAATAAATTGAATAGTCTTGAAGACGTTTCAGACCAGATTAACAGGATCTCAGACAATAGTGAACAGAAAATTTCTACTTCGAGAAAAGCCATACAAAACGTCAAGCGGAGAGAGGGTTTACTGGGCAGCAACAAAACCGCATCAGAAGACAATCTATCGGTGAAAAGCCCAAAAGATGACCGGGTGACTCCCCGAAAAGCGCACTTCGCTCAATTCAATATATCGCTCAAGCAGCAACAAGCGTCAGAAGTCTGGGCCAAAGGCGGTTGGAAAGTTGCAGTGTCATTGCAAAAAGAGGACATGAATGAAAAGCTCGAAGTTGATGGACTCAAGAATATAGGTACAATGGATAGCATGTCCAATCTGGCTTTCATGTACTGGCGACAAGGGCGTTTTGCCGAAGCCGAGGAATTACAATTGCAAGTACTGGGAGCCAAGCGCAAAGTCTTGAAACCGGGGCACCGAACACTAGCTGCAAGTCAAGCCGATCTAGTCTTCTTGTACCAGCTTCAAGGGCGATGGGAAAAAGCAAAAGAGCTTTCCGAAGAGATAGGAAGGCGACTGGGACTCCACTTCACTTCAGTCAGCCTAGAGGGATGGCCGAACAAGATTCAGAAGATACGGACGGCCGGTGCTCGGCTCTCAAAACCCCCTTTTCTCATACAAAGGGCTCGAAAGATGGCGTTTTATGTACAGTGGAGGCTTGAACGAAAAGAGAGCCCTCCACCTACCTTGTTCAGATTGAATACCGTAGTGGACTATCAGATTCATGGAGGGTTCTCTCGAATAGAGCGATGTAAGGCGTACGTCGAAAGCTTCAGTGGCAGAGAGTGGGATTGGTGGCCACTTGCTCAGATGAAAGAGCAGGTCCCAGAAGGCAAGATAAGGCTCCAATGGCAATGTGTAAGTGTCCGGATGCTTCTCATACCCGTTTGCTATTACTCTCGATTTCTTTCCAGGACTTTAATACTCTTACGCCCACCTTCTCTTTGGCCTCTAGACCGCAACTCAAACACAATCCATGCATCTTAAGGCACTCAAACTGATAGAGTCAGGTGTGTGGTGAGACGCAGTGGGCCGATATTTCCACGAGCCTGGCACGGAAATGCGCTCAATTTCGTACCAAGCCAAGCAATGGGCAGAGCCAAAGGCAAAGCCAGCAATCAACCTCAAAGATCACTTCTGAACCGCCTGTCAAACAGGCAAGTTCTAGTACGTCTAGCTCTGTGTCGTCAGGACCGAGCAACACAACCATTGATGGATTGTCTCACTCTGCCCAGGGCGTGATCGGCTCCGAACGGTCCTTCGACGATACCAAAAAACTTTTCGTACTCTTCGCCATTCATCAGAGCTCAAAGATCGATCACACACAGATTGAAACGAAGATACCAAAGATCCATGACGACGCAATGTTCTTTGCAAACCTTCGTACAGAATACCGTCTTCTGAGAGGTCTTTTACGGTATTGGCTGTCACCCTTTGTATTCTCACATTGCTCTTTCGTCAAATATACTCGCTTCTACGTCAACGAGCTCGCTCACATCGGACCAAGTCTCCCCACTGACTCACTTTACGTCTATCATCCTCGACCACCAGGTCCACACGATGATCCACCAATCTCCTCTCACGAATTCAACAGGCGGTTCTATTCCACCCTTTGCAATCCATGCGGACGCGGCGAGGCGCTCGAAAGGATTCCGAAAAGGATGAAACGCTTCCAAACCCACATCCATGTTGACGGACGGGAGCACATGTGGGGCCTCCAAGTGGAGCTCAGGCCGAGCTTCATAAGGGTCCTGCTGTGGCAGATCGCTATCACTGCTGCTGGATGGGCTTTGCTAGGCTGGTGGCTAAGCCGCCATAGGGGAGATCTGCAGGGTGCTGCTGTTCCAATTACCTTGATTCTTACGGCGCTCGTCGCATTATGGGTACCACTTTGGGAACGCATGAAATGAAGATGGCTTCTAGGTGCACATCAAATTTTTGTATTGGTGGCATTCAGGCTCTATGTCGAGGTGTCAAGACTCTGGGTAGCAATGTCTGCCGATATTACTGCCATAGGTAATGAAATTCTATGCTCACTAGGCCAACCTTCGAGACTCGAATGAACTCCTTCGGCTCTAAAACAGCTCCCTACCTCAAAGCTCTATCGGACTCTCCTTCAAGAAAACCGGACTTGACAGACCTCTCCCACTAACACAACTATCAAAAAGCAGATTCTCCCAAAGTGTCGCCATCATATTTCGGAATTGAGAGGCTCTTTGTCGTCTCTGATAACTAATTTTTGTTACACACCTAAGCATTCTTCTGAGAATCAATCTCTACGAACGCTTGGATCTTTTCCTTACAGCTTTGAAATGTGTGGTCTGCTAGTACGCCAACTTCGGGTGAAATGTTCTTTGCATTGCCTCTTAGTACTTGCTCGGAAGATTTGTGGCGAGCCTCTCTACAGCTTGTGATCCTGCTTGAAATCATCACCACTCTCGATAGGCACATCCTCATCATAAACCAAAGGCTCCACTGACTAGCTAACCTGATGCCAAGAGCGTATGGTAGCCTTCCACAGACGACTCCTTTCACCCTCCCGTAAACGGAGAAACATATGTGAGTACTCAATATCAGTGTTCAAGCCATCCTTGCATTCCGATTGCTTGATCTGTTTTTCCATCGCTGCAGCGGCTTCTGCCGGCCTGTTCGCTTCGTTATTGATACATCGTTGTAGATGATCAATGACAGCATCGTTCTGCTTGTCAAGGAGACTGTAAAATTGGAAAGCTTCTTAGAGCAGATTATATTGGTGTCTCAACGATCTCGGAATCATAAGCCTGTGGTAACTTTCCACAGACTACTTCTTTCACCCTCCCGTGAAAAGCAGAAGAAAAATATGTGGGTGCCCAATATCAGTGTTCAAGCCATCCAGTACCGGCGTTGTTCTCCTGACAGTTCTGTATCTTGATCACTTCTGCATGGCTGCAGCCACTTCGTCTCTCCAATTAGCCTTCTTATTGGTTCGTCGTCGGAGCTGGTCAAGATCTCATTTGCGCCATCGTTGAATCTGCTGAGGATCACATCGCCGTCAGGAGCTGCCATTGTGGGTGTGTAGCACAATCCATGCTGAGTACTATCTCGACAGCGTATGCGACCGCGCACGTCGCTGGGATTTGGAAGAATACTACTTGTTTTCTCCTTGTCTGGTATTACCTATATGAAGGTCTGTCAGCGCAAGGACTGAGGCCATCAAGCACTGTGGAATGATATGGAAAGAAGGAGCTGTGAATGGCTACAGCTCAAAGCCTGAGGGAGGCTTCCACAGCCCGAGGATGATGAGATGATCGTTTCATTCTGTTTCGCAGCCAGCTGTGGAGTTGTGGGTGCTCCCTTCAGAATAGCAGCCAATAGCTTTGAGTGATCCTGAGTAGTTGCAAGATCACCTGGCGCGAGGAATGGCATCCAACTTCTTCAGAATTCTGCCTTCTCTAGCATTTTCCGCGGATTTTTGATATATACATATTTTTAGATGTTGCCCTTTCGGGACACTTGGAGGGCCGTACACGTCATGATCAACTGCCTCAAGTGACCATTTTGGTTTCCCTTTTTCATTGTGTAGCAGCTGGTGTTCAATTGAGGGGTGGCGTGGTTTGTCATCGCCATGTTGCTGGCACCGTAGGATGCTGCTTGACGTAGTATGACCAGAAAGACATTTCCTTCAGGTCATGGCGAGGTTGACGACTCGGACATCCGGTACAATACTTGACCAGTGGAAATCCTCAGCGCATGCACGTTCGGTGATGCGTAAGACCACTCCAGACTCATTGTATGGTATGATGATTATCACAACATTCTCATTTGCTATGTCGCCTTTGACTTAAGGGCGGTCCTTACTTGAAATTGACGAAGAAGATGTTCTGCGGAGAAGACACGCCTGGAACGTATATCTTTGTAGTATTCGTAGACCACGAAGTACACGAAAAGCTTCGAAAGATTTCGCTTCGCTACGGGTACTGACATTTCACGATTGCGTATCGGAGGCTGGCCGGTTGAAGCCTGCGCTATAATGAGAGGCTGTCAAAGCCTGCCGTGGATTGTCCATTGATACACTTGTTTTTAGCATAAGAAGCGACTGCAAGCAGAGCGGTCGACAATGGTGAAGAAGGAGAACACTCCTGTATAAGAGATGTAGTGAGGCTTTCTCTCTAAGCAATTGGAGATGAAAATACATCTCTTTCAGAAAAAATGGTAAGGGAGGGGTACAAACATATATATATAGTTACCACATATTTGGCCTTTCTCACTTGAATTGGAGTGGAGGAAGACAATATGTTCAGTAGGATGCCTCGTAACAAGCAAAGGAAGTCGTGCGTTGTGTACACTTGGAAAGTAGCAAGACAGGGTCGAAGTGCTTGGGCCTTACGCAAGACTCGTATGAGGAACAGAATACATCAGTCGTAGTATTGCTGAGTGATGAGAGCGAGAACATATCACGAGGCTAGAGGAGAGGAGAGAAGAGGAAGAAAGGGTGAGGGGCGGCGGGGTTTATATACCCTCCAGATCGAACGGTGATGGATCACAACAATAGGAAGCCAGCTGTCTCTTCACCCTGGAGAATGTGAATAGCAACAATAGGATCATAATGGGAGCTTTGGAGAAGTAAGACTATTTGTGAACTCTGGAGATGTCTCCGAACTGGGACAAAGCGTTGAATATATAGATGACTTAAATTCAATGAGTGATACAGTACTGCCAGCGTAAACGCGTCGTCGTGAATGAAGGAAGGTCTGTGGAAGGCTGCCACAGTCATCGTGGTGGAGTGGCAATCACAATGAAGGAGGCTCCCACAGTCGTCAGGGGGAGTGGCTATCATGGTGGAGGGAGGCTTCCAAAATCGAAAGGGTCAAGTGTGATTATCACAATAGAAGGAGGCTTCCACAGTCGACAGCGTGAAGCTACCACCACAATGGAATGAGGCTCTCATTATCGTGGGCGTGAAGTGACAGCCACAATGGAAGACATACCTGTATTCATCCAGTATTGTATGTCTAAGACACCTAGTGAGTTGAGTATGAGGGAGGCTTGTGGGATCGACTGACAAGCTTCCCACTAGCAGTAGTTACTCAAGCAAAGTTGGACATTCCGACAAATGCGGGGAAGACCAGGCAGGCACAGCTCTAGATCGGAATTCCTCAAAGGCGGTAGAATGACGTGCAGCTCAAAGTCAGAAAGCCAGGTGCGAGTCCGTGTCTCAGCTAACCCCAGGTTTTTGCTGGGTGTATTCCTCAATCATTGGCTGCACGTTAGCACGTTCCTACATGCTGGGCTAACGATTCGATGTGGTAAGATGAAAGGAAATGCCGCACGGAGCCATATGGTTCATGGACGAGGGGTGGAAGCTGCGTCGTTCTGGCCATAACTAGAGTCCTCATTGTAGTATAAACTGCTTCGCTCCCTACTTCTTTCATTGCTTCCAAACCAGCCTTGAATACCTGCCATCGTAATGTCATCCCAGCTGCCTGCAGTCCGTCATCCAGATCACCCAAAGGTCCGAAAAGACCGGGTCCGCCTTCTGATCTTCCTGTACCGCAAGGAAGGCATGAGCTTCGACGATTTCGACAACTACTGGCGTGACGAGCATACCGAAGTGATATGCAAGATCCCCATCTTTAAGAGGAACCTGCTCAAGTATGAGCAAGTACGTTTGCCGCTCCGTGATACTCCATCGCTGTAGTCTGACGGGAGAGCAAAGATTCATCTGCACAAGGATGAGGTCGAGTCTTACAAGAACGGCGAACGCCCAGTCGCAGTCGCGGATTATGATGGTATAGCTGTCCTTGATGCAGTGTCGGCCGAAAAAATTCGAGAGATGTTCGAAGACAAGGAATACCAGGAGACAGCTGGTGAAGACGAAAAGAATTTCATCGAGAGAACCAAAGCAGTCATCTTTCCAGGGGAGATTGTCAATATCTTTGATACCCCAACTTAGGTCCTTCATCATTTGGGAAACCGTGGGCTGAGCGGATTGGGTAAATCGGGGCTCTTCGGGCTGTCAAGAGAACCATTCATGTCGCCCATGAGGATATCATCTGGTAGCGGCCCACGATTAGTGCGGACCCATTCTGTCTCTACCCGAAAGAAAATCCACATCCAACGCCTGAGCACTTCCAGAAATTCCATCACAAATATGCCGCCCTCTAAGTCATTGAAATGGTCTAAATGCGGTGAAAGCTTCAAACTCCATGTGCATCGTAGCATAAAGTCTATGACAATCGCGCCGTAATACATCTCCTTCGTATGAAAATGGGTGTGCCGTCGGAGACCCCAGGGATGTTCGGGGTTGTCCCGTTCGGAGGAGAAGAGTGTGAGATCCCAATCTTTGGCCACATCCCAGTAGAATGAATAGAATGAATTAATGAATACGAAAAGAAGCCTGAAAGCGTTAGAATTGATCGAAAGATTCAGTACAGTCATTGGGAAGACTTACCACAAGCGAAAGAGGCCAGTCTCTGTCATGCCGTATCGTGCTGGGTCATGTCCTCGCTGCATTGCGCTCAAAATAACCACAGGAAAGGCGCTCGAATACTTTAAAGCGTTCGCAAGATGCTGTCCGCCCCACCCGCTGTGTGCAGTGGGATTCATTTTTACTCTTGAGTACTCGATCAAACATTGCCTGAGCCGGATTAAGCTGGGTACAATGATGATCAAGGGCACCATATACGCCCCTCCACAGCTTCGATCAGGCCTGTCTGTCGATGACGCACCCGGGGAGAAGAACATGCAGCCTGCAACGAACCAATCACCCAGAACCTTTGCGTAAGATGTCAAGACGTCGGCAAGGAGGATGTCGCCAAACTTTCCTTCTCCTGCTTCGGCTATTCCGCCAATGCTGACCCGTTTAAGAGTCGATAGGAACCTGTAGCGTCCATTTATGGAGAGCTTTTGGTAAGGGACGAGGAAAAGGATTGCCAGGAGGAAAAGGTAGGATTGTGGGAGGATGTCCCAGGCAACGACCAGTGAAGCCTGTCCATGGGTGATGAGCCAGTATAGAACAATGGAAACGGCAAGTGGTAATGTTGCGATTGCCGCAAATCTGTATGTGCGGAGGTAGGCAGGGTCTTTTGTGGCAGATCGGCTTGTGTATTGTATGAGGGCAGGAACGTCCTAGAAGAGCATTTTAGCAACCGAATCCGATCCACCTGCTTCTGAACATACGATTCGAAGAAAAGACAAGTATTGAAGGTTTACACCCCACGCCCATATACCCAGCACGAAAATAACTCCGATTCTGTAAGGCAGGGGTAGGAAGAGACTGAACGAATCTAGCTCAGGCTCGACCGCAGGATCTCCGTCCATGCTGCGAACATGGCCAGGTCTCTAGATGAGCGACTCGTCAATATCGGAAGCTTCTCGCCAAAAATCTAAAGAGTGACTGATTTGTGTAATGACATTTCCTTCATTTGTAGAGCTGGCATCGAGATACGGAATTTCGAAAGATTATATCTTCTCGCCCACCGTAGACCCTCACCAAGGTACTCAATTCGCAACTTTCGTTCCTACGATGCTCAATCACGACTCTCTTGCAATCAACAATGACGGATCTAGCCTCACCTCCCCCTCCTCAGCCTTCCTCGACCACCAAATCCTCTCTCACGACCTCCTTCTTCGCCTACCCCGCAGCGTCCTCCCCAGACATCATCCGCTCCCACCAAAAAGACATCTACCTGACCTCTAACCTCTCGACCTCCCTCACAGACCTAACTCGTCGTTTTTACGGCGCGCGTTTCGCGCACAACTACTCTGCCACCCTTCAATGTCTCTCTGAACTCCTCTACTTTTCCCTCACAACTCTGGTGGGAAATAGGACGTTAGGGGAGGAATATGTGGATGTCACTCAGGTGGAGGCGAGGACTGGGAAGTTGCCGGGCGTGGAGAAACGAGCGGGGTATATCTTCAGTGCTGTATTGGTGCCCTACTTGCTGGGTAAGGCTCTACCGCGGGTGAGGAGCAGGGTGAGAGAATCATTGGAGGCGAGCCTGGCGAAGAGCGAAGGGCAGGAGGACGGGAGCAGTCAGCGAAAGAGAAGGAGGAAATTGCAGAGGTATCTGCTCCAGAACCTTGGTGCGCTCACTTCGACGGCGCCGGTGTACGCGATCAGCCTAGCTGTGTTCTACTTCTCGGGTAGCTACTATCACCTCAGCAAACGCCTTTGGGGGCTACGATACGTGTTCTCGAAGAAGCTGGCGCCGAGCGAGCAAAGAGCCGGATACGAGGTGTTGGGAGTGTTGCTGGTGATGCAAATCGCTGTGCAGACATACCTGCATGTGCAGGAAATGGTTTCATCCAGTGTGGATGAGAAGGGTGTGGAGGTTGCGGAAACGAGGCCGGCAGATAGCAAGACTCGAATCGCAATGAGCACACATACACCATTGCCACCTACCGATGAAGCCCGTTACGATCTTGCCGAGGAGAGCCGGCTGGGATGGTTGCAACCACAGCAGCAGAGGAAGTGCACGCTGTGTCTGGAGCCAATGAAGGACCCGAGTGTGACGACCTGCGGACATGTTTTCTGCTGGACATGCATCCTGGATTGGGTCCGAGAGCGACAGGACTGTCCCTTATGTCGGCAGGCCACGCTTGCACAACATGTCTTACCGCTGAGAGGCTGATCACTGACTAAGATCAGTCTGTAGAAATCAGACAGCGGACAGTGTACCCTATCGTTGTATGATTGAAGCCAACAAAACACTAAGTGCCATTCTTTATGATTTTATCTGAGCAACAGCATAGGTCTCAGCAAACAGCTGTATAGATGCCGGTAATGAGTTATCTTCACTCAGCTACCTCCAGCTAATACTCCCAGGAAACATGCGTCGATAAGCCATTGTTGTGCGACTTAGCTTATAGTTGATGACCTGTACGACATCGTTCGTTTTAACATACAGGGAGATATTTGGAGTGCCGCTTACCGGCCATACTCTCATCTCGCTTCGCTTCGACGGTTTCATTATGATATATTCGTGTCGTAATGTAGCTTGCAAGACATTGACGAAGAGGCGACACAAAGCTCGTGACAAGCACATCAGAGCCATTATACCATACTGAACCATTTTTTTTGAGCAAACCCACGCAAATGATGAACGACCAATAGCTCTGTAGCCTTCAAATACCTATTTCTTCTTGTAGCCTGTTGCTCGGGTTTTTAGGCGAGGCTGCTTCAAGATTTGCAATCCCTTGACAAAACCTGGCCAGTCAGGAAACCAAAGCGACTGATCAGATCTTTCTGGCGTTAAAGCATGGTTAAAGCAGACTACCACCTCCTTGATACCGCGAACCTTCAGTAAATCCTTAATACCATAGGCTTTGGGCCATTGTACACCACATGTGGTCCGCCAGCTGCATTCAATTTGAAGCCGCTGAAGACCCTTACAACCAGCAAGGGCTTTTGCTGCTTGTGCCGGGGCTGTCCCACAGAAATGATATTTGATTGACCTTATGGCTTGATGATCCTGCAGTGAAATCTTGCGTAGGAAACGCTGGACATATTGTGACTCCCGGAATTCAAAGGTATTGTAATGGAAGAAAATTTGAGCAGTCTCATTATAGACTGCCTTCGATGCTAAACGGAGCGATAGCAACTCGGCTTGGTCGATGCTATAGGCCTTTCTTTGTTCTGGAACTGGAGGTGATCTGTCAGTGGTGTAGACAGACGGTGGCGAGTGTCTTTTTTTGTAGCTGATGAGAACCGTATCTGGCTGTGACTCATGAGCCAACTCTATTCGCAAGGACTCTCAATAGGGCGTTGCTCGCCCTATTTTTCATAGCAGAAGATTCTGCCTTGGAAGGCGGACGTACCTGAATCAAATGCGCTTTGTACACCATCATTCGAATTTCAAGTGGAAGTTGCATTAGGCGGAATGGGATTTCATCTGGACCGATCAGCTCTGAGAGTACTTCATTGCTATGCCCTTACCTGTCTCAACCTTGATCTTCGCAAGCTTCATCTGGCCCTTTACCTTGCGCATTTGGACAACGAATTCCTTCTGCGGCATCGTAGCAAATAACTTGTTGTCACATGATAAGGTATAAATAGCAAGCTTGTCCAAGTAAAGAAGTCCAGAAGACAGCTTAACTAGACTCTCAAGTGTTCTTTGTGCAAGGAAATGGAAATTGAGGTGTCGTCTCGCCACGCATTTGAAGTGTTGTAGGGAGATACGACACTTGGGAAAAGTTGTGGGGGAGGGGAAAGCAGTAAAGCAGACAGTGTACCCTGAGCGCAGGATTTCGTGATGCACGCCTTCATCGCTGGTCACTGCATATGTCTCTTTACAACGGCATAGACAGCAAGACTTGACATTTCAAGCGAGTTCATGAGTCAAGAAAAGACACGCTGAAATAGCATACGTAACTCCTAGGCTTTATGAAGGATTGTTTTCGCGGTGGGGATAGCACGTAGACAGCCTTGAATTAGGGATGCCTTCGTTTTACACCATTCAATGAGCGTGTGACGGACATATGTAGCAGAGAACGATAGAGAAGGACAGGAAGTAAAGACATAAGGTCTTGGGAAGTCACAATTTATTAAAAGGTATATATTAAATTTATTGTCTATGGTTTTCGCCTTCGGGCATTTGGTCAATTTGAAACGATACAGAGAAGATTAGCATGGCCCCTGCACTAAGGATGACACGCTCAATCAAAGAGAAGCTAAAAGTTTTTTTTTGCTGGTTCGAGCCGCGCCCCAACTTTTCACCAGCGGCATTAAAACAGGACGAAAAGAGCAACACCACCTCGTCAAGAAGCCTGATGGCAAATCTTTTGCAGGCACACTTGGTCTCTGCGCTATTCTGCATTTTCATCGCATACAATCATTGTCGTGTTTCCCTATTGCTGAGGTGGTGGAAGCGCTCAAAAGGTTGATTAAGGGGCTCGCCAAGCTTCCTTTTTCTTCAGCTTCCATTCCACCTCATTTTTCCTCCTTTTTGAATCTTGGCGTTTACCCCTGACTTCTCGACTATCCACTGACCAGCTGAGGCTACTGTAGGAGCTTGTCATACCAGATGATTTCCTGACAGCCCAGCATACTACCTTGTGCAGCCTTCTCCACTCTCCCAATGGTGCTTCATACATCCAGTTGAGATTCCATAGCTGGCAGATAGCACACCGCAGACTGCGTCAACCATCACACAAGCATTGTAACATGCATCATAGTGAAACAGGCAAGCATAGCACGGGACTAAATTGAGAACAAGGCAGTTTGATGGATTGACAAAGCTTCATTTTAGCTATTAGACAATTAAGAATTAAAAGATCTGTGTTCTCTCGCATGGTTTGTACACATATGAGTGCAACGGCAGCATAATTGTGTACAGCATCGCTGCAGTATATGTTCCCAAATGTCCCATCCCGTCCGTCGTTAGAAGTGTCGTTATTTGCAAGCAAATTCTCCCTTTCCATGCAAAATCTTTGTACCGTGCTTCAATTCTATGTGATAGCCATTTGAGAAGCCACGTCCGGTTCTTTCTTTATTTACCTGGGAACGAAAACATACTTCGCGACGGATGGCACACCTTGGCCGTTGATAGCGAACAAGTAGTAGTAACCAGGAATGAGAATACCATAGTCGTTGGGCACAACCATGGTATAGGTGAGACCATTGTTAGTGGCAGTGAGAGGGATACGTCTCTGATCGGTGTTGACGGTGTGGGTTGTCGACCCGAGACGAACCAAGGACCAGGCGGAGACTGGGACGCTAGTTGTAGCAGTGATCGTACCGCCCGGAGTGACTTGACCGGTAGCCGAATTGATGTTAGGCCGAGCAGCACGGGATCCATCAGCATTAAAGAGATATCTCGGGCTGTAAACTTGTCCGTCGAAATGGTTGGTGTTGCAGCCACCACAGAGACCACCACCACCGCTGAAGATAGTGGCATCAGGCAAGAGAAGTGCGACCGAGTGATATACACGGGCAACATTGATAGGGGGAGCGTGATGAAATGCCCAGTAGCGGCAATCCAGATTTCGGGCGTCAACTGAGCAGTGTCGTCAGAGAATGGCTGTCCGTATACCTGACCACCAACAATAAGGACGTTGCCCTCAGGCATCACGACGGCATTGTGGAAGATACGTTGGAAGTACATGCCACTGATCCCTTGAGATTGAACGGCTTGACCCTGAGTACCGATTTGAATCGTGACGGCATTGGCAGTCGCGTCGACATTTTGATAGCTCGTGGCACCACCGACAGTAAGAATCTTTCCTGCCACTGCGTCGTACATGACGGCGCAACCGCACATTGCGTCATTGTCATTGGCACGATTGCCCGCAGAGTTGGTAGCACCGTTTCCGTTGGCATTGTACCAGTTCATTTGCTTGGAAGGCCCAGCTTGGAAAACCCAACCTTGCTTCCAGCCAAAGAGCCAGGCGTGATTATCAGCACGGTAAACACCCTGAGCATCGTTGGTGAGCATAGGAGCAACTGCAGCGCCAGGAATGCTAGTCCATGCGTTCTGTGAGATGCTGTAGACTTCACCATTCTTGTTACCCGTGCCGCCGGACCAAGATCCACCAATCACGAATGTTCGGCCGTCAGACAGCGTGCATTGCGCTTGGTAACCTCTCCCGACATTCATTTGAGGGCCGGTCGTCCAGCCGTCGGTGCTAGGAGTGTAATAGCTGGTCTTGGGCGCGTCATTACCGCCGGTGACGAAAACGCGGCCGCGCGAGTCCATGTTTAGACCAGGGCAGAACATATCATGACCCGTCTCAGCGACCAGGCGCTGACCAACGGTTTGGGATGCTGGGTAGTATGTCGAAGTGAGAGTCTTGCCACCTGATGGTCCTCCAAAAGTGTCGGCAGCGTATGAAGACCAAGTGAGCATGTTTCCGCTGTTGTACTCCATCGCTGCAGCAACGGGTACGATGGGGAAATCAATGGTAGGTGACCACTCGCCTCCGGAAATGCCATTGTACGGTGGTGCTGCCGTCGTGGTTTGATAAATCGTCAGCTCGGCAACGCTGGACCAGGGACCACGACCACCAGCTTCTGTAGTAGCCGTCAATTTGACAAATCGAGCCGTGGTGGCTTCGAAGATGGAAGTCTTGGTCTGCGCATCATCTTTCCATGTACCAAGCACCTTCGGAGACCCAAAAGTTACACCGTCTGTGCTCAGCTGGATGGTGTGACCTCCAATGTTCCCGTTACCAGAGCCGTCTTGGCGTGGCTGATAGGCAATACTGTTGATGAGGTAGTTCTTCTTCATGTCGATCAGGAGGTAATGGGGGAGACCCTTGCCATCCGCACCCCATGGTGTATGCCAAAGAGTGTTGGCATTGCCATCGATCGCATTTTGAGGTTCATTGCCCGGCTGGTAGCTGTCGGCAGTGGCAGTCCAGCCAGCATTGCCAATAGGAGCGGCGTTTGGTGCGACAGCAGCGCGACTGACGCCATTGGGTGTTCCAGGAATGGTATTCACGTCGACACCGTCAAGTCTGTCGAGATTTTCGCCTTCAGGCTTGCCTTGAGCTTTTGTTAGTTGGGCAATGGCCTGATCTGAAAGGCCGCCGTTCGTCGCCGGGAGGATACGGGCGAGCGAAGTGGAGGCAAAAGTTGCGGCCAAGAGGCCTGCCGTGGTGAATTTCATGGTGAGAGTTTTGGGAGTTGAATATTAACAAGTCATGTAATTGAAAGGCAAGTAAGGTCCGATGTTGTGTACACAAGTTGGATGATATACACAAGCTGCGACCAGATTAATTAATTAATACGAAGGGTATAAATGGTGAAGGAAACGAGAGGCAAAAGTGAAAGAGTGAAGGAAGGAAGGAAACGAGTATGAAAATACTCAAGTGACAGAAGAAATGGCTGATACAGAGAGAGTGGGCTGAACGAGGCGACAGGGGGGATGCAGATGGCATTTGAAGAAGCAGGGAAATTGCAGATGTACTACTTGAGAGCTAGAGGCGGTAGAGCTGGGATGGAGGGGGCCCCGTTGGTCAGGCCATCGTTAGCCTCTCTTCACTTGCTTTCTGTACTTTCCCCTTCGTGTCACGGTGTCAGCAGCGAGCAGACACGCGCCAGGGCAGCCGGTGATGCCGGTGCGGGTTCATCAGGACTCAGGAGACAGGGAGTGAAGTCGCTGGATGAGACGGTCAGGGGTTGGTTGGCAAGGTTGGTCATATCCGCCAACGCTAGCACCCTTCCAGTATTAACGCCCTCGGTAAAAACCTTGGAGGGGGCTGCAAAAGAAAAGGAGGGAGAAGAAAAAGCCCAAGCTGCTTGTTAGTTCCCTTTTAGCAGGGTCCCCCTGGACGTTCGGCCCATCTTCAGCGACTTTGCGCTCAAAGAGGGAACCTGGGCTGACCATCACTATCACCAAATATATACTTACGTGTGTCCACCAACACGTCTTCTTTTCGATTCTTTGACTCTTTGAAATTGCATGACATCCTTCCCCTCCTTCGCCTCTGTCACTGTCCAAAATGGGAACATCTTGACATAATGCCGGTGCCTGAATCCCACTTACTCATGGATTTGTGACATGACCTGACCTGCCCCATCGCTTTGCCGACTCTCATGCACTTGGCCATTTCCCCCGCCTTCATGCTGCTGTTCTGCTCAAGACTGGGCTTGGACTGGGGCCCGCTTTCATGCGCTAGACGTGTGTCTCACTCTCGCGAGGTGGAGCGCGTGAGCACTGACCCGTCCCTGCATTCGTATTCATGCCCCTCCTCCACCACGACGTCTGCCACTTCAACGTGAACAAGAATTGTGGAGGTGCTAATGTCACTTTAGCTTCGCTCGATGCGAAATTGATCAGATGCACAAGACAACGGTGAATGCTTGAAGGGCATGAATAAGCAAACATATTCTCCGACCGCTGTGGGGTGAGCAGATTCGCGACCTCAAGCGGCCGAAGATGGTTGGCATCTTTTAATCCGTAGTATTGCTGGCTCAGTCAGGCGATCTGCCCGACCCTGCGCGGCGCGCTCGCTGTCAAAGCCTGCGCTTCTCCGCTCATCTCTCTGGGAGCTCTTCCACCTGCCTCTTCTCACTCAATAATGTTTTCATGCTTGCAGAATCAATCGCAGATGGATGAGATGGTGCCGTGCGAACCTGTGCCGGGTGATCTTCAACCGGCGCGAACAAGGCCCAAAAATAACAACGTAATGTCGTCCACCGTAATTAAACCTTCGCCAACCCCTATGCCAAGTCTTGACGATAACTTCTGGTACGGGAGAGCCTTCGATTATTTGGCCTTGGACCTGGCTTTCTCGCAATCAATATGATGATAACAAATCCCTCAACAGTCCCCAATAATAATCGTACTACTTGGCCCCGCCATGTGGCTGCGAAAGGGAGCTGCATCCAGTCCCTCCCCTTGCTCGGGAAACAATGCTGTTGTCTTCACGGTTTCCATGGGTTCCACCAAGATCGATACGATCATGCAGGCAGCCTCTAGCTGCATCTATCCTCACGTGCAGCGTTCCATTTAGTGTCCCACTCATGCAGCTCTGCAGCCATCAGTCCCAGCCTTGCTGGTTGGGACCTGCATAAGTGCTGCAGCTCCAGCGAATCGACGCTTTCCTCACTGGTACAGGCCGTTGCTACTGACAACGATCCAGCCTTGATCTTGCATCATTGGCGAAATTATTGTTGCTCACGCTTTGGGCGCCTTAGGCAGACTTGAGTGATCTCACTTCATGATGCGATTTCGTTTGTATGCTGGTCGAAATGCGCTCATCCTTTATGAATTCACTGGCCAAAGAATGCCTCAATCAAATTCAAAAGACATCTTTCTGAGCCAGTGTGTATCGATAATTACCGACGTTGCAATCCGAAATAGGGGGGTTGAAGAAGCTAATAATGTTGGAAGTCGGTTCAACCAGGTCTGTGCCTCTTCCTTCCCAGCGGTCGACGGCGGTTCAGTCGCTTCCTGGGCAAACTTTGTGTCAACGAGAACTTGTAAGGTTCTTCTACGCAGACTACGCTATCTACACCGCCTGGAGGCCTCTTCCTTTTGCAGTATCAGGTCATCAGCAGCATCGGACAGGCCGAATGTGATGCCAAGATGGGCCCTAGATCCGCCACCATTACTGAAAGCCGAAATCGTTCCTAACCAAGACCCCAACTTCTACCTTTCGTTTGTGAAACAAAGCCGCGCACTTCACACGAAGATCAACTGATAAGCCCCTGTCGCCTTCAGAGCCCCTTCCATCCGAACAGATACGACGATCAAGGTGAATGGTCATCTCACGCCACAAGTCAGCCAGAGCAGGGCGTTCTATCCAACGGGTACCTGTCCAGTGCCAACCTAATCTTGCCTGAGGCTCGACGTTCCTTGCCCCTGAAAGTCAGGAGATCATCTGCCCACTCTCGGTCGACATGTCTCGCACTATCATGATTCAAGATCTGACAGGTGTGGAAATTCATCGCCCCCCTCCTTCCCCACTGACGGAGAGATCCAATATGGTATATCGATGGCCTTCTCCCTTCATATAAATCGCGTCTGTCGACTTGATACTCACTGCGTGCTAAGAAACGCCATAGATATCGAAGCCCCCCTGGTGTCTTCCACACTTGCTGTGTTCGCTTTGCAAGACCGTTCTACTCCGCCTTTCGGCGGCTCACAGCTCCTACATGTATTCGCCCATCAGCTCCCATTCATATCTTTGGGGCAAAGGAGAAGAATACATCTGGTAGGCGTCGCTCAATGGACATACACATTCTACCCCATTTGGCCAATATTTAGTTGTCGAGAAACGACCTGTGCGCGCACTCCAAGCCATGTTCAGAAGGAGGTACAATTGTGGCGTCAAACTCAATACCACATACTTGAAATCCTTGATGAGGTTTGTAGACTCGAATTCGCCTTAGACAAACAAGGCGATGCTCTGCATTTCTCGGCACGTGCTCGTAAAGGCATGATGTTCGTTCAGTAAAGCAGTTGCTGATGGTAACGCAAGTGACCAAGTATTGGAAATCCTGCCCGAGACATCTACGTAAGCTTTTTCATTGCCTTTTCATGCGATATGCTATGTGACGCTGGTGGGTATGATTAAATGATAAGCCTCCTAGAGCTAATGATCTGGATCCTTTTATACCTTTTGGGATAACTCCTCTTGTGTCCTTTCGCTTCCTCGGTCTCGTTCGACTAATCCGGCTGCTATGTCTTTCCACCGCGAAAACGCATTCTTACCCTGCGCTGTCCTTTCAATCCTCATCTCCCTCGCTAGCATCCAGATGCAATCTATTAGCCAGGGACAGCAGTCCCGAATAAGCGACGTTGAAGCCTTTCGCATCCTCGCTAATGAATGCATCACCCAACTGTCTGAATAGACGGTTCTCTTCGGAATTCGCTCCTGGCTTCGGCTTGAAACCCTTGCCCGGCGAAGAAGGTACGTTAAACGTCGAAAATAGCGATCGAATGGAGTCGTATCTTGTAAGATACGATGAGCGGAAATCTTTGGTTTGCTGACTAGGTAGTCCTTGTATAGACGAACGGTGAGTGTCATGGGCAAGCGAAGGGCTGTGGTCATTCTGACGTGGGGGAAATTGCCTTAGCGGAGGATCTCGTGGGCTTGCTTGTACGTTCTCTGCAGAGACAGGAGCTGGGAATGCCTGATTGCTGACAGACTTGCCTAAGCCTTTCGCTGTCTCCACTTGCCCTAACTTTGTAGGTTTTTGAAGAGGGTCTAGGTTCTCTTGAGCTTCAGCTACCTTCTGACGCGCGATAGAGAATGGGTTTTGTTGGGCTCTTTGCACAGGCGCGTTCCGTTCCTGAGTATAAGGGCTACCGTGGGAAATTGAGTTGGAAGGTGCTTGGCTGGTATCACCGCTCACTTGCGTTGGGCTTTCGGGTTCCGGAATGGTACTATTTTGTATCAAACCCGAGTTCAGCAGTCCTTGACGGGCAAAAGACGACGACGCTGCAGCTTTTTCATTTGGAGGTAAACGCCTGTACTTGAACTCGTCAATTGCTGCTGAAGGTGTGGGAGCGCTCGGTCGGTGCTCTGATGGGGAATCTGGCGTCGTGGATTGAAGTATTCTCTCAGTAGGGGTAGCTAACTTTGGCATGCCATTTGGTGAAGTCTGAACTTTAATGTCGGCTTTCAGCTGAGCCTCTTGGGGGTCGTTACCTGCAAAGAATCTACCTGTAGCGTTATGGTTTTTGTCCAATACTGTCCACATGCGTCGGCTGTCGAGATCAACGGGCTTCCCCAGAGAGTCCATCTTTGCCATTCGCCCGTTATCCTCGAACCATTGAAATAGTTTTTCCAGTTTCGTACTAGTAATCTTGCCCTCCGCGCCTGCGCTTGTCGTGCATTCTCGATCACCAATTAGGATCAGTCCATCGCGATGGATCGAGAGGGCGACTTTCAAGCGCCGCGTTTGTGAGAGAAGCCCGAGATTACCACCTCCGTTAGCGGTCCTGACGCAGTCGACGATAGCAATACCGATTTCTTTCCCGACCCAATCATCAACTGTGGCCGCTTTGACGCCACTGTAGCCGTGTGAAGGATATCGAGCCTGAAGTGCCTTCAGGAGGTCCTGATAAACGGCAGCTTGGCTAGGGTAGAATGTAACGATACCGATGTCCGTCATCTGTATACCAGAATGGAGCATCAAATGGAGTACATGCATGGCAGCATTAGTGTTCAGTCTATTGTACATCGAACCGCCAAAGGGTATCTCAAAGCATCGTCCTCCTTGAACATCTAGTAAAATAGGGTCGAGTTTCGACGCAGACTTCTGTAGACATGGTAGCATTGCTTCCGCAAAGGCCCTAAATTGGCGCGCTCTCGGTCTCCCATTGAGCGCCGTAACGGGTGCGTCGTCCAGGATGGGTTCACGTAACGCCTTCCGCAGCACATTAAGGGGATCAGCAGAACCTTCCGCCATTTGAATCTGATTGTTGGCTGGCCAGATTTTTTCTGCAGACGCTGGCAAAGCGTCCGACCAGACTGGGCCCTTGATGCCAATCCCGTTGTTTTCAATGGCCTTCACAAGCCAGGATACGATATACTTGTCGTACGGAAGGAAAAGAGATAATAGCTCGCAGCGGATGATTACTTCTAGCTGTTGTAAAGCCCCTACTACCGACTCTGAATTGTTAGGCTTCGTTCCGTGATGTGTGACTTCAAATCCATTCCCGGCGTTCAGGAAGTCCACACGGTACAAAGCAGCTAGATGAGGTGGATCGATTCCAACGACTTTACGAAAGTCATCATTACTTGCCCGTGTATGACGGACACTATTTTGCCCATGGGGTCTGAATCTGACTGAGACAACGTAATATGAATCTTCCATGGCCTCTAGTGGTTGAGCTGGTGTGCCATGGCTTCGTAACATCAAACGAAATCCTAGGCACGAAGGATATCTATCGCTGACTCTTGTGCCCAAACGAAGTAGCATGGGGGGTCCTGTGTCTAGATTGTCGACAAAGTTTCCGATAATGACCGGCTTGCCATCATGGGTGTGAAGAAGAGCTATGGGAATCTCATGACCTCCAGGAGGTAGTATCTGGGGACTTGAGGCTTTTTCGGTATCATCGGTAGGTGCCTGAGCACTCATTGCTGTGAAGAATAAGGTCTGGTCTGGAAGTTCTTACTGCGTTAGAGCCTTCCAGAAGCAGCAAATAGCGACACGTTACCTATAGCAAACGAATTGCCTGCACCTCCTCCTTTTTGGCTAATGACTTGGAATTGCCCCGTGGACCGATCGCGAGAATGGAATCACAATCTGGTATTGGTAGCATGCAACGATACATAGAAGTGAAGAATTGATTGACTAGAACAGTCGAGATGTCAAGGTGTTAGGTTGTCCTAAATGGACGCGGGGAATAAGTGTTAAACATCATTCGTCACCGCAGTCTGATGACGACTAAGCCCTAGGGCTTTATGATTTAGTCAAAGTGAATGCATGCAGGGTGAGTCCATTGATAGTCGGCATATTCACTGAACAATTCACCAGTCCGGCAAGGTTTCAGGTTGTGATAGTCTGCGATCATAATCTATGGCAACATACGGTGCGGACGGGCTTCTTCGACAAGCCTTACTGACTCAACACACTTTTTACCTTGGCACCCAAGTCACCAGGAATATTCTTCGCTTTGTTAGCAGCCGCAGCGACCTTCGAAGCAGCCAATGCCCCTTCCAGGCCAAATTGACTCGGAATACCTTCTACACGATGTGTAGAGTTGATATTCTTGACCAGCGTTATCTGGTAACATGTAGCAGATCCCTGCCTGGAAATTATTGTAGACCACGCCAGAAAGAATTCCCAAATCTGAAAAGAGACATGAGCAGAGATTCTTATGGCATCAAAAGGAGAAGACTTACCCTGAACCATCGTTTCCCATATTTCCCTTCTACTTTTTCACGGTTCGCAAGCCAGTTGCGGTACCATCTCCACAGAGTTGCTGAATAGTGTACCCCGATTGTATCAAGGCCCTTCACTTCAAACCCAGCACCTTCGAGTTTATCTACAAACCAACCCAAGGGTGTCGATGCGTCAGCGCCGGGGAAAACATACTTGTTCATAAACAGCCCCCAAATGAGATCTTCATACTGCCAGCATTTTCTGAGTCCAGCGATCTGCAGAAAGAAAACGCCATCGTCGTTCAGCATATCATGAACTTGGGTGAGAAAGGTGTGGAAATGTCGCACGCCAACATGTTCTGCCATCTCAAGGCAAGTAATCTTGTTATAACCACCCTGTGGGATAGGAATATCGCGGTAATCCATGCACAGAATGTTGCTCTGACTCTCCTTCACTCCGGCTTTTCTCAACCCATTATTGCCCCATGCGGTCTGGTTTCTGCCAAGCGTGACACCGGTGACATGAGCACCGTAGACTGTGCTTGCATGTTTCGCAAGAGTGCCCCACCCACAGCCAATGTCAAGCATTTTCTCGCCAGGTTTGACGCCAATCTTCTCACATACAACGCCAAGCTTGTTATCTTGCAATTGTTCCAGTGACTCTTCCTTGTCGATGTCGGAAACAATGCCAGAGGTGTAAATCATTCTTGGCCCCAGAAACCATCCGTAAAAGTCATCTCCCCGATCGTAATGATCTCGTACCTGCTCCTCATCTGCACAGCTGTCAACATCACCCACTGCCTTCAACATCCATGAGAGCTACCTTGCGATCGCGAATGCATGATGACCTCCGGTATCATTCCAGTGAAGAAGAAACGAAAGAGGCTCAATGTGAACCTAAAGTTTGCCCAGTCGTGCCGGTACTCCAGCATCTCCAATGCGTCCCCTTTGAAGTCGACCTTACCATCAAAGTACATCTCATGGAATGTTTCCATGGGTATCTTAGATTTGCCTCGGTATCTAATCCTGTCCTTCTCTTCATGGAAGCGAAGATAGTGTTCGACAGGGCGCCCTGGGAACCGAGCCTTTTCATTCTTCCGCGGAGAGATTGTCGATGCCACGTACCAGAAGGACACTAGTATAGGAACGCTTGTAAATAGGGCAAAAAATGCCCAGGTGAAGAGACCACCATGGAGTTTTCGGGCGAGAAAGCCTGGTACGAGGGCAAGAAGGGAGAAAAGCAGGGCGTTGGAAAAGTTGTCACTGCTTGTCGAATCTGCAGGCAGAGGTGCATTCTTGACGGAAGGAAACTAAGAGAGCATCAGTACAAAATTTATGCAACATGCTGAGCTTCTTCGTAGAGCTCTACAAACAATGACGTGGGCAATAAGGTGAATGATTCTTATACCGTCGTTGTCCGTACACCACAGTCCTCATTGGGAGGCGTAGGCGATGGTGCAGCCGGTGTCTCCACAAACTCAAACTCGTCAGACGTTTCTGACGTTGACTTCCCCATCCTTGGAACTGTTGATGTGCTTTCTAAGCTTCAATGGCTTGGAACGCAGCCGAGAAAGATCTCTGCCGCTGGTGGGCATTCCGCACGGTACAATTCCGTCAAAACTCCTATTTTGGCCAAAAGGGGCTTCCGCCTTCTGACACTCATTCCACTAGGTTCATATTGCTTGGTACAGCTGCTTCCAGAAATTTGACTGGACACAGGACTAGCTGAGATGATACATTTTCAAATGGCTTTGACATTTGCTAGGCTGTGACTATGGCTAAAATGATTTTGATATGACTATTCGTCCGCACTCTTCCACCAACGGGCATTGAGCTCCTCATCAGGCGTATTGAGATCCGTTCTCTTGCGCCTTTCCATCTCCGTCCTCGCGGCTTGAAGCATCTTGAGATGGTACTTCTTGTACGGCTGTACACCATGTGTACCCAGATGAGCAAATCGTTCTGGGTCGGCTGGAAACGATCCTCTATACACGGCCTCACAAACATACTCAAGCACGGTGATGTATTTCAGTGGCGGCGTTCGAAGGGTACTAGCAATTTCAGGAAGTTCGAGTTGTTGATGGTGCCAGAGATAGTATGCACGCAGATTCGCTGAGGGAATTTGAGGTCCCATGGGTTGACTTTCTCGGTACGATGTAGCCCAATTGCTGGCCCTGTCAGCCTTTGTCAGAGGCATTTCCGCAAGTTTAGATGGACTTGATGCTTTATTGTGATGCTCATCGTTCACTCGTAAATTCTCGAGAGGCAAATTGGAATCCCGGATGTCAACCAGACGAAAGTCTGCCGCCATTGAGTCGATGTCCTCATCTGAGGAAGCTTCTATGCATGTCACAAAACTATCGTCCGAGGACTCCGAGTCATCATCATCTCTCTTCAAAGGGAGCCTTTTGACTAAAAGTCTTTGCTTGAGTTCTGCAAAGGCTGGCCTCTCGGGCACCGGATCGAGCGCTAATCTCTTGGCCTCCAGGCAGTGGAATAGCTGAAGGCAGGCATACGGATCACTTGCAGCATCTAAAAAATTTCAGCTCGGCACTATCTCGGGGAACAGGCATATCGCACATCTCGTCTGTTCAGAGTCTAGATTTTTACTCCAATCGGACGTTTGGACCTGATCTTTCAACAGAGGTAGACCCAAATGCTCTTGGACCTGTTGTGCGAGAGATACAGGGTATCTATTTATCTTATCCAGCTGGCCACTGTGATACTTGATGATCTTGTATAAAAAGCTGAGTTCATGTAAACCTCGACAGTGAATCCCAAGGAAATTTCGCAGTCGAGTGCTATCTCCTAATATAGCAACGCCTACCTTCAAGATGTCTGGCGATTCCATGATATTTCTGAAAGTTGGAGAAACGAAAGCGTCAGCGGTGTCATTATCCGGAAACCGGGCAATGTGAAACAGAGCAACGCGTTCTTCGCTTGCGATCTGGATCAAAGATACATTGCGCCTAGTGCCGTGGTTGGCGCTGGAATTGGCCATCCATTCAATATCGAAGCCTAATACTTGTTCGTCTGCAAAAAGTTGAGAGACAGATTCCATTGTCTCCTTGGTCTTGCAGTAATGGACTTTGACCACTTGTTGATCACTATTTGGACCTCGATACAATGAGTGTTGCCAGTAAGATTGCTCGCTATTTTCAGGCGCGCTTAAGGCAGCGCTCATTGTATCATAGGGAATATGAAAGCCCAGCGGTGTGGCAAAGGTTTCAGCCTGCAGCATCAAGTTTTGTGAAGTGTCGGGGACCTTCACCGAGGGAGTGCATCCTTCATCCGACTCAGCCTCATTATCTTTGTCCGAAATTTGAACTGAATGCGAAGGCGAGGTAGGTCCAGCTTGAGAAGCGAAGCTTGATAGGGATAAATTAGGGTATTCAAAAATCTGTGATGGGCGAATATCTAAGCGACCAGATGTAGTGGACTTTGATCTGCTAGACATATTCGTAACGAAGTGAGAACGTGCAATTGAAGAGAAAACAGGGCTCTTGTTTATTGCTGTAGAGTTGCCTGCGTGCATCGCACCAGGATTGAGTCCATCTTTGGTATAGCGTCGGATCTTCAGCGGTGCATCATGAGCCAATTGATCTACACACTGTGTTTTAGTCGACGTGAAGCCTTTGGTCTTCGATGCCAATACAATAGCGCCAACATTGGTCGCAACAGCAAGCTGATTTGTATCTCCAAGCGTCTTCGTCCCCGATGATTGTTTGGACTGTAGAGATCTCCCAAACTCGCCCTTCTCGTGGGTGCATGTGGGTGACTGGCAAGCCCAATTATTTCGCTTCAATTCGCACGTCTTGCGATTCCGCTGTATGCTAGAGATACTCCTTGAATCAGGAGCACAGACTTCTTGGCTTGAAGACCAGTTCGCCCTTGGGGAGTAATGAGGTGTTGTAGACGAGAGAGGTCTCGGTGTTTGGCTTTGGTTGGTAGGTGATGGTGGAGTCTCACATAAAGAGAGCAATTGAATATTGTGATGGACACCCTTGGTCACGTATCTCCAAGTCTTCTGGCTCAAACGGTTCGAATTTCGGACGCAAAGGTAAAACCTTTTGATGGTCAGGGATCCTGCAAATCTGGTGTGAGCGTGCATAGCAAGCCAGTCCCTCGATATCTTGAAACCCGAGTCATTGTCATTGCGTACTCAAGCCCTATATGAAGCCCGCAGCTCCTTTCATCTTTCTACGAAGAGTGAGTCGACCATTGTACAAGTAGCTCGACCGCGAGCAGCAAGCGGGACAACAAATAGCGCTAAATTGGGTTCAAGGGTGTGGCTGGAGCTGCCAAGCCTTTTTGCTGAACATCAAGCTTGATTACCTCTCTCCAAATCACTTGCCTAGATGAATTGATTATCTTCGAGACTATGTCTTCCACCTTGTTACCCCTCGGTAAAATTACCCTGAATACTCACCTTTCCTGTTGTACTGATCTTCGTTAGAATTAATTGACAAGTGTGTCGGCTCTCGCATATGGGTGATCATGAAGGGTGATAAAGGTAGTAAACAGCCAGTCGGCTTTGGCGAAATGAATTCAGGGCTAATGAGCAAAATCTGCAGAATTCGCCGGTACACTGTCAGGTTTTGACGATTATGTCAGTATGTACACGACTGCCCCAAGCGTATAGTAGTATTTCCTCACAAATATGGCTAGACATGGTTCTTGAAGACGTAACAGAATTGTAAGCACTATATGCAATTTATCAACGACATGGACTGATACTAGCGTCCAGCGATTACAGCGGTACAAACACGAAACTATCGAAAATCCTTTTGAACGGCAACAACATCTGCATGGTAATTGATCTGCTTTTTAGGACAATTGTTTGCTAATACACATTCCGTAAAGCTTATCCCCGGTGGGGAAGGTCCAGACGTCACCAACTGAAGTGGTACTTGAGGAGCGTTATGGCCCCATCAATACTCGCTCTGCAACCGTGAGGCCTCTCAGGGAACGGCATCTGCACTCCACGAAGGATCGCAGTGCTCGCCATAGCACGGAGACGCTCTTAAACGATCAATTGGAAGCATACTCACAACTCCAGTATCATCCATTGCGTAGTCCTTTGGAGGGAGCTGAAAGACTCTGATGGGGTGGTGATGGACTATCTTGAATGATTCCCACATGAGGTCGGTACCTCTTCCTTCGAATCTGTAGCATATCAAGAATACATAGGAGACAAGCCTCTCTGTCGGCCCCTACCTTCCATTGCCTGATTGTGAAGCTTCTCTGAGCGCTTTTTTGTGCCCGCTTCTTTGCATCGACTTAGCTTTATTCACTATTTATCAATCATCTCACCTTGCAAGGCCCACGGATTTTCACAAGTCTGGCATCAATCTTGTTTGGTACGACCTGTTATTGAGCTATCTCTGTCGCTGCTGTAAATTGCCAGTAGGTTTGGACGATGCCAATATCTCGTTCTGTCTACAGAATGGCAAAGCCAGAACGCACTGTGATTCACTTGAGTGTACAGAATATGGCATTGTCACTGATGGGGTAGTAAATGTCGAAATGCTAGCGATGTTCAATGATGTCGTTCAGCGGACGAAAGCGGGCTGTGGCGCGTAGTTCTGAGTTGTGGCTGAAACTAACACCAAGAAATTCGTGCTCATCTTTCTCATGTTTGCTATTGAATTTTCTTAGTTTTGCAAGAAGATATGACCATTTTGGGATAATCCTGTCGCTTTGTTGAAACAAACAGATATATTTGAAGTCTCCCTCTGCTTCATTGCTGTTCCTTTCCGACTGTACTGTCTGAGATGGTACATTAAGGAAATCGAGAAAATACAAGGAAGGCGCGACCGTCACGATGAACGCGCCGGATAGGTATGCATGCTTCTTTCTCAATTTTGCAGTTGTGTGGATTCTCTTTTTCCTTCTAGAATAGTTGTTCGCCACCCAACACTGTTTTGATCTCGTCCAAATTCCCACGCGGACTTTGAGTTGTATTTCAACCAACCGCACTTGTACGAGGCGAGTCGATATTCCAAATAGTGCAGCGCATACTGTCAAGAAATCCCACTGTACCCCAAGTGCTGCCAAATGGCCCAAGCCTGGGGAAAAGAGCGTGCGCGTTATTCCAATGCTTGGTGGACAGGATCGCGCCCGCCATTTGCAAACATTGGGCATCGGATAGCATCAGGTGATAACGTTAAGGAAAGGTTCGAACTGTTCCTACTCGGAGACGGGGAAAAGAAGGTAACGGAGGAACAGGACACACGTAAGCTCATGACTTTGGCCTCCTTCGTCTTCATGATTCGCCACCGGCTAATGATCGATTTGGTAGGCATTCCCTCTTCATCTATCTTTACGTTCAATAAAGAAGATCATACGCTTGGCAACCTCCTTAGCTCTCGCCTTCTCCAATCTCCACATGTTACATTTTCTGGTTACAAAGTACCTCATCCGCTCATTGCGTGAGTGTTCCACATGAAAGAATTCTTTTGCATCGCAGTCTCCGAGAGTGGGGCCCCCTGTCAATATACTGAAAAGTCACTAGTCAATTCATACTACGTATTCAGACCGATGGCACTCTTACGCCTCGTCAAGCGCTGAATCAAGCCTCTAAAGATCTGATTGCGGACTTTCAGGTCCTTAGCCGAGAGTTCACCAAAGAATGGGAATTACGGAAGATGGTTGGAGATACTGGAAAGTCCGATGACCGGCCGAATGGGCGGTAGAGTTGTGCAAGTGTCTTGGAGCTGTTATGTTGGAGGCGGCTCGGCGATGTGCAACTTTCATTTAAGTCTAAAAAGGTTACGCGACTGTTAAGTGAGCACCAGGGACGACGTTCAGAGACTACTTTTAGGAGGGGTTCGCCCGAAGATGAGACTATTAAGTCATCTGGTAGTCAACCAATATGAATCAAGAAATTGAGCATAACTGTGCCTGTAACAGAATGTCATTACTTGCGTTTGTATTCTGACTAGCTAATTTGTAAACGGGGCTGGATCATATACGCATATAACGCTCGTTGGAATAGATTAAATCTATTCATGAACACAAAAATTCATGCACAAGATAACCAGCTTATCTGTCATGAACTATTTGACTATATACTCTTGAGCCCTGAAAGCCGACAGCAGGGTCGAGATTCAAAACGATAATTCCGGACAACAATAGACAGGTTGATTGAGCATTTCACTGCAGACTTGGTTCCTTAATATTTTCCAAAAACCAAAAAATCAACTTGTCAATTTGGAGGCTTGTGACTGGACAGCTTCATTCAAAAACTAGTCATATCATTCATGAATCGTCCTTTTCATCATTGGACAAGAACACGCGCCCAAACCCAAGATATATTAGCAAGATTGAACCCAGTCTTTCCGTGAGTATTAGCAGAGAACAGTCGAGGATTCATAGCTATCCTTCCAATTTGCACAGATAACCTTTTCGGACTGGAGTCGAATGTGTTGCCTTTCGTGGAACAAAATGCTTGCAATGAAAAAGCTTCCTACTCTACCACGCTTTTCCCGCCAAGCGGACGTTCCGAAAGCTGCTGAGCGATGATAGAAGATACGGCATTTTGACGCGCAGGCTAGAGGGTCTGGCCAGTCAGGGGGTCAATCCTTGTAGGTAAGATACATTTATTATGGCTTGGCATCCAGGAAGGATGGAGCGAGCTCTCGTCATACGGCGTCCTTCATTTCATACCTCCTCGACCTTCTCGTCTGAAGTGGCTTCCATGACATAGAAACAATGTTCTCTAATCTTTCCAGTTTCAACAGCAGTAATAGCGCTCGTCCTGGTGCCCCGCAGTACGGGCAACCCTCCTACCTGCAGCAGAATCAGCAGAACGGCCTTGCACCTCAACCCACCGGCTATGGCCAGCTCCCTCTACAACAACAGTTCACGGGCTTTCCGGGCCAGCAGCAGCAGAATTTTCAAGCCCCTCCACAACAGCCCCAGTATACAGGCTACTCTCAGCAGCAATCACAGGCGCCAAATACCTCCCAACAGCAGCAATACCAACCTGGACAGCTTGCCCCACAACCCTCCGCCCCTTTGAAGACGGGTCAAACATCATCACAGATTGCACAGTCTTTCAACTCAAATACGGCTCAATCATCACCAGCACCCGCGCCCCCAAAAATACAAAAATCCCGAAGATACGATTATCGTTTCTGACTGCTACAGATCAGGCCAAGTTTGAGCAGCTGTTCAAGTCAGCCGTTGGAGATGGTCAAGCACTCGATGGTGAGAAATGCAAAGATTTGTTGCTTCGATCGAATCTTCCGGGCGCCGATCTGATGAGAATATGGACTCTCTCCGATACGACAAAATCGGGCCAACTACTCTTTCCAGAATTCGCTTTGGCCATGTATCTCTGCAATTTGAAGCTGGTTGGAAAGGATCTTCCGCAACTACTTCCAGAGAAAATCGCGAATGAGGTCTCTAGCATGGTGGACATTATCTCTTTTGGAGTGCCTGACGACCGACCTTCAGAGCCTACGCATACAAACGCCCCAAATTTCAGTGGTCTAGCTGGTTCGAATGCGGCACCAAGTATCCATCAGCCTCAGCCACAAGCATCCAATAGTCAGCTCTTATCTCAGATAACTTCTCAGCCCACAGGCTTTGCGGCTCAATACATCCCTCCCCAGCCTACCGGGTTTGGAAACCAGCAACAGGGCTCCTTGTCACAGCCTTCGGGCTTTCAGCAGCAATCAAATAGCTTCCAACAAAATCCCCAAGCGACGGGTTTCCAAGGACAGCGGCCCCCTTTGCCGCCGATGCCGGCTTCGTTTGGATCAAACCTTTCGCCCTCTCAGACTGGGCAGCAGACTGCCCTTCCTCTCAACGCACAGCCTACAGGTCGTCCCGGGCAATGGGGCCTCGTGAACGCACCAGCCACAGGATTACCCAATATAGAAGCCCTACAGCAGAGAATGATGCCTCAACCTGGGCGAGAAGGAGGGTTCACAACTGCAGGATTGGCTGGAAGCGCCACAATACCTTGGGCTGTCACCAAAGACGAGAAGAAGATATACGATCAACTCTTCAGAGCTTGGGATGGCTTAAACAGAGGTTTTGTTGGAGGGGACGTGGCTATCGAAGTAATGGGCCAGAGCGGACTGCCCAAGTCTGACCTTGAGAGGATATGGACATTGTCTGATCCAAACAACAGAGGCAGGCTCGACATGGACGAGTTTGCAATTGCGATGCATCTGATTTACAGAAAATTAAATGGCTACCCAGTACCCAATCAGCTTCCTCCAGAGCTTGTACCGCCCTCCGCAAGAAATCTATCGAGTTCAATCGACACAGTCAAATCACTTCTCTCGCAAGATGCAGAAACGCGAAAGACATCAGGCGCTTTCCTACAGCCACAAAAGACTGGGGTCAGTTATATGAAAAATCATTCTTTCCGCACTGAATCAAATGGTATCATCCCGGGAAGAAAAGACGCGACAATTTTCAGGCACAACGATGATGCTGTTGGTTACAAATCTAGTGCAAGGAGACGATTTGGTGCTGACGGCCGGACGCCTTCGCCAGCACAATCAGCTTCGCCAGTTTCAGAAAGGTCAACAGATGAGCTTTCGATCGAGCAACTAAGGAAGAACATTCACGAAAAACAGGTCTTGCTGGATGCTATGGATTTCAAAGACGAAAATGCTATCGAGGAGGAGGATGCCCTAGATCGGCGAGATCGAAGGGAAGCTGAAGACCTATACAAACGCATACGGCGGACTCAAGAGGAAATCGATTCCCATCCCAAGGCGACTGTTCAAAGCTCTGACTCAGGCACAGAACGGCGGAATCTGAAACGTCAGCTACAGAGATTCTCCGATAAGCTTCCTGAATTGGCATCTCAGGTTCGAAAGACGGAACGTTATGTATCAGAGGCCAAGCTTGAGCTATTCCGATTGAGGGACGCAAAAGCACATCCAGACACTGCATCCGCAATTGTAGGAACAGGACCCAGAGGGACCGTTACCGAAGGCGACCGCTTGAAAGCTCGAGCAAAGGCAATGATGCAACAACGATCGGCAGCCTTGATGGGTAAGAGTGCGCCAGCCGGTGACGGCGACGCCGATTCCGCAGCACGTAGGCTGGAAGAAGAAAGCTCAAAGGCAAAAACTGAGCGGGAAACTAATGAACGCATGATAAAGGACGTCGAAGATAGTGTAAGGGATTATTCTCGTACTCTAGAAGACAATTTGGCAGAGGGTAGCGAGGATTCAACTACAGAACATGAACGCAGGAGGTGGGAAGATGGTTTAGGGGTGGAAGACGAAGTTCGCGAATTCATCTTTGATTTGCAGAGAAGCAGCCGTGCCGCAAGAATTCGTAATCAAGAGTAATATGCCCTTGGCCAGAGCTTTTTGGGGCAGTTTGCTGACGTTTTGGCTGCACTAGACGCGGACGGCATAGTACTTCAGCACAAGACATTTCGCCAGATCGTGGTACTTCTCGTGACCTGACACCAACGAGACAAAACAAAGAGCCCGATAGGCGAGATCCAACAACGTCTTCTAATGTGTCTTTGGGTGGCTCGTATGCCTCATACAAGAGTGCCGAAGACCGAGCAGCCTTCATCAAACAACAAGCAGAACAGCGTATGGCAGAGCGTCTTGCAGCCTTAGGACTGAAAGCTCCTGTCAAGTCAAGCGAATCTACCCTTCAGCGGCAAGAGCGTGAAACGAAGGAGCGCCAGGAACGCTTACGCCAAGCGGAAGTAGAAGACACTAGACGAGAAAGTGAGAGACAGCGAAGACTGGAGGATGAACAACCTATCGTCCCGGATATGAGCAAGCCCATGAAAAAGCCTCCGCCGGCGCCTCCGGTGCGGAAGAATAGAGCGGACAGCGCTGCTCAACGAGCTGAGGCTAAACGAAGGGAAGAGGACTTACAGAAAGAGCAAGCAGAAAAGGAGGGCATGGAGAAAGCAATCAAGGATCAGCAACAAGCCCAGGCATCACAGACCCGAGCTATGGAGTGAGATTTGATTCCGCCCTATGCAGTGTAATTTCTTGCTAATATAGATCCTCCAGGGATGAAGCAAAGCGCCAAGAGGATGAGTTGGAGAAGGAACGCCAAGCTTCGCAAGCGCGATTGAAGGCTTTGGAGGAGCAAGTGAAACAAGGGAAAATGAAGAAGCAGGAAGAAAAGCGGAAAAAGCAGGCAGCGGAAAAGGAAGCCAAGGAAAAAGAAGCGAAACTTACTTCTCAGCGAGCAGAATTAGAGTCTGCCAGAGAAAGAGAAAGGCAACTTGAGCTACAATTAGAGAGCATAGGTGATGACTCGTCTGATGAAGAAGGCCCGCAGGAAATCACGCCGCAAGAAACGACTCCAACAAGCAGCCAAGTCTTGTCAAGAGACGGCAGCCAGCAACCTGGTGGGCAATCTGGCGGTCTACAGGGTGTAAGCGAATCTGAGGCTCCTATCAGCTCGGCTCCCACAATGGCGCATGCTCCTCCACCTGCACAAGCATCTTCAGCAGTGTCCGAGGCTTCTCAGCGTTCTTCGTTCAGCGTGGAGTCAAGGAATCCCTACCTCAAGAGAATGAGCCAGCCCCCTGAGCCAACAGCAAACTCGTCGTCTGTTTCGTCCCCGCCCGCCGCTGAATCAAACAATCCTTTCCATAAACTTGCCCAGCAGCAAGAAGCTGCAAAATCTCAGACATTGCCTCCACTAAGTTCTACACCAACCGGCAATCGCCCATCTCGTGTCCGGCCTGAAGAAGACGAATGGACGGTGGATTCGACGTCATCCTCCGACGATGAAGAACAGCCAGATAGACCAACGGGCGGCAGCGCAAAACAATTGGCCTCAATATTGTTTGGCACGATGGGGCCGCCAAGGCCCACGTCGGCAATGGAAGACAAGAAGTCGGTCGATAGCCCTATGAGCCCAGCGCCACCTACACCGAGCACAGGAGCTGCCGCATCTCCTCCGCCTCCGCCCGCTATGCCCGGGAGCTTCGATGCAAGTAGCAGTGAGGCACCAATAGCGCCTCCGCCTCCGCCTCTGCCTACAGCTGCGGCGCCGGCTGCTCCACCACCACCTCCTCCTCCACCTCCGGGAATCGCTCCACCGGCTCCTCCTCCGCCCACACTTCCGACGGGGTCTAGTGATACAGGTCGCGCCTCAGGAGGCCTCGCTGAGCGGAGCGGCTTGCTTGGAGCTATTCAGAAGGGTACAGGCCTGAAGAAGGTGCAGACGAAAGACAGGAGTGTAGCTAGCACAGCCGGGAGAGTTCTTGATTGACGTGAGTCTGTCACAGATTCGGGTGATGGTTGTACAGTATGTAATTGACAGTATGCTCTTAAATTCCTGGACATATGGGCCAGTTAGCCAAGAGTGGGGATCCTGCCTGTTCATTCTCCAAGAATTCGTCCGAGCTGATTGGCTAAGAATTCGTCCGATTGCCCCTCGAGTTCAGGGGTCCAAGCCCTATGGGCGGCCTAAAAGTTGGCTCGACCACGACGTAGGATAGAAGTCCAAGACTATCGTTAGAGGCACTTGCATACTTATCAGCCCTGAGCATATTGATATTTCTCACGCGATTAGGACACAGTTTCCCGACGCGTCGCTATAGATCGCCCGCGACTGTACGGATGGCGTAACTCCTCGAGTGTCTGCATTTTGCAATTTTCTCGAGTCGGGTACTCGGATCCATCGCATCGTCACCAGTCGTCATACGTTTATTGTCTCACAGAACAAAATTGAAGTGACCATAGCACAAAAATGGTTCCTAAGGCACCAGAACGCAGCTCTTTGAAGCGAGGCCGGGTTCGTCAGCTCAACGAAGCTGCTCTAAATGCTCACTGACACAATTTTCATACAGCCTTCGACGGGAGAAGTACAAGATGATCAGAAAAAGCCGCGTCGCTCAGAACGAATATCCTCCCAGTCGCAATCTACGCCCTTGAAGACGAAGGGCAAGAACGGCGCGTATTTGCCCTCGCCTCTAACCCACAAAGAGTCCACTGCAACAGAGGATTGGAGGGAGTCAACGGCGTCACCTGTGGAAGGGCGCCCCAGCCAGATCAAACACCGCTCACCGTTTGGCTCACCAATACTCTACACCCAGAATGGACTCTCTTCTCCCCCGCCGTATGATACTCAGGTGTTTTCACAATTCATCATGCCGCCCAAGACTCTCTCGCATGAAGTCGAAGACGAGGAGGCCGAGGGTGTATGGGGGTATCTCGTTCCAGTGGATGCTGTCTTTGGCGATACACTGGTACTGAGAAGCAGAGACGCATGCCCAGCACCATATCCGAGTAAAGACTTTGGTAGGGGATCGAAGAAGCGAGCCAAGGGGGGATGTGCGCAGGTCAAATATGCCGACCAAGAAAATCAATACGAGGCCAATAAGCGGGAATTGGGATTTCCTGCTACAGGATATCTCATTGGAAGGCACCCGGAATGCGGTATGGTGATGATTCCCACACACGATGGATACTCACTAACACGACATGAAAGATCGGATGCTCGAGCTTCCTACCATATCCAATAGGCACTGTATAGTCTTCAGCGAAAACAAAAAGGGCCAGGCAATTGCTGTGATTGAGGACCTGTCAAGTAACGGTACCTTCGTCAACGAAGCCATCATTGGCCGCAACAAGCGCCGCGAGCTCGAAGATGCAGACGAGATATCTGTTCTAGATCAAGCGCGCTTCATGTTCTACTATCCTCGTAATCGGGACGGTAACGCTTTTCGCCAACAGTACCGTATACTACAACAGCTAGGCAAGGGCCATTTCGCGACTGTTCATTTGTGTGTGGAGCGAAGTACTGGCATGCAGTACGCTGTCAAGAAGTTTGAGAAACGTCGCAACGAGAGCTCGAAATCGCAAACAGATGGATTAGAGCAAGAAATTGGGGTGCTTAAGTCTGTTAGCCATCCAAACGTACTCTGCCTAAGAGACACCTTCGACGAAGATGATGGAGTATATCTTGTACTCGAGCTGGCTCCGGAGGGCGAATTGTTCAATTGGATTGTCACAAAGCAAAAGTTGACAGAAGCAGAGACAAGGAATGTCTTCATCCAATTGTTTCAGGGCATTAGGTATCTTGTGAGTAGTCTGGATTCATGGAAGGTTACGAAAGCTCACGGATGCAGCACGAACGCAACATCGTCCACAGAGACATTAAACCCGAAAATATCTTGCTGGCGGACAAGCATCTCTCTGTGAAACTAGCAGATTTCGGACTGGCCAAAATCATTGGCGAGGAATCCTTCACTACAACACTGTAAGTCCTATTGATGATTCTGCATTGAAAATCTGCTCACAGGTGTTCACTTTTAGCTGTGGCACGCCGTCTTATGTCGCCCCAGAGATCCTTGAGAACAGCCGTCATCGTAAATACACTCGCGCTGTCGATGTGTGGTCGCTTGGTGTTGTTCTGTACATCTGCCTCTGTGGCTTTCCCCCTTTCAGCGATGAACTTTATTCGCCAGAGAATCCTTACAATCTATCTCAACAGATCAAGATGGGCCGATTTGATTATCCGTCACCTTATTGGGATAGTATTGGTGATCCTGCACTAGACTTGATCGATCGTATGTTGACCGTCGATGCGGATAAACGTATCACAATAGATGAATGCCTCGAACACCCCTGGATAGTACCAAACGGGGTAGCGACAAGCATCAGTGATAGCACTGATGGCCTGACCGGCGCTATGTCTGACCTTGATTTCTCCAAACGCAAGCCCGAGCGAGAACGCACACTTCTATCTGATTTGAATGACGTCAAAGTCAGCAAGGTAATTCAATGGCAAGATACGAAGGCACCAGTAAAGGTGTATGAAAATCCCAAAGACAAGCGCGTATATAATACGCAGCCAAACGGTACTGCACAGGTGCCGGATCCAATAGTCGATGAAACGGAAGGGAAACAGAATGAGGGTAAGGTCAGCGAAGACAAACCCGCTCGTGAAGCAAGGACAGACGTCTTTATGAAAATGGGTGGAAAGGGAGATCAGCAGCTTTTCGAGAATGGCCCTAAAAGTTGATGAAGTCCGGCTTGAGAAGTTCGACTATTAGGCAAACTGATCAACGTCGTCTCGGTCATCCTGATAATCTCCAACATGAAAAATTATACAACTGAAAAGCAGGAAAAGGATGGTATGAAAGGTATGAGTCTTCTTCGGATCAAATGTTAAGGAATTCTAGAACAGTCCAGCAAGTAGATACATTGTATCAGGTAATACCAAAGCAAGCGATGGCTCAGTGCGATCCCTCGAACTGAGTCGTCAATCGGGGCCTTTGCCTCAGTCTGTTTGATATAATGTGAATATATTCTCCATCCTAAAGTAGTCTAGCCCTGTTTGGGAGTAGCTTGGGTATATCAGTTGAATTCAACACAAGAAGATTGCCAGCGCTGCGCTTTGTCGGAGACGGTCTGCCTCATGGCTTCGGAGGCGGACTCGCTACTCTCAGTGAACGAGAGTGACCCCCGCACATATGGTGAGAAATCATTTTGCGATTCCGTTTCGGACATTTCGAGTGAAAATGCTTCGATCAATCCGCAGAATGGACAAGCGAATTCTCGCCGCAGAAAATATCATCAATTGATGCGGCCTGTCTTCATTCAAATCTTTCTAGCTATCTGGGTCATCGTCATTCTTACCACTGGGCTACTATCATGTACTTTGAGCACGACACGTGTTGATTCTGGGGGGAATCCCTCAATGACCATTGAGGCCAGAGTTGGCAGGATTTTGTCCGAGACGCCATTGATAGGTCCATCAAGTCTAATGCTGTGGGGAAGTCATTCTCTGTACTGATCTGACCGGTAGACGGCCACAATGATTTTGCTATCATGATCCGCATTCTCTATCAAAACAACATTTACAGCAAGAAGTTCGCCTCAGATTTCGAGGATGGCGGTATGCGTTTTCATGTTGATCTACCTCGACTTAAAGAGGGGAGATCAGGAGGTGCATTCTGGTCTGCCTTCATTCCTTGCCCCGAGGATGGCATGGACTTTTCGCACAGTAACTATGCTCAAGGTAGTCACCCTTGATAGTAGATGCTCAAAGCCTGTTCTTTGCAAGGCTTGAGGAGATGAGCTGACTTCAGCAGCTGTGGGAGCGACTGCCTCGCAAATTGATCTCATCCACCGACTCACAACGGCTTATGCCGACAAGTTCTCAGACCCGCTATTGGATAGCCACCATGCTCTGCTGGGGTTCAATAAATATCAGAAACTAATCTCGCCTATAGGCATTGAAGGCCTCCACCAGATCGGTAACGCGTTCTCCAATCTACGGTTGTTCAATTCCTTGGGCGTCAAATATGCTACCCTGACTTGGAACTGCCACAATATTTTCGCAGACGCAGCATTAGTGACCAACTCCTCAGGTACGACGATTGCGGCACCGCCATACTGGCATGGCTTGAGCAACCAAAAAGGCCCGCAGATCATCCAAGAGATGAATCGAATAGGCATGCTAGTCGACTTGTCCCATGTAAGTAAAGACACGATGCTTGATGTGCTCGGCGCGAATCCAAGCAAGACGAAGGGCAGTAGAGCTCCTGTCATGTTCAGCCATAGTTCTGCATACGCGCTGTGTCCGCATCCCAGGAACGTGCAGGACGATGTGCTACAGTTGGTCAAGAAGACGAATTCTATTGTCATGATCAACTTCTCTCCTGACTTCATCTCTTGCGTCCCAAATCCGGACTCATCGACCGGTCTACCGAACTTTGATCCGTCAAATTCGACGCTACATCAGGTAGCCAGACATGTGGTCTACATCGCCAGTCTTATTGGATATGACCACGTTGGAATAGGAAGTGATTTCGATGGGATGTTTTCCGTACCAGAAGGACTGGAAGACGTCAGCAAGTATCCCGACCTCGTAGCCGAGTTGCTCCGCATGGGTGTGTCCGATGACGACGCTAAGAAGATCGTGGGTCTGAATGTCCTGAGAGTCTGGGGTGATGCGGAGAAAGTTGCACGAGAGATGCAAGCAGAGGGCTTCTTGCCAATCGAGGATGACATTCCTGAGATGAACTTCACGGCAAGCTTGTTCACTGGACACGGAGTTTATTGAACGAAATCTCGACTTGCAGGTCTGGTTAACATTTTGACATATTCAAAATCAAAGAACATTTGACCATCAGACTCTCCAATTTGTACGAGTGATAGAAGGTAGGATTCTCGATATTCAGTTATAGTTATAGTTCAAGCCACTGTCAATGCCTGTGGAGGCGCAAGCTAGGTTTTCCCACTCTTCTGTCTTTCATTCCGGCGCTTTTGCACTATTTCTTACAATATCTTTGCATCACTTCAGCAGAAACGTATTTGATCTATTTCCACCATCTACACAACCAACCAAATGCCTGCCTTTTTGTGGGACAATTCCACCATCCCAGTCTCGAATTCAAATGTCACAATCAATTTTGGAGAGATGCATGCCCTTCGTGAACTCACCATGGATGGTCTCTATTTGTGGTTCATTCTCATGTGCTTGTTGATTTTCTTCCTTGGAGGTGAGTATATGACTCCATACCAGCTTAATTTACTAATTGTAGCGTTTGAAGGGCTTTTGAGACACAGATCATGGATGTGAAAGTTTTGGACATGGTATGGATGAGTAGAAGTTGTGGTGAGTGGAGATGTATTGCTTTCATTAAATGTACACTGATGTAACAATAAAAGCAGGAGAATTCTTCGCAGGAGGAAATATGGGAATGTAAAAGAAGTTGCAGGAATGAGACAGACGGAGTACACAGGAAGGTGTGGATCATTATGATCATATTACATGGGATATAATGTCTCTACTCTGAATTACGGATGCATCGAACTCGATGCTAGTCCCTCGCCAAGCTATTTCTGATTAAGAGAATTGCGCTGTGTCCGCATCCCAAAAACGTACAAAATGATGTGCTTCATCTGCTGAAGAAGCCATGCACAACGCCTATTTTTGAGCATCTCACTTTGTTCCAAAGCTGACGCAAGGACGCCGTAGCCTACTAAACATTCTACCCTCGTACTCACGAAGTTCACAAGGGAGCCGACAAGCGTTTCGGAGTCGACGTTTCTCGAGGTCCAAAACACTCTCACATTACACTATCCCGCCCATATGAATGACCACCCCAACTCTGATGTAGCCTCGGCGAATCCGAAGAGATCGACGAGACGTGTGGCGAAGAAAACCCGGGTGGAGGCTGAGGTGACGGTCCCGGAGTCCTCTGAACCAGGCCTCCACCATCCAACTCGCTATACGGTCTACCCGACGCATTTGTATCGGCAGGAATAGACATGAGTTCATGGGCTTCAATGATGAGGTCAGCTTTTTCGTCTTCCACACAGGTCCTAGTAAGCTTACCCTGTGAGTATTCGTTTTTCTCCATGTCTTTTGAGAGCGGTGCGGTCTCGCTCGCATGCTTCACATCCTGATCTGGGATCTCTTTTCCCGCCGCACGTGCTCTCGCCCGGGAGTGGGCTGCCTGCTGGCGAGACCGTATAGCCCGTCGACGAAATAGAAGGGCGAATACTGTGAGTAGGATGGCCACTGCGACGAATCCACCGATAGCACTTCCGGCGATAGTGCCAGTGTTTGTGTGATGGATAGATTGAGAGACGCGGGTTGTGGCGGCCGCTGCGGATGTATCTTGAATGCTCCCCGAGGACGATGTTCCAGCTGCACTTGCACCGGATGAGGAGGTTGCTGAATGAGAGGCAGTCGTTGCTGACGAGGATGGCAAGAAGTCTGCTGCTTCGCCTGGATTTGAAGAAAGAAAACCAGCCAGCACCTCACCAGACGGACACCCACTTGCACATGGGTTGATTCTGCAGCAACCCATGAAAGGTGGGTCAGTGTCAGCACACGTGTACCATCCAGTATCGTTTGTTGGACACTGTTGATCTGCAATCTTCCCATAATGCGAAGCATCGAAGCTTGCTGGCTCCACGTTGCCAGCAGAGCACCCTTTTAAGCATGCATCTTCGCGACAGCAGCCGACAAAATGTGTCTTCTCATCAGGGCAGGCATAGAATTGCCCTCCGCTTGGACAAGATGGATCGAAGGATTGTCGGCGAAGGTGTGATTGCACGTTCAATGACATCTCGAGACGATGTGACCAAGAAATCTCGGAGAATCACGATGATGTGTAAATGAAGCGCAAAGACTGAGTCCTAAACTTGAAAAAAGGCAAAAGAAGAACAAGTAAGTCTGTGAGAGAAGAACGGGAGAATCTCAGTTTTGATGAGCCGAAGGGGTCAGGTCAGGAGCTCGCTCCATATTTCCTGAATTCTTTGGAAAATAGGCAAGTCGTATACTCACCTGCATAGGTTTCCGGACGATAGCGATAATGGTGGTCCAGCTGGACTGGGAAAGGCTGGATGGTCACGCTTGCCTGCATACGAGTCCCGAGAAGAGGCAGGAACTACAGACAGGACCCGGCAGCTTCACAGCTTCGCAATATGACGTTTGCAAATGATGGACCAGAAATTTATCTACATGACATATGTGGTTAATAATGGCTGGTCAGCTTACCTTCTCTTTGGCCCCTTTGGCGCAGGGGCTGTACAAAGAATCCTGGATGTTGGCTCCCTCATTTTTCTACTTTCGGAAGGTAGACAGTCTCACTTGAAAATATGGTGGACTGGAGATCGAAAGGTTCCGTTGTGTGGGGAGGAAAATCTTGAACGCCATCTACGCATGACGAGTTCGCTGTCCATTGATCCCCTTGGCTCTCATGTTGCATCGTTCGTCAGCGCTCGTCTCGATGACTGGATTGCATCACCAGTTGTAGGAGTGCTTGGGCTTAATGTTGGTGTACTGCCTCATGCGAGACTGGTGGCGAACAGCCGACCTAGACTTGTCTAAGCCGAGAGTGCTCGTCGTATGACTCCTCTATTTTTAGGAAGGCATCCTTCAATATTTGTACTTCCTGTGGCAGAGTATGGTGAGGCCAAAATATCCGAGTGGTGAAAATAGGGGTACTCTAGCGCGAATTGCGGGCCGAAACTTCCGCGGGAGCTGCATCAGATTTCTATTCCAGCATTGATTCACCAATTGTGCATTCTCCAGTGCCTCTACCTTGCGATCAGGATGAACGTTACGAGAAGGGCGCCGTCAGTGCGCCTACTAAGCTCACTCCATCAATCAATCTGCTCCGGATGCCTTGATCGCCGACGGCTGCACTCAAGCACCTCTCATCTACCAATACCCTCACCAACACCATTCATTCCAGATGTACCGACCTTCCTCACCGTCATAGGACGCGGTCTCTCTAAACACGCCACCCAAATTCCCAATTGGCCATCTTTGTTTACACTATCGAGCGCTCAATTATCAGAACTCGGTGTTGAGCCCGCCCGGACGCGGAAGTATCTGCTCTGGTGGCGAGATCGATTCAGGAGAGGCATCTTTGGCCCGGGAGGGGACCTGAAGCATGTGAAAGATGGAGTCGGCGAACTGAAAATTGTTGAAATGCAAGCGGGCAGCTCTCAGCCTGCGGCGATAGCGGGCCTGGACCCAACGGCAACAATCCCGAACACGAAGAGAATTGTGGTCAATATACCAGAAGAGCTGCTGGAGGATCGTTCGAATGTACGAGACTTGAAGGCTGTGGAAGGTATGCGGATAGAAGGAGCGCGATCAATCAAGGGGCCGTTCGCCGCACCTGTGAAAGGCACGAGAGGCAGCGTGGCGACTATGAAGGTGCAGGAGGGCATGTGGGAAGTGAGGAGAGGGATCAAGGTTGATGGGGGTGAGAGGAGGAAGAAACAGGTTAGAAGGCAAAGATTGCTTGAGTCGAGGAAGAAGTCGAGAGCATGATCCAATGACAGGAATCAACATCTTGTATTAACGGCGAGACAAATTGTGGGGGCAATAGAGTACTGTCACCTTTGGTGGTATTAAATCGCTCGAGTTTTTCTTATTGTGTAAAATTCTCAATGTGAAAGTGTCTTGCGAAATAAGTGCGAGATCTAATCCGGTCAATATCGAAATATTGCTTTATTAGAGATGCTTGCCATGCTGTTGCTAATCCATTGGGGTGGCCTTCCCAATGCTCTTCTATGTTCTCCACCTGGATATAAATGCCAACAATTTGAGTCGGGGACAGCGCTCGAGCAAATATGTGTCAAATGGAGAAGGTAGAAATAATATTGCCTACTATTCTGGAAGATCTTTTGATATCAGATTCTGATTAATTGACAGCAGACTGTCAAAGATCCGATTGCAAAGCTACATCATTAGGTTACAATCTACATCGCGTTTATCTTACAGTACCTTCACATGAGAAACACCCGGCAGCACGCTCCTCAACACCCTTTCGGGCACGAATACCTACTGTCATCTTCCAAGCTGCCACATTTTAGTCTTTGATCAGTCCCTGCTGACGTGGCTTTTTTATCCACTCCATTAGCAAGCCAACATCTTTCACAACGGCTCCAGGCACGCCGAGTCTCTGCATCCACATTGGCAGCCATCCTTTGGCATCACTAGCTGTGGCCATGAGCCATTCGATATTCGAATCTGAAAGTATCCGCACGCGCTCTACGCTTACGTACATGCTAGATGATCATTAGCAAATTGAAATCTGTCTCTTGAACCCCGAATACGCTGGATCTTTTTGTTCAAGCACCAAAATCAGAATGAAAAGCAAGCCTGCGACTGGCAGGAAGATAATGGTGACGTACCCCAAAATGACCTGTTTCTTCTGCAGTTTATCCTTCCCCTCCTTGAGATTACGCTTGTTACTGTAGAAAGCAGCAGTAAAACTACTTATGTCGACAGGTAACTGTACCACGAGCAGTTCATCCTGAAGGGGCCCTTTCGCCGTTATGACAAGAACAGAGAAACAACGATTATAGAGTCCAAACGGCAATTGGTGGCACATTTCTTGCACGCTCATCTGTACGTCCGTGAATTCGCCACTTGTGCTAGACAACTTCCCTTCGAATCCAAATTCTTCGTGGATCTGGTCGTTGTAATTCAAAATTTCGGCGCAGTCATACAAATCTGGTGTATAGTCCTTCTCTCGCTCGGGATGATCTCGTCGGGTGCCATAATCAAACTCCGAAAGAGTTGCGGTACCTTCTTCGCTACTGTTCGTATGATGACTTCTCCGAGCAAACCAATGTTCTGCATTTGCAGGACCATGACCAGACCATTTACGAGGTAATTTTGGATCCTGCCACGAGACATGCTCCAATTCCCGGCTGTATGATTGGGTCAAAAGTTCCACTGGGCTCGTAGAAGGAGGTGACTTTTTGGAACCGTGACTGGTGAATTGGCTGACATTGGCTTTAGTAAAATGGTAGGCTTCTTCCAAGATACTGGTAATGAAAACGTGCAGGCTAGGTCGATCGATAGGCCCCTGATCTGCCTCAGGATTTTCTATTGAAGACTCAAGACCGGCATGAGAAGGGAGCTCATTGATGTGAAGTAGGCGTAAGCGCAGATAATTTCCCAACTTCAGGTCTGCCATCTCCAAGAGCAAAAGATGTGAATATTGAAATGTGAGACCAAGAAGTCGATGACAAAATTGTGATTATTTCAGGAGCGAAAAGCGCGATCAATATACTGCAGACATTTAACGTCTATGCTCAATGAACCGGAAAGTTGCAACAGGAGTCACTAGTTAGAAGGTAGACGTCATCTCAAGGACGATAAAGTCAATGCAACGACGGCGATGCAACGCCTTTGTCATCTATTTCACAGAGACGCGGATAATTGTGTGCACATGAGAACGCGCCCGATGCGCGATGGTCTCGACGAGGCTTTCTCACTTGTTGTCTTGACCTCTGAAGTGCGAATTGAATCTGAAGTATTGATACAGTCGAGATTGATTGGTTGGCTGGTTTGTTCTTACTATCCTACGCAGTTTACTATTGGCCGCTCATGGGAGGTGACTAAGCGGTGTTTGTTTACGTCGTCCCTTCGACTTTTTGCCACCTTAAGTCACTACTACGGCAGTGTCCATTGCTTATCTACGCTCCTTGATGTGTATCTTCCCACTCTGACTACCCCGTATAGATATAGTCGATTGCAAAACACCCTGCGCACTATAGTAAGGAAGTTTTTCTCAAAAAAAAAAAAGAATTGAAATTTGAATTCCAGATATGGCTTAATCTTTTATGCTTGATTTCCAGTGGTGCTTCAAGATCAGCAAGTTGATAATGGGTTCAACGCTCTTTCTAAGAGCGCTCACATAGCTTCTTATCCAAAAAATTCGGCTTGACTTTGGTTGAGATTGAAAGTCTTTTCCTTTTGAGTATCGGATTTTCAATTGCCACAAAGTTGCAAACGGGCTGAAGAACGTCTACGAAAGTAGATGGCATCATCAATTATACTCAGACGTTGTTTTGGGGGATTGCCAATGGTTACACTTGGGCAACCAATTCATCGCGCATCTTGATCTAAGCCGGTGGACTACGCTCGTCGACCCAAAAACACAGTGTTCAACGCCTGACTATTGACCGTTCACACGAACCGTAGATTCGAAGTATAACAATTTTGAAAGATTGAACACGAGAAGAGCAAACATTACATTCTCTCATCTTGACACACTGACGGAACGATCGATATCCTCATGATAACCTCGTTTTCCTTAGCGGCGTGAAGAAGAATATTTTCCCCACCACGCCGACATCGCGGTGCCGTCTTTGGAACAGGCATATGCCCCATGTTGATCTGCATAAGCTTCGCAGCCTCTTCCTTTCGCATACGCATAATCACTTGTTTCGGACACCGTCATCTAAAAGGTGAATGAGTTGATTAACATGTCTATTGACTAGGATTAGGTAACACATTTCTGGTAGCTTACCTCTTTTTTGCTACCACCTTTGCTACGTCTAGACGCAGTTTTGACGCCGGCTGCTGCACTTACACCTGCGAGAACAAGGGCGCCAACTTCGAGTCCTGACATCTTGCAAGAAATGAGGAGCTTCTGAGATTCTGTACGCGAAGATATCTAAGGGAGACGAAATGATCTGAGGTGGTATTGTTGGTATCTGGGGCTGTGAGAAAAAGCAACCTAGGTGGGGATTGAGCTCCTTTTCTCAAAAGTCAGACGAGGCTGAAGCGAGCCTTGCCAGCACACAAGGCCAACATCGAGCATTTCAAGCTGTCGAAACTGTACGCTAGCCAGCGGACTTCTTGCATGGAGTCACATTGATAAGCATCCTGCATGGAAACGACACTGTGAACACATTCGGCCCCCTTCATGTGACAGCCAGTAATGTTCGACCCAGCTATCTTCACATCCAGAAATTGCAAGCTAGAGCGAATGTTGGCGCTAGCCTCTATCTGGCAAAACCATTCCTCGCAGAGCCTCATAATGTCGGCGAAGGGCTCCCCACCTGACGCCTGATCAGGTTGAGAACCTTCTTCTTATCATAAGTGTATGGCTGATATAGGCCGTTATTGGAGCCACGTATCGAATAGTGCAGGCACTACCACCATCATAGCTCTCGAATCACAAGCCTGCAGTGCGTTTCTGCAGCGCCCCATTCCCAGGCTAAATAAGGTCGGGATAGTCTCTCATTTCCTCAGGAAGAACCAGAGCCTTGTCTTAGTCGGTGGGGCCCGTCAGTCGATGATTTTCTGAACAACAACTCAAGAGTAGAGGATTCTCGTACGACATCCTCCCAGACAGGAGGACGAAGAAATTCCTTAGGCACGAAGGGACCCGTCGTACTCATTAAGTGGCGCATCTTCTACTCACGATGGGCTTCCACCTTTTCAAGTCCAAAGGTTATCGATCGATTTCCAGTAAAGTAAGCCCCCGCTAATACTCCTCAGATAAGAACACCTCTTCCGAGCTCTCAGGCCACTCCACCAGAACAAGCGGACCCTCCGTTGCACGAACAACCAAAGGTGGCTCGGGCATTGGCTCGGGCACCTACGCAGAGAAAGGCGGCCGTGCCGCGGCCACAAGCCATCACGGCAGCGCATGGAGCAAGTCCGTCGCGTACGGTGGTAACGCTGACAAGGGCAAGAGCAGCAAGCATCATCAAGTCTCCTCGAGGCAATTTTACACTTACACATCCGGCAATGCGGTCGCGGGCGTGATCCCAGGCGGGTCATACGCATACGCCGGACCAGGAGGGTATGCAGAGGCTGGATATCGTGATGGTAGCCGGTTTGGCGCTTCAGTGGCATGCGGTGGGAAGAAGAATGGGAAGAAGCAGGATGCTATCCAATTTCGCTAGGGTAATTTGGTACCTCGCGGAAGTCATCGAACGGAGGAGGGAGGATTGCGTATGACTAAAGATCCGTTTATTGTTTCCCAAATCTCGGTCTGCATGTTGAAAAAATTCCGATGCGGGTTATCTTTCTGTAATGAGAGTTGTCAAGAGTAAGCTGCAGTACCTGCCTTTCACTACAGAATTGTTTAAATGACGTAATCCGGTTGGTTTCATTTAGCTGGATACTTTCTTTCGGCTGAGGTTTGGTGATTCAAGGTAGACGTCATCTCGGTATTGAATGTCATCCATTCTAGAGAAACGCGGCTCGGGCAGTGGCAGGAGGCTCAGGGCGCAGAGGTGCACAGGTTGCAGTGAGCTTTTTGAATTGCAGATCATAGGTCCTTGGACCAATTGCTTTGGATTGGCCACGCTTCAAAGCGAAAGTATGAGGCCATTTATGAGATTGAGAAGTTGCAGATGGTACCGTCGTAGATGGGTTCTTTGACAGGAGCCAGCTTCAAGCTGGGGAGCTAGCCAGACACTCCTCGCGCCAATGTCTCTCGGTGTCACAGCTCAGTGTCAGGTTATCGACTATCTCTGCTTTGTTGATTACCAGACCGTCAATACGGAAGAGAAGAGGTAATCATCGTGGCTGGTTGTGGCGTGAGAGGCTTCCCGATTCCGTCCGCATCAAAATTGCCGAATTGGGCAAGCGTTTGTTTTCTTTTTTTTCCACATTCCTCGTCGCCCATGGTTCGCGTACCTGCACACTCTCTTGAGTTGCGATGACATGATCTATATGCTATACCACAAATCACAATGGGTCTCATTGGCTTCATATCCCGTTGCTTAAGCAATTGCCTGGGCACGTCCTCCCCTGGTCTTGTCTTCGCCACGTTCATCTCCTCACTATTGCTGCTTGCTATTGTCGCCAATGTCCTGAGTCAACTGCTGTTCCGCAATCCCAATGAGCCTCCTTTGGTCTTTTACTGGGTGCCCTTCATTGGCAGTACTGTCGAATACGGGATTGACCCCTACAGGTTCTTTTTCCAATGCAGGCAAAAGGTACGCGATTCTGGCCATGAGCAAGCATAAATACCATCAGCTGATCCAGTATTCAGTATGGTGATGTATTTACATTCATCTTGCTTGGAAAGAAGACCACTGTCTGCCTTGGGGTTAAAGGCAATGACTTCATACTGAACGGAAAGCACAAGGATCTTAATGCAGAGGAGATATACAGCCCACTTACGACGCCTGTATTTGGCAAAGATGTTGTGTACGACTGTCCAAACGCGAAGCTCATGGAGCAGAAGAAGGTCAGCATCTCGTTCCACTCGTACCTGTACTGCGACGGATCTGATCCACCATCCAGTTCGTCAAATTTGGCCTCACGTCTGAATCTCTCAAATCCTACGTGCCCCTAATTACCTCCGAAGTCCAGTCCTACATGAAAAGCAGCCCTTTTTTTGCCGTGGACCGCACGCCCGGTACGTTGGATGTATCGAAAATCATGGCGGAAATCACAATCTACACCGCTTCACGCTCCCTCCAAGGCCGTGAAGTCCGCTCAAGATTCGACTCGACATTCGCCGACCTGTATCACGACTTAGACATGGGATTCTCTCCAATCAACTTCATGCTGCCGTGGGCGCCGCTTCCTCATAATCGAAAGAGGGACTATGCGCAGCAAAAGATGGCTCAGACCTACCTAGACATAATTCGAGAGCGGCGTCAGGCAGGCACTAAGCGCGACTCTGAAGATATGATTTGGAACCTAATGCAGTGTTCATACAAAGATGGACGGCCCGTCCCAGACACTGAGGTCGCCCACATGATGATAGCACTTCTTATGGCAGGCCAGCACTCTTCATCAAGTACCTCAGCCTGGATCCTTCTACGGCTCGCAACCAGACCCGACATCATGGACGAGCTTTATGACGAGCTCATCCGCGTCCTGGGGCCAGACCTTCCTCCCCTCACCTACGACACCCTACAAAAACTTACAATGAACGCCCAAGTTGTAAGGGAGACTCTCCGCATACACGCCCCCATCCACAGTATAATGCGCCGTGTAACTTCTCCGATGCCTGTCGAGGGCACACCTTACACCATCCCAACCACACATGTCCTCCTGGCCGCGCCAGGAGTCACCTCCAAAACCTCAAACCACTTCCCCGAGCCAGACCTCTGGGAGCCACACCGATGGGACGCGGACTCGCCTCTGAAGGGCTCAAATAAAGAGACAGAGGCTGAAGATGAGAAGATAGACTACGGATATGGGCTGGTCAGCAAGGGAGCAAGCAGCCCATATCTACCTTTTGGGGCTGGCAGGCACCGCTGCATTGGGGAGGCTTTCGCGTACGTACAGCTAGGCGCGATCCTGGCGGAGTTCACTAGAATGTTGAAATTGGGGACGGTGGACGGTAAAGCTGGCGTCGTTGGGACGGACTACTCTAGTCTATTCAGCAGGCCGCTGGCACCGGCTGTGGTGAAATGGGAATGGAGGCAACAGCCAGAGAAGACTGCATAATGATATTATTAATCAACAAGGAAAGACTGCATGAGCAGCATCGGCTCCACTGCCAAAGGTCGCAGGACCTATATCACCTTTTTCGGAGTAGAAATATGCCGCTCGCGCTTGGCAAGGCAGGTGCAAATCAAATGTAGTTTTGGTATCACGTTCTACGTTCCCTCGTCATTGTCAGCACGTTGACGCAGCGAAAAGCTTTCAACTGAGGGGTCTATCAACTTCCACTGCTTCAATCATCAAACCCAGTCCTCACGCCCCTACCCCTCCCCATCGTTGCCCCACCTCCTCCCATCATCCCATTGACCTTCCCATCGACCTCCTTGGCCTCCCTCTCCCGCTCCTGCAACATCTTCATTCTCTCCCCCTTGATGACCCCCAAACCCCCTCCAAACTCGCCCTCCACGTATCCAGTCGCCCCTGCACCTCCGTCCACTGCTTCTCCCCAAATACCCTGTACGTGCTCCTGTGAATCAAGAACGTCTGGTTCAGCTGACTCAATTTCCCCTCCACCAAGCCCGCGCGTATCACATCAATAACCCACATCTCGACATCCTCGGCAGAAATTTGCAAAGCTTTCGCAATATGCTGGTAAGGCAGACTCCTCGATGGTGTCGATGCCGCGAGGCTTGCGAGAGTGAGGAGCCGCATTTTCCGCAGCAGAAGCGAAGGGTTCAGCCCGCCGATCTCGAGGAAATCGTCGTGGCTTTCTAGAAAGTCGTTGTAGTCGTCTAATTGCTCGGCGTTGAATAGTTCCAGGAATTCGTACCAATCCGGCTCGCTCTTCCTCAGCGCCTGGATTGCATCGCACACGGTGAGGTCTTGGAAGGAGAAGTGGGTAGGGTGAGTGAGAGCGGCTTTCAGGGCGCGGATGGCGAGGTCGTGAGAGGATTCGTTGGCCGCTTCGTCTGTGGGAATGGTGCGTAGAGCTCGGAGGAGATAGTTGTAGGATTCATCCTCGTCCCCTACTTCGGCTGCCACATCTGAGATCTGCAGGAATAGAGAGCGTTGATCTTCTTCGTCGGTCTCCCAGAGGGCGATCCAGCCGTCAAGGTTCTTGAGTTGAGGGCGAAGGGTTTCGAAGAGACCGGAGGAGCGGACAACGCGGAGGGTGGCCAGGAAGACGTGGTAGCGGGCGTCGGAGTTGGCTGGGAGGATGTTGAAGACTGTAGTGAGGATAGATAGGGCAAGACCGGGGCCATTAGGAGTGGGGAAGGGAGCACAGAGATTTTGTGTCATTTTGGGCAGAAACATTTCGGCGCGGGAGGACTGGGTGACAAGGTGGACGAGGAGGTTGTATGCTGCCACGAACTCTGCGAATTTCATGGTGTAAGCTTGAACTGAGCTGGTATGCCCATGTATGCATAATTCTCATACCTCTTTCTGGCGCATTGTTCAGGACTGAGCTGGCTGTGACGAGCTTTTTGAGCACGTCGTCTTTCTTTTCTTGGGTGAGTAGAGGTGTGACTTCGGGTTTGATGGGCGTAGCATCGGGATTCTGCTTTTTTGACACATCGTCGAGATACTGCGCAAGCTCTTCTGAGAGCTCCTCAAATGTACCCTCTATGAGCAAGGTATTTGAGGGACCAGGCATTTCGAGTGGTTGATGACAGTTGGGGAAAATCCGTCACTGCGGAGTTTGTGCGGAGCAGCATTTAGCGCTCCTTGTAAGAAATCGTCTTGACTGCCAAATCTTCCCACAGAGTATCAGGGAATTCAATGGCATCCTCTCAAAATTGATTTGATAACGTACAACTTGATTGAGATCCCTCATCCTAGCGGCCAATGCTACATGCTGCGTTACCCATGTATCCTGCGCCACGCTTGATTGCCAAATTCCATATCACGGTGTCCAGCTTCCCAAATCGTAGTGCCAGAAGCAAAGCTAAAGAAACCCCAGCATCTACCACCGTTTTGTTGGGGAAGGCACTTCATCTTCAGGCTCTACTCGCACGAGGATTTCCTCCAATAGACCCTCCAGGAATAACTTGACTCCTCCACCCATTCCTACTTTTCCGTCCGCAATAATTTCCTTGTCTAATTTGTCGATCTCAGAAAGCACGCCCGCCAGCTTTGTTATATGTTTCGTCATCTTCTCGTGGGTGGCTTTGCGGCGGTAATCAGTTTCTTTGATCGTGTTGACTTGCATTTGCGTCAATGGCTTGGTGCGGGTCACATCCTGATTCCTCTGAAGGTGCTCGTTTAGACTGAAGGTTCGTCGATTAAGGGAAGCTTGTACGGCAGGGATCAAAACACTGTTCAAGGGCGTCACCTCACTATCAGAGTCAATGCCGCGAAGGGTGGTTGAGCTGAGATTCGTTGGGAATTGCGTCTCCGTAGGATTCCGCGTCTCGTGGAGTCGATTGTCTTCAGGCTGGCTTAGGCCTGCAAGTTGGCCTGCTGGTGCCTGTGTAGCTGCTAAGTCAAATGGTGACCCATTAGGCAGAGGCAGCTGTGGCACCTGGAAGGAAGTTGGCTGCATTGGAAGCGCTCGATTCTGTGTTGGCAAGTCTTGGGAGTATCGGCTAGGAGTACTAGGAAGAGGGATGAATGGTGGAATCTCCGATACAACAAACTTGTCTTTCGGGCTTTTCTGATGCTTGTTTATTTGGAAACCCTGTTTCTCGGAATGGGGTGGGAGTCTTGCTGTCGTTTGATCTTGATTCGGCCCAAGCCCGAGTTTTGCCATACTTTGGCTAAGAGAAACGTGATCGGATTTCTGCCATTCTGAGGATATCTGACGACTTGAATTCGCATCTCCAATCCCTAAGCCTCTGGTAGGAGGATTTTTGGCAGGTGATGGAGGAAGAGGGACTTTGCTGGGGGACATTGGTGTGCGGTCGGCGAAGATAGGTTTCCGTTGTGGTGACAACCCCCGGCCCTGGCGCTCAGGCGAATGAACCCTCACCGTCTCCTCTGCAGAACCCGAAATTTTCTTCTGTCTGTCGACGGAAGGTTTCCGGTCTGGACTTTGATTTTCCAATCTTCTGTCTAGTGGAGGCTGCGCCCTCGCATTCGCTGCCGATTCGTTGAGGTCTTTCAGGCCTCGTCCTCGCCCGCCCATTGGTCTCACAGTCCCAAAATCCCAAAGATCTTCTTGATCTGGACCCCCACGAGGGTGCTCATCGGCAGAATCGTCACTGTCCTCTGAATCGTTGTCTCCATGAGTAGCTTGCCACCTCTCATGACGTTCTATCAGTTCAGTAAGATATGTAGTTTTCTTAGCCTTGCGGATGAAGGGATGCTTCAACAAATCCTTTGCTGTAGGTCGCTCTAAGGGGGATCTTTTGAGGCACATCTCCACAAAATCTTTAAATGGTTTACTAAAGTTGCCTTGGAGTGTAGGTGGCGCGTTCTTTGGTATGAGAAACAATACCTTCATTGGGTGGATGTCAGAGTAGGGCGGCTCCCCTTTGGCCAATTCCAATGCAGTGATTCCTAGCGACCAAATGTCTGCTTTGTGGTCATAACCCGACTGCTTGATGACTTCCGGCGCCATCCAGAATGGTGTGCCTACGAAAGTGTTCTTCTTCGTCATCGTCGCTGTTAGTTGTCCTGAAACACCGAAGTCGGCTAGCTTGACCGACCCATTGGCTCCAAGCAATATGTTCGCAGCTTTCAAGGAGATCAGCAATTACTCAGAGCATGCAATGAGCAACGCTACCTTTGATATCCCTGTGCAATTTCTTGTCTGCATGGAGGTACTCTAGACCCAGTAGCAACTCCCTCAGTATAATGCATATGTACTCCTCCGCCATCAATCCTGGTTTTAACAAGTCGGCGCAGCTACCTCCTGAACAGAATTCCATGATGATCCACAGATCTGAACCTTTGAGGTAAGAGCCAAGATATTGGGTGACATGCGGTGAGTGAAGTTCGGATAGGATGGATATCTCTTGTATGATGTCTTCCACTTCATCCTCGGCATTTTCTACATCGATGATCTTAATGGCGACGGCTTGTCCGCTTCGTCGATCAACACTGGCAAGGCGTTCAGCATGCGTCTTCCCGGACCTCGTCGTAGATCTACCCTTTGTATACCTTGCCAAAGCTACCCCCTCCTATGCAATTTTGCCTGGAGTATAGCGTCTCAGGGTCCACTGTTCCCCCAATATCGTGACTTGTAGAGCTCGTCATCTCGTTTACTGGGGATTTCACGTATCTGAAAGATATCGTCACCCCAATGCTTTGTATTTCTTGTCGGTGCGTATCGAGTGTTCAATCCTGGCGTCGTTGATAGACAATACGTAGGTAATTTCCGTAACCTCACACTGAGCACTGTATCTTGTGATTGGGAGCCCAGACGCAGGAGAGTCGAGGAGTAGATTTAATTTCGTCGACGTGAAGTAATTTCGTAAGCGCAAGGGAGCGAGCTGGTGTCCGCCAATGCGCGACTGATTCGCTCATTAGAGATCGGAACTCAAACACACATTAGGTCCTGTCATTTGGTGGCTCTGCAAATAAATGAAAGGGAGACTGAAGAACCAAATTCGGGAAGTGGACGACACAGTGACGGGAGTAGTGATAGGAAGGTGCTGCACGCTTTGCCATTGGACTACAACCTCTGGGGGTAAACAAAGGGTACGCAGTGACTGATCTGTGCCTCAGTCTATCAGCCCCAAAGCCGAGCACCAATTGTTGTCAGTCGACACTTGACAGAATCGATGCATGAACTGGTAGGTCTAAACAATTCGCCAGCGATCTCCGCCCGCCGTTCCTGCAGCCGCGCCAAGACCCGATTTCTATTCCTGGAATGGTTGAAGACGGGAGTGCCTGCCCTCTTATAACGAATAGGGAGCCCCAAAACCAACACTGCGAGGAATTCACTTTGATGTCGTTGTCACTATCTGCTAATCGCCGACCTCGCGTCGCTCTATGGGGTATCTAAACAATGTACATCCGTCGCATTCACCAAAAAGCCGATCAATACGGTATACCATTCGTAAGAAGTTGAAATTGATCATATCCTTTGGTCGAGTAACTTCCATAGCTTTTCTTGACCAAATCCTTCATAAAGTCAGCAGCTTCCCTCTCGCTTTTCTCCAGCACGAATCGTTCCCGGAGATGCTTGATGGTCTCGGGCTTGAAACAGGGGAGACCGCTACCAAGCATGAGCACCACAAGATGACAGAGCTTTTCCGCATGTGGGCGCGAGGCCAGAAAAGCTTTGACGCACAACTCTTCGAACCACTTGAAAGGTTGTGCGGAGAAACTTCCACCCATCACAGCTATCATCTCCGACGTCAACTTGAAGGGGGCCCTCTCAAACCGGACCCCGCCTGGAGCAATGTCAAAACAGAAGCCAAAGTCGATGTGGAGAATGTGGCCCATGTCGTCGATCATGATATTGCCATTGTGACGGTCTTTGAATTGTAGCAGGTAGGAAATGACTGAATAAGCAGCCATACTCCTCACAAAGTTATTCCGGGCCTCTTGGAATGCAATCGAATTTTCAGTTCCATACTTGAAAACAAAATATTCGTAGAGCCCGTTGATGGACTCTCGGCCAAGCATGTCACGTGAAATAGAGTTGGGCAGCACATCGATTACGCCACATCCTGGTGCGGTAGCTGTCACTCTGTTCGGATAAACGTAAACATCGAGGCCAACGTCATTGAAAATACCCCTGAACGCGGCAATCATCTGCAAAGCCAGGATGTCTTGGCGACAATCATCCCCAACCTTGAATATAGCGGATTGCCAAACCTCGTAGGAAGTGTCTAGAGAGACTGCCTTATTCTGACCACCTGCAATGACATCTCCAGCTGCAAGCTCATTCTTGATCTCGTCCTCAGTCGTTGCACGGGACTTCTTGATGCGAAACGTTGCCATGTAAGGCGCCTTTGCGTGGCTCTGTAATGGTTTGCCCGACTTGCGGTCGATCCCAATGACGGTCCCATCAGGGTTGCTGGGGAGGTAGACACCCACATCTACTTTAATCTTGCGTAATTCTTCCTCGATTTTTTGTTTCTTCTCCGTTTTACTTTTCTTGAGGAACGGACGCAGCTTGCCCGATATATTGGTGATTTCGTCGAAGAACGTAAATTCTCGCTCGTAAAAATCCTTGTCACTGCCCGAAAAACTCGTCACCATACGCTCTTTGATGATGTCCAAAGTCGGCTTCAGAGAGTCGGCGACGCTTGAATCCTCATCCTTGTATGCATTGGCATTCATGTTCCAAATGATCTGATGAGCGAAAAGCTGTGAAAATTTTGCTGTTTCGAGTATGTACCTTTGAACATAGCCAAGAACGTCGTAACGTAGCATTTGAACAATCTGAGGCACATAGAAGAAAGTGATATCGACAGAATGACTCTCGAGCGCGCGTAAAGCGTATTGAATGATGAAAGGGTTATTATTGAACTCAGGGAGGAAGTAAGTAACGGCAGTAACAGGATTCACAGGCGCCCAATACAGTAGGTACTATTTCGGTCAGCGTCATGAGGGAATATTTGAGCTAGATGGCATGGCCTACTTTTAATTGAAAGGATATATCGGAAGGTAGGGATGGACCAATGAGGAGCTGTAGTGCATCTGGCTCGTCAAGAGCACGGTCAGGATATCGAAGCAGCAATGCTCTCACTTCATTGTGAAGCCGAATAGATGGAAACCGGCTTGTCATATGTGTAGCGAGGCCAGGGTTCTCAGTCCATGCAACTGTTAGAACATTGCAAAGCGTCGTCTAAAGCGTGTTAGTGGATGAGTAACACAAGATTAAACCGGGAGCAGTACATCGGAAGGCCCTTTGTTGGAATTGGCTGTCGCAAAAAAATGTCGCCGTTCATGATCCAAAGGATAGAGCCAAACTAGAAGACGAGTCTGTTCATTATCGATCAGGATTGTAAGTAGCTCATGCTTCAGAGCTAGTGATGGAAGAGACCCGGCACTCTGAGCTGAATAGCTTACGACTGACCTCAAGCCCGCTTCAACGTCGGTCATGAGTCGACTTTCTGCTTTGATCTGGAGGCGATTGCCTCCAAACGACCACCTATTGAAATCAATTGCGGCTCTTCCTTCATTTCATTGGCTAGCTCACCTTGGCCTGTGTGAGAACCATGCTAAGCCAGCACTCAAAACTCTGTCCTTTAACAGCCATCTCTTGGTTTGCCCCATTCCAGTAGAGAATCGAAGAACATTTAGACTGAAGAGTACGACTTGAAAATAAAATTCACGAGTTAGAGGATGCCCAGCACATTCTTTCATACTCTCGAGAGTCACAATTGCGAGCCTTTGAAAGACTTGCTGAGATTGAGGGCTGCCGAGTCTGCTTGAGGCAAAATGACTTGTTAAGAACTGTAGAATACGCAAATGGGGCGCGATCAGATCATGGGCTGCTTGTTGCTTCCTTGCTAGAGTTGCCTTCTCAGATGGTGCAAATTCCTCCTTTAGGTAGAACGGATCTAGGTGGCTGCTGAACGTTAGTAAATGTATATTCAGTCGTCTCGCGACCCACCGAAGCTGGGGACTGAAGGCGCCATCACGATTGCGGACACTCTTCTCCCACCCTTCAGCAATTGCCGACAGAATCCTAGGCTCCATTCGCGGGTTTTCGTTGATGATGTTCAACCAGAGAGATATTCCGAGCTTGATGGATTGTTTGGTGAAGACGGTAAATGGTATGCCGACAAGTTGTTGGATGGTCTCGGTTTGCTCAATGTGCCTCCTACAAAGCAGCGCTGCTGCTCGTCTGAGGCTATCTCGCAGCTCGCTGATCGGGATGTAGTCTCCAGCTGATGCACGACTCTCGAGATATGAGAGCAGGTCCTCATCATCGTTTACAGGGTGTCGCAAAGATTGCACAAGTACATTGGCATCACCGTCTGAATCCCATTAGATGTGTGATAAAGTAGAAACTATGAACCTACTCATAGAGAGATATGTGGACCGTTCTGGAGTGTACCCAGGAAGCACGTTTGCATTCTTGTACTCCTGGCGTGTAGTGTATTGAGCAATAAAGTCGGACGCTGTATTGACGTTGCAATCTCCATGTCGATCGATAGCCGCTTTGTTGTCTTAGCTTTGCATGAATGGATGTTGATCGTACTGATACTTACTCAGCTTCTGATCTGCCGCAGGTATAACAGAACCCATGTCTATAGCGAAATTTCTGCCCAAAGCTACATGACCATAGGCTCCGTCGTCCTCATATTCTGACAAGTATGTCTGTAGGCCTCCATTAGTGCACCGAATCAATAATCGTTACATTACGCTTACTTGTAAAAGGCCTTTGATATCCAAAGGCGCACAATCAATGACCATGGTCATCCAATTTTTAGCTCCTTTGTAGAGGCCATCTAAAGTAAGCCGTCTGTGGTCATAGTCGTCCGAAAGCTCTACTGACACATTCCCACGAACAGAGCTGTAGTTCGCCTTCAGCTCATATTCATCAAGTTCCGCTTCTAGACAGCTCGTCCACATGATTGTCAATAGTTCCAACAAGGCATAGAGTGAGGACCTCTGGCAAAGTGCGGATGGAATCTGGCTGACGATTCTATCTACTGAAGAGAAAGCGATGCGCTGGACCTTTAGTATTCGGTGGCAGCAACCCACGAACATGTTTGCCAACTGCTTGGCTACCGAGGGCGCATGGTTATGTTTGTTTGCACCGTGTAAGATCGTGTTCAAGTACACGCCGATGACGTGGTCAGCTATCGCACTCGTGCAAACCTCCATGGCAGGCCCCTCGAGCCCTGCGTCGAGGAAATAGGACAAGATATGGCTACAGTCACCACCTTCCGCTCTGAGGGTTTCCACGAAATATGCAGCAATGAGAAAAATAACCTTTGGGTGAGTGAGGCTCCTGATCTCGGACTCACACTTCGGCAGCAGAGTCATCAAAAGCTTCTTCTGTTCTGCAGTGTTCGGACCGCTCATGCCACGTCTCAGCACAGTATTCAATTCAATGTCGCTCTCGTATTGATCACTGCGATCGTCTGCTACCAAAGCCCTTGACTTCATGGCAAGAATCCGAAGCTCCTTGCGACATTTCTTTCCATAGGCAGAATCGGGAGTGATGCCATGGACAATGACGTTGAACCAAGCTTCTCGATGAAGTCTTGCTACGTTTGGATCCTCGCTAATCTCCTCTTGGTCAGTCTCTACAGAGGCCAAGACTGCTAATGCAGGGAGCAATTCCACTATCTCGCGAGCGGCCAGGTCGACGTCAGCGCGCTTTGTGTTATCTTTCTCATGGGCATCTCCCTTGCTTATGATGGCTTCCAGAAGGCTGGTCAGATACATGGGATAGAGAGGCGAGTCGTGCGATAAAGCACTAGCGATGTGCACGCGAGCACTGTTCACCTAGAAAACATTTAGTATGCTGCATTTTTGCAACATCGGCTGAATTACTTACGGCTTCAAGAAGCGTGCTTTCCTTATTTTTGGTACCCTCATGACTGAGTCGATTATAGAGTTTCAACAGGCTCTTGAATTCTGCCTCTCCGGCTGTCAAAGCCAACAATGCGGTCTCCCGAATGATATGAAGATCTACTGCCAAACTTATTCGACCCAATTTTTGCAACAGCATTGACTGAGTAAGTGAAGCAATTCGGCTGTCTCGTGAGTTTGTTGCTATACACACGACAGCGTGTATGATGTTGCCGTAAGCAGTAGTAACCTCTTCTTCGTCACTCATTACCAAAGAGATCGCGCTCCCGGTTGAATGTTGCATTTGAACGTGATCTAACTGTGTTGCTCCTTTCAGGGATCGTGTGCCGCCATTGCCCTGATTGTGCGTATGTGCCATGCTGTCGTTTCCAGAACCCGCACTCAGTACATTGCCTAACGTGTAAATGCCCGTAATAATTGCGTCTTGAGAAATCAAACGGAGTATGTTTGTCAAGCTCCATGCTGCGACGTCTACGGTCTCGCCCCTTAGTTTGCCTTGAACCACGAACCTAGGTAGAGATCGACTTAATCCAGAGACAATTACAGGAGACTGTTTAGCAACGACGGCCATAGATTTGAGGACTACAGCGGCAAGCATCTCATCTGCCATCGACGCCGCATCGCTCATCTCGTGTTCCAGCCACGGCATTAAGGTGTCGATGCTAGCAACGTCTTCGTCTACAGCCATGCAATTCAAGAAAGTATGTAGAGAAAACGCTTTTGCTGTAAAAGCAAGGCGTTGCTGCCACACAGAACTTAGGCGAATATAGTCCGAATCATTATCCAGCAAATACATTGATTTTGTGGACATGTCTGTTAACAGAACCAGGAGAGCGCTAGTACCCTGCGAATGGCGGGCTGTTGCGCCTTCATCCAGAGACGTCAGAAGCTGGAAAGTATCGGCTTTTTGAAGTTGCACAGGAGTACCAACTAAGAGAGAGCTACAAGATACAAGCAACTTCATGAAACTGCATCGTAACAGCTTGGCACCCAGTGGACGATGATGGGCCTCGTATCGTTCGATGTAAGTCGTCCAATTAGTAAAACGCTGCTGAATCGCTTCGGAGGTTCGAATCGATGACAATACATCTTCCAGAGACTTCATGAACTGATCTTCTAATACATCCTGTAGTGTTCGCACAAGGTTCAACATTCCGCTAGAATCGTAAAAGTTCGTATAAGCAGACACGCCTTCTAAGAATCCGAGGAGCGAGAGGGCATGAGAAGCAATATCTAGACGTTCGCTTCTGAGAAGATGGGCATCTGGTGACTGAGAGCGAGATACTTGGTTCGCAAATGATATGCAATTCTGGATGTACTTTGTTGTACATCCCAAGACCTCATGACGAAGATTACTGTGCTTTATGCCAATTGATAGGATAGCTCCAGTCAGTTGGAAGGTTAGAGACTCCCATGGCGAAGGCTCGATCGCTCGAACAACTGGAGTAGGCCGGAATTGCTGAACATTTGCTTCTAACAAGTATGGAGATAGTTGATGGAGCAATAGGGAGGCTTTCTCGAGGCTGTCGACGAGCGGAGCTGCTTTGCACAGGGCAAACAATAAGTCGGTTTCTTGAGCGCCAATTGGGATTTGTGACAGGCTAGATGCCTGATGGTCGACCTCATAGCTTTCGAAGCTGTTGCAAAGGTCTTCGAAGCCAGACTCTTTTACTTTTGTAGATGTCGCGGCGAGGACGGCAATTTTCTCCAGGGCCTTGGATCGGTATCCATTGAGTGTACTTTGATGCGTCAGCAGATGAAGAACGGAGGAGAGAAAAGGCTCTCACCTGCCCCTCATTCCGAGAAATCATGAGGTTTTATGGCAAGGCCCAAGTCTTCCAACACGCATGGCGCCGCGACAGAAATCACCGACTGTCAAATTCCATTGTTGTGTCAGTCGCGGGTCTTGGCACCTATGAGGTCATCCCGGCTGCTTAGATTTAGGTGGTCGGAGCCCTACACGTCCACGCGATTTTAGGTGCCTTATGGCGCTTTCATGGTATTTTCCTCCCTTCCTTCTTTCTACACTGCACGATCACTTTCTACTATCGTCTTTTGTCTACCCACCAGCAGAAATTCGTCAAGATCTACCATTGATCATTGCTGTTGCTTAAGCTTGCTCAAATGAACATGCAAGAACCAACACATTGCTACTTGTGACGGTTGTTGACAGACAGGCCTTGTCTCTCTCCCCCACAGGTCACACAAGACACTGACATCTCTTCCACCGCTTTTCTTCCCGTCATACAAAGGACAAATATTCCACTTCGAAGACATGGACGAGACAACTCAAGCTCAATTTATGTCCATCACTGGATCCTCTGCACCTTCAGCTGGTCATTATCTCCAGCTTGCTGAAGGCAACGTAGAAGCTGCGATTGAGCTATTTTATGCAAATGATGGTGCTCCATTAGAAGAGCACGCACAGAATCAGCCACCTCCGGTTCCTCCACCTTCCACAAGACCCAATCCTCGCACGCAACCGCCCAGCCAAACCCAGGAAGCTGTAATTGATATAGACTCCGATGAAGATTACCGACCGCCACTAGATGATGACGAAGTGCAAGTCACGGGATCTAGTAGGAGACGAGGCTTGGGATCTACAAGAACGGAATCTGCTTTACACACCCCGCCAGTTGCGACGCCACCTCTAGGTATTGGTGGTCAGGCAATAGATGATGATGAGGCTATGGCCAGGAGACTGCAAGAGGAGTTCTATGGAGGCGGAGGCGCGACAAGCTCAGCAAATCCCCGTGCAGAAATGCTAGATGACGACGGCTACCGAGCACCAATACAACGGACAACAGAGACCCTCGTGGATCCAGGGAACTTCGACCCGTCGAATGCGGATGAGATGAGGGCAGCTGTAATGGAACAAATGATGGCGAGGAGACAAGCAAGAACACAGCAAGGTTTGCTTCCTTTGACTTCGCTAATGGTTGAGCGCTAATCGGCGACCCAAGATCGTCCAGGCATCTTCAATCAAGCTACCTCTATATGGAACGAGACAAGTCCAGAAGCTCATTCGCAACGAGATAGACTTGCAAGAGCTACTGGAGGCGCATCTGAAGCGTCCGCCAAAGCAAATTCTCTAGCAGAAATGTACCGCCCACCTTTCGAACTCATGTCTCGACTGCCTTGGGATCAAGCGCGGGAGTCGGGAAAGGAAGATAAGAAGTGGATTCTAGTCAACATACAAGACCCGTCCATCTTTGACTGCCAACTCTTGAATCGAGACATCTGGAAAAATCCTGGTATAGCGGAGACCGTAAAAGAGAACTTTATCTTCATGCAATACTCTAAGGATGACCGACGGGGTGAGCAGTATATGCAATACTATTTTCAAAACAAAAGCTCAGAGAGTGCATATCCCCACATAGCCATTGTCGATCCGCGGACTGGCGAACAGGTCAAGAAATGGTCAGGACCCCCAGCACCAAAAGCTCCAGATTTCCTGATGCAGCTACATGAGTTCTTGGATCGATACAGTCTCGACGTTGCAGCAAAGAACCCTGTAGCAAAGCGAAAACCGGAGGCCAAAAAGGAAACCCAAGTGGATCGGATGACAGAAGAGCAACAACTCGAGATGGCCATGCAGGCAAGTATGGCTGGGACTGCGGCACCCAAAGAAGATGATCCGGACGACCTCACGCGGAGCGTTGGCAACATATCCGATATCAAGTTACAGGGAGGCCCTGTCGACGGGGACGCACTCTTGTCCGGAGCTCAAGTCGAGCCGTCTACTAATGGAGCGTCTCAACTACCAACCATCTCACCATTTGCCTCCATCACTTCCACAAACCCTCATCTCGAGCCCGCGTCTTCAGTACCAAATACTACCCGAATGCAATTTCGTCATCCCAGTGGACGTGTTGTCCGCCGCTTTGCGCTCTCGGACCCTGTTCGGAGGCTATACGAGTGGCTCAAAGCAGTACCCCTGGAAGGGCAAGATGGAAAGGATTTTGAGCTCGTATTCATGCAGAAAAATCTCATCGGGAGTCTGGATGAGAGCATCGAGCAGGCCGGTCTGAAGAATGGCACCGTCATGGTAGAGATCATTGAGCGAGAGGCTTAGCATAGCAAGGGCAGTGGGGACTCAAAGGGCTTCGTTCTGGCGAAATTGAAGACATAACGAAATAGAAGAGCATGAACCGCAAAGGTCAATCGCACGTTACACATTGAGAGCAACGAATATGACTTGAAATACCCATACCTTAATATACCTGGCCCATTAAAACCCAAAGCCACCAAGTGAAGCACTTCGCGTCTTGCGATATAGCTTGACCCTCGTTGTCCCATCCTTACGCCGCGCTAAATTCTGAAGTGATCCTAAACCCATCAAGTGTTACACACGTTGTCAATCAGCCTGCTGCATCAAATGACTCGGCAGATTCCACCTTTTATAGTCCAAATGCACGAACGCCCTGTCCACACTCGGCACGCTCTCCAAAACATATTGCAAGCTCTCCCCCAAATCATGACTATCCCTCAGCGTCATTTTCTCATCTAGTACCACATCCACCTCAACGTTTAGCTTGTCCCCTGCATGATATGCTTGGCAGCCTTGTATACTATCAATCGCACTTGCGAAGCGCATCGTTAGGTACAGCAGCACGTTGCGGTCTTCTGCAGATGCGGCAGCACCAGTCAGGTGTTTGATGTGGGTTGTAGAGGTAGTCGACCAATTGAGAATGACGTAGAGCGAGAGGAGGGCGCCACCAAGAGCGTCCAGCCACCAAAGGTTGGCGTAAAATCCGACTATGGGGAAGATGATGGAGAATGTGTTGAATACGACATCCGTCATGGCGTCCTGCGCCAGAGCTTGCACAGAAGAATTCTTAACCAGCCGGCACCAGAACCAGCAGGCAGCTTTTATGGCAACAGTCAAAGTCATGATGATGATAGAAGGAAGCCCCAGTTGCACGATCGAGTGATCACCGGACGTGAGCCGGTTGAAGCATTCCAATAGAACTTGGAAGAAGGCGGTGATCATCACGACTGAGAAGACAAGCACACCGATAGGCTCGAGACGTCGACGGCCAACGGGATATCGATACTGATCTTGCCGGCTGATCAATTGAGTTGTTGTCCAGACAATGGCGGTGGAGAGGAAGTCCAGGGCGGCGTCTACAAGTGATGCGAGGACGGAAAGGGACGAAGTGAGAGCGATGACTGCGATCTTGCCTGCTAGGAGGATCGCATTTGCGGCCAAATTTATGTAGATCGCGACTGTAACTACACGACTTCCGCTTTCGGCTTCGTCGTCGTCTTCGGCTCCAGCTTCGAGTTCCTCAGTTCTTGTGCGGTCGGTGTCATCCTCGGAAAGTAAAGGCGATCTCTCGTTTGGAAGCCTGTAAAGCGCTTTGGGGGTGCGCTTGACTTTTATCTGGGTCTCTGTGCCATTTTCGACCGGCTTCTTGACCATATCGGCTGAGGGGTGATTACACTCACTTGGAGATGATGCAGATTCTTCCCTGATTGTGGGAGGCACGTCTCCATTGCTCATCCGAGATGGCTCGTTGTACTCTTGAAGAAGATTGTGAGGGAGAGAAGAGTCAAGCAGTCGGTCAATGTAAAGATATGACTGAATCAGGCGATTGTTTCGCTCGTAATACTGCCGTCTGGGCAAGCGTCAGTTCTCTTTCTTTTGCTCAAGTCGCAGCGCTTACATAGGCTTCTTCATTTGTCGTAATTCTTCTTGTGTCTTGAAATACTTCTCCCTACAATGACAGCACGTCAATTACATCCTTCAGAAATGCGCTCTTGCAACGCCAATTTCGGAGACCAGCGTACCACTGATATCTCGGGTTTGTGTTGCCAATCAGTCGCATACTCCTCATCTGCGGCGTATGCATGACCTGACTTATATCACTGATACCACTTCCTCTTCTCTCGTGCGTTGGCGGCTTTCGCTTCGTGGAAGGAGACCGATCCTCGGGGACATCAAAGCTGTCGGCGTTGCTTTCAAGGTCGCCATCTTCATTTCCGCTCTCATCTTCAATTTTAATCTGCCGTCGCTTCTTCAATTCTTGAATATTCACAGAGGAGCGATCTCTGATTAAACCGGGAAGCTTCTGTCCGCGAGTTGAGACAGGGGTATCATTGACCGGTAGAAATCCAGGAAGAGATCCAATCCTAAAAGTTGGCGGGCGATCCGGCGAACCTTCGACCATTTCTTTTAACTCTGATGTTCTTTGTTAGGTGTCAGCGGAGTCTGAATATCTGCGCAGCGTTTCCTTCTGGACCAATGATCGTGAAAATGCGGTGGCTTGGTTTATCGATTGACCGGCGAGGAGCTAGAGTGGCATTTAGAGTTTAGATCCCGGTCAACGGGCTGGACCGAAAGTCAATTATAATGCAGTATCTGCCACACCAAGCTATACCAATGTTGGTTGTATTCTTGCTTTCACTATCTAACATCCTCAGCCTATCTGACGAGTCAACTCTGTCTGCGCAAGTTTAATTGTCCCCGATATCCTACAAATTTCCTTCTTGTTTCTATCTCTCTTCTTAGCCTCACAAAAAACATCGCTCATAACTAAATCCTCCGTGCTTGAATGCCGAGCGCAGCAACTTCACGTGGGACAAAATATGTGATCGTAACACCAGTTATCAAGCGTACAGTCCCTTCTTATGTATATCCACCAACTGTATTACTTTCCAAATGGAATGGTTGCTGGGAAGCCCATCGTTTCGTGTCGTAATCGTACACATGAAAGCATTGATGACTTCATTAGAAAGGAATAGTCAGCATAATCATTACCTGGCCGGCAGGAAGAAAGTAGATATATGCGGAGCAGACTGGAGCCTGCATGAGCGAGTCTTATTCATCTTGGAAGCTGATAGGCCATTTGTAAACGAGGATCACTTTGCGGCGCTGCTTGGTGGAACATATGAATTAATCTCCGGCCTACGGACGTCTCGAGTTCCGTGCCATCTCTAGCAATTTTGACTTCTCGGTTTGCATTCCAAGGGTTGCGTAATCCTCGCGTGCGGAAGAATGGCAGCCGGTTTGGGGAGAGCCATTCAATCTTGAAGGGTTTGCCAAAAGAGTGTGATCCGGTCTCGATGGCTGATTCGTCAACTTCTTCAGCCACATCCTCTTTGAGACCATCGCCAATAGCGGTAGCGCTTGATAGAGCCTCCTCAGCGTCAGCTTCCCAGAAAATTGTTCCGCGTGCAGAGTCGTCGATGATGCGTCCTCTGGGGGCGAACTCAGTAGCTGGCGTCGTTATTGACCTAGGGATGTCAGGGTCGTCAACTGTCGTCTCAGATCTTGGAACCCAGTCCAAATCGGCAGATGCCTCGTCGTTGATAGGTGAGACCATTCGGGCGTACCCAAAATACTCTCCAGACTTGTTCGCTGAAAAGATTAGGTAGACGGCTTCTGCGGACTAACAGATTGTTAGTCAAAGAGCAACCTAACTTCGTCGTGAAGCGTGTAGACTAACCTCATATGCCTCGTTTAGAGCTTGCTCATTGTGTGCTTGTGTTGCCCAAATCTTGTTGCGTACACTCAGCTGCATATCCTCAAGCGTCAAGCTCTTCATGATAAAGTATCTATCTGGGACCTTCCCTGTCTGTGAACCCCTACGAAATGAAGCTGCAGCATCGTCTGAACCTCTTGAAGAAACATGAGATAGTTGATTTGAAGCTTCAGGCCCAATTTCCGACGCTTTGCTCTCTGGCATCAACGCTGAGGGTGCAGCGGGGGCGCCAGGAACAGGAGGGGGCGCTACTGGCGTGGTCGAAGCTAGCCCTCTTCTCAGACGACAAACCAGGCGGACACCTTGAAATCTTGAGTCGTGGAATCTGTTCATTGCTGCAACGCACGCTGATTCCGATCGATAATTAACGAATGCACAATTGCTCTTGGAAATGAGAAAAACACTTTCAATGTCTTTGGTTGCGTCCCTCGAGAAATGGTCCTTCAGATCCCTGACCGCAGCTCCCGTTGGAAGGTTACCCACCCACAATGCATGACCAGATTGCTTCGGCTTCCGAGGCGGCCCTCGTGGCGTGGAAGGGATGCTATTACTGCTGGATTGAGAGCTGCCTTGGCCTGGTCTACCTGCAAGATGTCAGAACGATAGACCTGAGGCTTCAACCACAACTTACTCTGTGGCATTGGGGACAAGAATTGGCCTGCTTGATTAGACCCCACTGGTATGTCACCGTGATACATTCTTGCATTGATATCAGCCGGATGCGGCGGAGATCCCTGGTGAAACATCGAAAGTGTGTTCATCTGACCCATCTGGGCCGCTTGTCCGGTGAAGTAAGGGTAGTGCGACTGAGAACCTTGTATGTAAGAACCGCTCGGAAACGACGACTGTACGGGACTTGGACCGCCAGAATACGATCGATGCCCAGACTGCATTTGTTGGTACATAGCAGCTGTGTCTTGGAAAGAGTGGGCGAATTGTGAAGGATGCATTGAATATGGAACGGCGTTGAAAGCTGGCTGGCCTTGCATATTTTGGGCACCATAATTTGCCATGCTGCCCATAGACGGTGCAAAACGCTGCGAGTCTTGAGAGAACACTTGTGAGGCTCCGCGAGGATAAGCTGGCAATGTTGCACTCATGCCTAACATATTAAAGTTGTTCGGCGGAGTCTCTCGACCTAATGAGTGATCGTTGATGTCTGAGCCTGATATCAGTGGCTGACTGTTGGACGGGTATTGTTGAGGGGTTGCGCCGCGAGCACGTGCGTCAAGCATATTGTCATTTAGACGACTCACTGTGAGAGTGTGAGTGTAGTCCCATGGTTTCCCTGACAAATCGATGTATGTTGAGGAGTAGCGAGGGCCGGAGTGTTTAAGACTTACGTCCAGCTGACCCGTCCTCATAGTTGCCAAATCCGGATCCGCGGATGACTCCTGCTGGAGAGGCACTCAACTGTCTCGATGCCTCCACGCTCACATCGCCCATTGCTCGATCTTCGACAATCACCGGCAATACGGTCCACTGTGGAACCCAAACGAGTCGCATGTCAGTCTGCGCTTTCTACTCATGGCACACATCGGGATGATATGAAGGTGATAATACCTCTGCTCGAGTTTCCCCTTTGGCTATTAAAGGTACTGTTGATGATGCCCAGAGTGGCAATGATCGGGAAGGTCGTTGTCCGAAAAGGAATTTTCACAAGACGTCTGGCCTTGTTACAACAGATTGACAGACGAACTTGCCCAGTCTGGCAAACAGCTCAGGATGAGTCTTGCCCAAAAAGGAATAAGAGAGCGTGGCAAAATAGATCTTAAACGAGCCTCTGTATGAGGTTTACAAACTTGTCAGTGTGGTGAGTAGGAGCTGAATGGCATCAAACGCGAAGATGAATGGACGGCGCGTTGGGAAAATTTATTTATAGGAAGCAAATGGTAGAGTAAGGTCAGTTGACAGCAAACGGTGATCAGCATATCATTCGTATTCCACTGGCATGGAAGTGATCGACATGAACGTTGCGGCATCACCATGTTTAGGTAAGAATCTTGAATTGACTAGTGCATCAAACGGATCTCAGAGAATGTGGACTAGACTGCTATGAATGCTCTTTGAAGCTAAGCTGGAATCTTAAGCTAACAAGAATAATGGCATCTCCATCTCAGGGTGTGCTCGATGTGGCAAAGTCGATATCTGGGGGCTGATTGGGCAATGGAGCGGATGTCGGCTGCTCTAATGAGCCCTGCCGCAGAATCAGGGACTGGACGGACTGTTCAGGGTCTCTACCATCTGTTTCCAACTTCCCAATCGGCGATTGCGTGGCTTAGGAGGGGTGGACTGCAGACGGGCAGTCCATGTTGAATGGCCAGAACAAGCAGCTTGCAGGGAGGCCGGCTTGTCCCAGGGAGTCATGCAGTCATTGGACTCCCATCAGTCTTGTCGTCGGCTGAGATTACTCCGAATGCCGCAAAAGAGAGCCTTTGTTGCAGTGTTTGGGAACGAGTCAACATGGGTGCGATAGGGCTTGCGTGCCAAGTTCTAGGCCTGTGGCTGTGTTCGGCTTGTCAATCACCCTTGAAACTTCACTGTTCCGGCCTCGTCCCCTGCAAGCTGGGCTGCCTGCGCCGGCGAAAGATCTTTCAATTTCCAGGGGAAGACCACACAAGGCCTCAACTTGTGGGGTCATGGACGTCAATTGCCTGTTTAATATTTCCAGTACTCCTCATTGGAACGCGGAGAGCTGGTCACCATTATTCTGAACTCAACAAGTGAGCTCTGCAGCAGTATTGCTGGCACATACCCTCATTTTGCAAGCAAAGACTGCTTCAAGTGCCCTCCTCCTAGAGTCGCATGAGCTTGTCGGAGGATACCGTGAGAGGAGAGAGTTTCAGAGCACAAGGGCTGGTAGCCTCTGTTGTCCCAAAGTCAGTGATCGCTTCGCTCACAAGCAAAATCTTCACTGGACTGTCGCAAAACCCCCGTCTTGCCAGTCATCTAAGCGTGGGTGCCTCGGTCATATTTCCAAATGAGAGAGTGTGGGTCTTGTCCTTGCGCCACGCGCACTGCCACCTCTGGACCCTGCCTGCTTTTCCCAGCGGTCGTTCGAGAACGCTCTAAATTACATAGTATGATAGTAGTGGTATTACGACAGGGTCCTGACGTGTACAAATTCAGATTAGCGAAGATCTGAATTCGTCCGTGTTTGGCGCCGAATCTGATCTATCATCAGTCCCAGGCACCCTGTAAAACAGACTCTCAACTCCACGGACAGCGTGGCCCACGTAGAACCAACCGAATTAGTACTCGGGATATGAGAATAGCAAAGCAGTACGAAGCATTCCAGGATGATCCCCTCCAAGACCTTCCATATGGAAGGACGGGATTCTGTGCCGGCGGGAAGGATGCCTTCAGGTACTTCAGGTCGCTTAGGTAGCCCCCGCACCTTGAATCCATCAGACGGCTGGGCGAGGGATGTGGAAAGTAGTCCTGTCCCACTCCCGCACCGGCTTGGCACGATTAGTGGGACAGGACTAATTTCCACATCCCTCGGGGGCGTGCGTATTGCTTAATGGGGGCACGTAGATCCCATGAGGTCCTATTTAAAGTAGCATCTGGTGCATATCCCATGCCTGACCCTTTGTGGATCTGGTGTCTAGAGGCACATAGAGCCTATTACCGTTGCTTTGACGAAAACTTGTGATTTTGAGCATGGCCCCCAATAGTCGGCGAGAATGCAAAACTCTACTCAAAGCAAGCGAGCTGCATGGCCGACGCTCCCAGTCTCAAAGATCTCTATCAGACCTGCCCCCAAGCATTCGGCTAGAACCCAATCAAATGCCAGGCCGTTGAATTGTTTCCATTTGCGCGTTCGAGCAGGTAGCACACCTGCGAATTCGCCCCGATATTTCTTTGACTTCGCCGCATGGTCATCAGCAGAGATGTGCCCCTCCCAACGTTCTCGCAGTAAGTACAATGGTAACTCGCGAAATTTTGCCTTCTCAATGAGGGAGATCAAGTGTGAACGGGCAGCAGTCACAAGCTTGAGATAAGGGCCCATTCCTGGGAGGGAACGCTGCAATGATGAGCCTTGGTTCTGCTCGAGACTTTCTTTCTCTTTTGAAAGATGCATTTGGCGAAAGCCAGATCGACCTCCAGCATTGTGAATTGCATCTTCCCCTCCCACGGCTGCCACTGATCCTGATACTGCCCTGGACAAGGTGGGGATAGATGTCGCAGTGCTAGCAGACGCAGAGGACGAGCGAAACAGAATACTCCCAGAATGATTGCTGCCAGACCTCGAAGTCAAGAAACCGGCTCGCATGAGCGCAGTAATTTCCTCTGCTGTATAATTCCCTCCACACCGGAAAGTTTGCCCGACAGGCTCCTGGTGGATATCTGTCAAGAACTTATTTGCTAATGCCGAATCGAGACCCCGAGCTTGTCGAACAAGAGCATCGACATCACCCGATAAGGCAATGCCTTCCCCCACACTTGGCCCTCCAATATCTCGGCCAGGGACTGAAAATTTTCTTATAATGCCACCCTTCGTCAATTCTGATATTTCGCGCTCGGCCCTGGTGGTCGAAGGCGTCAATCCATGAATACTAGCTGTTGTTAGTATTGGAGGGAGAGCCTTCCGAAAGGCCAAAATCTTCGAAATTCGAGTACTGTTGAAACCGCCAGCTTCTGGTAACTCATCGAATCTATGGCTTAGTACATGACCGATCAGCTGAGGTATGTCATTTAGCTCTATGTCTGTTCCGAGACAGTTTATCAGGCCAAGGTCCTTCAAATGTTCATCGAAGGGGCTATTTTCATGTTCATTCACTACATCCTGCTTCGAGCTTAGCCTCTTTGCTGACTTGCGAGTGCTACTGTTTGTAAACGTTGAAGATGACGACCGCTTCAAGAGTGGATTTCTCCTCTGGGGGTTTTTCCCTACACGAGAAGAATGTGCCGCTGTGAAGTTCAGGACCATGACTGCAAATCTGTGTTGCGATCTCTTATAGCCCCGTCTAGTCGCTTCATGCCTGCGTTGAACACGGCGTGAAACCCAGGATTACTACAAAACTTTTTGAAGCAAATGCTGTGAGAAGAATTTCTTATTGGTTATCTTGCCATTTGAAGACGTGCGTCATCCGCCCATTGCCAAGCCCCCTCGGCTCAGCATTACTACCGGACTTCAGCTTTTGTCGCATTGCTTTTGCCAATCAAATTACTTTTGATCTCAGACTATCAATATCTTACAATGAGTCGATTACAGTTGACGTAAACAGTAAAGGCACGAAAAGACCTAGCATACCATAATTGCAATGGCCACGGCAATAGTACAAAATGGCGGACCTTTGCTGACGCGCGAGAATCACTTGCCGTTGAAATCATATGCGAGCGTCGCAGCAGAAAATGACGATAGTGTATCTTCACACGGCGCGGAGATATTTACTGGGGAGGGGGAAGACACATCCAACGCTAGCCCTCACCGCAATCTACACACAAGGCCCAAATCAGTGGAAACAAATGGGTCATTGAAAGATGGAAAAACAGAAAAAGTGGTTGTTGAGAGATATGTCGACAAAGAAGGAGAGCACCTCGTAAGCCTAGGGCCTGTCCAAGAGCTAGAGGAGAAGAAGCCCTTTACTGCAAGACGGAGGAATAGTGAGTTACTCAGTGGACGAAAGGCAGGAGCGCGCTGGGAGCGAAGCCAGTACGATACTTGCCTAAACCTTTTCGAAGTCGATCACCTTACTAAATTTTCATTAGCATTCGATTTGCACCTTTATCTGTCCCCATAAAGCGGAGGCTTCAAACTCTGCTCGTTCTTGCTCATACTCTGAGCATTGCCGGCCTTCTGGCTGCGTTCTTCTTCCTCTGTTCCATACCCCTTTTCTGGCCTATCCTACTGCCGTACATCATCTTCATTCTCTTTTCCAATGCCGGAGAGTCTGGCACCCTAAGGCACCGCTCCAATTTCCTCCGCTCCCTTCCGATATGGTCACTCTTCGCCTCATATTACCCAGCGAGGCTTCATCGATCGGAGCCACTTCCTCCTACCCGCAAATACATCTTCGGATATCATCCTCATGGTATCATTTCACATGGAGCCTTCGCGGCTTTCGCCACAGAGGCTCTTGGCTTCTCTCAATTGTTCCCAGGAATCACAAATACCCTCCTTACCTTGGACTCGAACTTTCGAGTACCATTCTATCGTGACTATGCGCTTGCTATGGGTTTGGCTTCAGTTTCAAGAGAGTCCTGCGAAAATCTACTTTCAAAAGGAGGGCAAAATGGAGAAGGTAAGCCAGTCTCTCATTTAGGTGAACCACGTGTTAATGATGGGCACAATAGGCATGGGCCGTGCTATTACCATAGTCGTGGGAGGAGCCGCAGAGTCTCTTGATGCGCAGCCTGGATTGCTTAAATTGGTGTTAAGGAAACGGAAGGGCTTCGTTAAGTTGGCTATACGGACAGGGGCTGACCTGGTCCCTACTTTGGCTTTCGGGGAGAATGATCTTTACGATCAAGTGGATCCAGAGCAGCACCCTTTCATACACAAAGGCCAGCTTGTTGTCAAGAAACTTTTCGGGTTCACTGTCCCCCTGTTCCACGCAAGAGGCGTGTTTAATTACGACTATGGCATGATGCCGTATCGCAGACCCGTCAATGTGGTCGTGGGCAAGCCCATCAAGGTACAGTATGCGAGCGAACCGAAAGAAGCGTATGTGAATGAGATTCATGAACGATATATTCAGGAATTGGAACGCATCTGGGGAGCTTGGAAGGACGAGTTCGCTTGGGATCGTAAAAGTGAGCTAGAAATAGTGGAATGAAAAAATCATGAGAATTGCACTGCCTGTTGTAACGAAAGACAAACACAACCACATTTGCACCCACAGCCGCCTTCTGTGAACTACACCTCTGCCATAGGTGGTACTCGTAGGCCGCAGGGACTTACTGAGATGCTATTGGCTCGTTGAGTCGTAGGCGGCTAGAGCTCGTCGCCCCGCAGGTAGGCCTCTTGAAGCTCTCTGCCAATAGCAAACGTCGGCGGCTCCAGCTGGGCTAGCAATACTCAGGACGCTGTATAGTGCTCGATCTAACAGATAATGCTCTTCCTTGCCTTTGATGACTCCGACGAATGATGTGATTATGTACATGTGACTGTATCTCTCCGCTGCCTTTAAGCGCTCTGCATTGCCTGAGCTTCGTGGCTGCCCTCTTCTCACGCAGTCCCGCATCCAAAGAAGCTATTCTTAGCTCCTCATCGAACTAGGGCGACCGCATCTGCGACCTTAGTATATAGGAAATCAGCTATGGCCTCATCTGGAAGTCGTCATGGGAAGCCAGATGAAGAGATGTTTTTCGAACGCCCGAGTCACACGGACTCGCCTACCGTTGAACCTCTGAGAATACACAAAGGAGAATCGAGGTCTCCCGAGCCAGATATTCGACCAGGCGCATTTCCTCTACCCCCGGCGCATCGAGCTCGCCGGCTCCCCTACCATACCCAGACGATCGGATTCGAATGCAATCGCGGCCGACACAAGGGCGCACTACAAGTGAAGGACAGACGAGGCACTCCCCTCCGTCCCACAGCTCACGCGCTCGAGCTGATTCTTCGGATCCATCAAGAGCGGGAATACCTGAATATCCTCCCGCATTATTGAGGCCCCGCGATGGGCGCGGAGGTGCACCAAGGCTAGCGGAGAGAAGGGGCAATGCGCCAAAGCCTCTGCCTGATTCTCCAGGACCGGAAGCGCCAGATAAGGAAGGCCTATTCCAGAGAATGCCTCGCCGAGACGGGGCAAGTCCCAAGGATAGCGATCTAAATCCATATCCTGAATATCACCAACAATATTGGCCACCACCAGGATCCGCAAACGGTGGCCAAGCACCCGGAAGCAGCAATCTCAACCTGCCAGACCCTGCTGGTGTCAATAGGCTAGCTTCTACAGCTTCGACATCAACTACAAAGGCACAGCGGGGCTCTCCGCCGCCGCCAGAAACTCCCATAGTTGCACCGGGAGAAGTACCTGGTGGAGGGATAGAAGCTAGATATGCTGCTGCAGGAATAGCAGGAACCTCCACATTAAACAGCCTTCAAGCGCAAAATGCTGCTGCACAGCAAAGAGCGAACAACTACCCCAAGCCTGACAGCCTAGATCAGCGACCCGAGCCTATTCGAAGATGGACACCAACAGAACAACCGGGGAGTCAGCCTCATGGACCTCCAACAGTATACCAAGGCCCCGGTGAAGCAATGAATTCACCTCCGATTGAGTCCCCAATGCCTCAAGGCCACATGGTTTCCCCACAAACTGCACAATCGAGCGGGGGCCGTATTGGACCGGACACAGTGGCTTTAGAGCAAGATATGCACAGAATGCACGTCTCTGCTTCTCCTCCACCAGCATATTCACCTTCGAACTCGCATGCAGCTACAGTGCAGGGCTATCCTAACGAAAAACAAAGTCGACCAGTTCCTGCGGCCGCTGCAGCTGGCATTGGGATGGGGTCAGCGGCCGGAGCGGCAGTAGTAACTGCTGCAACACCCCAATCGGCACACCCTGATCATCCGGCGTTCGCGAATGACCCGAGACCAGAAAGCAGCGCCTCTCAGCGACCAGAGCAAACATTTGCCACCGCTCAGCACGGAGCTTCGCAACAGCTGAAACCTTCATCCTCCCCAGCAAACGACGGCGTTGGCCCAGCAGCTCCGCCACCGCTCCCTGAAGGATGGATTGCGCATCTGGATCCGAACTCAGGACATTACTACTATATTCACCTACCCACGCAATCAACGCAATGGGAATTTCCCAAAGGGCCCACTCCGCTAAATCTGAACGAGCCACTTTCTCCCACAGGCAGCGTCAGCTACCACAATCCTCTCGCTTCACCCGGATTGAGTGTGCTTAGCGGAAAGCCACTGGCCTCTCCAGGGATGCAGCCGGCCACGCCTGGATACGCAGAGAGCATCATGAGTGCAACGCCTACGGTTGCCGGATTTACCGGACCCCCACCAAGCGCAGGGGTTGACATGTACAAGGTAGCGCCCACAAACGGAGTTTATTTTGGACCATACTTGAGATATACGAATATGGACCTAGAGCGAGGAGTTTGGCTTGGCTCAATATTGCTCGTGACGGACGCACCACAGCCTCCGACCATTCATATTCATCAAAGTGTAGACCTTTCGCCAAATCCGCGGCAATTGAAGGGCCAAGGTATTTCTGTACATCAAAGATGGACTTTCTACCGGTACGATCTCGACTTGCAAATGGAGGAAGAGGGTAGTTCCAAATGGACGTACGCTATCACCTCACACCTTGGCTGCACACGCTATGAATTCCTCGTTGCTGGTAAGCATGAGACGAATTGGCGCTTCATCGCTACTTCTGGTAATGACTTCTCGCTAAACGTAAATGCTAACGAAAGGACTCGCATTGGCGGCATCGGTTACATGTGGAAAGACATAATGCAGAAACACGTTGAGTGCGGTGGCTTTCATACGCAGCTGGGGCTTGGTGACCAAATCTATGCTGACAGGATATGGAAGGAAATTCCAACGCTTAAACAATGGCTTGCGATGAGTGGAAAGGACAATCGAAAGAACGCTCAATGGACCGCCCAGCACGAAGAAGACGTATCGCATGCATATTTCCATTACTATACAAGCCATTTCGATCAGCCCTTTCTCCGCGAGGCTTTCGCCCAAATACCCTACATTTTGCAACTTGATGATCATGAAATGTAAGTACACTAATTCCACACCTCGCCTTGGGCACTTCGAGCTAACAAGAGAAATTCTAGCTTTGACGGCTTTGGTTCATATCCAGAATACATGCAATTCAGTCACATGTTCAAGAATATCGGCCGCATAGGCATAGAGATGTATCTATTATTCCAACACCACACAACGCTAGAAATTCTACGCAACGTCAGCGTCGATACCGATATCTTCACCATCACTGGGACTGGCTGGCACTTCATCAAACACCTTGGCCCGGCTGTTGCCGTTGTTGGACCGGATTGTCGATCAGAGAGAAACCAACACCAGGTCTTAGCTGGCCCAACTTATCAAGGCCTGTTCCCCAAGATCGCAATGTTACCGCAGAGCGTACAGCATTGCATTTGGATGATTTCAGTGCCTTTGATCTATCCGAGACTAGAAGCTGCTGAGCAAATTGCTCACACCGTCGCGACAGGAAAGAAGGCAGTCACAGGGACTTATAATCTCGTTGGCAAGCTAACCTCATCTGTTGCAGGAGTGGTCGGAGCGAAAGGTGTTGTAGGATCTGGTTTTGACTCTGTCAAGAAGGCTGTTGGCAAGTCAGGTCTCATGGGCGGCATTCTCTCCCCATTCGGCGACATCGACATGCTTGACGAATTACGAGATCAATGGACGCATGAATCTAAGGTAAGGCACTGTACTCGAGACTGATTGGGGTTCTAATAGTTGACCTCAACTCAGGACCTGGAGCGCACCTATTTAATCCGTACCCTCCAACAAATCGCTCACCAAAAGTCCATCCGTATGACCTTCCTCTCAGGCGCCGTCTCCGTTTGCGGCGCCGGTCTGGTTCATGACCCATCCAAACCAACGGACCACAAAACCATGTATCAGCTCATCTCCTCCAGCGTTGTAAATACTCCTCCTCCGTCGTATGTCCTGAAAATGCTGCACTCATCCCAAAAACCTCTCTATGTGCCGCAAAATGGCCAGCGAAGCACCAACGCCCCATCAGATACGAAGGAAGACATGATGGAGATCTTCACGCAGGAACCAGATGGGAGGCCGAGGGAGGCGAAAAAACTGATGGGTAGGAGGAATTACGTGGCAATTGTGCCATATGATCCTGAAGCTGTGCAGGGCGCTTATCCGCCCTCCACCCCAGGACTGCAAAGCAAAGCGGCAGGGAGGTTGAGTCTGGCGGTAGACTTTATGGTGCAGTCAGAAGGACAGGCTGTAGTACCTGCCCAGGGCCCTGTACAGGCCGCTGGCGTGAATAAGTATGGGCCTGTTATTGTGCCAAGCCTGGAGTTTGGACGATAGTCGCCGAGGTACGGTTTCAAAGGAGTTCGAAATGTACGATCGTCTGAGTACTCGGCCGTCGTACCTATTCTAGAAAGTCTTGAATATAGCTTTTCAAATGAAGTGTCAATACAAGAGTAAGAACGGAAAAGCAGGTTCATGACCAAGTACAGCCTTCGAGCTAATGACAAAGAGCATGGTAGCCTTGTTTTGTGGTCGGTTTCAAGGTCATAATGATATGTCCAAGGGTGCATAAAGTACAAACACAAAAAAAGGTAGATCATGTACAATGAGCAGGCGTCATCCAATGACCAACCCCGATTCACACGCATGCAATGCAAAGGCTTGCATATACCGCCTCTGCCACTTTTTTTTCCTACGTCAACTTCTTCTCCCATCCTAAAACCTCCGCAATGACATTCCCAATCGTGCTAGCCGTCCACAATACCACCAACCCCACTCCAACCCGCTTATCCATCCACCAGCCTCTTAGTGGCACCACAATCAACAGTCCGGCCAGCGTGACAAGCAGCGTTACCCCACTGATCAGCAGCGTCCCGCCAACCTCAATCTGGTACGGCTTATACCTCAACGGCTCACCCGGATGCTTCCTCTCCCTATTCTCGGCGCCCCTCACAGTCATATATAACCCACTCAACCCAATGCCTAACAGTATATTCAGCATCGGCCCTCCGAAACATGCACTCAGTGCCATTACAGGATACCCGAGCCTTGCGACCGTGATATCAGCGACTAAATCCCCGCAAGAGTTCCCAACGGCGAAGATGGTAAGACCAAGGATGGCGTCGCTGATGCTGAGAATGGTCCCGAAGGCTTTCAGCACGCCAACGACTTCGTTTGCGATCGTGCTGATCCAGGCAATGGCTATTACGAAACCGAGGTAGCAGAGAAGGTAGCGATAGCGAGGAGGCCGAGTGGGGGAAGTGAAAAGCAGGAGAAGGGAGAGGGCTATTAGGGAGGCGAGGAGGCTGTAAAGGGTTGGGAGGAGAAGGGCGCGCGGATTCGATGGGGAGATATTTGCCCAGATGAGGAGGACGATCAGCCAGGGGCCCGTGAATAATTGAGTTGCGATAAGCCAACGGTTCCAGGCCTTTGGTGAGGAGGCTTCCGAATCTGATGCTGCGTGAGTATTGTCTTGAGTGGGCTTGTTGAGTCGAGGAGCTGGGATGTCAAGAGGCTCGGGTGCAGTGACGTTGATGGACGGGGAGACCGCGAGATTATTGCCGTTCGTGTACTTTCTTGAACGGTGGGTTTGAGGGTCCCGCAGCGGAAGTTGTTCAGGGCTCTCTGAAACCACAGGAACGTGAGGTTTTTTGCGAGAGTGACTTTTGTCTGGAGAAAGCAGTCCAGGGTCTGGATCGACAATGTCAGGTAAATCGTCGTCTTTCTCTGCCTCTACAGTCGGTAAGGTGATGACGAGGAGAAAGACGCTAGGTGCTGCGACAACACCAAGCATCTTCTCCCAGATGCTTTTCTGCTTCCAATTGTACAACGTTGGAAAAATCGTAGACAGAAGTATTTGAGGGGATGGTAAAATCCTGTATGGCCACCATCGTAGTGGCTTTTCCGACTCCTGGAAGATGTCCTGGCGGAAAGTCGACTCCGAGCCAAGACTTGGAGGAGGTAATCGTATGCTAGGCGTCCGCGAACGCGATAGTGACGGCAGGAAATTTGGGTCATCGTGGTACTCTGGAAATGGTGAAAGAGGGGTTCCTCTTGGTGATGATGCTGGTGACCGGGGAATATCGAGTTTTGGAGCGTGAGGTTTGGAAGAGTGATCAAGGGAAGTAGTACTGTGGTGAACGGATGGCAGATTCTGTGAATCACCTGGCGGCGCAAGTAAATCCATAGAACGTCGGCGGTCTTGTGGGGTCAGACTTGAAGGGCTGGAGACCAAGTCGCTTTGATCAGCGGTAAAGGGCGATAAAGATAATCGAGGTGGATCTTTGCTGGGTCCGTCTTCAGCCTCAGAGACACCTGGAGGGGGGACCTTTCCACTATTTGGTGGCGAAGGGGATAGAAAGTCGACCTGTGGAACTTCTGGTTGTGGTTTCCGAAAGGCTTCGGGGTCTCTTCGCATTCCTAGGGCATCATTTGCTGAGACTGCCCGAACACGTAGTGGGCCGTTGCGATCGATTTCCTGACTACTCCTTCCAGAATTGGACGCCAAGTCATGAGAATCGACATCGTCATGAGCACGTTCTGGATTAGAAACGACAGACATGTTATCCTGCTGCTGGGCCGCCGTAAAAGTTGGATCGTCTGAATAGCGGCGGAGATTGATCGGCATTGTTTGAATATTTCTAGACCTTTGCAATGAAGAAAGGATAGCGGTGAATTCCAGGGCTCCGACGAGGCTGGGTCGTATGGGATTGATGGTGTTCCGCCGCTCGCCCGCACGAACTCGGCTCACACGCATGTTGCTGCTGATCTCCGCAAGATATCTGTCTCTCGTTTCGTCGCTGGCGTCTATCTCTTCTGCGATGGCTTTTGGTATTGGACTTCCGGCTCTTTCGAGGGTTGCAAAATCCTCCATTGAGACTGTTCGGGTAGTAGCCCGGCTTCTCGATGGCCGTACCTCCTCGCCTTCTTCGTCACGATATGGCTCAACAGCTCCCTCATCAGTGCCTGGTATATGGTAGTGACTCCGGGCAGTATCTTCAAGATTTCTTTGCTTTGCTCTCCGCTTGAGAGACCAATGCCAGATTACTACGAAGACCACGTAAAAGATGTAGAAAGCGACCATCGCGATGCATTCCCACAGGTGCAAAGACCCGTCGGCAAGAAACACCATGCTAAAGCCTGCCGCCACAATGAAGAAACCTACGTCTCGAACGAAACTCCTTCTTGCAACTTTGAAAGGTCTAACGAGCGCCATTGACCCGGCCACCACTGTAGTGATGAAACTAGCTGCGCCGATAAGCTCACCCACCGCTAAACTTCCACTATGAGTCTTCATAGCTGCAAACGTCGAGAAGATGTCTCCGCTGCCATTACCAAAGGCCAGGAACGTAACCCCCGTTATGCTCTCGCTCAGACCGAGTATGCTTGCAATGGTGCTTAGATTGATACAGAAGAAGTCACTGGCTGCGATACCAATCGCTGTGAATAGAAGACCGAGCCAGGTGACCATGATGATGAATGCGACTGGTTTTGCCTTGGGTAGCTTGCAATAATAGAGTTGAAGGTAGGAAAACAGGCCAGCTTCCTCATCTGGACAATTCTGTTGTACGAAGGCACACTGGTCTTTCGCGGCATGGACTAGGCCACACTTTTGATCGCATTAGTATTGGCATATTCTACGTGGTATTCTGTAGGCTCCCCTACCGCTTGATCCCTCTTTGCGATTCTGACTGGGACGCTGAGAGACTTCTCTGTTCCAGCCTGTCCCCGCCGCAGCAACGTCCAATCATCGCGCGCCGCGACTTGCTCTTGACCCCTAGACAAGACAGCACTCCATGCAGTCAAGAGACATATCAACGCAATCGTGAGATAGAATGCTCTTGCGGCGATGTACTTCTTCCGTGGGTGAGGGTGCAAAAGAAGAGCCGGCGTCGCAGGGGCTGGAGTCGTTGGTGTACCCATGTTGAGTTCGTCATGATGGGAAGGGGGACTGAATATTATGCGACGGGCTCAATACAAGTAAGAATAATAATGCGTGCGCAAACAGCTCGAACGAATAGCCAAGTAAAGTTGGACGTACCTCGCTGAAGCTCGCTCGAGACGTCATCGCAGCCACAGGCAGCCACAGAGACAGAGCCGTGCGCCACAGTCTTCTCGGGGTTTCCAATGTCCGCGGGGTCGTCCTACCTTTCGGTCGTCATACGTAAGCTATATATGCCTTTACCCATGCCTTTAGTCACGTGCGGCTCGATATATAAGTTCGATGGGCTTCTCTGCGCATCATGTCTCCCCTGAGCGACATTCCTTCTCTTGAAACATGTCGAGTTCGGGTAATACGGAGGCTCGAGAGTTGAATCTCATCGGTAAGGTCGAGCTCAAGATTGCTCTTGTCGATTCCGATGAAGCTCTACAAGCTATTCTGAAGACTTACTTGCCACCTCTTTTGTTGAAGCTTGCGTCAGACTCCGTTGCCGTTAGAAACAAGGTCTGTATTCCTCGACGAGATGCTATGGTGTCACGGTGTCTTTTGAACTTTTCATCTCTTGTGAAAGACTTGCAGGAAGCCGAGCTGAGTGTGGCCCTCGCTAGATTATTGCCATTTGTCAACATGTCAATACCAGGATAAAACCACCGTACGTACGTGATAAATGAAGACATGGAAAGCGGAGTCCTGGCTAAAGTAAATCTTTTGCTTCAAGAACCATAAGACTTCCTGTAGAAGCACTGCTTAGACAGTTCAAGGAGCAGCAGAACAACCTTGTCCGGCATTTCGATCTTCTCTATGTCCAACAAGGTATCAATCGCTTGCCCGCTGCAGTGAGTCCGTCTTTCCTCATTATCATCCTCACAGGCACGGGAACGAAACCCATTGTATCCCCAGGTCTACATGGCCACGCTAAACGAAATGTCAATAGGAACGCCTGGAATTACTGCCAGCCATCTTGAAAGGCTTGCACGCCAATTATCATGAGTCACCAAAGCATGCGGCAACCCTTTTCAACCTGTTCCTCAAGCTGCTTCATAGCATATCGTTGCCCTCACGAGGTGATAATGAGGATTCAGCGCTGAGAGGACGATTTGGTTTCAGCGAAAAACCCGAAGATGCTTCATTCCTTGCAGACTGGTCTGGTAAGTTGGTACTCTTCAGTCCCGGTAAACCACCATCCACTCGTGGCCCTGGTTTGACCGAAGACGACTACAACTTTCTCCAGCTCTATGGCAAATCTGATACCTGGAATCCGGGAGTATCAGATGGGATGAATCTATCAGAGACAAAGGTCGTGTGTATTCGCTTTGTCGCCAGTGGAGCATTCACGGATCAAGAGAGATTTCTACCCGCTTTGTTTGCTTCGGCTGACACGAACTCCCGCATTTCTGACGTTGGCAATGATATGCTAAAAAGAGCTACTTCTGCTATTTCTCTTGAGGATATGACTCTCATTAGGAATCTCTATAATCTCTACCTAGGTAGCGGAGGGACAACTGGCTCGCTTCCAGCCCGACCTGCACTGCAGACCAAAATCCTGACCTTCTTGAGCCGTTCCAGTGCTGCTTCTTCTTTTGTTGAGGACAGTACGAAGATCATACAAGATGGGCTAGCACATGAGCCACAGGCACAAACTAACGGGAACGTCCAAGGGTCTAAGAAGGGTCTTGAGATCTCAAGACTCAGAGGCCAAATATTCGCTTTCACAAATTGGCTTGCACGGATCAGCTCCCCGCGTGACATTGCTACCTTTGCGCCAACCCTAGTAAGTCATCTTCGTACCTACATTCAAGATCAGGGATGGCCAAGACCTCGGACAGAGGGGCCCTTGGATGCTGGTGAATTAGCTTCGAGGTCATATGGATACGAAAGTATCGGCTTGTTGGCTTCCGCATGCGCTGATACACTTTTACTGGAGCCATCACTTGAGCTACTTCGTTGGCTAATGACTTCGCTAAGCGAGGATTCATCAGGAGTTGAAATTTCGATGAGTATCGAAAATGCTCTAGGTAGTATAATTAGGGCTTTCGGGGGCCGCCCAATCCTCGAGCTGCAAGACTCTCTTGCTGCTCTCTTCATGCACCATATGAGTCTCGTTCCTACTGTTGGTGACGAAAATAGTACCGGGATAGTCCGAAGCACCAAATTTGTATCGTTACGCTTTGCAAATCGGTGTCTCTCTTACAGCAACATAGACGGGCGGTATATCGATATTCTTTCATTACGCGGTCATGATGTAGATCGGAGCGAAGTTCTTGAAGAAGGTAGGAAAGGTCTTGATCCGTACTGGCACCGTGTCCTCAATCCCTCACAAAAGCAAGAATCAGTAAATTCAGGGGCTGTGCAAGCCACCGACTTTCCAGCATTTGAACCTTTAGTAGAGCGGCTCTTCGGCCCCGATGCAGAGTGGGATCTTTCAAACCCACAATTTATACCCGCATTTTTTGCAGCGCTGGGGTATTGTCGTTGTGTCCTTCTACATCAATCCCTGACGCAGGTCGAAAGCCCGCCTGTCATTGACACGGAATGGGCTAGAAACATCGACGCTCTCATTTCTAACAATGAGGATGCAAGACGTAGCCTCAAAACACTTTTCACCAGCAATTTGAGAGACTCTGTACACTTCTCAAGAGCCGTTTCAATTTATCTCCATGCCTGTTTTAAAGCTCTGACTAGCCAGAGTATGACCGAAGCAGCACAGGCTGGCCAATATTTCATTGAAATATGTGCGTTTTTGCCAACCTCTGAATACAGTGACCTTTCCAGGCACATCATGAAATTACAGGGTCCTATGTTCTCTACCGACAGCGCCTTGAGCAGATCATCATCCTTAATATTTGGGCTATTAGCTTCCTCTGGGAAATGCGAGGAAAGCACGTTGCAACGGATGTCTGGTGTCTTCGAGCAATATTTGGGGTCTTGGAAGGACGCTATAGGTGCAGATGTGTACAAAGTATACGGATCACTGCTCGCAACCGCCTTTCTCCTCAGCAGATGCGCCCGCCGGAATGAGCGAATCAGGGCGTTTGACGAGCAACAAAAGAAACTCAAACTCATCTGTTTCTCTGTTCTCTCTCAAAGTCGGGATAAAATGCTACTTGACGCCGTGTTCCTTGCTATCTCTGAGCTTGCACTCTATGGGGTGCTATCCACTGACGACATATCATCGATACCAGTGGAGACAATCGCAAAATTCTTCGAAAATGGCGAGAAAGGTAGTGAGAGGGCCATTACCTCACTTGGGCATTTAGCCATGCAGTGTCGCGAGGAAGAAAGCGAGGACTCGACTCTGCAGGTTATCATCGACCGACTACACGAGCTTCATAACGTTCGTCAACCCGAGGTACAATTTGCCGTAGGCGAAGCTTTTAGCTGCGCAGCCATTGGTTGGGATTCAAAGGCGTTCATTTCGACTCTGGATTTGGATGGAGCTCTGCCCCCATCTGCACAGCATGATAGCACGCTTCAAGCTCTGCTTGATCGAATTCTTGCAGAGTGTAAATCAACCAAGCCTGCCCTTCGTCAAGCCACGGTAATCTGGTTGCTTTGCCTAGTGCAATTTTGCGGCCATCGCCCTGCCGTTCAAAGCCGGCTGCAAAAATGTCAAGCTGCTTTCAAGGGATTCTTAGCGGATCGAGAAACCCTGAATCAAGAATCTGCCTCCCGTGGTTTGACATTGATCTATGAGAAAGGCAACCAAGATTTGAAGACAGACCTCATACGCGATTTAGTCGGATCATTCACAGGAACAACTTCAACTCTCGCAGGCAGTATCTCAGAGGACACCGAATTGTTTGAGGCGGGAGCACTTCCCACCGGGGATGGTTCAGTCAGAACGTACAAAGACATTATGAGTCTGGCGTCGGAGGTCGGCGATTCCAGCTTGGTCTACCGTTTTATGTCTCTAGCTTCACACAACGCAATCTGGTCAAGTAGAGCAGCGTTTGGTCGATTTGGGTTGAGCAATATTCTGAGTGACGCAAATACGGATGGATATTTTGCAAATAATCCGAAGCTTTACCCAGCACTATATCGATACCGGTTTGATCCAAATTCAGGGGTCCGCAATGCAATGAACGATATATGGACTGCCTTGGTCAAAGATCCTGTGACAACAATCAGCACGCATTTTACCGCTATCATCAAAGACCTGATGAAAAGCATACTGAACAAAGAGTGGCGCACACGTCAAGCTAGCTGTGCTGCTATAGCGGATCTAGTCCAAGGTCGGTCACTTGAGATGTATGAAGAATACTTGAATGAGATCTGGTCGCTCGCTTTCAAGGTATGCGACGACATCAAGGAGTCTGTCCGTGCCGCTGCGATGTCCCTTTCAAGAGTCTTAGTCGGCATCCTCACTCGTTCTCTAGAAGCTAGAGATTCTTCATCCCGTTCCGCTGACAAGATGCTCAAGCAAGTCTTGCCTTTCCTACTCAGTACACAAGGACTAGAGTCTAGTGCGCCTGACGTCCAAGATTTTTCCCGCAAAACGATTTTGCAAATCATAAAAAAGAGCAGTGGCAAAATCTTACGGCCCTTCGTACCTGAGCTTGTGGGCCGATTGCTAGCATTGTTGAGCTCTATAGAACCCGAAATGATCAACTACGTTCACATGAATGCTGAGACCTTTGGCTTGACAAAGCAAGAGTTGGATGATGCACGGCTCAAGCACATCCGCGGTTCTTCCATGCTTGAAGCGATCGAGCGTTGCTTGGACTATCTAGATGACAGCTCGATGCCCGAGCTGCAGCAACGCCTTGAGAGCGCTATCAAAACCGTAATCGGGCTTCCTTCAAAAGTCGGCTGCAGTCGTGTGCTGGTTTCCCTATCAACCCAGCAAAATTTTGTTTTCAAACCTTACGCTGACTATTTCCTGTTCATCGCCCAAAAGCAGGTATTTGACCGCAATGATACTATCTCTTCAGCTTACGCTATCTCCTGTGGATATCTGGCGCGCTTGGCAAGCGAAGGTGCTCTTTTGAAGCTCGTCGAAAGTTGCCGTGTGCTCTATTTCGATACTGAGGAGGACAGACAGCGTATGATTTCCGGAGACGTGACTCATGCCTTTTCAAAGTACGCTACGGATCGCTTCAATTCAATGGCTGGAGAGATACTCCCATTCATATTTGTTGCAAAACATGATCTTAACGATCGCGCACAAGGCCTGTTCCAGGACACTTGGAATGAAAATGTCGGAGGGTCGAGGGCAGTATTGTTATATTTGCGTGAGATCGTTCAATTAGCTTCGCAGCATCTTGACTCAACAAGATGGGCCCTCAAGCATACGGCGGCTTTCTCAATCGCAGAAGTAGTTACTAACGCAGGATCTACGATAAGCGACGCAGATGCTCGTACCATTTGGCCGGCCCTCGAGAAGGCATTGGTGGGAAAGACCTGGGAGGGTAAAGAAAAGGTCCTTCGTGCTTTTGTGGCCTTTGTAAAACATAGCACATTGGCCAGAGAAGATCCAAAGCTGATGGAGCAAACGACAAAGATAATGCTTCGAGAGAGTAGGAGGAATAATCCTGTATATCATCAGGATGCCCTTGGAAGCTTATCAGACTTTGTAGACAGCCAACACTCTGCAGAGCTTTATGACCAAGCGTATGAAATCGCTATGTCAACAATCGAGAAACTTCTCGGGGATTCTGATGAAATGGACATCGATTCTTCTGCTGGAGGCCCCTCTTCAAAGACTGTAAGGGATCTGACAATTGCAAATGCTCTCAAGACAATTCTCCGATCCCCTCATCCTCAAGACTTTACACGCAGCGATTGGAACAAGGCGCTCAGGCAATGCTTATCGTTACTTGATAGGGTCAACGAGACTGAAAGAGGAAATAAAGCCGCCCAGACGGCAATATACGAGTCACTCAAATTGCTTTTCCAGAGGTGGCAAGGAGCCTCTGAGATGCTTCCATCATCACCAGAAGAGGTCTACAAGGGATACACAAGACACGTATTCAACGCCCAAGATCAAGTTGAGAACGTCCGGCTAAAAGCTGCCGAGGCTGCGGTAGAGCTAGCCCCTATAGCTCTGAAAGGAGAGGGCTCCAAAATCAATTTCAGCGACGAGCTGAAACGGGCAAGGGTAGCGGAAAGATCAGGATCTGTACAGCAAGTCTTGGAACGTGTAGCGAAGTTCTCTGACGTATCGAAGACATGAAGCGATAGACTCAGAATATCACATAGAGAATGTAGACAGATGTAGAAACTCCGTCATTCGGTCATCTTACGTAGGAACCAGAAATGAACAGACATCTTCACAAGTGGCTCTCGGTGGGTTCATTCTAACATTTAGGCTTCAGAGGATCGACAATAACACTTCATGTATAGCACGCTTCACAACATTGGACTAAAGCATGACTATCCCCAATGTTGATGAGCTCGGTGCATTGGATCCCTTGGCGTTGATGCATAATTCCGGTGGCAAAGCATAGTACAGTTTCCAAAGGCTTCTTAAGCTTCTTCAGGCCATGTGGAGGCGTTGGTGTTGTGGTTTATTCGTGGCGTTGGCCCGTTCGCTGTTAGAGGAAGGGAGCGCACGTGGCATGACACCTGAGACAACGAGCGATGATACATAGGGGCAGTAGTCGTAGTGTGCATTGTTATTATTATTGCGGCAAGGGCAGCCACAAGAGGCCGGTGAATAAGGGAACAACATGTAATATGACCAATAATCGAGCATACGAGGTGAGCGAGGCATAAACAACAGCCTAAGCCCCCCACTAACCTTATATCTCGATTATCTTTATTTACGGCGCGAACCCAGGCGGACGGCTAATCTTAGTCGAGCAAAGGCGTGGACCCCCAGCGCACGAATGATGCCACGGGTCCAATGACAGCCAGCCATCTCGTCGGCAGCATTGACCTCCTTTGCCAATCCTTGCGAGTCTGACCTGCCCCAAGCTCCCAGAATGACGGACCCTCTTGCCAATTTTGCTGCATCTTTATATACACACGAACGATGGATCACCATTATCATGCTGCTGATGCTGACGAGTGGTATGAGTATGTCATCCTTCTCTGCCATTGTCATTCTCCCCCCCTCCCCTTCCAGACCCCGATCATGCTCGCCGCCTCCTCCTCCTGCTGCTTCAACAACCAATCACCAGCAGACCAAATCGTCAGATCACAAACATACGACACACCAGCCAATCTTGAAACACCACCACCACCACCAACCAAGCCCGTCAAGCTCAATTGCAGCCACTTTAGCCCCCCGTCCCGCACGGATAGCCTCGTGGTGAGCACGTGTCTCCCGCTGCTTCTTGTTGGAGGGCATATCTACCGGCGCTTGGCCCGCCTGATGAGCAATTGAGAAAGTCTTACACCGTCGAAACGACTATCATCAAACGCCCATCGGACCCCCATTGCAGTTCGGAAATCTTGATTTCACTTCATAGCTAATCGCCGTGGATCGTCGTGAGGACGAACGCCAGTCCTTGTAGACCACGGAGCATTGGGATTCAGTCTCGTCACAGTCACATATCAATACATCGGTCGGCGCTAGCGACGATCCTTCCACCCTCTTCCTTTTACCGTACCTTATTCGCCCACTCGCGTCTTGCGGTCGTTCCCACTCCCAGCGGGTATCTCCGGGTAAGTTCACCGAGCTGCATCCTTGCAGAAAGCTACGAGGATTAATGAGACACAGACTTCTGCCATCTCGAATGCAATGACGGCTGCCGTCTTACCAACTCCCTTCCATAATATGCAATATCTCCAAAAGATGAAGAGACAGCGAACGAGCAAGAACAGCTCGCTTCCTAATATTGCTCCGCGATTCGAGAGTGTGCAAGAGCCAGATGCGGTCGATCCTCTCGCACCAGCCACCATCAATCTCCCCCGACCTCGACTACCTCCCCGATCACGCTTCGGATGTTGGACATGCCGGCAGCGGAAAGTGAAGTGTGACGAAGCACGGCCTGAATGCACCCAGTGTGCTCGATTGGGTCATTCATGTGACTATAACCCACGCCTGTCGTTCAAGGACGATACTGGGCGAATCATCCGAAAGGTATCCGGTCGGGGTATGTGACCATCTTTCTTTACAACATCTGCCAGCATGATCGAGTACAGCCCTGGTACACATCGCTCGATCCGTTCTCCTGTTCACTCCCTTGTTCATACTGTGGTCAACGAGCGATGATCGAAATTAAAGCTGACAATTATCCGCTTGCTTAGGTCCAGGCGCTGGTCCTGTTTGGCAACCCAGCCATAGCCCTTTGAGGCGGAAACGGCTTGATCCAAACGAGGAAGACCTCCTCCCACCCTTTCTCACACTGACAAATGACGACGATCGGGAGAGAAAGGCGCTATTTCGCCCTCCTGGGACCTACAATGTTGTGGTGAACCTTTCCAGCTTCATCAACTTTGATGATTATCGGGCAACCTTTCCAGGCGATCCTTTTCCCCCAGCAGTACCAACTTACGGCGGACCACCGTCAAATCGTGCCGATATCAGGCCAATAACTCGACCAGATTCTCCGTTACACTCATGGGATATCAGTTCAAGTGATGACTCTAACGAGCCTGATGTCGTGGTCCTCAAAGTGTTTGAAGACTACGAAAGCAATTCATTTTCTCCACCTTCAATAAATTCCACCAAGGCTAGTCTCTCAAGATCAAACACCTATTCCGCTCGCTCTGCCAGCATTACAGGAAGTCTTTCTGCGCAGCGAGGTGACATCTTCAACTTCTCTGTCGACAACACTCCGCTCATGAGATATGCTCATCCTGACGGAAGGGATCATTCGATTATCTACTACTACAAGAACTTTGTCCATCGCCATCTCGCTCAAGTACACCGGGATACTCTAGGCACATCGTTAGAGACAGGAGCTTTGACGGCGCCGGATGTCTTTGAGAGACAGGCCGGCAATTTCTTACCAGTAAGTAGTCCCTGCCTTCCAAGCCCGCAATCTGCTCTGAAACGCGAGGTCTGCTCTCTTGTCTAAAATCCTAAAATCTTCAATCTCTTTTCGGATCCCTGTATCTAGAAGTCAATCTCCTGGCTTCCTACTCTTTCTCAATGCTGTAGATTTCTTCGGCTGATACTAGGATGTCTTCTGTACCTTGTGTTTGTAGACGTCATTCGCTTCTTGTGCTTCACTGTGTCTTAGCTTGGGGTTGCGTACGGTCTATGACGGCTTTTGCTAATTAAGTCAGCTCTACCACGCCTTGATGGCCTTTTCCGCACTTTCAATGTCACACAAACACGGAATCCCAAGCCTCGACGCCCTGCAACACTATCAACAGGCGCTCCCACTTCTAAAAGCATCCCTTCATAACGAAGAAGATCTTGCTTCTGACGGTGTCTTCCTCACACACTTCCTCTTACTCCTTTACGAGATCGCCGCCGGTGAAGTCCGAGGGTTATCCTACTGGGCCCAACACGTATCTCAGCTCCTCCAGATAACACTGCTCCGCCGCAAGCTCTATAGCACCGAGCCCTACAACTTCATCGTCTGGTGGATCGCCAATATTGACACGCACGTCGTCTTGACCGGCATGGGTGGCGGTGACTACGTCTCCGCCATGTTGCGTTACCGTCTCCTGCCCACAGGCATCGGCTCAGATTCCCAACATACTCCCCAGCAAAACATCATGATGTCTCCGCCCGGCGCAAGCGATGCCGGTGCTCTCCCTTCCTCCCTTTCCTTCCACCGTCGTATCTGCATCCTAGCCGCCGAACTCGCTCTTCTCACACGTGAACTTCGCTCCGAAGCACGCCAAATGCTCCCTAATACCCCTGGACCCGAGACTATTCAGCATTGGCACACGCGGATTGAATCGATCCAGGACCGGCTTCGCCGGACTTGGAACGTGCAGATGCCAGCCAGCGTGGCTAGTGGGTATTGTAACCAGCTGCTCCCCGTCGGCGCTCGCGGCATATTCGAGCATAGCTTCGCTCTCTATCGCTCCCTGCTACTATATTCACACACAGCGATGTACCCGACGCAGTCATTGTATCACCACTACCAGCACATCCATGAAGTTGCAGAGTCGGCGGGCTTGATACTGAAGCTCGGTAGGGATATTGTAGCTAATGGACACATGGAGCGAAAATTCATCGTGTTTCCACTCTTCATGGCCGGAGTGGTAAACCAGTATCCCGAAGAGAGGGAGGAATTGTTGGGGTTGCTTAGGAAACTGGAAGAAGATAGTATTGGGCGGAATATGATCGCTACGAGGCAGTTGCTGGAAATTGTTTACGAGCGGAGGGAGGACAAACAGAAAGCTAGGCTGGGCTTAAGGGGTGAGGTGGAGCGTTGTGATGTCGATTGGGTGGGCATGATTGGGGAACTAGGGTTGCAGGTCGTGAATTGTAGGTTGTGATATTTTGGTCACGACGCTTTTGTGCACGACTATGGATTGGGTTTGGTCCGGCTGGGGTGGTTTGGCAAATGGTTGCGTGCCCTGTGTCTCGGGTCTTGTGGCTTGTAAGTCATGCTCAAGAAGAGGTGGAAGTAATTATTCATGCGATTCATGTGTAAATGTGTACGATTGATGAAGGGTTAAAAAGGGAAGCTTCTAGGGAGCATGAGGCCCGAGCTTCGCTGGGAGGAACAGCTATCGCGTATTGTACCATCTCAATCGATGTCTATAGCTCTGATCAATATACTTTTTGGGGGAACAATATTCGGAAGAACCTTTTAGACGTCTTGCAAGCCAAAGTCCTCTGCTTAGGGGTAATCGCTGGGATTTGTGTAGTGCCATTCTGGTGTTCTAATCAAGGCCAGTCGTCCCAAAAAGGTTAGATTTCCGAGGCGCATTTTGTACATATTGTTCAGTTCACAAAAGCCCGTCGTAGCAGGATTTCCAGAGGATGGCTTTGTCTACTATCACACCGCGCTTTCTTCTCCCGAAGCTGTCATGGTACCCCACACTCAATGTTGTTTCTCGGAAAGCTCTCAATTTACCACATCAACCTCCTCGCCATATCTACACCTCAAGAGCAGCCACGCCATGCTCCGGAACGATGGCCAGGTTGCACCGCTCAGCACCTATCCACGAGAGACGATGCATCGTAACCGCTGGTGACTCGCGGCAGAGACTCGGCAAGGCTTTCTCAACGACCACCCCCAACTACCGTGACCACCATTTCGATACATTGAAGTTCGTACAACGATTGCGTGGGGAGGGTTTCTCAGAAGAACAATCAAAAGCTTTGATGCTCGTGCTTTCAGATGTAATAGAGGAGTCCATTCAAAACCTTACGCGGACGATGGTGTTAAAAGAGGGTACGAGCACCGCATTCACAATCTCCCACTGCCGCTGGGCATCTAGAGGGCTGATTTTTGTATTTCGGAACAGATGCGGACCGGTCTACGTACACTCAGAAAGTCGACTTTACGAAATTACGGTCCGAGCTCCTAGCTCTCGACTCAAGTGACACTTCTATGACGCTTTCCTCACACGAAAGACTGTCCAATGATCTTACAAAGTTGAATACCAGGTTACGAGACGAGATAAGTCGTGCTCAAGCAAGTGTGCGACTTGACTTGAATTTAGAAAAGGGTCGTATAAGAGAAGAAGCAAAAGCGCAGGAGTTGAAGGTCAAAGAGACAGAGTCGAGGATCGAGCAAGAAGTCGCAGGCTTGAAGGAGCGGGTGGAGGGAGTAAAGTTCAGCACTCTGCAGTGGTTGGTGTAAGTCCCCCTAATCTACCGAGATCGATCTGTTCCATTAGCTCACTTCTATGTAGAGGTGTCTGCACTGGCACGGCAGCTCTTATTTTGGGTGCTTGGCGTCTCTTGATGTAAGATTCAATAATCAGTACATTGAGAACAGGAGCAGCCAGCGGTCTCAGCAAAGATCGTCCACCGAGTTCCACGTGTCAGCAGTATCTTTCTTTTCGAATATATTCCAAGATTCCGTGCCACAAAGGTGCGAAGTGTAACATCTCTATTTCAGCCAAGACAGCAGATCAAGCACGTGTTCCAGCGCAACCAAATGCCTCTACAGATCGACCAACCAACAACGGGTTCGTAATGAAGACGATGATTGTCAATCTGAATCTCAACCTACTTGACAGTACCCGCGCTTCAGGCGCGCATGTTGGTAGGTGAGATACCTCTGTCGCAAAAATCCTCAGCCTTTCAATCGACCATCTGCATACTGCGATGTCTCCCAGGCAGAAACACGGGATAGCCTCAAGATCCTGTGTCTCACACATTCCAACCACGCTCTGTCTTGGCGGGCAGTATATATGAGTTGTTCTTGGCTGTCCGCTTTCCAGTGCGAATAAGTGTACCAGATCAACGCCTTGATTCTCTTTTTTTTCAGATAGGATATCTTTTATTGCGAGCAGGGAGCCTCAGAGGGAAACAAGAAGAAAGATTAAGAAATCAACCAGAAAAGATGCTCTTCTCCTCAAACCCTGCTTCTTCCTTCGCTTTCCTCTCCCTCATCATAACTTCAAGCACAGCGATCGCTGCTAGTGTGCTAATTCCTTCCCATACTGGAAACCTGACAGCCTCGTACGCTACCTACGTCCCGCCATCCCCCTTCTGATACTGACCTCCCTCCCCTCCCTTCTCAGGCCCTACATTATCCCCAATACCCACCCCCAAATCGCTCTTTACATAACGCCCTCAACCCCATTGGAGCTTCGCAAGCCCGCAGCCGTGTTCCAAGCCCTCCTCGAAGTTGTCACCCAAGATCTCAGGGGCCATGACGATACACAAGTCAGTATCCCATCTCATTCTTTCTCCTTTCCCCCCACCGCGCTACACTCTGCCCTGATTGCGCGCTAATCACTGTGAGTAGCCCTTCCCCGGCATGTACCAGCCTTACCATTACCTCGATTGCGCGGTCCAGGTGACGAACCCGTCCACGAGCCCGGAGATGACGTATGGCGTGGCGGTGGATGTGTTGAGGGGTCTGGGGGAGTGGATGATCGATAATGACGACTGGACTAGTTCGAAGAACGTTAGGGTCGTCGTGGGCGATTATGCTGTGGGTGGGGTGGAGGTGACGAATTGGAGGAGGGGGGAGGGGATGTTGGGGGGAGTGCTACGACTAGGTGATAGGAGGGTTGGAAGGCTGGAAAGGGGGAAGGAGGGGGAGGGGGGAGGGTGTGTAAAGGAGCTATTTCTTCATTCGGAACCATCCGAGGAAGTGAAGCGCAAGCACTGGAAAGGAGGGTTTGTACTGGTGGCATTCTTGAGAGCTTATGATAATTTCCTTCGTCTAGTCTAAGACTTTTGTCTATATTCTCGTGCGTCAGCTATTTTTGCTGTCTCGTTCTATGATTCTCAACTCTGAGCTCAATATTTAGCACAAATGCTTGTTATTTCTTCGTCCCTCATGTAAGGTCATAAGCAGCCTCGTCACAATTGGAAAATCTCTTTGAGCTCCTTCATCGTGTCATCCGGATTATTGACTGCGTGCCCAGTGGTCCGCGAGTCGCTGTATATTTCATAGTCATTACCACCCTTAGCTGTCTTGTCACCAAAGAAGTGAATGGTCGAGTAATCGACGCCGCTGAGTTTCTTCTCTGACTCAAGATATTGCAAGCAATATGTCTTGTCCCAACCTGTGGGGAAGACATCGAACGAGATCTGGCCGCCAATCGAGAACGTGAGCCCAAAGTCTGGAAATTCTTTTCTCACGGCCTCGACCATCGTGGAGCGGATATTGTGTTGCTTGTCATACTCGTTGAACTCCAGGCGCTCCTTGTTTGAAGCATTCCGGCCAACGGGCGAGACATTGATCATTCCGTTCCTAAACTCGACAAAAGTGCCTCTCTTGATCGGAATGTCAAGCTTGGCAATGTATATCAGGCACCAGTTGACCAGCTTCTTGTACTTCTCTTCTCCCAACCATTTGATGAAACTGTTCCCTTCCAGCAGCTCTCCCATTCGGTAGGCAGTCAGGCCATTCTCCGAAAAGCAGAAATCAAAGAGGGAGGTGACGTTGATGTTGGGGGTGCCAAGCTGCTCTTGCTGCTTTGCGAGGTCGGAGCCGCCGACGAAGCCGATTGCAACTTTATGACGGAGGGCGGAAAGGAGTGTGAGCATCTGTGGAGAAGCCGCCTGTAGGAAGGTTAGGCAAGCGGCAGGGTGCGCACGTTTGCTAAGCTCAGCTTACAAGGCGGGCTGGGGTGAGTGTACCGTCCACATCGAATAGGCAAACGGTGTTCTTCACCGGGCGGTCCTGGAGGGGAGGGTATAGACTTGCGGCTTCGGCCATTGGAAGCGGTAAAGATTTGGTCTAGTGGGGAAACGGTGAGGTTATATGATTGCGAGTTAATAATGAAGGGGGCTGCCTGAGACAATAGCTTGATAAGAATGTGTTCATACAGAAGAGGAGCTCCCCAGGCGCCCTGAGCAGTCTTGACTCTTGACTCTTGACTCTTGAGAGCTCCACACGCTAGTTGGGCATGCTTAAGCGAGCATTTAAGGGGTAAGGCAGCGGAGATTGACCAGGCTCGAAAGGGAACCGTGATAAGCACTTTACTACCTAAGCTTAAACATCCGTGCTTCCAGTACTCGTATCTCCTTGTCGTATCCATTGTCAACGATGCGGCAAGAAGTCCTTGCAGTTGACTCGCAGACTCACTTCAACACAGTCTAATGAGGGGCAGAGACAGAGTGGTACGAATACGTGCTTCATGCCTACGGACTTCGGATTCTGCAGAGAGTCCGGAGGGGTCCCTTTGCCCAGGCCCAACTAGGCCATTTGCGGCCTTCTCAGGGCTAGGACGGCCTAGACTTTACCTTTCTTCACCAAGGCTTGCCGGCAGAATGACAGCAATTGGCTACGTCTTCGCTCGCTTGGTGCCAAACGCGGCAGGAAGATACTCCGAGATCGATCCGAAATCATACATCATCGAGCTCATTCGTGCCTGCAAATACCTAAATAGGCTCCTATCTCCTCTTCCTTCTGGCAGGATCAACAATGCCATTCTCTTCTGCTCAAAGCACTCATCCATTCCACTGCCGGCAACTGAGCTGTTAGTCAACTTGTGAAGAGACATCTGCGTCCAGGGGGAAAAACCCTTTCCACAGTCCTTTGACCTTGACCTTTGCCTTCAACATGAAGTTCTCGCCCTTCTCGAAAACGAAGAGTCCACAAGATTCACAGACGAAGTCGACGGCTGAGACCACCTCAACCCAAAGCTCCTCCTCGGAAGCGGACAAAGAGAAGCCCAAGTCATCGTCAAACGCGCCCTCCATCCAAAGCGCGAAGTCACAAGATATCGCTAGGGATGGAGAGAAAATATTGGAGACTACTGCTGTGGATGAGGTGAAGGCAGTTGATCAGCTTGACGATGATATCGAGTATCCTGGTCCTGCCAAACTGCTGATCATCGTCATCTCCCTCTGCGTCTCCATCTTCTGCATGGCCTTGGATAACACCATCATTGCCACCGCAATCCCGAAAATCACGGATTACTTCAAAGCTCTCGATGATGTTGGCTGGTAAGTGGTGTTCTCGGAGTCATGACTCGAGAGACATATCCCGTGACTCCTTCCAGTTCAAAGAAGCATTGCTGACTCCGATTTGCTGAAGGTATGGCTCTTCATACTTGCTTACGACCTGTGCATTCCAGCTCCTGTTTGGCAAGCTCTATACTTTCTTTAGCATCAAGTGGGTCTACTTGACTGCCATCTTTCTCTTCGAGATTGGATCCGTCATCTGTGGAGCAGCTCCCACTTCGGTCGCTCTCATGTGCGTTTCATCCCCTGTACGACTCAGTCCCGGCTAATATCAACAGCGTCGGCCGAGCTGTCGCGGGCGTTGGCTCTGCCGGGATTTTCTCCGGCGCCCTTGTCATCATCGCTTATTCGGTGCCCTTGGTTAAACGACCTATCTACACAGGCTTGATTGGAGGTATGTATGGTCTAGCATCAGTCGCGGGGCCGCTCATGGGTGGTGCTTTCACCGATCATCTCAGCTGGCGATGGTGCTTCTACATCAATCTTCCCATTGGCGCCATCACGATCTTCGGCATCGCTCTCTTCTTCACCTCGCCACCACGCAGAGACGAGCGGTCAATCGGGTGGAAAGCACGTGCAAAGCAATTTGACCCAATCGGAACAGCTTTATTTCTTCCTGCCATTGTTTGTCTGCTCTTAGCTCTTCAGTGGGGTGGAACGAAGTATCCTTGGAGTGATGGCCGCGTCATCGCTTTGTTCGTGGTTTTCGGCATTCTCGCCATAGGCTTCGCTGGCGTCCAGTACTGGCAGCAAGAGAATGCCACCACCCCACCTCGGGTCTTGAAGCAACGCAGCATTCTATCCGGGGCTTGGTACTGCGCTTGCCTTGGTGGTGCCTTCTTCATTATGATCTATTACGTGCCGATTTGGTTCCAGGCGATCAAGAACACCAGTGCCACTGAATCAGGCATCCGCAATTTGCCCATGATTCTAGCCCTTGTCCTCATATCGATTGGTTCGGGCATCGGGGTCACTCTTCTTGGCTACTACACTCCTTTCATGATCATCGCTTCCATACTCATGGCGATTGGTGCTGGCTTGCTCTCCACATGGACGCCCAACACGGGCGCGGCAGGATGGATTGGTTATCAGATCGTTTTTGGTTTCGGTGTAGGTTTTGGGATGCAACAAGCTTTGATTGCAGCACAGACTGTGCTACCACTCAAAGACATTCCGATCGGTACCAGCATTATCAACTTTTGTTTGACCCTAGGAGGGGCGTTATTCATCAGTGTCGGGCAAAACGTGTTCACGAACCGATTAATTACGAATTTGGCAGCCAGCTCGAGCACAGTTCCGCCAGACCTTGTCCTTAACACGGGCGCGACAAATCTGAACAAGGCAGTTCTACAGATCGATCCTGGGAGCTACCCGGCTGTTCGGGCGGCCTACAACGATGCCCTCGCACAGACCTTTTATGTATCTGTCGCTATGTCGGCACTCTCTATTTTTGGTGCACTGGGTATGGAATGGAAATCTGTCAAGGCAAAGAAAGTCGAGACAGCACCGGTATGAGCGAGGTGTTTGAGAGATGCATTTCGTGGTTTGTCCGGCCCATTGAGAATCAGGGTGCTAAGATTCCCCCTTTAGCGTTGTTTTGCAATAGACATTATAGACATCTCGGGTCGCTGCAGAGATGGCAGCACCTGATCAGATTTAATTAAATCAGTTGCAGTTCTATATCTTGATGCAATGTGCGTTCAATGCGAGACAGGCTAGACCCATTCCAGGTTCCTTACTTTACAAGGGACGATAGAGCTATAAATAACAGTATCGAGTGAACCTATGGAGTATGCACGTCTTATGGGCCGACCCACGCGCCCACCCATCACGCTGTCTGCGTTATTGGTATCTGGGTCAGTCGGCGCCAGCAAGTGCTCTCAGCGGAAACATGACGTTCTGCAATGCCACCGTTACCACGAAAGTGGTGAAACCTAGAGCTAAGCCATTCCTGAATACCTTAGCTCACCGTGCCAAGGGCTGTTAGCGCCGGAGCAGCTTCTCGTCCCAGGTGTCGAATCACACTATCCTACCCAATCACCAGCTGAGATGGAATTGCCTGCGTCTCCCTAGATGCTCGTTTGCCTCGAGGATCTGAGGCACGCCAATTGAATGGCTGACTTGCAGAAACTTCGCTTGCCGCCGAACACTCGGGAATTCCATTGAATCTTGCCTCCGGCCTCGCACGCTGTCGTACTATAAATGGCACCTCTGTGCAGAGCTGGTCCTTCTGCCAGGAGAGACGTCGCCCGGACAGGGTAAACAATATCAGCCACCACACAGGAAGGCTTCTCAGGCCATTCTCATGGTGTTTGGGGGGCGACGACCGAGTCCGCTCTGTTCGTCGAGATATATGAGAGAAACGGGGGAGTTGGTGGATTATGTCTCATCGTTGCTGACAGCCAAGCTAGCATCATCCCCGCATGTCGATCTAACCAGATCAGCGACAGTGGGCGTCTACATCTGCAGGACGAAGGCCTATCATCACGCCTCTCAGGTCCCTGCCCTCATTCTTTCGCGCCGTGCCATTGAAAGGTACGGCGGTTCTGCTGCAGTGGCTGCCACCTTTCTTACATCTCTGGTCTCTCGAAGATCTCCCCCCCCTCAGTTCCCCATCTTAACTCAAATTGCATTCTATGTATAGAGCGCCTACCATGCCTCTTCCCACATTGGGCCAGGTGCCAGGTGCCAGCGCTTGAGCTCGACAAAATCCTCCTCACTCCCCTCTACCTCACCATCCCTCATTCTTTCGTCAGGTATTCTTTCTTTCTCTTGCACCCTCGTCTGCGCCGGTCTTTTGCATCGCCTCTTGTACTGTTGTTTGCATCGCCCGGGCTAGCACCGAGCCTCTTCCTATATCACGTCAGCAAGCTACAAAATAGCATGTCTAACATCTACAATCGGAGCCCAGTATCTCCACTAGATTTCGATCCTCCACCAAAACAGTCACACGGAAGCAATATAGGAGAAGGCGTTACAAAGAGCACAAACGTACTGGTGAGGTCAACGACCTCTTCAAGCTCGTCGTCTCGCCCCTCGCTGTCTAGCCCTCGAACCGCTCGCTTTGCGGAAGCCACTTCGATCAACTCCCCCGTCGATCCGAGTCAAGCGAGAAATCCGTTCAAAGATCCCCCGAAACCGTCCACACGGCATCTCATGCCTGAACCACAACCCTCCGACGTTGGCTTCGGCTATGTGTCGGACCAACAGGCTTCAAAGCATACCTCGTTCGCGGAGGTTCCAATAACTCCTAACTCGCCCTTGAAGAGTGCTTTGAAGGTCCCAGGAACACCGGGAAACAAAAACCCACTCAGCCCAACGTTCAAAGAGGAAGAGGATCTGGAGAAGGCAGAAGGGAAAACGGAGAAGCAGAATGCAAAGGACCTGGTTATCAAGACAAGGGTTCGAATGGCCAAGATGTGTCTTCGTATGACGAACTTCAGCTGCAGCTTGATTGTACTTTCGATGCTCTCGGCCACATTCACCATCTTCAATGCCTCACGAGCTCTGCCGAATAGGGGCAAATTTCCTCCATGGGCTCCAAAGCAGCAAATATGGCCGCAGGTCACTATGCTAGTCATTGCCGCCGTCTCCCTGTTCATGGCCCTTGGGGTCTTCTACGCATACTGGAAAGGAGGGCATAGGAGGGCAGAAAAGGCCGCAATCTACTATACTTTCTTCTCGATCGCCTTCTTCACCTTTAGCATCATCATGTGGAGTGTTGGGGCAGCCATACTTAGCCAAAGCAAGAAGAATGGAAAAGGAAACGACATGTGGGGATGGGCTTGTAAGGACGGGACCCGAAAGAACCTTTTCTCCCAGGACGTCGACTACTCATTGATCTGCCGTCTACAGGTAAGAACAACGTCGTTACATTGCATAAAGGGTTTCTAACTTGTGACAGCATTGGTCGCTTATCTGTGCATTCATTGAAATTATTGTCGAGATCATTACCATCGCGATCTATGCCATTGTCTTCTACAGATTCTACTCCAAACGCCGTCTTCACAAGTCAATGGACGTCCGAGATAAGGCCCGCAGCGATCTCTATCTGGCTCAGCTTCGCTCTCAATCAGCCCCAAATACCCCTGGTTTCCAAAAGACACCCTTGTCGCCGAGATTCCCTGACAGCGTCCGAAATCAGATGATGGACGACGATGAAAAGGGCGATTCTACCCAGTATGCCGCCAAACGTCAGTCTTTCTCTCAGCCAAAGCCATTTGCATTACAAGCACCCCCGATCAAGGTCCACGCGGCCTCACCAACTACTTCGCAAGACGCTTTCGGCACTGCACCAAGAGCGCAGGAACCCGTTCCCGCAGCCCCCGGAGAGCAGACTTACGAGGCTGTGCCTATTCCGGGAGCTTACTCCACTCCCTTGGCGTCGCCTGGAATTCAATCACAACAAATGGGCTCAATACCGGGCCAGGCAATGACGACAAACCAAAGGATTGAAAGCCCGCCCTCGAGTCCGCGACTCGGCAAGGTCACCCTGCATTAGACATGCAGGGTAGGAATAGAGCGTGGATGCGATTTACTCTTTTACTATATATACCATTTTCTTTTGTGTCATCTTAGGAGCGTTAGGATATGCTCGATCTTTGGATCTCACAACACGTAGCGATGTGTATCAATGAAAATAATAATTCTAAAATACACGTTCTCCGTTCTCCCTTTCTTTTGAGTCTCGCCGTCTCGGAAACCCATTGCGGAAACAATTGTGGCCAATGACGTCTTTACAAGATAGCTAAAGTGCATAGATAAGCAACTCCGCGAGAACTGCTTCCACCTGGCACCTACAAATTTAGAAGAATCCTATGCTTCCACTAAACCTCTCTCCAGGAAAGCTGTCTATATCTTCTCGACGGTCTCTTTATGACCCACGTCCATTAAGGAAAGCTTCGGGCCAGGCTCCTCACGGATCAGCGGTCAAGTTCTGGCCATTGGCCGCCATTTTCCTGGCAGGGACTGGCATGTTCATGTGGATGGTTAGGACTCGTGCACGAGAAGCAGAGAAGAATCCTCATTTGCGCAAGCGTTCTTCTTCTTCGCCTAACGGACGATAAACGCTCATCCGTCCCCACTCGAGCCCTTTCACCCCATGGCACCCACATCGCCTAGGCTTCCCGCGCCACCCAAAGACACACCTACATTTTCTCCAGAAAAGACATCGGTAGTATACGTACTGGGGGGACCAGGTGCGGGAAAAGGAACGCAATGCGCGAATCTAGTACGGGACTATGGCTTCAACCACCTCAGCGCGGGGGATCTACTGCGGGCGGAGCAGGACAGGGAAGGCAGTGAGTTTGGGCAGATGATCAAAGATTACATCAAGGATGGAAAAATTGTACCAATGGAGGTGACGGTGCAACTGTTGGAGAATGCTATACAGGACATCAATGGGGGTGAAGGGAGGTTTTTGATTGACGGTATTGCCCCTCGGTGCTTGAGGGCGACTCACGGCGAGCAAGGCTAGGGTGATGAAGCAGTACTGATTTGTCGGGACATGCCAGGCTTTCCTCGTAAGATGGACCAAGCACTCAAGTTCGACGAGTCTGTCTGTCCTAGTAAATTCACCCTCTTCTTCGACTGCCCCGAGGATGTGATGACAGAGCGGCTCATCAATCGAGGGAAGACGTCTGGGAGGGCGGATGATAACGAAGAGAGTATCAGAAAGAGGTTCAAGACTTTCGTGGAAACAAGTATGCCAGTCGTAGAGCACTTTGAGAAGCAGGGCAAGGTAGTCAAGGTGATGGCTACAAAGTCGCCGGATGAGGTCTACGAGGAAGTCAAGAAGGCAATGGGGCAACGAGGGTTCCAGATGAAACAGTGATGCTTATGGTACGTCAATCTGAATGACGGAGGAGCAAGCTGCAGACTCCTCATGATATCCTCACAAGCGGTGTGCGCTTCGTCGCTGCTCGATAGATCTTTCCTAATCCGGCAGGAAGCTATTCCAATTCTGAGCATAACAAACGAATAACACTCCGATCCAGGACCATTCTTGATTCACTCTTCATGCTACTGTCCACCTTATTGTCCCACTAGCGCCACCCGCACCAGCCTAAGACTTCAAATCATACTTGTCGTATTCAGTGACCTCCTTTCAATTCTTGCTACCTTTGACATCAGTCGGTGGCACGGAATACATGCATCCTCCCTCACTCGACAATCACCCTTCTTCAAAACTTACTCAGGACTCGCTTTAGATCTCTGTGCTGGCGTTGTTCGCCTGATACCGAGAAAGCATTTCTGCTAAACACACATGACCCCCCATTCCGCGTGTTTGGTGCGTTCCGTGTGTTCACCGTGTTTCAGCTCGCTTCTGTTTCTTCAGAGGTGCACGCTCTTCTCTTCATAAGTGTCCGAGTCCAAGTCAACCTTAGCGCTACTATCAGCAATATAGGCTTCTCCCATCATGGCCAAGAAGAAAGCTAATGTGCCGGCAAAGCCCAAGAAGGGCAAGATTGCGCACCAGAAATACATCCAAAACGAGATCAACAAAGCCAAAAGTCCAAATCCGGATCTTTCTAGCATTGAGAAGTCGAATGCCAAGTCAAGGGCATCCAGCAAAGCTACCACACGTTTACCTGTCACTCAGCATGCTGGCCCAACCAAATCGGTTCCGATGATCACATTTCTCAAACCAAGGTATCCACCTGACACGACGACCAAGCCGCTGGATCCAGTCTCTCCAGGCCTTCGACCGACTGTGAAACTGCCGTACTCTCGAAAAGGTAGATTCCCCTTCCTGGACCTTCCTGGTGAGCTACGGAACAAAATTTATGCCTACGCGTTGCCCAGAGAGACTTTCCACTTGTACTGGGTCGACCGATCGCAGAGGACGAAAACGTTGACCTATGGACTACCTTTGCGTCCAATGGCGAAACAACCATGCTTAGAGCAGGATGTTCTCGAAAGACGTGGAGCAACGCGGAGGTCTCGTGGAGAGCGATCTGGATATCATAACCCGGTCATGACTGAGATTTATACTCAGGTCAACCCAATCTCGCTTCTCTGGGTATGCAGCAAGATGTATCCTGAAGTATCATCAATCTTCTACAGCCTATCAACATTCCGCTTCAACCGCATCGGCACCATACGACACTTCCTCAAAAATCTCACTCAAGCTAACAGAGTCTCGATTCAATCTCTCACACTCCAGCACCAAACTTATGGACATCCTTCAAGTAAGGGAAATAGTATCTGGAAATGGAAGGCAGACAAAGCCTGGCAGGAGTTGTGCTGGAGAATCCCTGAGGAGTGCCCTTCGCTCACGAATCTGAATCTTGAGCTCAACTATAAGCTTTGCCCAATGACATTTGGGAAACTCGACCTAGCTCGTGATGGCTGCTTTTCAACCCGCTGGATGCTAGCACTATGGGGCTTTCAAGACTTTGGCATCAAGCGAATCTCTTGTGTGATCAGAAGCGACATTGTAGATCCCCTCGTCCTCGAAGTAGCGTGCCGTGAGCTACGTGAAGAATTGCTGGGTGAAGATTGGGATGCCGATGCGGAAGCCAAACGGGATGCTTGGGGCTTCAGTAAGATGACACCTATACTCGACTTGACTTAATTTGACCCTGCAGGCCCTGGAAAGTCGCATCTTGGATAGTGGAGTGCCTTCAAGTGACTGACTGCCCGTGCCAACCTCACTGGGGACCGCTCGCAGTCACTACCTCAACTGGGGAAAAGAAGAATTAATGCAAGAAAAACATCAATTTCGTAGGGGATACACATACATAATTTAACAGCTTGCTCGTCTGTGCTGAAAGTGCTGCTGTTTTCTGGGTACAAGGACTGTCGATATTCAATCATCGACCGACGAAGAATAATATCCTATACATTGCTCAGGGCATGGGACGGAGCAAATTACCCTTTGGAAAAAGGGGAAAGACATATCAAGGGGACGACATGAAAGAGGCTGTATCACAAGAAACATTAGCTTAAGAGAAACGTGCTTAGTACCCCATAAATGTACAGTACATCACATATAGCAGCTAGACAGGAAAGCTAAATGAGCAAGTTTACCTGCTCAACCAAAACTTCCGTTTCTTGCTGGCAGTGTGCCTGGGTGCTATCGAGTGAGAGTAGAGCAGAGCGCACCCGCTCGCAAGAACTTGCCGTTCAATGGAAGACCCGAAGTTGTTTTGACTTTGCCGATCTTACAGCAAAGGCAAGTCGCAAAATCGAAAAAAAAGCAAGCAATACTGAAGGATCTAGGTGTCACTTTTGAACAGGATAATTCATGCCCCTGCTCTACTTACAATATCGCCCATCCTCATTATCGTACATACACGAGTATCTCCATCACTTTCTTCGTCGGTCTTGCCTTCAAAGGTCGACAAGTAGACCCATACACATGACGTGGCAAATGAACGCCGGGCAATGCTCGAAGGTATCGTCTCAAAAGAGTGCCTGCGCTCAACCAAAATGACTGGGGTCCAAGAAAGAAATCCATCCTCGTCTGCTCTCGCTCCACGCTTGCATCTCTCCGAATGATCCGTCTAGCTGAGCACCATAGGGATAATTCCACCCCCTTCCTTTCGCCTATTTGTCCCCGTTCAAGATTTACAGATCACTGTTGCCCAACGATGCAAACCATATGAATCAAGGACACCCTCCCTCGTCACTTTCGGTGGGCGTCACATCCACCACTCAAGTCCTATTCATCCAGAGTACTGACTGGCCTCAACTGTGCCGCCAATGCTCCCACGGTTGGCACAGTACCAAAACTTTCCTTCCGCCGCTCATGCGTCGGCTTGACGGCTCCATTCACTCCAACCACCAAACCACCAGTCTGCACACGATCCTGGATCATTCCGTCAAGGATTTTAGTCATCTCATCGATACTCTTGCGTTTGCTGTCTTTTTCCTTTTCTTTTTGCTGCGGCGAGAGCAGCGCGACTGGGCTGACAGGGCTTTTGTGTGCTAAGGAGGTATTGATGGCAAGCCCGCCGCTTTTATTGCTGGAAGAAGTTGTGTCAGTGCTGTTGGCGCTGTTTTTAGACTCATGATGGGAAGGATGCTCTCTGCCGGGTTTGAATGGAGAAGTAGGGGATGGTCTGGTGGTTGGGGGTGATACAGGCGCGGATGACATATCGGCATTGTCACGGTTGCGTGCCGCGGCGCGAAGGGCATTGACCATGCGGTCCTTGTCATCAAGGCGAGCACGAAGGTCAGCTATCTCAGCGTCTTTATCCGCGAGCACATGTGATGGGGCAGCTTCTTCGAGGTTACTGAGGTTGCTGCGACTAGTAGGCGAAAACAGAAGGGAGGCTCGTGACTGGCTTGATCGACGAGCTTGGAGAAGACGCTTTTCGAGCGTCGCGATATACCGATTCTTGTCGGCAAGATCGCTTTGCAGTGCTCGGACCTGTGAATGAGCAGATGCAGTACCATCGCCGAGGTCTTCTTCTTCTTCATTATCGAACGATGAAACGGGAGATTGTTGCAGATCTTCTCCCTGCCGATGGTTCGTATAGTTTGAAGCCAGTGATACATTTCTTGAAAGCGGTGGCGTCATCTTGCCAAGGGTTGACTGGCTTGCAGATGTGCGTAGAGACACAATCGTGCGAGCAGACTCGCTTTTGTGGTGCGAAGGCGACGTCGAATGCATGCCATATTGCAACGACTTCCCATTAGCGTTGACTCCCGTGGACTGTGAAGACAAAATCAATCTTTTAAGATCGTCCATTCGCCTCTGCAGTGCGGTCCGCGCCAGATGGATCTCAAGCATTTGCTCTTCATGCCGCTGATCGGATCCTAAGCCCATTTCCTGTTCCTTCTTCTCGACCTCTTCCTTCTCGGCTTGGTCCTTTCTCTGAGCGTCCAATTGCTTTCTCAACTCCAAGATTTCCAGTTGATACCGCTCGAGCAAGACTCTCGAGCCTCCTTCAACAGCACCAAGTGCTTCCTCTGCTTTCTTAGCGTGACTGACGATATTGTTCTTCGCACGGGCAGCAAATTTCAGCGTGTTCAAGGTCTCTACAATGTGTCCACTAGCACTGGCCACACTGCCAGCAGAACCCATTTGAATAGTGCACAGAATGCTAATCAGCGAATTACCCGACAATGCAGGCTGCAGTAATCGGGTAAGCTTGCTGTCTCGATATGGAAGATGTTTGCCATCTTTTTCGGGCACGTTGCTTCCACCGTCCTTGTCGCCAGAAAGTTTGGAGACAACTGTACCAAGAGTAAGCAAACTTTTATTGATATGTGCACCCTCTTTTTGTCTCTCCTTGCTATCCGCCGCTCGCTCCGAGCCTGCAAGATCGATCATGCTAAGCGTCGACACTCGGACACCACCGGGCATAAGTGCAGCCCTCTTTTCGTTTCCTTTGCCGCTGACTGCTGTGCGCTCCCGACTCTCGACAACGATCTGAACCACAGCATGACTCCTTGAGCTTTGAGTGTTGAACTGCGTACTTCTCGTCTTTCGGCATTGGTCCCCGCGTGCGATGACACGTAGCAGTTGAGTTGGACTTTGGACGATCTCTTCCTTTAAAGGTGTAGCAAACACACCTCGCTTGCTGTCTTCACGTAGTTTGATCTCTTCCTGCTGGGGTGCGCCCACACCACCAGCCGTCGGAGGAGAGAGCAAGTCGTGGATTTTCTCGTTGTAGATTTCTAGATAGCTGACACGTAGTAGAAATTCGCGGGAGGGTGTTTCTCTTATGTATGAGAAGATGTCCGTTATGGCCAAGGGTATCACCCCTGGAGAATCTCTTGTCCCTTGCATCGAGAAGGTCTTTCCAGTACCTGTCATACCATATGCAAAAACTGTGCCATGGTAACCTTCCATGACTCTTCTCACCAACCGCTTGGCCGAGGCATCATAAACTTTGTGGTTCTTGTCGTAAGGAGCGAATACGTTATCTGCACCCACCAATCAGTACAAGTATCAACGGGATCGTGGAATGATTGTCCATGAGACATAGGGGGGATTGAGTGATAGTGGGAGGCGTACCATAATAATAATCTCCCGCATCTCTCCCCTTATAAGAAATGAGAGACTGTCGGCCGTCCACCACAAAATCCTTCCCAGAAGTTTTGTCTCCACCAGCGTCGGGCTTCACACGTACACTAACAATCACGTTGCCTTTTGCCTCCTTTGAACCCGAATCTCTCCCTCTTCGTCGATCATCTCCATGCTTCCTCTCATCACTGTCTTCAAAAGTAGTCGCAGATGTAGAGTAAGAGTCCTCTGCTGATGAACTCGGGCTCTCAGGGCGTGAAGGTAGGCTGGCAAGGCCTGACGATCCTCTTCGCAGCGCAGAACCAGAGATAGATTTCCCAGCACCATTGTTATTCAATAGGCTTGGGATACCACCGGCACTGTACGTCGTACCCAGAGATCCAGTGGATGCCTTTGTCTTGAGCTTCTGGACGCGCAGACTGTTTGACCTTGCTGCGGCGCGCCCCGAGTTCCTTGTGACACAGAGTCTGTATCCGCTGATGATCTGTGACCAGGTTTTCCGACCCGCGGAGGCTGTGGGAAGTTTGCAATATTGACGGATTGTCGCACCGCAATATTTCCATCGCTCTCATCCTTTTTGATCGAACTTCTTTGAACCAAGGCCCCGCTCAGCGTCGGTACAGTGGGGCTTAAGGCGGGTTGGGTAGTGGTGGAAGCTGTGGGCTTGCCTATTTTGGATGGGGTTCGAAGGGCCGCTCTAGGAGTCGTCGAATTTCGTGGAGGGATATGAGATGTGTCTGAGGTGTTTGAAGATTGCCTTGTTTTTGGTACCGGGAGTTGGGGAAGAGAGGTAGAAGGTGGACCCGTAGGCGACGCCATGGTTGCCATCCCACTTATAGAGGCGCCAGCACAGTGACGTACTCAGACCCAAGAGGTGAAAGGAAAGCGAACTTTTGTGGCACTCTCATTGACCAAAACTAACCCCTTGATATGTGTTTCTCATCCATCCATACCATTGACTTCCCAAGACCCGCAATTGCTCGGCTACACCCCACTTCTTCATGCGCCTCAGTCGCGGCGGTACGTGCGCAACGGCTTTCTTGACAGCTCGCAATGCCTGAGTCTCCTTCGTGATGTGCTTCTCAAAGTGAAGGAGTCTCACAAAAATCTCACTTTTCGACACCGCTTGTGTTGATTCGCGAGGGAGTCGCACTCTAGATCGGTCGTACAGAGGGCCAGGAACAAAGGTCGTCGGGAAAATTCAAGAGTCCTACTGCAATACTTTCAGAAGATACAGAGCAGAGTATAGCAGAGGTGAGAAGAGAGTGTGTTTGAGGGCATCCCCATGGCTCCCCTTGCCCTTAGCTGCTTGGTACTAGCTGGGGACCCTCTCTACATGGGAGTACAAGCTACGGAGGTTTAATTCTGACCTAGAAATTAAGTGGTTGATCACAACTAAAGGCTCATGGGTGTTTGGGCCTACCAGCACCACGGCCCCAAGCTCCGGGAGTACCCTGGTAAACAACGACGATAATTCGCTGCTGGCAATCACATCGGGAAGTCCAAGCTGCAAAATGCAATCTTTGTCACACCAACCAAAGGAGCGAAAGCTCGATTCTCCGTTCAACAGGACAAGATGCTCGGCACAGATTCACTCTTTTCAAGAACGTTTTCATATGGTCACCCCCATCGGCTCGTCAACGATCATCTCACCCCCGCGTACGCAAAATGCATCGTTCATATTTCGACGAATTGCCCTTCACTCAAACCGATGAGGAGCAGCGGGAAAGATGAAACTGAAAACAGCCCCGGGGCAAACCTTTTCAAGGCCTGTTCCTGCAGAATCAACCCCGCGGCGCAAATCTTTCCCTTTCGGCTTTCAATTTCACGCGTTTGCTAGGTTACTACGGGCTTAGTCTTTGTTGATAGCGTCGTCGCCCTCGGTCCGAGGGGTCGTGCCTACACAGAGGTGGTGGTTGAGAGTTGTTGCTTCAATATGGTGTCACCGTCGTTGCTGTACTTGTAGAATCGCAAACACAAGTCAAAGGTAGCGTGGCGCTCGGCCTTGGTGAGATTAAAGTAGCCGCGGCGCAAACCCGTATGGCTATATAATCTCCGGAGTCGCACGCTCAATTCTCAACGATTATAATTGATGCATCATGAGATTTGAATGGATCCAAAATATCCATCATTAAGACCCAAAATTCAGCCTCCTAGCAACGTTGTCGCCGCGGCTCTCTTCCACTTCGCCGCCCCGTCTTTGGAGGTCCTCTCCCATTCTTTCAGGCCCACCACCTTTTCTGGGCAAGTCTTCTTTGGCCGTGGGATGCGGGTCAGTTGTCCACCACCTATGCTCCAGGACCTGCCGAGCAGTACACCTCTTCCGAGGATCTAAAACCAGCGTGGACATGAGCAAGTCCACACCTATCGGTCCTACCGTGCCGAATCGTGACAAGAAGTAGTTTTTGTCACGTATTCCAGAGACACTTTTCTCGAGGCTGACAAAGCCGGCTAACTTGCTAACCCCCGGCCAACTTTCTTCAGAAGGAGTACCAACGTGCTCGTTGATCAGCTCGAGCTGATTGAAGTCTGTAGCCCCTGGGACGAATGGCGAGCGCAGGACTAGCTCCGCAAATACCATTCCCATAGACCATACATCTACAGCACCAGAGTAGAACTTAGCTCCCATAAGTAGCTCTGGAGGCCTATACCACCTTGTGATGACCTGGCAAGTCATGGGTCGATAGGGATCAGAGAAACTTCTTGCAAGCCCAAAATCCGCCAATTTCACCTCCCCGTCTGCAGCGATCAATAAGTTGTTGGGTTTGATGTCTCGGTGCAGCACAAAATTTTCATGACAGAACCAGACTCCTCGGGCCAGCATGCCCATCCAGGCTTTGACCTCTGCAGTACCGTATTGAACACCATTTGTATCACGTATCAGCATCTCCAGATCGCCCAAAGGTAGGAATTCCAATACAAGATTCAAATTCTGATTCTTAGAAGAGAAAACGGCACGTAAAGCAATAATATTCGGGTGGGAAAGCTCTTGAAGATACTTGACCTCCCTAATCGCATCCATCGACAATCCATCGTGGTATTCAGGGTTCACCTTGATCTTTTTGATTGCGACTAGTACTGATGGCTCGGCACGCACATGACCAAGATAGACAATAGCGTACGTGCCTTCACCTAGTTTTCTGTCTTTGACAAACTTCTCCCTCGTGACTCGGTTGAGACGCTCAGCGACGTCCTGACCTCCTCCGGTTTCAGGCCGCTCTCCCCCTGCCTCTTGCAAAGTGTTAGGACGAAGCGATAAAGACGTCAGCCTGGTAGCCTGCAATCTAATGCTGGAAGCAGGTGACTGGCTCTCATGGACTACAACAGGCGAGACAGTCATAATGACAAACGGTGGACCTAGCTCCGATGAGAAGAGTGACGCTCATTACGATCCTATGTTGATGTCCTTTCATTAAGAGAAACAGAGCCATAGAAATTAGCGCGGTATTTTTGACAAGCCCATACCGAGAGAGTCTTAGTGGCCGTGTACGGCAGACGATGATTCCCAAAATGTTGAAACGTTCCAATATTCAAACAGCAGTCAAGCAATAGGTTATTCAATCCGTAGAAAGCGGACACCCCCTCTCGATTCGGAACAAACTTTGATTTCCTATGATACGTCTACCTCTGACACCTCAGCTGTGAAGTCCTTCCTTATGTTCAATTCTTCTAACCCGGGTTCATTATCAATCGTTAATCCTTTCTCGTTCGCCAAATGAAGCAAACATATAAAACAGTATGAAGTCGATATATCATCCATGGCTTGTTTCGGATAGACTTGCTGGAGATCGCTCATTACGGAAGTAAATTTCAATGGAGCCGAATCCACGCTCGGAGGAGGGTCAGGAGACGCGTGCTGTGGAGGATTCTACGAGCATTAGCATCGCTTCAACGCCGGAACAACACAACTTACATCCTGAAATCCAATCCCCTTCCACATCTCCTCTTTCAATCTCCGAACGTCGACTTTCTTCGCCACTCGAGCATATTGAACATACTCTGGCCTCACTCGCCGATTTTGTGTTACTAATTGAGTTCCAAACGCTCCGCTTTGAGTATCTGCTGGATCGTGAACCTCTGGTGTGGGCCTTCCATCTTCATGGGGCGACAAAACCTCTTTAGCGTCCGCGAACTCGTCGTCATCGTCCGGTGGGCCATCAGCAAATCCCACACCATCGTCTTGGAAGAAGTTGGCATCATAATCACCCTGTGGCGCATCAGCGGTGGGTGAATCCGATTGCATAGTCTGTTGCCTGCGCGCCCAAAACGCTTCGTCCACATCACCAGATGGGGCTTCCTCTTGCCTTGTTTTCCTTGCATTTCCAATGCGTATCCTCGTTGTGGCCATTCGCGCATTTGGTTTCAAAAATAGGCGGAGCAGTTGTTTTGAATTGAAGTGCTTGTCATCCGGGAGCAAATTGCGTGTCTTTGATCTCCGCTGTGATTTGGGTAGAGAGATCGCGGCATTGGAGGAGGCTGGGGTATAAATCGTCTCTGCCGCATTCGTAGCCAAAGGTGCGTTGAAATCGATCACAAGGTGTTCCTTTTCTTTTCGCCTGGAAGTCGCAGCGGCTTGTGGCTTGTTTATGTCCTTGATCCTTCGTATTCGCCAATGCTCCGGACCGGCCCAGTTCTTGTGCAGGGCCTGATCGAAGTAGCTCAGTATACCATCTTGATCTGCTCCAATCTTTCCCCGCAGCAGCTTAGGGGCAAAATTGTCACCTTGAGGATCAAAGGCACCAGCCTCTATTCCTTCGGTCTGGCCATTTCCGTTAACATCATCGAACTCCACATTCATCAAGCGCGTTTGAGATTCTAACGCAGCATTCTTCGCCCAAGCCTCCCCTCCATCACCAAAACCTGCGTCCGCATCGACATCAAACCCTTCGAGCCCTATGTCATCATCGTCAAAACCCTCGACATGGTCACCATCGAGGAATATTCCGGTCTGATCACCAAGCCCTCCGGATTGCGAATCTTTGTGCCCCTGTTGCCAATCATCCGGTGCTTTTAAGAATGGCATCTCCCCCGAGCCTGTCGAATCACCAAGAGCGAAATTCTTCAATGATGGGCAAAGATCCTGCTCTTCCAGCAAGCTCAAATTGGGGAAGAACTTAGATCCCAAAGATGCGATATGGGTGTCTTCTATATTCGAGGGGCCCTTTAATTTCTTGTCATCCCCGGACTCAGCGGTCGCTTTCTCATTTATGTTCTCCACTGCATTTTCGTTTCCTATTTGTACTTCATTGTCCGAAGATGCATCTTCAACATCATCACTGCTGTCAAACACGATCCTACCGTTCGCATCAATTGTCAGGTGATTCAAGAGCAGGCCTTTTGCACCACCCTCGTCAAAATCGGCTGAAGCTTTTTTGAATAACGGGTCTACCGAGAACTCAAGTTCCATTTTTTTCAATTGCAAGGAAGCAAATGAAGGAGCAAGGGTCGCTTCTGATGATCGTTGTACCTTGGAAGATCAGCACTGTCATCAGAAAGCGCAAGTTTCTCACCTTTCGTTTTGTCTTCTTCTTGACACCTTCCTCATCCTCGCCGTCGTCCCCTTCCTGACCGTTATTTTCCTCCTCGCTACCGGACTTCTTGTTACCGCTGTCCGCAAGGCCACTTAGCAATTTTCCTGTTTCTGTCGCTACGCTATCCACTCTGCTCGTGTAGATCTTAACACAGCCGTCCAGCGTGCAGCTAGCTTTTTGAAAATTGACAGAATCGCCTTCCTTTAGTAACGACATGTCATGAAAATAGTCAATGAGCGCGAAGTTCCAGGAATTTGTTGCGTTGATCTTGTTGTCCGTAGCCATTTTCATCCATTCTTCAAAATTAGCAAGAATGGGTACCCTCTTCATTGGAGTCATGGCAGATGCTGCGACTATACCCAAGCCTCCATCTTCCGCGTTCTCCTTTCCTCTTGCATACTGTGATCGCGGAGTCTTGGGACTATCGCTAGTATTCCGATTGTTATGAGCAAGCTTTCTCATGGGCGATGCTGCCGCCTTTAGGGTGTTCATCTGGAGGTCATGGAGTGCCTGTCGCGATTGGAGGCGCGCTGCCTTCTCCTGGCGGTCATCGTGTATAGAAATTCTGCACGATGGGATATCAGCTCAGACAATAAGTTTTCTTACAGACACTCACTTAAGAGAAGATTGCGGTGCTTGTTTTTGCGGAGTCGTAGCTGAGAAGTGCTGTGCGCGCGGAGGATTAGCAACACGCGGCATATTGACGTCGAATGCAAGGAACGCGTAGCTCTTGGGGCTAGATATGGTGATGCGCTACATAGAGACGTTTGGTCGCAGTGTCCGTGGATGAAGTCGGTTCTTTGGGCGAAAATATCAGTAAACAAAAGAACTGCGGCGGCCGGCTAGTTCTAGAACTACAGTTAGGGTTCTTACCAAGCCAAATCTATAGGGGCAAAACGGGGGGTCGGCTGAGCTGGGAAAACCCGCTTATAAGGAACTCTCCAGGGCGCACACCCCTAAACACCCGCGCTAGAATTCTATTTGGCGTGGCCACGTTTAGACTGACCGTCCCTCGACCGCTCCTCCAAAAATACTGGAAAATTACTAGGTATCAAACCAGCGCTAAAACACGAAAATGGAAAGCAACCCACGCGACGCTCCTTCCGACTTCTAAAGTGGCAAGCACGCCAACATGGTTTCGATCTTGGGAAAAAGGGCAAGAGCTCAGGACTTGAATCACGGTGAGACGGTGCAATGCGTCCAGACTGCCACTCTTCCACCTAATGTCTTCCCAGATACTCCCTCTTCGGTCACTGCACGCGTCAAGCGGAGAGCGTGTGTGCAAGAATTCAACGACGAGAATGTCAATCCTATCGATGTGTACAATCACTCGCGCTCAGCAGTGAAATCCTCGAGAACCTTTGAGAAAATTTTGTGCGTAGAAGAAGGTATGATTTAAACCTCTACCCAGTGAAGCTCTTCTCACCATTGGACCCAGACACCGAGAATCATGCACAGTTGCCCACACCGAAGACCCCGCGACACCGTGATGCGCTCTCAAAGAGGGTACCTATTACACCTCGCCATAGGGTAGGCATCAATGGAAAGCTATCAACGCCGCGCACACCACGAACACCTCAGACACCCCGGACACCGCTCAATGCGCTCACGGTCTACCACTCTGCCAGAGAGCTTTTTACCAAAGGCGCAGATCCAGGGAGCCTCATTGGTCGAGAAAGAGAGAAGGAAGAATTGCAAAGCTTCTTGGAATCAAAGAAAACTTCTAGCAGTAATCGTAGCATCTACCTGAGCGGTCCGCCAGGTACAGGAAAGAGTGCCCTTGTTGGCGAGATATGTCAAAGTCTCCAAATCACAGATAGCATCAAAGTCGCTTACATCAACTGCATGAGCATCAAGTCGGCCAACGACATGTACAGTAAACTAGCCGACGAGTTTCTCGATGGTGATGTATTCGGACCTAATAACGTGACTGCAGAGCTGCAATCCGTCTTCTTATCGAAAGGCGGTTCATGCTCTTCTATTTCGTTATGCCTTTGCCTGGACGAAATGGATCACCTCTTGACCATGGACCTTGAGATCGTCTACACCCTTTTTGAGTGGTCGCTCCACAAGTCTTCACGACTCATCATCATTGGAATCGCCAACGCCCTCGACTTGACAGATCGCTTTCTTCCGAGGTTAAAGGCTCGAAATCTCAAACCACAACTGCTACCCTTTCTCCCTTACACTGCCTCTCAGATAGAATCGATTATCACCTCAAAACTCCGCTCACTGCTCGGAGGATCCGAGGATAAGTCAGATTTCATCCCGTTCGTTCATCCACAGGCTGTCCAGCTTTGTTCGAAGAAGGTCGCTTCTCAGAACGGCGATCTTCGCAAAGCTTTCGACATTATTCGGCGGACCATCGATCTTATAGAGAACGAGACGAGAGCAAAGCCTCAAGTTGACCGGACACCATGCTCGCCACATTCTCCTTCAAAATCACCACTGAGCGAAAACCCAAACCTCGCATCTACCTCGCCCTCGAAGACGAGAGCAAATTCTGCGTTACCTTCAACTCTCACGCCTTTGACCGCACCTCGAGCCACTATCGCTCATGTGTCTCGGGTCGCCGCAGCTACACTCGGTAATGGCACCTCTCAACGACTGCAAACCTTAAATCTCCAGCAGAAAGCTGCTCTTTGCGCCTTGATCTCTCACCAGAAGTTGTCTCGTAACAAGTATTCCTCAATCTTCTCAACGCCTACCCAATTGGCCAGTGCTGGGCCTACGCCAAGGAAATTGCACGAAACGTATTCAGGTCTTTGCAAGCGGGATAACGCTCTGCATCCGCTTACTTTAGCTGAATTCACAGATGTCATCTCAGGACTGGAGACTCTAGGCTTAGTAGGAGAGGACATCAGAAGAGCCTCCACGAAGGGATTGACCCCTCAAAAGATAACACGGCATGACGAGCGACGTCTTACGAGTTTCGTTGACGAGAAGGAGGTGCAATGTTGCTTGGAGGGCGTGCAGGGCAGCATCCTCAGGGGCCTGGTGCACGGTGACGGCTAATCCCCACATCTAGAGCTAGCGGGCAATGAACAGTTGAGCGGATTTTCATAGAAAATAGATGCTACAGTGCTCTTCGGCAGACGTACATACTGAGCGTAAGATGACGTACCAGTGGTTTCGCGGAACAATATGCCATGGCTGTACGATGCTAGAAAGAATGAGATATATGCACATTTATATTTGCTCAATCTATCACATGTGAAAGAAATTGCTACATCGAAAAAGGGTCCACGCTCATTACTGTACTCTCGAGGACGCTCGAACTGTTTTCTTAGGAAAGAGAATCAATGTTATGTTAAATCAATTCAATCGTCCATAGGTTTATCCGTCAATTGCACGCCCCTATAATCGCCAGACTCGCTCACAAGACTGTCTCTGGGGTTTGTGCCTCCACTCATTCGATTTGAGCCTAGACTCCCATGTCCGCCTGTTTTCCGTGGCGGGAATCTGGAGCTTCGGGCTTGTGGGTCCGATTTCTCAGCAAGGGCGCCATTAGGTTCATCTGGTCGGGCATAAAGCGCGCTATCTTTGTTTGCACTGTGTGAGGTGGTCGGTGGGGTGTTGCTGGCGACTGGAGGACTATCGTATTCGGGTATCGTTGAACTGGTTTTCGTAGTCAAGGGCGATCCATTCTCCGGCGGGACTTCTAGGCTTGCTCGCACGTGACCCCTTCCTTTATCCATACCTGGCGGGCTTGTGTGAATGGGAAATCTCGTCCCGGGCGGATCAACGGAGCGATCTCGTCGATGGCTCCCACGAGCTCCGTTGGCGTGCGGTACTGGGCTGCTGTTACGGGACTTGGAAGCTATAGCTCTATTTCGTTCTTCCATGTTGGCGCGTCGGCTACTCTCGTCTGTGCTGATCGCTCTTATGCGAGACGCTTTCGAAGCATTACCGCCGCTGGGAGTGTGAGAGAGAGCGGAGGCACGCTTAAGTTCACCGAAGATGGCTTCTTTGTGGTCAAACAGGTCGCGAATCAGTCGGTAAGCATGTTTTTCATGCATGGTGAGAGAGGTTTCAGTGCGTGGTCGGAGGATACATTGTGCAAGATCTGTTGCAAGGGCGGAGACAAAGTCCTCGCCTGCAGATGTAAGTTCTATCAGGCGGGTGAAATGCGTTGTGATGGCATCTAGGGTGGCAATGTTGGCAAGGCGCAACTGTCCGAGGGTATTCTGAAGAACGGATACACGAGTTTCGGGAGAGTTGGATGAGTCTGGCGAGGAGTAGATGGTTTTGATGATCTCATAGACCTGCGATGAGACAAGTGAATCTATGCACACGGTTAGCGACACTTGACAACTCGAGGATGGCAAATTGAGCTACCCGGCAATTCCAAAAGATACAGCTTCAGAACACTCGCAACTATTGGCACCTCGTAACGTTCCAGAACATCTCGTTGTATTGATGACCGTGTGTTTATGACGCTCCGGAGATGGTGCGTTGCTGCTAGCGGAACATTGACCAGCCAGATGCCACGCCGAGCTTCATCGCCCTCGAGATCAGGATAATGTTGATCTAAGAAGGTGAGAATAGTAGTGATGATTGTTGGCACACGTTTGCGATCCGCCCGGGCCCGTGCCTCAAGGTCGACACCAAAGGTCTGTTCGTCCACATGATTATAGTAATTATCGTAGACTTGGACTTTAGGTACAAATGCTCCTGTACGATAGTTCTCTAGCAGGTACCTCAAATCCCCTTCTGGCTGAATTGTTTCCTGATAGAGCATCATGTTATCGACGGTGCTTTGTAGACTGGGTATAGAATTACTGATGGCGCCTGAGAAGTCGAGGATTACGGCTTTTATCGCCCTCAGCCGGTCCAGCTCACATCGCTCCATGAATTTGAAGTGGTCGATCATCTTTTCTTCGAGTTGACATCGCAAATCGTCTAAACGACGTACGCTAGCTTTATATTTCTCGTCTGTTTCCTTTGACTCTCTACGTAGTCTATCTCCTGGTGTTTCATTCGGGTATTGGTTGTTAAGAGGATTCCACTGAGAATTGAGGGTGGTGGTCAGGATCTCGCCCACTGATCCGACGATCGGAGAATCTGCGCTTCCAGCGACGGAACCTACAGAAGACACTCTGTCGAGGGGCTTCTTCCTCTCCGGTATGCCCGTCATCTTGAAGACCTTGGGACGCCACTGATACTTCATCCGCGAGCTATTTGCGAAAGTGCTGCCCACATTGCCGACGAGCCTCAAGAAGCCATGCGTGATGAGATCTTGCCCTATACGCTCCGCATAGCTGATACTGGCGGCGTTCATGTGCTTCTGTATATAGTCTGCAATATCTGCGCCTGTCGATACGTTGTGGTAAATGCCCAGTATTGGAACCTTTGTCTCCCCGAGGCTGATGGTATTCAACATATGAGTCAGGATCTTCTTGATTTGCTGTGGATCAAAGGTCTCATCTCCAATCTCCAAAGGCTCCTCTGCTTCTTCGTCCTGAGCTTCAGAAAGCTTTATGGTGGGCGTCTGAGCTGTCTTAGGACTGGAGGATTCTTTCTCTGGATCTTGGAAACCAAGTTTGTTCTCCTCTTCCAGATCTTCGAGCTGACGGCATTTGTTGAAGTAAGCACTCCTCAGTTTCCGAGCATGATCCGCTTGTTTGTCGTGGGCTTTCAGTCTTGCTTGCAGGTCATCTTGAGAGCCTTGGACGCGGCCTTCGTGAGCTTCACACCACCTGCTGAAAGGGACGACGACGAGTTCGCTGATGTTTGAGGCAATGTTCTTGTGACTTTTGGCCGCGGCCTCCATCTCCCCCCGCACCCCTTCGTAGGCCTTCCTCACACTTGCGCCGTCATCTTTGGCAAAGCCTCCCGTCATCCGGTCCGTGGCTGGTACAGTATCTGCCAGCCTGCGGGCATACGTTTCCTCCGCCTCTGCTCGCATTCTGGCGATTGTCAAGACCTGCTGGTTTTCTATCACTCCCTGTTGCAGCTTTCCAAACAGAACTCCCATCCCCCCGGCATAGTCACCCGACCAGAAACAGTCCGCGAAGCCCACCATGATTGCAGGTTCTATCTTTCGCCGTCAACGGAAATCTGTGCGGGGGGTATATCGTGTCTGATCAGTGGAGGCGGCCTGCTGCCCACCGGCGTAGGCATTGGCTAGCTGCTGAGGCGGGATGATGCGAATGGACCGTTCTCAATTGGATGAGGGAGAGGATCGATAGTCGCAGCCACTTTCTTGGAGGGAAGGCGTCTGGAAGTGTCTAAAAGAGCTCCAGTAGGTTCAGTGATGGCCTTTTCTTCTTCCTTTTTATCTAGATTTCTTCACTTCAATGCCGCGAGCGCTAGGGACAAGGGATTACGGGGGCTCCGGGGGCGCCAAAAGGGGGGTGCGCATGGGGCTCCTTGGGCTCCTTAGGCTCCTTGGGCTCCCATGTATTAGGGCTGGACTAAAAGCTTTAGGGCTCTTGGTGTCTACGGTCATTGGCCACAGCGGTTGTGCATGTAACCTTCCTGGACTCTGATCAATCATCCACGTCTAGTCGTCAACCATAATGATCATCTAGTGAGCTAGTCTCTGTTGCAACGGCTCAACCTCAACCTCGTATCTCGTTGATCTCCTTTTGCTTCAGGCTTCACAAATCGCAAGTCATCTTCAGCCTCGGATCGCAATGCGAAGGTGAGGGAAAAGCTAAGGCGCGGCGCAATATGTGGAAGGATCTCCTTGTCTCGCTTCTCGGCTTCGGTTTCAGCCAGGCTCTGGCGGTTGGTGGGGGCTTTACTTCTCTTGCGACGCGCCATGACGGACGGACACTTCAGAGCTCAAGCCTCGCCGTCGCCGCAGACAGGCCCGCCAGTGCTTCCTCCGCTGTCCAAGTTCTACTGTGGCCCTGCGACCGGATGGAGCTCAGCCGGCGCTTCTCCGAGCCATAACGGTCAGTAGAGACATCTCAATACGACCTTTGTCTACCTACCAAATGCTAATTTGCACTCCAGGTTCCACTTGGAGCTTGGTCAACCCTCCTACGGACCAGGCCTTGTCTGGTCCTGCTCGAGCGTCTCCCAGTCTCACTTCATCTCAATGGCCAAATCAAGAATCACAAGGATGGCACAGCGGGCCCCCAACTTCCACAATCCCCCCGAAAAACTTCCCCGACAGCTACGCCATGATGCAAGGCAATCGCAATTCTCCGCTGAATCCTGGATGGGATAGTCGTCCAACGTCGTCTTCCATGGACACATCTACCTGGGGCGTGAACTACAACAGACCCCACGGTGACGCTGCCAACCCCATAGCAAGACCCCCGCTACCAGTAAGTCGCTTCTCAAAATGGTCTCCACACCCGCCCCTGAAGACTGCTGATCAGATTCAGCCACGGCCGGAGCATACGACAGAAACCGAACAAGCAGACCGTGATCGGAAGCGCTACTCTCCACATTCGAAGTACAGCTCTCAGCATCCCTCTGCTCGTGGATCAGCAACAACAATCGACGTGCCACTATTTCTTCAACCCCAACCTTTCGATCCGGAAACAGCCCCTCCGTTACCACAAAGACCTTCGTCGCCCATCCAAGATCGCCGTGCTTCGCCTCGCTTATCCTCAAACTCACAGCAACTGCCTCCACCCCCTCCCAAGATACCCCTAGCTTCCAATGAGGCAGAGCCCCAACATGATCAGCAGTCGCACTCGAGCAGTCCACAGGTCTCTAGCCTGAGGCACTCGAAGCAGGATTCTCAAAATTTGCAGCAACCACCGGTCACAACACCTATGCATCACCTTCGTTCCGATCATCAGAGAACCTTCAACCTCGGACACAGCAAAGGACATTCTCAGAGTTCCATGAGCTCAACGAGCTCTCGAAAACGACCTCACTTTGACCCGCAGAACTCCCACGACGCTGAGGGTAATCCGGCAGGTTGGCAATCTCAAAGTCAGCGACTTACACAACCAAATCAGTCAGCCAGTAGCATAAATACTCGAAACACTCCGCTTACTGCAACCCACCAAGACCTCTCTTACCCAAACGAGCAATCTCACCAGACGGTCACGGCAAGGTTGCAAAACAGTTACGAGGAAGAGAATCGGTATCAGATGGCCCAGCGATTACACAAACAATCGATATCGCCGGTACAGGAGGGAGATCGCTGGGCAGCTAGTCCCTACCCAAATCGTTGGGCTTCGCCCGCAGCTCATGCTCCTTCGCCTGAGCCACAACATGCAACACTTCCGCAGCAAGATGGTCGGTCCACAAGCGCAACCGAAGCATCCTCCAATATGCCCAACACCTCCACTCCCGAGTCGCATCAAACATCGAACACGTCTTTGAAAGATGACGACGCACGCGAGCCCGGTGGTGGTGAAGGAGATAGTAATGACTCGTTCTACTGGCACTCTGGTCGCTCCTCATCTGAGAGCGATAATGAGCGGAGCTCTGAGACTGCTCTTGCTACACAACATAGTCGAGTCCAAAGTTCAACAGCCAGCCAAGCGACAACCCAAACAGTAAGAATAGTCGATGCGAGGGATAGCTATCGTCCCAAGCCCGAAGGGTCGTCCACGGGCGGCGCTCTATCAAGATTTTCGCCGCAGATGAAGCCCGAGATCTCGCAGTCGAAGCCTAATTACGAGGTCAGAGGTCTACCGGCTCGGTCAAGCAGTCTCTCACCAAATCCTCAGGTAGAGTATAGCTCATCCGCCTTAGGATATGGTGGTCCTTCTGATTGGGAATATTTCGGCGACTATGAGGCTGAGGAAGTGGACGACGAGGAGCTGTATGCACATAAACCACGCGCAGAGCTACCAGCAAGCATCCCCATAACGGAGGAAGAAACGTTTACTATTCCAGACCAAGCTTCTGGATCCCAAGTGAACAAGCCGGGACTTTTCACACCGCCGAGTACAGGATTTGCAATCCAGGAAGAGATTCATACTAAAACCACGCCCTTTGCCTCGCCTGAAAACCAGACCGTTGAGGAAGACCCTGTTTACGAGTCGAAGTGGTCACCATCCACGACACCGACTACCCCTCACGCAAATTCAAGCCGACCACTCACTGTAACTTCAGAGCCGCTTCCTTCCGAAGACCAGAGACCAGATCTGGAGGAGGTAATTCGAGCTTGGTCAGACGATCCACATGTTGGAAGAAATCTTGACACGGAGTCAATGAAGCAAGCTGGGGTGAGACAATTTGAAAATGAATACATCCCGGGAGAGGCATCTTTGGCTTCAACTCCTGGAGAGAGCGTGCTGGGCGTCTACGCAATACCAAATGATGCGCCTCCGATACCGAAGTTACCCGAGTCTATCGATTTTGAAAGACACAGTCTAGCACCAAAATCACCGATTAGAACTCCGCAGGAAGGGACGCAAGCGGACAGCGCAGACGTATTGCAAACACGCCTGAGCGTTGCTGAAGGTGCTTCCAATACTCATGGGCATGACACAGTGAGCGCAGATGCCACCCTAGCAGACGGCCAGATTGTCCAAGGTGCCACACCACCTGTCGCTGAGACATCAAAGGAAGACACCAAGCTTTCACGAACGCCTGCCAATACTGAGGACGATAATGAGGCAGCCGGTCAATCAGCAACGTTGTTCGAAGTTCCTAGCCATCATGAGACCTTAGTAGCGGGCGTTTTTGCAAATGGATGTAGTGATGCTGCAGACAGCATTAAGGGTCCGATCTCTACGCCAACAACTTATGCAGAGACTACATCACTAGATGGCAGCAACACCGAGATTTTTCACAAACCGACTGTGTCTAACGATCCAGCGTTTGCTACACCTCAAACGCATACAGAGGACTCGAGGAGCAAACCAGCTGGTTTGCATGAGCCTCAAAAGGTTGCATCGGCGCCCGAAACGGTGCGCAAACCACAAATCTCGGTGGATATTCCGGGCGCGGCTCTAGGAAGGACGGGCTCGCCGATATCAGAATTTGCTCGCAAAAGACAGATGTTTGAGTCTCCTGGAGAGAGCAAATTCTCCCCTTTATCCCTCCCACGCAAACCTGTTCAAGATGCAAAGCCATCGCCGATTCATTCTTCAAACTCAGAGGAATTCAAAGCTTGCGACATCAAGACTTCTGACCGTTCTGTGGACAATCTCAGCAAAGGCCCATCTGCAGCAGCTACTTCTACAAACTCCTTGAAAACTTCACCTACAGTGTCGCAAAAGCCAAGCCGTGACTATATACTCGACAAGTCACCAGAAACACTTCGGCTCATTGCTCGAAGTACCAGTAGTCATTCCAAACGATCATCAAAGCGCACGTCTCAAGAAGACGTACTATCTCAAGCTCAACCAGCCACAGCTGATACTACAGCCGCACCAGGGCAAGAAGCACCAAAGTCGCTCGACCGAACGTCTTCTGGCCCCGAAAATCATAACACAGCACCAGTAAACTCAATCGAGACCTTTCCAGATCCTGCTTCTGAGCTCCAGATAAGGATGCCCGCTCCGAGTCCAACGCCATCACCTCAGTTTTCTTCGGCGACTAATTTGGAGAATCTAGCAGGCAATGTATCCAAAATTTCTGTGCTTGGAGCATCTACGACTACACTCCCGCGGCCCTTGAGCGGGGCTATGATCTCCACAGAAAGCAAATCTTGTCAAGCCGATATTGCTAATGATCCTTACGCTGATCTTGATCCCTGGGGTCGAGCATCGCTCAATCGCTTCGCCGCAATGCTCCGAGAAGAAGGCCGTGCAGAGTCCAATAAAGATAAGTTGAACATCTTCAACGTTTTTGCCAGTCGGGAATCCCGCTTACGGGTAGTTCTCTATGGCTCTGACGAGGAACTTATATTGGCGACGAAGGCGCCCGCAAAACAGACTGATGAGCCCCGAAAAGTGCCGTCCTCTAAGTTGCAACATCTAGCCAAAGCAAGCGCTCCTAGAAAGGTCGTGCAGAGGTCTAATACTACAAAGACACAGGGGGCGGCCAAGGAACTTCCCCCCTACCTCCGAACCGTGATAGCGTCGTTGGCCCTCTAGTCAGCAAGTTGTCGCCCTTAAAGATCGACAGTCGAGAAGACAAAGAGCAGTCCCAGGCGGACACCGAGAAATCTGAAAGTCCCCAATACAGTCCCGGAGGTCGGCCAATTGTGCAGCGTCTCTCTCGAAACTCTAAGGACATATCACAGTCTCAAGGCCAGAGTTCGACGGAATTCCACCCGCCCGAAGTAACCAAATCTGAGGATTTGGGCAACACAAATCTCGGTACAGAAGTCGCTGTGTCAACGAATACGCAAGCTCACGAAGAGAAACAAAATCCAGCTTACACCAAGCCAAAATTTAATGAAGATGGCGTAGAGGTCAAGAATTACCTGACGAATCGCCGTTCAATCTACAGGCCATTTGCAACACAAACCCTGGAGTCCATGGTTCATACCATAAACTTTGGCGCTGAGCCAGAGTTGTCGATCGAGGAGCCTCCTTTACCGAATGGGGGTGCCCTACCTGATATTAAGGACACAAGTGAGAGTGCTTGTGACAATGAAAAGCCCTCTACCGTCGCTCCTTCGGTCGATTTGCGTCACTTTGTTGAGGCGGATTTCGACCCTCTAGTGATGGCTCTGCCTGCGTCAGAGGTAGTGAATGAGGATTCTGTGCGGCTTGCCGAGTTCAAAAAGGTTTTAGAGGGTGTACCGGATGACTTCAGCTTCATCCATGCGAGCGTTCTCGCGTGGGATGCAACAGTTAAGAAACAGCGCGAGGAGAATGAGAGGCAACGTCACGCAAGGCAAATTGAATCAGAACAACGTATTGACGCTTTGTTCGACGACCATGAGATCGGATATGGAGATATTGCTGAACTTGAGGGGGAGTTCAAGCAGTCTGAAGCCGCCAAGAAAGCGGAAGAAGATCGTTTTGAGTATGAGCTATTCATTGAAAATGTTTTCAATGTTGTATGGACCCGTCTTCATTTTGAGGTGGATCAATTGAGGCCTCATTATGATCAATTCAGCAAACTCATGGATGAAACACTGGCAGGCAAAGACATCTTCGGGATACCGGAAGCCGGCTTGAGCCTTGCTCCTACGATGACAGCCTTCCTGGGTCTACATCAGAAGCTTGAGATACGACATCAAAAAGCTTTCGAGGCAGTTTTAGAACGGGATCGCCGTCTAAAGAAAACTGAGATCTCGCCTTGGTACAGCCTAAGCAATCTAGCAAAAGTGAAGCAGCTCGAAAAGCAATTTGAGGACGCAGAAAAGAAAGCCATCATAGGATACTGTCAAGAGCGTAATGAACGCGCTAACCAGCTCATGGACGTCCTTGATCAGAACACGTTACGTGGCGTGGGTGCTAATCAGGATTACATGGAAGCTGTGATGAAAGCAGTGCGCCGCATCGCGTCTGGGCGAGCCTATGCATCTGTACCAGGCTTAGAAGCTCCAACTCGGGGCATCGAGTTGGTGGAAAAGGCCAAGACCATCACTGCTCTCGTCGCTGCATCATCCGAGCAAATTGTTCAGACCTTCCACGTTGCGGATATGCTACTCAACAGCGCTGACTATGAGGTGTCCGTCGCTAAAGCAAAGGTTGCTCGTGCAGACTTGGCCACATTGACAAAGCTTAAGGAGGAGAGGACAAAGGAGGACCTGAAATTGATGAGGGATCTTGAACATCGGCTTGCGTTGATTCGAGAGGACTCGAGGAGAACCAATGATGAGATCATCAAATTAATGCTTTTCTTAGGTATACAGAACAGCAAAGCTCTCAGCGCGCATCCGATTGCACCAGCGCTAAGAATGCAACAGCAGCAGCAAGCAACAGCGGGCGCCAAAGACCCGGGGCATGAAGCGCAAACCTTCAAGAGCTTAGACGAGCCAGCAGACAAGACAATGGCACGAGACGGCATGAAATGAACAAGCAGCAGTAAAAGTAATGACTTCGCTTCGCTGGGAGTATATGTCGGAGACAGACAGACCTCGGCGCGGATCGCATGATACCCATTTGGCATAAACGGCACGCTTCTATATTGGAATAGTAGGTCTTTGCACCTGTGCCCGATGACGAATTTCTTTTCGCATGCATGATGCCCAGGTTCGCAAAGGAGTTGGAACCTTCATGACGGGTAGATTTGGGTAAGTTCTGTAGATGACATCTTAATCATAATGCGTATATAATGTGATAGAACATAGCTAGGTCTAAATCCAGCGAGCCGCCGACACGTCGATCATCTTCCCTCCAAGTGTCACGTAGGCTGAGCCAGATGTTTCCACGGATATCTTGTGTGAGTCTCAATACCCATGATGCCATTCCGATCGGGACCGCCTCCCAACTGGCCCCGCCTCAACATTCAAGGAAAACGGGAAGCATGACGTAGCAGGGAGCTTCGTATCGATCTAGATGTACGGAAGATTACAAGCCTGAAAATGAACGCATTAAGGCACTTGATGTGCCCCGGATCGCATCTCTTCCGGGCCAGGTATTACGGTTCATGGAAGACACTAATACTAGTGGATACTAGTGGAAACCAGATGTGCTCTCTCAGCCACTGAGTGCTTGACTGCGCCTCGACCTTTCACCATCTCAAAGATAATCGCAAACATTATACAGACCTCACAAGCAGTCACCTGAGGTGTAGGGTCGCGCCTCTACGTTGTCACCACCCAAGGACAAGGTCATATTCTGCACCACTGTCGTTCCAGGCTGTATCCTTATCCGTGTCCGAAGCTCAACGACAGAAGGCTGTTGGACCGACAACGAGATTTGTCCTCGGTGGCCTCAGAGAACATTACATGCCTGTAATTCATACCCTTGGTCTCACATATCCTCACTAGCATCTCTGCACACCAAATGGTCTCGAATGGCCGAGGTTGAAGCCACCAGTCCAGCCGCCCACTCTTCTTCGGATCGGTCCTCGAACGACGCTGGCACAGGACCCATACTCAACGGGACCATTCACAAGGACACGGTGAATGTGACAAGACCTCTGAGCCCTCGTAAGCGAAGGCGCTCATCGAAACCAACGACAACTCGTGAAACACGCGCATTGCCTGCCGCCGTGACAACCAAAGCTACTCAGCCTTTGTTAGCGTCCCCGGTTCCCTTTACAGGGACCAGCGCTATCGCAGACGAGCGACGCAAGCGTACAGAGGGTCTCGGTATCTCAGAGCAAGAAATCAGTCCTAATCAGGCCCAGAAAACACTCCAGAGTTTGACTGCAGTCGGCTCTCAGCTGAGCAGACCCACCGACGCACCCACAACCTCTGCTTCTCCTGACAGGCCAACCGCAGACGTGGTGCCATCCATGACTACAGCCTCTAGAGTCGAGAATCATGGAGGCCAGAATACAAGTCCTCAAAGTGATTCGAGTAATGTGACTTTGAAGAGGATGCCGACGGCGATGAGCGTCAGCAATGGCGATGCCGTAGCAAGTCCTGGTCAGCTGGATGACGCTTCTGGAGAAGACGAGGAGAGCCCTCGCTCAAGTAACAGAGAGCATGATAGGGAGAGCAGCTCAAATCAGGATGACGGCCGTTCAAATAAAGCTTTCACATTTCCCGGCCCCATGGGTGGCCACCCTCATCGTACGTCAAGTCTACCTCAGTCTGGTTACGGAAGGGAGAATACATCTCCTTCTGCCAAAAGGCACAAATGTCCTTACTGCAATACCGACTTCACCAGACATCACAATTTAAAGTCTCATCTTCTTACCCACAGTCAAGAAAAGCCTTTCAGCTGCGATAAATGCGAGTCCCGATTCCGGCGCTTGCATGACCTCAAACGACATGCGAAGCTTCATACCGGAGAGCGACCTCATGTCTGCCCTAAGTGCGATCGGAGTTTTGCTCGCGGAGATGCGCTAGCGAGGCACAACAAGGGCCAAGGAGGTTGTGCGGGAAGGCGAGAGAGCATGGGCAGTTTTGGGGGGGATGATCGGCAAGATGAGAGCATGAGAAGTGCGGATGGTGATGGTATGCCAGGTATGCTGTACACAAGCGAACCTTCCCATGAACCAGAACACATGGATGAAGACACCGATACACCGGCGGGAAGAAGTTTGCCGAGTATCAGGAAACATGAAGCTCCTACGGAGCCTCCGCCGCAGCTCTCCGAGCATCAGAATCTCTTCCACGCACGCCAACCTAGTACCTATCCTCCCGTAGCTGCCCGCCCTTCTGCGGCTGCCAATCAGCTCTATCCACCACCTCAAGTGACGAGCCCCCGTATCGGCTCCGGTTCGTCAACGGCGCAATCATCCTTAAACCAGTATCCTCCCCCACCTTCAACATCGTCCATGTATCAGTCGTCAACGTCCAGCGTCTTTGCTCCGGGGGGGATGACAGAAAGTCCGAAGCCGCTTTCTCCCGGAGGCGCAAATGCTCACCAGCTCGGTCATGGTGATTCAGGCCTCTATCGCAACAGATCGCCTAGTGTGACCCAGCAACTTCAGCAAAACCAATATCGACGGGCCACCGGCAACAATAAATCGCCACCTATGAGCCTGCCCCCTCCCCTCCCAGGCAGCAACTTGTCGAACGCTCCCCACCTTCCTCCATTGCACGGTCTTGGCCCACCAGATGCAAGGTTTACACTTCACAGCCAAGTAAACGGACCTGGACAAATCCATGCTAGTCATACAAGTAGCCTCCCTGGCCCCCGCCAGGCGCTACTTCTCCAAAATACCCACCAGGCAGCGTACATTCTGCAAACAATAGCGCATCAAGCCATGGCACCGGACAGCATGGCAGTATCGATCGCAACAACCCATTCGGGGGCCAACAAGATCGATTATGGGCGGTTGTTGACTCTTTAGCAAGCAAAGTCAATCGATTGGAGGAGGAGGTTGCGATGCTTAAGGGAAAAAGCAACACACAGCCTACGCAACGGGGCGGGCACACAAGCCACACAGGGTCAGCAGTCTGATCGTGCGGTCTTGAACTGATTCGATAAGAAGCACCTGACGAGAGGCTTGATGCCTGCTATGTCAGATCACAGGAACTAAAGTTGCCCGCAAGCATGGATGTTTCTGCATCTTGCAAGGGCACGAACAAGAGTATTGAGACAAGGGGTACTGCGATGAATAGTGGATGAAGAGGCACGGGGTTATCTATGCTCTATACTAAAAGATGCCGTTTGGACTGGCGTTGCTCGAAAAGGTTGCCAACAAACACCTAATGACTGGAATGTGTACTTTCATTATCTCGCATTCAGCAGCAGAGGTCTTGAAGACGTAAATGTCTTAGCATGTACGATAAGTTTGCAGACTTATACAATCTTTACCATCTCGACCGTTAGCGACCTCATCTTCCTCGTGTGAAAAGGGGCTCCGGTTAAACTATACTCCGTAAATCCGTATGCGGTGGGCGTCCGAGGGACTCCAACCTCTCGCATCATTTTCCCCTCCATCATATCGCGCGAAATATGGCCGGACCAAATCCTCGGCTAGAGCAAAGACTGTGATTGTGGGTAAGAGCAATGCTTTCGTCGTTTGTTTAGTCATCCTTTTTGGTAGGCTCTCAGGTTCCCCTTTTGTTGAGGCGCATGATCGCCAAGAAGCTCAAATCCTACCCGTGACCTCAACTTCATGTGCATGTCCGTCTCTGCTTTGGACGCCCTTTCCTTTCCTCTCCCTTCAACAGTGATCGGGCATCTGCACCAACCTGGCAGCCTTGCCGCTGCTGCAGTCAGCCTAGGTCTTCTCAATGACTTGTTTCGGGCTTTGCGCTCAGTGGCTATTCTCGCTCTTGTCAATCCTTCCGTTCTACAAAAGATTCAATCTCGATAGAAGGCCAATCGAGGAACCCCGGTCTATCGTCTAGCGTCCTTGCAACACTCAGTAACTCACGCCTTTCTTCTAAATAAGACCCGTTTAACCATCAACGAGCAATGTCTCGGACGACAGTCCCCGCAGGTAAGTCGGGCCACGCCATATGAACCAAGGGTACTCATCATCAGCTATGTTTCTCAACTTGCGTCCATATCCTATGAAAACGGACTGCGTCTACCGCGCTACACGTTGGTACCATGGACAACTGTTCAGCTCGGCTTTGAGGATCACGCAAACGGCTCCCATAGGCCCACGACAGAACCCGCTTGGTTCTCAATCGCCTGGACTTCGCGTTTGGATGCTAAGCGCCGCCTACCTCCTTTGTGAGGCTGAATGACTTCAACTGATGTTGGCTTTGGGCGTGTGTCATAACCGCACGGTCCATTCTGAAGCCTCCTCTCCAGTCAAGAACCCGACATATAAAGATGTTTGCGGCGTTCCTAAGGTATTCAGATTGCAATGTGTTCCTTGTTTCATAGGCTTCATCCTCATGACTGCACCGCGAGGTTCATTTGACTTGACCGGCATGCCCGCGAGACGATCGGTAGGTCTTGATCAGCTAGGGAGCACCTCTAGACATCACGGCCGAGCTCGCATGGACCCCATGGCAAGACCCTCGCCATATGCTACCCGATCTGGCCCGAGCCAGCCTCTAGAAAGTCCACAAGGCGACCTAATAGATGTGCCCGAAGCGACATCAGAGTTCTTAGATCCATCCAATGTCGTTGAACGCCTCGGCAAGATTTCGTCGAGCAGTGATACATACTATGCATTTCAGCTCAATGCAGAGTGGATCCGGATCTATGATCCGAATACTACTTTTGTCAAGGTAGAGTGCACCTGCGACGGTTTTAGAAGAGCCCAATCGCCTTGCGATCACCTTCAGGTAAGTCTCCAGACTCGAGAAGTTGGTAGCTCGGCTATTGACGTTGGCGAAGTGGCTTCTCCGAGGGTTGAAAGCATCGCTACAGAACGAATGGTTCTCTGTGTCGCAAGCAACGATGCATCTCCTGTCGACTGAGCTAAGTCAGCTATATCCGGCATTTGATGCTTTCGAGCCTGCCGACTTGATTCAAAAGATCAACGCGCTCCGCGATCCTGGCTCGGTAACGGCAGGCATCGGGTATCTAGGCACGCCTGGCAATACTTATCGCAGCAAGGTGCTATGCGATATTATATCAACTTTCGATGCCCGCACTGAAGTCTTACCTGAAGCATATCAAGCAGACTTTGAAGGCCAACTTCCAATACCGTCACGCTTAGAGGAGTGCTTGCAACGCGACAGCCTCACGGGTACCATTTATCGGATGGCTTTCGTTGAGCCGTCCATTTTCGATGCGTTGCAAAAGACAGTGCCCAGGCAGTATTGCGCCGATGTGTATCTTGGCAAACAGCAAATCAACATTCGAAATCACCTCGAGCAGATGGACAAAGACGTCGAACAGGCGCATATCGAGGGGCAGGTGTTGCGAAATCACATCATCCCCAGATGTGGCAAAAGCCTTCGGCAGATCGTCGAGCAGCTATATGAGTATCGAGCTCACCAAGAAGCCATCACACCCTCGCACGGCAAACGCCTCGCATCTATGCTTGTAGGTCTCATCCAACAAGTCTACAATAGGAATCGCGATCACCGAACAGGAACGAAAGCACGTGCTGCAAGGAACGAGTTCAATCTATTCGAGTTCCTCATTCGCAGTCCCGACCAACTCGGGCCGGGCGATGAGTGTTTCGCCATCGGTAAGCTCGAGCGATTGCCTGTCACCGAGCGAAAGCATCTCCGTGAACCATTGGCTGTCATTCGAGACGACTTTCAACAAATGCCACAGACGTCGGCTTTATCAACTTATGTCAACAAAATCGAGGACATCATTAGGCGCGAAGACGCTGCGATATAGAATTTCGAAGCTTTCCAGATGAGTACGGAGGGTGTCTCCTTGAATTGTATGGAGGATTGATTGCTTATGGGCGGATATGCGTTGCTGGGTGGTGGTTTCTTTGTCTTTTAGTCCACGCGCTTGAGGTCTTTCTCTTCCATCTTCCATCTTCCTTAATCAAAGACCGCACAACCGGGGGCTGGCTCTCCTGTGAATGTACTTCACCCCTTTCCGCACTTTGTTGGAATAGGTAGTTCAAAATCAGAATTGCCAAGCTTTCAGGCCAAGACAGCGCTAATGACCCCACCTTTTAGCGCGGGATCGAGATACCTTAACCTGCCAAGGAAGCTTACAGCTCGGACCCCGTTCCCTTATTTCCTCTCCAACTCCTTCCATTGCGTACCCACGTATGGAATAGGAAACGCCCCCCGTCATTGTGCCTTCTCCTCCCAATCTTTCCACATCTTCCTCTACTTAGACCCCAGATCAAGGTCCTCATTATCAACTGTACCCTCTCTCGCATTTCCTCTTCCCATCTTCCATCTCCTGCTGGTTCAGGAGAAGGACCTCGATCCTCCCCTGCGTCTCCAGGACAGACACATTCGATCTTGCATCAAAGCTGTGGACCCTTCAGGTGGACTCCGGGTCTGCCATCTTCCGCCCCGATCGTACAAGCTTTACATTCGTTACAATCTAAACAGCTCAATCCCAACGATGTCGGGTGAAAATTCTCCGCCTTCTAACAATGGTCGCTCTTCCTTCGCATCTGGGAGAAGACTGTCGGATCTTTTCGGGCGCTCCCCACCCAATAATTCGAATGGGCAATCCAATTACTCTGGTCCGATTGCAACCGCTGCGGCCAACGCCTCCGCTCAGCAACGCCGAAGAACCTCAATGGCTGGCGGGGGGCCTGCTGGTTCGCCCACATCGACTTCCTCTTTCCCCCAGATGAGAAACCGCAACGGCAGCATGGCTAGCAGTAACTCGCCGAACTCCTCAATTGAGGAGAGTGCTATCGAAGAAGGTGACGCTCCAGTGCCTCAATCACCCTCATCTCCATTCGCACGACGTTTGAGTTTTGGCGCAAAGGCATTGCACGATATCAAGAATGGAAATAACAGTTCAAATGGTGAGTTAGTCCATGCATGCAGTAAAGTTTCGCATTCAACTCAATTGGGGGTGCACATATAATATATACGTCTTGCTAACATACTTTCTCATTGAAGAAGGCTACAACTGGTCCGAGCAAATCAGGAATCGAGCAGAGAGATCAGCCTCGCTCACTCAGCGCCAGCAGCCGCCTCCAACAAGCGTTCCCGAACAAGGACCGCATAAAGCTGCAAGTATGGCCATTCCTGAACAGGCTGTCAAAGAATTTCCCAAAGCTCCTAAGAAGCCTGATCATTTTCAAGAGCGTATCCTGAAAGGCGACTTCTATATGGACTGACTTCGATGGCTACATCCGGATGATTGCGATGCACAAGCTCCAACATAAATTATAACGACGGAACCCTTGTGAAGACATCTAGTCACGCCGCTCCCTTCTGCTACCCACCGAAACAGTCAGCGAAACAGCATCGTCGATATCATTTGCTTATTTGCTAGATTCTGTCGGAGAGACCCCGCAGAGTGAAACATCAATAGTCACTTAAGACTCAAGAAACAAGATCCCACCCGGCCCTTGAGTATTTCGGTATCTTCGACACTCATTGTAACAACGGAGCTAGGGCGTTAGCTGCGGGTGAGAAGTTTCATTCTTTAGAGCACAGACGGACAGTATCTTTGGAAGAAATTCTGTAGCTAAGCAATAGCCATTGGTTTGCCGTAACATCTCACTTGCTCTATCAACGAACTTCGCTTAGGATATCGAGACGATATAAGTACCAGATGGCAGTTCAGAAAATAGCGAAAGTTCTCGCAGGGCGATATGTCTTATCAAACTTGTTCCGATAATTTGTACTCGTTCCATTTGCGGTGCCTAGTGTTCTAACTACACCCAAAGTTGGTTCAGTAGAGACGTGGGTTCAGTCAGTACATGCTTGGTATCCAAAAAGGGTTTGATATATGAGGTGATGTTTCTGAAGTCACTTTCCTCACGTAAAAAACCCTTATGATGCGAGAATTACGCCTGTAGTGGAATTGTCGACTTCGGAAGCACGTAGCTGCCAATACTCAGAGCGAGCTTCTTAAGACTGCCTTGAAGCCAACGCCCAGGCGCTCTTGAAAATCAGAGCACAGAGCTTCCGCTCTCCGGTCGAAGTTCCGTAAAGATACCGAAGAGCAAATTGTCTGATCTGAATAACGTGACGCCTTGTTCATGGTAATCAACCTAATATGCAACGATCGTAAGCCACGATTTTCCTACCTGGCGCGAGTCTTCTAGATTCAAACCCATAGTTCACGAATTCTAGGAAGCGGCATAAGAGTAGATCAAAGCCACTTGCTCAAATACCTACGAAAAGCCCGTGCTGAGTAGCCATGGGCAAGTTATGGTTCAGGCAAACGATCATGTAGAGGCTGATATCACAGTGATCCGGCTGTGTGGGCGAATGCCTAAAGGAGGTGGACCGAGGGTAGCACGGTCTTCGAAGCATTCTACTAACAAAAGCATGGGATGTCATGATTTGATCATGAGAATCTAGGACACAGCAGTCAGGGCTTTCCTCAGTACACGGGAGGAAAGGGGTTTGTGGGCGTACTTCATTCAAAGCTTTCGTATCCATCATCGCCACCTTCTTCTGTCGTATGTAACGCCCTCTCACAAGATGTCTGCTCTCGAGCCTCCTCCCTGACTCTGGAGCAAGGTGGCTGTCTTGAGGCTCATGACTTTTCGATCTTTCTTCTTTGGCTCGAAAATTTGTTTCTGAGCCTAAATTTTGCGCCTGTTCATTATGCTTCGATACTGATGAGATGTCTGGTTTCATCGTCTTCACTCGCTCCCGTTTTCTCTCCCTCTTCTGCTCCTTTCGCGCTGCTCTTCCTGCCTTCCCCTCGAGCTTAGCACTAGCTTCATCGATACTAAGTTGTGTCTGCTTTTCGAGTGAAGTTGACATCAAGGGTTCAATTGTGTCTGCAGAAATCCTAATCGGCTCTACTTGAGGCTTCTCATATAGACGCTTCATGCGTTGGTTGTTCTTCATTGTCAAATCAACGTCCATATCTGCGCCTTTTGCAGCATCCGACTTGTCAGGATCTTTCTTTATTTTATCCTGCGCCAGAAATCCTGCACTTATGAATGTCAGTGCGCCTCGGCGTTCTAGGTATCTACCATTCTGCAAAACGTGTCTGTGCCTCTGCTCTTGAAGTATCTGTCCTTCACTCTTATTATTCAGCCTTCCGAGTAGATCTTGTAGACCCGCGAGCCCCGTGGTGGGCCCGTCTTCCTTGGCCTGCCCACTTCGAGCACCCAAACCCAGTGTGTCGTCCTTGAGCTGAACACGGATGGGATTTGTGCTCAGGTCCGATTTCTGACCAGTATATGGCCTTGGGGATCCGAGGTGATCGCCAGGCTTCCATCCCTGCGATTGGAGCATGCGATGGCCAAAACTGGTCGAAGAGCGAGTCCAAGACGTATTGTTCGGGTCATGAGAAAGCTTGGTGCGCCTGTCGTCAATTAATTTTAGTGATCCGTCTGGAAAAAATCATCGCTGCCTACTTTCTCGGGTTTGCAAGACCCATAGGTCAGAACAATGATGCGGGGATCTTTATGATGTGCAATTAGTCGGTATGCAGAATATGATATACTACCGCCGACTAGATGGCCTTATAAATATGGTAGCAGGGAACATGAATGCCAAGATATCTGTAAAGCAAGGTTGTCGGGTGATTGGTGTGTGCGACTAGCTTAAACTATTCTAGATAGTTTCTTCTACAGAGTAAAATGCATTTTTTAATCTGACCCGTCGAATCCCGTCAATTTTCGAGGGTGCGGTCGACAATGTTGACGAATGCACCTTCTGAACAGAGCATGGAAGAGATTGGATTTTCTGCGCTCGACCTTCAACTATCGCAACCCTCTCTCGCCTTTGGTGTCAACGATTGCTTGGCCGATGATCTTTCCTTTTCTCTCTCCGGACCAAGCTATTCAGATCATATGAGACTTCTATGTTAGGTTCTTGATACAACAAACTCTGCGTGATAATGCGCGTGTGGTGGATCTAATCGCATCAAAGCTCGGAGGCTAATTCGCCGCCTGCGCCCATCCTCAATCTTGCGTCATGCTCAAGCACTTGTTTGCGAAGATTACTTATCCAACACTCAGGTAAAACTAGGCATTTACAGGGGTTGTTTGCTTTTAGAAAGTTGCATCAAGCAAGTCCAAAAGCAGCCTTCCGCTCGCTCTTCCGCTCGCTCTAAATTGGGATCCCTAGTTTGTCGTTGAATTTTAGCTAGATCTTACAACGAGGCAAATGGCCCCCTCGACGAGCCCTGCCGTTCCAGATCTTGAGCTGGACCAAGATGAGGATCCTCAAATGGGTATGGTAGCTTCTCGAGATGCTCAAACTATGAGTATTCAAGAATTCACCCAGAATCTGAAGAACAATGTGATTCTTTCCTAACCATTCCCGGAGTTCAGACCTAACATTTGAACACAGACAATGCGTTTGCGAAATGCAAAACAGAAGGCTCTACTGAAGAAGCACTTCAAGGCAGTAGCTCGCATTCGAGACGACTCGAACGCGAGGGTAGAAAAGCTCCGCGAACAATTGTACAGTCAGCGGAAAGCACTCATGATAGAAGAAAGTAATAGTTTACAGTTTCAATAATCATGCAACACAGCTCCAACGCCTGATCGCCCTGATACACAAGCGTTCAAAGATCGAGGGAGAGATGTTGGCTACTACGAAAGATCTCGAAGATGCCTACCTCCGTGCCAAAGTGGCATTGAAGTGCTCGCTAGACAAACGCTCCAATGACGTGAAAACTTAATGCCACGAACCTACAAGGTAGCCTCTTATGTACGGCGGCTGTTCTTTCAACTCGATGCTAAGTACTCAGCTTACTTTCTGAAAGTTGGAGGACCAAGCACTTTCGAGCTTTGGTCCTGATAGTAATCGAGAACATGTTCATACGAAAACTTCGTCCAATAAGACGACCAACGCGGGTGCAGAGTCCCAAGCTCACACAGGCTTACACAAGAGAGTAACTACCGAGATCAGTTGCCTAGCTCTCTGATTATCGTGCTAAATACATTCGCGTCACGGAAGATGTTCCAAGGACAATGGCAAAGGTCAATGCTGGTCCTCGCATTTGCTGCGAAGGGAGTGCTGATGGGCTAATGAACGGTGTTTGTAAGTAGTCATTCAAGTAATGCAGTTAGTACTTATACATTGTTATGAGGAGGAATACACTCTAGAAATCTCAGTAACGTCCAACCTAGACCTTGAGTAATAATCTGATAACTCTAAACATCAGCCTAGCTAATGGTCCTGAGTCTGAACGATTCCACCCCGAATGAGTCGCGATACAAGAATTGGCTTCTCAAGTTCTCATTGGGTTGCGTCGGTATTGCCACGACAACGGAATTCATAAAGTAGAAGGGCGGGCCTGACGAAAAGAGAGCAAGATCAAATGTGTATCGGCTGGGAATCAAACCCGGGCCCATTATATGGTTGTGTCGGATCAGTACGATGCTGGATTTTTCGAAAGTCAGACAGACATACCAAACGCTGATTGTACCGCTCAACCACCGATACATCTGTAGAAGTAATCGAAGCTAAATCAATTAAGATACCCCAATTGATGTAATCTTTTCTACTGAAGAATCACTTTCAATTAAGGTCCACCAAGGTCAGATACCCAAAGCTGTGAGGACTAGCGTTGTTTTAGGGTATTCTAGTTAATCGCTCGGCTTAGCGAAATTTTTTTTCCCCCACTAAAATTGTTAATAATCGCGATTAGTTTTTCGCCAACCAAGGCAATATTAATAACTTGCTTAAAATTAGTAATTATTATTCTTTTTACCTTAGGAATAATATTAATATTATAAGTAATAGGCTAGCATAGTTAGTAAACAGCTTAATATACTAACTATATCTATAACTAAGACTTTCTTTTAAGCTAATATAAAGCTAGACACTATTTTAAAAAGCTTATTTAAATATTTTTATTTTACTATTATTTATAAGATAAATAAAAATCTAGTATTATATAACTAATATTATTATTTTTATTATTTAAAGCTTAGCCCTTAATTACTTATTATAAAAAATATTAAAAAGAATTTATTTTATTACTTAAACTATTATTTAAATACTTTATAGTTTAAACTAACTATAATATTAAAGAAAAATTTTAATATTAAAGTTTAATAGCTTTATATATCTAAGTTTTTAATAAAGTAGTTGTTATAGATTATAGATATATATAGCTTAATAGGAATAGGATAGCGCTATGTATAGGTAGGACTATATTTTAGAAAGTGGCTTTCACTATATTTAGGAATTTTAAGCTTTTTTTACTTTATAATTCTAGTTCCTATTAAATAATAATATATACTTATTATATTCTAGTGTACTAAATAGCTTTCTAGACTTTCGAAACGCCCTAGTATATACTTTATTAATATATATTAACTAACTTTTATATTAACTAAAGTAATTGTCCTTAATTGCTTTTATGAAATCCCGCTATTTAAACCTCTAAAACGCTTATCTAAAACAACAAAAACTAACTAATTAATTAAAACCTTAAGCGATTAAAAACCTTAATTAAGGCTTAAAAAGATATTTATCTATTATATATATTTGCTAAAAAATCTAGAACGTAGTATTTGTTTTTTATTGCTATTTATTATTATAATAGTATTTAACTAAGCTATATAAATGCTTTCTAAAAATACTAATATAATAAAATCGCTTAAGCGATAAGTTGCCTAGCAATGTACTACTCCTTTTTTTTATTAGTTTTTTCTATATTAACTAGCTAGAATTACCGCTTTTAGTTATTATTAACTTTATTAAATTTTTTTTATTATTCCTAAATTATAATTTACCTTAAATTTAACTAGCTACCTCTAATTTAGCTTCTATTATTAATAAAAAAACTATTAAACTAGCGTTTTAGATTAAAGATTTCTTAAATATAAAACACTACTATATAAACGTTTTTAATTTAATTATATTTAGCGTTATCTAATATGTTACTAATAGAAAACTATACTTGCTGCATTTATTTATACTAATATTAATCGCTAATTTAGTATACTAAGGTATTTAATTAAGATTAGTTTTATTTAACCTTAATAACAAAAGCAAACTTTAGCTATTTATGTAGGCGATTAATAAAAGTACTTTTTAAAAAAATAAAAAACGTTTTTAAGACTAAATTAAAGTTCTATATTAGCTATTCTAAATAATAGATTATCTATTTATAAGAAATATGCTACTAAATATACTATAACTATTTTTATTAGAATTAAGTTTATTATTAATTAATAAATGCCTATCTAATATATTAGCGATTATTATTAATAAAAATATTTATTAAAAGCTAATAAGACTTTAGAATTATATAAATAATTAACTAAATTAGTTTTTAACTAATATAGCTTAAAAATTTATAAATATTTAATAGGCTAAGCTTTAAGTAATATTAGCTAAAATAAAAAAATAAAATCCTCTTAAACCTCTAAAACTACCTAGCTTATTTAGTAATTAAAAGCTAGCTAGTATAACTAATAATTCTAGCTCTAGTTATTAGAGATTAAAAGATATTAAATTTTTTAATAATAAACTTTTTATATTTTATAGCTTTAGACTAATAATACGCAATAATAAAAATGTTTACTATTAGAATATTTATTTTTTTATTAAATGAATTAAGGACTTTATTTATATAAAAAAAGAAAAAATTATTAAAATTAACTTTAATATTTGCTTATATAATAGTATATTAATTTAATATATATTAGAACTTTTAGAACTAGAATATTCTATTTTTTATTAATTTAAAATCAAAAAATAAATTAACTAGTTTATTAAACGCTTTAAGCTATTTTATTTTAAAGCTTTAGACTCGCTTATATTAAAATAATTTTTATTCGCAAATATATATAGTAGGAGAAAGCTATCTAACTATATTTAATAAATAATTAATTATATTAAAGATACTAACTTTAAAAGTACTTTTTAGTAAATAATTTAAGTTTAAAAAAATTTAAATCTAGAACTTAAAAAGAATATTTTAAAACTTATAAAATAGATTAACTTATTATTATTTTTATATATAATAAAATTAAAAAAAAATATATAATAAAATTTTTATTATAGTTATAATAGTAATATAACTTAAGAACAATATATACTAGATAATAAGTTAGTATATTTTTAAAGTTAATATAATATTAATTTTTATTAAGATAATTTCTACTAAAATAATAATAAATAAAGTTTCGGAGTTAATTAGCTATTTTAATAACTTTTCTAACTAAGATATTTATACTAGTAAAATAATTATTTTTACTATCCGCGCTATCCCCTATACTAAACTAATTAATATTAGTAGTTTTTAAAAGAATTTAAAAATAATTATTAAAATAAGTTTTAATTACTTACTTTTTTTTAACTATATATACTAATAAATATTCTATTTAATCCTTAAAATATATTAAATTCTAGTAATTAATTTCCCTAAATTAATAATTATTAAAAATATAGAAATAACTTATTTTTTTAAATAAATTGTCTATAAGCTATTTACTAGGGCGATATTGAAAAAAATAATAATAAAAAAAACGAAAATAAGAATGTCTTAGAATACTAAAAGTTTGAAAAATAAAATTCTAAAAACAAAATATTAAATAATAAAATAACTTATAATAATTATTATACTAAAATAAATAAATTAAAAAAAGGAATAAATTATCTATTATATAAAAAATATTCTAGTTTATTATTAGTTTTCTTTAAAATAGTAAAATTCTAATTTAAGTTATTTAAATATATATATTATAAAAATACTTTCCTATCTAATAATAAGCTAAAAACTTATATTAAAAGCTTTATTTATAATTAAAAGGCGGTCTTAGCTAACTTTACTACTATTAAAGAAATAATAATTGTTAAATCAATAGCTATACTATAAACAATATATAATTTTACATTCTATTAATAGTATTATGCTATAATTAAAGCTACTTTTTTTTTATTATAGAATCTTAATAAATTTTATATAAATAGCAATTATATAATATTACTAATTAATTAAAAATATTTTAAAGTTAAAGCTACTAACTAACTAATCTATTATATAAAATTAAATATTTTAATTAAAAGTATTAGAGATTATTTATATAAATATAATAAGTATATTTTTTTAAATATTTTTATTTTTAAAAAGAATAAAGATAATAGTAAACAACTTGATTATTTCCATTAGGAAGTTTATTTTATTAATAATTTTAAAGTAAAATTTCTAATTAACATAAATATTATTAGCTTTAAAAAAATAATTATTAATATAGTATGCTAGCAATTATATATTAAAAGCTATAATATTACTGCGCTATTGCAAATTATATTTAAAAATTAATATATAAATTAAATACTATATTTTACTAAAAAAATCGTAATCTTATTTAAGTTAGAAAAAATAATACTAATTAAAATAAAAAAAAAATTAATTTTATATAATTAAGACTATTTTTTCTACTTGAAAATTAATTTTCCCTTATTACTAAGCATTAAAAATAGGTTTTACGCCTATATTACTAACGCTAATATAACTTTTATTTAAGTTAAGAATATTATTAATAATTTTATTATTA